ACACAAAATCATTATCAACAAATATGTAGTTCCTGCGCATGTTAAATGAAAACAGTATAAGTTTATACATTTAGTCGAAATTTACTCGAAGATACCTGCCTATACTATGCGCCTGTCTTACTCTAACTGAAAGTCATTTCACGTATTTTCCACTTGAATTTTTTAAGCTCTACTTTATGTAAAGCGGTGTCATAATTTAAAATAGAGTTTAAGTTATTAGCAAAATAGTATATTTCACTTTCGATCTAATCTTAAAAAAGTCAATTGCATCTGTGGGCGGTAGTATATACTATCTTTGATCTCCATTCTTATCTTTCGTTTTCCTCAGCTGTACTTTATCAATTTCTATGTGAAATATTTCCATGGTTGCATAACAATTAAGAAGTCCATGCTTGGTTGCTACTCACGCAGTATAGCAGCATCTTAGTTCGTTTATCGCGACAGGCAAATCTTTTTTACATTTGTTTCATTTTCAGAATGTATGCATCAAAGTCCGCATCACGTTATTTCAATAGGACTGTTTTCTCCGTCTTCTTTGAGAGCCGGAATTGAGTGGAAATAAGGAATTCTTTCTGTTTTTGACTATTGTGATGGTGAATTCATTGTCTTGTGCTCGCGGCGACAATACCCAGGATTATGGCAATGGGGCGCCTTTTTCGCGGAAGCACTAGTATGAAAGAATGGGTAATAGCTAGTGGGTTGAGAATATTTTCACAAACGTTTAAATTTGCTGGGAAAACGACGCCATATTAATGATATTATACTTGGAATTTATTCAGAGAATGCAGAGTATTTAGGAATCAGACTTCTACTTGAAGTATTTGTGAGACTGTATTCTATCCTTTTGATTAATTATTGCCGCAAGCCCGGATTATATGCAGTGATAATATTGTTTTTTATTGTTCTGCAATGATAATTAAAAATATCGAATGCCACTAAAAACATGTAATATGAGACGAGTTATAAAGCTCGTCAATTGTCAGACATGATTTACGACTGAATTTTGACACAGTGATAAAAGACCAAATCGACCTAATATTGAGTCGCGATGGTCTCCCTTATAATTGTTAAACCGAACATCTTCAAACCTACTGAAGACAGAGCCCATGAAATGGATGGATTGGTTGGATCTCTTTCGGCAAAGTCTTGAAACCAACCGTGCCGACTGAATTGGGGCCAAGAACATTAGTTAGCTAAAATTATCCTAATAAGCCGATCCTTTCCGCTGTTATTGCACACACAGTTTACTTAGTACCAGATTAAAAATAACTATTTTAAAATCCCTATTTTAATAACTTTAATCGCTTGCAGCTGGGCTAGCTTAGACTTAGTGGAGAAATTTTTTTTGTATTGATTTTCCTAAAAACTTATTCCTTTACACATGTATGTAATGTAGAACTTACTGGTATCAAACTCTATAAACAATTCTACATTATTGTGGCGAGACTATCGGGTCTTGTCTGATTTGTACGTAAATTGCATCTTAATTTATTGTCCATCAAAGCTTGAAGGCGATAATGATTTCTACCGAAATATTCGTGTATTATAACTATGTGGACATATTAAAATTTTGATTCCATTTAACTTTTTGAAAGACGAGTTTCTCGGGTGAATGTTTTGTATTATGTGATCACTAAAATTTATTTACATTTAAAATGATTTATTGTAATGTTTCCTGTTTGCGGCTCGCTTTAATCAACGTGTTCATTCTCAATCTTCGAATGAAGAAATCTTTCTTCCGCCCATATCGAATTAGCTGTTATTGATTTTTTTCATTCCTATATATTATAAACACTTTCACACCTATAAAAAAAATTCACAGCAAAGTCACGGGATATAGCGTTGTACGTATATCATGATTGTTTTTTTGCATATATATATTTCATGAATTACAACATTCCGTTTCGCCCACTCTCTGTAATTGAGGATTCTTAAGAATAGAATTACATCATCGGTATAGTATAGTACAGACAATGTCAAATAGATCCGGTTTGAAGTTTTTAAGATCATGCAACTATAATACAGTCTTTATATGTGATGATGAAATATTCAACGTTATATTAAATTCTCCTGTACAATATTCCCCATATGCATTGCAACAATTCATCATTCATGAAAAGTAAACAATGTAAATGCGAAAATGGTCAACCACGAATTTCACGATTTAAATGATTTAGCTTTTCTTGGAATCAATCGTTTATGTCAGTGTTTTGCTTTTCATTTTCGTCCATGGCCATTCGTTTGCCATGTAATTAAGCCGACATCAAAAAGATCTTATATTTTCATCTCAGTCTTAAATGAAAATACTGTTATTTCCTGCAGTGTAACTCGAAATTAGTAAATTAGGTTTGCATATAAATCAGGACCTCCTCATGTGATGTTTTGTGTTTAGAGGAAGACTGATAATTACCCAGCTGACATCCTGTCGCTCTCGACAACAAATTCACTCGCCACGGCACCGCCCTTTGCGGCAAACCTTTGCGTGCATGACATCTGGAAGACATTCTCAGGTGGTACCTTGGCAGTTTAGCATAAATTTATAATCACAACGTGTCAATTTGTTCAGGTCCACAGAATAGATCGAGTATATTACTTAGAATTGTAAGGGCTCGAAATAGCTGGAAATCAATATCTTAAACGATTGCTTTCCATTCTAGATATATAATTATATGCTTCTTTGTAATTGTTTCGTTTGTCGATAGATTACATAACTCCCTGACGTTTACTGTTGGACGTGCCAAGCCGAGGTCCTTCTTTGTCTTAAATTTGATGGTAAATACTGTATATATATAAATTATAAAATAGAATATAACATATCTATGAGGTATATCTATAAAACTCTCTGTGGTTCTGACAAATATTTATATGAAATACTTCTCTGTGGCAGGATTCAGGCGTGAAGTTTATCTTGTGGTATAGCTATAGCTCAAAGATTTTGGCCAAAGCGGAAGATTTGCATCATATAAAGCTTGCGGAGTTAAATATTCCGATCCTTAAAAGTACAGCAAGGCACTCTTTATAATAGAATACAATATAATATGAAAACTAGTAATTTATTCTTTTTCTCAATACCATTGGTGGCTAATGATGGTGGTATTTTAAACAAGGACAAGGTCGTCTTGAAGATTTGCCAAGACCGCAACGACTAACCCTAAAATTTACCCCCTGTGCAGATAAATGTCACCTTGGCCAGGACGTATGTCATACTGTGAAGCAACCAGCCGTAGTATACCACGTGTTTGTGACATCATCTCATTTATTTATAGCAATGATACATCGAGAAAACAAATGAACAAATTAAACTTTTCTACATGCATGCTAGCTGGATAAAAATATAATATTTGAACAAGCATTCTCGCGCAAATTATTAACAGGAAACAGAATTGACTATATTGCTATTTAATTTTCAAAAAATACACTTTTTTCCCGATAGTCACGATGATAAAAAGCAATCTACATATGCTGATCGTGATCTCTGGAATCACACGACCATATAAGCGTGCGTGCATGCAAAATGCGTTTGTCTAAGATGTCTTGCAGGTCCTAAAGTGTAAAGAACAATGCAGTCTTAAAACACAGCACGGGAATTTCCTGACCCACTTCAATTTTATTGAGTGTTTTCATTCATATTGTCTTAAAACGATCTAGAAGAAGCCGAAATGACTTGCTTTATCTGCTGCCGAATCCATGTTTATGAACAGACTTGTCGGTTTGATAAACGATTTATCCTGATTACTATATCGGAACGATAAAGTATAATTTACGATATTTTTTCAGTCTGGCTCCGACCTTTCTGCTTCAGGTTTTTATGCCTTTGCAGGTTCCGTTTTTTTCAAATATTTCTCAGTCCTAAATTTAATTTTTAAAACAAGAAATTATGTTTGAATACTGAAGTTAACGACAGAAGATTGTTGCAAAACATCCGGATGAGATTATCAAGAGTTGACAAGAATCATCATTTTTTATGTCAACTTGGTTTATTTTTTATTTCATTTCGACTGAAATATCGAAGCATATCGTATCGATATTACTTTGATTAAAAAGAAATGCGTAAGATTCTGCATGATAAAAGAAATACACTCGACTGTGTTGCTAAAATTTGCGATGATCAGCAAATGATATATGTTATACAAAATTTTAATTAATTTAGATCACAATTTGGAAAAAATAAACCCCATTTACTATACAAAAAGGATCAAGTGCCGTAACATATTATGTTTAAAATTATTCAACGCAGTTGACACGTAAACACTAAAAATATCCTATGACTGTTCGTTCTATCTCGAACCTTTCTATATCATTTCTACTCTAGATAAAATTTAGACAAGTTTGAAATTTAATAACCTGTTTTTACGTTTTAGTTGTATTTATAATATAGTGTGCAATAATATTAATACATAGATTTTAAATTCTCACTCGCTTGATCTAGAAGCTCAGTTTAATTGCTGCCGCAGCGAGCGAGCCTGAAGCGAACGAGGAAGGCAGCAGCCCCTAATTTACAATTGGGGGCGCAAATTAAATTTGCCTTTAGCGCATTGCATGACGGTACCAGTGGTAGGAATGGTTGAACATATTTTATTTGGGGGGGAGGGGATTAAAAACAAAACTGCCATAAAAATTATGATAATTCGCTAACCATGCAAACCAGCAATATGTATGTAGTCCATATTGTCTATACTCCAGTTTGACACACAGGAAACTTACGAGTGACGCGCATGAAAGAAAATCAGTTTACTTTGGCGGGTGAGCATCATTTTAGCCAAATCGTTGTTACATGTTTGTGTAACTGATTTTTTCATGTGTTTTGGGGGTTCATACCATTCCATGTTTACGCAATCTTATTTTTATTATGAGTAAAAACAATAGTTAATCAAATGAGACGCCTCATTATCTATTGTTGTTAATGCGCTCGTCACATGAGAAGCATGACGTTTGTAACAGGCCTTGCTGCTTAGTTTCATCGATGCATAAAGTGCATTGTCCGTTGGAATGTTCTTCGGGTAATAAAAGGTGTTTGAATTCGTGAAGAACTAAACTTGATATACTCTCGAAGAGAAAAGGATCACTCGAAGAAGTGTAGAGAAAAGTTGGAAGAATCTTTGCTCAGGTACATTGTCATATGGTTGCTTTAAAGAAACTCCTGGCTCGATCTTTGGCTTTGCAAATTAATTCATCGGCGTGTTAATTTGAATAGCCAAAAGACATTAGCGACTTGAGGCATATTCTTGCCGCGATTTTCACTGCTATGTCTTGTATATTTCGATTAAAAATGTCAAATGCAAGTGAGCTGTTAACTTGATTTTGTTTTTCCTTCCTTATTTCATTCCAGAACGAACTACGGCGCCGAAAGATGGAAAAGACGAAACACAAACGCTTGCTTGCGGCGAATAAAAGGTATTGTTCTATTAATACATGTATTTTGCATTTGTGACTTGAAATAACACGTTTGTACACAGTGGGCGAGACTAGAATAAGTCCTTTGCTGCCCATGTCGAGTCTAACTAGGCTTTATATATGTCTGTGAATCTTTTGCTTTATCGAGGTTTTCTTTTTTTAGAAAGAAAGAATGGTCGGGGTGGAGAGATGTCGGAGCTGCCTTGGGCGACATTTATGCACGCAAATACAAAACTCGATTTCGATGAAATTTGCATGAGTAAAATATGCATGGGATTTGGCTTTTTGGCTGAGAATATGCTGAATACTCTTCTGTTTACCTCCTTGATTTTTAACTTTTCGGATTTCGGTTTTTGCATGGGTCTGGTCGTATCAAGTGCATGCGGAGTGAATACAAGTGATTCTGGGGCCCCAATCACTTGTGTTTTCTCCATCTTGACGACTATATAGTCCGGACAAAAATATCGCTCGCAGAGCACCTAAAACATAAAAACATGAAATATGTATTTCTAGAAGGAGATGATAGTCCAGTGTTCTTGCTTTCTTGTACAAAAACGTACATGACATTTTGTACCAAAACGTGCATGACATTTTGTATTAAAACGTGCATGACATTTTGTACCAAAACGTGCATGACATTTTGTATTAAAACGTGCATGACATTTTGTATTTAAACGTGCATGACATTTTGTACCAAAACGTGCATGACATTTTGTACCAAAACGTGCATGACATTTTGTGTATTAAAACGTGCATGACAGTTTGTGTTAAAACGTGCATGACATTTTGTGTATTAAAACGTGCATGACATTTTGTATTAAAACGTGCATGACATTTTGTATTAAAACGTGCATGACATTTTGTATTAAAACGTGCATGACATTTCGTATTCGCGTGCGCAATGCGAAGGCCACGAGTGACTGACGTTGGAGTGTTGGAGGTTCGGTATAATATATCCTGAGTGCTTTATACATAAGTGACATTTCTCTCTTGGAAATTATTCATATCATACTTTTGTTGTCAGATGATGAAGGATCGTCGCAGGATCAGATGATGAAGGATCGTCGCAGGATCAGATGATGAAGGATCGTCGCAGGATCAGATGATGAAGGATCGTCGCAGGATCAGATGATGAAGGATCGTCGCAGGATCAGATGTTGAAGGATCGTCGCAGGATCAGATGATGAAGGATCGTCGCAGGATCAGATGATGAAGGATCGTCGCAGGATCAGATGATGAAGGATTGTCGCAGAATCAGATGATGAAGGATCGTCGCAGGATCAGATGACGAACGACGAGACGGGTGTACAAGTAGAAGCTGGTTGAGGTACATACTATAGGTATACTAATTATAGTAATGCATGATTAATATAGGTGCATGATTTATTCTAGGATTGATTCTTCCTGGTGGTCTAACCTAGTTCACACATCAAGTGACATTTCACCCTTTTCGATAGTGCATGAAAATAAAAAATTTCTCACAGCTCTTATGAGGGCGTTTTCAACGTTTCTCGATGAAATATTCCCAGTTTTGTCACTCGTGTGTGAACGACGTAACAGCTGCGGAAGATGCATGATGGCTTTAAAGCGATGAAATGAAAGTGAAACATGTATTAGCATGGCTGAAACGCGCGCAACGAGAAAATATTATCTAATTCGTATTAGCCTATAAATTTTAGATTAATACGAAAATAATCGCGAGTACTTATATGATTATATAAGTTTCTCTGTTCAGCCTTTAGCATAGTTGACGCGCGCGCAACGAGAAAATATTACTGAATTCGTATTGGCCTAATTTTTGCAAATAATTCGAAAGTAATGGCGAGTATTTTATATCTTTAAATACGTTCTTCTGTTCAGCCTTAGCAAGCGCGACACGCGCGCAGCGAGAAAATATAAAATATTATCGAGTTCGTATTGGCCTGATTTTTGAAATAATTCGAAAGTAATGGCGAGTGCCGGTTTTTATATCTTTAAATACGTTCTTCTGTTCAGCCTTAGCAAGCGCGACACGCAACGAGAAAATATGAAATATTATCGAGTTCGTATTGGCCTAATTTTTGCAAATAATTCGAAAGTAATCGCGAGTGTTTTATATCTTTAAATATGTTCTTCTGTTCAGCCTTAGCAAAGCGCGACACGCAACGAGAAAATATTATCGAATTCGTATTGGCCTAATTTTAGATTAATACGAATATAATCGCGAGTACTTATATGATTATATAAGTTCTCTGTTCAGCCTGTTGTAATGCGACTCTCTCGAAGGACGTCCGTCAGTGGCATCAAAAATTATACTTTAGTCTTTGAACGTTTAAATTCGAATTATTGAATTTTGAAATGAAGAAAAAATTATTGATTGAATGATGTTTTGACACTAGCACTCTTCTGTTTCCCTTGGTCATATTTAATTTTTCGCTGTTTTCGATTTCGTTTTTTTTGGTAATCTCAAACATGAGGAAAATAGACGTAATATAATTATTTTAACATGATGAATTTTTTTATAAGAATAAAATAGACCTCCTGTATTACATCATATACTATTACACTGCATGATAACTACACTTGTATCATGGGGGGTATCTGGGGGAGTACTGTTTAACTGCGGGTTAATACCCTTTTGCCTTAAAAGTGAACCCTTTGCATTTTGACACACTTACTATGTTGTTTTAATTCCTTGCACGCCCCACCGTCGAGATGTTGTTAAAGAAGAACCGCAACTTTGGAATGAAGCAGTTAGCGGCAGAGAAGCAAGTGAAATTGGTTTGGTACTCTGTTTACCGAAGGTGATTATACGGTGCGAAAGGTAAGAGACATTATTGATTAGCCATATTGAGTAAGTTGCATGTTGAGCCCGATTACGTTTATTTCCCCCATTTTCAATCAACCTTAATCCAGAACGTATAAAAAAGCCGATAAAAAGTGCATGATGAAGTGCATGTCTTTAAAAAGGGATAGTAGAAGAGTGTTGTTGTCTGCATCGATTTCAGATGAAAAAGCATGCAAGTCGTGAATATGAAACATTTCCTTTCCAAAACGCTTTCCAAAAAAAGCATGATCATAAAATGAACATTTGAATAAATGAAATAATTTTTGTTGCCATTGTCGGACAAAGCGCAGTTTGATTGAAATTTTTAACAGCCTGTCGCAGTGTTTTGCAACGGGCGATATGCGAGCTACGCACGTTAGACCACCACCAGGATTCAATTCAGACAGCTCAAGAATTACATACCAATATGAAATTCCTGGGACTGAACTCAGATGAGCGAAACTAAAACGGTCAATCATATAAATAAAACCTGAACTGTCATTACGGACGATTTCTAAATCCAAAATACCAAATTCGGACCGCCGGTCAGGTAACCTGAAATTCAGGTTACCTTGGAGGGTTTTTCTCCGGGCACTCCGGTTTCCCTCCTTTTCGTTTGACTTTAAAAAACAGTGTCCATGTCTGGGGCCAAACGCGTACTCGTTAATTTGTGAAAAGATTTCTTGCGCATTTTACAAAAACGAGAAACCCTATTCGTACATGCATGAACTATTTTTACTGAATGCGAGTGTTTGGCTTCTGGGTTGGACTCCCAGAACACTGGCGTGAAAGAAATAAATATGTAGAGACTGGTGGTGGAGACTTAACCATAGGCGTATACATCATAATAATAATGATCAAATAATGATTATGAAAATTAGTGATGTTCAAAAAAGACGCATTCTCGTCGTTCCTTAGGCATTACTTTTTATAAATAATTCCAGTTAGAAACGAGATTCGTAAGCTGAACACTGAAAGCAAATCCATGGAGAACAGGAAGCTGGTTTAGGATCAGCACGATTATGAGGCTGTCTATGTTGTCTAGAGTTAGTTTGCAATTTGCATGGGTGTACTTCGGATCAACTCGTTTTAACGCTGCGTGTCCTCTTTAATCCCGAAATGTCCCCATTTTCCTCAAAGGTTCTTGACCGTGACAGGTCATCACCCATGGTAACAACAGATCTCGCAGTCGAGTCATCCGGTAAAGCACCCCTTCGTTTCTTCCCAATATCTCTATGTCTCCATGAATAGAATTTTGTGTAGACCGTGTACTCCTCGTTCGGGTTCACACAAGTTTTGTCGCTGAACTGTAACGGTTTTATAACCCAAGATGGCCGAGGTTCCGTCTCATTTGCAGCTTTGAAGCCGGACTTCATTATCACTTTAGTATCGTGCAAAGGTCGTGTCGTTACCGTAGGTCTTCGACGGATTTCAACTGTATTGAAATGCTCTGAATTGTAGTTAAATGGACTCACTTTATATAAATATCCCAACTTCGCTTGAGATGTTTGAATATCGGGTAAAAACTGCCGCATTAGTCTTTCCCTACTTTTCATACTTAAGGATTTAATATCCATGGCGTAAGTATTATTTGCAGAAGCCATCTTTGTCGCTTTCGTCTAGAACCACATTTCAACAAACCTACAATTGTATATGCAGTTTTTAGATAAAATCATATGGTATGATCCAGATCACATATGCAGACGCATGTATTTAGATGATCGTCAACTTGTTACAAGATCCAACCTCGTTTGTATAGTCCTGCACACAGCTACACAAGAATATACGTTCAGTAAATATTTGATTTAGAAATCTAAAACATGTATAATTGTTATTCTACGTGTGGCGGGTTGCCAGGCAACAGGAGTTTGAGGGGATTTAGTCAATATTTAAAGTATTACGTTCAACAACTCAAGTGATAAATCATATGCTTGTCTGAATTGGTATCGTTGTTTTAATTTTGGATGGATTAACGGAGGCATAAACTATTGATACATAACTACTAGTGAGGGGAGGGAGGGGACAGTAAACCCCAGTAACTGAAGAGCCTGAAACTGTTGGTTGGTACTAGTGGAATTTTAATAACTGAAAATGGCCCATTCAGATGTACTTATAGGCGTATTGCTGAACTTTTCTTTGATATTACAAATACCTTTCTGACTGGCAGAGATTAACGAACATAAAAGGCTAAAATAATCAGCAGCAATATAAAGCAATTTTCAAGCAATTATCAAATGATCACGTGCAGATTAATGATCAAGAAAGCGAGTTCAATGCACGAATGTACAAAACACGTTCTTCGAGCTTCAACTAGGTACAATACTCCATAGAAGTATACCTTAAACGTGACAGCTAGTTACTGCATCAACCATGGATAAATCGTTTCATGAAATTCAAGTAAGGGTTGCCAAACGTCTTATCCACAGTGATCGACACAGACGACGAAAATCAATCACTCCTGATATCGTTTCGTGCAAAAGCAAAAATCACGACCTGTCGACACTGATGGTAAAAAACGAAGTTCTTTTTAAAAACCTAGAAGAGAAAATGTCTTCTCTTCAACAGGAGCAAAAAAGACGTCAGAATGAACTAATGCGAACTGAGAGAGCATTAACAAAATCAATCCGAAGCAAAAGTTTGCCACATTTGATGAACAAGACATCATCCGCTCAACAACGATCACCAACTCGAGATAAATCACCCGTCAGCTTGGAACAGCCGAAACGAAATTCTTTAATAAATGATGAACTATCGTCCTCCACTACCAACCAGCTTGTTCAAAAATGGCTTAAAAGTTTTGATACAAAGAATACAGGAAACACATTGCAAGTTCCTTCTTTCTTTGACGATGAGCCAGAGTCAGTAGAACCACGAAGTGCGTCGGCTTCACAAATTGAAAGTTTAGAAATCAGATTGGAAAATACCACCAGCAGTGTAAAGTGTGAAGAACGCACAAGAAATGGTGGTTTGGAAATTGAAGCTGAGAGTGGAAAGGTTGAGTCAAAGAGCTATAAGAGGAGATTGTCGTCCGAAGGAGTTTCATCGGCTTCGCGTCTGAGCAACAGAAGTTTATGTACTTTGGCTAAAATAAAAATATCGGAGCCAGACGAGCATGAAAAATACATATAACGAGGGACAATAAAGTGAGAAGATGGTTTGGTTTTTTCACGGATACTCTTTCTGCATGTATAAATCAAAACGGATATGCTCAGTTGAAGTTTGAATAATGAAGATTAATGATAATAATTGTAATAATGATTAGGACTCCTTCTTGTATAGTATGAGTGTGTATTATTGTATGTATGTATTTTGTAATTTTGTATTATTAATTTCATTAATGTGCAGTTTTTTATGGTGACAATGTGAGACTTAAGCCCAGGTCAAAAAGTGCAACGTTGGACCCAGGCCTCTGCCATTAAAGATCCAAACTGGGACACAATTAATCTGTGTAAAACCTCCTCGTTCACAGATAAACATTCAACTAATACGAGTTTTTAGTGTATTATTTTCAAGTGTCGGTTGGTCCTATCAGAAGCCAATCGCATATTGTTTCTTTATGAAACGTTTTGGTAGATAATCATTGAATATTTACATAGGATCACAGGCAACAATAACGACTGATACTATAATACATGTTTACAAATGAAAAGTTTGGCTTCTTAATCTCTCGGGATCTTTGTCACGAGTAGTTTCACCAGAAGATACCTTTTTTTCTTTCTTGTCTTCGCTAAGGCATAAAATTTCCTGCAATCTTAAGAATCTTGGGTCTTTCATACAATTCTTGGTGTCTTCCGTAGTTGATGATTTAATCCGTGGTAAAAGTAAATTATTGTCGTTAACTTGTTTACGAGGGACCCCAGGACTGGAATTCGGTTTGGCTTGTACAATCCTAGGAAGAAACGTTCCTGCGCCCGTCTTTGCTCCAAATTTTTTCTCAGCTTTGCTCTGTACTGCAAAACGGACGACTGTAATTGCCTTCTGCCATTTCACTTTAGCGTTAAAGTTTCTTTTATGCGATACTCGTCCGTGCTTCAAGTGCACGTCTCCGTCAGAAAAGCTTCGTTGCCTCTGGAAATAAAATTGTGATTCCTTCTTCTCAGCCAGGGATTTCTCTCTTCTTTTTGCAAATTGAAGACGTTTGTTTATCAAATGTCTCTCCTCTTTACTCTGATGTTTGTTTAGACTACCTAAAGTGGAATCAAGAGATCTTTCTTCATGCAAATTTTCCCGTAGGATTGTATCTTTGATCTTGTTTTTGATCACAAGATCGCCGTTCTTACACCAGTGCATCAGTTGCTGCCCATCCCGTCTTCTTTTGCTCATGGTAATGGTACTATGCTGTCCTGTTTTATACTGTTCACTTCTCGATGTGGATTCCCAATGTTTGTATAGAAATTTAGATTGAGAGTGGTAATCGTCCGCGAAGACCTTGAAACAATTCTACCGTTGCGAGTAATTATTTACGGCATGACAATCCCTGTTTCCAATTTCGTGAACGTATCCAGTTATGGCACCTTGTTTAAGTAAAACAATTGTAATTTAGCTCCAGCAAAGATCTTATGATGAATCTTATCATGAAAGTCGTTCCCTTGGCTTAGCCGTCGATTGAAAGAATTTTACCCAAACAAACACTTTAACTGCATGAACACGTCCGAACTTCTAATGGATGCAGAATACAACTTTCGTCAGAAATGTTATTCAATCTTCTTTTCCAATCAGAATTCCACTAGAAAAGTTTATTATAAGCTTTATAATTTTTACCTTGGGTTGCTTGTAATGTAAATATACTGAGTTGACACAGTTATTAGCCCAGATCCGTTACCGCTTCAGTCTAAACAGTAAATCGCTGCATATTCAACCATGCATGCAAAGCCTTGTTCTGTCCGAATCTAATGTCGTTAGCCAGAATTTAAACTCATCATTCATTTCATGAAGAAAAGTCTAACAAGTCACTCCCTGTGCTGAAGCACTTTTTGTGCATAGGATTGCGGCAAATTGATGTATAAGACTGTGTCAAAATTGCATTTTGTCATTTATTTTGAGTTAGTAAGATAAAACTGATGAATAAACGTGCTCGTTAATTGCATCATTTAAACTTGAGAATTTGTTAGTTTTGTTGTCATGCAAATTATTAAAAGACTGCATTCAAAGCTAGCTTTGTGACAAGGTTCACTTCGAAAGCGGATTTCCTTTATCCAGAATCGTGGAAGAGACAAAACATGAATACAAGAGATTCACACAATATAAGAATAAAGTCAATAAACTGTAGGGCCTTGACTGCATGGCCGAAGTAATAGTAGACTCAGTAAACAGTTCATTCGCCCTGTTGATTTGCCAGAAAGTCAATTAAAATCTCAATGACTGGACAGAGTAATGGCTGACAACGATGCGCAATGCAATATGCGTGGAAACAGGTTCCGACATGAGTGGGCTGGCGCTGCTGTATGATTTTTTCCCGTTGCAAGCTTATTTACAGTCAACCAGTGTAATTTAAGAAATATTCAATCTATTTTAACAAAATTGAATATTATTCATTTAAACGACTTTCAATAACCGTTTCCAATAAAACTAATCTATTTTGTTACTAGATCAACTCTTTGTGATGGCCGAAAAAAATGATTTATATCGCGGCAGATAAATTGAACATAATTTGTAAAATATTATGTGCATTATCACCGACGTGCAAGCAGATACATCATTGGACATGGAAATCTATATGCAATAATTAAAAACAGATTTGCTTTCAGAATTTTTGAAATGTGAATTAAAAATTGTGCAGCAGTAATTTATTTTGACGACGAGACTTTGACTTGGAACCTATCTTTTTTTAACTGGAATGGAAAAAACTGAAATGCTTGATTTGGACCTAATGCGGCCAGGGGGAGTTTATATATAGGAGGTTATATACGATTAATTAGATTTCCGTTTTTATGCGACAACCAATATTTTTTAAGAAATATATAATCTATACTACAAACGAAAGTAAATATTTCTAATTTGAACTAGTTTCTATATCCTCCCAAAATCTAATCTATTTTTACAACCAATTTTATACTAAATCACCTCTTTGTGATGGCCGACAGTTCATTGTGTGGGTGATAAATAGAACATATAACTTGTAAAATTGCTATGTAAGAATCAACCGTCTATCTCCATGCCCTTAGTAAAACTATTGGACATAAAAATCTATGCAATAATTACTAATAGATTGGTTACGAGCCTTTTAAAAGGCACGGCAGCTTCGCAAACAACCAGACACACAAGACGACGGTCTGGTAACATTTCAAGGAAAATATTTAACTGTGAACCTCGAAGAAAAATGAAGAGATCTGGTTGTTTATACATCGCAATACTTTGCTTGTGTTTTGTATCTGTTCAAAGCAAGAGCTGCGTTAACTCTGGAGAAGATAACGGGAAAACTGGTCAATTGAAGGCGAGTACTGGATTGTTCGTAACTAGTCCTTAGTTTGAAAAGTGTTTATCAAACGTATAAGTAAATTATATTATTCTTAGTTTTCAATTTCATAATTTATTATATATTTCTCTATCACATCAAATACTGTTCGCTTTTGCATTCAATTTTTTCAGAAATTCTTCGCTAAGTATGGATATACAGAAACGGACGGCAAGACTAGTCGACATAAGTTCAAACAAGCCGTGAACAAACTGAAGATTTTGAATGAATTTGACGGCACAACGACAAATGATGATTTATATAAATTTATTAAGAAACCTCGGTGTGGCAACGGAGAGATGTATAAGAAGTTAAAGAATCCGGGAGAAAAAGGAAAACGCCGCGTTCGTCGTTACGAATTAAACCCTGCTTGGTCGAAAAAGAGTCTCAAATACGCAATTAAAAAATACAGTTCTCATTCTCGTCTCACAAAACAACAGCAAGACAACATTGCCGCCCAAGCATTTCAATTGTGGAAAGATTCCGTTCCTCAGCTGAATTTTACTCCTTCAGACCCCGACGTAGCTGACATAAAAATCCGGCAAGTATTCAGTGAATTACGTTTTTCAAAAATAAAATGAATTTACAAGAAATAAATTATTTTCAGGCAATTAAATACGAAAATAGAACGTCCTTAATTGCCAGTATTTTTACCAATTAAGAATACTATAAAATAATTACCTTAATTAGATTACTTTAAAACTGAATTATTAACCCCAAGATATCAATTCAGGGAGCTTTTAAATTATAGCAGGATTAGTCGAATTATGAATAAAATAGATGAAATAAGCGTTTATTTGCAGGTTCGAAAAAGGAAATCATGACGACTGTAATCAAGACTTTGATGGCCCAGGTCGAATCCTTGCGCATGCGTACTATCCACAAAAAGGCCAAATACATTTAGACGACGATGAGCCGTTTACTGACCAACGTGGTAATGGCAAGAGTCTGTACTTGGTGTTAGTTCACGAGATTGGTCATGCCCTAGGTCTGGGCCACTCCTTTGTCCATGGAGCGATGATGCATCCTGTCTACCATGAAAACAATTCAGGAGGAATTTTGCATGAAGATGATATAAATGGAATGCGGAAGTTGTATGGTACGAACTGTAGATACCAGTCTATAAGATTTGTTTCTCGTTATTTCATTAATAAGCAATAGTCACTGTAAATGATTCGCCCTGATTATTCCTTCATTTGAAGCCATTTTATTCAGTATCAACGATTTCGGGAATTTTTTTTTCAGCCCCGGAAACTACTGCTCCGGAACCAAGTGAGTGTATCAAACTTTATAAAAGAAAAACTGCTTCAAAACTGCAACAGCCGATTGAAAAGGACTTGACTCTTAACCTGCAATCCAGCCAAGCCTACCTGTCATGATCACAACTTGAAACGCTGACGTGGCAAACTGCTGATGGCTAAAAACAGTATCAGACCAACTTAACTTCTAAGTAACTACTACCCAGGCGCCATTTCCTCCCGAATAAATAATGTTTTGTTGAAAAAAAACATCACAACAAAACTGTTAAACATTTTCTATTTCCAGACTGTGCTGATCAAGACTCCTCACTCTGCGCTCGCTACAAAGAGGCAGGTTACTGCACTGAAGACTACGAAGACGTCATGATTGAAAAGTGTCGTCGAACATGCGAACTGTGCTAAATATATAAGACAGCAAAGATTTTGTGCATTAAGATGCGATTAGATTTATGTAGTTATTTTGAAGAAAACTCAGAAGTACCTGTCGAACTCAATCCGGAGAGCATTTATTGAAAAATAATATTCTGACATATATTAAGACATATATAAACATGTAGAAAATTTTGAATTTGCTGAGTAATATATACAACGTCTTACTTACGCCTCAATGTTTCATTGTAAGATTAATTTATATTAAAAAATAGGTAAATTTATCTTTGACGTTTTTATTCGAAGTAATGACAGACGATGATGCGTAGTGCGATATCTGTGGAGACTGGGTCTCAAACATAAAACTTTTCGCGACCTGATGATCTTGCTGTAGCCTTTTTTATTCTGTGTCTTTGTTAACGAACTTTCAAATTGGTTCTTCCTTTCATTTTTTGTAACTGGTTGTTAATCTTAAGATAAACCAAAAACAAAAAGGCCATTTAAGCTTTTTTTAATTTCACTTGAAAGAATATATAAGATACTTTTCTTTACATGATCTTTTATGATTGTGTGTGCATGTCCGCTAATCATTTCGCAACCAAATCTATTCATTAGAGATCTAACCTCGACTCTATTCCAAGGTGATGAAGCGAATTTTTCAGCTTTCCTGGTCTGTAACTGAAAGTAATACTGATACCATCACAATATTAATTCATACATATAATCATATTAGGGGGGTAATCAATTACTGACTTAGGATAATTGAAAAGAGATTACAACCGCTCATATCCGCCAATATATTAGCCTATAAAAAGCCGCTTGAAAATAAACCAATTTAAAATATCAAAAAAATACTGATTGTTACTTACTTGAGTTTTAAAATATTCTTTAGAAATTCAGGACTAGCAGTATCGTTATTCAGGTACCTTGAATTTAAAATTGTGCTGCAGTAATTTGTCTAACGTTGGATCCGCGATTAGTTTGAACTAATACTCGTTGCGAGTTGCGATTTGTGCTTGTAGTTTATTGGAAAATGTCTTTCGTTTAGAACTGGCTGGCAAAAGTTGAAATGCTCGATTTGTTTCTATAAATCTTCTTTTTTCTTTTGGTTATATCGCCTCACTAAACAAATATAATTTCAAGTCCAACTTTAATGCGGCCGAGGGGAGTTTGTAGGAGGTTATATATAATGAATTCAATCTCTGTTTTTACGTAACAACCACTTTTGTTTAAGAAATATTTAATCTGCTGCAAACGAAAGTAAATATTTCTAATTTAAACGAGTTTTTATTACCCCCAATACCTACTCTATTTTTACAACCAGCTTTATGCTAGATCACCTCTTTGTAATAGCCGACAAAATTGATTTATTATCGTGGGTGATAAATTGAACATAATTTGTGAATTGCCATATTAATAGTAAACCGTCTATCTCCATGCACGCAGAAAAACCATTGGGCATAAAAACCTATGCAATAATTAGAAATAAATTGATTTCGAGCTTTTTAAACGGCACGGCAGCTTCGCAAACAACCAGACACACAAGACGACGGTCTGGTAACATTTCAAGGAAAGATTTAACTGTGAACTTCGAAGAAAAATGAAGAGATCTGGTTGTTTATACATCGCAATACTTTGCTTGTGTTTTGTATCTGTTCAAAGCAAGAGCTGGAAAAATAAAGATAAAGCAGATAAAGGAGACAATGGAAAAGGTTGGAAAGTTGGTCACTGGAAGGCGAGTACTGAATTATACACGACCTTCTAGTCGCATTTCTTTGAATGCTATTGCACTTACAAAAGAACCTGTCGGGCAGAAATGAATATTTTTCTATTACATTAAACATAGTTCGCTGTTGAATTGCATTTATTTTTTCAGAAATTCCTTAAGCAATATGGATATACGACATCGGAAAAGATTAGTCCACATGAGATCAAGAATGCCATCGTCAAATTCAGGATTTTGTATCAATTTGACAACACAGTCACAGATGATGATTTAGTGAAATTTATAACTATTAATCGTCGATGTGGCAACAAAGATAGGACAGGAAAGAAATCGAAAAAGAATAAAGGAAAACGCCGTGTTCGTCGTTATGATTTAAACCCGGCTTGGACGACAAAAAGCATCAAGTACGCGATTGAAAAATACAGCAGTTCTGGTCTCACCGTACAACAGCAAAACGATATTGCCGCTGAAGCATTTCAATTGTGGGAAGATTCTGTTCCTCAGCTGGATTTTACTCAGTCCTCAGAGTCTGAAGCTCACATCAAAATTCGGTGAGAATTTATATCACGTCTTCAATTATCTAAAAAAATATACCTTGGCGGGAATTCAATTACTTAAAATTGAAGTACAATCCCCAGAAAAATTATATTAGGAAGCTTTGGCGTTAACTACGACATAATACGTTTTTTCCCAGCAAATTCCCTCACAGAGTAAGTAAAAGATATCTATTACTCTGTGATCGATGCTGTTTGCTTGCGTCATCTGATGAAACCGTGTTGGACTTTTGATAGTCTAGGAAAGATAATGAAGAATATCAAAGGATAAATAAGGCGAGAATGCGCGGGAATGACAAATGACATTGAGTTGGGTTGTGAGTAGAGTGGATCGTATAATTTTATTTCTAGATTCGAAAAAGGAAGCCATGGCTGTGCCCAGGATTTTGATGGCAAGGACGGGATCATTGCACACGCGTACCTTCCAGAAGATGGCCGAATACATTTAGACGATGCTGAGCCGTTTACTGTCCAAAGTGACAAAGACGTGAGCCTGAAATTGGTGTTAGTTCATGAGATTGGTCATGCCCTAGGCCTGGGCCACTCCTTTGTTAAAGGAGCGATGATGCATCCTGTCTACCGTGAAAACACTTCTGAAGGAACTTTGCATGAAGATGATATAAATGGAATGCGAATGTTGTATGGTACGAACTATAGATCAGTGTATAAGATTCGTTTCTCGTTTTATGATTAATCACCCGAATAATCACTGTCAGTGATTCGTCCTGATTATCCCTACATTAAAAACAACTTTATTCGTCAAAGATAACTGACCACGGGCGGGAATTAATGTGTACTTTTATTTTTCTAGCTCCGGAAACTGCTGCGGATCCAAGTGAGTTATATCATACTTTGTTTTTTTTGCTGTAAAAATTTCACCAGTACCGGAAACTTCACCAGTAAACTGCAACAAAGCCGCCTGCCCACCTGCATGTCTGCCTAGCTGCATGTCTGCCCACCTGCATGTCTGCCTACCTGCATGTCTGCCTACCTGCATGTCTGCCCACCTGCATTTCTGCCTACCTGCATGTCTGCCTACCTGCATGTCTGCCTACCTGCATTTCTGCCTACCTGCATGTCTGCCTACCTGCCTACCTGCATGTCTGCCCACCTGCATGTCTGCCTACCTGCATGTCTGCCTACCTGCCCACCTGCATGTCTGCCTACCTGCCCACCTGCATGCCTGCCTACCTGCATGTCTGCCTACCTGCCTACCTGCGCACAAGGGCACACATCCTAGTAACTCCCCCTTTTTCCCAAGTTATAACCGGTTAAAATCTGAACAAATCTCCAACAAAACTGTATTAAATATCTTTCAATTGCAGACTGCGTTGATCAGGACCCGTCACTCTGTGCTTTCTATAAAAACCAAGGTTACTGCGTACCAGACTTCGCAGACGTCATGATTGAAACCTGTCCTTACACATGCAATCTATGTCAGTAATGTTTCATACAGCAATGCATAGCAAGAGATTTTAAATACGTATATTTAGATCTAGTAAGTACATTGCATAATAATAATATACATGCATAAACACGAACGTGTACAAAATGTAATTTAGTGGTATACAGAAAATGTCTTAGTTTGCCTCATTATTTTCAATGTAAAATTAGTTCAAATAATAAAAATGGTGAAATTTAACTTCGAGTTGAAGTAAGTTCTTAAACTATTATTAAAATTATTGAATCAACATTGTTTCAGCTTTCTAGATCTATAACTGAATACGTGTGTGCGTTCAGGCAATAGATTCAAATGCAAAATACTATTTGCCAACTTTTAGTTTAATTAAAATATGAAATAAATGATTATTACAATAATTAAAATGTCTTCCTATCCAGACATTCAATCCGGTAAAACATATATTGAAGCCTTTGAAAAGGTTTAGAGTTTAAAGTAAAGTTAAGCGGAAAAATTAAAAAACAAAAATTTTAAAAAAATTATGAAGTAAAGTATAATTATCCCAAGAAAGATGGAACTGTCCTCTAAATTACGGGTAAATTTTAACATAACTTGTGTCTTCGACTCTTGGGGCAACCAAAATAATTGTTATACATTATACGTGTTAAATGTTTAATCAGTTTTAACAGTTGTGTAAACTCGCAAGGGTAACTGAGGCTTTGTGCTAAGTACAGAACATATGCAACAAAGTTTGCATCAAAATAATATTCATGAAACCCGTGCAGCTTTCTAAATAAGCAGGACGAATTCGAGTGAGTTCAGGTGGGCAACTGTTTACATCATTTGAACAAATGCTGGATTATAAAAGAACTTTAAGAGGTGATGTTTTCCACTTTGCTGCTGCCGCCGATCATTTGAAAAGAAACCATGTTGAAAATTGTTGGTGTCGTTTTGTTCTTTGCAGTATTCTGCTGGGCCGAAGATACTGAACAACCTTCGGAAGGAGGTGTGAATTTACATGGGATGCTTTTACTTTCTGGACCTTTTAACAAAAACCGTCTATAGTCTAGAATTCGATATAGAATCCCCTAAACTTCACTTTGTAGTGGTGCATTGAATTTTAAACGTTTTCTTGTATTTTACAGAGTTCAATGGCGAGCTTTTTGAAGGAGATCTCATTCTTCCGCCAAGCTTATCAAGAGCGGGAAGAAAGACGAACAGATGGCCCGGGGGAATCTTTTACTACACATTGACAAGCGGAATTAGTACGTAGCAATGTTGCAAGGATGATAATTTGAATTTGATTTGAGCTGATCTTCAACCATCAATTCTTACATTCTCCTTAAAGCTTCTCAGTCAAAAGCAATGACTGCCTTCCGTGCTGCCGTGAGTGAGTGGGAATCAAAGACCTGTATCCGTTTCAAACAACGAACCAGAGAACCGGCATATGTGGAATTTGTCACTGGACGCGGAGGGTAAGGTTTCTTTTATCTTTAGTAGGAGAATTATAATACTAACTCTTCATTTTGTTCTTTCTGCAAAACATAACTGAACGTCTGTAGTCTGGATTAACTAAAATATTACATTATAATTGTATCAAAGCGATTTTTGGAGTGGGATGGAGGAAGATGGCCCATTCCTCCAAATACTCAGTCCTGTCCGTGAGTTTTTAAATATAGCGGTAAACTTACATGCAGTGATTCCCTCACAGATGCTGGTCGAATGGTATTGGAAGGAATGGTAATCAAAAACAGACAATTAACTTGGACCCCGGATGCTGGGGAAAAGGAACAGTCGTGCATGAAATCGGTTAGATCTTCAAATTCACTAATTGTAGACCATAAATTAATGTAGCAACTGTTTAGGCAACAAGATTGTTATGATTTGGAATATTTTCTTATCCTTACTATCATCTTTAGCATCAGCACTATATAGCATTATCAAAAAGCAAACACCATGCATAGACTTAGTATGATCTACCACAAAACTCGCGACAGCTGACGTTATATGTTATTTCTACTTCCTAGGTCATGCCTTGGGTTTCTGGCACGAGCAATCCAGACCTGACAGAGATGATTTTATCGAAATCCTTTGGAACAATATTAAACAAGGTAAAGTAGTTTACTAAATTTAGGTGTTTATATCACGACGGGTATTAAATACTAATCACCGAGACACTTTTCCTTTCGACAGGCATGGATAGTCAATTTCGTAAAGTTCCTCACCATAATGTTGACAACCAGGGTTCCCGCTATGATTTTGCCAGCGTTATGCATTATCCCAAATGGGCGTTCCAGAAGTCTCGTGGACTAGATACGATCAGACCAAGACCAAAATATGCAGGCCAAGTGAGTAGTGAAAAGACATATTACGCAAGCCTCTCCTGGAGCTATCCCTTTACTATATATAGAACAGTGGCTAATACTGCATGGAAATAATCACTGGAAACAAATCAGACAAACGTAACTGGAAACGAATATGACTCACGAGTGTCACGTATTCTTTTGGCTGAACAACTATTGGGTCTATATAGCTTGACTGGATGTGTTATCCAGATTTATCGTAGCGTGGAGCTTCCCTACTGATACAAAAATAATAGTATAGACTTCAAAATTAAAAAGGGCTGACGTGGTATTTTTTGTTCTTCTAAGACCTTTGGGCAGAGGAATGGGCTGAGTACGGAGGATGCAAATCAAATGAATAAAATGTATGCCAAGGAATGTCGCGCAAATCCAGGTGATTGTCATTGTAAACTTTATTTAAAAAACTATGGATTTACTTTACTGATAGCTCAGTGACCTTCTATATTCCACATGATGCATGCAAGGAATATGTCGAACCTGGTCGAACAAACAAACCAACATTCTGTGATTGGACGTTTTCTGTTCATTCCAAACTGGCCATGTAAATCTCCGAGCCAGCCAGGGACCCCTTATTTCTTCTAGTGAGATGCTCTAGTTTTGTATAGTACATGCAGCAATGGCCTTGCCTTCGGCTCAGTTCAGTTACTGACATAAATGTATGACGACGTATATTAGAATACCTGATAACACCCTACCCACCCTCGCACATATGACTGAATAATATGTATGTAGTAACAACGGTGATAATCATGAAAGAACCAGTATTCGTCAACCAAGTAATAAATCATCTTACGTTCGCTTTTAGCGACCCCTCGACCAACAAGTGGTGGTGGTAAGTCTGAAATGTTTTCCTTCAAGTTTCAGAATGCATCGTGGCTTGGTTCGTTTTCTACGGATCGATCAGATATAACACCTCTTTACTGAAGAGTTTGGAGTTTTCTAGAATTAATAGATCAACGTGATATTTTTTTGAAACACTTAATTCGATGACCAATTATTCTATTTCTTAGGATCATCGTGTAAAGACAACAACACAAATTGTCCACGCTGGACAAGTTATTGTGCAAATAACGACTATGTCAAGAGAAACTGCAAGAAGACTTGCAATTTATGCGGTATGCAAGCTTGCTCATCATAGTGATGATATACGTGAAACTAGAAAACAACTTTTGACTCAGAACTTTCTCAGTTTAACAGTTGGTATTTTCGAGTATTTTCTATTCTTATTTATGATATTCTTGCATTTCATTTTTACATTTTCTATCTTTAACTTTAACAATTTTTACATGACCAAATTAAATGGCGTGATGTAACTTTAAGAATACGATTTTATTTACGTAAAGCGCTGTGCAGTCTTTTAGTAAAGGTCATTTATATTTTTACAGGATCGTCGTCGTGTCAGGACAAAAACACAAGTTGCCCGAAGTGGACAAGATTATGCAAGAGCCACCAATATGTCATTAAAAATTGCTTGAAGACTTGTGGAAGATGTTAGACTTAACAGAAGATGATCTTTATCAGAAAAATAAGCTTGACAGTTGTTACATTATAAAGCATTTAAATGATTTAATGAAATAAACGCATTACTGAAATCTCAAGCCGTTTTGCTCATTACTCTAATAAAAAATACTATACAAGGAAAGTACAAGCACACTATTCAAGGAAAGCTGCAAGGAAAGTTGCATTGTTTTGTTAGATCCAATTCACTTCTGACGGATGTTTTATAGTCTGTTGACTTGCAATGTATGTGGGCAGCAAATTAACCTGAACAAATGCAGTACTGCTTTATTAATAAATGACTTCATTCCATCCATCAGAAGTGAATTGGATCCAACAAAATTGGCAACCTCGTACCCAGGGTCTTTTCTCCCCACGAGTAAAGACCCTGGGTACGAGGTTGCAAAATTGGATCGTGTGAACAGACCTTTAGAGTCATATAATTATGAAGTATTGGCGTATACGTAAGAGTGATATATGAAGTATTTCAAAAATAATCACAAAAGGCGCTGGCCAGCAGGCTATTGATGACACTTCCGCTTGGCCATGGCGCTTTCATTTTAGTGTTGTGCATAGATTTCATGAAATACAATTGAAAAGAAAGAATGTTTTATCGTTTCTGTTGACATTTTTACTTCATTTAAACCGAAAGTACAATGAGAGAGATACATAGGCAACTACTGATTGGAAATAGGACTAAAATCGTCGATGATCTGCTTGTGGAGGATGTTTTGATCGAGTTGCGAAGCAAGTTCATTCTTGACCAGGAAGACTGTGAATTGATAAAATCAGAAAAAACCAATCGACAGAAAGCCGGAAAACTCTTAGATTTGTTGCCCGCTAAGGGATTTGGAGCATTCGAAGCTTTCTATGAGAGTCTGTTCGATAAATACCCGCACCTAGCCAGTTTACTTAAGAGCGGAATTGGTAACGAAGGAATCCCGGAGGACCATGATAGTCCTTTCGTCGTAAACAATAATGTACCAAGTGAAGGTAGGTAATCTTGTGTTCATATCCTCTATATCAAGCCTTGTTTCTATATTGTTGTAAATGTGCTGTAATGATTAATGATTGGTTTCACCCAATCTATGGATTCATTGATTTTTAACAGAAGCTCTTTCCCAACCTATTTGAATTATCACTTTGTAAACTGCTTAAGCTCACCTGAGCTGTCTAACATGTAAGGACATGTGTAACTTAGGCAAATAATTTGTGTATATCAATGACAATTGTAATATTCTTTTTAATTACTTAGGTCCAATGACTGAAGACCACAAAGCCTTGCTTGAATCCAACAGAGTTGCCATTGTTGAAGATCTTCTTGTGGATGACGTTTTGAGCCAGCTTCTTTCACAATTTGTCTTTGATGATGACGATGTTGAGCTAATTCGATTTGAGAAAACAGCAAAACGACGAGCAGATAAGCTCTTAGATATATTAGTAAAGAGAGGAGATAGCGCATTTCAGCATTTTTTGTCAGCTCTGAAAGATCCTTATCCTCACCTAGCAGAATTACTGCTAGCGGAAAATCAGCAAGAAAGATCAAGGTTTCCTTCTGTTAATGCTGATGCCCAAGCAATTGGTATGGCAAGACTTTTATAAACTAGTGAATATGAATCCCAGTCTAAGACAATATTTAAGGCAGTTTTTATACCACATTTGATGCGAGAGTGTTAAAAGATGCTGCCATGCTGTTCCTAGGTTGTACTGAAGATTTGAAATGTGTTTTATATTTTCTAGTGGAATCAAAACTTTTAGCAGGAGGTGTCCCACAGCAACCACAAGTGTTCACCGAACGAAGACGGGAAAGAAATAACTTGCGCACAGCGTTACGCTCTTTGAAAAACCGAGATGCATGGGTAGTGCTTCATGGCATGGCGGGATGTGGCAAGACCGTCCTTGCAGCTGATGCACTAAGAGATGCCTTGCTGTTAGATACGATTTTCCCTGGGGGAGTGGTGTGGGCAGAAGTAGGACGTGTAGATCGTCAAAGGTTATTGATGAAAATGCAAAATCTCTGCATGCGACTTGATAAGGACAAACACAGCCCTAAACCACAAAATCTTGAAGAAGCTCGTGAGCGTCTTCGGAGTCTATTTTCAGAGCAGCACCCACGTGCGCTGTTGGTTCTGGATAACCTCTGGAGCGCTCACGATGCACGTTTGTTTGACATCCGGGCACGAGTGTTGGTCACCACTCGCGATGTCAGCATTGCAGATTGCATTGAAGTCACAAGATGTCCTGTGCGTGTACCTGATAAGTTCAGCTCCGAGCAATGCATGGATATTTTCTCCAAATGGACCAACAAGCACGTGACAGCATTACCATTGGAAGCGGATAAGATCATCGCGGAGTGCAACGGCCACCCATTGATGATTAGCATAATTGGCGCGCTTCTACGGGATCACCCGAGTCGATGGGTTTATTATTTCACGCAACTGCGCAAACACAAGCTGGACAAGTTTAAGGCGACGACATACCAATATGCAAACCCAAGTGAAGCTATTGCAATAAGCATTGATAACCTCGACAAGGAAATACGGAAGATGTTTTATGATTTTGTCATATTTGACTCCTCCATTAAAGTTCCTATCTCCGTGTTTTGCTTGCTTTGGAGTGAAAAAGATGTGCGTTGTTGAGTTCAGATTCATCTAGTTTGATTATATACTGATAATGCTTGATTTACTGCCCCTGCTGACTGACAGCACATTCAGAATTCGGATTAATTAATAAGCGTCTTTGATAAAGCGCTGATACTAATACAGCGCCTCTCTTCTAAATCGAGCATTTTTGGCTGCTCTATTTTACCCTATGAGATTATAGTAATTCGATTATTTTGATGCTCTTATATCTTGTGATAATACAGTACATCTTTTTGATACAGGAAGTGGAAGTGGAGGACATCCTGGCTGACTTGGTCAAAAAATCTTTGGTGAACACAACACAAGGTTCAGATCCTAATGGCGAGAGCGCTGGCTTTGGCATACCCAATATTCAATTCGCTTACATGTTGGAAAACTGTGATGATATTGAGGCTCGTCACAGGCGATTGGTTGAATGCTACGAGGCGAAATGCAAAGGTGAATAATGGTTTATTCATTGATGTTTTTCATGAAAAACAACAGATGATCAGTCAAAGAGCGCCTTTATTACCAAGTATTGTTAATATCGCCGGCATTCATTACGAGTGAAAGGGTCTTACATTTTTTAGATAAAGTTGCAAAAGCATTGCACCGGCATCGCAGAAGCGTAGGTTCAATTCCAGCCGGAAGACCTATAGTTGACTCATTTTTCCTTCAACTGTCCCTGGCTTGAATTTGAAGTGTGTATAATTTCACTCGAAATTAAGACCCTTTAAAACCTCTATCTTTTAGTTAATATTAGCCATAAAATCCAATTAATTTTTAGGTAATTTTGCAAGCCTAGCGGACGACGGGTACATCTACTGGAATCTCGTTCATCACATGTTAGAGGCAAAACTGGAAGGGAAAGCAATACAACTACTCACAAATCTAGCTTGGGTTATAAGAAAACTTCAAGTCACTGGACCAGCAGATATTATTGATGATTACATAAAAGTTCATAAACTTATCCAGGAAGAAGAGGTAACGAGGAATGATTATCATTAATAGTCCCAAATGAACTATTTTCATACTAAATAATCTCTTTTCTACCTCGATTTTTTCCTCTTAAAAACGTTTAATCTTTTAGAGACAATCTAAAGTGTGTCATAATTTTACTACAACACATACAGAACCATAAACTAAACTTGGCAAATTCCTTTGCAGAAGGACGAATTCAAGAATCTGAATGATTTTTATAATTTTGTACGAACCAACGCGCACATTTTTGCAAGTCGCCCGATGCCTGATGTCGTTCAAACAGCCCTGAATGAATCCACGAATAATGATGTTTACAAGCAAGCGAAAGAAGAAGCTCTGAAACGATCGAAGAAAGGAAAACTTTACTTGGATTGGTGGTAGGTCATTCATGTGCATATAACAGAGAAAATATTACATTGAGATTATAGTTTATGATGGTAACTGTAATGAGAACTGTAAATCTTTTAGCAACAAAGAGAGTTTAAACGCTCAGTCTTTTGAAACTTTCGAAACGACATTTAAACCTCACGGAAGTGGGACCATTCACTGTTGTGTTTTTTCTTCGGATGGCAAAACTATCCTCTCTTCATCCTCAGATGGAACAGCAAAGGTAACTTTTTCTTTTTGCCAGTTTAAAACGATCAGGGGCCGGTTGTATAAAGCCCGTTTAGCTTAAACGGTGGTTAAGTTCCAAATAGAAAGCAAGTTCATCGTTTTGTTCAACAAGCAAACTAAATGTTTTTAACCTTAATACAAAGATACTGTTTAAAACTACATATTCAGTGCATAATATTCAAGTTGACTCATTCAAAAGAGATGTAAGAGTGTTATTTAATTTTGACTTATCCACCGTTTAAGCTAAACGCCTTTCGAACAACCGGCCCCAGATCTTCTTCATATAATACCCTATATGTCCAACAAGTCAACAACACGAGTAAATTGCACCGTCGTGTAGGTTTGGGATGCGATGTCTGGAAAATTACATCATTGTCTGGGTGGTCACGATGATGTGGTCATTTGTTGTGCTTTTAATAACGACAACACTAAAGTCTTAACGGTATCCCATGACAGATCTGTTAAGGTATGACTACATCATGAATACTTTCTTGAATATCATCCATTTTTATATGTTTATGCTCATGGTTTCTGTTTTCATGATCATTATAATTTATACGTTTATGTTCACTGAATATAATTTACTCGCTTCCTTAGATATGGCGGCTTTCTGGTGCCCAGAACGAGCTGAAACTCACGTACAAAGATCACAAACAGGACATACACTGCGCTGCATTTTCACCAGTGGGAAAGGAGGTCATTTCCTGCTCATCTGACGGCGCAATTCGGGTAGGTTTTCCCCTTGACTAAATTAGACATAACCTAACATTATTGTTGACTGATCGATTTCAAATACAGTAATTAAGTAAGACAGTTTACAGCATAAAATTCTCATATTTTATATATCAGGTTTGGGACTGTGAGACAGGAGTCACCAATGCTGTATGCATGGGTCATTTGGGTGTTGTACGATGGTGTTGTTTTTCTTCTGATGGTGAAAAAATTGCGTCAGGCTCTGATGACCAAACCGTCAAGGTTAGTATTGTTATATAATTGATTATGATTACTGATTATGCTCTACGTACGTTATCATCAATATTATACCCACTGTCACCTCATTTCACGACCATCGTAAATTTCAAGTCTGGATTGTTTGTACTCCTTTTCAAATGCATGAGAGCATTTTCTCACGACGATAACATAACCTATATGCACTGTCTTGTATCTAGATTTGGGAAGCTACCACACGCGTCTGTTTGATTACCACTGACAAACATAATGATTTCGTGTCTTACTGCTGCTTCAGTCGTGACAATAGTTTGGTTTATGCTAGTTCATCATCGTATATTTGGGTAGGTATACCTCCAGCATGAGCACTTCCAGAGGGCACCATGGAAGTGCTTACTCAATATTTTTTCATTCCAATTTCATTTAACTGTTGGTCTATGATAGTCGTCGATAATCCGTAATTACGTATATTGTTAGATATGGGATAGCACATCTGGGGAAAAAACAGGATGCATTGATATTAAAGGCCATGTCTTGGCGTTTGCATTATCACCCGCTGGAGACAAGTTAGCCGTAGCTTTATCAGATGCGGTTGTTCAGGTATTTTTATAATCATTCGGATATTCGTTCTGGCTAAAGTGTAGTTATACAAAAATCTTGTACGTCCACTCTTAAAGTGTCTTTCGTGAAGCATTCATTTCACAACAGATACTGGTATAACGAGAAATGGTAAATGGAGAATCTCTTTAGTACAGTCTTTTGCTCCTAAACTTGACCTCCTTTGTGTTCTATTTTAAAGCTTTGGGACATTGACACCAAGAAACAGTTAAACGTTTATAGTGGCCATAAAAACTGGGTTCATTCTGTTGATTTTTCTCTTGACGGTACTCAACTGGTTAGCGGTTCTGCCGATGAAACCGTCAAGGTTTGTTTTTTAAGTTGTATACCAGAGTATGCTTACATTTTGTTTGTAGAATGATAGCTAAATGTTGAATAATGGTCTTCGATAATTTCAGGTTTGGCCAGTTGACACGACCGCCTTTGCAAAAAAAGTTCGACTGAAGAAAGTATTTGATGTGTTCTTTAAAGACGATCAAATACTTATTGCAATCGCAGATAATCAAAACACAGTCAGGGTAATAACAAGGTTCATTATGTGTCAGTTTGAATATTAAAGTCTCTACAATATGCTAATTTATCTAATGTTCTATTTTCAGATTTTCACGGGATTACATGGAAAGGAATCGTGCTCTAGTGAGGCGTTCGACGCCATTATCACTTGTCTGGTATTTTTACTGGATGGAAACCGAGTTGCAATTGGTTTAGAGTTCGGAAAAATTGTGGTAGAGCATTTTGATACTTTTTTAGTAGGATTTCATATGTACGACAGTCATAAACCTCAGTCGCAGAACTCGCTAATGATTCTTTCACAAATACGCTATTTTAGCCGTCAATGGTTTTTTCATTGGGAACTTAGTTTGTTGCTGGTAGATTTATTCCCTTACACTTCATTTTCTAATTCACATGCAGATCCTAGACGTAGAGAGTGGCAGATCATTGCGTACACTCTCTGGACATAGTGGAAGAGTGTATTCATTAACCAAAAACAATTCCGGTTCCATATTACTGTCTTGCTCTGAAGACAAGACATTCATGGTAGGAGCAACTTTTCAAGCCTTGAAAGTTTCTTTTAGATTTCTTCTTTGTAGCATTCATGAGTTTAGGAATACGAGATAGGCTTTAACGTGTCTTTCATTACGTAATTTAGACGTGGGATGCCGAGTCAGGAGAAGCATTGTTGAGTAAAGAACAGAGACATGAAGAGGATGTGACTTTGGCTTCGTTCATTGATCAAGATAGACGTATTGTAACTGCTTCCAAAGATGGTACAGTTCAGGTGGGAGCTAGGAAATGCTTAAGATCTACTTAACCTATAAGATTTTGAAGGGATTAAGGTTTCCACATTTTCCTCTATATTTCAAAAATACATATATCAATATTGTGTTTGTGTGTTCTAGGTGTGGGACAGTGCGCTCGGAAGTCGTCTGTTTACATGTGTTCATGAAAGCAGATCTTGGGTACTGGCGTGTGTAGTATCACCGGATGATACGAAAATTGTGACTAGCTCTGTTAATTCTGTTGTCAAGGTACACTAGAGTTGGATTTGTTTTCTTTCATTCTATCTATAGTTGGGGGTTTAACCACTACTGTCTTTCAATATCCACCCAGGCTTGGGATGCTTCAACTGGTCGAGAACTATTCACGTTATCTCCCGACAGAGATGTGTTAAGATCTTTGGCTGTCAGCGATGATAATAAAATATTTGCAAGTGGAAGTGATGATGGAACAGTTGAGGTCCGTACTACATCTATAATTTATTAATTTAACATGTTTCTTGAAGAATACCCTCAAATTATCTCAGAATTTATTACAAAAAGAAAACGTGCCGATTATTTTATGTGTATTTTTCTTTTTAAAGATTTCCAGTCTTGTCGATGGACATAAATTAGCCTCGTGTACATCTCACAAAGGGGCTTGGGTGACCGATATCGTTTTTGGAAAGAATAGTAATCAGTTGGTCACAGTTGGTAATAATGTACAGGTGAGTGTGTTACACTATACATATATCTTGAACAACATGCATGTGAATAAATATTATATTCATTCTATCGATATTGTTCACATCCGATAGAAGGCAATCCTTTGTCATTGATGAATATTGATTAATTTTTTATACAATGAAATACTCAGAAAGTTTTAAAAAAGAGAAACGATAAAAGAGTTTGTTGATCTTGTTTCAGTGGCATCAGAGAGATGGAAAGTTGCTTCAACAATTCTTCATCAAAGGCAGCCACTTACGTCGTATAAAATGTTCTCCGGATTTTAAAACATTTATTACCGTCGACAACGTGGGAGTTTTATACATACTAAAAGTCATCGCTTAAAAGTATAACCAAATCAATTTGAATCTTTATAATTAATGAGCACAAAATGCCTGCAAATGATATCTGGTGCTATAGATAGGTTAGCTAGTTTTTTAATAATTCAATAGATCACACCGATTCAGGTCTTTAAGTTCAATGTTTTATCTTCATTTATAACCCAAACATCACTAATCAATTTAAACACCTACTAATTACCAACGAACTATAATCCTGGATATAACCAGGCTATGGATAATTACTATCCAGCTATTATTAGTGTAGGGAATTAATTGGTGACTATTTTTTAAGATTAATTCCACAATCCCTTTTTTGAATGATGAAAATGATAGAAATTACGCACGCGAAACCGCTGTACTGCAAGACCAGATGTGAGGACGCGGTCCAGTAGTTCCCAATCTTCCCCGCCCCAGCCTTTTTTGTACTTCTTTGTACGTAATTTACCTAGTTTATCCCAATCAGATTTGTAGATTCCTGTAGAATTGAATAAAATAGATGTATATCTTGCAATATTTCCTTGTTGTTAGTATCTGAATTAGCCACGTTTCAACAGATACTTACCCATGATTCCATATCCAAATGTCTCCCAGAATCCTCTGGGTGGGTTTTTCGATGAAGCAGGACTGCCACAGTGCGATAAACGAAAGAGAACTGGGTTGAATACCATCTGACCTTGTATCGTATACTAAATATTAGAAACACTCTGTTTAAGATTCACCATGTTTGCTAATCGTAGCGAACGGTCATCTATCATATTTTCTTCTCTTTCACTTTATCACTCTCTCGTTTTCCTATTCGTTTCTCTCATCTATTCTACCACATGTCTGCAAACCTTCCTTTCTCATGAAGTGATTTTTTCCAATGCAATATTCTGATCATAGTTTTTCAATATTGCTCTTCTATTTTTGCTCTGTGCTCTCAGAACTGAGACGTCTTACCTTTCTCACAAGTTGGATGATTGTATCAGGAATAATTATATGAAGGTCCATTAGAAAGATGATGCTGTTTTTATCTTTGATCTTTTTTGTTGCTAAACGTATAGCCTTTCGTTTATCAAACGCACCACGGTGACGTACTGTACGAATGCTCGGTAATCGACTTCTGAATGAAGTTACATGAATTTTGGTTAGCTTAGGGCTATGACACTGACCTGTATATATATTAGTACTATATAATAAAGAAGGTACGTGTCTTAAATTGAGTGAATTAATAAATTTGGATTACAAAATCCAATGTTACCTTTTATATTCTTCCATAAGTTCTTCATCATCATGGCCATATTTCGCAATAATTACATTAATGTGCTTATCATTTGTCTTTACGTATATTCTCTCCATGTTGACGAGAAAGTGACGTAACCATCTTGTCTGTCGCTTGGCAACCACGATGATGTTAACGGTCACGTCACGACCTACTATGTATCCAGGCGGTTGGCATATCGTAGAAAGAGACTTGTCAAGGTAAAAGTATTGTGAGTCATAATATGTTGAATTTGTACCAGGACCTTTTATGATAGCATCCATTAATATCAACGAGCCGTTTCTTCTGTCGCGTTTCTCTTTGATGCTAACCAAACGATGCATCTTCAAGTCACCTTTGGTTCTAAGAAAACATCGATCTTTCAGATCATATGAGTATAGATCATATACTTATTACACATGTAAACATTACCTGATATTAGAGTCACGTAGTGCTTCACTGTAGTAAGTAAGAACCTTTGAGACAGTTTCATGTGACATCACTCTATTTCCTTGACAATCCACTGGATAACGATTCCCAATGCACATCATGTGTCCCGTTGTATCCCCTGGGAACACCGAAGAGAAGGACGTCTTCCACACGCCAGCGTGTTTGGATAACGTTTTGTTTCTCACAAACAAAGGCTTTTGGGAGCATTCCTTGAACGATAAACCGCTCTTGTTGTTTTTAAAGAAGAGATGGTCATCTTTGAAACTCATGTTAACAACAATTTGATTTCCTTGGCCATCCAAAAACGTGTAATTCGTCGTGAGATCAGTTTTCCCGCCAAGAATGGTAAAGTCATCGTCATCCTCACCACGTTCTTCAATGGACTCCAAATATGACGACAGCTTGACACTAGGCGAGTATGCATGGAGTTGAAGTACGCTGGTCATTGATTCAGGCTTCTTCTGAAATCCCATGAAGAATTCCTGTGTCATAGGTATAAACGTGTTTTTACTTGGTAGCTTCCACGATATCTCAAACGGTCGTTTCATATAACGATAAACTGTTAGTAAGAAATCCATGAAATATGCTCGACCAACCTCCAGTCGTACTTTGAAATATGGAGACCTGCTGTCTGAGTTGTTAGCTTTCATATCATGCCCCACTGGGATACCGCTGACAATTTTCTTTTTCAGTCTGGTGTAAAGCGGATATTCATTATCACTTAACCAAAATTCACACGTAGATAAACATTTTATGTAAATAGCGTAGCTCCCGCTCTCTGGCGGCATCAGCAGTCCTGTTATTCGTTGCCCGTACATTTTGCCGCTGTCTGAGAACTTCAATCTCCGTATGAACTTCTTCTTGCTTGGCAGGAGCGGAAAGAGCGGAAACTTTCGTAAACAGTTGATTGTCTGACAACATAAATGTTCCCACTTCATTGAGAGCAATCTTCCTGAGTAACGATGAACAAACTTCCGACGAGGTTGTTGTGGTGGCATAAACATGGGCCAAAGGTAAAAACTGTGTATCGGTTTTGGTAAAGTTGGCGGTCTCTTTGTCCGATGTTTCAACAAATCATTCTTCGTTTTTTTCCCTAAATATTTCTCGTTCTTAGACGACTTTCCACCAAGATTCTTTTTCGCATCAAAATATCCATTTTCTTTAATTTGCGAGCGAGCAATTCTTGTGGAAGTCGATGTTATCACCATTCGTCTCCACTGATCGTTGTTTCCAAGAAGTTTGTTGCCATGGAAAGCAAACCAGAGCGGAATAAGGACTCCATATACTGCAAACACGAATATGACCAGCGCTTTAAAATGAGACAATTCTGTCGATTTCACGCGGAATTTCGTGGGAGGTCTCATGTTTTGATAAATCTGATGAAGTACAAAGAATATGTTGCAATGGATATAACTGTAAACTGTAAATTGGCCATATTGACTGTACTGTTAACTCGCTATGGAGATGGATCATCGTCAGAGCACATCAATCTATCATCGACAATGGATAAATGTAGCTGTAGGATATATAATTTTGGGCTGTAAGAGTGTATATACACATTGCTATCTACCTGATAATAATCCATAATAAGTACAAGAATAAAAAATTACGTATAGGCCATATATCTGTTCCTTTAGTGCTATAGAAATATGACACAGTGATACCTACCGTTCGTCAGAGTTTCTCGCCATGATTTCTATTCATTATATTTCCATTCAATGCCATTAATTTAAAGTAGAGTAAATAGATGTTAAAAATCGGTTGCAATCGTCAACGTGCAAGTAACGGGTATTTTGCAATAGGACAATGAAACCCGTAGTGAAGCGCATTTCAAAACAAATTCATTTGTTATTGGCACAAAAAAAGTAAAATCAAAACATTTTGTTTTGCCTTTTTTTTATCGCAGGTACACAAAAGCATATGTACTAATTTAGAGGGTGAATTCACTTTTCCCATAATCCAGGTCTCGAGGGGGTGGTGGCTAGTCCAGCAGTAGCCAATCAAAACGATGCTCAAAGGCTCTTAACGAGGGCGTGATATGCAAATGTTCGGCGAAGTCAAAAATTCAACTTTGGGCCACAAACTTCTGGATGAAGTAATCAGTATATTGAAAACACTATGAAACCTTGCTTTAGAGCACAAAATTGAGTAAATTTGCCAGGAATGCGTTAGTTCTCTTGTTTTAACCTGTTTGAATCGAAATTGTTCAATCAACAACTTCAAAATAATCGATTTGCGACAGCATTCAGTAAATCGCCCACCAGATGACGCCACGAGGAACTACAACAAGGTGAGTCGTATTACATAATTACCCGTTATATATCAGTCTTATTTCTTATATTCGATCATGTACCACGCTTTTTAAAGAACGTTATGTCGTGGCTGTTTCTGCCTTCTAGTCTTTGCAGAAGATTTAGTTTAAATACGTCGAAAATCAGTCGGTTTTATGACAAGATTGGTTTTATGAGTGTTCGAATTTATTCATGCATTTCATGGATGAATAAATCAACTAATATTTCAAAACATTTCGGCAAGCATTGGAGAGAATCTTTTTAACATTTAAATCCATCTATCCCTGGCAGCGGGAGTTTAACGCACAAAATATTTCGTGGTGAAATTGCACTGATCATCTCTTAAGGAGTGGCAGTGTTTGGTCTACTTCAGAATCATACTCGTAGAGATGAATTATAAGATTCATAATGATCTGGTACTTGCAGACAGCAGCGAATTTGTTATCTTAACCATACTACCACTCCACCCTCGATGATTAAATCGTTGGTGTAGCGTAGGAGCCTCGCTCTCGTGAATCGTGAACCAATAGCCTTGTATATTTGCGGTTGTAATATTTTGCGATAAATATGCGAGCTTAGCTCGTACCCAGGGTCTTCAACACCAGCAGCGCTGCGAACTCTCAACTCTCAAAGCCACTTACAAGACATTCGAATTTAATAAAATTTACACAATTTTGACGATCGTTTAAGGATTTAAATCAAAATCGCCTTGAGGATAGGGTATTTCTACCTTAATCTGTGATTATATGTTGAATATAATGCGTGAAATATCTCAACGAGGTGGAAAATATTAAGTTGTTTATCGTGAACAGCAGCATATCATGAACAAAAAGGAGTACAGAAGAAATTACTCGTGGAGTTGGAAGAGATATATTTTACCATTACACAAGACTTTACAGCGTGTTGTTTTCGCCTTCTTTATGCTCAGTGTGATGTTCGTTTTTTACTATCTGTACAAGAACCATGAACTGGCCTGGCAATCTATGAAGAATCGTATTGTTATAACAGGAGGACTTTATCAGAATTTTCAAAATACGAGTCGTGCAGTTCGGCAATGATAGAATTTTGTATTGATTTGGTTTCCATGTGGTGTATTGATCTATGAATGTTAATTTATGGCTCTTGTAGCCATATATGCAAAGTATTGTATTAAGTATTATGTCATAATTCAATTCCATTTAGTATCCATAATTTGCTTATCAGATTACCACTGGCATTATAAAAACAGGCTTGGCCTGTGTTATTTTGACTTGCTATGGTTAACCTCTGCTTCGGCTCCTATTGCATCACAGAGTGAGAAGACTTTACCAATATTTAGAGTCTTGTTTAGTCTGTTTTGCGACATTAATTTGTTACGAAGCCTACTCTGAGATGCCAGCAGTGTTGATATATGCTATCACTTCTATCACTGGGGTTCTGGCTTTTGTAAAAGCTTGATGATCTGCAGGAATACCCAATGTGGATTCTAAATGGAATCTCCCTTCCTTGGGATCCAAAAAACAGCAGTGAAGTGAAGGAATGGTAATTGGACATTATAATAAGGAAAATGAGATATAAATATGTATAAAATTTAAAATTTTTCCAGAGAAATAATGATAATTTTTTCTATGATTCAGGCATTTTTATATGAAAAGTAGGTCCTTCAGAGTGTGTAGGGACTTGTTTTGTGAATGTTAAATAAATGAGATCTATTCGCTCTATTCTCCAAAGTGATTATTAAATTGTCCTTGTCAATGTGCCATAGAAAACATTTAGACATAAGATGTGTTGTTCTTGCGATGAAGTCAGAAACTTTTAAGAAGGTGCACCTTGATGTCTGTTCAACGATTTATAATACAATGAATTTGAAATTACCAGAGAGCAGTGTGGTTACTTCAGAAAAGTTACTTGCCACCAAATAAGATTCCACAATTCATCAAACAATAAAGAATTTTGGCCTAGTTTCAGGCAGTTGAACCATATTTGGTAACCAGTTATAAGGATATGAGTCATATGACCTATATAATTGTGTAATTTCCTATTGTGCTACAACCTGTCATGGTTGAAGTGTATTTAAGTTTGATTTAAGGCAGTTCACTATAAGCGTATTAAATTAAAGACAATCAGTCCAGCTTCCACGACAACCGCTAAAAGCATTTCTGCGTTGTTTGCACACATCAAAGAGAAGATATACCGAGCGCAACTTGCCCCCGGCCGCTTTGATGTCCGTGTATGAACCGCAGTTCTTGTACCGCACTGTATTCAAAGGACCTTGTGCAGTCCTAGTTATTATGGGTAGCTGCAGAGCAAGAGTAAATCCCTCAGCATGCATCTTCTATTGTAATATTTCATTAAAATATCCTCGCATTTCACATCAAATGACAAAAGTCAACCCCTAAAAGTCCCCTATAGATCCACGACTGTCAAGCTCTGATCTCGAGATCCAATGTTGCACTTGTCACGTGAGAAGTGGTCCATGAGAAGTGGATGGTTTTGACCAATGTGTAAAACAAGAACAACACACCGAGAATTAACAATTGACTTTTTTTAATATCTGTACAGTTAATACTTGTTACAAGTTTTTACTTGCATAAAATTTCTTCTATACTTAGAATTTTTTCATAAATAGAAAATATTACAAACTTCATAGACTCACGCTTATCCGACTTATTCTTCCTCGTTTTCATCAAAGTCCATTACCTCAGTTAAATTATACGTCTAATTTAAGTTCGACTCACATACAGAAGGTAATTACAGAGCCAATAGCAATCTCCAAAAGACTTCAATCAGCGTGTCCCATATCATTTCATACTAAATAGCATGGCTACCTTTTTAACGAGTTTAAACAAGACTCAATTTGTCATCTCTAATTTGCTTTAACTTGTGAATCAAACTTAGCCCTAGGTCTCATAAGTTTAACAATTTTTCATTTAGCAAGTCAATTGTTCACATCAAACATGCAATCGTTAATTGATATTTTAAATAGATAAATATATGTCTCTATTAATGTTGATTATTTCTTTAAAACCGGTTCAAAACAATATTGATTATACTGCAAAAATTTCACTTTTCAATCCAGTCTGGTAATCAAATGCTCGGATCAATCTCTTTATCGTATCTACATTTTCATGTGTTTAAAATTAGCGTTCACTTCTCAAATTTACTGGTTTAACTAACTGTCGTTTTCGAACTGAAATAGCGTTATGGCTTGAGTAGCACCGTTTTTCTGCACAAAATTACTTGTACTTGCATATAATACAGTATCTATTGTTCTCTTCCAAGAGATTTAGGTTCGCAATTAGCAATTACTGTATTAAGACGATGCTCAATATACTAAAACTAATGCAATTTAGAATCTAATTAGTTTATGAAGTGCATATGATGCCTATTCATCAGATTGTTAATAAAAAAGAGGTAGGAATGTTCAATTTATCTTGACACACGTTCAATATTACGCCTGCAACGTCAAAAGAATTAACATCAAATAGGGAATATACATGATTCGAAATGTTGCAAATTTTGGTCGCAGTACCACGCGTGGATTTCCAGGAATCTTTCACTCAGAACACTTTCTACGATTTGGAATCGTTCTTTGATATACGCAATATAAGCTACCGCGTTTCAATTAAGAATCGCTTCAGTCGTAGCATTGGATATATATATTGTTTATACTATGATTTCTTTCAGATGTAACTATTATACACCTTGCAAATCTACATCCCGCGAGTACACCGCACGCGGTTATATTGTGCCGCAAATAATGCTAATTACCATAGAGAAACGTGTTACGGTGTCGTTTCCATACTGATGGTTTTGCGCAACTGCGCGCACTTCATCGGCACGTTACTGGTGTGCACGCTAGGAGAGATAACACGCACGTTTAAAAAGATGCGTTCTCACGGTGTTTTCACCACACAATCTTTCGCCCACTGTGCTATATCGATTTGGGACAACTTGGTACCGGCTGAACAAGCAGTCTTTCAAGAACTCCAGCCGCGTCATCGCGGCCAATGTCTTTTAATATGAGATACAGTTTATACACAGTTGAATCCCGCTTCGTGCCCCAGCGTTGCAGCAGTTGCTGGGTGGCCGTGGTTGGACACAGAGCTAGATTATTAATAACGTTCCAAGGAAAATCCATCATGCTTGCGACTTTGCGCCAATTACTCGGCGGACTTATTGGATTCAAATAGTTCGCAAGTTCTTCGATAATGTTATGAGAAACATCCCGTAACAATAAACCGTTCTCTTGTATTCCTGGCTTTTTGTTTGGAACGTCGAGGAAATGATAGCGATCTTCGTCGGTTGGTACTACATTGTGAAGAAAAAACACATTTTTTGAAACAATGCAGAAGAATTACAAATAATAATGATACATCCTAGGATCTGAAATTGGTTGCGAAAAGTCATAAGGGAATAGACGATGTCAGTGATAGAGTCTTATAGTATTTTCACTAAATGTTCCTCTCTAATCTTTCACTTGGAATCAGAGATTCAGGGAAGGTGGTATGTATTTCAGGAAAGTGGCCAGATGGTAAATTGTCAATGGTCTAATCTCGTTAGATACAGTTCCTAACTCGTTGTTTCGTCCAATACATGTCATCGATCAGAAGAAAGAGAAAAATTTTATTCTCTTAGAACAAATTACTTCACATACTGCAAACGGATTCTTCCTCTTCCATAAGTTTTGTCAATCTCTGAACAAGCTGAGGATCCTCGGCCTGGACGATGACATTATGTTGTCTGTTCTTGGACTGTATGTGACACCATATTGTAACTCCAATAATCAACGCCAGAGAAAGAATGAGAACGATAACCATTGCTGCTATAAAGAATGGCATCACCCAGCTTTGATCTTTCTCACGACTAGCATGTGTTGGTAAAGGAGGCTTTGGAGTGGTCATAGCTGAGAATTTTGGAAAGAAATATAGACTATGTTACTAATGTTAGTATTCTTCAGGTGTATTTGTATGCGACTAACAGGAATCGACAGTTCATTTAATATGATTCAGTAGCAAAACACGTTCTCCAACGTAACCATAGTTACCATAGTCAATATATCACAATCTCACCAAGTGGTGTATTTTTAAAATACCGGCCGTGAAATGTAGGAGGAAAGGAAAAGTTCAAAGTTTTGGTATGGAAAGCTTACCTGTTATATGAAAGATCGTGCTTTTGCTTGTTGTTTCAGTCGGCGTTGCAGTGATCTTAGGCCGGCATTCATAGTTTCCATATGGCGTGCATTCTTTGTACATTTCTTCACCGTTTATACACGCTGTGCATTTTGTGCATTTTTGCGTCAGACTCTCCTCATCACTGTATGTGCCCTACAAGAGATAACTTTGTATTTTACTGCACTGATACGCTTGACACGGACGGTGATGGAGCCGCCCTAATTTGACCTCTGATCCCTTTACAGCCTTCACAGGCTTTACTGATATTGAACGCTCCATAAAATGTGCACAGACGCCCGTGAAAAAGGGTTATGCTCGGGTATATTGATCTAATGAGCTGAAAATCTATTCAGTTTATTCAATGCACAAGAATTACTAAAATGCTTCGTGCTTTCGTTTTAGAAAGTTTTCTAGTCATAATCATCTGCTGTCCACTTACCATACCACATTTTTCTTCATCACATAAGGTATTGGAATCTTTATTACATTCCCTTATAACTCCATAACCTTTCGCACACTTCTTGCATTCTTTACAAGTATCGAGTAAAATATCGTGGTAATATCCTTCATAACAATCACCATATTCCATATTAGTGAGCTTTGTGCATGGTGTTAAAAGCTTCCTGTATTGTTTTTCTTGTTTGGCACATTTGCGACAACTCATTTCACCATTTGGTGCCTCTTGATAAGTTCCTGTTTCACAAGCCTTGCATTTTGTGGTGTCGTTCTGTCCAACCAGACAATGTCGTTCCACTCTTTCTCCAGCTTCGCATTTTAAGCAACATCTTTCCTTTCCTCCATGATCGGTCGAATAATAAGAGTTTGGACAATGCAACGAATACACACGGAAATCCAGAAAGTCCTAAATAAAACGATGGTCAGTAAATAAATAAATAAACAAGGGTAATGGAAAGAGTTGTCGAAAATTAGGCATATCATCTTTAGTATCCGGTTTTGAGACTCATATTTGTAGTGAATTACGTGATTAAATAACGTCGTGAATTCGGGTTAAATAATATGGATGAAAAGTAGTCAAAAATGAATGCGCTATATATCACGATATCCAGCGATTTTTGAAGGCTAAAACTATGAAACATCGGTTACTAGGTTGATATTTTTTACTAAAATACTGATTAAAACGTACACACACATGAGTCATGCGCTTTACGCTGTGATTTACGGAGATGAAACATGTAGCAGATAACTATAAGAGCCAGCTGAGAAGGGCAGATTGATAGATGATTATTTCCTATTCTCTGTGACATGATTTCAATTATTGTCAGAAAAATCTTTTGAAAGTTGCATGGTCATAATTAATCAAGAGCCTACTTGTCTAGTAGCCCGCCTCGTAGACCCGAGGGAGAGAACTGCGTTAGAATATGAGATTACTAAGCAACGCTTGTTTAACACTGTTTGTTCATTAGATATTTTATATAAACACGGTCATCCATCATGCTCAACTTGTAGACTGGAAGTGAATGTAACCATTTTAGAAATGCATGTCAGAGATATCTTCCAAGACTTCTGGTGCCTTGAAATCATGAATTTGGTCAATTCGCTAGTGAAACAATCGCTTTGCCAACTAAGCTGCAAGGATAATTCAAACGATTTATTCTTTCCTTCAAACGAATATAAACGAATCGAACTATTTCGCAATATCCACATTAAAATATAACAAACTTCAACCTTCACTGCTCCAGCCCTAAGTGTGTTCAATGGCCTATAAATTGACCATATATACGATGCATTAGGTCAACTGATGTATTCTACACTATATTTTTTCCCCAAATTTCCTGTATAACTATTCGCTTTCTATTTTCCTAAAACTTCATAAGGTTCACATGACGTCCTATAACCTCGCAGAAATTAGCACTCGGCTAGTGTACAAATTTGAAAAAGGGTCAAAGCTTTTTAACTGCACGCAACTATCTTACAAAAGAAGAGTGACAAAGAAATGTCGACATATTGCGAAACCAGAGGAATTTTAAAATATGCTCACAGAAAAGTGCATGCAACCTGATAATAGAGAGAGATAGGCATCGGTATGCACGCCCAAAACGCAAATACATGAATGACCCATAGAAAAGGTTATTTTTATTAGCAGACAAAATTGGCAGTCCAAAATAATCTCTTTGTGGCGGCAAACTGACCACTTAAAGAGACATAAAACAAGGCAAGGCTTATGACGTACATAAAGGCAACCTTTAGTTCAAGACCGGCCGACTATAATGCAGTCATTTGCATTAATTTTGTTCTTAGTGAGGCAAATTACAATTTTATGCTTCATTTTAGTATATAGTACTCGCATAATAAGTTCACGTTTGTGGTCTGACTTTGAAAGAAAGGTATGCATGTGTATGTGTATGCGTGTATGCATGCGTGAGAGCTAGGGCAGAGTTATTGTAAACATTCTTTGAGTCGCAATTCTATACAAAGTCATTCCCAGGACTGATATATGGATATTCAATAGGTCAATAATAGGTTGATAAAACCAGCATTTTTTTTACAGTTCTTAAGCTTTGGATAATAAATTTTCACAAAGATTAAGGTCGCACTAATCTGCTTGTTCTTTATAGTTGATGGTTCCCTATATCTTCTTCTTCCTTCTAAACTTGTTTGCGATAATCCGTATATAAAATTATATGCAAGCTTTGCGTGGAGAACATTCCTTGAATAACATTCTGCAGAAATGAAACTGACTTTTGAACCGCATGTTTGTAAACATTTCACATTTTAACGGATAATCAAGTGCATGTAAATTTGTTGAGCTATTTATAGATCGATAATCCTAATTTATAGCAACGTTTTCGCTTCCCCATTAACGTAAAACTGTTTGGCTGTATGCAGCAACGTTAAGCTAAACTTGCAGGAAACCTAGCAATGTTTTGTCGGGGAATTTTGGAGACCAGCTTAAAAAGATTCATAAGCTGCATGTGGACAAAATATCACGAACGTGGCTAACAGTTTTAAACGGTCTTTTCAGGCAAATATTCTAAATTTTACAGCATATGTAAATAACTCGCAGCAAGTCATGACAAAGGCAATAGAAATGAAAGGAAAACATGCATTATGTACTTGAAAGATTGATTGTGCCCGACCACAAAGTGACCAACCATGCGTTCAAAGGAAATATGATTAACGAGGATAGTCAACAGGCAATGTCAACATAGGAATGGTTCATACATCGCTAGTAAGTTGTCCTAGGAATATGGTTAGGCCATGAAATCATAATTTTGCCATGAAATAACGACATTTAAGACGTTTTCAAAGAACATGCATGCTAGCATTTGAAGACGAACACAAGAGAGGAAGACCAGTGTGTTCTACACAATGCAAATATTTAAGCTCTATAATTAGCGAACAATTTGTTCAAAGGAGCTTAGCACGTTTTGACCCGAAAAATCCGCATTGCTGATAAGAATATGTTATACTTTTCAAAGTGACCTGTGATGTTATCTCTCTCTTCCCGGCATTAAAAATTCTGTTTCTCAAATTGCTAAGTTTCCAACACCTTAAGATCTTCTCTAAATATTTTCACTTTAGCAACGAACTATTCGAAATGCTTATCCTAAACTAACTCCAGATATAACCACAGCCAAGTTGAGGCCTTCAATGGCGTCTGAGGTCGGGCTAGGGTGGTTTTGTCTTCACGAAAATAATTAAATGTTAGGTATCTATTTGCATTCTCTGCTGCATGTAACGCAAGTTTGCCGACTGTAAGCGAAGGTTTCCTACAGAGCGCAAATCTTTCAATAGGAGCGCAAATTATAAAGATGGGAATATAATGTTGTCATAAATGTCACTAAATGTATGTTGACGGTCATGTTGTGTACATATATGTTTTGAATTGTGTACTGCAGAGTCTTAAACAGAACACGATATTTGGTAAACCTTGCAAACTTGTTTTGCCTGCATGACATTTTAGTGTTTGAACTTCTTTAATCAACGGTTTAACCTTCGTCCTTTTAAAGTTAAACTTTCCGCGTGGGTCGTACAAGGTCGTTATAAAAAAATACGCAGATAAGGTGGAATTGTATCGTACGCTGTGTCCTCCCCCATGTCTGCCTGGAATGGAATAGTTTAATGTTCAATTTTTTACTAAAACCTTTCGATGTGCCCAAATGCGTGCATTCCAGCAAAATGTCTGATGATGTATAATTGCAGGGTTTCTGCCAAAATCAGAGCCCGTCATAGATTTAAGGAACAACCAAAAGAAGTTTCTGAAGTTTTAGAGAACAATGATGTTTACAACGATATATTTACTGAATAGTATCCAAGTTAGTTCTTCTGCATGAAAAGCTATAAGAGTATCATTTAATTTTGACTTATCAGTCGCTTTATCCGTCGTTTAAGATGGATTGATTCGGGAAACAATGTCTGCAAAATCACAGACAACTATGAAAACACTTCAAGAGCTGAGGTAAACAGTCGCTACTGTTTATGAATTATTGGATCGTAATCATGCGGTGTATTTGAGTTGAATGGATAGGATTAAAATCAGGGATTTTGCATTGAAATAATTCAATTACTCTGAAACATGTACTGACCGATAACATCGTTAAATGCATTTTCTATTGTCCTGATTGTCAACTCAACGATTTCTATTATTTTTTATTTTATACAAAATCATTGAAATAACCACTTGGTTTTCGTATTTAAAGTATTGTTAAAAAACGAATCGGAAACATATGGGTGACGAACAATCGTGAAACAATCTACAAAGATTTATCGCAGCTGGTGGGAAATCCTTATACAAATAAACACAACACTATCTACTCTTTTTATTGTAATACACCTTCTTCATGAAATTGAAAAAGATTTTGCCTTGGAATACGAGCTTAGAATAACACATTGTGCCGAAGCTAGCATCATCATTGTAAGAAATCTCTCTTATTCCCTGCGAGGAAGGTAGAACTGTTATAAACTAATGGTACCCAACATGTGTACCACGTCTATAAGCCACTAGTTGATTCTGTTCGATTAGTATTTAATCGTTGGGGACGCACGCAGAAACAGTATTAAATCACAGAGGTGTGGTACAAGGCCAGTATGCATGTGGTTAGCTCGCTGTCAGAGCCTTGAAACAGCACTGTGTAGCAAAGATCTTCACAAGAGCGTTAAGCTCATCTCGCTAATACGTGTCCAAAGTTGTTATTTCTAAAAGCCAGGTCGAAGAGGTCACAAGCTAACAGGTTGACTGCAAAATTTTTAAGCATCGACAAACCTTTGAAGGGTTCTATAGAGCGATCACACGTATTATTGACTCAATGCCTTTTCTATCACACAGACCATTCACTTTTCTTCAGAGTACAAAAATACGGTACTTAAATCGATGTGTTTAACCTGTACGATTCAAAAATTAACTTTGAGACAACGCAATTTAAACAGTCTTTGAAGCAATGCCGCCCTCTTCAAATGCAATGCTATTAAATTGCTATAATACACAGGATTTCCGCGATATTGAGTTTATCAACTGCGTGCGATTCTCATCTTCAGGTTTCAGATATTCAAACGAATGTTATTTTATCAAATTTGACAGATTCGTACGAATAGCTGCGTATAAAACATCGTGAATAGTGTATACGTGGTGTTTGTCAACATACCTGTAATGCTGAGACAATACAGAGGACTTCAATCCATCGACGTAACTCCATAAGCCTAACATGGGTAGAATTTAAGAATGATCAATACACCATATGTATGAACTAAGCTGTATCACACTATCGAGAAACAGGAATTAGAAGTCCGCAGGTCAGAGGAATGTCAACTACGCAAGCTCTTCGCGTTGTGATTGGTCACCTTGGACACTGCCAACACTTACAAAACCAATTAGATTTCTGAAACGTGTTTGGGCAGCGACACTTCAGGAATACTTCTCGAATCCAATATTACGTGTTGAGAATAACATGCTTTCTTCAAGGGATATCACGATTCGACTCTATCAATATAGTCATGATTACGTACATTGCATAGTCAACACATGTTAACATCACTTAAGCTCCCAATCACGCTTGTATGTATACCAAGGAATCCCCTGCGAGATCATTTGTTTTCACGGTTCGACGCGCGTTTTACAGAGTCGCGTTTGATTCTAATTCGCTACTTCTCGTTTGAAAACGAGCGGGTTGCATGCTTCTCTCGAAAAACGCGTGTCAATCATATTCAGTGTAAAGGAACTATATTTAGAGATATAGATTGCCAACGCTTTTGTTAAATATGTATTATATTCGAGTCATCGAGTGGGAGTCGGAAATTGCTCGTTCCTATCAGTTCTCAATAACAGATAGTATACAGTGGTTTAGATTGGATCGCGATTTACGGATCCTTCGTATCAAGTGAAGATGAGAGAAAGTTCGCTTCCCCTCATGAGGCATAATATATTGCGCTTAAGTTTATGAAATGTCAGGTGTCCTAGGTTTTGCAAAATATATAAAATGACAGCAATAATACACTTAGCTATTTTAACTTTGCTGAAACCATTTTCAAGTTTTTGGTTATATATACTCGTTGATTCGTCCACTCATGCACACATGCCATCTCAGTATCGTTTTAAATATCTTCCTATATGGGTTATTTGCAGCGTTCTCACTTCTAAGGAAATTTCCTCAGAAAAATTTGACTCTTTCGAGGGGAGGGAGGGAAATTTAATCTATTCTTTTCAAATGCTCTTTGTCTAGGGTTATTCAAAGCATCCTTCCCCATAGTAAAAGTATGCATATTTGAATTCTGAGAAGCATCATGGTTATTTGGTAAAATAACATCCAGTTGACTCAGGTTTTACATCATATTTATAGCCAATTATGACAGCAAATCAATGCTACTCTGCTCAAAAAAATGTCAACATGGAATCCACTCATTCTAATATAGCTACAGTGCCTACACTCACTACAATTATTTTTACGTAAGTCGTCTATAGCATGCATGCAGTGTTCATGAAATGATGAAACATGATTATTAGAAGCGAGTTGCTATAAATAGATATATATTATATAACCTAATGTATTTATTCGGCGATGTAATTTTACTGAAATGTATAAAAATTATGTTTAAGACATAGATAAGCCATCAAAACAATAAAGAAGTAAAAAATTCGACTATGAATATCGATGAAGCTGCTTGTTTCATATTACAACAAACTGAAGCTCTGACTAGTATTAACAGTAAAGAATCCTGATATACAATTAATTAGCCAATTAAAATTTCTGAAAAAAAATTAAAAAGAATTAGGATGCCACGAATTCCATCGTCTCTTTAATGTTAATGATGTCTTGAAGGCGGGCTGTTTGGCGTTTAAGAAAAAAATATATATTGATCTAGATATACTTATACTTTTCTTTAATACTTATATTTTCGCTTTTGAAGGCGCTCGATCATTTTAACTCGCGTGATAGAAAAGACAGCTTTCCAATACGTTAAAGTTGTTTTGCATGTTGTATTATATCTTCTGGTTAACATAAGCCCTTCAGAAGTTGATTGAAACAGTGCACAATATATATGCAGTGCTCTAATGTCTGCAACGCTAGCTTTTAAATACATGCATGACTTAAGTATCTTCATTAAATAGGAGAAACTAAATTTTCTTCGGCCAATCTGTCTTCACTGAAAAAATTGAAGCATTTGGCCATTTTTCTAATCGCTTCAGATAAAGTTCTTCAAGTATGAATACTTCAGTAAACTTATCTAACTGAGTCAATACTACAACGGATAAGAATCGAAAATTTTACTCCCTATTTTGAATACGTAGTTCATCATACATTTACACTACATTGTTCCAAGTTGTATTCCAGTATGCAAAACATCTCTCAAACTGATTTTCTCAGGGATATTATATTTCTCATATCAAGAGCTTTGGGGCAAGAGGTAGAATTCGACATACGTAAAATACCTTCTGAAGATTGACATTGTCGGCGTTTGTCACATCGATCATTGATGATAAAATTTATAATTAAATTTTGCCTACAGGATGTTTGCATACGTACAATAATTTTCCCATGTCAATAAGGGATTATGCACAATATTCATTCTAATTTTACAAAAGAGGCGCCATAGTCTACAGTTCTTCGGTAATCTGTTTGGCCTATCAGTATCTTGAATGGCTCCGTAGTTGTTCATCGAGATTGTAACATCCTGGGGGGCTTCACGTCGGGTGATTAATGACCATTTGCTGTATGTAATCTTACACCTCAGTATTAAGTGTATGGGTAAATTTAGTAAATCCAACATCAAAATAAAGTTGGTTGAGTGTAGTTACGCGCTACAAGCCTACAACCGTGTTTTAGACCAGGTGTCTCTGTCGTAGTCTTTACTGCATAACACGGAAATGTTCGGTAAACTTAAACTGAGTAAAACTCAGATAGCTCGAAGCTGATTTGATAGGGCCCGAAGATGCACGAGAAAATCCTGCTCAAGGCGATTAATCATAAATTTAACAAATATTACTGATCAGAAATCATTAAATAAAGCTATGAACTATAGAATTCAATTGCAATCTTCTTTTGTATAAATGCAGGCAGAGAAAAATCACAAACCTTGCTAAATAATTTCATCGACTCTCATCTGGACTCTGGAGATCTGATAAGTGCCACTGCAGATTAAGTTTAAAATAACTTCGTGCTGTCGCGATTTCAAAGAAGATGCGAGGTATGTGAATTAAAGTCGGCTACATTTTTCTGAATAATGACGAATACTTAGACAAACATGCAGGAAACTAGGTACTATAAACAAATTCAATGATTATTGCAATTTACCCCAAACAATAACCGACAAAAATTTATATTATTTGGGTACTTCAAAAGCGTGGCTTATATACGTGAGCGTTTGCACTTCATCTTAACATTATCAGCTAAATATCACAATGAATATTATTTGAGGTATCTAATTTTTTATCTATATATAAACTCGTGTATTCAGTTGCCTGAGATTTACACTATTTCTGAAAAATGCGAGATTCGCATGTTGAAAATTGGGCACTTTAAAGAGCCGGAAAGGTTTAAATCAGATTAGATTCTTCTGATGGTTTATCCGGTACAATTTGTATGGAGATGAACGACGAAGATCTTGAACAGTATACTGGCCAATAATCTGAAGTATGTAGGCGGTATATAATGGCCTGGAGCCATATGTAAGCCTTGGTGGAAATAAATATAGGATATATAGGACTGGATAGTATATCATTTTGAAAGGCGCGTGTCGAACTAAACTGGTACAAGGTAGTGTGTTTGTATAACGGTGGAAAGTGGCCAACCAATGTAAAAGGTAGTCTAAATTATGTTAACCATCAGTTCTTTGCTATATTTCAATAATGCATGTGGTGATTAGACGCCTTTCTAAGATAAAAAATATTTGTGCTTGCGCACTCTATCAAAATCAGTCATTCAACGCATCCTTGCGCACTCTATGCAAATCAGTTAATCAAAGCATCCGTGCAAATTGTACGTCATCAGTATATTGGCCTACCTGGCCTCAGGTCAATTTTCGCAGCCCGGATCAGCGTTAACTCTGGGTTGAATTTTAGCCATTCGCCTGTGTCTATGTATTACGACATGACAATTCTGTTCAAAGATTCAGAAAATTACCTCTTTTAAATCGGTAAATTATTCTGGAGGACATGTTACCTCCGAATTAGGCTGACTGATCGTGGATCGTACAACTAACTCGTGAGCTCATGGTTTTCTAAATTAGGCTATAAAAAAAGTTTACCCAGCGAAAACTGAGAATATCGGTGACGTAATTTCTGAAGAGCTGAGTTTATCTCGACCATATTGAGTTGACAATATTCAGTACACTTCATCTTCTCGAGAACAAATCAAGAGATATCCTGACTCATGTCAAAAATGTCAAACTTTGATTGAAAGAAATGTTGATAAATTACTTCAGTGCTCCGGTCGTGTGTGGCCACCCATTTCTGTTAAAGGCTGATGACTTTGTCTGCCAGTTTAGTAAACACTTAACAGTATTTTATAGAAAAGAGCGTTTAAAATTAGCTCCTTGTAATGCAAAGGTTTGTTTCCATGTAATCTGCTGCTAATTTTAGACGAGAAATATTAACGTAAATTTACTAGCCAACACTATAAGCAGAGCTTCCACTGTATTGTTTACGTCTTGAGAACCTCGTAGTTTAACGATATATATTGCTCATACGGAAAACTTTTTCTCGGCTGAGTACACTTTAAACCTCATTTATGCAGCTTTCACTAACATTTAACCTTTTCACAAATTCCTGTTACCTGCCGTAGTAACTGCAAAGAACTATAAAGATCTATGCATGCATTCTCTGAAATTCTATATACGAACATTTAAACATGTGAGGTTTTTGAAGTTAAGTACTTTTATATGCAAGGACTAAGGTGTAGTTCCTGAAGTTACATAGAAATAATTTTAAAACGTACACATGTATCTGAAAACTTTATTAATCGCCCATAATCCGGACCAATATAGGCATACTCAACTAGTTCTACTTGAAGTATATTAAAAAGTCGCATGATTTGAAAATTTGATGCTAATTGCAAACGTAATCATGCATATACAAGTTTACATAAATTCGTGGGTTTTAATCTCAAATAAAAGAGCTTCGGTAAATAAAGATTTTGTTTAGTGCGATGGCGGTTATACGCGGTCAGTTCTACGCCTCCTTCCCTCCCACATCACACACTAAGGTCAATATATATTACGCACAGAAAGTTTCATGTCCTAGAAGACAAATATAGATGCCACTTTCGTGCAAAGATATTTTGTTATCCTGGACTCCCTGTTGTTTTAGGATATACTCAGACAGCGTCCTCCTAAAGATGTAAAGTTATGCATGATGCTGATGCATTAGCCCCAGCCGTCTTCGCAACACTTTTCCAACGAATTCTCTACGTGTTTTTTTTCTGTATTCTAATCATTGGTATCCAAAAACCAGACAGTTCTCTAATTCGATACGAAATGAATTTGCGACTTGCATTTTTCAAATAAGTGCGTACGCATGCATGTTGCATGTACTGAAACGCTTTAGTACAACAAGTCGCAGCTAGAAGCATTCTATATTACATGCTGCAACACGTTTTCATTCGTTTTAAAACCTGTCATAACATGATATTCGTAAAATAACACAGTCCTTACTTGTTTTTCATCATAAAGCACGTTTAAAACGCATCGGGAAACAACACAAGCTGTCCAGTCCATGACAACAATAAAAGTCGGATTGTATTTCACGAAACATCGAGTTGAAAGCGACGCAAACAAATTTATCCGTTTATTAAAAGCCGTTGCAACTGCAGCACTGGAGAGTTACGACACACTTGGTACACCTGACGGGGCAGCGCAACCTTTCCTTTGGCGTGTTTACAATTCTGAGTATCATACGCGCACAAGTGTACCAGTAAAAAAATACAACACAGATCTAATATATACGAGTACCGTTTTAAGAGATGTCCCCAAAGGCGTTACGTGGATTCATATTGTATAAACGGTTCGTGGCAAATCTTTCGTCGAGGGACCATCAAAATCATCCAAAAGTTCACAGACTTTGTAACAGACATGAGCGCCAAAAATGTGATAGATAAAGATTGTTTTAATATGAGAAGGTCATGTCTACGATGGGAAAAGTCCGGGCATGTTCGGACATGTCAAAGCCTGTTCAAGTTTGATTAAATCTTAATACTAGGATAGCCGAAGGGGTATAAGGTAACACAAGATAGCTGAAATACCTTGTTTAACCAGCTATTTTCCAAGTTGTGTATCCTCACACCGGTGTGACCGGTTGAAACCAGCATGCTCTCTAGAAAGCCTTTGAAAATGCTTAATTTTCAAACACCATACGCAGCAAACATTCCAGCTTATCGTTAGTGCTTGCAGGATTAACGTACGAGAAGTTAATAAAAATATCGCTTTACCTAAACAAGTAATGATTCTTTAATGGAACAAACACGGTCTAAAATTACATTGACATAGTAATATAGTACCTGTAATTAAAGGCACTTGACAGGTGGTGATAACAGCTTAGATATATCTGTAAGCCTATACGCTACAAATTGCTGTTCTTACAGACAGGATCATAATCAACTTGTGCTCAAAATGAGCGGGAAACAAACAGGATTTCCTCTAAAAATACTTCTTGTTCGCATGGCTCATAAATTTGCAAACCTAACTTTTAATATACTTCAAAAAGTATGGCTTATATAGTATTAAAATAGGACACATTTCTGCGTGTGACAAATGATATTTGAATTCATCGATATTACACCAAAATTCATAGAATATACGGTTGGCGTGTGTACCATTTGAACAGTTTGAATTGATCGCTATTTACACAGCAGAACAAACGACCGAAATTTCTGAAATTCCCATCTTTCAACGAAATCTACACGCGGCTAATCAAACGCTTTGCCGAATCATTAAATGGGAGGTCCAAGGCTTGCGGAAGGAAGCTTAATCTGCATGGGAGGGGAGGGGATTGAAAAATTATCGATAACGATTTGTTATAGGATATAATGTTTCCGTGAACCTCTAAGTCCTCTATAACGTAATTGTGCTGATATTCAATGACGGGGAAAATTTGAAATTAAAATAATAGAACAGTGGGTTGCGAGGTTAAATTTAAGCCCTCCTCTTTTTATGATAAATGCATAAAACATTCTCAATTTTGTTTACATTTTAGAGACAAATAAAACTGACAGCGCCTGGGATTCTCTGGTGCGGGTCTCACATTTCAAAGGTGTATATAGATTCGCGTTGATATCGAGATTTCTGGGAAAAAATGATTGGAGGGGTTGGTGTTTGGGGTAGTATAGCGAAGATTCGTGCCGTATATGGAAGATGAACGATTCGATGCCAAAATTGATAAAATAAAAGGATGAAAGGTACGAAAAATTTTATCAAATATGGGCGTGTCGTATATATGGCTTTGGGTGACATTGTTTATTAAAAAAGGCAGGGCCCGTCCGAAGCAGAATCTTTTTAAGAAAACGTTAGTAAGAAGGTGGGTATGAACAAAATGTTCCTAACTAGAAATTGGTACTAAAGATTAGAGTTATATATAAGGGTCTGGGGGAATTGTCCGAGAAATGTTTTTGTCACTGGGGCCTGGGGGGCTCGAGGCAAAAGCTGTCACTATGGTCCAAAGGGGGAGGCTGGGGGAAAGAAAGATCAGTTTTGAAGAACTGACATATTGACTGGGATAAGTAGGGGTTTTTAGGAGTATTTATGAAGATAGTATCATTGTAAACACGTTGTAATTTTGTTAAATTTTATTCCAAATTTACTTACAAAATATCGTGCCAAAATCATTTACATTGTCGTATTTTAAAAAATAAATCAAATTGCGTCAAAAACGCCCTAATACAATTATTACAGTACAATGTAATATACACCATATAATATTGCATCTTCGTAGGTGATGAGTCGTGTCATTTTTAGCAGGAAAATGTACTGTTATGTAAACAGCTGTCCTTTTAGTTTTATCCACTGGTTTTGCCTGCTTCTGAAACGAGGTTAATATTTGGAAAATATAGAAAATGTTTAAAAACCTGCATGAAATGACCCGACACTTCATCCTAAACTCCGAGATATAGCGATTAAAAAAATACATACTGTATTCAAGATTAGTCAATTTTCGCATTGAAAAAACGTAAAAAACATGGATATGTTTTACAAAGATTAAACTGATGTTGGTCATTTTTATAAAAAATATTTAAGCCTAACAATTCGGCGTTCGGTATGACTATAAGTCTATTGTTACAGAAATAGTGAAATTTAATCTATCGACTATATTTACTGGTGCAAGGTAATTCATGTTCATAGCATTAAAGGGGTGTTTATAAAACAGTACAAAAATCTATAAAAAGCTAAAAGTTAATAGTAGAAAAAATTAATTGTAGAAAAAGCTAAAAGTTAATAGTAACATGCTACAATAATTGATCTAAAAATGCGATCAAAATTTCTGTCTTTTTTCAAACAAATGGCGGTTATATTTTAGCACCATCTTGGACATCTTAGACTTAGGAAAGAGTTACTTCGATATCAAAACGTCACGAACTGACGAACTACTCAGTATATACCTTTGCTCAATCACCTCTAGTCTAAAATTTCGACATGAATCGTCAATAATAAGCTCTATTGTGCCTTCCTCGTGAAAATTATGTCATTTAAGATTTCATCTAACTTTAAGCGCTCTTTTCTCTACTTGCGAAGTAACACGGTATTTTAAAAAACTAAAAGTAAACTATCTTATATACCTGAGCAGATATACTTATTTTTTTACTGAAAAATAGTTGAAGTATAAACTTAAAATTTATCCGATACGAGTTCAATTTCATTCGAGTTCAACTGAAATTAAACATTTTCCATCTGATTTAACCAGGAATGACTCCTCTAAGAAATCATGAAAATTTTTAAACTGGCCAAGACCTTACAGGACCCTAATTTTTCATTACTACTGCAAATGATTGAGCAGTTTATAAACTAATACGACCTTGAATGTTGTGATAGGAAGTGCCCCCACCTTAGTCACAATCATTGATGAAAACGATTGCACTTTTATCATCATTTCGTTCTTTCTTCATAAAATTTACAAATTCCAGGCAGGCATCATCACGTTTGATGGCTTTCAAACCTCTCCAGAGTCTTTCAACTGTTGTGTTTTTAGATCCCAAAAGATACAACAATTCTTGGGTGCAGTTGGGAGAGGAGATCTTGATGTTATTGACTTCGTTCTGGGTAAGTTTAAAATGATAAGCCAAAATAATCCAATTATTAGGGACAGTTGGATTCAAAAGTTCTCCTAGTTTTTCTACATATCCTCCAGGAAGAACATTTATCGCGGTCTCTCGTTCTGTCAAAAATTAATTTTGATATTAATTAAGCTGATAGATGTTGACAGCAATGATCTGGAAACAAAAAATGTAGTGATGGAAATAGGGATAATGACAATATTCCTCTTTTACCTTCCTCTGTTAAGCATGTGATATCAGGCCACTTTGATTCTAAAATGAAACAGCTATTTTAGAACTGAGCAGGAAAACATAAGGATAACCACAATCCATAGATGATGACTCAAGAGTATTTTTTAACACCCCTTTAAATTTTCCATGAAAATCCAATACTCACTCGGGTTTAACATCAGACTTGATAAACTAGTCGCCAAACTTGAAGTGTCAGTGAGGCCATAAAGCCTGGAATTGTTGCAATTGCGACAGAACAGCCATACAACAATAACAAAAATTATTATGGATTCCACAATGACAAGAATTATCCAAATTTTATTTTGCTTACAGTCATGGTTATTTTCTAAATGAAAATTTACAATGTTCAGGGATAGAAATCATACTATTTAATGAAAATAACTTTTGATATTATGAAATTGTTCAAAAATTTTGGCAAATAAAAACACTGCTTACCTCTGGTATCTCTATAACCATCACTTTCATTTGAAACAGTGGTAGAAATCTTCTGCAAGATTGTAGTTGGTGGCATAGTGATCTGGGGGGCACAGACTGTATCTTGCTTTGATCCACAAGGCTCGAGAACACCATGCTCACATTCCTGGCATTTTTTACACCCAGTTTCTGTGTAGAAGTGAGTCTTAAAAGACATTTGCTCTTGTTATATTTTCATACAACACAATTTACTATAACAAATGATATATATTTCAAGCTTACCTTTGGGCAATGATCACATACTGTGTCAATTGATGCAGTACAATTTTTTACAATAGCACGTGGATATTTACAAACACTACATGGACGGCAGCCACCCAGGTTAACATCCTGGGTAAATCCTTTGCGACAAACACATATTGTACAATTACCAACTGTGATCAACTCTTTATACAAACTTTTATTACAATCGTTTATTGTAGAGTTCTGACATTCTCCCCAAACCAAATGAAAGCAATTTACAAACAACAACTAGTAACAAAAAAAGTTTAAAATCAACAACCTTCGACTTCACTCAAACATAATTTATGCAAATGTACCAGAAATGTGTAAAGTAGGGAATAATCGTTTGAACGGTGATCAATTACATTCAAATGAAATATATGAAGTGATATACGTTATATCAAGAGAGAAAGTGTATAAAATACTCGATAGTAGTTTAGTAACCGAGAGATTTTCTCTTTCTTTCAATGCCTCGCGGTTGTCGGCATGTCAATAGACAGTTGTCGGTATAATGTACTAGTTATAAGATTATTATCAAAACAGTTCATAAATCTATATGTACACTACAAAATATCGTAAACTAATGATAACTGTACTCATTTAACATCGTGTGTAGAACTTACCAAAAGAGACGGACCCTTCATCCTCTTCAAATATCTAAATATCAGACGAAATATTTGAACACTATCAAATTGCTACAATTATAATTGCTCTTGAAACTATCAATTACCAAAATACGGCGAGCGACAGCCGGAAAAATTGTCGCTAATCACTCCAGGCGCAAAATCGTGACAACAAAGGACGGACCAGCTATTATTATTATTATCATATTATTATCATTATTATTATCTTTATTATTATTGATTATAATTTTGATCGAATGATCGATTGATCGTTCTCTAATGCTTCACGTTTACAACGTCAGCGCACGGGAGGAGAAACAGTTAGAGAAATGTGATCTGGAAAAGTTGATTTCGTTTCAAAAAGGCTCAGGAATTCAGAATTTTAAACCATTGTTTGGTATTTAATTATTCTGTATTTTTCCACAAGAGGGGAGGGACAACCTCTTGCCCCCCCTCCTCCGCATCTCTCTTTCTCTCTCTCAGTTCTCTAGTTCTAGATTCCTACTCCTTAGCCATTTTTTAGCCACAACATTGCACAAAGCAATTCCATGACATCAACGTTCATTAAATGTAGATGGTTCAAGTTCGTTAGTGTGGAAGCCTCAATTAAATCCACCAGTTTTATCCAATGAGGCAGCAACTCTGAATGAGAACAAGTCTGCCAAAAACAACATTAAGCCAAAAGTTAAGAAAACAAAAGAATGTAAACAAAGTGTATCGCCAGTTTTACAAAACTATTTAAAAAATGATACTCAAAACAATGACAGAGAACATCCATTGACAAAAATCAAGGTAAGCACTTTCACTGTCTTGTAAAAATACTAAAATCAGAGCAGCCATCCATGACCTACTTTTCACATATTTAAATGCAAAAATCTTTTATTTAATGGTAACCTACTTTTTAACTTCTTTATAGTGGCATTCTTCACCTACAAATATCCAAAGGGGTTTAAAAAGTGAAAACAGGCTTTATGAGAATGATCAGAAGATGATTGAATGTTTAAGTGAAAGGGCAAGGTCCTCTTTCAATCCAAATTGTCGTGGAAAGTGGATCATTCTTGTTTCCTCCATGATCAATGGTACATACTGAGAAATATACCATTTAGGATTGATATGGTTGCATTTTTTGCCAAATCTGGAGATCAAGCCACTGGTTCCCATATTTGTTAATTTCTCTTTCCAATTTTAAATCTAATTCAGATTTTACATTGGAAGATCTTTGGATGAAACTTTCAGATTATTTGCATCAAAATTATTATAAAAATTGTACCATAACATTCCAGGTGAGGTGAACATTGGTCGTAAATTAAGATTGACATTTGTTCTTATTTTATAAAACAAAAATTGAGAAAACATTTCTGTTTATAGACATGCCCTGATTGTATCTTGATATATACAGATTTCCTGTCAAGTGCAATGGTAATCCATTTTGTATTGTATTTGTAAGACTTTTTTGATTTTTGAATTCCATGATTATTAGAAAAAAGGTGAATGTGTATTTTATAAGAACATGTGTGGTTGGAAAAAGATAGGATTTTAATATCACCTAACCAGGCTAATCTATTTCATATTAATAGGTTCCTAAAGCATTTTCTTGCATTAAAAGAATGGTTAGGCAAATGACCTATACAGTTCATCCTTGTGGTCCAATATTGTCCTACTCTTGGACCAGAGGAGTTGAAATCCTGTAGAAATCTTTCATAATCACTCGTATTTTTGTTGGTTTTGTGGTTTTTTATATTGCTAGGTAAGTCATTTCATCTTTTGACTTTAAATTATCCTGCTAGATAACGCTAGTAGAGGTTCATTAACCGCGTTGACTGCCCCAGTTTATTGATTGCAGCACAGTGATTACACTTATTTTCGGAAGTATATTTGCCTGGAGGTTTCGAGAAAGTACGAGAGAAGTCTTTATTGTCTCTAGGCAGTATTAAGCCACACCTGCCAGACAGAAAATTGTGTTTGAGGCTTCCAACTAACCGCGATTGTTTAGCGAAATGCGGGTGGGACACGTATACAAGCATTATATTTTGAACTAATATTTTTTCTCACGCGTAAACTCCTCATCAAGTTAATTTCTTCCATATGAACTCATCAGGCAGTTAACTGTGTCTGATTGGATTTTGATTGTAATCGTCCAATTACTATTGCCATTCGACATATTCCTGGCGTGGGAGGTTTGATATAAATATAACATTAGGTTTTTTGTCATATAAGAATTGATAAAGTTAAAAGGCTTTTTAAAGCCTTTTCGGTGCCAGGTTCTTCAATGCATGTGTTAGCGGCGGATTCTTTGTCGTCGGTCTTCTAATGTTTTTGCTTCAAAGGAGCTTGAATGGCGATTAAACTGTCTCTCACTTGCCAACTCTCTTGACCGAAGACTTGAGTGGGATTGGCGTGAAAATTCAAATAAAGCGAACCCGGAACTTGCATTATTTCGTGCGTCAAACTACTGACTGCTGACATCCATAGAAGGGCAAGTAAGTCAAGGATTTGTTACAGGTCCTGCGCTATGTCTTAGCCCTTTTGAACTCTCCGTACCAACATGAAAATATGGCCAAAAAAAACAATCAGTGAATTGTTTTAAAGAAATTAAATAAAAAGGCCTAAAAAGTTGATATACTACAAGGGTAAGATAATTTCATTGCATTTGTGAATCTCCAGATTTTTGCCGGATCACCATAATATTGATCGGCATTAATCTCAGTATTTTATCTTCGAGATTTAGTCTGGTTTGTTTACTCGGTGTTCAAGGTCAGATAGGATCTGTTTTTTCAATAAAATTTCATAATCTTCGAAGTTCGAACTGTATTTTATATTATATTTATTTAGTAAAATATACGAACATAAGCTTTGGATAATCCAATCTTTCCGCCCATATCATGCTGTGTCAAACTGTGTTTCCTGCGTTTGTCCTGCGCGAGGAAATGGTTGACACAGCAGTGGTGTTAAATGCATCTGGAGCTTTTCCCTGATTAGTTTTTGATTATGGCTTGTCGCAATTTATCCCCCTCTGTAAGCTAAAGAACGCGCTCGTCCCGGGGGGAAAAGGGAGTTCTGTTTGAGAAGCGATAAGGAAAAACAAGTTCATGTTGCATTCATGAATAACAGACCCTAAAAAAACAATTTAGAATTGTACCATCAAACAAGAAATATTCATCATGACCAAAATATTCTAAAAAAGTGTTTATCCTTAAAAGATGATCCCCAATTGTTAGATTAAACCACGCCCTTTAGTGTTGGTCTTCCTAATCTAATATAAGTGTTTTACGTGCATTGTCACAGGTATTCTAAAATCAATTGTATTCGGACGTATGAAGTTTCTCCCCTCCACCAAGACGTGTTTAGTAAAATTGAAATAAACCGAGAGCGCTAGAATATTGTAGAACAAGCTATGTTGAAAAAACCCGTTGATTGTTACGTTTCAGAGTCAAAAACACTGTGAGGTGGGATGGGGTAGTGATTTAGATAAATAGAAAATCGATATTTCGTGGAACTGCCAGACACCGCAGGAAGGGGAGGTTTCTTTCCCTTTCATTGTATTCAATTTGGCACTGAATTTGTGGTAAACTATAACCGGTGCCCTCCCCCCAAGGAGGACCCTTCTTCAGCCCTCTAAATTCCGAAGGTATATATAGCTCCATGGTCATGATTACAGCCGTTTAATATCCACAAGTATGATTAATTCCACGGTAGTTTGCAATCCACGTGCTTCAACACTTGTTAATTGTTCATCGTCTTTTCTCATCCATCAACAGGCAGCTCATTTTACTCGCGTCAATCGTGACCGCTCTTGAACCATGTATGACTTTGTGATCGCATTAAATAACAAGATTTAATTAACACCCGGGGGAGGTTGTATTTGAATTAGCAACTCGAGCCCTGTGCTGTGTGTTGGGTCTGGCTTACCATCATTTGATATTTAACATCGCTGTTATGCCTAAATAATTTACACTATTCTCTTTAATAAAGGTTGTTGGTCGTCGCTAAGTGAATATTGTGTATTTCAGATTATCCGTGGTTGGTTTATTCATAGGATGTTCCCAAACTATCTTTGAATAACCGTTATCATCACGTGACGAATATCATGTGATAACCATCGTTGGTCATGTGACCGAAATGCAGTGTGGTATAAGTGGTTAAAATTTCACGAAAAGAAGAATTAAAAGAAGTGAGGAAACGATGCAAAAAAAGATGAAACAACTTGATATGAATTGATATAATATTTCATGGTGTAATTGGTTTTAGTTAACTCCTTGTTTAAGATTATAATCTTTAGATTTATTGTTAATAATCCTGCATAAATATTTAATGGAAGAGTTCATCTGTTTAAATCCGTCCGATTAGGCTCATCTTGCTGGATTAATAAAATAACTGAAATGTTTTTGCAGTTAAATAATCCTAGCAAACTAGCATTGTATACCAAGCATGGGGGGGGGAGTCTCGCAATTGACTTCGTTGCGAAAATCAGTAAAAATACAAATCGGAAAATAAATACTCTTACAAACATTTTTGTGAAGCAATTTTATGTGCCTGTATATTCTCGTGCCACCCCCCGTCTTACAGTTATCACTAATTGCTGCGTCACGTGTAATAGGACTTGGCTACCCAACGCGCGCATAATAATTTATTAATTTCCTTTTAATTATACGGCAATTGGATATGAATGTCATAAGCGATTCAGCCCATTACGTGCGAACTCCGCATTCGCGTCGATGAAAACACAACCGGCGAAGCAAACAGCTGAGAAAAATTTTTCGATGTTTCATGGTATAAATGGTTCTGAAGATTAAATCCGTGTTGATTTAATATACAGTACATTATCGTCACAATCGGACACAGAGCTTGCTGATTGCTTGCGTTTTATTGGTCAGATGAAGACAGCCCACAATGTTATAACCTTTCATCACAACAGCGATTAATCTATCTTAGCACGGACTATTGTGGTTCTACAGTCGGGTCGAAACGAGATTTTGTCTACTTGGCTCTTGCGAATACGCACTTCCCTCGAGGCTTGAGGTTATGAAACGACCATGGCGCGTCTTATGCACACAAGGTAAGGAAGTGATCGTTTGTTTTCTTTTCTTCAACCCTGTTCGCGTGCGCGGTTCTCAAACGCTAATTTAATCTATTGCCTTATCACGATATATCTGTGCACGAGTCAAGTTATCAAATTTTCCCGTGCTATGATAAAATAAGGTTGTTGTGTGAAGTGAAGCGAGCCTCTGAATGACATGGTTAATGAATGCTAAATTGACTATGGCCAAACATTAATAGTCGACGTATGTTGAACCTGAATAAAATTGCTATTTGGTCATCTACCTAATTAATTATATAAGGTTGATATCCTCTTGCAAACATACCTTATATACGATACGAAACTCTAAATAAACAGTTTCCATCCAAAATATTACTCATTCATATTTAAATTAGTGTACTAGATATTCTCTAAAATTTAGTATCGCGGTTACTACGTTCGCTAAATACTTTGCAAACATTTCGCGTTGTCGTTAACATACGATGCTGTTATTATTATATATCATTAAAGAATTCGAAACATTTTCAGAACTATTCATAATGATTCCTAGTGTGTCTCTGTTTCCCTCACATACAGATCAGGTTATCCAATAAAAGAAATGAAATCATTTACGAACGAAGCCATGAAAGGTGACGAAGAAATAAAGACATCAAACGGTGAGATTTGATTCTTTAAATTCTTATTTTTTTGTCACTCGTTTTCACTTTTAACACACACAGAAAGGATTAGCTTCTGAAGTCCCTAGCAAATGACATGACATAGCTATAGACGCTCAGAACGACGCTGAATAACCCATCTTTTTGTATGTTTATTTCGTAGCTACATATGATAGGATTATAGAAACCTGATAAAACTGTTTAGAGCTTAAAAGGTTGCGGATTGAATGACGTGTAATCTCGAATGTAGCCTAAGTAAGATCTTTCGCAGGCCAAACTTGGTCATATACCACACCAGGTTTTACCTCATTCTGCCTATGTCCATGTGCGGTCGAGCAATATATTTTGATTTGGCCCAGAAAATGCTTTCCATGTAGCCACCATCAATAATGCAAAGAATATGCCTATTATGTGATGTGCAAGAATTAGATTAAGTTGTCATGATCACGATTACGGTTTAATATTTATGAAATCATTGCTGGCTTGCTGCTTGAGCTTTTCTTGAAGTAAAAATGTATATTTGAATGAGCCTCACAAGTGTCTCGTGTCCAAAGTAAATATAATTTGAGAAATCATCCCAACCGCATTTTGTGCTAATGGTAAAATAAATACAGCGCACAACGGGATATTGCATTCGCGCAAAAACACGACTGATATCGATAGTTTAAAATATCTGTATCCAAGTGGGGATTATTGCAACGTAAAGCGTCTGTCTGTGTTGTGAGACTGTTCGATTTTATTCTGATGTAAAACATTAAATTTGAAACCATTACGCAAGTCAAAATATGTTGGGTCATTGGTATATGCCCAGTAGAGAGTGTAAAAGCCGGTGTTTTAATTGTGCTTTCAAGCTTCAAAACTGATAATTAAATTTTTGGTATAATTAAATTGGGGAAACTATTTTTCTTCATGGTACCCACAATTTGCGTATTCTCTAATTTTCATCTCCTTATTTTGATTAAGCGAAATAGCTTGAGGCAATCATTTCAAATTCTTGTTGTTCTTTTTTTTCAGTCCTGTTGTATTCATAAGAAAACATAAAGGTTTATATAAACCATATTTCTTTCGCGTTCATTCGGTTTTAATGATTTTGCGCGGATTTTGTTTTATAATTGCGAGTTTTTGAGCGACCGTCTCGTGTTTCAGGGGCATTGCGTGAAGCGAGGTACCATGCCAGATATGTTCTATTTTTGGATTGTTTTTTGAGTTCAAGTAACTTGTTTGTTTGCATTAGATCTTGTTTCGCGTGTGGTAGACTCTAGGATACTGGCAAATCGTTTTCGCTTGGCTGAACGACTTGATTTCGCTATATATCGTTAGCTGTAACGTAGACTTCGTTTCCAATTCCTCTCTGCGTTCGCGGAATTGTATTATCACAAAAGAAATAAAAATTCACCTGTATTCAGACTCGATACAAGATATCTAAATCATCAACAAATTGTATTCATTAAATCGGAAGGAAGTGGGTGCATGATATTTTTACTTTTTGAATAGCATTCCCTCTGAGCATTTCCGCACCACTTCTCATTTAAGAACAATTACTGCGGCTGCGTAGCTTATTTCAAATCGTCAGACAGCGTTAGAGTTTGTATGGATTCTTGGGACAAATATCGTCGGAAAGATGTCTGTTCAAATGTTGTTATGTGTGGATGGTATGTCATCTCACTATGCCATATATTTAATTGTATAACGCTTGGTATTTGATGAATGTAAATGATCTAGCAAAAAAAAAATGCTTAATTCAACTTTATATATAAGTATGATAGTTATTGGGACGTCGTTACGTATAAGTATAAAAGTATTTATTTTATACTCTCCTGTTTTAAATATCAAACATGTCTTCATTATTCTTCCATGGAGTTCTATGACTTCTATCCTAAGTCAGCACCTTTATTGTTTGTAAATATGTGGTAAAAAAACACTCGTCTACGACAGCTTGGATAAAACACGCTCGTTATGTTAATTGCATCACCAAATCAACATTAATTAGTAATATTTATCATATTTTATTGTGCGTCTTGGCATTACCGTGGATATTTACACGTAAATGATCGTAAAAATGTGCGACCTCAGAGTGTGGAATTCTTTGATAAACTGCGCGGTGTTTCGTTCCATCTGTTTTAAAATGATCTTCTTACAATTCATGGAGAATGCTTCATGTGGTTTTCTAGCGATATCTCATCGCACCTTTGCCATCACGCGCAAACAAGATTAAGTAACGTGCACCGTGGACATTTTAAAAAGCGAATAACTCAGTGATATACTTTAGTATCTTTCTATTTTGATATTATATAATTGACCCTGATTTCTCATGATCGGCATTCTTATTGTCAGATTGACTAATATGTTTGTTTTTGACAGTGATCTGTGATTGTCTGGCAACCGCACCCGGAAAACCATTAGGTAACTTATTTCCAAGCGAAAAATAGAACATTAAGATCAGAGACACGATGGCACTGTTTCACCCTACAGTCGTCTGTCGTTTGAAAAATTGAGACTTTGTTTCTTTGCTGCAAACCATTCGAAAGGGTACTGGGTACTTATGCATGCATAACTGTGGCTCAATAAAAAGCATGGGAAACACACTTTGCTCATTGTATTATAATCGTTACAATGTATGGTAGATAAGCAATTATTTTAGACGTGAGAAACAAATATAATTAAGATAGAATGATAAAAAAAAAGCACTCGCCTAGTGTATAACAGCAGACTGGAATTCGAAACAACTAATTGCAACAATTAGAAAAATTAGTTACCATAGCGAGGATATGATATACGCTCTTAGTCAGTAAAATGTAAGGGAACATGAGCTCTCTGTATCATGTATATCAATGCATATTTAGTCGTAAAAAGCAGATGGTGCTTAACAAAGTTTAAACACTTAACAAAATGAGAGATTTAGTCCAGTTTTTATTGTTGCTATAATTGTCAACAGTTCCGTTGGAGCTGGTCGCCATCTGTTCTTCCTCTAGAACTAAGTGAAACCCAGCACTTACTCAGAATTGCTTGTGTTTGTTTATAGCATGCTCATAGATTCTGCAAAGTTACGAAGTTGTAAGACGAGTCAGAGTGTGTTGTGACATCTATACAACAATACTAAGGCGTGTTGCGCGACCTTTAAACTGCTGGGTCATCTTTTTTAATTCTAGTGTAAGAAGAGAGCTGATTTTAATGAGATTATTTTCACTGAAATCGAAACTGGAATTCTTAAACACCTTGATCGCATTGTTCCTAGAGATTAACTAGTTCTAGATGGGCTTCCTTTCGAAAACTTGAAGGCCATTTGAACGACTTAACAATGTTTAGGAATTTATGTCTAATTTCATAATATTGTCATTGTAGGTGAGACAAAAGTAAAAACAAGCCAAGCTGCGTGTGTTTCTAACTTGAAACAGAGCATCGTCCGAAGAACCGAATGCCTTCTCAATGATATTCAAACGAACATTCAACGCGGTGATATTCAGTCAGCAGCTGTGTCTCTGTGCCATGCGTACTCGCTTGCTCCACGTCGTACTAAAAAGCAACTAAGAAGAATCGAAAGAGGGGCTTTGAAAGATCTTGTTAAAGTTTTAGAGAAACTCTGCACAGAAAACAATAAGGATTCTTCTTTGTCAGTCAAGAAAATATCCGAGCTGATTCTTTTGCCCGAAGTTGATCCGAATAATTCCGTCGCTTGGCGAGTTAGACTATGGGCGTTACTCGAGTCGGAAGAATACGAAGAGGTGGTCCTGAACACCGATAGACTGCAAAACATACCGAAGTCTGATGAAACCGCAGACCTTTATTTTATGTGTTCGCTCGCTCACATGAAAGTTGGAGTCAAGGAAACTGGGGTAGAATTATATCTGAAGGCCTTCCACATTGATACAACCCGAGCGAATAAATGTCTTTCTGCTATTAGTGAGGAGAGTAAAGATGTCATTTATGCTACATTCTTGGAGAAGGCAGCCAAACTTCATAGAAATATGACGTCGCTGAGCGCGAAGGATAACGTTGATATGTTGAATTATTACGCAGAAGTTTTGAGACTTCATCCAAACGATGTAAATGCTTCGGAAATCTATGGTCAGCTTCTGATGAAGGTGAGTAAATTATTGTATTTAATATCGCAATATAAATACTGTAATATTTCCACCCTGTTACTAATCACTTGTAAATAATCCTCTAATCCCACATAATCTGGGCAACGCCCTTTTTTTGTATGTACACTATATTCTCACCGTCTACAGTGACATTGACAAATGTTAGCCGTGCGTTCTTGGACCATTGCCAGCACTTGAAGGATCGTAATATGCTATGTCTTCTTGCCCTCAGGTGTTTCGATACGAAGATGCTAAAGTTCTCTTTGGTCGTGTAATTGACCATCTGGAGTCCCAAGGAAATCTTGCTGATGCTGTTCACTTCAGACTCTATCATGCCGAGTGCCTGGTTAACATTGGAAACTTTGACGAAGCAGTGTTAGACTACTTGGAAACAATGCTTCACGACTCGTGTCTGACACAGATCACACTGCAGTCTCTCTCTAATGCTCACGTTACGAAATTAACTTCGTGTATTATCGACCAAGCTTCGGCGCTTGTCAATCACATTTCGTGTCCCGAAGAGTCGGATCCGAACGCCTCCGACGGCGCCCTTCAACTGTATCACCGCCTGTATAAATTGCTGTACGCTATCGACAGTGAAAATACAGATGCACTGCGAAAATGTGCTGAGTCGTTACAGGTTGGTTTCACTTTATAAGAATATTATGAAATTGCACGTTGCAAAGCTTTCGGTCTGTTAGTTCTGACCATATTGTCGTACAACCAGGAGATGGTTTGGATTAATGGGTCGAAGCTGCTTTCCAGCCACTATAAATTTACATAGTGTGCAGTCCTCCAACAAATATTTGTGTTTTATGAATTGCAACCCTCGTTACTGTTGTAGGTCGCAGGAAAACACGAAGACGCCGTCGCCTTGTTAACGGAAGCTATTCGGAAGACGCCGTCAGTTCATTTGCTATGTGAGCGAGCTATGTCATACCTGGGAATGAGAAATTTCACGATGGCACAAACGGATCTGGAGTGTGCATCCCACTTGCAGGCGAATTCAATCGAGCTTCTCTGTTGCAAGAGTTACTTAAATTTTTTAATCGAAAAACCGGAAAAAGCGGTCCGGGATGTGAGCTTGGCATGCGAGATCAGTTCATCACGCACTACGAAAGTGCTGCAGAAGTTCACTGAAGAACAATTCAAATTGATCTCGCACGGAACAGAGAAATACATTCATGAATGCATCAAGAAGACAAAACCTAGAATTAAAGAGAAATCGAAACTTTTGATAGCATTATGTGATCTGCTCGTTGGCCTCTCACCTACAAGACTTGAATGTTATCTGCAGTATAGTGACGTGCTTGTTGCCATGGATATGCAACAGGAGGCCCAAGCAATAATGTTACGAATGGTAAAGACGACGCCAAACGAATGTCTTCCAATAATACATCTTGCTGCGCTTCGTATGAAACTTGGTAATACTGAGCTGGCGCTGGAAGGTTTGTGTAGCGTTCTACGTGACGTGGATGAGGAGAGCTTAGCAGCCGAACTTTCTGAGTTTCCGAAAAAAGAACGTGCGCAGATATCTCGCGAGGCCAACACGCGGGGGTTAACTCTGTTTCGCGAGGAGAAATACTGCGAAGCCATTGATTGTTTTGGCGTTGCCATAGCAGCAGCGTCATGTCACGCTCCGGACGCCTTTTTAGCCAGAGCAAGATGTCTGGTGCAGTTAAAACATTATTTCAAAGCGATCAGTGATTTCACGGCAGTATTGAAACGTACGCCTTCGTGTGTGGAAGCACGATGTGGTCGCGCATGCGTGTATGTAATACTTCAAGAAGATCTTGAAGCAAGTCGTGACATTCTCTTCAGTCTTCATACAAACATTCCAGCAACAACGAGGTTTTTATCCGCACTTCCTGAACTAAGGCTCCGGATGATGCTGTTCACTTTGGAGAAGTACCTTCAAGTGGCTTTTGCATATTGCGGAAAAAATGGCGATGTTGCATCAACAATTCAAGAGGATAGTTTCATGACGTGTGGAGAATCCCTCTTGCTTCTCTCTGATCTTCTTGTCAGCTTATGTCCAGAAAATTCCAAGTATCTTAGCGTCTTGGGCGATGCTTTGATCGTACACAAACGCTATCCCGAAGCAATCACGAAGCTTAAATCAGCACAGGAGTTATCACCCCTTGACGTATCCATTACAGCAAGGATTTCTTTACTACACACGAAGGTGGACGACCACGAGGCGGCGATGAACGAGCTCACGAAACTCGTGGACGACTGGGAAACGTTGGCGTTTTGTGTTCAAGCGATGGATGAAGGAGCCAAGTGTAAAATTGCACAATCTTCATTTAAACAAGGGGAACTCTTAAAGAGTAGGGAGAAAAATGGCGAAGCATTGAAGTTTTATTCAATAGCTGTGGCCGCGTCGTGCTGTCGTGATGCCGGAATTCTTCGCGCACGTGGAAAATGTTTGGAAGTCCTTCAGGAATACACGCGCGCAATTCGTGATTTCAGTATGGTGCTTGCGCTGCCGAACCCACTGATTAGTGATTATTGCGCACGCGCTGTGGCATACATGATGGATGACGACGATGAGAAGGCATGTCGGGATTTCATTTCAGCGCTCGAACGTGATGCGAATATCGCACGAAATATGATTGCCTCTCGTCCTGGAAACGCCTCCGCTCTCGGGATCTTTCTCACGTCAGCTCGTATAGCACATGCGCGAAAAAACTACGAAAAGGGTCACAGTATTTGTGAGTTTGGTCTAATGTTGGACGAAAATGACTCAGATCTTCTAGCAATCAAAGAAAAGTGCGAGAATCACATGCAGAAGTGTATTTTAATGTAAACTTAAAAGAAGCGTAAAAATTTGAACTTGTTTTATTATGTAAATATGAAGATGTTGAACAACACCAGTGTGTGTTGTGTTGTGTGTGGAAGGAAAGATTTATTTTAATTTATTGTCTAATTTTTGAAAAAGAAATAAAAGCACGGTAACCCACATTGATGTGAATTTCCCTTTCTGGTGGTTGAGACTTGTAAGTTATGATGGCACTGAGAACTTCCCAAAAACAAAGGATCTAATTGAGACTGTGACATTTCACAATTATTCAAAAATCTTTATTGATTACAAAACATTATCTGGAAAATAACAAACTGTGAGGAATGGTGTGTGTGTTTCGTGCTTCCGTATTGCATAATTCACATCCCTATTAAAATACATCTATACTGAATCTATATTACATGCACTTATAATTAACTAATTGTGCGCTTTTAGAAGTAAAACAATCCTTTTTAATTCGACTGCATGACCTAGCTACAATGACGACAAGATTTCGCACAATTCTCTTTCATGTAATTTTCATATATTCCTTGACAAAAGCCTCTGCCTGACCACCTTTGACAATTTCTGTTTTTGTCCATACATGGTTCTAGAAAAAAATCGATTGTTAAAAATTTGAAAAACTGACGTAGGTTCGTTTTTCTGCCTATAAGGTGGCTGAATATGAATATTCTGCTTATATTTATTAACCGAAAAAAGAAGCCTGGGAAACAAGATTAAACTGCTATTCATAATTATCCATGTAAAATTTCAAGCACTTGTTTCCTTACCGGGACAATTGTCACAAGATTTCGCACAATTCTCTTTCATGTAGTTTTCAAATCTTCCTTCACAAAACCCTCTTCCTGCCCAACTTTCACAACTTCTGTTTTTATCCATACATGTTTCTATAGAAAAATATCAGTCGTTGAAACTTTGGTGCAGTTTCGTTCAAGACTACATGGACAATGATTGTCTTATCGGTGGGTTGGCAAGGAAGATTGGGTTTAGATGTTGAGAACGTTTGTTCTATGTTTATTTAAGCAGTTGGTTGAACTACATTTGATGACAAGATGTATGTGGAAACTATGTACATTATCTTTATCACGATGGGCAATTTGTATTTTTATCACAACAAGAAGCTGGAAATAGGGAAAGATTTCTGTAAGTGCGTATATTTCTTTGCGGAAATAATGAATTGATTGGAACGTTGGATTTTCTAGTCGAGAATCGGGACGAGCTTTTATAGACGACGGACTGGTATTGATAATTACCTCCTGTTCCAGTACCACCGCCGTCTGTACCACTGCCTAAAATAAGAAAATAAATGATAACTTTGAGCATGAGTTATTTATATTAACGTTTAATAATTTGGTGAAGTGTTTCAAACAATGAATTCGTTACAAACAGCAGCGTTGAACAAGCAAACTACTAGAAGTAATATTTAGTCACAGCCACAGAAGAAATTTAAACTGCATCCCTCCCAAAGCCTCCTTAAAGCAGAAGTACCGGTGCAGTATATTTACATACCATACAAGGATTGGATGCCTTCGATATCATCTCTATGTAATCTAAGGTTTGGATCATATCCATTATAACTGGGCCACATGATCGCGCCCCTGACATTGGAATGATAAAGACCCAGAGCGTGGCCAATCTCGTGAACAGCCACGGCTAGAAGATCAATTCCAGATGCTCCATTCACTGTATACCTTTCATCTTCGTCAAAATGCACCCGGCCGTTTTCAGGCAAAAATGCGTGTGCTAAAACTCTGCCTGGCCCATCGAAGGCTGCGCCATCTCCGTGTTCTCCTCTGGCAAACCTAACAAGATTGAAATTAAATATATGTTTAGTTTAAAAAATTTCTTTTTATATCCATATTTGGTATTTAAAGAATAACTTCTAATGCAAAATGGCCCCCAATGGGGCACACCCACAACCCGCCTACACTCGGTTGCCATGGTTAGCGTCAAATCAACCTAATTCAGTAAAATCACACACTTACACGATTGTAAAATCGCTCCTTCCTGATGTTACTTCGCTGAATCTAAGAGGGGTGACATTACTCCAAAATCTAAAAGCCCTAACAAAGGTTGCCTTCATTGTTGCCACAGACACGTCACCTGAGTTACGAAGAAAACGATAGGTCAGTCTTGTTTTGCGCCACTTGGAACCAGTCCTAAATGCGATTGCACGTCTTCCTGTGTCATCCACCTCGTCCGAATTACCACATCGAGGTTTCTCCATTTCCTTGTCAGTCTCTTCATCCATTTTCCCGGTTACTTTCAAATGGAAAAACCTTTGAAATCTGGCAATTGCTTTGCTGAAATCTCTGTTACCAGATCTACCAGGATCAGCATAACCAAATTTTTGCATATATTTCTGTTGGAGGTAAAGCAGAATTATCATATAAACTTCTATTCATTTCAAGTTGGTTTCTGAATTGGTCTCGAAACCATAGTCTTTACTCGGTGACCTTGAGCAAACTACTTTTATCATTGTTTCAAGGCTTGCGATGTGACCGCGGCGGAACCAAGCGCGTTGAGTGTCATTTCCTGACGCTTTTTTATTGTGTTAATATATATATTTATTTCTACTTTGACGAAAGCGCGCGATTTCACAAAGAGGTGTGAAAAATTGGTTGACGCAATTAGAATCCATATTTACAGAGTCAAAGTCTATTTCTATTTCTCATTTGACTACACGCAACATGAATATCAATTCAGAAATAACAAAAACCTTTAATTAAAGTAATATTCTCCAGTCTGTTTTTTTTTTACGCCTAAATCGGTCAGGATTCATGGCTGATTAGGGCAGTGTCGGGCCTGTCGGCAATGATTGCATTTCTTTTCATAGTTTGACCTTTGTCCAGCGCAAAGTATGATGAAAAAAACTACTGTTATCATCTTTGTGCTTGCGAAAGATCCAGACAAAGACAGTGGCATTCCGATAATGCTGTGCTGCATCAATTGTGAGAATGCATCGCTACATCATATATGAAAATAAACCATTGAAAATTCCGTTTTTTAAAGTTACACTATACGTCTCTGGTATAAGCCCATAAAACATGAAACCTGGAAACTAGTGTATATACGGCAGAATGATGCTCAATCTCGGATCGGATTATAGAAGCTTTAAAGTTGTTTTGCCTTTATTGCTTAAAATTTTCCTCACATTTGTTCGCCAGGAGATTTGTGGCATGGACATGCCGAACCTTTAAACACGTTATAATAATATAATACGCAGCTGATACATACCATTGCTTCGTCTTTACTCATCTTAGACGCATTTCCATTCGAAGAAAGATAAACAAGACACAACGTTAAGATCAATTTGAAAAACATCTTGATGTGCGCTAAATGAATCTCCCAACTTCTTCTGTCTTGTATCAGAGCCACGCTGGGTTTTTATTACCAGCAGTCCAGCACCTGGGACTGTGCCTACGTAATTCAATTACGCCCAAATATGGTAGTTTCGTTCTCTTGAGGTATGAAAACCACTGCGTTGAGGGTGTATGACAATTAAGTTTTGCAAAATAGGACGTGTTTTTCCTTGAGACCCCGTGGAATCGGAAAAGCAGTACAAGAACTTCCGATGCGCCATACATTGTGCAACCTTATCATGAAATTAGTTCCGGAATTGTGTGCTATTGCCAAACAAGGAACTCGTATAAACTGTTTTCAACAGTCTCGTTTATGAGGACGTTCACACTGCACGTAGAAATTATAAAAACGAAGCGTTTGATATAGTAGTTATATCACAAGTTGATAGAATCACATTAAATATAATACAAACCAAATCCTAAATATTTTTTTACATGTGCGGTTGTCTTACATACATTTAACATTTAGAATCAGCTTCATAACCTTCATTGTCATCACGAATGTAAAGAAATTGTGGATTTGAGACTATAATGAAGGTGTTTCAGGAAGGATTGCACTCGGCAATGGCTGTACTAAAAATTATACTCGTGTTTTTATTCATTAAATTATTCTCGGATACGATAAGTCGGTATAAAGTCTTCAAGGTCATTATACAAGTAAGAGAGAGAACACCATATATAGCTAGGCTAAAATTATCTGTTTAACTGACCCATGAATTATTAAGTTTTGCCTTTATTGTTGATGCAGTTCAAACCACCAAGGTGACTGGCTTGATTTCAAAAACACTTTTCTAGTTTTTACATAATTCTTGTTCTCAAAATAGTAACTACTAATTATGGATGGGTGTGAGACCACATTAATTAATTCTCTTGAAAAATTATATAATATTAGACTCATCACGTTGGTTCATACGGTACCATATAAGAAAAGTAGAAATAATATCACGCAAGAAGAAATGAATTTATTTATTGATATAAAAATAAACGTTAAAACAAGTTAAAACACTATGCGTTCGTTGGGTTTTTTCTCATACAGTGAAGGGTTTAGATTTCGCTAGCGATGATGACCTTACGAAAAGTATTTTTTTGAGAAGAGTTAAGTCAGTTTATGAAGGTAATTGCAGTGCTTTCCGCAGAAGACAAGATCCGTTTTTTTTTATCAGTAATAACAAATGCGTTCTAGACTTATACGGTGTAGTGTAAAGATCCGGTGATATTGTTCTTGGGAGTATCATCCTTGTCGTCTGATTCTATTTTCTTTCTATTTCCCGTCTTTTAAAGCATATATATAGCACCACAGATCTTTTTTAATGTTGGCAGTCTATAGACATAGTTATATCGCTACTTGAAAACACGTCACATGTTTTGTTGCATGTTTCCGCCTTCGCGAAGCTCATGCAACCAAACAGCGCGACCTATGAAAAAAGTTGACGCTTGCAACAGAACGTGAGCACGGTCTTTTGTTCTTCTCTTTACGGATAATGTAGACGTGCACTAAATGCTCTGTAAACGAGACGAAACCTGATACGTGTCGGGCGGCGGGCGTGTCAAGTTGTGAAACCGCACCAAAATGTTTGTTTGCGTGCATGTATCCGGATTCGTGCATGCGGAGGTAAACACTGTTGAATATTTCGAAGATGTCTGTTAGATACGATACAATTCTACCAAGATTCAATTGATCCTGGTTTCCTGGTATTCGTATTACCCTGACTCTTTTTTAAAAAACTTGTACAAACTGGTATGACATTGTCAAGACTCGCATGAATTAAGGAGGAAAGGATTAGCCACATTTTGTTCTGCTTCAGATTAGGCGCAAACGTTCCTTAGATTGATGTAAAACATTCATTTTTGGCAAAGGAAAGATTCTCTGACCTCTAGCTCTATCAACCCGCTCATGTTTACTGCCTGTCAATTATCTTTCGTCATTCCTTAAAACAGCTATTTCGTGGACCCTTTTAACGACTCTTAATCGCTACAAATCAATGAATTCATCAGCCTAACTGCCTAATCCATCCAGTAAGCCGAGTCATAATCCCGTCAGGATCGTAGCGGGCCACATAAAGTATTAATGACGTTTTGCGCAGGCAGTAGACAGCGTCTACGATAAAGCGCACTAGTCTAGAATAGCCTTCAAATAAAGAACGCCAAGTTTTTCAACTCGCTTTGTTCTCTATCTTTATCTGTAGGCTTTTTGGGATTGACATAAATTTTAATATTTACTAATTGCTCTTCACTGCGGAGAACTCCATAGCTGTCCCATTACGGGTTTAACTTAAATTCTGTTACAAATGAGTCGGTGAAATCTGCTTTGAAGCGCTATCATTTTGCGAATAACTTAGCATTACTTCTGATATCCAATACTAAAATGTTAACAAAGTAGTTTGCCCTTCTTGTTGGACGTTTCATATTTCTGTGTAGGTGTTTATAGGCTTGGTTGCCCGCAGCAGCATTTCACGAGAGAGAGAGAGGCGTTATTTATACACAACAAGATTAATTAGGTAAGATAACACGAGTATGATATTTCGTTCAATTAAAAAGTGGGCTGAATATTTTTAATCGTTTCATAACGTGATCTAAGACTTCCTAAGTCGATGGAACATGATGAGACTGATATATGTGTATATTGGTATGTTGACGGCAAGGCTTATCCATATGTTTATCCTTGTTTTGATTTCAATCATTTGCTTAAAGAACTATACTTGAGCGCATCGTGTGCGATAAGTGACTTTGGGTGGTAAACAGAAAAGAGGTTCCTGCTGCTCCGCTTCGTTCCCGCGATAACCTCCTGATTTCTGTTGCGCTGGCAACAAAATTGTCCAACAATGTAAAGTACCCTTGATTGAACTACCTATTAGACAACGCCGCTTCCCCCCCCCCCGCTTTAGGCGATCTTCCAACACGTCCTCCCCTCCTGCTCGGAGGAAGCGCGCTTTGTTTTTATAGAAGCCCGTCACGGTGACATAAGCAAATTTTGAAGGGGGCGCACACATTACAAAATGGCCCCCACCGTCAGTTTAGTCAATGTAAGATTTACACCCAGGTAGGCGAGGTTAACTTGAATGCTTATGCCGCAGCCCTACACCGGGGTACAGGCGCTCTACACCGCTGAATTTCAAACCGCAGGCGAGAATGTCAATATCGATACGTCATACGTTCCAGCAAAGTCTTTTACTTTGAGTTTAGCGACAAGAACTATGTTTTTTCTTTGATCTTGATCCGATATTTTTATTGCTGACCTTATTTTGCACAAAACGTGAGAAGAGTCTTATCGACTAGAACAATTAGAGAAGGTAAATCATACCTCTAGTATACATGCTCAGGACAGGATATATAAACTGGCTTGGACGCCACATGAGAGATATCAGTCCCAATATCAAACTTCTTTTTACAAGTGGCAAAAACGTTGACGTTTTGATTAAAAAATTATGGATAGTCATTTGAAGCATTTTTTTCGCCAGCCTTTCGGTTTTCTGATTCACTTAGTAACTCGCTGCTCTTCTTAGGTATGCAGCTAAAACGACGATTATCTTAAAATAAGGATTACTTCTTATTTGCGAATACAGAAGATAGGCTTGGGTTCACACACAATATTTTTTGTCGCTTCAGCATCGCTGTGGTTCCGTGTTCTTTAAACAGTGAATCAATTAACTATTTTTCTGCATCTTGGATATTGTCTTTGAGGACTGATCTAATTATAGTCAACCCACTCTAAACTGGACAATATAATGGCATTGATTCATAAAATCAGTTTTATCTTCAAGACACCTCAATCAGAAGTTACTGCGGTGCTCTCTTTCATTAAGGGCGGTCATACCATATTCGAATCAAAAGACTGTGTATGTCCAGCGGAATGTCTAAGACACACAAACATGTGCCAAACGCTTCCTGCGACCATCCCATGTTAAAAAAGCAAATCAATTTCCATCCTTAGCATTCTCGATCCATCTGTTCAAAACATCGTTATTCCGTACTCATAATCGAGTAAATCCCGCGAAAGAATCGTGCGCGTTACGTGACACCTAAGAGATTCATGTTATCCTACCAATATTTTTTAGAAACGTGACCATTTTATTGACAGCTGTGTGCGGAATGTTTTTAACATTTGATGCCGGATATAGAAATAAAACGATCAAACCAATGTTTACTCTTTGAAAACGATTTCAGAAGTGCTTGATGGTTGAAAGGCAACCTTAATATATACCGCGTGTATATGGACTAAATTTAAACAAAGTGATCGCTGAAAAGTCCTAACACTTAAACAATGAAAAATAAATCATTTTAACAATTTGATTGTCTCTCGGCTTATTTCTACTTGTTAAAAACTCATGATATTCTTTCAGAAAGAATTTGAGGCATTATATCATAATCTCTAAAACTATTACAACAACACATTAGCACACAAACAACTTTTGGCTATTTGTGAGCGATTTATTATACCTAGCTGTTGTCCATAATCTACCATTTTAAACTACGAACACGCATGCAGGTGGCACAAACAATTTAGCAGTAGAACTAACTGTTTATCACCTTTAAATTACATGAATCGCGAATGCTTTCATTAGCAATAACTCATTTTGATTTATAGTTATGCAGTTCCCTAGTTTCCGTTCCTGAATTCACTCGTCTGTTCAACTGTTCCGGCATTTTTGCTGTTTAATTTCTCTTTCAAATTATTGAAATTTGTTGCATTCTTTCTTTTAAAGTTACCTGGTTTTTACTGTAGTTTGGAATTCGTAAAACAGCGAAGAAAGCCATTTGTAAAAAATGCAAGATTCAGATCAAGTAATACTGATAATAATATGATTGTGTTGATAATAATAGGAACAGACTAAACAACAAAGTAACTGCGGATTCCCATGACATCAGCGTAAATGTTTTCAACATTCCAGACCTCTGAATGCTGCCTACAGTAATTGATTTTTGCTGTAGAAATGTGGGGAAAGCCTTTGAAAATGGATGGAGTTTTTCGAGGCGTTTTTCACTGCCATGCAGAATTTATTAAGCGATGAAATTTTGCTAAAAATCAACCCTAAATAAAACGGTGATTAATCTAGGAGAATTAGTCTTTAAAGGTGATACGGCTTTGGGTAGATTGCATTCAGTCATTAACCTTGAACCTGATGTATATTATGTCGTCTGGATTACGATAAAGCACATTCGAGAATCATTACAACTCCTTCTAGTATTAGAATGTAAGTCTATTTCCCATGTGTATTATTCCCAATTCCTTCGAAAGTAAAGACGAAATCCTGATTAGGTTGGCCATGTGTGAAGTTGAGTGCGAGTTGCCAAATATCTGTTTAGTGTAAATATATCTGTTTGTTCAAAGCACTCTGAGTGCGCGACTTCATTGGTCAACACACAACTCAATACTTGATCTCCCGTCAAGCGCATTGAAATCATATACGATTGCTTGTATCGAGGATTAACTTGCATAAATAGCATTCAAAGGAACGAAAGAGTCCTTGACGAATTTTTTTATGTTCCCTCGTTGGCTCAAGCGCTAGGAGCCCCAAACCAACGATTGCAGTTATTGTTTCCGTTCGTTGTTTGGCAGCTAATTAGCATTTCATGCGCGTGTTTAATTGGCGACGATATACGCGATAAGTGGGGCCCCGAAGCACATTTAAAACGCCTGTTTCCGACCGTAATCAATCATTATTGACTCTGCCTCTCGGACGTTGGAAGTTCAAGAAATTAGCTCTCCGAAGAAACATTTTTCTACGCAAAGGTTGGTGATAGCGTCATTGCTTATTATCAATTCATGTTCATTGGCATATCATGCGCTAATTCGAGTGGCGCGCTCTTGTGTCTATAGCCTTGAAGTGTCGTTCCCTGAGAGCGCTTGAGAACGACACCGTCAAGTTGCGGGAACTCATATACTTAGATCAACTCTCGAAATTATTGCGAATATGTCATTAATAGTTGTTTATTTCAACAGGTTAACAACAAGACGTCAAACTACGATGGCTTTAAAAACGATCATAGTTATCGCTGTTTTTTTGCTGTATTCTGTGGGTACTGTACACTCCAGGAAGCGAAGGAGTAGAAATAATTCTCCTGTAAGTTTCTCACAGTTATATATCATTTCTTGTTTATGCTGATTTTGGTAAAGTTTGCACTGAACGCGTAAGAATTGAACTTGATGACCTGTTAAGATTATTCGCTCTCCCAGTGTTTCCGTTGTTACTTTGTACGAGGTTGGCTTATCCTTGAACCAAAGTCACGGTTTATTCGTGGCGTTTTTCAAGCGTTTTTCTTCTTTAAGCCGATGTGAGCAAGCGAAAAGGCTCCACTGTCCATATTTCCCATGTTGAGCATTCATAAATTCTCCGCTCATTCTATTCAGTCTAAAATCTCCACTCTGTTACGCTTTCGTCAATTAAACTGTACCTGCTGGGCTATCGATCTCCTTGTGCGCAAATCATCTGTGATATGCAGCGGCTGTTTAGCAGAAAGAAAAATTTGTTTTCACATCACAGCGTAAAACTCTCAGTTCTAAAATAACATATTATCAAAGCAACTTTAGTCATGAAAGAAATGTTGTATAAATAGATTGATAACGTTTTGAGCTTTGTCCGAAATAGGACAAAAATGCATTGGTTATCTAATACCGTAATATATATTGACACTCAGTGTTAGAAGTAGGGCTAATGATATCCCCGATCGTATTTATTAGATGAGGTTTTTGCACTAATTTTGGCCTCAATCACCATTTGTGCTGACGGCGGCGGTTTCAGAGGTTATCTCGTACTAACCTTCGATAAATGCGAGTTGTAAAAGTGCTATAATCTATCACGAATATAATGTTTTAAACCGTAGGCTCTGCAACAACTATAGACGTTGCACTAATACGCTGTGGTAAATGGATTTCTTACAGATGGCCTTGTAATTTATTCCACGCGCACATCAGCGCGATTACGTTCCGGTTTTTTCCAAAATTTCAACTGCGGCTTCGAAATCATGACGGGCTGTTACAAGGCATTCAGTTTGTGTTCCAATGGTCAAGCGTTTTGAGGGCACCGCCCAAAAGTCAACTTAAAGTTTACAAGTATCTGTTGCATAAACTGTTATACCATCTTTGCATGATTCAGGACATTTATGTCTTCAAACAAATTGAAGTAACCTGTGTGAGGTTAGGCGTTATCAGTTTCATCGATCAGTCAACAAATGTTTTACAATATCCAAGCATGGCAAGCCATCACGACTGCAATCTTATCGCTATGTACATACATCATACACAGACGTCTGCCTGCCTGTCGAGGAAATCTCAGTGTTGCCACATCGTATCGTTGCCTTGGATCTTTTTATTAACATGACTTTATCACGTTAGGAAAATCTTTGACTCGGAGCAATAACCTACCTCTAGCGTCTGATTATCAGAGTCATTCGATCCTATCACACTATACCTTACTAAGGCTATATGTACAGCATGCACATACAACAGTTTCAGGTCGACTTATGGAAAATAACTGCAGTCGCTTAAAAGCACGACTCTTCTCCTGAATTTGCGTTTATACTAAAATTAATACGCCCCTGATGACGAGTTTGTAAGACGTTGAATACCCGAGGAAATTGACAAATTTTTTACATGCATCTTCATTACCGGTTCATATTAAGTTTTTACGTTGAGTACTACGGCGGAGTATATGCTAATTAGAAGTTGTGCAATGATGTGTTATGGCCATACTAGCTACATGCTGTTTATGCAAATTTACATGAACAATTTGAGTAAGAATATTTTTTCTCTCGTATATGTTTTAAATTTCTCCCTACGATTTCCGTGAAATGTGATTTCCCGAAATATGATTGATAACTCCCTCGACTCTCGAAATCACTCATTGCTTGCTTGCATACTTGTCACTATTAGCTACATTCCACGGCTAAAACCTCTTAAGAACTGACTGTAAAACAATACCAGCTAATTTCCGTGTTTATTTTCTCACTTTATTAAGTCTAAGATTCCTAAAACAGCAGTTTTGAACATTTATTTTAACACAATGAGTGCTACCACACACAAGCCTTTGTTTGCAGTTTATAACACTCCATTATGTCTTCCTATTACGCGATATTCAGACAGCTGCTCAGATTGCGTACAATGAATAAAATTGGTCTTTCCAACCGAAGTTATCGGTTTTTTTTCCTGCAATAAAAATGAGCAGGTTTCCTTTAAAGCCACAGAACGATCAGGAAACTCACGAGAGTGTGAAACAGATAAGGCCGCAATTGATCTCCACTTTGGTCTGTTTATACATGTGAATTTGACGAAAGTTCCTGTTAGATCAGTGTGAAAATCCAGCATGGTGTTTAGATTGTAACTTTCCGAGTGCACCTCCTGTCACACCAACTGTAAAACATATGTTCCTGACAATTTGTTTTTCGCGACCCCTTGCGAAGTTTCAAAAAGGTGTTGTGTTGTTAGATATTCCTCATTAAAAATTGATAAATTTCTGGCACGCAAGCTGTCTTCTCTGTTAATTTTAAGCTCTGCTCTCGAGTTTTTAAGATTTATTTGCTATGAACAAATCAACTATGATCAAATTTTACTTCTTCCTTTTGCGTATCAAACCAATACTAGTAGATCGTATAATCTGCAGCTTAAGTTCTCCCTGCTTTTTTGTACTGGGTAATTCTGTCCAGTTATTGTTTGAACTATGTTGTTCACTCGTAGCCTCTTTCTGTTCTTCTTTGGTAAATTTTGCGACAGATGGTTGAAGCGTGTACATAAAGTTTATATTTATATGAAAACAATATGACAGCTAAGACGTGTGAAAAAGGATTTCCCACCGAAAACATTTTAAAATTGTTTATTCACTTGTGTGACCAAAGGAAGGAAGCCTTACCTTAAAACTGCTAATATCTCGATAATTGGATTGTTGATCCAGTTTTTCTGGGACTAAAGCACCTCGTCAAGTGCATGCACGTACATGCAAATATTTTGTTCAATTCTTTTCTTTGAATTACCTGAACTGAAACATCGGTTTTAACGTTGTTGTATCAGTCAGCTGATTTTGTCTCTTCGTTTGTTTCAAAGGATGCAGTTAACCCACACAAGACTTGGTTGCAATTTCAAAATTTTGCAAGCACTTATGAAGGTGGTTCCTCGGAGAAACAAAATAATTTGTACAAGACGAAGGATGGAAAAGTGGTGGTAAGCTTAGTTTATACATATTTATTTGATGAAACAGAGTTCAGTCATATGACTGCAAGAGATCTTCGTTGTTTACTACACTATTCTAGCTTTCAGTCAACAGGACATAGAGTTAGAGACCCTATGCTATACATAGTCAGTCAATTTAAAACTGATTGGAAATGGAAGAGAACAAGTGTGCCACACTTTATGCAGTCATCATCTATCTCTTATTTAATGTTTTGACACAAATTAATCAAACTGAATATACACATGCATAATTGTTAGCGCGGTTTTGCACAAATATACCGACTGCGGAGTGCAGACTTTTAACAACTAGCGTTCCTTGTTTCAGTGCAAGTGCCCTCGGGGACCTCCAGGTCCATCTGGACCACGTGGCCCACCAGGAGCTGAAATGACTGAAGCTCATTTGATGGCGAAATTTAGAACCTTAATACGAGGTACGAAATCCCAGCACTTAACCTGGGAGCAGTGATGGTTGATACTGCCTTTATCATGGGATTTGTCTCCGTGAGGTATTCATGATCTGACATGCATATTTTTAAACTTTAACAACAGCGACAGCTCAGAGGAGATCAAGCCGAATAAGAGAGACTTCCGATCAGGTAATAAGGCGCACTTATTACATGTCCTGATTTGTGCCTGCATGTTGCTGCATTATCTAAACCTGAACCACAGTTCTGGCGATAAAGAGGTTCATAGAATCTTCCTGTTCACAAAATCACAAACCACAGCAATAAATAATTTTACCAATTTAATTTCTTTTTTACACAAAGAGTTACATGGATCCTTATTCGCCATTTGTTTTCTAGGCGATGACTTTAATGGCAACTGGAGCGGCTGATCTTGTTTCTGCGTTCCACATTGAGCTAAAAAATAACGTGCAGGTTCCAAGGAAAAGCATGTTGGAACTTAGAAACTATAAAAGCAATGTGAGTGGTACTTCTGTGTATTTCGATTTAGCCGATGGCTCAACTTTGGACTACTAATGCGTTTGTCAACATGATGATCGCTGTGTGTTTTTTCTTGATACAAAACTTGTTTCCTAAGTTTTGTTCCTTGAGATAGATTCATAGATTTATTTTCTGGTCTTATCAGGTTGGTCAGTATGGTACTTTTGTCCGAGGGGATGATATTGACTTCCGTACGGGTCAGTTCACCGTTCCTTACACGGCAATCTACCGATTTTCTGCGGGCATTAACATTGCCCGATTTAGAGAGGCCAGTCTCCGACCACGTGATCTTATCAAAGTCCTCATTTGCATTGATTTTCAATGTAACAGAAATACGTAAGTTATTAGTTATGTTTACTTCATTTAAACCTTAATATAAAGCCTCTGGCCACGACGGTTATGTTTCCAATATTACTTACCTAATATTTTACACGAAAAATTTGTGGCTGTTCAGGCTGCATTCATGGAATTAGTGGGTGGAATCATAATGTTTTAACAACCTTGGAAGCGTCTGATCGTCAATCTTTTCACATATTTTAAATCATTGATATATACGCCAATTACCTAAGACCTAAGCCAACCTGCCTACCGTTGTTTATCCTGTCAACTATCAATGAATTTTCTTTTATTTCTCCTCGAGAAAGTTTCATAAAATGTTTAGCCTTTAGTTCTAAACAGGTGATATGCGTCCTTTCATATAGCTCATTGATGACCGTGAGTGGACTATCGTCAAACAGCCGGGTGTTCACAGTTCGTGTGGAAGGACTGTTATCGTTGACGGTATGTATGTTCACAGAGAAGAACTGTCTTTTTTACTATCTTCATCTTTCTATTTCTTCCATGAGTTTTGTGTATGTGCGTTACTATGACAAACTATATGCCCAATATTCTAGAATGTTGCGTTTTAATCATAAAGTATAATTTTTCTTTTGTCAAGGCTGGCCAGCATGTCTCCGTTTATGTCGATAATAACTCCGGAAATCCTGTGGTTGTTCAAGCGAGATCTACGTTTACAGGAATGCTAATTGGAATATAATCAATGACATTCTGAGAAATCTTTGCGTAACACGGAATCAATGAACTATTATAGTAAAACTATAGCTATATCTAACTTATCTGATGTCGAGGACGGAGACAACACGTTATTCATCTTCAATTCTTCGTCATTTTTTTAATGTTAAAACGTAAAAGCCTCTGTGAAACACTGCTGACTATAGTGTTTGTAAAGTATAAGCTATTATTTGTAAAGTAGATTGGCATGCATGTAGCTATCCTTGATGACATGCGTATGGACGCTGTGCAAGACCTGTGGTGAAATATTCGAATGATTTGTGTTTTGCTCAGACGAAGTGAAGATGGGAGTTGAGTTGGGAAGACTTGATTGGAAATAAGAAGCGAAGAAAATGCTAAGATTCCTTTCAGAAACCAATCAAGGAATGCTTTAAGTTGCTGCCGAAAAGAAACGCCTCTCTCGTCCTTGTTGGATGGCCAAGAGAATAAGTGTGGATTGTGTTGGGATGGCTTGATGATTTCATTTTATTCTATGTCCCATCCTCAGCAATATTTCATATACAAGAATATATTTACTGATGCTAAAAGGTCACCGAAAAAAGTTTTCTTTTCAAGTTTTTGTGCATGATCTAGTGATATATACTTAACTATTATATCTAAATGTAAATAAGCGTATCTACTGTGTAAAATTACTCTTGTGATGTTATACATATATATTATAGAATATTTATACATAATTTGTCAGGATAAGTTGAAGGCAATCCAGGGAGATTCAGATGAATTCAAGTCTGCTTAGCAGATCAATTCAACCAACTCATTGAGCCTTTTTTATACCTTTGTCAATATTTTTAATAAAAGTATATACATGATAAATAAATAACTCCAACGAACGTTATGCAGTAATACTGAACGTTTATTGTTTACGAGGTTTACTAGTAGAAGTGTTTTAGACATCACTACATGAGTCAGCTTCTTCATCTGGGAATCAAATATCGAATTCAAAAATAAAGACGATATTGATCTTTTTCGCAGCATATTCATGCAGGAAAATGCTATAACCAGTTCTTTTTATCGTAGATCTCTTTAGCCTCAAATGTACACTTCACAGGATAAAATCCCCTCGGTAAACATAACGATGTAATATTTCATTATAAATTCTTCGATACCATCGATAGTTTTGATCAATTACGCTGATGTGTTTATTGACATAGTCATTTTCTACCACTTGTACTTCTTTCAATCTCAAGTGAAGAGAAGCGCAAGTAGCAGTTAACGACATGTTATCCTGAAAACTGCTTCTCTCTCGTCCCCACTCAAAGATATAAGAACTCTTCCTAGAAACTTCACAACCCAAAATGCGCTGCTGCAGTTTCAGTCTTCCATGTTTCTAGAAAAATTTGAAGAAAAGATGAAAGCTTGACACAATATCCATTTTATATCCATTATGGCTTGTATTGTCGTTGCCATGAGAGGTTGCTGTGTTGATCCCGGAAATATAAAATTCAAGCAAGAATTATATATATATGAGAACCGCTGTTATTACTGCGGGATATCCGTTATTTATTCAACATATATGTATATATACATATATACTTTAACTGTTATTATTACTATAGCCTATAAACACTTGATGAAAATTCTCTCTGTCAATTAAAACTAACCAACAAACATCATTATACATTACGCGTCATGTTTCTTGGCTCATTCCCTGTGTGTGCACTGAAGTTAGTTTCAAAAAGTTTCGATTAGTTAGGAGTTGGAAAAAAATGCAATAAACACGTGACCGAAAAAGTGACTTTTAGCATAAATAGGTCCAACATATGGCTAATGAGTCGTACAGTACTTTATTATAGGCAACCTGGCGCCAACAATGTTTATAAAACCATTTCAAAAGCACGTTCATTGGCGTGGCTAGAACTGCATTTATTGAGGTTTCTTACTTACTGGCAGATAAGATACTTCAATGCGGTCGCTGAAGCGAGGTTATAATCACATCACATGATAGTTATCACACACAATTTCTGAAACAACTTTTCTAGCCTATCGTCTAGATCTTTCGTGGCAAATATCGAGTCTTTGTAAAACACTGTTAATGTTGACGAGAACATTCAACAATAATACATAACGTATATTATTACCCTGAGACATTCCACCTTAGATATGAATTCTATAACGAGTAATTGTGAAATAATCTAATGTTATATATATATTATTCTTTCTAAGCTTGCATGAGGAAATTCTATCATCTCCGTTCACGAACACACTTTATATATCGTCATGCTTGGGTGCATGGCTTGATAAAGATTTGAATAAATATTTTCCCTAAATGTTCTAAACTTTACCTTGACATTAGGAGAAGGAATCTAAAGACTGTCACAATAACATAATACCTCTTGGTCATAAACTTCTTCAACGTCGCCATTGCGGCATTGCCCAATTCCCTCACAATGGTCTGGTCTTTTTGCCTTTGGTCAAACGATAGATTTCTATAATTGGAATCCAATCCAAATTCTATCCCTAGTATATTTTGTTACTCTAATATTGTATCTGTTGTTGAATGCGAATATAATAACCCTTTAGAGGAGAGTAGTTTTGATAAATTAAATATAATATTTATGACACTGCCAGGTATGGGCGATAAAACTGTTTTCATAAAAACCGTCAGTGAAGAGAACTCGCAGTCCTACTGTAAGCGTTCGTTTGTGTCACGACCTTTCAACAACTGATCATACAAACTTTCCAAGAATTACTGACATAAGCGTAAGTCTGAATACCTACCTCGCGGATCTTTTAAAATTTTTATAGCCCTTGGCAGTGTTGTGAAGCGAGGCACCCTGTGAAATCCTTGTGGCTAATCTAGAAGAAGAGACTGGCGTATGTTTCATGATGGTTCTTCGTTTATCAGATAACCCCACTTCGTCGTCTTGTGCGATGAGATTGCATTTAGATGCTGTTGATAATCGAGAGGATTCGATCTTTAAGAGCCTTATGCAGACGTTTCGTCATGCGTGTCTATCGTTTTTGCATGATAAAAGAAACGATGAACACGCAATGTTAATGTATTATTCTCTGTGGATCATTCCTCCTCGGCTTCCTACTGGCGCATCTACCAGACTTTAAAAGACAAACGGAAGTATTTTTAAATGCAAATAAGCACAGGCTACCGCATTTTGTTATGTTATAACCATGAAATGACTTTAAGAGTAAGTTTCATTGCGTGTATGTTCCATAATGCTTGTTTTGTCTCCACAATTTGCATCAATCATTAGTGATGTTTGAAATACCCGTTGACACAATTGGAGCCGTCACGCGATGTAAAAAAATGAAAGATGAGGGAGAATTACAATTGAAAAACATTTTCGATGCATCCCAGCATGTTTTACAATGACCAATTGATTATATTTTTAGAGGTTTTCGGGTTTTTTCAGGCTTCAAGCTTTAATCTTCTTTGCGTGACTTGGATCAGCTTTTCATACTGGAGACAATTGCAACTCGTTATGCAATCACCTGTTTTTTGGCGGAGACAAAATGAGAAAACTTTCAGAGTTGATTGCATCTTTTTTTCATGGCTGTTAAGATAACTTCTAGAATTGCGCGAAAGACCCACACAAGTTCTGCGCTGCCCCAAAAATACCCGTGCAAGAAGTCATCAATAGTACTAAAATCCTTGTGCGCAACATACAAACGAGAATCCGTCGTGGAAAAGGAAGGGAGCTTCATTTCGAAGGGCCTTTACAAAGAGCTATTTTTATTTTGTTTTGTCTACGAATGCATGCAATTTCCACCAAGGAAACAAAGAGACTATAATACCATTATGGCTTGGGCCATCTGTGTTTTCGCTTGAAGATACGAACAACGACGATAGGATACGATCTCCCTGACTCGGGGTCAATCGTTGTGATTTCGGATTTCGTTTTTCGCGTTCGTTCTCACGTGTCGATGATGTGTTGGGAGACCTGTTAGAGTGATTTAAATTTTATATAATTTTTGATTTCTTTTTAAAATGGGCTATCATTTGATAAGTGTTGAACCACTAGTAAATTTGACTGGCCTGGATGGCGCTGTAATACGACTTCTTACTGGAATTTTTATTGGTAAGTTAAAAAATAAAGATTTCACATTGTTTACATTGATGAGACCATGCCGTCCTGACTATTGATTGCTGACGGTCCCGTCAATGGTGTCCTAAAAACAATGCCTTTTTGTCCAAGATACATAGATTTAAGAATAAATATAGAATCCTATAATTTTATTATTTTGGGAAGCAATTATGTTACGCATTATTTTGCGGTTTTGTGTGACCAGGAAGTGCCCTACTTTTATTTTCGACACCTTGTTTGACAGCAGACAATTTTAATCACGAGTAAACACGATTGCTGTCAGTTTCTAGGTCAGAGTCTGGTCAGTTCTTTTGTATTTCGCATGCATTTGTATTTCATTGTGACTAATTCCTGATGCATTAGTGGTTGAGCTGATGAGCTCTAATGGTCCACTACAACCCAACAAGTTGCAAATCACAGTAACAAATTCAATGGTTCTTAAACATTAAACAAAAACAAGTTACTACAAGGCAATCGTTTTAATCATGCACTTAGTCAGGTTAGAGCTTTGCATGAATTAGTTGTTTCATGATTGCATGTGGCAATAATCAAAACATAAACTGTTCATATGTTTTTCCAATAGCTTATCCTTTGGCATTTGTGTATGGTCTTATCTTGTACAAGAAGAATCCAACTCTTCAGGTACCATATGCATATACTTAGTCATTGACTCATTGACCTCTTGTTTATAGAAAACACTGCTTATTGTATATTGCTGAACATTACCAGTTAAATTCCTCTCAAAAGGAGTTGATCAAAATTCTTCTCAAAATGAGTTGATCTTGACTGTGCATATATATAGGATGTTAATTGTCCAATCCTCACCATGCATTTTATCTATTCAACCATCCTTTTATGATTTGTTTTTAGCATTTTTTTCTAACAGTATATGGTGTATTTCTGGCAGTATTTCTATATGGTACTGTACAATATATTATTCACTAATTATGATATCTGATTTTTTGACAAAATTTATTGTAATAACGAATCAAAATCTTTCTCCCATAGGTCTTGAAGGTCTTCATACCGTAGTTGCTATAATAGTACAGTATTTGTTAATTCATCTCATTGGGCCAAACTCTATGATGATTATAGCAAGCTTCGCCTTTCAAATGGTAAGTTTCTAGTACTAGATTAAATATCACTTTGAGCAGAGAGTAATTTGTGTTTCTTTGCTTTTTTTTCAGTGCTACCTGATTATTGGTTATTGGGTTTATTCAACAGATCTATATGATATTGCCTGGACAACAGCCCAATGTATTCTAGTGTTGCGTTTACTTGGTAAGCAACACCTAATACCACATTATTTGCTAGAGATAACCATTTAGAGTGTATACACATGCACAATTCCTTTTTATCATTTTTTTTCCTATAAAGGTGTTGCATGGGATACCTATGATGGGGCTCAAGATTTGGTAAATGAAATAATTATTATCAAAGGCCTTTGTTTAAGCATTATAATTATTAAATTATAATTTATTTAAAATATTAGGAAAAAGCTTCAGCTGATACAAAAGAAATGGCTTTAAGAACTCCACCAGGCTTTTTAGAGGTAAATTACTAAGTACATTACTCCTATAACATGATATATTATTTCTTGTTTTGTTGCATTATAATCTTAGTTGAGTTTCTTCTCCTTTCCTTCATGATATCCAGATGACTGGCCACGCATATTTCTTTGGATCATTTATTGTTGGACCACAGGTAAAGTCATCAGTTGTGGTATTTAGTCAAAGACAAACGATTCAACTTTATAATAATTTTACTTATTTGTTTTAGTTTCCAATGTCTCGATACCTTTCATTCATTAAAGGAACATTAATCCCTCCAGAGCATGATCAGCAAAACATTAAGTATGTATACATACATCACAGACCAAATCATATTGAACAAGTCCTTGCTCAAGTACCATAATAATTTATTGACAGGATTAAGAGAGGTCTTCTTCGTTTGGCAGCTGGAATTGTTTATCTGACTTTTCATGCATTGATTGAGCCTAGTTTTAATAATGCATACTTGGTTTCCAAAGAATTTGAGGTAGTTAGAAATATGTAGAATTTTTTCAATTTTAACAGTAATTATGGGAATGAATACATTATTATAAATTTTGTATATATTTTTTATTTTTTAGACTTTGTCATTGATAAAGAAATTTGCATATATTACAGTGTGGGGTAGAGCAGCTCTTTGTAAATATTTGGCAGTTTGGCTCATTGCAGTAAGTTTAATTTTTCAACTTTGGGTGGAATTCAGTGTTAGCTTATATATGGGAGGGGAAAACACAGGGAGTTGATTGCAAGATAGCAGTTTCAAGAACAGATTCCCATTATTAGAGTTTTACCATGCACACTCTATTCTAAAATGAAGATTGTTTTATAGGAAGGCAGTTGTATTATGAGTGGTCTAACTTATAATGGCAGAACAGAATTAGGTGAAGCACGTTGGGATGCTCTAAAGAATTGTAAGATAACAATCTATGAGACGACAATCACACTGCAAGTAAGTATTGATTGTCAGACGTTAAACAATGTTAATTGGACCACTTCAAAACTGTAGCTAATGTCCATTGTGTATTTTTCTAGGGTGTCATTGATTCATTTAACGTCAATACCAATATGTGGATGAGCAGGTGAATATATTTTCCAGAGTTCCTAAAATGTGAAGTTTTGACATATTACATTTTGTGTTTTAGATATTTATTCAAACGGTTAAGATTTTTGGGCAACAAGACATTATCTCATGTGATCACATTGATGTTCCTAGCCATATGGCATGGTGTATATATTGGGTACTTTGTGTGTTTTTCGTCAGAGTATTTTTACATCAATGCTGAAAAAGAGGTTTGTTTATGAAGTTTAGAATCTATCAGTATATTTTTATTTCGTTTAAAAATGTCTGTTGCAAATTTTATTTATAAAGATTCTCACAGTTCTTGGTCGAGGTGAAGAAAAGATTAGCCCAACTAGTTTGATATTCAAGATAAGATGGGTTATTATGTATCTCCTAAAGGCATTTATAATGTCGTATTGTTTGTTGCCTTTTGTACTTCTTACATGGACCAGGATTTTTCAGGTAGGAAACATGTTAACTGCTTCTGTTAAGTTAATTATAAAGTGGTCTATGTCTGTTTTCAAAGCTAGCTTCTTCAAAATAGCTTTATACTAAATGTGTCGTGCACATAATAAACAGTAAGTGTATTTTATATTTCAGGTTTACAAAACAACATATGCCCTTCCACATCTTTTTGTTCTGGCTTGGGTGATATTTTACAACTTTATTTATCCTTCATTGCGAACTAAGGAATCAAGCAAGAAGAAAGAGTAGTATGAAAAATGCATTTTAGTGATTTTGTTTCCAATCTGAAAGTTACCAAATCTTCTATAACTACAATATGATTATACGAGTTTGTCTTGAGTGCTGTCGAATATCCACGTTAGTGTCTTGACAAATGACAAATGTTAAAAGTCTGTTAAATTATATATTTGATTAGATTGAGGTCTTTACAAAGATTGATCCCCACCAACCGATATCCTGTAAAAAATTTAATAAATATTCAAATATAGACTTCAGGGTTGTAAAAACAGTTTATTAAAAGCATTCTTTTACGCTAAATTATTTTAAACACAAAGTTTTTTAATTGTACACTTTTCCTAGTCTTCTTTGGTCTTGCTTTCATTACGATGATACAGGAAAACGAAAGAGAAAAAGAACAACCCAGCCATCATGGAGAATGCACTGGTGTAATAAGGATAGGCAGAGAATATGAAACGTTCATACTGTGTATGTTGCAGAGGTCGAACTGAAACCTACGAAAAAAAGTTGAATCAACAATTAGGAATCATCCTGAATATTTTGCTAAGAAGAGGAAAACTGCAGTCATGAAATCAAATTGGCATTCTTCTTGGTATTTCTTCCATACCTGTCTGTGACTATGCAAGAAGGAATACCCAACACGTTCATAATCAACTTTAAAGGTAAAAACGCCATAGACATCAGGAAGTTTGAACTGAAGATGGAACTTGTTATCTTGAAAAAAATAAAGATATATTTATATCTTTCAAATATATTTATTTCCCTGAAATATTGCAGAGGTGACAGTACCTTTCCTTTTCAATTTGGTACGAACAAATGGGTCAATTCTGACAAATTCCATCTGGACATCATCTCCTTTGAATGGGATCCACTTTCCATTGACACGCTCTTCTATCTCAATTGTGTAGACCTTAATACAAAATTCACTTCATCTATAGTGCTAGTATTGAGTGAGGAAAACAGGTTAGTTTTCCATTGACTTACAACAACATCTCCAATAGTATATGCAGCAGGTGGGGATGTCTCTCCTGCAAGATGATGTTTTACTTCCCCTACGCGAAGTACTCCACTTTCCTTGAAAACCCAGTTAGCAAGGGATGTTGCCACTTGCTGATTTCCAGATTTAGAAAATCTGAGTAGAGAAATGGAGAAAAGAGGTGAATGATTGGTTTATTTGGACATGTCATTTTCATAGCTTTTGGATTTAACATTGCCTACCTTGCTCCTCCTGTAACTGCAAACTGGACAGATGATTGAAAGTATCTAAGAACAGAGATTGCAAGAATCATCAGATTTTGGTTTGTTGTGAAGTAATGTATTACTTGTACAAGTGTGTGAGAGGCTTATCTGGAGACTTGCACTACAATAATGTGATTTCTTACTCATCACTGAAGAAATCTAAAGAGCCGGCAAACACTACACGAGCATTGTTTCGAGCTTGCATTGCTGTGATCAACAAGGTGCTCTTGCCCACAGCATGAGGGTATTCTGATATGGGAATGTCAATGTGATAGGAATATGACGACGATGAAGCTGTTAGCACTTCCAAGAGAAGAGGATTGTCTGGATCAACAGTCATTCTAAAAGTATATGTTTGAAAATTAAAAGAATTGTCTTTGATAAATTACTAAACAAACCCTGCCAATCAATTTGCTTACCCAACACCTTTAAAAAGAAGTGGTTCTGCTGGGGCTTGTCCAACAATCAGAGGACTTTTAAGAAGGTTTGAAGGAGCTGATAAAATCTTGGTGTGCTGTAAAGCAATGATATAACTCTAGAAATGTTTCTCTCCACAAAAATGTCTTTCACTGATTGCTGTATTTAAGTGTATGTATTTATTCAGCATGTAATAGCTGTACATACTTCACCCTCATCTGAGACATCATAGCTGATGTGATCAATAACAGCTGTTTTTTCCTCATCAAATTCAACACCGCATTCACCAGCAAGTTCTCGAATTGGATCCCCTTGGAAGATCAAATTTTCCATTATGTTAAAACTGAATGAGCACTAGCAAAAAAAAGAGTCTTGACACAAGACCATCACCTACCAATATCAGAGCTTCCAACAACAAGAACATTGCGGCCAGCATCGATGAATTCAGTTATAGCACTCACACTTACAGAGCCTCCAAATTCTAAACATTAGAATCATTTATGGTGAAATACAAATACATGTTTCTGTATAAACCACAGTTTAACAAGTGTACAACTCTTCCACTCTACCTTCAACAGATGGGGACAACAACAGCAAGTGATCATACAAAAATTCTCCATATCTGCTTAGGCTAAGGGCTGCATCATCCGCTAGTTTGATTTTCACCTCAAAACCTTTATCTTAAAATAAAACAAGACGAAAACCTTATAGTTCCTAGATACTATAGTAAACGGAGTAGTATAGCTTACAGCCTCGGATACTATGCAAGCTGTGTTGTTAAATGCACGAATCGCCTTTTTCAATTCCAGCCTGTAGTTTTTATGCAAAGCATATTTGCACTACAATATGCAACAAATGGCAACAAAAGTTACAAAACAGTACACAATAGCATGCTTAAAACTCCAACCTTTTAACGAGTTTAAAAAAATCGAATGTGTATCCTGCGTGTTAATATTATCGACTAGCACAAGGATTTTGCCAGCACTATGGACAAAACTTGCAGAGAAGAGCACGAAAAGGCAAAAAACAGCCAACCCCTTTGTCAAAAGACACGTGTCCTTTCTCGCCATTTTGGAAAAGAACTTCCAGTTTGTACAGACGATCGGAAAATGCCGGAATCTCTCGGAATTTGTCAATTTGATCTCTTTTAAACTGGAGCCACTGGAGCATAGATCCATGCCAGTGAGCTGTAAATATCTGGAGCGCTGCCTCCAAAATTTGCGAATTGCGATACATTTTATCTATGATTTTACAGCTAAAAATTATGAGAAAGTTAGATGATATATCCAAGTTCATCTATATTTTGCTATTTGGCAGTGTTCTTTTTTAGGGCTTGCATGTTCATAGATAATAGTTCAAAACATTTTTTTTCGTTGCGTGAAAAGACTGGACATGACTTGATTCACTTCCGGTCGAAGGTCGTCACACGTGCTTTCTACACACTCAAGCGCAATATGCAGAACATTTCATCATTTTGATATAAAATAGCAAAAGTTTCGTTTATTGTTCAGGATGTCGTGGTTATTTGGCGTAAATAAGCAGCCTGGTTATTCAGGTCCCCCACCTCAATTTCCCCCACCTACTGGTGGTGATGATGGTAATGATAATTCACCAGGGGCAGGGAGTGGTGAGGGTAAGGATGGTGATAAAAATGGCAAAGGTGGAAAGCCCCCTGTATGGGCCAATTTTGATCCAACTGGACTTGAACGGGCTGCACAGGCTGCCAGAGAGTTGGACAAGTCTAGTACGTATAAAAAATATCATATCCGAAGATATTTGTTGTGGATAAATTGTTCAATCACCTCAATGAGTTGAATGATACAAAAGGATAAATTTTTCATACAGGACATGCTAAAGATGCGCTGGATCTTGCTCATGTTCAAGAATCAACAAAGCAGTTGGAAAAACAAGAAAAAATTAAGGTCATTATATTATTGTATTGAATTATTGTAATAATCAGTATAGGTTTGTTGGTATATTTAGGCAATTTTGCTTGTCATATGTAGTTTTATCAAAGTATGTATGTGGTCATTTAGGAGTATGAGTTGGGTATCAAACAAATTGATATTGAGAGAATGCGAGCAGAACAGGAAGAACGGAGAAAGACAATGGCAGAGGAGGCAAAACATAACCAACAGGTAACAAGGGATCTCCTACAGAATGTATGCTGATCATACACTTTATAACCCAGAATCATTAAGCACTTTAATTCTCTTTTTAGAAAGCCCAGTATCAAGATCAGCTGGCAAGGAAGCGATATGAAGATCAGTTGTCCCAACAGGTATTAATGTGAATATGATAGATTGTCCTGTTTTACCTTTCAGTCATACCCACATGTAGATGTGATTGAAATTATAGCGGAGTGTAAATGAAGAGAATCTGAAGCGACAAGAGGAGTCTGTCAAGAAACAAGAAGCTTTGAGAAAAAGTATGAGACAATTTACAACTATACCATAATTTTACGTAGATTTTAAGAACTCGTTAAACTATCAGGTTGTTTAATAATTTTGTTTTCTAAAGAAACAATTGAGTATGAAGCCGAACTGAAACATCAAAATGAAATGAAAAAACTTCAGGCGGAGCTAAAGGGAAAGTAAGTTCTACCATGATCAATGTGTAACATTCATGTTCTTTGAGTAAAACATTTAAAACCTTTACTCAAATGTAATCAACAACCTTGTGTTATGATTAGGGCAAAAATTGAACGTGAAAATCGAGATATTCGCCTGGAACAAATCAAAGTTGAAGCAGCAGAAAGAAGACAAACTATTTTGGAATCTATAAAGTAAGCTCTAAAACCTGACAGACACCTCAACTAAATACATTCTGACCAGAATCCTAAAACTAAAATTCTGCAGCTTGACTATTGCAGCATGCAGTATTGCATATATCAACCAATAAATACCAACTAATGTATTCATGAACATTTGTTAGAACTGCTGGCAGTATATTGGGTACAGGAGTAAATACTTTCATATCAGATTGGGATCGAGTAACAGCTGCAGTAAGATTTTTTTTTCTTTTTATAATATACCGATAAGCCATTGAAGTATTTTTAATACCAAGTGTTGTTATTTTAGGCTGCAGGAATAACCCTTTTTGCTTTTGGCATTTATGCTGCAAGACAAGCTACAGGGGTTGTAGGAAGGTAAGTTCCAAGACATGAAGCATTTTTCAAGTCCACGCAGTTCCTGAGTTTTTCTACAATTTCTATTCTTCACAAGATACATTGAAGCAAGGTTAGGAAAACCATCCTTAATTCGTGAAACATCAAGACTAACTGCTGTTGGGGCAGTCAGACATCCCATTTTGGTAGGTTTTGAAAGCTTATAGATATTATTCACTTGCTGTTGTGACTGGCAAACAAAATAAAAATATATTCTTCGCAAATCTATCCAATTAAGATGATAAAAAGATGGCTTCTGCGACCGCAAGATACGTTGCAAGGAATAATCCTAAAGGTATTGGCATTTTTTTATTTCTTTTTTTTATCGGCAATACTTGCACTACAGAAACGTTCTCTTATTTAGCCCTCCTTAGAAAGCAGACTGCAAGAAATATCACGTGCAACTGCCAACACTAAACGCAATGGCGGAGTTTATCGTAACTTGTTATTTTATGGGCCGCCAGGCACCGGGAAAACAATGTTTGCCAAGGTAATGAGCAGTTATCAGCATATAGCAATTAGTTGCATTCGTCTTCAGCGAATTATTGCGATCATTTTAGAGTCTGGCAAAGCATTCGGGCATGGACTACGCGATTATGACAGGAGGTGATATTGCTCCTATGGGAAGAGAAGGTGTCACTGCAATGCATAAAGTTTTTGACTGGGCATCAAGCAGTGGGAAAGGTGTTTTATTGTTTGTTGATGAATCTGATGCCTTTCTAAGAAAAAGAAGCACAGTACGTGAACTACGAATTGTCTATTTTTGTTGTTGTTTTACGTTTTAGTTTATCATCAGAACCTGTTTTTTCCAGGAGAATATAAGTGAAGATATGAGAAGTACACTTAATGCATTTCTTTATCGTACAGGAGAAGCATCAAGAAGGTAGCCATTAGCAGTGATTCTTTTATAAATCTATGCTATTCATATTAATAATGCTGCCCAAACTTTATTACGGAGTCCGACTGTTTCTTGTAAAAATCACAATGTTTCTTCCCGTAAGGTTCATGCTTGTCCTCGCCAGCAACCAGCCGGATCAATTTGATTGGGCAATCAATGATCGTTTAGATGAAATGGTAGAATTTTCACTCCCTTCAACTGATGAACGAGAAAGACTTGTTCGAAAGTACTTCGAGGATTATGTTTTAAATGCTGCCGTCACAGGAAGAAAGTCAAGGTAAGGAAAGCATAAAATACAAGGCTTAGATTTAGAAGCTAGCTATCAAAGAAGTGGAAGGTAGCTATATTATAAGGAATGGTACATCACCACGGTTTCAATTATTTATCATCTGAAAATGCATAGCTAGCAAACTACAAATAAATCAGTTTTGTTTTACAATTTAGTTCGCCTAGCTTGACTTTCACATCTTTTAGGCGGCTTAAAATCGACAATTTTGACTTCAATACATTGTGTCGAGCAATTGCTGAAAAGACGGAAGGATTATCTGGTCGAGAAATCGCAAAACTTGCTGTTTCCTGGCAGGTATGTTTTGCAAATGATGAAATAAAAAATGGTAAAGAGGCGTCTTTTATTTAATCATTCGTTAAATTCATTCAGGCGAGCGGTTTTGGTTCAGAAGATGGTATTCTAACCGAAGCAATGATAGAAGAAAGATTGGAAGAGGCTATATCACAACATGGCCAGAAAGTTGACTGGCAGAGAGGAGATACAATAGCACCAACTAAACTTATGATTAAAGGTTCTAAGAAAACTCCGAGATCATCCGATGAAACTAGTCTAAATGTTAACGGTTAGAGAGATTCCTCTCTTGAAACCGTGAAAACGTGTTGTGTCAGGAAGATTGGAGAATAGAATGTTCAGAGAAAGAGTGTCCAATCCAGTCCAATCCAACTTCTTGATAGGACAAATATCCTAGATAGGTTTTATCCAAAAGCATTTTAATTTTATTGGTAATATTTAATTAAAAATACACAAATATGGCAATAATATATAAGAATGTGAAATATTGTTATCTTCTAGTCCGCCTCCCTTTTTTTCTAGATGCAGGCGGAGGGTTACGTGCGGGCCGGCGCAGGCAGGGACTGAGGAGAGCTTTAAAACCTGAAACATCTCTTCGATTTTTCACCTGAAAATGAATTTGAAAAATAGTAAAGATAAAAATCTGGTTACATTTACGACGTGTGGAAAGATTAAAGAATATTTGGTAAAATTCGGAAAGAAAACGTAAGGTGATATGGTGGAAAATAATTCGTAGTCGGCAGGATTCGAACCTGCGCGGGGAGACCCCAATAGATTTCTAGTCTATCGCCTTAACCGCTCGGCCACGACTACGGTTGAAGTAAAAAGGTCAAAATTGATGAATAAAACGTAGTGGACACTCCCCGGATAATACAGTGGGGTAATATTTTGGAAAAACTGATGTCAAACATGAAATATTTTGTAACATCTGGCCTGCGATCAGGCAGAATAATATTGTCATGCCGCTTGTAAGCCGTTGTGTGACGTAATACTAATTAGGCGGTCAAACATGCGAGAAGATCGGAAGGAATTTATGTTCATCGGCTTTCACATTTATTTTCCTCCGTAAGATCTGAAATAAACAACAAATAAAAAATGTAAGTACTTTCCTTAATAATAGATCTTTCATTTTGAGCATCTGACATTAAATGCGACGAGTTATCGTCTACCATAAACGATTAAAAAACATGATAATGGTAGCGTGCCACATGAATATATCAGATAGTTCTTGAGTGTATTTAACATCGATTTTGCTGTTGACTATAGGTCGTCGGATAGACTAAAGCAGACACAACGGCAAGTAGATGAGGTGGGCTTTATATTATAATTTTGTTGTTTGAAGCAAAGTTTAGATACAAATAGATTATTGAAACAAGTTACAAGTCTGAACTTGTATGCACCTATAAACTGACCTAAAAAACATTCTATTGTTCGAGCATATACATATTGAAAGTATAAATATATATGGTTTACAGTATGTTGAAATTGCGTATATTGTCAATTAAACGAAATTTTGGCCAACAGGATTCAATTGATTCTTGTTATTTTGGCTTACCATCCCTACCCAAGTGCACTAACCCCACATATTGGTAAATAACTGTTTGGAAATTGGTAATACACTGATTTGTGAAGGCATCACTTCTGTTTTGATAAATAGATTTAATCTTCAATTTTGATGCAATATGTATGCTGCATTGCCACAAGGCATTTTCCTTTGGGAATATCTTCAATATGCAAATATTATGATAGATGTTTACCTATGTTATCTCTAACCAAGTTAAACTCATTTTTACTGCCCGGGCATTGCCAAAAAGAAATGGTATTACCCAAATGATCCAGGTTTCACAAGAAACCATTTTCCACTTCCCTATAAGTGCCGTTATATTGTGCTGTCATTTGAATTGTGAATGAATAGATATTTGTGTTAACTCGTTGTATCTAACTAACCCAATTTGTGCTGTAATTGTTAATCAATTGATTTTAATTATTTGTGAAACAATAATTACAGGATGTGGTTGTACAACAAAAACTTTCAATTTCAATATTAGGTTGTTGATATTATGAAAGTTAATGTTGACAAAGTATTAGAAAGAGATGCGAAACTTTCCGAACTTGACGACAGGGCAGGTATGTAAATTTCAAGTTCAAATATTCCAAGGTTGTGATAATCTCCGCAATTGTTCGCTTTTGTTACCAATTAATTTTTTGGTGCATTTTACAGATCAGTTACAAGCAGGTGCTGCACAATTTGACACAAATGCTCACAGACTTAAAAGAAAAATGTGGTGGCAGAATTGCAAGGTAATGAATTGAAGATGTTTCAAACAAACTGTAGTCTGAGGCGCCACATTCTCGGCTGTTAAGACAGATGGGAAACAGTCAAACTAAAAGTGCTTTGCTAAATAGTACTGTTTCTAACTACAGATGTGGATAATCCTCATTGTCGTGATTATCGTTATAATCGCTGTCATTGCAAGTAAGTATCATTGTGCTCTTTCTATGAGGCTCCTGTCCAATCTTAAATAACCCCTGCATCCTAATAATTCCCCCTTTAGTAAGCCACTTCTCTGTTGACACCCTTTCTAATATGTGCCTAATTGAAAAAGCCTCCTCCTGTGAATCCTTCTCTCAATATTTATTTATTTATTACTTTGCCAATGAACACGTCACTAATAATACATACAGACATAAACACAAACAATTAGCTGGGTACACGCAAGCAATGCCTCACCTCAAATCTGACTCTTTTATATTGCTTTCTAGCCTGGCTTCACTTTTCACAACTGTCATAGATCTGTCACATTAATATATAATACACATGCAAAGAAATCTTATTTATTGTTTGGTATTTCTTGTTTTTAGTTTGGGTTGCCGCCACACAATCAGACTAACATATTCGATGTTTGCCTTAACCTTCAGCTGAGTAAGCAATTTCCTGAATGCAGACATCATCATAGTTTTATTCACATGTACTTAGTTTGATTTATATATTTATTAAATGATAGCATTGTTTAGTACTGGTAGTAAAATGGTATCAATAATAAATATCTTAGAAATGTCACTCCTTTAAATATTCCTCAGAAATGTACTGCCCCAGTCTGCGTTAGGAACTGCATGAATGTCAGAGCTGCAATTGTAAAATGTGTGGGGAGTAATTTTCACCTAAACTCTGTATTAATACTCTCGATTATATGTATAAATAACTGAATAAATAAGTAATAATTATTACAGTTTTTGTTTCTTTATTTCTCCTCATTTTTTAATGCAACGCCAGCCACTGTGGTGTGATTATTGGCACCGAATACTTTTAATACACGCTGAGTCGGTCCACAGTGGTGTGACTTGTGATCCTCAAGACCTCAACCGCAGTAAAATTGACAACGCGGAATTTAATAAACGGAAGTATTGATATAACAATGTAATTAACACGCAGTGCGCAATTTACTAAACACGCAGTATGGTTAGAATAATGCGCGTTGTAACTGAAGAAGGTTTTGACCTGAAAAGTCGTTATAGTGAGATTCAGATTTGACTTTCAGTACGGTTAGCTTTTGTTTGCCTATTGCATTCGTGATGGGTTTCTGATTGTCGCATTTGTTTTGTTCATGTTTCCACAAAGGTAGCGATGATCCAGTCTGACTGAACTTGGCTAACAAAATATTTAGGAAGACAAATCAGTTTATAAACTCAGTGGCCAACTCGCTGGAAGGTCAATATCAACAAGAAAACCTTCAGTCTGTTCCTATAGTAGAAATATTTCTAGACTAGCAAAACCTGTGTCTTAATGGTACTTGTATCTTTCGGGCCCCGCCCACAGTGAGTACCATCGACCAGGAATTATCACCCTCATTTCAATATGCATATTTTTATCAAATTCTTTATTGCATAGTTTCTTGTTTATTAATGTTATTAAGTGCTTTATATCATTAAACGGTCTAGTTAGTGAGCATTGGTTGTACGTTGCTGTATCGCTGTTGAATAATAGTCAAAAGGTGATCTGCAAGGTTGTTAAATCATGTAAGTTTGCTTGTTTTATGATGAACTTTGGTGTGAGGATCACTTGGCCTGAATATTGCACTCATATTTGTAATGCTTGATGAATATGTACAAAAATACTATAGAATCATGCTGACATTGACGTGGGCTTTAGAATCATCAGACAGACGATAAAAATAACAGCAGATATCTTTATTTTTACGTTCAATAATATGCCTAATTATGTGAAGCTGATCACAAACTTTCGTGGCCTTGTGGTTTAATTTAAATCTGTGATAATTGATATTACATACTAACTAGATATTGTCAGATATTATTCGCCGGTGGCAGGGCCTAATAAACATTCACTGAATTGTTGTTGCAAATATCGTGAGAGCTAGAGGCTTGGTTTGTTTTTAGGGAACACGCTGAAATGTTTCAGCGAACTTATAAATTCAATATAAGTTATGTAAGAGAGCCGGTTGCAGTCAATTCAAATTTGCAATCGGGTAGCGTGCTGCAAATAGTCACTTTTGGTATGTATGACCATCAGAACTCCTAAGTAAACCACATGCAATTTTTTTGCTAACTGTAAAAGTGAGTAAACTAAAACACAGGCAATTTCATATGCTTGTGGAGACCAGAACTCTGAAATATTATGCATGACATTTTCAGCGAAAGGTGTTTGTGTTCTTTATACGGTTCAGTTATCACAAACAAAAAATCTTCCATTGGTAATGTCGATGACAAGTGTCCTAGCTCTTAGCCTCTTATAATCTTGTCTTTGAAGGGAGAAAACCAGATTACTTGAAACACAACAACAAATGGATGAGGTAAATATTTGTAAAAGGATGCTATAAAGAGAAGATATAGCTACAATTGTTGAACAATTGCTATGGATGCAATCAAATATTTTGTATATCCTTTGAGTTCAGAGAATGTCATATCATGCAATTTTTTTTCATTATCAACGGTGATTATTTTTTCCACCTTCAGGTTGTAGATATAATGAGAGATAATTTAGACAACATAATAAAAAGAGACGATAAATTGGAAAAACTGGAAAGAAAATCGTGTAAGATAATTTGGTCTTTTTGGCCCGCGTGCAAGGGGAAACTTTATTTTAAAAACCGGATGGGGTGTCTCAGGCAGTAATGGCTAGTGCTGATAAAATTTACTAATGCAAACTCTTCTTCTATTCTCCCTTAAACTTTTTCAAAGAATAAACCATCCGCGAATAATTTTTTTCAACAGGCGTGCGTTCATTGACTTCGGCATTTCATTTTTTGCCCGAGTCCCTGAGGCAAATGGATCCTTTACTAAAAAAGTCAGTCTTTTTCCTATAGATCAGGTGAAAGAAGATGCAAAGATATTTAAACAAAGTGCTGTTGGCATCAAACGCAAAATGTGGTGGAGGAATCGAAAGGTATAGCGATAAAATACAAATCTTTTCACGCTTCTCAGTTTTCTCCGTTTATGACGAAGAAAAGTGATAATTTTGGGAACAAAGAAAATGCCACATTATCTTTTACGAACGGTCAAGAAACTGAACATATCTTCTCCCAAAGTCTACTTGAGAATGGTTTATCCTTTTTTATTTTGTTTATAATACACTCTCTTTATAGATGTGGATAATTCTTATTGTTGTTGTGCTCGTAATTATCGCTGCCATTGTTGGTAAGGACCATAATGAAATGTGTAAACGTTTATAGTTTTTGTGTTCCTAATTTTCGCATCATTCCACTCCTTTTTAGTTTGGTTTACAGCTTTGAAGTAAACTAAGTTGCTCTGAATTCCGTGAATCGGTGGTTAATTTTAGTTGGGTTTTACATAACACCTTCGGTGTTTAAATTATTTAAAACGGCTTACAGTCAACTGCAGAGTTTTTAGACCGAAATCACGGCTCCTTCACAATGAATAAGAAGGAAACAGTGAGCACGTCGGTAGCGTCCGTCGAAACTCTACGGACTATGATATGTAATTGTAGTGAGTAAACTCAGTTTAGCTTGTGCGAAGGTTGTGAGAACTATGGCAATGCATGCTTTTTTGTGGACATCGAGTGGCAATTTCATCTTGTTTGTCTTACATAATTAAGAATTTTTTTCTTCGACTGCTTTTTATAGACAGATTATATATCGCACCTGTATCAATTCGGCCCGATTTTTGATACAGGTCATATTGGGTAACAATCCAGGTATATATAAGCATTATTAGCCAGGGCGGTTATAACAGCAGGGGCAGGATGTGTGTGTGTTTTGGCGACTGTTTTGACCTTCGTCAAAATGCAATTGTGTCAGTAGGGTTTTAAAAAAAACCATTTAGTGGCTCACCGTGGCCCTAGTCCCTGTTGCGGCGAACCTCGGTCATCATATCGCCAGAGCGTTGTGTGACGTCAATTGGTTAGTATTGTTTGAAAAAAGAAAACCGGAATATCACAACAAGGGCGAATCCAAAGCAAGCGTTTTAAGTCAGTACTGGTTAAATTTTTCAATTCCCTAAGTTATAAAACAAACAGTTCCGCGCTAGAGATTTTACTGACAGTTTTTTAGTAAAATTACGTGATAACTATTTTGTACATAGCGTGTATATTCACGAGGAAATAAAATAAATTGTATCTTAGCATACTCACTTCAGTTTTGACCTTAAACACTAAAGTATCATACCAGCATCCTCTGCTCTGTGTCTGCATTGATTTTTCAAAAAATATATATATTGCTGAATAATGCGAATGTATCATATCGCAAGTGGAATATGAAATGATATTGCACGAAGAGACAAGATGATTCATTAACTATTCAAGTCATATCAACCACCCCCCGCAACGCTAGGTTGGCAAGGCCAGATTGGAGACGCCATTGCAAAGATGGCGGAATTAAACAGTAGTCTAACAGCTATGGATTGGCTCCCAAAGCTCAGTGTTGGCGGAGCGATGGGAAACGCCAATGGATGTGATAGTATGGGTCTTCAAAAACCGTCGTTGCGAAAAAGCCCTGGCTCTCCTGTTAATCCATATGCCACACTCACCGAACAAGAAGCCCGCGAACATCAATTGCGGGAAAACAAACCACCGTATTCTTACGCTAACCTCATCACATTCGCAATAAATAGTTCAGATAGCAAGAAAATGACTTTAAGTGAAATATACCAATGGATCTGTGATAATTTTCCGTATTATAGAGAAGCTGGAAGCGGATGGAAGGTGAGAATAATGTAAAGAAATTATGTAATGTATATCAGTACGATTGAACACAATATACAAATTCATCAAGTGCGTTCAAGTATAATATTCTGAATAATCAATTCTGTTATTGTGCTGTTGGATTCGGTTTGTTCACCATTTTATTTGAATATGTATTTGGCAAAATATTCCGTCGTCACCTACAATCTCTCGTGTTGTTTTATAGAACTCGATACGACACAACCTCAGCCTGAACAAATGCTTTCGAAAAGTTGCAAGAAGTAAAGACGATCCGGGAAAAGTGAGTGTTTTAACCAGAGTGGCCAACCATTTATACGATTTCCGATAACGGTATCACCTCTACCAACACATTTCCACATAACTATAATATATATCCGTCAACAACGTTATATTTCCCAATAGTAAACATTAATTTTAATTGTTTTTGTATCCCCAACAACACGTTAATTTGTCCCTACAAGTTTTCAAGCTACGTTACGTAGTGGATGTACGTGAATTAAAACGTATATAGAATAGTTGAATTTTATTTTTTGTAAGGGATCATATTGGGCTATCGAACAAAATCCCTCAGAGGATGTACTACAACCAAGACTCAGCCGTAAACGTGGCCCGAACGGGGTGAGTACAGAGTTCTGATTCTTTTTTATCAGAAAATATTAATCTTCGTTGCGAAATATTGGTCGAGCCGGTTACTATAGAGTACTGAGCAACTGTTGGACCGTAAAAAGACCACAAATTTCAATCGAAAAGCGGTTTTTTACTCATGTGGTTTATAAAATACCTGTTGACATTTAATATTTCATAAAGATTTAAAACCGCAAGTGAACTTCGTGTTATTGTTCAGTATTTACATTTTTGTGTCCGTGTATAAAATGGCCTCATCGACCACGAATTTTGAAATATAAATTCCCCATCGCGAGAAGATCTGTTACTATTTATGTGTTATGAATGTAAACAATCTTTTCCGATTGGTGTCTAGATACGTTCAAAATGGATTTACAATTCGATTATAAAAACCTTCACGAGCTTTGTTTTATCAGAGGATCGTGTGTAAACTGAGTATTTCACTTCTAACGAGAGAAGAGAGAATGTAATGCCTGAATATTTGTTACAAAAATGTTACAATTACGATTAAGAATGTTCCATTTATTGTCGAAAATATTGCAATTATTGTAGCAAGTGTTGCAATTTGCTAGTTTTAATGACGAAGAAACGATCTGAGGGAGGCACGTAAACTTTCAGACAGCTTTTCGTGCACTATATCATAGGCACGGGAAGGTGACATACTATTTCCGGCGTGATTTGAAATTTTTGGCTATTCAATTTTAAAATAGTTATCACATTCATATCTATTGCTTTTATCATATATATCTGTTCATATGATTTCTATGCTCACAGCTGCTGTTATACTATTTAGAATTTTTATTATTTCACTTTGGGTAATTTCACAAATTTGTTCATTGTTCGGAAGTACCCAGTAAATTATGTCATATCTCACATGCCTTCCAAGTATTATTGTCTGTATTGAATTATTTTATTATCAAAGAAACCGTTTACAATTTTTTAAGACATTGTTAACACAAGTTATTTATATAAATTTTTTTGGTACACACATTTGCAGCAGCTTTTTTGTTCTCATTATTATTTTTAATATGTATTATCATCATGAAGACAAGCACTGGGAAAAATATTTGGTATTTTAATAATTTACTTTAGAAGAGCCAATATATCTTTAGGGTAGGAACCTTCCTCAAGCTGTCCTGTGTTCCTTTAATGGGGTACTTCACTGCCATATAGATGCATTATCTCTTTATCTCATTAATTCTTTTCGTGTAGTCATTTGTTTATGGTGATGAAGATTGCCAATACTCACCTGGTGGTATGTCACAAGATGGTATGTCCCCAGACCTCTCACCTATGCATACCTCTCCGATACCATGCGCACCACTAAATCCCTCTCAGTCACCCTACGGCACCTCACCTTCTGCTGCATCACATATGTCCCCAACCAACAACCAACCTGGTAGCGTTCCATTCAACAACAATAACAACAACAACGTTGGTGAGCCCCCAACTAAAGTCATACCTGACATTAGTTTTGATGATTTAAGTGCATCATTTCGAAGTTTGTATAGATCAATGTTTGATGCAAGTCAGAACCAACAAAGTTTTGGTGGTAAGTACTAACACATCACATAAATTGATTCCTAAACTAGTAAATTAAAACTAACAAATGTGCATCACTGGAAGTAAAAACTCTGTGTCATTTAAGGTTCAAGCTCCTCCTCATCCAATCCAATAATCGGTGAAAATCCAAGCCTTGGTAACACAAGTACCAGCCAGCAGTCCCTAAGCTTGGTGCAAAGTCTTGAGACCTTGCTAGAGAGTATGAACTCTGGTAACTGGCAAAATGTTGACTGGGGACAGATGCAATCTGTTATGGAGAACATGCAAGGTTTAGATGCAAGCTCTTTTGGTGTTGACCCTGTCCAGTGGCAAGAACTGACTCAATCATTTAACCAGCTCCTTAATGCCCAAGGCATTCAAAGAAACTTTTTTAGCACTTCTAACCAATCATATTCAAGTAACAGTAGCAGCAGTCACTCAGGAAATAATTTTTCTGGTCGAAGTTTTTTGAATCTTTCACCAGGAAGTGGTGCTCATTTATCAGCGGGTAGTTTTGTCGGTTCTGGAAGTCCTGGTACAAGTGCTGGCTCATATCGTTCAACTGGTAGTGTCCCAGGAATTCGAGTGACACCACCAAGCTATAACATTCCAAGAAGAAATGTAATCGATGAAGAGGAAGAAGAAGACGATTTTGATTGGTCAACAATCATGTAGTTTTCACGGGTTAGTAACAGAGGCTGTCAAGAGGGGCAGGGGGGGGGTTGTAGCAGGGAAGAGGGCAAAATACCCAGGTCCAGGAGTACTCATAGGGACCAGGGCCTGTGTCATGTTGGGAACAAGTTGACATATGTTTCTTAAAATGGCCAAAATTAGATTAGAGCTGCATATCAATGATTGATATCAATAATTGGGTTGGTTGATATCATTGTTTCTTCATAAATGATAAAGTTTTCTTTTTAGGGTTGTTTCCTGTGTGTATATAACTTATTCTCTAATTGGAATTAACTGCACCAAATGTTGATTTGGCTAACACGCAATATTTGCACGTTCAAAATAACGCGAAACTGTGCTGAAGATGCCATGAAAATATGAAGTCGTGGGAAGATTCATATTTAAAACAGAAAATCAAGACCGGCTCTGTTTACAAATCTCATTACGAGAAAGGTCATACGGTATAGTTTGTGTTATTATAGCCAATTATGTGCGTGCTTTCATTTAAAACACTGTAATATGGCTTCCTGGGGTTAAAACCTTTATGTATGGTATTAATCCACTGGAAGATAGAAGGATGTTCAGTCTGAACGACGTTCTACCTTCCTGGCTTCCAGTATCAACTAATGCTCATCGATTTTGAACTGACTTTGTATTACCATTGGCGTTGATGTGAATCTTACTCTTTAGTTGTAAAGTTTGTATATTTATTGCGAAAACAATGTTTTTTATGACCGAGTTGATCTTGGTACCAAGTTGAACTTGATAGTGATTTCATAAATAAATAGGATCTGAATACGCTTTGTTACAAAAACGTTGCTGAAATTGATAAAATACGCGAGTCTTGATGCGTGAACAGTTGCAATAAACACGACGTATTCAATAACTTGCAAAAAATCCCAGTTTTTCAGCTGCCAGTTGACTGTGAATTACTATCTTTTGCCTATCAAACTCAAAGCGCATTCATGTAACTATTTGACACCCATCCTAGTCTTTTTAGATTTTACAATGAAGTTGTACTGAACTGTTAGTGTATTATAATAATAATAGTTTTTGCAACATATGGATTATTTTCGCTAGATTTGTAGCGTTCTGTATTTGTCGATGAAAGTTTTTTTGCTCTACTATGACTGAAAATAAGAACCGAAGAGTATTACCTCTGCATGGCACCACGCGACGTTGGTGATACCGACCTATGGTATGGTATATTTGACCAGTCTTATGATTCTAATCACCCAGTCAAAAATGAATTGAAATAGTTTAAAAGGTATGAAACAAAATGACACAAAAAAATAGTCGAAGGTCGGTGATATTATCGGGGTATATGCATGGCATGTATGAAGTATGGTCGGGAGCAGATCGCTCAGTGCTTGCAACTTGCAAGTATGGTCGAGTACCAGAAGTTGGAGATACCAACTTCTGGTGGTGCCTTAGATGTAGTGTGGTTGCTGCTGGCTTACCACATGTGAGATTTTGGTTATTGTACATCTCACTTCTCTTGGTCTGGAGTCTCTAGACTGCCTCCCCCCCTAATAAGTTTTGGCTTTTGCTCTGTCCCCCCCCCCTAGTACTTCGCTTGGAATTTTGGATTTTGGAAAACGAGAATCAACAATGGAGGAGGAAGATTTGGAAGAAATGAAACAGTTGCGAGGTAAGATATTTGACTGATTATGTGCTAAAGTTAGACCACATATTATTACATATATATCGTATGTAAATGCATTTACACATGTTAGTATGAACTGAATATGTATCTGATCGTAATGATAGTAACCGTAGTGTATTTATTTATCTTATTTAAAAGATGGTAAAGTTACTAAAGTAGCACTGTATGACTTTTATAAACTGTAATAGTTTAATTTGATTGTGAAGATTGTATGTTTTGCTGTAGAAACGAAGCAAAAGAATGTGCCTTCAAATGTTGTATCACAGCAGTCACCAAGTTCTTCCAAAGGTATTAATGTGACATTGATTATCATCACTGGGGAATTTAATGACATTTTAGTAGAGTTTTCTCAGTAGAACTAGAAAGATGCCTGTATGATGCTTATTGACGTACAGAATAGTGTAAAAATATGATAGGCTGTGTTTGATAATGATTGTCAGCCAAGCCAAATGGGTAGTGCAGTATTATGGGTCCAACATTTTTTAAATTTCATCTTCATTAATAGAACAAGATGGAAATGCAAAAGGAGTTGAATCCTTAATGGGATTTTCTGGCTTTGGTAAGTTTTCTTTAAAGTGTTCACAACTTACAAGTGAAAAGAAAGAAATAGGCATAAAATAGTTCCTCTTGTATGTATAATTATAAGGCAACTATATTTGATCTCTGTTCCTCGTTCCTAATTAAAACAGGAAAGAGAGCTCGACAGTTTGATATCAGTGAAATGATGGCGATAGCAAAAAGAAGAGCTGCTGATGTTGCTGAAAGTTCACAATCTAAAAGTATAAACAATTATTCAACACTATGTTTTTTATTCCATGAAATAATTACTCAAAATGCTCAAAATCATTACAATAGAGAGGGGTTAAAATAATACTGTAATTACAACTTTTTTGTAAGTTGAAGATGAGGATGAGAGTGATGATGAAGCTCCATTTGTCATAATGCCACCAGGAAAAGCTACATCTGAAAAAAATGACAAGGTATCATTTCTTAGTTTTAGATGTAATTAGACTGAAATAGTTTAGATTGTAAAGTTATTTTTTTTCATTCAGAGTGCTAAAGAAAGTGGAAAACAAACTAAAGATAGTGATGATGAGGATGATGATAATGATGATGGAAGTGACAATGAAGTAATGAAAAGTAGCCAAATTTCTGGGATTGTTTGAAATTTTTAAACAGTTGCATAATTATATGTACTGTCTGTATTATTGTAGAGCATGGAGTCATTCATACCTTGTAGTCATGAAATAACCCTGGAACATGGTGCAAAGACTGTAAGTTTGTTGAAGTATAAATTGTTACTGAAGTGTGTTTTAATTATAGGCACTACTACAACTACTTGCCATGAAAGTCTCACATCATTTTTTCTTTTTATCTCCAAGGTTTCTGCTTTATCACTGGACGCAAGTGGTTCCCGAGTAATATCTGGAGGACATGACTATGATGTATGTATAACAATTAATTTAACTGTGTTTTAATTGCATGTAGTCTCTTTCATTCTCCAATCATTTGTATCTCATTTCAATAGATCAAATTTTGGGACTTTAATGCAATGGGTGCATCATTATCTGCATTCAGAAACATCCAACCTTGTGGTTGTCATCAAATTCGTTCATTGGAGTACAGCTCAACTGGAGACACAATTCTGGTTTGTTCTGGGAATGCCCAGGTAGGCATTAGGAACTAACTAGAATTTTATTCAGATATACTGGGTATCATAAAATCCTTTTGATTCATACTTTAGGCAAAGATTTTGGACCGTGATGGATTTGAAGCTTATGAATGTGTGAAAGGATATCAATATTTATTTGACATGGCTAAAACAAAGGTGCCTCCTATATTGTTTGTTGTATCTCTCCTTTGGAATAATTTTATCTTGTATAATGTTTCTTTTCTCAATAATTGACTATTTTGCTAAACCTCATAGGGCCATGTTTCCATGTTGAACGGTGGTTGTTGGCACCCTAAGGATCGTGATAAATTCATGACGTGTGGCGATGATGGGTAAGGCTGAAAATACATTGGATTATTGTTGATATCTTTTGTCTTATTTTATTTCATATTTGTAGTACAGTAAGACTATGGGATGTAAACACACCAAAGAAAAATATTGATGTACTGAAAACAAAGAGTATCCAAGGTAAATTGTATTTTTTTTCTATTTATAAGCTTTTAAACATGATTTTCCCAAATTTCCCCAAACAGTCTCAGATATAAACATTGTAATTCAGGTAAAAAGGCCATACCAACTCACTGTGCGTACAGCAAGGATGCAAGATATATCATTGCTGGTGTTCAGGTATGCAATACAAACATTTATCAGCCATTTGGTAGTCTTTACTGTTTTTCACGCTTGCCAAATGCTCAGGTATTGTAAAATAAGTTCACATGTTTTTGTTTTCTAGGATGGAACGATTCATGCATGGGACACAAAGAAACCTTTTGTGAGTGAATTTCCATGTCTAGAAATTTTTTTTAAAATGAAAATATTGTAATGTACATTCTTTCATTTGAGTGAAGGTCCATCCTACATTTTTGATCAAGAATGCTCACACAAATGGAAGTGATATTTCATGTCTGAAATTCTCATATGACAGCAATATCTTTGTTTCAAGAGGAGGTTGGTTAGAATAATACAGTTAAATTCCAGCTCATAATTACAGTCCTAGTTATACTCCAATTAACATTTTCTCAGGAGATGACACAATAAAACTCTGGGATCTTAGAAACTTCAAACGACCAGTGAATGTTGCGCTTAACCTTCCAAATGCTTTCCTGACGTGAGTAGATCTATGCAACCACCGCACTGAATTGAAGAAGTAAAAGAAGAGCTTTTTTATAGGTTCACGACTGTGTTTTTTCTTTTGTAGGACAAGTTGTTTCTTCAGTCCAGATGAGAAACTTATAGGAACAGGAACGTCTGTACGGAAAGGACAGGTCAGCAGTCATTAGCACTGACATGTTCGGTACCTCCGATGAGCTCATTATATACTATATTGCGCTGAAATTTTTAGGGAAATGGGAAATTGGTATTCTATGAAAAATCGACGTTCAAGAAAGTGTACGAGTATTCGGTCACAGATTCTGTAAGAATGCTTTTCTTCAAACATTTTTATCTTTCATTACGTTTTAAGATACAGTTGCCAGTTGGCCTGTGAATTCCAACGAAGCGTGTGTCCTCACTCCTCCTCGTGTGTCCTCACTCCTCCTCGTGTGTCCTCACTCCTCCTCGTGTGTCCTTACTCCTCCTCGTGTGTCCTCACTCCTCCTCGTGTGTCCTCACTCCTCCTCGTGTGTCCTCACTCCTCCTCGTGTGTCCTCACTCCTCCTCGTGTGTCCTCACTCCTCCTCGTGTGTCCTCACTCCTTCTCGTGTGTCCTCACTCCTCGTGTGTCCTCACTCCTCCTCGTGTGTCCTCACTCCTCCTCGTGTGTCCTCACTCCTTCTCGTGTGTCAGTGTTTTTATTTTCTCTTCAGAGTGTTGTGAGCTGCATGTGGCACCCGAAAATCAACCAAATCTTGGCTGGTTGTGGAAATGGAAAAGTGAAAGTCTTCTTTGATCCACAACGAAGTACAAGGTAAATGAGATTTTCCTTTTAATTGATTCACAAATGTTGAAAATATTAAAGATCAGCCTGAACTAGATCAAGTATTTTCCACCGAAACGATTGTCAATTTTTTCCAGGGGGGCGATTATGTGTGTTTCAAAAGCAAAGAAGAAGAGTGAAACTCGTGAAATGAAACTCCCACCAAGGATTATTACACGTATGCTATTTTCTAAGAAATACTGCTAATCACCAGTATACGACAGCATCACTATAGTCGCATTTCTCGTTTTCAGCCCATGCTCTTCCGATGTTCCGACAGAACCAAGGTGGGGCCACGATGAAAAAGGTGAAAGATAAAGAAAGAGCAGATCCGATTAAGTCAAGGAAACCTGAAACTCCATTGACTGGTGCTGGTACGTCCTTCACAACGATTATTATTTAAAACAAGCAATTTTATTGCAGTCCTTCTCACTGGGCATTAATTAAACAATTTATTGTCATTTCATATTTTTAGGAAAAGGAGGCCGTGTTGCATCTGGGATCAGTTTATCACAATTTGTTTCTAAGAATTTGGCCGTGAAGAATCTCGATGACTCGAATCCTCGGGAATCTATCCTTCGCCATGCCAAAGTATGTGTTGCGTATCTGGATGGAATACATCCCTACAGAATTTTTAGATTCGTGCGATGCTTTCCAATTCTTACTTCCGTGTGTCTTGTATTTTTGCAGGAAGCTGCTGAGAATCCTTTCTGGGTGAGCCCCGCTTATTCCAAGTAAGTATTCGTTGTGATACTTCATTGCATGTCTTTCAAACCATCGGCTCCGTTATCCATTGAATCCTCAATATCAATTGCATTGTGTTTTAGAACTCAGCCGCGGACTATTCTTGCTGAAGAAGATGAGGAAGAAGATGAGGAAAACGAAGAGAGTAAAGCGAAGAAATTAAAGCTTTCATAAAACGCCAGGTAAATAAATAGGGAGGCGCAATTGATTGCAGTGACGAGGACTCTTGAAGGAATTGGACAAACATTGTAAGTTCTTATACCAACAACTTGTCATGCAAGAAAGAGGAAAGGATCGCGAACATTTTAAGCAGAACTTAAATTATTGGTAACAATGATTCGTAAGGATGAACACCTCTGGATGGAATACCTAAGACACTCGCAAAGAATCGTCATAGGAGCTGGTTGGTATATCCACGGTATATCGAATTCCCAGTGGGAGGAGTAACCACTTTACCGATACCTCATTGAATCATCCAACTTCTAAAAATCCACTATGATCAGTGAATCTACACGAGGTAGCTCACACTTTTGAGGAAAATATAAAACATTACGACTCCTGTGGGTGAAATGTTGCGATTTTCTCTAGAACAATGAACAGTATAGATTAAATGTGCAGATATGATTAAATAACACTGTCATATTTACATATCCAGGCACTTGTGACACAAACAAAACACGCCTTTATTTTATGTCACTGCGTTTCCTTTGCATATTTGATAGATATTCTTTCACGTCCTCTATACACAATATTAGCAGTTATAAATATCCTACTTTTTAGGTTCTATTTACAGAAGAAGTCGTTGGGTTTTTTAACTTGCGTATAACTAAGACGTTGTACCGCTGTTCAACGATTGCCAATGTCTCTCGCGTATCAATCATAACAAGGTTTATTAGTAAGTACCTGCGTGACAGAAGCGTTTACTTGTGTCACCGCAAGAGTTCAAGGTACAAGGAACATGACCTTGTTCAATCACGCCAGATATCGTTTCTCGAGTTCTTGAAAACACGTGCTGCTAAAACGAGGCTAAGACAAAATGAAATCTGATCGTGGTTAGGAATTTAGATTGTCACTGGGTTTACTTTGTCGGGTCAAGCGTGTCGGGTTTAGCTCTCCAATTACACGGAAGTTGCTTGTTCTTGTGAGTTATATATGCGATTGTGATTGCACAAATACGCTTGTTTTTTACTCGTTCTTTCAATTCACCGTATTTTGGGATTGAGGAAGAGGAATTGCTGGGTCCACAATGCCACCAGCCGCTTTCTTTGGCTGGACATCGCCGAATTTACCGAAAGAACTGACAGTGGATTGCTTCCTACCAACTGGCGTACTGGTTCCCCTGCAATGCAATGTTGACGCAACTCTGGCCGAAATCAAGACGAGACTGTTTGAAACAGCGCAAAACTACCCGCTTTTCAACCGTCTTGAAGCAAAAACGAATTACTGGTTTCTTTGCATAAATGAGAAAGGAAAAAGGGAAACATTGTTGGATGAAAGTTTGAAGCTCACAGATGTCAAGCCATTCCGTCCTGTGCTAAAACTTCTCGAGAAACATGGAGACGACAAAACTGACAGCAAAATTGACGCAAAAATTAAATTTCTAATGCGACAAACGCCAGCGGAACTTGAAGGAAAACAAAACGAAGAAGTAGATAGCTTCAGACAAGATTATTTGCGGATAACTCTCAAAGAATCGCGTGAAAGACGAAAGTCTAGCTGGGAAAAGCGTGCTATGGCAACGTATCCAACTGATATCTGTGAGGACCCGCTCCCTGAACATGTTTCAAAGAAACTACGAAATGGTAAATTCGATCTCATCGTGTATCTACCACCTAGCGATGATTTTGAACGTCTTGATTTGCCGATTGGTACGAATACGTCCGATGCCATTTTTATATTCAGACAACGTTCAGAGGGACGAAAAAAAGCCATTCCAAACGACAATGATTACGTACTAAAAATAGTAGGAAAGGATGAATATTTGTTGAGAGATGTTAACCTGGAATATTATAAGGTTTGTATATTGGTACGTGGCATGTGCGTGTTTATTGAATAATGAATAACCTTGTTTTAATCCATTGTCATTGAATTTACCTGCTTTAAAATACTATTATTGTGCATGCAATTAAATAACAATTATAATGGCAATGTGTCCTGATTTATACAGATCTACATATTAAATTTATATCTAGTTTGTTACTAAATTGATATCTAGTTTTGCTGCAATTTTCAATGATATTTATTGAATATTATGTATCGTATTCCTGACACTTCCTGCTTGAAATTATGCCAACATTATTCGGTGACATGTGGGCTGAGTTCTCAAATACCATTTCTTTTCTTTGTCTAAAGAAAAGAAACGAAAACTGGCATCGCAGGCTTTGATATGAAGCTTCCATGAGAACAATAATTTCCCTCTCAAACTCATCATTTTAAAAAAACGTCAGAACGTCACTAAAATTAGCGCTGCAGAACTTTTGCATTTCGATGAGGTCATTTTTATATCTTGACTGAGGGAGGGGAGGGTCCGTAGCTGATTTGTTCCAAGAAGACAAACACGGAAGAAGAAAGAGTTCTTCCGCTTCAGAGGTATTCAACTAGTCTGATGGTATAAATCATCTTCTAAGTCGATAACCATGGCTCCCGCTATGGATTTTATCGAATGGAACTCTTGCGCAAAAGTCGAAGTGAACTGTTTTCTACCAACTGGCGTTTTAGTACCAATAATTTCCACTGTAAATACAACATTAGCCGATATAAAGAGCCAGCTGTTTTACGAAGCTCGAGCGTATCCTTTGTTCAAGAAATTGCTGGCTCCAACCACGTACAGCTTCGTCTATATCAGTAGTAAAGGCAAGAGAGAAACGTTAGAAGATGAGAGATTGACGCTTCGCGATGTCAGACCCTTTCGTCCATTCCTAAAACTGGTCGAACGGCAAGGTGTTCGTGAGAAAGAAATACAAGACTCCAAGATAAAATTCCTTATGGGCAAGCAACCGAGAGAATTTGATGCAACGGACGACATGCAGATATCGTTGTTTCGTTCAACGTACAGCAACATTGCTTCGAAAATTTCTAGTGAAAGAAAGCAAAAAGAATGGGATCGTCGTTCCATGTGTGCATATCCTCCAGATTTGTATGATTCTGTTGAAAATATACCAAGACATGTCACATCTAAACTAATCGATAATACATTCATTATCTCGATATATAAACTAATCGACCCACATAATAAGGACGATACGCATGATTTTCACGCTCATCGTGACTGGAAAGCTGTCGATGTGCTGGCAAAAGCTTTGCAAATCAGGGCCGAAAAGCTTAATCGCGGGATTGATGATATAACTAATTTTACTTTGAAAATAAAAAGAAAGGAATCATTTTTGTTGGGAAATTACCCTCTATTGCAGTACAAGGTATTATGATGTACTTTATATAGAATGATTTGCCAGTACGCTTATGTTTGTACGATTAATCAATAAGCGTCTCTTAAGAGATTATCTGATTAAAAGAAACAAATCATAATTACATAATATGTAAACAGAATGTACAAATACAATATTGAATAACAATGGAGGGAATTGCGATATCTCTTAGTACTCTTGTAGATTTAAACAGATATTGCAAAAGGTATAATATGAAATCAGTATTTTTAGGGTAAAGTTTGTATTTGGGTAAAAACACAATTTTTTGCCCCAAATTTCTTTAAACAAATACTGTTATGCTGCAGAAATTATTTATTATGATAGCTGCTAGATACCAATATAAGCAGATAATATTGCTATTATTTTACCGGTGCTATATATAAAGAGGAATCTATGAAATAAATTGATATGTTTCCCTTTTAGTATATCCGTGACTGTATTACAAAGGACATCAAGCCAGAATTATCCGTTGTTCCGAAGAGTACATTAAAGGTGGAAGATTATGCGCCAATGGTTGCAGAGGCTACATCTCCTCCTCCAATACCACCAAAGGCATGTCTCACTGTTTGGGATATTAACGCCAGATTCAAGTTTAAGATCACATCAGCAACAAATATTTCAATTGAGGCTGGAACTGAGGTATGTGTAATTCTTTTTCAATTTTTATCATAATCAATCAACAGGCCTAGGTAGTTAAGTGAGTTATTAGCCAAAGCAAAGTAGCTTATGAACATATTCAATCTGAATTAGATTGGAGTTCGTGCTGGTTTGTACCATGGAAGTATGTTGCTGTGTCCCATTAAATGCTCAAGGGAAAAACAAGGACCGTCGCCAGTGTGGAATGAGTATCTTGAATTTGACATTGAAATGTGTGACATTCCACGAATGGCAAAACTCTGTCTTACAATTTATGCCAAAAGAAAGAAGGTATGGATTTTTTATGCAATCAAATGTATTATTAAAAGTTCTGAAACATTAAATTAAAATGGTAGCTGTACCGCCGAAAAATCACAATTACAAAAATAAAAAAATATCTTGGTGAATGGTAACATTTGACGATTTGCATGTGATAAATATAGTTGCTAAAAACATTTGCAAATGTTTATCTAGGACAGCAAGATACCTCTGGCCTGGGTCAACATGACATTGTTTGATTTCCGGAACTACTTAAGACAGGGTGCAATTAAACTCCATGCATGGCCAGTGAAGGATAATCTTCAAGATATTAATCCGATTGGTACGGTTGTGTCAAACATTAATACCAGCACTTCTCCATGCTTGTTAATTGAATTCACACAATATGCAAAGCCGGGTACCAGTGTGGTTTATCCACCATTTGATAAGGTGAGTTAAGGGATAAAATGTTCGAAGAAATCCACTTGTGTTAAATCCACTTATGAAAATTAGGATACAGAAATTATTGTCTGCGTTTTGTGCCCGTAGGTTCTTGAACTGGCATCAACCCTGGCAGTAAATGAGAAGAATGACATATTTGTAAGTTTTTGTTTTCATTTTCCCACAGAATCTACATCGTTTCTATATCCGGTATATGGGTATCTAATATACTATATCTAATTTATATCTTATTCACTGACTACATGCAGAGAGCTGGTGAGAAAACGAACATTGATTTGCAACTGCTAACTCAACGTGAACCTTTGGCAGAGTATACTGAAGAGGATAAGCACAAAATATGGTTTTTCAGGTAGTATATATATTCTCAATATCTCAGATAAATTGCAGTTTTATCCATTTGTCAGTTCAATGTAGGAACAATATTATGTTATACTTCAATTTCAGATTTGAATGCCGTGATAACTTTCCAAACTCATTACCAAAGGTTTTGTTGAGCATTCAGTGGAATCTTCATGAGGATGTTGCAAGGGTAAAATTACTAAAGCTTTTCATTTCCAATGTTTTCCATTTTTTTATAAACAACTAAATACAAACTTGTTTTATTAATTAGAATCACGAATATTATTTGGTCAATACAACTATGGTATGTCTTCCATTTCAGATGCATGCCTTACTTCAATGCTGGCCTCTCATTCCCCCAGAACAAGCCCTGGAGTTGCTTGATTACAAATACCCTGAGAAGGAAGTAAGAGAATATGCAGTGCGATGCTTGGAAGAATTCTCGTGAGTTTCACTTCTTAACATAGTTTTATAAATATATTTGCTATTTATGATAATAGATATTTGAATTTCACCAACTTGAATATACTGTATATTTTCTGTGTAATTATGCAGTTGTAATGGTTGTTAATTTATTTCTAGTGATGGCCAGCTTCACCTGTACTTACTTCAGTTGGTTCAGGTGTTGAAGTATGAGGCATATTTGGATTGTCATTTAGCCAAATTTCTTCTAAAGAGAGCTTTATGGAATAGGAAAATTGGTCATTCTCTGTTTTGGTTGTTGAGGTATATAATTTTGCATAATTTGCTCCAAAAATTTGTGTTAAGCCACTTAATAAAGCAAAAAACCTGTATAGAAGATAATAGAAGAAGTGGAAATCTTTCTATCTATTTCAATAAATCTCAATTGACATTGTCTTATTTTTAAAGGGCTGAAATGCATGTACCAGAAGTCTCAGTTCGGTTTGGTTTGCTACTTGAAGCATATTGCAGGGGATGTGTTGCACATATGCCCTCATTATCCAAGCAGGTAAAAATAGGAAAAACCATTTGACTCTTAAAAACACAATACAAAGTGCACTACTTGACATAATTTCAGATATTTTTATCAAGATATATTATTGTTTTAGGTTGAAGCAATGAACAAACTCAAAGCTATTACAGAACTATTGCAGTGTCAAGCTTTAAAGAAAGCAGAGGTATTGAACAGAATGTTACCACCCAAAATATTTAGACAAATGTGAATTTGCTTTATACATCTGACATAGTATACAGCTGTGTATGGATAAATGAAAATGAATAAGAAATATTTTCTTCTTTTTTTAAAATAGAAAGAGAAATGTGTTGAAACTATGAAAGAATGCTTAAAACAGGTTACTTTTCGTGAGGCCTTCTCTGACTTTCATTCTGTTGTTGATCCTGCCTGCAAGTTGAAAAGCCTCAGGTAACATATCTATGACTTACTAAAAAAATATGTTAACTGAGTTATTCTGATTTAACTTAGCATCATCAAATGTGGTATAACAACTGCCTAAAATAGACAAAACACTTCTCAACGTTTCGACCTGTGGGCCTTCGTCAGGAAAGTCAGTTCCCTGGTTATATTGAGTTATTCTAATTGTTTATCTTTTGATTTATTGTTTTTCTTTTGTATTTTCCAGAGTTGAGGATTGTAAAATGATGGATTCTAAGATGAGACCATTGTGGATGGTTTATGAAAATGATGATGAAATGGGAGAAGCGACAACTTTAATTTTTAAGAATGGGGATGGTGAGTTAACATACATACATACATAATTTATTCAAGATAACATTCACAACAATCTTGAACAGGAAATCGTGAGGTTAACCCTATACTATGACAATTCCCCCAAAAAATAACTTAACTAATTAATAATAAGTTAACTGGTATTAAAATTTTTTGTGAATGAATATTCCTATCATTCATCATGATTTTATAATCCTGTTAAAGATCTCCGCCAGGACATGCTAACTGTGCAAGTCTTCAGAATCATGGATACTTTATGGCAAAGAGAGGGTCTTAATCTTGAGTGAGTAATAATTTATACTTCAAAATATAAATGAGGTTTTTCACCTTGTTATTAACTTGTCATTTGCGAGGGAGGGTATGATATGTATTTGTGTGTTTTATTAGAATGACACCTTATGCTGTTTTACCCACTGGTGATAAGATTGGGGTTATTGAGGTTGTTACAAACGCAACTACACTTGCGAACATCCAGAAAAAGGAAAAGGGTGTGGTCAGGGGTGCTTTCAAGAAAGCAGTTTTATTGGATTGGCTGAAGAAGAAGAATAAAACAGATGAAGAGTGAGTTTTGTAATTTATTTACTGAATACATACATTTAAGAACATTAATTTGCAACAATCTTGAGTATATTTACGAAATTCGTTTACTAAAATTTCCTTTTTCTCAGGTTGAAGCGTGCTGTTGAGACCTTCACCATGTCATGTGCGGGTTATTGTGTTGCGACCTATGTGTTAGGTGTTGGTGATCGGCATAGTGATAATATTATGGTGAAAGATACTGGACAGGTATTCAATCTTAAATACTTGTATTCAATCTTAAATACTCGTATTCAATCTAAAAAAAAGCCAAACCATTAGCCATTTTTCCTTAACTATGATCTCTTATGGTTTTTTAGCTTGTCCATATAGATTTTGGGCATTTTCTCGGAAACTTTAAAGTGAAGTTTGGTGTGAATCGAGAACGAGTACCATTTGTTCTTTCACGTGATTTTGTTTATGTCATAACCAATGGTCAGAAATCTGATGCTGACAAATGTCCTGAATTTTTAAGGTTAGTTTAACAAAGAAATAAAAAATGTAAAAGCAAATTCCACCTCATTAATTGTTTATTATTTTTTTTAGATTCCGAGATATATGCGAAAAAGCATATTTGATCTTAAGAAAACATAGTTCTCTATTCATCAATCTCTTTGCTATGATGCTTTCAACAGGTTTGATACTTGTCTTGTCTTACAAAAACAAAGAAGTAGGATATATTCTCCAGAATTGATGGCTAATATTTTTTAAAACTTTAGGTCTTCCAGAACTTGGTTCAGTCAAAGATATTTCATATCTTAAAAAAACTCTCGGTTTGCGAATTGGAAAAATGAATGCAGAAGAGGAGGAGAGAGCTGCCTTAGAAAAATTTCGAAAGAATTTTGATGAAGCATACAAAAATAGTACTAGCACAAGTTTGAATTGGGCCATCCACAATTGGGCGAAGGATAATAAATAGAAATGACAGCAGAATGAATCAATAGAATGAATGTGTAAATGTAGACGTAGTTTGATAAGTAATCTGAATTGGGCATTTGCCTATTTTAAATATTTTAAATAATAAATTTTCTTATAGAACCTATAGTTAGTGTGTGTGTGAATGCAACATTATTTGTCAGGCCCACCCTACAATATATGATGTGACAAATTATCTGATAAATAACCTTAATGTTAATAAAAAAATGTCTCCTAAAAAAAAGCAATTGTAACGACTAACGTTTTATTTTGAATCTCATTTGTTCACAATAAATACAGTGAAGTAAAAATAGAAACTTTACACTCAAACCTTAAAATATATCCATTTACTTAACATTTAAGAAAAAAATTGTAATAATTTTCTATCTTTCACCACAAATTATTATTCCTCAACTTTTTAATTTGTGTGATTTCAGGTGAAATTAAAGAAATAAAGATTTTTAGACTTATCAAGAGTAATTAAAAGTATTGTAGCTGAATATTTAATATCCAATGATAAGATAATTCCTTTTATCAGGACTATCAAATGAGCTATCAATGGTTTAAAATTGATTGTTATTTCCATCTAGGTTTCTGTAAAAAGTTAGCAGTAGCTAACTAGGAAGCATTTTCCAAAATGTGTTCTGGTTACATATTCTTCTATTAATACTGGTAAGTGCATTTTCCAACTTATTTCTCCACTTCAATGCTTCTTTCTTTTTTTTAAGAGCCAATTTTAATTGCTGCTTTTCATATGCTTCTTTTTGTCTCAGAGCAATCTTTAATTGTTTCATTGCAATAGCCTTCTTTCGTTTGCGGTCCATTTTAATTTGTTTCTTTTCAAATTTTCTATCCAATTGCACTCTGCAGTTTGTGTTTGGTGTTATCTTTCTAATCTTTTCACTAGATGTGTCATTTACCTTTGGTGTGCTGTGGAATAATCGGGGTTTCCTCTTCTTTATATAGTTTGCCTGTTCGAACATAAATGGGATAAATTGTTTGCGGTCTCTCTTGGGCCTTAAAGACAAAGACTTTATTTTGTCCCGGTCATTTCTTGTGTAAAGAATTTGCAACTGTTGAACTGTTGGCTCAATCGAAACCAGTTCAACAATTAATTCTTTCTGTTTATCCTGGTCTGTCAAAATTTTATTGTCAACATTATTGTTAAGCTCCTCCTCAAGTGAAGTTGATGCACTGTCTTCAATTGGGCTCCTACTAGATGCAATACTACATGGCGGAGTTAAATCTAGTTCAACGCCACTGCTATTTCCACTTGTAAGTGGTATTTTTACTTCGCACTCAACTGGCTGTGTAACTCTTCTCCAGTATAACGTAGAGTCATTGTCAATTATGCCGCTTGTTGCCGTATCATCATTCTCTATTGTGCTTGTGATTGGCAAGTCCAAAAACAAGGACTTTGTCATATTCAATGTTTGTGGAGCAGGTTCATGTCCAGTTTGGTTGGAACAATCTGAACTGTCCTCTTTACTGTTAGGTAAGACTGGATCAGAAACGGATACATTCTTATTCTGGCTGTCACTAATAAACTGAATCTCCAAGACCTCATTGCTTGTAATATTTGATGATAAACCTTGTTGGGTATCACATCCACAATTCTTATCTTTACGTGGAACATCTTGCAAACAATTTTCAAGTAAAACAACCAACTTATTCTTTTTTATGGATTGCACAGAGTTAGCACACTGTTTCATGATTTCCTTGCTTGTGGTAGACATTCTTTTATTGTAAATCTAAAAAAGGGACACAAGAAATTTAACCCTTTCTATCTTTGTTCAAGAGGATGTAGTAGTATTTCAAAATATCAACATACTGGTTTTCAAAGACACTGCACCCGTCTGGGTAGAGTTTTGACCAGCTCGTCTGTTGAAGATGTTTATTCTTTTATATGTAGTTTCTTGCCGCACGTGACGGAAAGACCCCCGAGGGAAACTCGACCGGAAAACAAAAGGGTAACGAAAAAGCTTCACAGTGTGTGCATTTTCGTACACATGGAGTAAATATTAGACGCTTCAGATACACTATAAAATTCTATAACGAATGATGTTATTTAAAATAACACCGGGCGATCGGAAGGGTGAAAATTTTTGAACCAACTTTTCATTAATATGAAACCATGCTCTCAAACTGCATATAATATCGTTAGTAACAAACACTTACCAAGTAGATGATTGTGCTATCTGTTTTGTTCTCTCATCGACTTGTGTGATTTGGGGGGAATTATAAGGACGGTGGAGTATATTATTATTCCCTTTGAACAGTAAATATGAATATTTTTGTGATTTTGTTGCGAGATTTGTGGCAGAGTATTAAAAGAATCGATTAACAATTTGCAAAGTACATCCGGGAATTCTCATTTTCTTAATTTATGCAATTACATCATTCATTCAAAAACGATAGGGGAGGGGAGGTAAGAATAAGAATTTTGATATTATCATTTACCATATGATAATGAAAAGTTTCTTGAAAATTGTTAGTAAATTTTTGTGTTGCATGGACAATGTAAATTTGATCGGCTTCTGGTAAAGCAACAAACATTGTTAAAGGCCTATTTGAAACTATATGAGTGTGACTGATGGGGGGAGGAAGCGTGTACCAAATATATATCATCGCTCAATTTCAAGGTGAATGTTATTTGAGAAGTAGATTACACCAAATATAAACCATAATACACGGCAACCATATAGCCAACGTACGTTGCATGGTGGTTTTACTGCGGTTTTTTGAGAGGTTTTTTATCACTTCATTGCAGTCCATCATCAACTAAGGCTGGAATCTCAGTAATCAATCTGGCCAGCGGTGCAAAATAGTATGCGCAGGCGCGCGGAATCAATTTATCAATCAAAACAGAAAACTATGTTTAAAATGGTCGTATATATTTTATGATTTTTATTGCGTTCATAGATTTTATAAATGTAATATACTGTTATTGAGTAATTTGAACATAATTAGTTAGCAAAAGACTTGCAATGGGAGTTCCGAAATTTTACAGATGGCTCAGTGAAAGGTACCCTTGTTTGAGCCAAGTTGTGAAGGACTATCAGGCAAGATATATTTTTTTATCATTTTAGTTGCTTTAGTTCCTCTGCTAGAAATACTCTCTTGGGCAAATATATTATATCGTCATTTTCTAGTAAATGTTTTCAGCAAATTTATTTGTTATTTCATTTGTTATCACAGTCATTTGTAGCAATCCACGTGGCCATTATGTAATAGTGGAGATTACGTATCAAGCCTGCTCCCAGACCCCACAAGGTCTAAGGGTTCATTAGGGGGAAGGGAACTTACCGTTTTATAGTGGGTTGGACAGTGTCCTCTTCAGTACTTTTAGTCTTATAGACCATGTAATTTGATTTGTAATTGCAATTTGCAACTGCAGTTTCTTACAGTTGCAATTATCAAAGCTATTGGAATGGTTGTACTTTGAATGGGCATTGATACCAGACTAATAGTTTGCTGTAGGTTAAAGAATTTCACGTAAATTGTTGCATCTGAATAGTAATATAAACATTTTACAGATTCCTGAATTTGATAATCTGTACCTGGATATGAATGGCATAATTCATCCCTGCTCTCATCCAAATGACGATGATCCACATTTTAGAATCACTGAAGAACAAATATTCTCGAATATCTTTCACTACATTGAGGTATCTTGTTTTTCGGGATAGTCTAAATACCTGGGCCATCATGTAATTTAGTTATCTTTTATTCTCCAGGTATTATTTCGAATTATCAAGCCTCAAAAAGTGTTTTTCATGGCAGTTGACGGGGTTGCGCCCCGAGCTAAAATGAATCAACAAAGAAGCCGGCGATTTAGGTACCATTGATTTTTTAAATGTTGTATTTTGTAGGAGGATCTATTAAGAATCTCCTTTGATAAGTATTAGCAAACATAGAGTACCTCTTGCCAAACAATCCAATTTATCTTTATCCAAAGTTCTACTTAACTTTTGACCGTAATAAAGTTTTACAAACCACACTTTTAAGGTCTGCCCGGGAGGCTGAAGAAAACATAAAGAAAGCTAAGGAAAAGGGACAAACTTTGCCAACTGAAGAACGTTTTGACTCAAACTGTATCACGCCTGGTATGTGTGTATGATATTTGAATGTACTCCATAGTTATGAGTGCATGTTCATTATTTTGGAGCACTTGCTTTTTTGATATGTTTGACATTCAACATTTTAGGCACAGAGTTTATGGTTAGGCTACATGAACAACTTAAATATTTTGTGAACAAAAAAATAAGCACTGATCCTGGTTGGCAAGGTTTGAAGATATATCTTTCTGGTCATGAGGTAATCCTAAGCTCTGAAATAGATGAGGTATTAATTTAATAAACATTCAATAAATAATTTGGCAATTTTGTTGCAGACACCTGGAGAAGGTGAACATAAAATAATGGACTTCATTAGATATGAAAGATCACAGCCAGGTTATGACCCAAACACAAGGCATTGTTTGTACGGACTTGATGCTGATTTGGTGAGTGAGAAGACACCTTCCTTCTCTTTGATATTTCACAATCTATAATTATCTACAATCTTCAAAGAATGCATTGTAAAAAGAATGCTTCATTTGTTTAGATAATGCTTGGCTTAACCAGTCATGATCCACATTTTTCACTTCTACGGGAAGAAATTAAATTTGGCAAAAATGTAAAAAGGTATATCTTATAATTCTGGTCCTCTGCCTTCTTGATCTTTTAGTACCATAAAAGATAAATCTCAATATCCATTTTTTTAGAATAAATAACCCTGAAGATATGACTTTTCATCTTCTACACCTGTCTCTGTTGCGAGAATATATTGATTGGGAATTTCAATGTTTAAAGGTATTGTGCAGTATCCATCTTGATCATCCCAATTATTATAGGTCCTCCTAACTTTAATTTTCTCAACATTTTAGGAGAAAATTTCTTTTGGTTATGATCTGGAGAAGATCATTGATGACTGGATTCTGATGGGTTTTCTTGTTGGGAATGATTTCATACCTAACCTCCCTAACTTACATATAAATCATGTAAAGTCTTATAAAACTATGATGAAATTTATTGGTAAAGGTTATGAATGAGTGGCCAATTCTGAAAATTTCTATTTTTGTTTTTCTATAGGATGCTTTGCCATATCTTTGGCAGATATATAAGGATATTATGCCATCTCTTGATGGTATGTTTACATATATTTTTTGGAACAATAAGCTGGCACTTGCACCCTCAACTGGACTTCATTACTACTGTTTAAATTGAAAGTGACAACTAGAATTAAGTATATGACATTAATTTCAGGATACCTTCATGATGGTGGGACACTCAGTTTGCAGCGTTTTAAAAATTATATTACCACCCTTGCAAAGGTGATGAAACCATTGATGAGACTATGTATTTTACAAACTGTTGTATTCTTGTTGTTTCTCTCAATATTGAACCTCATTTGTTTTGCAGTTTGATCTTGAAACATTTGAGGATAAATATGTAGACTTAAAATGGTTAGAAGGAAAAACAGCACAAACAGATGAACAGGTAATCGTAAAACTTTAGTGTGAAAAAGTAGGGGTGTACTCTTTGTGGACTGTTGATTTCAGCAATAGATTACTTATAACTAAATATATTGAAAGGTAATTCTTCTTGTGTAGGAGCTGTTATCAGAACAGTCAGATGTGGATGGCAATGTAGCATCAACATCAAGTGCATTATCAGATATGTCATTAGAAACTGGCGAAAAGAAGAAAGGAAAATTGCTAGATTATCTTGAAGAGAAAGGAGAGTTAGATGATGAAGAGGATGACGGAGATTTCACAGAAGAACATGAGAAATATAAATTAAAATATTACAGAGAAAAGTTTCAACGTAAAGATGATGATAAGTATGAATGTAGACTGTTGATGATGTGGACTGTTTTCTACTGGCTAAAGAATATAAGAAACAGAATTTTTTCACACAATTTATTCGTAATTTGTTTTATAGCTGTGAAGAACTTGTTAAACAGTTAAGCTTCAAGTATATTGAAGCCATCCAGTGGATTTTACATTACTACTTCAATGGGGTTCCATCATGGGGATGGTAAGCTATCTCAGTTCACTTCTCTAAATCTGCGCAGCTTAGCTGGTGGTTTTTTCTCTACTGCTGAGGTCGTTACTGCTTCTTTTCCGGACTACAGGAAATTTTTGAGAATGTACTTATAAAATATCTGACCATTTATCTAGGTTCTATCCCTTTCATTATGCACCGTATGTATCAGATGTGAAAGACTTTCAAGATCACCCACTCTCCTTTGACATTGGCAAACCATTCCTACCATTTGAGCAACTCCTTGCTGTCCTCCCTGCTGCTAGCAAGACACTTCTTCCAGAACCATTTCATAGTCTAATGATCATGGATAATTCTCCTATCATTGAATATTATCCACCTAAATTTGAAACTGATCTAAATGGGAAAAGGCAGGATTGGGAGGCTGTAGTGTTAATACCATTTATCGATGAGGTATGTCACTTGCCATATGCTGCAAGGGAAATGTTGAATTGGCTATTAAAAACTATTTTAGAAAACATAATGAAATGACCTTTATTTCAAACTCACTTCACTTTTAACATCTTAGGAAAGGTTATTGGAAGCAATGGAACCTTTGTATCCTCGACTAAAAAAGAGTGAAAAAGATCGCAATAAACACAGTTCGTGTTTACTTTATACTCATGAACCTGAAAAATCTCAATGTTATCCATCTTCTCTTCCTGGTGTTTTTCCTGACTTGGAATGTTGTCGTGCAAAGTATGTTTTTTTAAATTAATACTCATGGGATAAAAACATGTTTGTTTGCATTTGTGTTTGCCTTTTTGTTAAACGAAAATTTCCTCATTTCAGTTGTGAAACTATTCCAATTGATAAATATCGACTGCCAAGAAGTGAAATAGTGAAAGGTTGGTTATGGAAGTGGGATATACTTTGCCACATTGCTTTGTCTAATTGATTCTTCTTGTTACTTTTCATATGTAGGTATCTTGCCGGATGTCAAACTGGATGTGTATTTTCCTGGATTTCCCACCTTGAAACATGTTTCACATTCAGTAGGTGCATTATTTTTTAAATGTTTTGAAAGAGTTACAAAGTTGGTTAAAATTTAAACATTTTTTAAAAGGGTGAACTAAGAAAAATTGGTGTGAAAGTTTTCCAAATGCACAGTCGAGGTGAAAGTATGGTTCTAAAGATTGATGAAACAGATGAACTTGTAAGTGAAGTTATTTTGAGAAAATTTTGATAGCAGCTGAAATTGTCCTTTTAATTCTATTAACCATTCTTTGCTATAGAATTTAAAAGAGATTGCAGATTCATTGTTAGGCAAGCCATGTTATGTTGGTTGGCCTCATCTGATTGAAGCTTTTGTAACTAAAGTTAGTGATGATAGTAAAAAGTAAGTCTTAGGTCATTGTTGAAGATGATTTACAAGAATCTTTAAAAAAAAGCTATTAACTTGAGCTTATATTGATTTTCGTAATTAGATATATCATTGTAAAAGATTCACCAGAAAGTAATATCTTCAAGAGGTAACATTAACTGAAAGTGATTCATCTGCTTGGAGAAAGCAAGTTTCTTGTGAGAAGCAAATGTAAGTTTTAACCTCTTGAATAATAATGCAGTTGACATGAAAAATATTACAGTATGTGTACGCATCTTTCACAGGCATATTGAAAGGAAAGGGGTTGACATTGGTATGACTCACATTTTAGTTGAGGCTTGTCAAATACAGGGAAAGAAGTATGTTTGACTTGAAAATATCTTTCTGTTCTACTAGACTATACTTTAATTTCATGTACAATTTCATTCCTTTCTTGATTTCATTCATCTTTCTGATTTATTTTGTTATTTGTCAGATATGTTTGTGGTGCCAAAGGAGATGTTTGTTTAGAGAAGAAATGGTCTGACTGGGCAGTGGCTTATCCTCTTCAAGTGACAGTCAAGGTACTGGGACTGGGGTCATCTAATTCTCCCTTTTCTGAGCCCCTTTAAATACAAATATATATTTAGATTGTAGATTTCCAATTAGACTTTCTGTGTTAAGTAGTCAGTCATTTCTTCCAGGATATCAACGTTTATGATGAGACTGATGCAGGGACTCAATGTGCTACAGTTGCTGATCTATATCCAGTTGAAACAGAGTGCTTTATGATGGCAATTCCACATTATGGATCATCTGGAAAGGTCTGTGGCTTCATTGCTTAGTCCTGAACATTTTACATGTGTATCATTTAGTTTATCCAGTTTTTCTTTGAGCAGGAATCAATTTCATCTGCTTTGCCAATCTTCTGGACTACACTCTATTCTGATTGTTGATCAAATATCTCTGATAGGTTATTGAGGTTGATTCAAAGACTAAAACCGTGTTAGAGTGCAACTGACGGTGATCCCAGAACCAGACCTTGTGTCGCTGATTGTTAATAAAGATGATTATGTTGAAAACTACATACCTGCTCGCATCATGGCCAAGCGCCTGGGAATCACGTCGCAGGCTCTTGCTCAGATCACTGGAAAAGTATTTCTTTCCATTAGCGAGAGAGAAAAGTAAGTTTTTATGACGTTTCCTTTTACGTTATTAGTCGTTAACAACAACAGCAAACTTGTTATCACTTAAACTCATCTTTAAATTTCCATCGTAGTTCCAGCAAAGTTGATATCGGATTGAATTTGAAATTTTCCAAGCAAGATAAGGAGGTAAAATCATTGTTCTCGTCTGCTGTGCATCTGGTACACCGAAGTTAATCTACATTTTGATTCTGTTTTGTCAGGTTTTGGGATACGCTCGGAGACATGACAGTGGCTGGAGTTATTCACCTAAAACAGAGAAAACAATTTCCGAATATCAAGAAAAGTATGCTTCAGTTTTCCAGTTCCTTTTCTTCATCTTTTCACACAATCAACTCCTTTTTAACCTCAAATTTCTTTCGCTAGATTCCCGCAAGTCTTCGATGTTCTTTCAAAGCATTCGTCGGACACACTTAAAGTATCAGACGTGTTTCCTGATAACGAAAAGTACGTTTTAACGAAGCTAATTCCTTGCACGATACTCTTCCTGTATCAGTCATTACTAAATTACTTTTATTTGGTATAGTATGAGGGGCAATACAATTCACATGAAGAAAATCAAACTTGAATTATACGAATTAATCGTTTTCTACTGAAGTGTTCATTAATTGTCGATTCAAATACATTACTCTCGTACAGGTCTAAAACTCTCTCTGAAGTAGAAAAATGGTTAAAAACGCTCCCCAGTCATAAACAGAAAGCTGTAAGTTGTGGAAGCTCTACTCTAGACGAACCAATTGTGAAACAAATCGAGGAAGCGATCGAAAAACTAAAGGTTGGAAAACTCCACTTAAAAAAAATTAGGCTCGACTCGTACAGCACTTGCTGACAATTCCAATATTACAATTTCTTTAGGAGGAAAAACCGACTAGGAAAAATGTAAAAGTTCGAGTAAAACCTTCTGTTTTGTTTCGGGTAAGTTCATAAATATTGCTCTTAATCTATACGGTGGTAAAATGCACAACGCCAGATCTTAGTGGCATTGATATACAGATGCTTATTCAGTATACAAACGTATTTATTCAAGTGTTTATGTTTTAATATTTAGCCGATGAAAGAGTTGGGACAAGTTCCTCCAGATCCAGCTGCTGATTTTGAACTTTTCGATCGAGTTGTTAATGTTCGGACATTAGGAGTAGCTCCGTATGGCTTGAAAGGAACTATTGTCGGAATACATAAAGGTTTGTCGTCTGTTATCGACCTGTCGTTTGTTAGACTTCAACTATTAAGATCCGCACTCAACGAACTTATTGTGTTTTTTTTCAAGAATACTTAATTTGTTTAAAACTGGTGTAAAAGATTGGGAATATCACCTTTTACATCTAGGTAAAGCAGAAAACGAGCCGGTAAATTACGAAATTTTGTTTGACGAGCCTTTCATGGGAGGTCACTCATTAAGGTAAGAATTCCCGCCATGTCTAATTGAAGCACTCTGTAAAAAAGTCGCGATACTCAGTTGTCCTTGAACTTGCATCTTCTAGAGGTTCAAGTGCATTTGAAAACAAATTATATGTGATGCCGGCGTGGTCGTTACTCAATCTTTCATATGGTACTCGCTTGGAATATAAAAAGAAGGGTATTCCATCACCACTAGTCCAAGCTCGACAGAAGCGTCAACATGGTTCTGGACACCACAGCAAGGGGGTACCGGCTGAATACAAGCCTAGTAATAGAGGGGGCTCGTATCATAGAGATTTCTACTCCGCTTGGCAAACGCCACCGACAAACAATGATCGACAACATACGACTCCTAACGAGCGAACTCCGAACAGCAAGGAGCGAGCTCCGAAAGGCAACGAGCGAGCTCCGAAAGGCAACGAGCGAGCTCCGAAAGGCAACGAGCGACATTCAAGTTCACGACCCCGTTTTGCCAGCCCAGAATTCAACTCCTCTGTTAATCGTTCTCGCTTTTCTCCACGATGGAACAGCCCGCGGTATGTTTATAAAAGTTTGAATCTTCTCAATATCGTCCCAAATTAATCCACAAAAATTGATGAAAGAATACTATCCAATTAGACATTTAACTATTTCAGACACCAACCATGACAGTTTAGTTAAATAATTCATAATATATTTTCTTTTTCAGGAACAACCTGGGAAATAATCCACAAAATCCTCAGGTGGGTTTCGCATGCAAGAAAGCGAACATGTTTTGCTTGTTACGTTGCATTTAAGATTCTTAATCGCAATATTTTTTCAGGTTTCTTCTCAAAATTCACGTGGTTTTCAGAAACAGTCACAGCCATCACATGGTAGGTGCAATGAAATACACTTCGAGTTCGAGGGGGATTTCCACTCTTGCAGAGATCAAATGTTTCGCTTAGCGAAATAACCGTGTATTTTCGTTTGACATTTTCCTTGGCTTTTTACTGATCAGGTTTTGTTGTAGATTCTAGTGCGGCAGTGGACCCCAAAGATCAATTATCCGCACAGGTTAATATTTGTGCCTTTTCATTGGCGTTCTCATGTGTATGCTTGCTTGTGTTTTGAAGATTTCTTGTTTTTCTTTTTAGGAAAGTGAACGCGTCATTCGTCAGCTTCTTAACTTGAATGGTTCACAAGGAACACAGTCAACACCCAGTTCATCTCAAGTCGTGTTTAACATGCCGGGTGGGTGAAACACGTTTATAATAGTGATGATAGACTATACAAGCATTCTCTCTACATTGCAATTTTATTTTTAGATAACGCCTTTATGACTCCTTCTTTGTCGCCTGTTTCTCCATTTTCACCATCAAGGTAAACAGAAGTACAGTTTTATATTGCGGTCTGTGACATGATGGACATCTATGGATACCAATGGATACGCACTGCAATTAGCATTGGTCTCAGACCTCAATAGGGTCTGGACCACAAGTCTGGGTTATCGCGTGTAGCTCTACAACTCATCTCATCTGATGTGTAGGGGGAGACGAGCCATGCACAAGGAGATATTGATTTCTTTTCTCTATTCCAGCAACCCCTCTGGCTTGTTAGTATCCGCGTGTCGTCAAAATCGTTGGCCAGACCCTACGTTTAATCATCAACGTATAGCTCAGGTACGATAGCTTGATGTTTCCTGATCTTAAAAAACTAACTGGAGCATTCATGCCATTCGGATGGGCTGAAATCTGGTAACATATGAAATGAAGCCAATTTTACCTGACGTATACTATATTGCTTTCACAGCACGTGATTTCAACAGTTTGCGTGGCTGGGAAGTTATTTAGTGGACTTCCATCCCCGACAATCGAAGATGCAGTAAAGAGTGCCGCGCATTTTGCTTTAGTGGTATTTATGTTTTTATTTCTTTAAATTTATTATAAATCATCATAATGATCCCAATAATACCAGAGTTGGTTTTTCAATGTAGTTAAACGTGATCAAAGAAATTGTCAGTCTTATGAATTATGATATTGTATTTCTCTAGTCGCTCTTTCCCCACCTGAGTTCGCCATTCGTATTTCCCCCATCACCCAATATTCCTCCTTCCACAACGACACACCAGCTGCAGCACACCAGCGTCAACCAACACCACCATGAAAGAACTTCTTCCAAACCAACTCAGGGTTCCGAAAATAGAAAATCAGAAAAGCCTACCAATCCTTCCAGTGGTCAAAACCTTTTCATACCTCTTCAGGTCTGTACACAATTTTTTCAAGTTGAACGAAGCAGTATCCAGAAATGATTGCAATCTGATTTGGCAATGTAGGTCTCATTAAAGAGGAAAGATGCAGTTAGTACCACACCAAATAAAACATCTGAAGGCAATGAGACAATGGAGCAAAAAACATCTGCAGACCAAAATTTAACAAATATTCAGGAACCAATGAATATCGAGCAAGACAGTACCCAAGATCCTGCCAAAACCAAGAATCAGGAAAATGCCCAGGATCAAGGCGATAAAACCCAAGATCCAGATAAAACCAAAGATCCTGACAATGCTCAGGATCCAGGCCATAAAACCCAAGATCCAGGTAAAACCAAAGATCCTGACAATGCTCAAGATCCAGGCGATAAAACCCAAGATCCAGATAAAACCAAAGATCCTGACAACGCTCAGGATCCAGGCGATAAAACCCAAGATCCAGATAAAACCAAAGATCCTGACAACGCTCAGGATAAAGGCAATACAACCCAAGATCCAGGTAAAACCAAAGATCCTGACAATGCTCAAAATCCAGGCCATACCAAAGATCTTGAGAACACCAAAGACAGCGATAAAACTCGGGATCCAGCTGAAACACACGAAGAAACAAACACATTAACAGACATTGATGTGACAAGGAGACCAAACCAGAGCGAATCCCATGTAAATGAACCGAGAACAACGAAAGCTGGCGCAAATAAGGAGAAACCAAAATTACTTGCACCAAGTTTTTTTAAGGGAAAGGAATAACAATTGTTTTATTTTGTACAAAGGGTAGTTATGTATTTTCACAAAGTAGGAAGGGACGGAACTTAATTATTGTTCTTAAATTTGATTTTTAAAGTTTTCACGAACAAATATTTGTCAATTATATAATATATAGAAGCAAAGCCTTATTAATGAACAGTTAATTTTACAATGAACAGTTAATTAAGTCCAGCATAAATGAGATATGGGCACTTTTTTAATCCATACATTTTCTTGTTCATCTCGTTTGACTTAGGTTTGCACCTATCAATTTTCGTCTACAAAAGGGGGGATCTTCTTTGACAATTTTTCTTCTACGGAGAGGGGGACAACAAGGGGAGATATCTTCTTTGCATCCGTCCACTAGCCCCACCCATAGATAAATAATGAATGTTTAAAGAATATCTTCAACTTTTTTTCCCAAAGAAATGGATAAGGGATGCTTTCCACCTCCACCTTACCGTAGCAACGTGTAGCGTATGTCATTCTTTCCTGGGCCCTCTAATGACTTTGAAACAAAGGAATACGCTACGGCTCTCTACTATACAGATGCTACAAAACAGGCAAAAGTCTACGACGTTTTATTTACTTCCGCAAAATTTGAACACTTATTGCAGTACAATCATATACAATATAATTATCGTTTATCAAAGTTTGTTTCAACAGAATCGTACACAGCTGCTTAGAAGAATGTATGAATGTGTCTATGCCAAATTGAAATCGTATATATAGTCCTTCCACGTTTTTTGTGAAACACTAGTTCAATCCACTGTATAATAGAATTTAGTCGTGTTGTCGTTCAGGCTGCTCTCTGTAGGTATGGCGTAAGGATGTTCATGTTTCACATCGCGTTGATGTTGTTTATCGAAGAATTTCTTCTTAATCCACAATTGCACACAGCAGTATGTTCCAATAAAAGATGCAGCGAAAACGAATTCTAATACAACCATGTCTTATTCTTGTTTCGTGAATTCTAGACCAAACAGTCCTCATAACATTTAGTAATGCTTAGTTGAGTATTGTTATTGCAATAAAACCTTCTTGCAGTAATGGCACCTGCGGAATTACATTTTTTGATGCAAGCTGTTATCATGTGTTCACTGGAAGCAGGTCATTGATGCAAATCAGGGCCCTAACAACCCTGACGCCACGCTACTTTTCAGCCGAATATTTCAATTTTTCAAAAGTAGTAAAACTTGTGGGTTGCAATATTCTGGAAGGTTACCTCGTTATGATCATAACGTATTTTTATTTAACTGAGAAATTGGAGGCTACTTCATAGCAAACAAGGATATCGTGCTAACTCTGCGTGTTTATGCAGGTAGCTTGTCATCCATTTTAATTCACTGTGCATAACTTCAGTCCCAAACTCCCCCTCAAAATCAAACTTATTTGCGTCCTAAAAAGTGAAATTTGCGTCGCGTTGCGGCACCGCCTTCGGTCTAAAGAGTATACTGGCCCAAAACAATAGTATCTCTTTGAAAATCAAGCTTTTGCTGGAATTTGTCTCGATGTAACGATTCCCCTTTTTTAGACACCCTGACATGTAATAACATAAAGCTACTATCCAGTGACCAGTTTCCACTAAACAAATTTGTTCGAACTGATTGTAATAAGAGAGAAAAATAGAAATCCTGATATACTGGGAGTGGAGGAGGGCATTCTGCAACGTGAATTGGTCAAAATTTGTTGCTTGTTTTTTTTGTACGATTGTTATAGAATCGTGAGTATACGCAGACTGCGCATGTTTGTAATCAGTTTGCGGTTTATGTATTTCGCATGGTGTGGTGACACCCCTTGGCTGAAATAGGGGAAATGTATCTTGACGTCATTTAGTAGTACTAATGAATAAGGCTGGTCAGACACTCCTTCCGTAAACTATAAATAAAGTTGTTAAAGTCTTTTTGAAAGCAACCATAAATCAATATTGTTTGTTGCCATCAGCAACATAGAATACAACAAATAACATCTTTATTAAAGATCAAGATTAACGATGCGTCAATCACGTCCTCAGAAATAATTTCTTTTCAATTCAAGTCAATAGTTATTGTACAAAGACGCTTTCTAATCAATATGCCTGAAAACATGAACCGTATGTCAAACCCTTGGTATGAACACAAGTTCTCCTGGTAAGAATTTATAAAATCATATCAGTTACCTCTTCTCATTATCCCACTATTCAACTTTGTTATAAACTTTCTATGCAGGCAATATTTTAATCCGCCCTACTGTCTAGTATCTTTTCAAATTCACCAAATCACTTGCTAATGAGCAGCCCTATAACAATGCGTCCTCATAATTGAATGCTAATTAGTACCTCGTTAAGACATAAATGTTTGTTGAAATGCAATATTTCATTTTCCACGTAACAAAGGCAAATAATTACACTTTGCATTTGTACGATTTGAAGCCATTGAACAGAAGTAAGACTGCGTCGGTATATAGACTGATTAGTTACGATATTATGTCTCACTTTTACATTGAAATCAAATGAAACCCTTTCATAATAGGATTCACAACGTGTTATCAGGTTTTTCAATAGCGCTCCAGTCATCGCACTCCCAGTCCCCTGGTCACTACGGGCCATACTGCGGCCAACAAAAAGCACCCAGTGAAAAGCGCGAACTCAAAGACACGAACAGAAAAAAGTTAAGACAGTACTCATCACGTTACTCAGCACGGAAATGATTTCAATTGGAAAAGTCGTAGCAGGTTATAACAGCAACAGCCTGTAGCAATGCGGCAATAAAAAAGCTTCAGCGGGCATGCAATTAAAAAAGATGCGAAGCGTCGAAATGAGTTTGCTTGGAAGCAAAATACTTTTCATTTGATATCGAGCCAATGTTGCTAATTACGGAGGATTAATCCGCTAAATCTTCTTAAACAAGTCCTCCAAAACTCTGCCCACGATAAAAAAAATATTACTGAAAGAAAACAGTGTACCACAGTGCGCAAATGTCACTCAACTTAGCCTTTATTACACCGCATTTTAATTAGTATCTGTTCCATTTAATCCATTACCTTTCCGTGGGCCCTTGCAGAAAGCATCGTCAGTTTCACCAGCGAATGAGCGAAAAAAGCAAGGCTTTTACGTTGCGCAAAACTTAAATATAGCTCTAATCCCCTGTAAGCATTAACTGTTCATAGCTATAATTATACATATATAAAAGATTTACTTAGTTGGTTTGTGGTTTGTCAATTTTAGCAAGGCAAAGGCTCCGAAATAAAGAAAATCAAATAATACTTGACATTTGTACTGCAACATACGGAATGAGCAATTAAGAAGCCACGTGACGACCTTGGCCAATCAGAGCGCGGCATTTTGCTAACCTAAGGTCATAATCAGGCTATTTTCTTGAGCAGAGTAGCTTTGATGATGGCGGATGAAACGAAGATTATTTATCATATAGATGACGAAGAAACGCCGTATTTAGTAAAGATATCAAAAGGCCCCAGCGATGTCACCCTCGGAGATTTCAAGAATATTCTCAATCGGCCAAGTTATAAGTTTTTTTTCAAGTCTATGGACGATGATTTCGGGTAGGTTTGAACCGAACACTTTATATTTCCAAAGGATGCTTTGTTTATCAAATGTTTAGCTTTCGGAAACGCGAATATGCCAGGAAAACCGGTCCAAGAAATGAGGGATATCTTCGGTAATATTAGTGGCAGTGAATTCTACAATTATGGGGTGCTTGACAATTTGAGATCGCCTCGAGACAATGTATTAGTTGCAAGATATTGCGATAAATTTTGGTGACCCCTTTAAATGTAGCCTTGCGTTTTGTACAAATTTCTAAACACATTGCACTGATGCTTTTTTCGTAAACCACAAATGGACTGGTGATCTTCCCAGTTTAAAGCAAAAATCTTTAAAACAGTCAAAGATTACGTTAAGGTCGAGTCGATTACATATAAAACGTTACTTCTGTCTCGATGTCAGGGTTTTGATAGTGCATAATTTTATATCTCTTTGGCATTTACTCTAAATAAACACTGCATATATTCTGTGCTTCATACAGGGTAGTTAAAGAAGAAATAACAGATGACGAATCCGGCTTGCCTTGTGTGAACGGCCGGGTTGTTGCTTGGGTATGTATTGAAATTAACACAGCCTCTTATTTCTTAAATACAATACAATATGAAACAGCTTTATGTATATTTCACGGGGTTATAACTTAGGTCTTTATCGTAAATCTGTCATAAAGTTTGTCTCGCACAGCGATCGTATTCATGTGCATACGAATGATTTGTCATATTTTTGATATGAGAAGGGGAAAGGGCAATGTATTGGCTCACAAATATGACAGTTCCCGTATTGTAGCATTGTGTTGTTTACGCGTGAAAAGTGTGCTTGAGTGTTTTTGGATGATTATATTTCGTTTTGCAAATATCTCAAATTACTCGCGTTTTTCCCGGCTTGCTTATCTCAAAAAGCCTGCACGACTGTTATTTTTCATCGTGAAAAGCACAGAGAGCAAATACTTCCAAGGGAGGTCACTATTCGCCTTGCTTTGCGGCCGTTTCTAACTTGTCCCAAACTAATTTAAAAAGCTCTTACTGTGAGAGACAATGCTCAGCCGTCTCCGGTTCTTTAGATGTAGATATTCCTTTTTTCTACAGGAAATCGTGCCAATAACCTTACTAGAAATTATACTTATAGTCTACATGAATGTATATTGTATTTCGCTAACTAAAAGCGAGACATTTGCTGTTGTTTATACTGAAATATGTCTCATGCTGTTTGTCAAATCATCTATAAAACTCAAACGGTTTGTTTGATTTGTAAAATTGCGTTATATAGGGCACATTCCAAGCTTGCATTAACGGCGTGATTTGAAGGAACTAAAACATTCCAACATTCTGTTACATTCAATGTAGCAATTAACTATATGAGTCTTCTCATTTGTGTTTCGAAATTCCATAGACGCCTTCACGAATATCAATGAAAAATTTATGAGCGATCAAAATGAAATGATTTTAATAATCTATCGAACGATCGTGGATATTATACATGCCTGGGATGTACGTTATTTGAATGAAAAAGTGGTGAAAATGTGTTTTTGGGATTCCATGATGTATGATATGCCAAGTCAAATATCCTTCTATCTAAATGCAGCTTGTTGATTGAGGAACTGCCTAATATGATGGCTGTCTGTATCTCTCAAGTGACCTCAGCATCATATCCCATTTCAACATCTGAATTGCCCTTCAAATCAGCTGTTTAATAGTGAGAGCCCTGTAGTTCTCGTAGACTCTTTAACGCCTAAATTAGACTCTTGCAAGCCATTAGTGGTGGGAGTTGTTATTTTTCTCCTGTAGGGATCCTGACCACCAAATACAATTGTATCTTGTTTGTGTTTATACTGGAGTAGTTTTCATCTGATGTTCGACAAATTTGCATGTGCAATATATTGAATATCTAGGTATTTTAAGTCCCATATTACTTATTACGTACATGGTAATTCTTCACTGATCCTCTTTTGTCAAATTTGATGCTTTGCCATGGTGGTCTTGAGAATTAAGATATCATATTCCAAGATCTGAAAAACTGTTATCAATTCAGACAATGTTGTGGGCAACAAAAAGTTGTTTTTTTACATTATATGTATTCATATGTCTAGGTTATTAGAGCACTGATTTCTAATTGCCAATTGAATTAGCTGAAAACCTAAAATGTCAGATTGTATGCCAATTGAAACACAGTGAAATTTGTTGTTTTCTTCTGTTAAATTTTGTCATCCTGTTGTATAACTTTTAATTCAAATTCTGTCTAGTAACTTATAACCCAAAACATGTTGTATATCTTGGAACTGCCTGATTAGGTAATTGTTTTGAATGTGGTTTCTGCCTCCTCTCCCTTCTCCTTGTGTTTCCCTAAACATATTGCTTCTTCTCATTGTCTTATATTGATCTTGTCTTAATGAGACTATCAGAAAGCCAAGTCTTTTTGCAAACAACAATTTGATTTTAAACACACAGATGATGTTTTACTGCATGCACATTTAGAGATCTATGTGTAATGGTTGCCATATTTTGCAAAGTATCAACCAATGTAGTGTTGTCAGAAGTTTTAGTCGCTAAATCAGTCTGATACATTTCTCAGAGTTCTAAACAGACTTTTGGCACCTATTCCTCTTATTCTCCTCCCTGATCTTCAAATCTTGAAGTAGAGGTTATCCATTCCTAAATTAGAGATTCTGGCACACAGCCTGCCTTAATAAGTTCAGATAAAGAGGTTATCTTTATATCTCTCCAGACTCTCCAACAATTTATCTTTTATATAAAGAAAAAATTTGTCCAAAAAACTAGTGAGATCCATTGAGATTTTACTAACACAATTTTCAAATATTCATCTTATTATGATTCCATAGAGAATGATGGATGCCAAAAATGTAGCTATAATCCCTCCCAAGAATATTTTCTTATAAATCCCAAAAAGATAGCTCTTAAAAATGAAAAGTATTAAGACCTAAAAATGTCTTCAAGGTAGGAAAAAGTTTTAAATGATAAATTTAGTTCTCGTCTTTATCCAGTCTTTAGAAAACATAATTTCATCATTTCCAATTGTGTTATAAAGTGAACGTCTTTCTCAACTTTACTACGATGCCAAAGATCGTTCCTACTTTGGTTTTACAGTTGTTTCCCGGTGACGGTGGTTAAAAGGGTTTGTTTGCTTCGTCAATTTAAAAAAATATCGAAATCAGTGAAGATTACCAAGTATTATCACATTTTGAAATCTCTTTGACCAAATCTAATCGATTTCTGTCTTCATCTTGCCATCTTCAGGAAACATGACAAGCCTCTACTAGACGAAATAAATGTCTTTAAAACGAGGGTTACTATATTGCTTCATTTCTCTACCATTGGAAACATCACCTTATGTTCGTGCGGTTAATTCTTTAATATCACATTGTATATTCACGGGAACAAACAGCAATAACTTTCCAATATCTTTTGGCATTCTTTTATATCTGTCCCACATATATGAACAAAACTAATTACATTTTCTTCGACCTCAAAACTCCACCCCGTTCCGGTTAAAAGTTGCGTTACGTCAAAGTTAAGTCTACATGATATCAAGACTTAATTGTCGCACAAATGAACCGCAGAGGCGAGAACAAATACGCTGTTTACTGTCTTGAACGAAACTCGGCCAACTTTTTAATTAAGTTTAATTTAAAAAATGAATGCACAAAGAATGTCAAAGGATGTGCTAATTTATCTGCATAAAAGCATGTCTTGTGAAGTTATATGAAGTTTTAGAGCTGTGCTGCATGTGTTGAAATCATAAATATAGAGACGTTCGTCACCTTTATTGCGGCTAGTAATATTTCTTAATTTTCCAATATTTCGACGGAAACTATCGTTAAATATATTAAAACCTTTCGAGTCATCTTCATATATATGAAAAAAAAAGATGATGGACAAGTTGAAGACGCCTTGTCTATAGTTAGCTTTTCAAAACGAGAGCAAAGGACACTGAATACCACTCGTTGGAAATGGGGATCTACAGTTTGCTTGTGTGAAAAATGCGCATTATAATATCCGTTGAAACTTTGTGTTTTTCTTTTTACAGAGTTAAAAACTCTGTGAACTATTAACAGCTCTTTTTCGCTGATTGACCTGATCTTATATAGCTAGAAAAAATAGAAAATACTCTAGATTTTTGAAGCCACGTAAAATGCGTGTGGTTTCCGATCATATTTGTGCCCGGGTTGGATGCAGTAAAAGTCTCCAAAGCAACACAGAATTCACGTTAAAAACTGCACCTATATCTTTGTCATGTCAGACTGTATGACGCGACTAATTTGTTATCTTAGCCATAGAGGAATGTTAAGGAGAACGTCCATCTTTTTTATTTATGTAATTGGATGATCTGGAAACGTATCTCAGAATTGCAATAAATCTGTTTACACAATGAGCAACACTTGTAGTAGCTACTTCGCTAGTTATCTAGACCAGCAATTTTCCCACGGAAGCGTGCATGAGTGCTGTCTTGAGTTATTTTCCATTATGTCTACGGCTTTAAACGCACGAGTAGCCAGAATACTCTTCTGTAGAGTAGAATCTAAGTACAAAAATTATGCATATGTCTCAACAGCAGAAAAAAATAATTCGATACTAAGTGGTTTTATATCTTTGTTGGTATTTTAGTTGGTGACGTCATCAGAAGGAAGCGCCAGCGATGTTGGTAGGACGTTCTCAGAATCAGGTTCAGAACCACATGATCAACAGTCTGTTTTGTCGGACCCAGATTCCACAGGAGCGCCACGGACAAGAGGTCCTGGATCCGGTGAATCGAGGCCACCATCTTTTCAGTGAGTCAACATTTTTACGTGTGGCCTGGGGCCAAGATTGTGATTTGGAAAAACCTCCATGAGATCGCTACCGCCCAAAATGTTCTTTACTTTAACATAAAACTGAGGCTTATTGCTTTGTTGCACATGGCCGTCGAATAATGTTCCACTTAAGCATGCCTTAAGGCATGGCTCCACTTACACCAGGACAAAATAAAGGGGCTCATGCCGCCATTATGAAGAAAGTTAATGTTTTCATTTTTCCATAACTCTTAAGCAAAACCTGAAGGTTTCCGGTGAGATTTTCAGTAAAGTAAAGGTCTTGTGGCCTTAAAAGATTAGTTAGTAATTATTGTGTCTAACGATGGTTGGTTATTTTACTGCGTGTAGCGGTCGTACTGGATTGAAACCTGAAAAGAATACCGAGAATTCTGATCTTGAATCCATCAGCTCGAGACAGTCAAGTAGAAGCAGGCCTAGACGTAAGTATGAGACAGACCCGTATCTTCTCAGTTTCAGCTTAAAGTCATTGATCCCCATTGTGTCGTGCAATAAGGTACGTGTACCAATCAGCGTGTTTATATTCTCGTGTGTCTATGTTTTCAGCGCACCGCAATAGCAGTCACCGATATAAAACACCAGCAGATGACAGCTGTGAAGAAGAGTCTTCTATATTCAGCAGTGACCTAGAAACAACAAGCGTGGCCGATTCTGAAGATGACCGTAGAAGCAGGTTTGTGAAGAATTTTGGGGATTTTTCTTTTGTTATTGGATAGGTTTTACATCGTGGTAAGCTCTGCACACGTCTTTACATGCATAAACCACTTAGGCTCACGTTTGGAGTGATGTTTACAAAAGAGAAGATACAATCTTGTGAGACTCAGACACGTCATAGTTATTTATGTTTTCGTTAAGAATCTCTAGCATAACTGACGGATCAAGCATGTATCATGGTCGACATAGGCGACGTCGAAGAAGACCCAGAATGCCACACGTTCAGAGAGTAAGTTGACGTAAACGCCGTAAGAATTTGGTACAAATGACACGGTGATTATCGTGCAATGAAATTCGGATTATAAGCAAAGAATTTAAACCCGTCAAAGGCTTCTTATCTAAAGAATGCCGATATATCTGTTAGAAAATCCAGCTGACCCGGAAAAAACGGAAGAGGACTGGAAATAGTCTTCAAGTATAAATCCATTTTCATGTTACAATATCAAATTTCTATTTTGTGGATAAAGGATATCATAGATTGTCATTTCCATCGCAAAATATTAACATTGTATCACTTAGTTCTTGCTAGTCGCCTGACCCAAATTAGATGGAGATTTGCAGACGTTTGATGTCTTAAATTTTGACATGACATTGCTTGGAGTTGAAAGACGATATTCCGTTGCGATATCATGGGAACTTTTTGTGCTCTAAATTTATCCAACATGCATGCCCATGTCAGGTCTTAGTTTGTTTTGTCGATATTCAGGCATTCGTGAATTCGTCTGTTTGGTAAATTCAACAAAAGAAAGCGTATTAAAAGGAATATTTTCGTGTTCTCAGATTACTCAAACATTTTAAACTGAATATTTCACGAGAGAAAACTGAATATTTTCCTTGTCGATGTTTTGCATGATAGAACATAATATATTTACGATATCGTTTTGTACATAAACATTTTCGTTGCTGGCGTTAAGTGGTCGAAATTTACACCACGTATTTTTCTTTTTTAGTGCACTTCGTTTAGTACCATTACGGAATCAACAATGTCCTTAAATATCATCACTGTCACCTTAAATATGGGTAAGAAATTGTGATTATTTGAAGTCGTCATGTCTTTAAGATTCACATCATGGAAGGAATTCTGCCACGTAACAGCCTTTGCGTTAAAGCAGCTTCCCTCTGGCTCACCCAGTCCTTACTCTATCCCTGGCTGTTCCTAAAGCTTTTTTTTAACCTTACACCACCACTAAACGTATACTAAATATGTATTTCCAACAGATAAAGCGAATTTCTTGGGCATCAGTATTGTTGGTCAAAGTGGAAGCCGTGGAGATGGTGGTATACATGTTGGTTCTGTTATGAAGGGGTGAGACACCATATATTTATTTATCGTGTCTTGAATTTATTATATCTAAATTTTTGTTGTTAATTTTTTAGCGGTGCAGTTGCCTTAGATGGTCGTATAGAACCAGGCGATATGTTGCTTCAGGTGAATGACGTGGACTTTCAAAACATGAGCAACGATGACGCTGTTCGGGTACTCAGGGAAATGGTTCATAAACCTGGTCCAATCACATTAACAGTCGCAAAGTGTTGGGATCCATCACCACAAGGATATTTCACACTTCCGCAGAGTATGATGTTTCTTTTCTTCATATCTCTAGAAGTCTCTTATACAATTGTACAATACGACTCTCGTTTTATTAACGAATCACCTTCCTTGTTCCCATTGAATAGGCGAGCCTGTACGACCGATCAACACCGAGGCCTGGGTTCAACAGTTAGCTGCAATGCGAGGTATAACTTCTTATTTTAATATATTTGATTAACTTAAATCCAACCGCTTCAGGTACAAAAACAGGAAATATGGCATTCGAAGAGATTTCAACCTTCCTGGTTTGGTTCTAGCTGATAGGACCAATTATCTATAACATGCATAATCTGTCATTACAGAGTACCAAGCTAAAGAGATGGTTAATCAATCGTTAGGAACTATGACTTCGACAAGTTCATCATTGACAAGTTCTTTGCCAGAATCTGACCGTAAGTCTAGGCTGTGAGATCGTGTTTAGGCTCTGATGATTCGCACATTTTATTTCAGTGTCAATGTTCTCCAATTAGTGTTGTTAATAAAAGGGTTTCTCCGTAACGTAAAATATGTTAAAGTGCCAAGCATTGTACACTTAATGTGCTGCGTTTATTGTCAGGTTTCACAGAAGATAACTACCTTCAACTTCATGTAAACAGTGATATGAGCCTCGTTGTGAAAGCCTTAGCAAGTACTGATTCTGGTTTGGACGTACGAGATAGAATGTGGTTAAAGATTACTATTCCAAATGCTTTCATTGGTTCAGATCTTGTTGATTGGCTATTTACTCGTGTCCAGGGCTTCACTGATAGAAGAGAGGCTCGTAAATACGCTTCTAGCCTACTTAAGGTAAATCACCAGCGATTGGTTTGTCAAATTCTTATTGCGATTTGACTTATTTGTATATTTTCCTATCTCTTCAGGCTGGCTATATCCGTCATACTGTGAATAAAATCACATTTTCAGAACAATGTTACTATGTGTTTGGGGATCTGTGCGACAGTGAGTATAACTTGTTGAAATGTATTCTAAGTGTGCACTTGCATCGTGTTGACACATCATTCATCTTGTTTATAATCCGTTACAGAAATGGGCAACATGTCAATCAAAGAACACGAAGGAAGTGATCAAGACACCCTAGCCCCTCTTCCTCAGCCTAACAACTGGGCGGGTAATGTCCCACCCCAATATTCCGCAGGGTGGCGCCCCCCTTACCAAATGCCTCAACATTTCCCCGACTTACACCCGTATAATCCAGCAGCATTTGCACCCCCCTCCCAAACAGGCAGTGGCAGTCCTCGAAGTTTAAGCAGTGGTTCTCAAAAGAGTCGTGAAAAGGAAACGGACGTGCAATCTCGAAGTAGTGGGGGTAGTAGTGCCAGTGATAGGAGTGGCAGTAGTAAAGGGGACAGGGCCTCAATCAAAGAACGCCCAGCCACCGTCACACCCACAGTGCGAGATTATGGACGCTTGGATCAAGTACCTGACCACATTGGAGCCAGTAGGAGCAGTTTTCAGATCGCTTTAGCAAATCCTTGCGAGTTGTTCGTAGACGTCATGTAGGGAAGCTGTAAGGTCTAGAAATTTAGTTGCTGATATTTTTACAAATTATTAAACTGTGGAGAGCATGTTGATTTTAAAATGATGAAATGCTATGAAATGAAGTCACCATTAGAATGATGAAGTGATGTTTTTGGTAAATATTATACCACTCTCGTTTTTGGACAGCGGAATAACCTTGAATAAACGAGTTATAATATATCATCAAACGAAGCTTCACAAATACCGAGCCGAATGGAAGAAGCCTGGGAGTTGCTGGACATCATCAATGCAAGACATATGACGCCATTGTCGAAAATGATGGTAAGTCGTAGGAAGCTGATGGACGCAATATAAAGAGGTCAAAGACAACGGTTCGTAATCGATGTACAAGAGTTTTGCCATGATTGTACCTGGAAACGAGATTTACTGTGTCGGGACCTGTACAAGCAAACTTTCTTCAATGAAGGAAATGATATAGTTATTGTATATAAACAAAAAGAACAAACTGTAGTGTGTTGTATATAATTAATTTTTAATAGGTTTTCCCCTGCAACGTTTTCTAACGCGCCAGTTACTTGTCAGTTACTAAACCTTTATTGTCCAGTTAATATATGGACAAATAGCATGTTCTTTTCTCAGAACAAATGATCGTAACAGTTCTTGAAACAGACAATGAACTTGATTTATTCTGATATACAAAGCCAAAGGCCGTATGCGTGTTAGAAAATGGTGCAGAGGGACGCCTTTAGCCTTTCGATATAGTATGGCAACCATCTTTTCCCTTTGTGATATGCAAAGATCTCAAGTAGATTAGTATCTATTTTTTACGTCATTAGTGTGTCTTTGCAATTATCATTTCAAAATACAGTTGTGAATAGAATAAAACACGTGTCCGAGTTTGATTTCATTGTTTTCCTGTTAAGTAGTGCAATTTAGAGAATGCGGTATTCAGAATGTTGAGGTAGACTTCAAGCATTAGACTTTTCTATTGTGTATGCTTAAATGATACTTTTAAAATGTTCTCATAAGAATTGATACAAGCCTGGTAACCTCTGATAATTGCTATCGATTTTCGGGTCTGTTTCGTGTAACTGACTTCGAACTTTGTTTTGAAAACATCAAGGTTGTGTTTGACAGCGTGATCAGCATTTAGGAACGAAGAAAAACGACTCAAATCGTACATCCATCAACAGTAAACCACTCGTCATTCAACGTTCAGTGTTTGCATCTTAATTTATACAAGGAAACGTCTCGATGTTTAGAGCGAAGGAAACAAAGTTGAAAGTTGCTACGCTGCTCTTAGTGGTTATCTTTTAAAACACTTGTGTGAACTCAGTACCGATAACGTCGTAGACACTGTCACATCGGGAAGCTAAGGCTGCAGCGCCCATTAAAATTTTTTTTATTAGATATCACTGAATGTTTTGTTCTACGTCAAATACTTGCGTCAGTGAGTAACATTTCAATCTTCATACTATGTCATGCACTATAATCACAGAGTGTGATATCTCTTATCGGCCAGATAACGTTACTTTTGTACAATGAAAATACGTTGTCTGCATTTTCTTCTTCCCTTGGAATCGTCTAGACTTCTTTGTATCAACTACCTCGTCATGTTTAATGATAACAAGTACTTAAGTGTACCCACTGAGAATATCAGTTAATTTAGTTCTGGATTTTTTATTTCCGCGCATAAAAGCCTCATGCCGAAAGTATTAACAAGTTTTAAGGAATTTGCGGTAAAATACTAGTGAAAATCCCTCGGGTCGTTTGTCTAGAAATCAAATTCTACAACGAGTTGAATGAGTTCTCTTTGAAATCTTATCTAGTCCAGAGGTATTTTTTGCTTGAAAGAATTGAAATGCAGGAATTCATTAAAGAGGTAGATTGTATTTTTCTCATGTAATAATTACTCTGTCTTTAGACAACTGATCTCACCGGACGTAGAGTAACAGTCGGAGGATAACGTAATTGACCGTCATTCCGACATTTACCGAAGACAGTGCGAAATATTGGGGTGGTCGAGCTTCTCTCGCAGGGGTTTACGGATGTAAAGCAGCAGTCACTTGGCTGGCCTATTTTGTAAGCGAACCACTCCCAAAGTTTGAGCCAAATATTTTTGCTATTTTTTCACTTCGATTGCAGTTTGGAAAGAAGAAAGTGCTTTCCTAATACCCTTTGGTTGTTCCTGCAACTATTTACGGGTAAAGGGTGACGTTTTCTCGGTGGAAAATCACTTTTTTCGGGGTAAACCAGTACACGTTTTGAGAAGAGCAAGAGAGAGATCAAAGTGTTACAAGACTTCAACCTCCTTTATACTCGATCGAACAGCTTGAAGACGGCGAAAGATGAGTGGAGAAATTGAGAGGCTTCGGCAAGAAGCCGAAACACTGAGGACCGAAATAAGAGTACGTACACAACGTTTATATACTATTTTTCCTTCTCGATATTTCGATTGCAGATTTAAGCTTCAGCATATATATTGTGTCTTGTGTCTCGCGAATGACAATAAATGTTTCTTGTGTTCCCACGGGTTCTCTTATTCACCGGGCTTGATGATAGCAGTCTTCATTACATTGTGACTGTTTTTAGAACAGATCGACTGTTTCATATTTTTGCCTTACTAAGGCAAATTGAAGACGGTCGACGGTTTCCATAAACAGAACTAGCTCATTACGGATGCCTTGTTAGTTGTAATATTATTGAAGACAGCTGAACGTCGTGTTTTTCTACCAAGGCTATTGAAGGTTTAAATTTACAGTAATTCACTAAAAAACGTTTCAAATCGCCAAGAGAGTGTGTATTGTGGGGTCTGTATCTTCCTTTTATGCCACATTTTGACTGCAAATGTTTGCCGACTTGTCCTTGACTTTGTATTCGATTTTCCTTGTCTTAGCTGTTTTACATATGGAAATAAGGCGTCACTCGGCTTCAATCTGAAATTAAGCCCAGCGAAAAGCAGCTTTGATGAATGCTTTTTTCGAAATAAACCTCGGTAGTGATGTAACATCGCAAAGCGAAGGATTCCGAAGAATTCTATGTACACATTTTGCCTGTCCGATTGGGAAACTTTTTCAAATTTGTCTCAAACGGAACTGCCTTTGTTTTCACACGTCGTGCATTTTGTTTGTGACAGATTGCTGAAAAAATACTCCTTTTTTCGATTTGTGCATAATCAAAGCGTTCCACATCGAATTTCGGTTTTGTTATTGTTTTGAGAAAGTTGCAATTTTCCTTGAGGTAAACGTTCCAATGATGTTTTGGCCAAAAATTCTTACGTTCGTTCATCTTTGATATGTTGCAAGATGCCGCTCTGCGAATCTCAGCAAATTTAAACTGTTTCTTCACCGATATTTCAGCTCAAAATTGCAGAGAAATAGTCTAATATCTATGTCGTTAGAAATAATAAGATTTCGGGTCATTTGACTCATTTCAGCACGTCGTATTTTCTCGGCCTTGTTGTTTACCACCGTTCGGGAAATGCATACCTGCGTTGTTTTTGTTTTACAACAAAAAGTGGCTTTTTGAAAACAGATATTTTAGCGAAGTACAGTCGAAACAGCCTCAGTAGATTTCTAACTTTTTACAGATATTTTCATTTGCAGTAAAGCTGTGTTTACTCTTGACTATTTGTTGCTATGATATTTGAAACAGCGATCGAGAAACGTTGAAGGCCCTCGTATAAGTTGTTTCTTCCCAATATGAAGTTTGCAGTTCAGAAACGATCCGAAAAATTATTTATACAGCGGTATATTCACAGTCGAAGATAGCACACTAGGTGTTTTAACAAAGACCAGATTCTGCAGATGTTCCAATGCCGTTGTTGAACATACTCAAATATTATTTCTTGAAGTAATAAATGTGGGGTGTAATTAGAGTTGATAAAATTTTATACTCAGTATTTGGTCATCTTAAAGGTTCAAACTTTTCAATACTTCATGGATGAACGAAAGTGTCTTCTCAGAATATAATCACCTTTATTTTTGTAAAACTATGGCAACTTATCTCTCTGGATTTTTCCATGAACTTTAGGACAGTACAATTTGATCTCACTGTGTCACTGTGATACTTCATACTCCTAAAGGAAATATTGCCTCTAGCCTAAGCAACGTATCGAAAATTGCATCTTTTTTCAAATCTGGTTGAAAACAATTTAAAAACAAGTTATAGAGATAATACTTTCATCCATATTGTATAGACTAGTTGGTATGCACTGAAAATTTCAAAGATTTTAGGAAAAGATAATTGATTACTTGGTTATCTATTTAGGATGCCCGTAAGGTGGCTGCTGATACAACTTTGATGCAGGTACTTTTGTAATTTTTTTTCTTGTAGTTTTGAAATAGTTTGCAGTTTTTCCACATACCACTTGTATAAAAACCAAACATATGATTGTGTCTGATAATGGTAGGATTATTATCACTAATCACTGCTAAATATGATGCTTAAAAGCATGGCATAGGAAAAAGGATTATTGTCACATTGACATACAGCAGTACATAATTTTCTATAATAGGACATGTCTGGTTGTCTTCATATATTTTTTGATATAATCTAGGTTGCATCTAATGTTGAAGCAGTTGGCAGAATACAAATGCGCACCAGGAGAACTCTTAGGGGTCATTTAGCAAAGATTTATGCTTTACATTGGGCAACTGACTCAAGGTAAGGTGGAAACTTGTAACTTGTGAAATTTAAGACTTCTAAGTGTTCAGTTTGGACAGTTTTGAAACACAGACCAATATGGGAGCAAAATAAACTGAATCTGATCTTTTAAAACAATGTTTCACTTATATATGCTTATTTTTCTCGACATGAAAAACAATGTTTAAAAAAATTTTTTTTTCAGTTAATCGATAAACGAAATCGAATATTTTTTTATAGAAATCTAGTTAGTGCGTCACAAGATGGCAAGCTTATTGTTTGGGATTCATATACAACAAACAAGGTAAGTAGGAAATGAATTCCTAAATAAATTTTGGCATTTATTACCATTGTGCAATGTATCAATAATTCTAATCTTCGATCTTTTCTCTAGGTTCATGCAATTCCACTAAGGTCCAGCTGGGTTATGACTTGTGCTTACGCTCCATCAGGAAACTTTGTAGCATGCGGTACGTAAATTCGAGAATGAACATTAGATATATTACTATGTTAACAAGTGATTGTTGTACGGTATGTTTTGATAAAAAATATATTTATTTTTTTGGCAGGTGGTCTTGACAATATCTGTTCCATATACAGTTTAAAAACTCGGGAAGGCAATGTGAAAGTCAGTAGGGAGTTACCTGGACACACGGGTGAGTAATATATTGATCATGGATTGGGCATTTCCCCAAGATGTAAATTTGAGGTAATCAAATGAATGGCATTATATTTATTTCAGAATGAAGGTGTATTTGTTTTATTCTGATATTAACATACCGGTATATATTATTTTATTTTGTTAGGGTATCTTCCATGCTGTAGATTTTTGGATGACTCTCAAATTATCACCTGCTCTGGTGATATGACCTGGTATGTGTGAAAATAAACTGAATTTCTTGCATTTAAAGTTTGGATTAGGTTGCAAAATGATAGAATAAAATAACATTACATTAACAGATGTTATGTCTCTGTATTTTAGCTGTTTGTGGGATATTGACACTGGTCAACAAACCACAACCTTTCATGGACATACTGGAGATGTTATGTTTCTGTCTCTTGCTCCTGATGGACGGTCGTTTGTTTCCGGAGCATGTGATGCTTCTGCCAAAGTAAGTCTACAATCCTGTTATTAGTTGAGCAATCGATTATTGATAACTTATTATCGGTGCTAAAATTTCTTTTCTAGATTTGGGATATCAGAGATGGGATCTGTACACAAACATTTACAGGCCATGAATCAGATATCAATGCTGTATCGGTGAGTGCTGATTCTCATAGTATAGTGAAATGTATATTTTATGTTATTGTCTAAATATGATTAATATTTTTAGTATTTCCCTAATGGCAATGCATTTGCAACTGGTTCAGATGATGCTACGTGTCGTTTGTTTGACATTAGAGCTGACCAGGTATGTTCTCATCGACTCATATAATTTACTTCCATTCCTTATGTATTTCAAATAAAGACAAACTTTTACATTTCATTTACCATCACATTTACCAACATTTTTCTCTGTTCAATTATAGGAAGTCATAGTCTATTCTCATGACAATATTATCTGTGGCATTACATCAGTTGCCTTCTCCAAAAGTGGTCGTTTACTTCTGGCTGGTTATGATGATTTCAATTGTAATGTGTGGGACACATTAAAAGGAGAACGGGCTGGCGTTTTAGCAGGACACGATAATCGCGTCAGTAATCTTGGTATTACTGAAGATGGCATGGCAGTATGCACTGGAAGTTGGGATAGTTTCCTCAAGATTTGGAATTAACACATTTGGACTGAAAAGCCAAACTTTGAGACTCTGCGACGAGTATATACATTTATTTTGTAAAATGTACATCAAAAAACACTGATCAGTTTACCATCAAAATGCATTTTGATAGTCAGTACATGGAGGTTATGATGGACAGCACAGACAAAGATGACAGGTCATATTGTACATGATATTTAAATGAGAATTTATAGGGTAAAACACTTTACATATTATGATATTTGAAGTTGGTTTTAAGTTGCCATTATGTCGCTTATTGCATGAAAAAAGTCTAAAGAAAATTATGTTGCAGCTTTTTGTAGTCTACTATGTGAAGCAAAAAGTTGTTAACATAATTTGGAGTCGATTTTCTCTGCTGTTATTGGTTATAACCTAATTGTATATGGCTTGCATTAAGTCTTGCCCAGAAATGTCAGGGGCATACATAGCAGTCTCTTAATGGCAATGATGATGGTGCATAACTAATTGTTGTAAAAAATCTGGGGCTTCCTCTCTACATGTCAATGACAGCACATTATTGAAAAACATTGTATTAGTCATCTTAGAATTTCCGTAGCAATTGAATTAAGAAAATTAGTTTTGATGTAGGTAATGGTGTGCTTGATAGTTGATTATCCACTTTATTTAGCCATTTTCAATAACAACTGTGGTTATCTAGTTATCTGATTAAATCACTGTAAGATTTTCCAAACTACTGTAGATTGCTTTTAAAATTGTGGTTAAATGATAGCACTTAGGGCACACCATTAGGGTAAGAGCATGTGTTTGTATTATTTTGGTTAACAAATAACCTTAGTGCAGACATGTATTTGGTAGATATATAGGTTAGTAAATTATCACAAATATGCTGTATTTGAATATAAATGAAAAGATGAGACTTAACATTATTTGTGTCATAGTTCAATTTGTTCCAAGTAATTGGACCTTATAGTCCTTATTTCAACATTGAAAATGCATGTTTTTTACATATGAAAAATGCTGTTTTACTACCATAATTTATGGAGTTTTGTTAAGCAAAAGCAAACAGAGGTATGTTATCAGGAAATAGGAGGAAATTAGATAACAAAGGCTTAATAGGTCAACAATGACTTAGCCAAAAATTATAGTAGCCACAAATATAAGAACGTTCTGAAAATTCAAAGTATAGCTAACAAGACAGGTTAAGTATACAGTATGTGCTAGCCATTTCTTGGGGGTGTTATGCATAGTGATCCAAAATTCTCAATGTTCTGCTAAAGGACCTTATACCAGGAAATTAAATGAGCTTGCAGTCATGGGATCAAAGAAAGAATCTTTAAATTCCTTAGGCCTGTCCTGTTATTGCAGACTCCACCTTGAAACGTCATCTTGGTATGATTACAATAAATGGTGTAATACACCGATGTGGTTGCACCATTCTGTTACAATAATTAGACCATACGACATTATGTCATAACATAATAACGTCATTTTGAAGAAGGTTAATACTGTGGGTATCATATGCCATAGGATTGGGTTTTCCGATCGATCCATACTGTCATACATTCTAGATTTTAGCTTATATCACTCTAGTGTAAACCACAAAAATAATCTATTTGTGAGATGGAAGGAGTTATAAACGACGCAGAAATATCGCCCATTATTGAGGACGAAGTAATTCAAGCAAACCAAAGTTACATGACGAACGCAGCTGTGAATATGGCGAGTGATCAGAGTCCTATAACGTTGACATTCAATAATTTACAAGTTTTTATCGACAATCGAAAGATTCTGGACAATATTAGTGGATCGGTCAAGCCAGGAGAAGTTTTAGCTGTGATGGGACCAAGCGGTAAGCATAAAAACGTTGTAAAACAACTAGCGCAGTTTAGTTTACAGATGAAAGCTTTTATTTGTTTTTTTCCTAAGTAAGAGAACACATTTAACTTGTGTTTTAAAAGCTGATAACTTTGCAAAGATTAGGCTGACAAGTAAATAGTGCACATAAAACCACGTGTGGATTAAAAGTATTAAAATTAATTATATTCATAGCCTATTGTGAAAGTTTGTGTCTGTTTGATTATAGATTTAATAGATGTGTATTTATCTCGTATGTAATAGCGAAATATATGACTTATTCGAATTCGAAAAGGCCTAGTTCTGTTACATCTTGTACAAATTTTGGCCATTTTAGACAACTACTGTAATCAAAAAATGATTTACTTTCGGTTGCTAGGATTCAGTTAGTAGGAGTATATTTTTATTTTGCCTAAAGCCAGGGCAGAGTGTGGAGAATGTCTGTTAGTGCAGTTTTATGTTGGAAAATATTGTTTTGGCAATTCATTAGATAGACTCAGTATTTTTCATTAGTTTGCTAAAAGTAGAAGAATAGAGTAAAAACATAAGTATAAATCATATCAAATATTTCAAACTACAGGTTCTGGAAAAACAACCTTGCTAAACTTTCTCGCTGGTCGCAAAGTAGGTGACACAAAATCTGGCGAGGTCTTGCTAAATGGCCGTCATGTGAATAAGAAACTGAGAAGAAAAATATGTTATGTTTTACAAGAAGATCTATTCTTTGAAAATTTGACATTAAAAGAAACCTTGACTGTAAGTAGGCTCATTGTGCATTTTTCACCAGATATATTATATATCTGATTACCATCAATTATATATCTTATCTCCAATGCAATTACCCTGGTGTGTTTTTACAGGACAACAAAATAGGTTTGGTCCAACTTAACTAAACCTAAGTTATACTTTTTTTTTTCCAGTATTCAGCGTTACTAAGATTACCAGATAAAATGCCAAAAGCAGAGAAAATAAAGAAGGTAGAATTATTTGTTAACTATTGCCATTATATCAAGGCAATTTAGCTATTGCCCTAGAATTTTACATTAAATACTTGTAGACTATATTTTTTATAATTTGGATAGGTTGATGAATTATTGAAATATTGGATCTTACAAAATGTGCTGACACTAGTAAGAATTTCCTCAAATATTAATTTTTTTAATGATTTTTATTTGGATTTGAATTACTTTTTAATTGAATATATATATTTTTAGAAATGGGTAGCTCTCTTAAAAGAGGTCTTTCTGGGGTATGTATTTTATAAAGCTGTCATTGAAGTCGGTGGAATTTTGTGGTCATCAGTATTTTATACTTCTTTCTTTCATCTTTTTTTTTAGGTGAAAAGAAACGAGCAAACATCGGCTGTGAACTCATCACAAACCCGCACTTCTTTTTCTTGATGTAAGAGAAGTATATTTATAAAATATGAATAAGTTTCATAAGCTAAATTCACAAATACAAAAGTGAATGTTTTACGAATTTAAAATTACTCTTGGCATAATTGTTTTCAATGAATTCACTAGGAACCAACATCAGGTCTGGACTCAAATAATGCATACAATCTCGTAAAGACATTGGAAAACCTTGCTGAAAATGAGGCGAAAACAATTGTTATGACCATTCATCAACCTTCGAGCCAAATTTTTCATTTGTTTGATAAACTATTGTTACTGGTAAATGGCCAGGTGAGTGACATAAGCTAAAACAGGAAATAATTTTTAAGTTTATTCTATCGTTCAGTTAATGTGGTTTCAGACAATGTCTTCATTCTCTCTTCAGAATTTTCCAGTGAAATGCAAATCAATCTCACTGGAAATATCTAAGTACAACATTTTTGCTTTAAATAGGTTGCCTACTATGGTGATTCTTCAGATGTTCTTGATTTCTTTGAAAGAGCTGGTTTTCATTGCGAGGAGCATTATAACCCTGCTGATTATATATGTAAGCACATGACAACAAAATATTGATTTTATTATAAGCTTGTGTCCTGGTTTAGATTGCCCATTTCAGTCATCTCAAAGACAATAAGTAGTTAAATGATAATTTAAGTAATCAGGAATAATCTCATTATCTATTGTCTTAGTTGTGTTATGATTTATTGTCAAGTCTTTATTAAGAAACTTAAGTGAGTTTATTATCTTCCACAGTGGAGGTTTTGTCAAGAGGTGCTGAAGTTGAAAAGACTATTGTATCAGCTTGTGATGAATGGTTAGTTGTGTACTCCTTGTTATATCTGAGGTTTTTTTAATGCATACGAAATGACGTTCTCTCCCTCTCGTCCAGGATAAAAGGAACTCTCCCCACCCCTGTATGTGTTGACAGACGAAGTATCGCCTTAAGTAGCGAACGGGAACGGGACAACGACTCTGTCGTATTACCGCTGGACTACTGTTTGCAGAACAGAGCTAGTTTCCGAGAAGACAACGATTCTCAGAATTCCAGTCCTAGTCCCCAAAAAAAGGTTGCGTTATCAAATAACGTCGAACACACAGAAAATGATCTCAGTACTACCGGTGAGAAACTGAATGGATATACAAAGAAATTACCTGCGTCAGAAACTTCTCATTCTTCAGTCGTTCAATTCAGACCAAAACAGGATATATCGGTACAAATAGATACATCTGGGACAAACCGTCACTCCATACGCAGGAACTCTATGGAAGAGATCAAACGCATGATGGATAACACTTCTGAGGATAGCGATGACGATTGTGGACACAACGGGTTTCATTTGGATCACGGGGATAAGTGGCCAACGTCATTTTGGACACAACTATGCGTGCTCAGTCATAGAACCTTTAAACAATCATTGCCAGTGATTTTATCCAAGTTAAATTTAATACAGGTTAGTATGAGTTTGTCTTTCGTTAAAGAAGCTTGCATACACACTACTTGTAAATGAGCTCAGTACCATATGTTGATGACGTCATGCGTCTTCTGTTTAGAACCTGCTGTTAGCCATCATAATTGGCTTAATCTGGTTCCAGTTACCACACAAGGAAGAGACTATTAATGACAGAAGAGGCCTGGTATGTAAAAGGAACTCTTCCCACCCCTCTCTAACATTTTCAAACTTTCCAAATCCCGTACAGAAGGAAGTACTGCATGGGTTTATAACTGACATCCAAAAAGATTTAATGAATAAATCTTTTCTATTTCTTACAACAGCTTTTCTTTTTCATAACGTATTGGAGTTTCACGCCGCTGTTCCATGCTTTACTCACGTGTAAGTATTCGAAGAGAATTGTATGGATGAAACTTGGAATTGAACTGATCCAAACCTGAAATGTGTTTCGTTCATTTTTAGTTCCATCAGAGGAAGTGATCATTAGAAAAGAAAGATCGTCCGGAAGCTATCGTCTCTCGGCGTATTATTTTGGTAAATGTCTCAGTGAAGTTCCACTGGTTATCTGTTACCCCTGCGTGTTTTTATTTGTTTTTTATTGGCTGTGTGGTCTTAATCCAAGCGTGGCATTTCTCGGTCAAGCCCTGAATCTGGTCGTTAACGCGATTTTATCGCAGGTATGGTAGTATATTAGGATATATTAGAATTATGTTTAGAATTTCTCTCTAATCTTGTGTTGAAATTTCAGTCAATAGGACTTGCCATTGGCGCGACTGTGATGTCATTCAACAAAGGAATTGTGGTCGCTGCCGTCACAATGTTAACCTTTATGCTTCTGGGAGGTTTTTATACTGATAGAGTACCATTCTGGTTGGAATGGGTGCAGTATTTATCATTTCTCACGTACTCGTACCAGAATTGCCAGATTATGGAGTTCACTGGAATTGCAGATCAAAGGTAAGAATATTTAACCGCAAAAACCTTCAGACAATAAGACTGTCTCCCCCAAAAAACTGTCTGAAAACTTAGCAAAGTTAGACAGAATGAGAAAGCTCTTGACCAGTGTTTTTTAGTTGTGCTGAAATAACCAGCTTCATGCAGTGCAAGAACAATGCAACTGTCATCACAGGTAGTCAAATTTTGAAACATTTAAATGTGACAAGAACATACGGTGAAAACCTGGCAGTTTTGCTTGGATTTACTATCATATTCAGAGCAATTGGGTATTGTTCATTGAGATTCCTTCATAAACCCAAGTAAATATATAAATTTCATTTGTTCAGTTTGTTATTAAGTACCAGGGTATGGTACATGAGTGGGTACCATCCAAGGTAGGAGAGAAACAAAGAACTCTCTTTAAAGTTATTATGGTGTACAAGATAGTTATTATTTTGTAAATTTGCTGGAGGTGTCTCCAGAAACAGAATGTAGTTAAGTTTGGTTGATTTTTAATGCCAGGTACTGGGTAGTAGGACTAGATGTACATCATTTTCATGGATCAGTTCACAGAGTTTACAGAGAGTCGTACATATAATATATGGCAGAGTTATATTAAAATTATAAGAAATAAAATTATTGAGTTTATAAAGAATGTCTTCAAATATTTGTAATAAAAAATTATTATATTATTTTTATTATATTATTTTCTTTATTCTCTTTTTTCTTTTGATTCTTCATTGCAAGTTTTGTTTATTATTGGCAGTTACAGGTCAAGGTCTGATAGAATACACCATGATAATCACTTATATTTTGCTGATATTATATTTCATACAAATTATTACAATACAAAAGACCATAATTACATCAATCCAATTAGGGTGATTTACAAGACTTTGCCTAACAGATATCATTAATGGCTTTTATAGTGAAATACCAATTACAATCTGGGGCCTGTGTTGATATTGATATGTATTTGTGGCAGCCTTAGACATGTCATCCATAACTTAAATGTGAATTGGTTCTCAATTAAATTTGGCTCAGATTGGAATGGTATTTCAAAAAGAAAACTAGATAAGATGATGGTTTGTCATCCTATTTCAGTTATCCAAAAATTGATGTAGACCTCTTTATACAACACTGATGCTCTTTACATTAATCTTCCTCAAATATACTGTTTTATAACTATGTTATTCAACAATGTTGTTTCTGTGCTGTACCAAGATCCATTGCTTGTTGTTTGGTGAAACAACAAGCATTTACCTGAAACAGAATATTTAAAAAAGTTGGCATGTTTTTGATTTTATTATGGGTTTTCTTTTTCTATTATCAACAGTTGTCATCAGTTGATGGGTTTAGAAAATGACACTGCCTAAAATGATCATTACCTTCCTCATCCCACCAGCCATTGGCGGGGGACTAGGTCCACCTAAACACAGAAATCATGGTTTAAAATTTTTTCATTTATTGGCACAGCACCGTTAATATTGGTACCCATACCACCCAATTTTATAAGTGCTGATAAATTAAGCGTAGTGTAGCTGGACTAAAGTCAGTTATTATTCAGCAAATACCAGATTGGTATCTAGTATAGCTGAATAATAACTATGACTTTAGACCCATTTACACTGGTTGTTACCAAGAAGTTAATAACTACCTCCTCCGCCGCCAATCCTACCCATTCTGCGTCCAGGTGGCCTGGGTGGTCTAAAATAATTGTCAGAAACATTAGTACAAGACTGACACCAAGTCAAAGGTTTGATCTGATAACGTCTTACCCTCCACCTGGTTTTGATCTATAGTCTGACGTCTGTGATACTCCTCTCCTGGTCATATCAGGCTATAAAGAATAAACAAACAAATTGCTTGCGTTTTGGATCTTCGTGTTTTATTTTAGGCATTCATTGAAAATACATTATTGTAGTACTTACTGAAAACATCGTTTGAAAGCTTTAACGTTTGAGGAAATATAAAATAAAATCAAGCAAACACCAATTAATATTTACGTTTATAAAACATTAAAAATATACAAAGTAATCATTTTGCTACGAAATTTACTCACAAGAGTACGACAAAATTTATTATCCCCCAGACCGCATCTTGTATGATCGTTAGCCGCCATATACTGCGGCTTTCTTGTACGTTTCCTAAACGTAGAATATGAGTTGAGAAAGCTTTCAAAAAGTTGTATTTAAAAAGATGAAAATTGTATTTTCATTTACCTCCCGACACGTACGGCATTTTGAAATGTTTTTGTTGTTCCCAGGACCTCTCTCCACAGACAAATAACTACTCAGAGACCACTGATTACGTCATCACCACAACTAAACCTGTATAGCACGTCCCACATTGAATCTATTGTTAGTTTTCTTTCTGAGGAGCAAATTTTTGAAGTGTCTATTCCTGCCTAGCGGCCTTTCGTATTCAACTCTAGCGAAATTAGGTGACGTTTTTATGCAAAATATACCCTGGGCTACGCTTCTATTGTATTCCAAAACGCATTAGAACAATAGTTAATCGCTTGCATGTGCGTCACTGAGCCATTACCACACATCTTTGATGAAGATGAACGTGCATTCAATTTGGAATTTCAACAAGAAGGAAAGGCAACATATGCCTTAGGTTTCGTCGCTTAAAATGCTTTCTTTGCATCATTTAAAAAAGGGTCTTTCGTTCCTCGTTCATACAGCAATCCTGGACGACTCTGTGGTAATTAACTACCCTTATTTCGCCTAATACTCGCGACAAGTAAGTGACTTTTAATTGATATTCTACTTGCTTACTTCTTGCGCTGGGAGCGGGCTGTGCGAAGGCCAGATCAGCTAGTTTCAAACGCTAGAAGAACAATAAAACATTGGAAATGATCCGACAATTGATAAAGAGAGATGCTAAGGTTAAATCTAGGTTATACCAATAGTTGGATAAGGATTAAAAACACTATCCGGAGAATAGCGCTTCCAGCCTTCGTTCAACTGTCTTGTAATAACCTCATCGCCCGTGGTTATTTTCACAGTTTATTTTTTTAATAAATTGCAACATAATTCGACAGAACAATATCATGTCATAGAGAAGAAGAGACACGTAGTTTCCGCGTAGTAAACCAGGCGCACAGGACGCAATTTTTCTCGGCTTTAAACAATATTTTCAGTTGAGATATAGTGTCGGTGATCATTGCATTTCGCTGTGAAATACTCAGTGATTGAACAATCGTTCTCTGAAAGCGAGGTTTAAACTTCTTAAAGTTATATGCCACTTCACAATTTATTTTGTTGGCAAATGCATTACTGTCACTGTCAGGAGGTTTTAAACTTCACCGATGTTTAGACCTGTGAGAAATACATATCAATATACAATCAAAATCAATACGTGAGCGGTCGTAAGCCAACAAAGCATATTCGACTGGCGCTGCAGAGGGTGCAGGACCTTGATAATTGTTTGTTATTCATTACAACTTGACGTTTTTAAATGTCATTGACAGTTTTAAGAGTAATTGATGATCAGTAGTGGTATTGATATAAGCTGTTTTCCTTCCTGATTTACTCTCGAATGAGTGGTCTGTTTTCACCAAAACCCGGTTTGATTTCGCATGATACGAGCCGTGTAGTTTCGCGAACCAGTCTGACTAAAGTCTAACCTACACTGGCCAAGATATTCTGACATCCATCTGAGGTAGTGGTCCATAAAATGCTGAGTTTGATTCGAACAATTGCCACGCCCAACTCCTTAAAGTGCGTCTGTGAGACGCTTGATTTCGAACTCGAGATGGATGAAGTAGCTTATGACCTAATCTGAGTTTTCGTGAAAAAATTAGAATTGATTTTTTTGGGTTTACAAATAAACTTCAACAATTGTCAAAGGGATTGGTATAATTTAGTTTTAAGTACCAAGATTTTAGAGACCCCAAGTCAAGTCTAGGTCATCATTGTAACGGGTTTCAAATTACGACCAGCAGGGTTCGACTGTTTGTCATCAGCTTATTATTCTGGAATATCTACCTAAATAAACGCACACGTATATCACAATATCTATTTCAAGAATCATTTGAGAAAGGAAAATTTTAATTTGTTAAAAAATGGCATTTCCTTCAAGGTCAGGGTAGCCCACATGACTTGACGCTAGACATGCAAATCATGTTGATAAAAGTTTTCTGACCACACGCGCAGTTCAAACCAGTTCTTTATGTATTTCCTTATCCTCTTAAATTCACATATTATTGGTTTAAAACTAATTCTTGTTCATTTAAAACGACAAACTGACAAATTTTATGTTATTTTATTTCCATCCAATATTACTTTTAAAAAGCCAATTAATATAGAACTGATGGCTAACTTTTAGTGACCTTCATGCAGACGCGCGTTATTTTAATTGGACAAGGACGCACAGCACTTCCGCACGCGCGCAAAATAGACCATTGTTAACATCCGAGTGATCTGTCATTAGCTAGCTGGCTGCGTTCGTGGTTGAAAGACTAGAATTGACAGCGTTGGTAAGCAATCCACTTGATCAGAAGTATACTGTATATTCACGCGTGCATTACATTGCGAAGTATACCTTCGATATTTGTGGTGTATTGTCTGGGAGTATAGTCTGCCGAGTCAATAAAGCGCCTCTTATTTCTATCTGTGATAAAGTACCAACAACAAATATTAAGAAAGAATTTGGAGGAATCAAGTTTAGCCGCTTCAGCGGCAGGCCGTATTATGGCAATGTCAAATCTTGGGATTGAGCTATCAGTCCTATGTCTAATACTGATATCAATATTGCATCTCTCCCATGGAGATCCATGCGGACTTGTGAACCTGAACGAGCGCAGTATAGTTCTTGTGGGTGAGGTAAAAGCTGAAATCCGCACGAACTATTCGCATGTACTGCTTATTCGCGTATTGGAAAACGTGTACGGTGAAAACATTGGACAATGAAGTGAACGCATCTCAAGTAGATAAAGCGCGCTCTTGTGGGAATCCGCTTGAGATCGGTGATCAAAGAATTTTTGTAATTGAGACGCATCCTGGCAATAAGAAATACACGCTAGCCGCGTCTCTTCCGTTGGCTTTAAAACATCTTGCAGTGAATGCAAGAAGGGGTAGGTCTTGGTCAATATTTATACTTGATATTGTTTGTAAACAGTTGTATTTTGAAAGTCGTCAACTTTGAAACATGAGACCTGTTGTGGGAATGAGTATTTTTGATAGATAATGTAGAATCGCCTAAAGTTACATTTAAATTAGTAATCTTAAATCAGCAAGAATGCCTCAGAATGAATACGAAATTTGCGCAACTATGTGTACAGCGATAGACAGTGAAGTCCTCTGATATATACTAGTTTATTGTTGAAGTATGTGTTGACAATACAACCTCGGGCCCTATTAGTTAATGCATGCTTTTGCCAAAAGAGCTACAATTCATCAGACTATCATTGAGATCTCTGCAGTGAGTTGAATGTCTATTTGCTTTGCGCCTTTCGACAATTTCGTGATAAGAGATGTTAACGGGAAATGGATGCCTGTTAGGAAGGAAAGATAAGGAGGCATTTAATCTTTCTTTGAACTTCTAGACGCACGCAGCGCAGACATGCAGAGCGAAATTGCGCACAAATTCGCACGCTATGTTGAATGCGTGCGGCCAAAGTAAATACAATTGTTTATTTTGGGAGAATTATATTTGAGACAGCTTAGTCCAAGATACATAACCTGTTATTGGATTACTTATACTACCTTCGAAATACTGCAAGAATCATGATTTAGCTAGAACATCAATGTTGAAAGCGAAAGTATATTTCCCCCCCCCTCACATATGTTGAATTCCCACAGCTTTGAACCGTCAGACTTCCGGAGCGTTGCTGCTAAATTGTTTCTCATCACATCGGAGAACAATTCTTCTCCGTTTTTGATTTTTCTGCGCGTCAATAGTTGCGAAAATATACGAGTTTTAAACGATTCTGTGGTGCTTACAAGGGCGAATAGACTATTTGTTTAGCATGATGTCGCCAACTGCTGAGTATCGCAGTACGGTTCAGGGCGGCATAGTTGACACCTAACTCTTTGGAAGCATCCAGGTCTGTGATGTATCCAGTGGATGTATCTAATCAACGATCGAAGCAAATCGAATCAACATGATCAAACTTCTGGCCTTGGTATAGAACTGCTTTTTTACAACCAGGCTTCCTCAAAGCTCAATTCTTGCTTTTTAAATGTTTTTTCTTCGCCGTGAAATTTTTAGACGCCTTCGACTGCTTTTGATTTGGTCAACAAAATAACAATAGACGAATGAACGTCTAGGATCAGCCAGCGGGTGGGAGGTATAATCTGTGATGGTTAAAGATTTGTGATCATTTGACATTTATCTCAACGGAAACCACAGACTTGTCCAGTCTCAGTAGGGTAATCGTTATACCAGCTATGAAAAACAATTTTCTTATCTCGTCATCAAAGTCAACGCAAATTTACAATTAAGAAACTGCAATTACCAAGATATGGTAAACAACTGGCATGTATTTTGAGACCTATTATATACAAACATATGATGGGAAATGATTGCGCATCAATAAGAACCCTTCCCTATATGTTATTTTTCATCAAACAACACGAAATTCTAGAACTTAAATATTCGTAAATGTGAAGAATTTGATCTCGTGTGATTAAATAAATTTCTCAGTGGGAGAGTGTTACGTAATATGGTACTGCTCTGACATGCGACGTAGTTGTTAAACTAAATTAATTTTCACTCACGTTTTTTACGTTATTGTTTTAGCGTAAGGCTGTTTGTCACTAGTGCGTTTTTTGTATTCAGTTCTATTTATTTATCTCGACACACGAAAATTACAAAAGAGTTCAAATGCTATTATATGAGACAACAAAAGAAATTAATTTTAAAGCATCGACTATTTTAGATGATTTAGTTTCGATGTGATCAGGTTTTTCCAAAAATTAAAACAAGAGATTTCGTGCGTTTACAGATGTATGAAAAACAGATCAGTAGAATTGAGCCCACCATATCCTGGATTAGAAATTTGCGCACGGAAATTGCGCGTATTAATGCAAAAAGCGCATGCTTAAGTTTATAATGCGCAACACACGTGAAATGCCTTATGGCATTTATGGCGTTTTATCGAGCTGTAGAACTATGTCATTTTCAGTTGAAAACACGCATTGTGACGTTCGTTCTCTTATTGTATAATAGCCTCGGTTTTTAATAGAAGATCTTAATTCCAATCTCAGGTTATTTAAAGCATTTTGCGCGATATTTTCCCACCTATTCGTATCAGATAACATCTTTAAAACTATTTTTTAAAGCGTGGAATGCAGAGATCGTTGTGTAAATGTCAAAGAGATGCAGACGGGGCAATTAATGTTTACCACACCAGTTTGTTTTCTTGAAATGCGTTGATTATCAAATTCTCGAAGTTCTAAATCTATTACGTATGAAAATGCGGCTTAATTTAACTTTTAACTTGAAGAAAAGTTTCCCGTTACAGCCAATAAAATAAAAACAAGTACATATGACCTTGGCTCGCTTTTTTTAATTCTGGGCATCTATTTTAAGAGAGATAGGAAAACATGAATTGTCTAATCATATTTGTGGTTAGGCTCGGGACATTGATACGTTCGTATACTTGTCATCACAATCGCCTTCGTCGTTATTTGTTAAAACATGTTTTTTATGTGTTTCACATTATTATTATTAAATAACTGCACAAGACCAAAGAAAAGAGTGATTTAAAGAATCGTATTTTGCCTGGACTAAAAGTCGCTCGCTCTTGTCATTCCCATCATTCCAAATATGCGTGCCCGCTTGACTCCACTCAGAATAACAAATACGTATACACTTATAATAATCTAAATCCTCTATCATTACGTCACGAGTAAGGAAGCGAGGCGAATTCACAAGGGCATGGTTTCCAGGCCAAGTTCACCTGAGCTCAAAAACACCATAAGAATCATATCCGTCATTTCTGGCTCCCTTGAGTTTTTCCAGAAGGTTAAAAAAAAATTAAAAACATCATAAATTATATATAATTATTCTGTCCATCTTAATCGCACGTTTGTTCAAATAACACAACACGTTTTATATATAACCGCAATTTGTTGCATGACAGTGCCGTTTTCAACGAATTAAACCGACCATCGTATATCTTTTAGAAAAACTTGAAAGTCGTGAGGAACTTGAAACGTACTTTGCAGCAGACGATGAATCTGTTTGTAACACTGATTTCAAGTGCCACAATGGGGGATACTGTATTGTTATTCCTACTGGAAAAGCAATATGTCGTTGTCCTATTGTTTGTACCAAGGAATATGATCCAGTTTGTGGCTCAGACGGCAGGACTTTTCCAAATCCTTGCGTCGTGAAGTACGAATCTTGTTTGAAACAAAAGAACATCACTATTGTTCACTATGGTCATTGCGGTAAGGAATCTACTAATCAAGGTTTAGGTTTTATGATTAATCCTAATCATCGGACATTTAGAATATGGCTTAATCTTAATCTTAGGATTAGGTTTAATCCTTTATGTCTAATGCCAATATTTATGCATGGTATACAAATTTTTCAATTCAGTTTAAGGATAGAAATATTGTTGCAATTCTCGATGTACAATCTAGGAGTCTCAAGTTGTAAGGACGTCCTCACGGAAGAACTAGGTAAAGATGACGGGGAATACGCTCTTCAACTTAACCCAAATTGCCAGCTTCCCGTTCGTGTGTACTGCCATGGCATGAACACATCACAACCCAAGGAATACCTTACCTCCCCTCGTGGGACGAAAAATAACTACGCCCATCGTCTATGACAGAAGATTACCAGCCTCTCTGTGAACATGAGATATCGCTGTGATGGAACTCCTGGTGAACACGTATACTCGCGAGCTGGTGTGACACGGTTTAACAAAGTACGCCTGGATACGAAGATGTCCGTGATAACAGATGACTACACCTTCGCTACAGTACAATCTGGGAGATCCATCGAATTCGGTGAAGCTGGAGATTGCTTTTCTGCAAATCCGGACGGTGTAGAAAGGGGAGTTTTAAGATCGATCTTTCTGATACTGGACTTCGTGTCGATAGTCAGGTGGCATGGAGAGCAAATGGGTTTCCACTTGGTATACGAATGAGCAAGATTTCTATAGATCAAGTACTGGCCATGTTATTTCGGCAAAATGTGGAGGATGGTGTGGTCATTGTGGACCTGAAGGTGATCTCCAGTTAACGCAAGATGAGTGTCTAAGACAGGAAGGTAAAAACGAAATGAGAGTGATTCTAGCTGGCTTCAGACAACTAATACCGATAATATATTTATTTTCAGATCCTTGCAAAGCAACTCGTTGTCCTTATTATTCAATCTGTTTACCACATCCTGGCTCTGAGCTGGGATACAAGTGTGTTTGTCCAAGCGCTTGTTCTCAAGCGATTTCGCAAGTTTGCGGGAGTGATGGTCGAACCTATGATAATGAATGCTTGATGCAACAAACAGCTTGCTCTAGTAAAACTATGATCACACTGGTTAAGCTCGGAACTTGTGGTATGTCCTTGGAAATAAAACAAGATTTGCTGCCTTTCTTAACAAAGGAGATATTGACCAGTGTTCGACTGATTTTTCTGTTCTGATATATTTTATTTAGTCAGTGGTCATTCTGTTGACATGGTTTATTTGACGGATTTCAGTGGAGAACAAAGACAAGCAATGCTGACAAAAACATACACTTTCTTTCAAAACTTATTGAACTTTTTTGACTTTTCCTCGTCCCGAAGTCGACTGGGGGTTGTGAAGTACAGCTCCAGCCATTCCTGGGTAAGAATGTTTACCAATGGTCAAGATCTCGCAAGCTTACGATCTTTTATTCAAAATACACCAAACAATCCATATCGCAAGCCGTTGGAAACAATCTTATCAGAGTTACACGGAAATTTTACGACAATGCTAAGCAACGGGTATCCACGCTCAGCCATACCAAAAGTATTGATCGTTGCCAGCGATGGACGATCAATCGTGGATCGCCAACAGTTTGAACAAGCAGCAAAAGCCTTAAAAGATCTTGGGGTGATGATTGTGATATTTGGTGTTGGGGGTAGAAGTTATTTTGATAAGATGAGTCCGGCTGCTTCAAGTGATAGGTACAGATTCTGGGCAAGGTACGAAATACAAGTCCCATTGGAGACAGCAAATGTTGCAAACGCTATTATCTTAGGTGAGTGTAATTCAATAATTACTTAGATATTGTATCAAGCATGTATTTCGTCTGTGGCTGAACAAACTGAGAAGTGAGAACCTTTTTGCCATGTAATAATTTGTCGCCATTTATAGGTTTACAGAGCTGTCAATGGATGAGATGTCAGTATCACAGTTATTGTATTCAACATCGTATTGGGCGAGCCGAGTGTGTTTGTCCACTGGCAGGTGACCACGTCGATCCTGTGTGTGGAAGCAATGGTAAAACATACATCAATAATGAAGTTCTTATTCAAGACTCGTGTCGTAGAAAGACGTTTATTACGTCACAACGAGGAGCTTGTGTTGTAGGTAAGAATATATTAGTTTTCCGGAGGAACTTCGTGCAAACATCATCCAGTCTAACCATGAATTGCGCGCAATTCTATCATAACCAGCACACAATTTTAACACGACCTTATCCCCACCTTCGCCCTTTGTCGTGCGTAACGTAAATCAACCCAAAGCTCGCTGGAATTTGCTTGTGTTTTAATTTACTTTATTGCTCAAAAAGAATTACATTTCTTCTTTATTTTAGGCGCTTGCAGAAGTTTCACTTGCAACCACTATTCATTCTGTGAACTAAACAGCGTACGTGTTCCGAAATGCGTGTGCCCGACCTCGTGCAGTTCACGACTAGAGCTTGTCTGCGGCAGTAATGGACAAGTTTATGAGAATGAATGCGCGTTACGAAGATGGTCATGTCAGAATCAGCTTTACGTCACCGTCGCTTATACAGGACCTTGTAAGTAATGTCCTAGTTTGATATTTTTGTTTCGCGTGTCACAAAATGAATTTCTTCCACTTTTTGTTGTTGAATCTTTACAGGTAAATCGGGTCCAATCGACGTTGTTTTTGCTATTGACGGCTCCAGTAAAACAGATCCAAGTCGTTTCGTACAAATGAAGAACTTCCTAAGAAGCATCGTCTCTTATTTGCCTTTATCAAGATCGGAAGTCAATGTCGGCGTCGTGGAATACAGCGATAAACAGTACGAAGAGATTAAACTAAATGAATACTACAACATGGAGTCTCTACGCGAGGCAATACGATTAATAAAACCTAGCGAAGGTGCCACCTCAAGAATAGGAGAAGTCATCAAATTCGTGCGAGAACAGATTTTCCTTCGAGATGAATCAAGTCGTAGCGGTGTTAGGAAAGTTTTAGTCATTTTGACAGACGGTAATGAGTATACTGAAGACAACCCACAATCTGAAGCAGATTTGATAATGAAATCTGGCGTGAGAGTACTTGGTGTAGCTGTTGGTAACCAACCAAATTTAAAGAGTTTCAGTAGAGTTATTAGTCCAACTGAAAATCTCTATGCAGTCAATCAAGCTGGTAGTTTGGGTCGGCTCGTTCCCTCTGTTGCAAGAGATATTTTGAGAATTACCAAAGGTGAATGTCATGATCACGAAGCATTATATATTTTACTCAGCTGCATGTATACCTCACGTATGATAATCGGTCGCAACCAAGTCGACTCTAATTTTACTGAATTTCGTTTCAGCTGCGTCGGGTTCTCTTCTGGATATTGCGTTTATTGTTGATGGTTCCGGTGACAGCAGTCCTCAATTTGAAGACATCAAATACCTCGTGAAAACATTTGTGTCTACACTGGACGTCGGCAGTGACAAAGATCATGTTGGTATTGTTGAATACGGAAATACAGCAAGAATAGTTCTACCTTTTGATTGGCTGAATAATGTCCAGTCAATCAATCAGTTTATTGACGGTATCCGATATAGCGGTGGCTCGCCGAGACTCGACCGAGCTCTTGCAAAGACCAGAGAATTATTCAAGATTGAGAGAGGGTATCGTCCTGGAGTAAGTAAGGTTGCAGTGTTGGTGGCGAATAGCCAGTTTGATGGCCAAGACACTGCTTTACAGCAGGCAGTGCAGGAACTAAGAAGAGATGGTATAAGGTTGTATGTTATTGGTTCCAACAAGCCAGATGAGAATCGCTTACAAACACAGCTCCCAGAAATGATATCAGAAGGATTACGAGGTTCCTGGATGCAGGGGATACAGTAAAGGAGGTTGTAAAGTACATAGCAGATCAGGACAAAGGTGTGAGATTGAAGATATTTTAGTAAAGGAATCATCTTAGCTTATTTTCTTCTATATTCTTAATAACGTTGTTATCTTTTAGCCAACACTCCTGTTTACGATATCGTCTTCGCTCTGGGTGCAACTGGCCAGTCTCGATCCACCATATTTGATCTGCAGAAAAGCTTCGTAGAAAATGTTATTAACTTCCCTTCAAATGCTGACCGCAATTACGGTCTCATCCTGTATGGTCCCTCTAGCAGCATTATAAGACGCCTTGAACAACCGAAAGATGATCAAGCATTTCTACAAACAATGAACAGGCTTACATTGCCAAACTCTGAAATTACGGACATGATGTCTGTTCTAAATTTGGCTCCAGACCTCTTTCGATCCAGGTCTTCTGATTCCAACAAGATCTTGGTGTTGTTCACGAACAGTCCGTTGCCACAGGACGTCAGTGCCTTAGCAACAGCAGCACGCGGCTTAAATCGTCGTAATATTAAAGTGGTGGTGGTCAATATCGGGTTGCGAACCGATCATTCAAACTGGTTACCAGATCCTACCTTTGTTATCAATGCAAATCCGAGAAATTCCGATCAAAGAAGTACAACTCATAGAATTGGAAGTATCGTTTACAGAGGTAATAAAATTATTTGACACGGTAAGGTAAAGCACGCATTCCTATTTATATTCTTCATTTGAACCTGCCATTTCATCTTTAATTATTCAGCGCCATGTTATGCGTCCACGTGTCGTTATTTTGCTACATGTATCCCTCATCCTGATAGTTCAATTACCTGCGAATGCCCGACATCTTGCCCGCACATACCTGACGTTGGACAGGTCTGTGGTAGCAATGGACGGACGTACGAAAATCACTGCGCTTTAAGAATCGATGTTTGCCGCAAACAGATTGATGTAACCGTGAAGAATACTGGACGTTGTGGTAAGGGCATGCGCTGTGAAAAGATTTAGACAGAATAGCACAACCTGGAAATGATATTAATATTTTCGCGTTGACATCATCGTCTCTCTGGATCATTCATCTTGCCAGAGTAATATATACTATCCAAAACGTCTCCGTAGAATAATCCGTCTTACATTTAAGAACAAATCATTTCAATTCCCATTTGAATTCATTCCATACAGACCGATAATTCGGCAAGATCGTTCATAGTACTTTACAATGTTTCTTTCTTACCGCTTTCTGTTTATTTTGTATATAGTGATTCAAACTCCAGTGGACATTGGTTTTCTTCTCGATGGCTCTGGTAGTGTGGGCAAACAAGGTTTCCGTCGCGTCTTAAACTTCGTCAACCAAGTCGTGTCGGCCTTCAACATTTCTCGTGATACTGCCCAAGTTGGCGTAACTGAATTCAGCAATAGTCCTGTCATTCAAATCCAACTAAACGATTTTCAGAACTCCAAGTTGCTTCAAGACAGAATTACCAACATCGAGGACTCTGGTGGACGGACAAGAACTGATACCGCCCTGAGGATTATGTCTCAGGAATTCTTCAGCCATGACAAAGGATCCCGAGCAGGGGTACCAAAGGTCCTTGTTGTTGTAACTGACGGAAAGTCGACAGGAAGTGAGCCGCTCTCTGAGGCTGTTAAAGGATTGCGTCGAAAGGGTGTGATTGTATATTCAGTCGGTATAGGAAAGCACATTAACATGGAAGAACTGAAGGATATCAGTAGAACGGAAGAAGATGTTTTTAGGTCGAAAGATTTTGACTCGACTGGCTTGCTTGCTCCTGTATTGGTTGAAAAGATTGCCAGTGATCTTACAGGTGGGTTAATAGTTCCTTGCTTTTCGCTTGTATACATCAGTTGTCTCTGAAACATTATTTCTTTTTGTACAGATCTTTCAACATCTAACATGGACGTAATATTCGCCATGGGAGCTTACGGATCTACAGCAAACATTGCGTTCAACCAAGAAAAAGCTATCATGAGCGCCATAGTTGATAAGCAAGGTTCTTCAAAAGTGAAATATGGTCTCATACAGTATGGTATCGACTCAGCTGAAACACTGAAACGTTTATCACAGTTCACGAGTAATTTGGACTTCAAAAGATTTGTTGCGGCTAGTGAACTCAAAACTCGTGGTAGGGCATTAATATCGGCTATGGATAAAGCTAGTGAGGAGTTCTTATTAAGCAGTGCAAGACGGAAGGTTCTGGTCGTGTTTGCGAATAGTTTGCCGTTTGCGTCCTTCAATGATTTGGTGACTGCATCAAGATACCTTCGCTCTCAAGGTGTCAAAGTTTTGGTGGTCTACTCAGGAAACAGTGGAGATCGTACGAGATTGCAACAGATTGTGTCGAATACTAACGATGTATTTCCTTGGAGCTTTGGGACAAGTAGTAGTCTCACTGGAAGCAAGATAGCACTGCAGTTGTTCAAAGGTGAGCTCACAGCTTATTGTCTTGCCTATTATCGCACTAATTTTGCACTGATGATTAATTTCTCGTACTTTACTTGCAGATCCTTGTCATTCAGTCAAATGTCAGTTCAACGCAGTATGTGTTAATCAGCCTGACGACACTGTACTGTGTGAATGTATGGAGAAAGCGATAATGGAATACGCTCCAGTCTGCGCTAGCAATGGTCAAACTTATACGGACCTTGCCTCTCTTCAATTTGCCTCGTGTCGACTTCGCAGACAACTCACAGTGAAACACGATAAAGCTTGCGGTAAGTGGAATGACTGGACAATTCGTCTGATTTAGTAAGCTCCATTTCAGAACGAAATAATCTGTCCGATTCTTCCTTTAATTAGTCTCGTTTGCCGCGATTCCTGCTTTATAGCATGGTTAGACCATCCTCAGCATGGATCATGATCTGCTCAATCAGATGTATAAAAACGAACAGCAGAATCTCACATATTTCTCCTTTCAGAAACAAGACCAATCTTCGATCTTCTCTTTATTCTTGATGGATCATCAAGCCCTGCACAACAACAATTCAAAGCCTACAAGATGTTTATCAAATCCATCATCGATTCTTTGGACATTGATGAAACTTCAACCCGTGTCAGCCTTGTCGAGTATAGCGACAGAGCAACTCTAATATTCCCATTAAATAGATACTATGATCAAGGTGAACTTAAAGATGCCGTTGATAACGTTCAGGCGTCAGGTGGTGAAGGAGCCGTCACCGACCAAGCTCTACAACTCGCAGTTGACCAAGTATTTACCCGCAGCGGTGGAGATCGGCCTGCAGTCCCAAATGCAGTCATTTTGGTCACCGATAGCAAGTCGACTGGAGATGTTTCTCTATCAGAAAGAGCCAAACGGTTAAGGGAAACTGGAACAGATATCTATGTTGTGTCAGTTGGATCGGCTACAGACAATCAAGAGCTTCAAAATATGACCATGGGCGCAAATAGATTCTACGTCGTCAAAAATGTTTACGAACTGATTCGGCTGCCAACACGTTTGGTGAGGAATATTATTGGAAATGCTCAGCGAGGTAAGTGCGAACAGATCTTTCCACTTACTTGAACTTCACAAAAATTATGTAATCGCATCGTCTTTTACCACAGGTCCTTTAGAAAAAGATGTCGACATTGTGTTTGCTCTTGGTGCAAACAATCCTAATGGTGCGCGCGTATTTGAACAAGAGAAAACACTGACCAATTATCTGATCAGTCAACAAAAAGCCATCCCATCCAGATATGGTGTTATCACATATTCTAATATCTCCACCATACGGATTCCGATTCAAACGTCTTCCGATATTTTCAAACTTCAAGATCAAATCCGAAACCTGAAATGGCCAGGAGTTGGTTCAGGTGTTGATACAGCTTTACGCCAAGCAAACGCCGTATTCAAGAACTCCAGACCCGCTTCCCGTAAAGTACTTGTGATTTTCATGAGCGGTATGGCTTCCGCTCCATCGTTAACACTTCGTGAAGCGGTAAGGCCTTTACTAAATCAAGGAGTGCGGGTGGTGCTGGTTGGTTTTGGTGATCAGCTGGACGACGGTCAACTACGAGGAATATCCGAAAATACGAAGAATGTAATTAAACCAAGTGGTGATCAAAATGATGATAGTTACAAGATTTCAACAGCTGTGTTTAAAGGTAGGATGTCTGGACACAAATGGAGACAAGAACATAACATATACCTGTGTCGGATTGTTCATTTTCTTCGACAATATCCAATCCATTCATCAATTTCTACCTCTTCATTTTGTAAAATATCCAACTGCCTGCTTTAACTCTTTCTATAATATGTTTCTGTAGATCCATGTTCTGTAGTAAATTGTCTCTACGAAGCTGTCTGTAGAGTGAACACTGATGATTTGGTATCTTGTGAATGCCCCGATGTCCACCATTGTCCATCAACCAAGAGCACGATCTGTGCAAGCGATGGAAAGTCGTACATCAACGAATGTTATCTAAAAGCAGAAATCTGTCGAACCCAGAAGGTCTTGAAGGTTGTCAATGGCGGACGGTGCGGTAAGTTAGACATAACAGAAATTATGACTGATAGCACTATTGTTCATGGTTATACCAATGGCTGCTCTCGCAGCTTCCATTCCTCACCTATCACAAAGTTTTAACTCGCAATTCCCACTCTCCGCAGGTCTAGTGCAACCATTAGATCTCGCATTTGCGTTCGATGGATCAGACAGCTTGACGGAAGAAGAGTTTGAAAGCCTGAAATTGTTTGCAACATCAGTTGTGGAGTCGTACAATATTTCTCCTCTCGAAACACGTGTGGCTGTTTTGGAGTATAGCAACACACCACGAATGATCTCCAAACTCAGTGATGGCACATCTCTCACTCAAGTCGTACAGACCATAAGAAACATTGCCCCATCACGTGGGACAGGCAGTGTCACGAGCGAGGCATTAGACAAAGCCGTGAGAAACGTGTTTGTTCCACAATCCGGGAGCCGAACAGGTGTACCTAAAGCATTAATTCTTATTACCCACAGCAAGTCGTCAAGCTCAGTTCCAGTTTCTCAAGCAGTACAACGTCTGAGAGCGGCTGGTGTTCGTGTTTATGTGGTGGGTATCGGTTTACAGGTTGATATGCAAGAGATGAAGAGTATTGCAGCAGGAGAGAGTACTATTTATCCCGCACGAAGACCAGACGAGGTTCCTGGAATGGCGAACGATGTAGTCAGAAATATTAATCAGGATATCAGAAGAAGTATGTATCTTATTAAACTATCATATCATGGTTGAAATAATCAGGAAGTAATAGAGCTTGATACAAAGATATACCGTGTTTAACACTATACCTTCTTTCTAATTTAATCTTTTCTTTTTAATGTTTGAAGGGAGTGATGAAAGTCAAATGGACATAGCTTTTATCGTTGGTGCCAGTGAACCTGGAGCCAGGCAATTATTTCAATTCCAACTGGATATTGTAAAAGCTTTGATAGATCGTGAGACACCAGTAACAACCCGCTATGGCTTAATTACTTACGGAAGCCGAGTCAACGCGCGAATGTCTTTCGGTGATTTCCAAGAAAAATCCAGAATGAAGCAAGTTATAGATTTGATACGATGGACGAAGAATGGCGTTGCCCTGGACGATGCTCTTGAGAGAGCTCAAAATATTTTCCAGGAATCGTCTCCGTTACATTCTAGAAAACTTCTGGTTGTTTTCATTACGTCACGAACTGGTGTATCCGTTTCGGAGTTGGAAAATAAATCAAGGAAACTTCGTGAAAGCGGCGTCAACATTCTTGTAGTACCAATTGGTAACAATGTTAATGATGGTGAGATATCTGGGATCTCCACGCGACGTGATTACGTGATTCGTGTATCTCCCGCGGGTGGCACGCAGCCTGTAGTTGACAAGACGGAAGAAATTATTGCGACTGATCCATGTAGTGCAGTGGACTGCGATTACTATGGTATATGTATTGCTGATGACCAACAAGCCACCAGCTGTGTCTGCAAAGAGACGTATCCTGATTCATATCAACCAGTCTGCGGCTCTGATCTCAAGACATACAGTAATCTGGAGGCAATGCAAGTTGCCTCTTGTAAATCAAGAGTGAAGATTACCCAAAGATCTGCTGGAAGATGCAGTAAGTAAAGTTTGCAGCACAAATCTTTTCAGGTCCAAATAAATTTCGTTGAAGATAACTTGTTCTGGGATTGATTTTTGCTACTCTTTTAGATTACCGTAAGCTGAGGGTTACTGACTTGGCGTTTGCTCTGGATGGTTCTCGCAAGTTGTCTGTGCAAGAATTCAACCGGTTGAAGTCATTCGTAAAGACCATAATTCAAAATTACGAGATTTCCGAGCATGGAACTCATGTTGCCGTGATAGAATACAGTAAAGATGCCAGAGTCGTGATTTCATTCAAAGATACCACAGATATCGATAGCTTTAAACGAGCCATTGATCGCGTGAGGCCTTCCCAAGATACTCCCGCATCTGTGAATGAAGCTTTGAAGTTGGCACAAGAAGAATTGTTCAGCCCAATCGGCGGAGGACGTCCAGGAATAGCGAAGGTAAGAATAAATTAGAGACAGTATTACATTTCCTTTCTGCGTCTTCACGACGAAGTTACGTCGATGAACAACTCATCAGAAAAAGCAGTTGAGTTTACATTCATTCCGATTCTTATTGAAGGTTCTGGTGGTTTTGACAACGGATGGAGAAGACGACCCACTGACTGGAGAGACCGCACTTCGCTTACGACAAGATGGGGTTAAGGTGTTTGTGGTTGGTCTTGGAAGGGACCTGGATCAGAATACGTTAAGAAACATCTCTGGTAATAGCAATCAAGTCTACATCGTCCCTAATATTCAAGGATTATCAACTGTTATTCATGATGTGATAACTGATATCGCAAATGGCGAGAAAGGTATTTGAAGAGTTGCGTGGTGTATAGCATGGTTGTATGTGCTGTGGTAGGATTTCATCTCATGATGATTTCCATCAACCTTACGATAAAGCAACCTCTCTTTATTATTCATTTATAGACACAGATAGCAAACTGGACATTCTCTTTGGTCTTGGTGCAACAGGAAGAGATGGAAAAGTTATTTTTGATTTCGAAAAACAAATTGTAAAATACATCATTGGCCTACCAAAAGCTGCCAAGACTCGATACTCGCTGATAGATTATCACAACAGTTCAAGAGTATTGGTTAACTTTGATGATTTCAGAGATGAAAACAAGCTGAAGAGCCAAATAGGCCTCATCACCTGGCAAAGAGATGGAAACGATTTTGCAAATTTACTTATCAAGGCTAAAGAAGTTTTCGAAATGACGAAAGAATCCAGGAAGATTTTCATGATCTTCATAAACGATCAATTAAATACTGATCTGAATGTGATAAGGAATTCTGTACGAATGTTGAACTCCCGTGGTGTTAAGGTGATTGTTGTCCGTATTGGGGAAAGAACGAATAATCAAGAAATATCTGCAATAACATCATCGGCGGTCGTAAGTGCTCCGACATTGGATGACGTAGCAAGAATCGGGGATTTGGCTGGGACGGCGACACTAAAAGGTATCGATTTTATGATCGATTTTACCTTGGTTGAAAAGGACTATAATTATTGATTTAAATTATGAAGAGTCTTGTGGAAGTTGACTTAATCATTTATGAACTTTTTTAGATCCATGTGCTGCAGTGAAGTGTGCTCATCATGGTCGTTGCGTCGCTGAAGCAGATGATTCGTACAAGTGTGAATGTCAGGACACAAACTCCTGTCAACAAGATCAACATCCTGTTTGTGCCACAAATGGAAAGACGTACATCAATGAATGCTTCATGAAAGTCTTCTCGTGTATAAACAAAGTTACAGTTAATGTTAATCATCAAGGAGTTTGTGGTGAGATGATTTTATATAATGAATTATTTTAATTAAAAGCTAAAGGCATTTCTAGCTAGATCCTGCCCAGTTTATGGGACAACCATGCCTTCCATGCAAGTAACCTGATGAATGTCTTTTTAGAGTCAAAAAATGTCGCGGATATTGCTTTTGTGGTAGAAGGATCGAAAAATATCAGTCCAAAACAATTCGATGAGTTTAAGAAGTTTATAAAATCCGCAGTTGGTAAATTCCGAATCTCTGAATCAGCGAACCGTGTGGCAGTTGTTGAATATAGTGATGTTCCTACGATTGCAATCTCGTTAGCTGATAACACGAATTCTGACCGCCTGAAGAAAGCAGTTGATCGGATACAACCCTCACGCGGGGAAAATGTTGCAACAGACAAGGCACTGAGATTTGTAGGAACTGACGTGTATACTTCAGAGCGAGGATCTAGAGTTGGGGTACAAAAGATTGTTGTAGTTCTCACGGGCAGCAAGTCCACAGGGAGTGAGGCATTGAAGATTGCTGCTCAGCCACTGGTGGATCGCGGTGCAAAGGTTTATGTTATTCATGTTGGAAAGAGTGAAAATCCTGAATTGAAAAATGTCACCACCGAGGGTGAAAGTGGAGTTGTAACTGTTCCAGATAGAGATCCACTCACAACACTTGGTGGGAATATTGCAACAAGGATAGCCTCTGATGTTGAGAAAGGTAAAAGAAGCGTCTTCTCCTTTTTCAGTAGACAGGAAAGGATTGAGATTGAAGTTAAGCAGTTCAGGTTTTCTCATACTGTTAGGTTTTTAGTCCGACCAGAATTGTTTTATGACAGGTTTATCTCTTTTGTCGTTAGGTAACAGAGAGAATCTATTGGACATGGTATTTGTGATTGGTTCCAGTGGAGCCAATGCTCGCAGCGTATTTTCGCAGCAAAGAGAACTCGTGAAATCTTTGATTGACAAAGCTAAGCATATGAACGCAGCATTTGGAGTTGTACAGTACGGCAATACCGGTCAAAGGTCCATTGGTATCAATCCAAAATCCTCCAGAGAAGACCTTTGGCAGTCTATTGACAACCTTCAACCATTAGGCGAAGGAACTCGTCCTGATGAGGGTCTAAAGCAAGCAATTGCCATGTTTAATGAAGAAGGAAGAGCAGGTGCTCGTCGTGTGTTAATATTATCCGGAAATAGTCCAATGGCGGTCAACAATGCTGAACTTACAAGAATTGCCCAGTCTTTGGCCAGAGAGAATATTGAGGTATTCATGGTGGGATATGGGTCACAAGTTGACCAAGAACAAGTGAATTTGATTGTCCCAAATGCAGGCAACGTGCATACCGTGCAGCCCGGAGAAACGGTCGAAAATACAGCTGACACCGTTGGCGAAAAACCTCTCACAGGTTTGTGTTTTTTTTGAGGACTAAGAGAACTGATAGCTATTTTTATGCGTGTTTCTCACGAGTGTTTCATGCTTTATCAAAACCTTTTTCATCCCAGATCCATGTGCTAATACAAGATGTGAATATGGCTCTAAGTGTCGTGTCTCAGGGGATCGTTCTGTCTCCTGTGTATGTCCATCTTGTCCGACGCCTTCTGAAGATGATGTGGTATGTGGTGATGATGGTGTTTCGTATGCTGATATTTGTACAATGAAGGCACGCTCATGCACAGATAAGAAGAAGATAAAGATGGCATACACTGGACCGTGCGGTAAGTCTAATATGAAAGGTAGAAATGAAAATATTCAGTTGTCATTTCACAACAATTACCATTACAAACGTGGACGTTTACACGTTAACCACAGCCTTTATATTTACTTGTTCAATTTTATTCACAGCACCTTTCGAGCTGGTTTTCGCTCTGGATGGTTCCGACAGCTTAACAAGATTGGAGTTGAACACTGCTATGATGTTTATTAAATCTATCGTCGAATCTCTGCCAATTTCAAGCCGCGAAGTTCAAGGTGGAATGATAGAATATAGCGATAAACCTAAACTTGAAATTACTCTGAATGAAAGAAACAACAAACCTTCATTAACGTACAGTGTTTTACGCGTCAACCCTTCTCGTGGCAGTAAAGCCTCGATACCTGAGATGATTGGGCTTGCTACACAACAAGCATTCAGTCAGGAGTCCGGTGCTAGGCCAGGAGTACCAAAATACCTTCTTATCATAACCGATGATGACGTCTCTTCAACTAAAGAACTTCAAGATGCCGTGAGGGAGGCTGAGAAAGCTGGTGTACATATTTACATTGTTGATATCGGAGATAAAATTAACATTGAAGGATTGAAGCTGCTTGTCCCAGTCGCTAAGAATAGATACGCTGTGGATGACGTACCTTCTCTGAACGGTATTGTCAAGGATCTTGTGAAAAACATCCTGAAAGACGTAGCTGAACGTAAGTACCCTTTCAATGATCATACTCTCTCTGTTTGTGTCCGCATGTGCGCCAATTCATTGAATTCAACCATGCTTCTTTCTATAACACAGGTAAACGACCCCTTGAGATTGTATTTACCATGGGATCCTCCAATCCAAATGGACAAACTATTTTCAACTGGCAAAAAAATGTCGTCAAAGAAACCGTCAAACGTTATACTCCAGCATCCACTTCTGTTCCACCCAGTTCCTCTGGTGTGAGACCTTTCCAGAGTATTGTCTATGGTATTGCACTTTACGGAGCCGAGACTGTTCCTTTTGTTAACATTAGAGAAATACCAGATGCGAGGAGCTTTTCAACGTTTGTAGATAACTTAAGATGGCCAGGAGATGATACATCATTTGAAGAGGGTTTACAGCAAGCGGAGGAACTATTTGAAAATTCCCCTAACAAAAATCCACGCAGGGTATTGGTGTTGTTTGCGAACGACAGAGCAGAGGTTGAACCATCCAGACTAAAGGCATTAGCTGAACGATTAATGGTGAAAGGAATAGAACTTCGTGTTATCTCTGTTGGTGGTCGTGTTGATGATGGCCAGATAAACGTCTTGACTGGTGGTTCAAGAGATGTTGTTGTTGAGACCTCACATACCGAAGAACCGACGGATGTCGCCGAACGTGTTCGTAGCATAGCAGATAAAGGTAAGTTAATGGGGAAACGTATGTCAGAAATAGAAAAAAAACAAGACCCTTGCTCTGGTATCAGGGATATCATTTGAGGAGGTTATAATAATAATCATTTCAATTCTTGTTCATTTAGATCTCTGTGAGGCGAAGGAGTGCAGATATAACGGTCTATGCCAAGTTGTATCTGGAAACAGCACAACTTGTGTCTGCCAACAAGAACGATCTACGGTATTTGAACCAGTATGTGGAACTGATGGACGTACTTATAGCAATGAAGATGAAATGAAGTTTGTCAATTGTCATAACATGAAAACCACTGAGATTAAACATCATGGAGCTTGTGGTAAGTATGATGTTTGGGCGTGGATTGTTTTGAGACCATTGTACTGATCCTAAACACAACAAAGGAAAAACTATTTTTTATCTTTATCTTCCTTTCCAGTATCATCTCCGTATCCACAACCCAAGAACCCCCTTGACCTTGCATTTGTCCTGGATGGTTCAGACAGTCTGACCAGAGAACAATTTGAAAGCATAAAGAAACTCGTGTCTGATACTTTGAATCGTTACACCATATCACCAAAGGAAACACAAGTCGCCGTCGTAGAATACAGTGATACGCCAACTATCGTCGTGTCTTTGAATGATTTTAAAGATCGGGATACTTTACAAGAAGCTATAGATGCCATTCGACTTTCTCGCGGTGGGGATACTGCTACAGATGACGCATTGAAGTTAGCTGCTGATCAAGTCTTCTCGCCAGAACGTGGATCACGTCCTGGTTTTCCGAAAGCTCTAATCTTGATTACCGATGGTAAATCGACCGGTCTCGAAACGCTCCGTGAAGCAGCGGAACCGCTACGAAAGAAAGGCGTTCCTGTCTACGTCGTAACCATCGGAGACGGTTATGATGATAACGAAATACAGGAACTCGTACCAAGTTCTGATCACGTGGTTTCTGTTAATCGTCCAGAAGAGGTGGAAGATCTCGCGCCAAAAATTACCGACACTATTGACAGAAATATCGAAAAGAGTATGTACAACATGTTATTGAAATAGTGCAGTTTCGCAGAGAATTTCTAAGAATCTTAAGATAATTCTAAATCATAAAGGATTTCTAAGTTGTCTGGTTATTTAGACTGTTTTTGTTTCTTTTTAGGAAAGTCGTCTCACGTTGTTGACATGATCTTCGTGATGGGTTCCTCCGATCCAAATGGCCGTCTTATCTTTGCGAAACAGAAAGAAATATCGAAATCCATTGTGAATCTTCCTAATACTGCTGATCAACGTTACGGTGTTGTACAATATGACAATTATCCGTCAGTACCAGTTCGCTTGGGTTACATTCGAGACAAGGACGCCTTGGAAGGAGCTATAGATAGTATCACGTGGAGACGAAATGGAACGGCATTCCTGCATGCAATACGAAAAGCTGCTGATCAATTTAAGAAGGAAGGGCGTCTGGGTGCAGATTCTGTTCTAGTGTTGTTTAGCGACGGTAAACAAAAGGCAACGAACCAAGAATTATCAGAGATTGGTGCAATGTTACGTAAGCAAGGAATTATGATCAAAATTGTGACCACTGGAGAAGAAACGGATACCTTGAGACCCCTAGCGCCCGGAAGCAACAGTATTGTGACTGTCAATACAACAGATCCTATTTCGGGTGTCGTAATTGGTAAGATTACTGGAGATATACTATCAGGTATGGCGATGATTATTATTATCTTGTACACCCATTATATATCTGATGCTGTTTAAATTTTATTCTACTCGTTTTGTATTTATCCTTTAGATGTCTGTGCGAGCACAAACTGTGAATTCGGCGCAAGGTGTATGAAGCAACCTGACGGTAGTGGCAAATGTGATTGCATTGAATCATGTTTCCAAGACCGCTATCAACCAGTGTGTGGATCAGATGGTAAAACATACAGTAATGAATGTGAAATGAATTTGAAAACATGTCGAGAGAAACTGGAAGTGACTATTAAACATTCTGGCCAATGCAGTAAGTGAAACATCGAAGTGTTAAGAAAAATTGTGTTAAGAATTAAGAAACATTACTAATTTAGGACCATCCTCTTTCCATCATAGTCCCAACGGTCGGCACAAACTTGGTGATCGCTTTGGATGGCTCACGGGATGTCAATGCAAAAGACTTTGCAAAGATGAAAGAGTCTGTAAAAGATATAGTCAACTCACTTGTGGTATCTCCCAAAGATAGTCGTGTCGGTGTGATGGAGTATAGTGATCTAGTGAACATTGTTTTCCCTCTTAAAAAATATGAAAACAACAAAGAAGTCGTGAATGCGATCGATGATATTCAACCCTCACTTGGAAATGGCCGAGTATTAGATGAGGTATAGCGGTAGTTTACTTACCACTTGAGTACGCAGCTTGGAAACGTGCCATTATAAATGAATCATTCACCCTATGAATGTTTAATTGTTGTGTTTCCTTTGTAGGTACTAAAGTCAGGGGCGATGGAAATGTTTACAGTGAAGAATGGTGCTCGTCCTGGACAACCAAACGTATTTATTCTGTTCACAAATGGAAAATCTACTGGCGTCCAACCACTACATCCAGCCGTAAAACAGCTGCAAGAACTAGGTGTGACGACCTACGTCATTGGTACTAGTGATGAGGTCGACCGTGATGAATTGACTGCTGTTGCTCCTGGAAACGACGATGGCGTATTTGTAGTTAATGACGCTAGTGGTATTTTCAGAGTGGTTCCAAAGGTTATCATAGAAATGTTGAATCGTGATCGAAAAGGTGGGGCCAAGTCATTCCTGGATTTTACCATTCTTGTGTTTCACCATTCACGATTCTTCTTCACCACTCACCATTCAAAATCTTTTAAATCTTTTTTCACTCTGCTTGTAGCTAATAATTCTATTGATGTCGTCTTCGCCTTCGGTGCGTCCGGACCCACAGGACAATCTCTTTTAACGCTGCAAAAAGAAATCGCTGAGAACATGATGAAGCAATTGGAACTACTGGATGTGAAGTACGGAGTCCTTGAGTATGACCAGGATGCCAGGGTGTTGTCAGAACTTGGTATAGATTCAACGCAAGTTAAAGATGTGCTAGAAAGAATGTCATGGAGAGGCGATGCAACCGGGTTGTCAAATGTAAGGTTTATCTAACTGATAGCAGTGTAAAGTGACGTCTTTCTTGTAATATCTCTTAAGTTTAAGCAACCAGAAATGACCGTATTTCTGTGCTATTATTAGGTTCTCAAAGAAGCCTTCGTCAGTTTTGATGAAGGATCACGTGAGGGTGTTCGCAAACGACTGATCCTCTTTGTTACAACCAAATCAAACTCACAACCACAAGATATTCAAGATGCTGTTAAGAGCCTGACTGATGCTGGTGTTGACGTCACTGTAGTTGCTATTGGTAACAATGTTATAAACGCCATACCAGAATTAGAAACTGTGACGCACAGGGATAAGATTCTGGTTGTTGATCCAAGTGACTCACCCGAGAAGTCTGTTCCAAGTATAACCGAAAAAATCATAAAAGGTAACAATAGATTGACATGATGTTGCTTAAGGACATTTTATTAAAGGATAATCCTTTCTCTAGATCCTTGTAACACTCTCAAGTGCTCGTTCTACTCAAGCTGTGTTCTTACATCCGCTGACACTGCCACATGCCGCTGTTCCTCTCCATCATCTTCCACCACGCCAAACCTCAATGATCGTTACACTCTGTGTGGTAGCGATGGAAAACTGTATGTGAACAAAGAGGAAATGCAGTACGAATCATGTCGGAAACAAAAACAAATCACAGTGCAAGAATTTAAGAATTGTGGTAAATATTACGGTTTTTACTCCAATATTTTCTGTGTGTCACATCAATATTTAATTATTTATAGTCTGTAGAAAAATGCACTGTCCACAACCGTCGACATTCAGTAAACTGTCAAGATCGCAATTCAACTGTTTAAACACTCTTTATATTTTTCCGATAGATCGGAGTCCAGATTTGTTGCCTGTGGATCTCGCGTTTGCGGTGGATGGATCAGACAGTATGACAACATCTGATTTCAATAAGATTCGCCAGTTTATCAAAAACACTATAAATCAGTTTCCAGTTTCAGCAAATGACGTCCACGTAGCGTTGCTAGAGTATAGCGACAGGATTGATCTTAAATTCGGATTTTTGTCTCACACGAGTAAACCTGAGTTATTGAGAGCTGTAGACAGAGTGACACCATCCGGCGGGCGTGGTATTCTTACCGATCAAGTTCTAGCAGAAGCTAACCAGTTATTTTCACCTGAAGCTGGATCTCGTCCAGGTGTTCCAAAAATATTAGTGGTTATAACTGACGATGAATCATCTGGGACCCGGCCTTTGAGTCGCGTTGCTGAGCCTCTGAAGGAAGCTGGAGTGGAGGTAATAGTGGTCGGTATGGGATCCAGGGTAAACCCCGGCCAGTGGAGAGGCGTGGTGCCGTCTGAGGGTAACGTGATCAAAGTGGATGGACCGGGTCGAATTGGTGGTGTTGTTGATGATATTGGAAAGAAAATAAAACGTGTTGCTGAGTCTAGTAAGTAAAACAAATTCCTTTCACCAATACGATGTTCTTTCTGCAATTTGGGCAAACTACATCTTTATAGTAAAAGAATCTTCTCTTTAATTAGAAATCATCGTCGAAAAAGAAGTTATATTTGTTATTGGATCAAGTACCGCTCAAATATTTGATAAGTCCTTACAAATTGTCAATAAGATTATCGACAAGGAGAGTTTGCCACGAGTGCGTTATGGAGTGGTGTTATTTGACGAAGACGCTTACACAGTTGTCAGTCTGGATGAGTTCCCCAACAAATCAACCTTAATGGGATTCGTTTCTCAGATTACGAGACCGCAAGCTGGAAGAAATTACGAGAAGGGAATACTCAGGGCCTCAGAAATGTTCATTGAGCAAGGGAAACCTAATGCTGAACGTACTATAATGCTTCTCACCGATAGTAGATCTAATGCCAGCCCGAAGGAGATGGAAGATATTAAAAATCAACTGTTGAGGACGAGGACTAGATTGATAGCGGTGGATATTGATGGTGTTGGAGGTAATCTAAGGAACGTTGCACCAATGTCAAGACATTTCCGTGTGTCCGAGAGTAATCCTGATCTAAAAATTAGTGACGATGTCACCAACGTTTTTGTTAAAGGTAATTTTTCCTATTTTTCGTGCTAACAGGATCGTGCAAAATGTATGGTTTGAGACTCGGTTATTCCTTTTCCACTAGATCCCTGTTTCTTGGAAAAGTGTGACTTCTTTGGTGCATGTTTGGCAAACCCTGATGGAACAACTCAATGTACATGCCAAAAAGAATGTACGACAACTCAGAAGTCTGGTTTTGTCTGTGGAAGTGATAATAAAATCTACGAGAATGAATGTGCGCTCAGGAAATACGTCTGTGCGAAGAAGTTAAATGTGACTATAAAAAACCACGGAGTTTGCTGTAAGTTTTGTTAGAAAATTGACGCAAAAATGCAAATGAATGCTGTTGATACATGTCAATCGTGTGGTTAATGTCTAAACATTGACTTGATAGAGGTTTCTTGTGTAAGAGAACGTTTCTATTGGTTTAACTACAAAGCTGCTAACTTCTTATATTTGTTTTCTTTGTTTAGTGTATGAAAAAATCGCTGATGTCTTAGTTCTTTTGGATGGATCTGCAAGTGTTAAAGAACATGATTTCAAACAAGTCAAAGATTTTGTTAAAACTTTGGTGGACTCCTACGAGATCTCTGAGAATGGCATTCGTTTCTCAGTGATTGAATATAGTGATGAAGCAAAAGTTGTTATTCCACTCAACCGATTTTACAATGCCGTGCAACTGAAAGACGCAATTGATCAAATCCAGGCCTCTGGTGGAACATCACAGATTGGCAATGCACTGGAAGCAGCTCGACGAGAAGGATTTAGTTTGGAGAACGGAGCAAGACCTGGAGCTCCTAAGACAATCATTCTTATAACTGATGGAAGATCAACTGGAGAAACATCCGTTGAAGATGCCGTGTTACCTTTAAGACAGAGTGGTATTGTGGTTCATGTTGTTTCCATTGGCAACGAGGCCAAAGATCCCCAGGTGACGTCAGCAGCTACCAGGGATGATTACGTACATCCGATTGACAAACCTGATGACATCACTTCCATTGTTCCTGGCCTTGTTCAGAAGATAAACGAGAACTTGGATAAAGGTTAGCGATATATACCAGGTGTATCAATAAATGGTAACCTAATTTAAGCGCAATATTGTGTGAAAATCTCTTGATTAGCGAGTGCAATTTGTTAAGATTAGGATGGCTCAGGCTTTTTGCTGTTAAATGATGTATAAGCTTCGTTGAAATATTTATTGATGATTGATATATTATTTTTTAGCAAAACACCAACAAACTGATATGATTTTCGCTTTTGGTTCTGACGGCTCTTATTCGATATTTAACGTTCAAAAGAAGATTGCAAAGGAAATAATCGACTCCCACCAGGACAAAGATGTTAAGTATAGTGTCATTAAGTACGGACGGATTGCTCAGATTGTTTTACCTTTCAGAGATGTGAGTAGTACATCAATGCTGAAACAATTCATTCACATTATGCCCTGGGAGAGCGCTGGTTTAGCTGTGGATGATGCAATCAAGAAAACCCTTGAGAATTTCGAGAAAAATGGTCGCCGCCAAGCACGGCGAGTTTTGGTGTTATTTGTGAGTGGAAGAGCAGAAACGGATGAGCGACAATCAAACGAACTCAAGAAATCTCTTGCTGAAGCCGGTGTTAATACTGTTGTGATTGCTTTGAATGTTAATAACGAAGAAAACATAAAGCGTATTATCCCTGCGGGTAAATCTATTGTCACTACTGATCCTGATGCAAACACGAAGGACGTTCTTCCTAATGTAATCAGCGGTATAACCCAAGGTAGGCGCATTTGGCACCGGAACTATAGGAGAAAATTACACTAAACACGAGTTTAGTTTATAATAACACTGCTTTCCTATGCATTTGATTGATAAGGTTTTTGTCTAATTTAACCAGATCCTTGCAGCTCCGCCGATTGTCATACGCTTGCAAAGTGTGTTTATAAAGCATCAGGAGAACCAATGTGTGAATGTCCCAAAGAATCTTCGTGTCCCGAAACGAAGTACACTGTCTGTGGTTCTGACGACAAGTCGTACAAAAATCCATGTGTGATGAAAGCAATTGCTTGCAAGGAGAAAAAAGACATTCAAGTAAAGCAGTTTGGGCCTTGTGGTAAGTTGGCATTGTCGATTTCAGTCATAGTAGCTTTAACCTCAGTACATTATGATCCGTTTGCATTATTTTACATCCTTTTTCAGATCTTCGCTTTCTTCAGGTCTCTTGCGTCCTTCTTCGTGACCTCTAAGATCTATATCAACGCACTATGTTGAATATTTTTAATTTCAGAACCTATCGTGGCATTGGACATCATATATGCCTTAGACGGCTCCGTTGGTATACGCGAGAAAGATTTTGAAAAGATGAAGGACTTCGTTAAGCACAGTGCAAGAGAATACCCAATTTCTGAAAAGGGTCCACATATTGGAGTGATTGAATTCAGTGATAGAGCAGACTTGAAAATTAAACTATCGGATCACAATGATGTTAGCTCTTTCATCGATGAATTATCTAGTATTAAGCAATCTTCTGGTCAGAATACAGTAACGGATGAAGTGCTACGAATGGCAGCCAGCGAAGCATTTAAGTCCACGTCGGGTGGTCGACCGACGGCGCATAAAAGATTGGTGATTCTTACCGGAAGTAAATCCACCGGGTCAGAACCACTTCAAGAAGCAGTCATACCGGTTATCACTAATGGTATTCAAGTTTATGTTGTTGCTGTGGGTAGCGGAGTTGATCAAAAAGAGTTGGAAGGCATCGTGGGGCCGAAAGATGATCGGTTGTTCAATATTCCTGGTGCGAATCAATTGGGTCCATTGGTAAAGAGAATTAAAGACAAGCTAACGAACGAAGCTACACGAGGTTTGTTATTATATTTACTATTTTATTTTTCCAAATAACTCAAAATTACAAACTAGAAATTTTGGATCATTGGTAAGTGAAATACTGATAGTACATTGTTTTACTTAGCTGAACGAGATAGCAAGTTGGACATTGTTTTTGTTCTTGGCGCACGCAACCCACGAGCATCTCTTGACTATGACACGATGAAAAAGTTCACACAAGAAATTCTTAAGCAACCAAGACCAGACAACACCCGATATGGCTTCGTGACTTATGATGATAACGCACAAACGAGACTCACCTTAGATGTACCTAAGCAAATCTTGAAGCAACTTCTAGACATCATCCCCTGGCTGGGAGAAGGCACGAGGATAGATAAGGGAGTCGAAATGGGAATGAAGATATTTAACCAACCAAGTCGTCCTGACGCTGAAAAAGTCCTTGTTGTGTTCACAAACGATAAGACAAGCTCGTCAAATCAAGCTCTGGATGACGTAAGAAGAAAAGCCGACGAAGTAGGAATCAAGATAGTTCTTATCGCGTTGGGATCACGTGTTGATCCTACGCAGATTAGAAGATTGGTTCCAAATAATGAAGATGTCATACTTGTTGATGTCATTGGAGACGACGATGAAATCAAACGTAAAGTTAAGGAAACGGCTGACACGATTACGGAAGCATCAAAGAAAGGTTTGTCACCTGATAAGGTTTCTGTACGATGAAGCAACTTTAATCGTAATGCTTACAATGATTGTTCTGACTTTCCAGTACCATCACCCTGTGAGAAACTAGATTGCCATGTTTATGCTCGCTGCGTAAACGGACGGACTGTTACCTGTCAGTGCCCTCCAAAATCTGAATGTGCAAGCACTTCTGAGTCGATATGTGGCAGTGATGGAAAGAAATACGACAGCATTTGCATCATGCAAGCAGACAGCTGCGAGAGGCGTATCATTGTTACTATGGCTCAACCTGGAATATGTGGTAAGAAGAATTTTATTACTGTATATCCACAGTGGTAGATCCTAATATTCGTGTTTAGTAGCTTGATTTAGTAGCTTCCTCCATTAATGAGACTCTCTCCAACGAAATTACGAAAATATAGATACATTTTAAGTGTGTTTTCCTGTCTCATCTCTAGATGGAGTTAGACCGGTTATTTCTTTCACAACTCCCCCGGAATGGACAGGCAAGTCAGCAACAATTCAATGGAGATCGTCTGTTCCCGCATATTTCAAGTGTTCGCTTGATAATAAGCCGTATAGCTCGTGTGGAGGACCAAGTATGACAGGTCAATGGATTGGAAGCAATTTACTTGAGGGTCCACATACATTGGACGTCAAAGCTAACGATGTTGATGGAAATGAAGAAGGACCAATTAGACATTCTTGGAATGTTGGTAAGACGCAAAATAAAACCATATTGTATCAAAACCAGATATTACTGTGACTCTGGGTCTCCAAGTGTCTCATTTGCTCCTCATCGTCTTCATTCTTTTGCAGATTCTATTCTACCCATTATCCGTTTTGATGATGCACCTTCAGTAACAAATAACTATCCACGATTTACATGGAGCTCATCTGAGCCAGCTGTGTTTGAGTGCTCGTTCAATGGAGGAAGATATGAGACCTGTGGGAACGGAGTGGAGGGTGTTTGGAGTAAAAATAATGTTCGTGATGGTCGCCATGCTCTTCGTGTCAGAGGTAGAGATTCTGCTGGAAATTTGGGCAGACCAACTGAACATTCTTGGACTGTTGGTAAGATATTAAATTGTGATCTTATATTATTATAATTTATCTGAGCATGTATTATGTATTGTCAAATACCACATGCTAACAGATTCCCCTAAATTTACCTTGCTTTAAGATAAGGCTCTTTACTGTAATATATTTATTTCCACAGAAACGGGTCCGGTTACAATAACATTCATACAAGCTCCTAGAAGATTCAACGTAGCAGCACCCGAAATAAAATGGAGGGCTACAGTGAGTATGACGTTTGAATGTTCATTGGACAACGAAAATTACAGATCGTGTGGTGAAGGAACAACTGGGCAATGGGTTGGAAACAATGTTCCAGATGGATCACACAGTTTCAGAGTGAAAGGAACTGACAGTGTAGGTAATGTGGTAGAAGCTGAGGTTACAGGATGGATAGTCGATACTGTGGTTCCAATTATCACATTCACTAATCCTCCGGGGAAAACAAACGGTTCACCAACAATTACCTGGCGTTCATCAGAACAAGCTGACTTTAATTGCTCACTGGACAGAGGACCATATGTAACTTGTGGTAAAGGTATATCTGGACAATGGAGTGAAAATAATATGCGCGATGGTAGTCATCGTCTGTCTGTCAACGCAAGAGATGCTGCTGGTAACGTCGGAAGAAATACCCACACTTGGATCGTTGGTAAGATTAGAGGTTCTCGTGCAATTCATATCAAAGGCTTCAGATATATTTATGTTTTTGAAATTTTGCGATACATAAGATTGTGTGTTAGAAGAGTAGATATTCCATCATTATAACCTCCTTATCTTTTCATCCTTCTTAGATACGATTCTTCCAGTCATCACATTCAACAATCCACCAGCAAAAACGAACCGTTTTCCTCAGTTTACTTGGAAGTCATCGGAACAGGCTGACTTTGAATGTTCGCTGAACAATGGACCATATGAAAATTGTGGTCGTGGAACAGAAGGAACGTGGAGTAAAAATAATCTTCCTAGTGGTCGTCGTTATGTTCTCTCTGTCAGAGGGAAAGACACTGTTAATAACGTAGGAAGACCAACCACTCATTCTTGGATTGTTGGTAAGATTTTATTTTTTATTTCTTATTTAACAGTAAATGATACTGCATTACAAACAATTGAATTTCAACCAAACTGCCTAATAATAGAAAATGTCATGGATTTTCAACGAAGCTGAAAAGCTCTATTATTTTTTTTCGTTTTCGTTATTAAAGGACAATATTTATTATAATATTTGTATTTTAGATGGGGATGCTCCTGTTATCACCCTCAACCCACCCCGAAAAATAAATGGATTCACTGAGTTTAGCTGGAGGTCATCAGAACAAGCTAAGTTTAAATGCTCCGTTGATAATGGACCATATGAAGAATGCGGTCGTGGGATAACTGGACGATGGCTTCGAAACAACATTCGTGGCAGTCCTTATACATTCTCTGTCAGAGGCGAAGATAGTGTTGGCAATTTGGGAAGACCTGCAAAGATTGTTGGTACGGTCTTATAAATCCCAAGTGTGATATCTTATAGTGGTGTAGTTTTACAGAATACTGAATATTTTTCTACATTAAATTTTTTTTATAGAAACAATACCACTGCAAATAAACTTCACTCTAGCACCAAACATTGTCAAAAGTTCGCCTGTCTTTGAATGGATTTCATCAACCACTATGACGTTTGAATGTTCATTGGACAACGAAAATTACAGATCGTGTGGTGACGGAAAAACTGGACAATGGGTTGGAAACAATGTTCCAGATGGATCACACAGTTTCAGAGTGAAAGGAACTGACAGTGTAGGTAATGTGGTAGAAGCTGAGGTCAGAGGATGGATAGTTGATACTGTGGTTCCAACTATCACATTCACTCATGCTCCGGCAAAAACAAACGGTTCACCAATGATCACCTGGCGTTCATCAGAACCAGCTGACTTTAGTTGCTCACTGGACAGAGGACCATATGTGCCTTGTGGTAAAGGAATATCTGGACAATGGAGGGAAAATAATATGCGCGATGGTAGTCATCGTCTGTCTGTAAAAGGAGAAGATGCTGCTGGTAACGTTGCAAGCAATACCCATACTTGGATTGTTGGTAAGATTATAGTATCCCTTGCAATTCATTTCAAAGGTTTTAGTGATGATGGGCTACTATTAATGACTGATTATGAGTTTGATCTAATTCTTAGTATATATCAATTTCCACAGAAACGGGTCCGGTTACCATAACATTCATACAAGCTCCTAGTAGATTCAACGTAGCGCCCGAAATAAAATGGATTTCATCAACCACTATGACGTTTGAATGTTCATTGGACAACGAAAATTACAGATCGTGTGGGGAAGGAAGAACTGGGCAATGGGTTGGGAACAATGTTCCAGATGGATCACATAGTTTCAGAGTGAAAGGAACTGACAGTGTAGGTAATGTGGTAGAAGCTGAGGTTACAGGATGGATAGTCGATACTGTGGTTCCAATTATCACATTCACTAATCCTCCGGCGAAAACAAACGGTTCACCAACAATTACCTGGCGTTCATCAGAACAAGCTGACTTTAATTGCTCACTGGACAGAGGACCGTATGTGACTTGTGGTAAAGGAATATCTGGACAATGGAGTGAAAATAATATGCGCGATGGTAGTCATCGTCTGTCTGTCAACGCAAGAGATGCTGCTGGTAACGTTGGAAGAAATGACCACGCTTGGACTGTTGGTAAGATTATAGGATCTCGTGCGAATTATATCAATTGTTTCGGTGATGTAGTGCTTAACAACTGATCATGAGTTTGTTTTAATCATTCAGATATATTTAAAAACATGTCTTTTTAAGTTTAAAGAGTGTATTAACAGAAAAGTTTTTTAAATATTATAAGCTCCTTAAACTCTGTCATCGTATTTAGATACAATTCCTCCAGTCATCACATTCAACAATCCACCAGCAAAAACCAATCGTTTTCCTCAATTGACTTGGGACTCAACGGAACAAGCTTACTTTGAATGTTCGCTAAACAGTGGACCATATGAAAATTGTGGTAGTGGAACAGAAGGAACATGGAGTAAAAATAATCTTCGTAGTGGTCCTTATGTTCTTTCTGTCAGAGGGAAAGACACTGTTAATAACATGGGAAGACCAACCACTCATTCTTGGATTGTTGGTAAGGTTTCTACGCTGGTCATGCACTACTTCAAGTTTCTACAAAGAATTGATTATTTATGAAAACATGACATTGATCTGAATGTTCGTATTTTAGATGGAGATGCCCCAGTTATTACATTTACTAATCCACCTCAAGAAACGAATGGTTCACCTCAGTTGAATTGGAGGTCGTCAGAGCAAGCAGAATTTACATGCTCTTTTGACAATGGACCATATGAACCTTGTGGTAGTGGAACAGAAGGAACGTGGAGTAAAAATAATCTTCGTAGTGGTCGTTATGTTCTCTCTGTCACAGGGAAAGACACTGTTAATAACGTGGGAAGAGCAACCACTCATTCTTGGATTGTTGGTAAGGTTTTTAAGCTAGTCATGCACTATCTCAAGTTTCTGCAAATAATTTATTTTTTATGAAAAGATAACATTGATCTGAATGTTCGTATTTTAGATAGAGCCGCACCAGTTATCACATTTATTAATCAACCTCAAAAAACGAATGGTTCACCACAGTTCACTTGGAGATCGTCAGAGCAAGCAGAATTTACATGCTCTTTTGACAATGGAGCATATGAACGTTGTGGTAGTGGAACGGAAGGAATTTGGAGTAAAAATAATCTTCGTAGTGGTCGTCATGTTCTCTCTGTCAGAGGGAAAGACACTGTTAATAACGTAGGAAGACCAACCACTCATTCTTGGATTGTTGGTAAGGTTTCTACGCTGGTCATGCACTACTTCAGGTTTCTGTAAATAATAGATTATTTATTAAACGATGAGATTGGTCTGAATGATCGTATTTTAGATGGAGATGCCCCGGTTATCAGATTTATTGATCCACCTCAAAAAACGAATGGTTCACCACACTTCACTTGGAGATCGTCAGAGCAAGCAGAATTTACATGCTCTTTTGACAATGGACCATATGAACCTTGTGGTAGTGGAACAGAAGGAACGTGGAGTAAAAATAATCTTCGTAGTGGTCGTTATGTTCTCTCTGTCAGAGGGAAAGACACTGTTAATAACGTGGGAAGAGCAACCACTCATTCTTGGATTGTTGGTAAGGTTTTTAAGCTAGTCATGCACTATCTCAAGTTTCTGCAAATAATTTATTTTTTATGAAAAGATAACATTGATCTGAATGTTCGTATTTTAGATAGAGCCGCACCAGTTATCACATTTATTAATCAACCTCAAAAAACGAATGGTTCACCACAGTTCACTTGGAGATCGTCAGAGCAAGCAGAATTTACATGCTCTTTTGACAATGGAGCATATGAACGTTGTGGTAGTGGAACGGAAGGAATTTGGAGTAAAAATAATCTTCGTAGTGGTCGTCATGTTCTCTCTGTCAGAGGGAAAGACACTGTTAATAACGTAGGAAGACCAACCACTCATTCTTGGATTGTTGGTAAGGTTTCTACGCTGGTCATGCACTACTTCATGTTTCTGCAAATAATAGAGTATTTATGAAAAGATAACATTGATCTGAATGCTTGTATTTTAGATGGAGATGCCCCAGTTATCACATTTATTAATCAACCTCAAAAAACGAATGGTTCACCACAGTTCACTTGGAGATCGTCGGAACAAGCAGAATTTACATGCTCTTTTAACAATGGACCATATGAACCTTGTGGTAGTGGAACAGAAGGAACGTGGAGTAAAAATAATCTTCGTAGTGGTCGTTATATTCTCTCTGTCAGAGGAAAAGACAGTGTCGGTAATTTCGGACGTCCTACTGCCCATTCGTGGAGAGTTGGTAGGTTTACTTAATATAATTCCCAGCAATTTACTTCGCTCTTAATAAAGCTGTATTCTGTTTTCTAATGTTTAAATTTAAACATTTTAGACGCGGTTGCTCCAATCATTACATTTATTGATCCCCCTGAAACAACCAGCCGTTCACCCGAGTTTAGCTGGCGATCTTCGGAACAAGCAACTTTTGAATGTTCATTTGATGGAGGAAGTTATGAAAATTGTGGTAGCGGAGCGAGTGGAAAATGGACACAAGATAATATTCGTGATGGTAGTCATTTTCTTAATGTCAGAGGAACAGATGTCGTTGGTAACTTGGGAGAAGCAACCACTCATACTTGGATTGTTGGTAAGAATTTAAATTGCAGTATTAGTAAAAGACAACAACGTAACTATTCTAAAAATGATAACTTTGTCATATTGAACTTAGAATCCGCATTGCTCTCATATATTGAATAGTAATATTATCATTTCAGGGAAGATAGTTTTCAACAAAGTACCACAACATTCAAAAAGTGCCCCTGTGTTTGAGTGGAGTGCACCAACGACTATGTCGTTTGAGTGTTCTTTAGACAACGGGAGTTACAGACCTTGCGGTAGAGGAAGAACCGGGCAATGGGTTGGAAACAATGTTCCAGATGGACAGCATAGTTTGAGAATTAAAGCAACTGACAGTGTAGGTAATGTGGTGGAAACTGAAGTTAAAGGATGGATAGTTGATACTGTGGTTCCAATTATCACATTCACTAATCCTCCGGCGAAAACAAACGGTTCACCAATGATCACCTGGCGTTCATCAGAACAAGCTGACTTTAATTGCTCACTGGACAGAGGACCATATGTACCTTGTGGTAAAGGAATATCTGGACAATGGAGTGAAAATAATATGCGCGATGGTAGTCATCGTCTGTCTGTCAACGCAAGAGATGCTGCTGGTAACGTTGGAAGAAATGACCACACTTGGATTGTTGGTAAGATTAGAGGTTCTCGTGCAATTCATATCAAAAGCTTCAGATATATTTATATCTTTTAATTTCACGATACATAAGATTGTGTATTAGAAGAGGAGATATTCCATCATTATAACCTCCTTATCTTTTCATCCTTCTTAGATACGATTCCTCCAGTCATCACATTCAACAATCCACCAGCAAAAACGAACCGTTTTCCTCAGTTTACTTGGAAGTCATCGGAACAGGGTGACTTTGAATGTTCGCTGAACAATGGACCATATGAAAATTGTGGTCGTGGAACAGAAGGAACGTGGAGTAAAAATAATCTTCCTAGTGGTCGTCGTTATGTTCTCTCTGTCAGAGGGAAAGACACTGTTAATAACGTAGGAAGACCAACCACTCATTCGTGGATTGTTGGTAAGGTTTCCACGTTAATCATGCACTACTTCAAGTTTCTGTAAATAATTCATTATTTATGAAAAGATGTCATTGGTCTAAATGCTCGTATTTTAGATGGAGATGCCCCAGTTATCAGATTTATTAATCCACCTCAAGAAACAAATGGTTCACCACAGTTGAATTGGAGGTCGTCAGAGCAAGCAGAATTTACATGCTCTTTTGACAATGGAGCATATGAACGTTGTGGTAGTGGAACGGAAGGAATTTGGAGTAAAAATAATCTTCGTAGTGGTCGTCATGTTCTCTCTGTCAGAGGGAAAGACACTGTTAATAACGTAGGAAGACCAACCACTCATTCTTGGATTGTTGGTAAGGTTTCTACGCTGGTCATGCACTACTTCAGGTTTCTGTAAATAATAGATTATTTATTAAACGATGAGATTGGTCTGAATGATCGTATTTTAGATGGAGATGCCCCGGTTATCAGATTTATTGATCCACCTCAAAAAACGAATGGTTCACCACACTTCACTTGGAGATCGTCAGAGCAAGCAGAATTTACATGCTCTTTTGACAATGGACCATATGAACCTTGTGGTAGTGGAACAGAAGGAACGTGGAGTAAAAATAATCTTCGTAGTGGTCGTTATGTTCTCTCTGTCAAAGGGAAAGACACTGTTAATAACGTAGGAAGACCAACCACTCATTCTTGGATTGTTGGTAAGGTTTCTACACTAGTAATGCACTACTTCAAGTTTCTGCAAATAATTGATTATTTATGAAAAGATGACATTGGTCAGAATGCTCGTATTTTAGATGGAGATTCCCCAATTATCAGATTTATTGATCCACCTCAAGAAACAAATGGTTCATCTCAGTTAAATTGGAGGTCGTCAGAGCAAGCAGAATTTACATGCTCTTTTGACAATGGACCATATGAACCTTGTGGTAGTGGAACAGAAGGAACGTGGAGTAAAAATAATCTTCGTAGTGGTCGTTATGTTCTCTCTGTCAAAGGGAAAGACACTGTTAATAACGTAGGAAGACCAACCACTCATTCGTGGATTGTTGGTAAGGTTTCTACGCTAGTCATGCACTACCTCAAGTTTCTGCAATGAATTGTTTATTTATAAAAATATAACATTGGTCTGAATGCTCGTATTTTAGATGTAGATGCCCCAGTTATCACATTTATTGATCCACCTCAAGAAACGAATGGTTCACCACAGTTCACTTGGAGGTCGTCAGAGCAAGCAGAATTTACATGCTCTTTTGACAATGGACCATATGAACGTTGTGGTAGTGGGACGGAAGAAACGTGGAGTAAAAATAATGTTCGTGATGGTTCTCACGTTCTGTCCGTTAGAGGGGAAGACAGTGTTGGTAATTTGGGACGTCCAACTACCCATTCGTGGAGAGTCGGTAAGTTTTCTTAATTCCAAGTTAAGAAATTTGGTTGAACTACAATGGTATAATTCTTTAATCATAGAAATCATCGAGCCTGCCATCACCTTTATCCAGCCTTTGGCAGTTACAAATCACTATCCAACTGTGAGATGGAGCTCAACAACCAACATGTATTTTCACTGCTCATTGGACGAAGACACATACAAGCCGTGTGGTCAAGGACGTTCTGGTCAATGGACAGGAATTAATATGGCGGATGGATCGCACGTATTGAAGGTTCAGGGAACTGACCGTAATGGAAACATTCTTGTTTTTAAAACTCATACCTGGACTGTCAGTCGAGGTACGTAGGTTCTGTGGGATAGATTTAATATCATAATTTTTGTGAAGGCGACCACAACACTATCATCATATGTTCTTCAAAATCATATTTTTTAGTCAGTACACCAGCTCTTGACCTTATATTCGCACTGGATGGCTCTAGTATCTTGTCTTCACAACAGTTTAACAAGCTCAAGGGCAGCATAAAAAAAATACTGGATTCTTACACCATCTCACGCATAGCAACAAATGTTGGTGTGATTGAATTTAGTGATAGGACGAGCGAAGAAATTCGTCTGACGGACAGTTACGACAGAAATCTCATATACTCCATGATTGATGATATCAGGCAATCCCGAGGCAACCGAAGAGTTCTTGATGAAGTAATCAAGATGACTGCTAACGAGATGTTCGAGCGAAGTGGAAGAGTTGGAGCCTCGCGTGCTTTAGTCATACTTTCTTCAGGAAAATCAACCGGTTCAGAACCACTTACGGAAGCCATAAAACCACTACAGAAGAAAGGTGTTCGTGTGTATGTTGTAAGTATTGGTGACGAGGTCGATAAGGATGAACTTAAAAATGTGGTTCCAACAGAAGACAATATCTTCCCAACAACTCCGGAAAATCCTGATGAAGTTGTTGATAAAATTTCGCAAGTTATCAAGGAGGATGTTACAAAGAGTAAGTATTGTTTATCGTTTCAATTTATGATGAAGATCATCACAATGGAATATACTTAAGTTGTTTTTACCGCAATCAACTTTGCACAAGATGAAGCAAATACATCGAATGTTTTGTGAACGAGGGGATCAATATAGGACGATAACGCTTTTTACTTTGCTTTTTAGGACTTTCCAAAAACTTAGTGGATGTAATTTTGGTGGTGGGAGCTCTCACACAGCCCTCTTTCGATAAAGAGAAAGAAGCAATCCTGGAAATGGCTCGACAACAACAAAATACAAACCTTAACTATATCTATGGCGTTATACAGCATGGAGACGCCGCTGTTGTTAAGAAAAGTTTGAAAGACAGAATGAACAATGAAGATCTACAATCATTTGTTGGGTCATTGGTCATGGAAGAACCTGGTCGAGCGTTTCTAGATGCCATTCGGAAAGCAAAACTGTCATTCGAGCAGCACGGTAGGCCTAAGGCGAAAAAGGTTTTGGTTGTGTTCTCAGATGCAGGAGTCAACAGTTATCCGGTAAACATCCTTCAAGAACCCGGTGAGGAAATCCGCAAAGATGGTATTAAAATTATTGGAGTCACAGTTGATGATTCAGGAGGCGATCAGAACGATCGAATGGAACGATTAACAGGAAAGAAACCATTAAAGATAGATTCAGTTAGTGATGATAATTCTCCCGAAAACACTGGAAAGAAAGTCGCTGAACAAACTGTAACGGGTTAGTAATGAGTTATATCTAGGATGCGTAACATCTTATCAAACCAGAATGATTTATTACTTAACCAACTAGGAAGACTTTCTGCGTGGGAATCGCGTGATTTTAAGATGTAAATTTCCATTTAGATCCCTGTTTTGCTAAAGAATGCAAACCCAATTCCAAATGCCAAGAATACAGTGACGATTCCACCATTTGTGGTAAGTGAAGACATGGTTTTATGTGTAACAAAAGTCCTTCTTTCAGTAAATGTTTTTTATACAATCCACTGAACTTAAGAGAAAATCATAGAACATTTGATGAATTAATGCATTATTATCACATCTTTTTAGTGCCAATCGACGCTCTGGAGATTGTAGTTTTATTAGACGGCTCTAAATCTGTAAATGAGGAAGGTTTTGAAGAGTTAAAGGAGTTCGTAAAGAAGACGATAGACTCGTACGATGTCTCACCAGAAGGAACACACATCGCTGTGATCGAATTTAGCGACCAAGCAACGGTGACAATCCCACTTACTGAGTCGTTTAATCCTGACGTTCTCAAAAGTTTAGTTGACAAAATAAAACCTTCCAATGGTGAAGGAAGAAATGTAGACCGTGCCTTGGATATTGCCAGAGTTGAAGTATTGTCACCTAAAGGTGGAGTTCGTCCAGATATTCCCCGAGCTGTTGTGTTGGTTACCGCAGGGAAATCAACAGGACGTGTCTCAGTTGAGGATGCAGCAGAACCGTTGAAAAAAGATCGAGTAAATATCTATGTTGTTGGTATTGGAGATGATGTTGATCCGGAGGAGTTAGAAAAGATTGTTAAAAATACCAGCAATATCCATCAAGTTGACCAACCGGAAGATACCCCAGAAATTGTCAAGAAGATCGTGGATAACATCAAAAAAGATAAAGAAAATGGTTTGTTTGTTTGTTTCTTGTGTCGTATTGGAAGTGGTAAGGATGTCTTACAATTTTTATATCTCCATTTTTTTTGTCAATTTAGCCGCAAGAGAAGTTACACCAATGGATGTTGTTTTTGTTTTGGATGGATCTGAGAATATTGGCCAAACGGGTTTTGAAGAAATCAAAGATTTCGTGAAGCTCACTATTGATAAGTATGCAATTGGTGAAGGGAAGACTCGTGTTGCATTGTTAGAATATAGTGACACTGCTAGGGTTGTGTTTGACCTTGAAAAGTATTATACAAAACCACTTCTAAAGAAAGCCGTTGATGCAATCCTCCCTTCTCGTGGTCGAACTACGGACACAACAAAAGCTTTGAAGCTGGCGAACGATGCGCTTGACATAAAGAATGGTGGCAGACCGGGAGCAGCTAAGGTTATCATTTTGGCAACGAGCGAAACAGTGAAAGACAGAGAGCGTCTGGAAAGTGTCCTTGAAAAGACAAAGGCAACTAAAGGACGACTTTATGTTATTGGTATTGGAAATGAAAATGTGAATATCGGGGACGATGTGGTCAATGTTGATGATCCGAAAGATATCAGTGATGTTGTGGACGATATTGTGGAAAAAGTTAACAAGGATGTGAAGAAAGGTAAATATCGTCTCGCAGGCCAAATCCCGCTTGTACATAAAAAAACATTCAAAACAAAAAGCTTTGGATATTAGAATACTCTAGATAAACACAAACAAGGATCAAATTCTTACTAGTTACTCCATTGCTCTTATATAGACACCAAGGGTGAAAAGGCTGATATTGTGCTTGTCCTTGGAGCGTCTGATGATGAAAAATTAGAAGATACCAAAAACCTCGCCATAAAACTCATTGACATGATTCCAACGAAAGACACGCGATTTGCTGTAGTGCAATACGCGTCTTCCGCAATGATTATATCTGAGTTTTTACAATCTGATGAGAAACCCGTTCTTATTGAGAGAATTCGAGGAAGAGTTCGGTATGTCCGAGGCTCTAATGTTAACAGTGGAATGTTGCAAGCGAACAGCCTCCTGCAGAACTTCGGGAGATCAGATGCAAAACAGAAAATTGTATTGTTCACAAGTGGTCCATCTTCATCTGGGACTTCGCAACTGAGGAGTATTGCGGATTCTCTTCGAGATAAGAATGTGAAAGTGGTTGTGGTGACGGTTGGAGACAACGTTGATCAAAGAGTAGTAAGCACAGCAGGAACCGACAGCGACGTGGTCAATGTGTTACCTTCTGATGATGAAAATGATAAAGTCAAAACCGTCACTCAAGTTGTGTTAAAAGGTGCGATAAAATACTATTCTATAAAAATTACTTGCTCTGTGATAAAGTCGAGTTTTCTTTAGATACTCCATTTCTATAGCTGTCCAATATAACAGCAGCTTTTGTTTTTTTTTAGATCCTTGTTTCATCACGACTTGCAATTCATTCGAACAATGTGTTGCTTTGGCTAACGACAGCACTGTGTGTGAATGCCGAGAAAGATGCTCTGACTTAAAAGAAAAGTATTTCTGTGGTAGCGATGGCCGTTCGTATAAAAATCCTTGCGGCAACCGTTTGGTAAAGTGTCCAACTATTCCTGGTGTGAACTGGAAACATTCTGGGATGTGTGGTGAGCAATCAATCTCAACATTCAAGAAATATTGCATTTATATATTTTTTGGTAATTTGTTTTCCTTGTTTCTAGTTTCGGATTCCGCAGTTGACATTGCTATTCTTCTGGATGGATCGCAAAGCCTCAGCGAAGAAGATTTTGAAAAGCTCAAAAACTTCACAAAAACGCTGGTTGACAAGTATGGCGTTTCGAGGTCTGGACCTCACATTGCGGTGGTTGAATTCAGTAAGGAACCTGTCATTGCTATCAAACTTGATGATTACTCTGACGCAACGAGCTTGAAGAGGGCAATTGACAACATCAAACCATCTGGTAATGTACAAGTAAAGACAGACGAAGCGCTGAAAACCGTAGTTGACGAAGTCTTCAGTTTAGAATCAGGTGGACGGCCCTCTGTTCCAAAAATTGTCATTCTTGTAACCGATGATGAATCGACGGGAGACCGATCTTTAGAAGAAGTAAGAAAAGATGTCCAACGTGAAGGTGCTCGGGTGCTGGTGGTTACTATTGGACCGAATGTTGATAGAGATGACTTAAAGAAATTGGTGCCTAAAGATGATAATATCATCAGTGTCCCAGATGTCGATGATCTCAATAATATTACATCACAGGTTGTTGATGTTATCAAGACGGACACAGAAGAACGTAAGTAAACCGAAACAAAATTAACAGCAACACAAAGGGTTCGTTTCTTTTAGGAAGTGAGAAAGTGGTCCATTCCCCATTTCACAAGAGAGGGTCAATTTACTACAGATAATCTCCATCATTTAGATTTTATTTCGCCCATGAATCGATTTACAGTGACCAAACTATTTGTTTTAGGCACAGCAAGACGCTCTGCAGAAATTGCATTTGTGATTGGAGCAGACAACCCAGGTTCATTTGACCGTGCAAGAGATGTCGTGATCTCAATGATTGAATCGCCCAAAGATGTTGTAACAAGATATAGTATCGTAAAGTATGGCAAAGATTCAAAAGTGGTTGTAACTCCTGACGGCTACCAAGATAATTTAAAGCTATTAGACATTGTTAAAGATATGGAATGGCAGTCTAGAGGGATTAACATACTCGGTGCTGTGAATAAAGTTAGAAATATATTCAAAGAAAGTGGAAATCCTAAAGCGTTACGAAGAATGATAGTGTTCGTGGACAGTATTGCTGGTTATAACGAAATGAAGAATGTCAAAGAAGACGTCGAGAAAAAAGACGGCATCAAAATTGTCACTGTTATAGGAGATGAAGCAAGAGATGATGTTATCCCAGATGATGTCACCCCAGATGATCCATCCACTGTTATTGATGATCCAAATACTGATCTTGGAAACACTACTCTCCCAATCAGCAAAGTGGTATATAAAGGTGGGTAGATATAAAAGATTACCTGGTACTAGGACGATGGAAAGGTCTTTCTGGAGAAACAGAATTCCAATACCTCTAATTGCTTACCTGTGCTATATATTTGTGTTTATGTATTCTTTGTAAATTATAGATCCATGTTTTACAAGTCATTGTACCGATAGTCATATCTGCGTAGTTTTATCTGACGATTCAACAAAATGCGGTAAGTGTCTAAACTACGATTAATACAGTAAATAATAAAAATGTCAAACGTAAAATGTGTTCATTAACTATTCTTTTTTCCCCAGAACCTCGCGAAGTTCTTGACCTCGTGTTTGCCATCGACGGTTCTAACAGTTTGACTGACGATCAGTTCGATAGTTTAAAGGAAATAGTCAAACGTACGCTCAAAGATCACACTATCTCACGGTTGGACACCCACGTTTCAGTCATAGAATACAGCGATGAACCAGTGGTATCATTCTATCTTAATGATTCGTTTGATGCAAAGAAACTCAATGCAATGATCGACAAAATAGTTCCTTCGAAAGGTGAAAATGCCTTGGTTCACAAAGCAATGCAGAAGGCCGCTATCGACGTCTTTAGTGTCGGCAAGGGTGGAAGACCTGGAGCAGCAAAAGCTGTTGTCATAATAACTGATGGCGATTCCAGCAGTCCCAACGATCTTGACGTAGCTTCAAAATTGTTGAAAGATAGTGGAATTCGAGTATACGTAGTGACAGTAGGAGATGATAAGGGTAAAGATGGCATAAAAAAGATAGTAAATGTACCTGAGGATATATTTCCACCTGTTTCTCCTTCAGACCTGCCAATATCAAATGTTGGAACCCATGTTGGTGAAAAGCTCAAGAATGATGTAAAGAAAGGTAATTGAAATTGTAACAAAATCATAGCTTTGAAACAAGAATCAAGCTGAAGTTATTGAAAGATTTATATTCACTGTAGAATCATGCAGCATATTTATTGTACAGCATTGTTTCTTCACTGCAAGTTTTTGTCTTTTTATAGCGCGCTCATTCAACCTCCTTGATGTCGTATTTGTTCTTGGATCCAACACTCCGGAAGACTTTGAAAAAGCGAAGAATAGCATATTATCAATAGTCGAAACTCAAAGTAACAATGATCCAAATTATGGCGTCATTCAATACGACAATACTGTTTCCAAGAACATACCCATTGACCAATTCACAAACCTAGACCGATTTAAATCTCAAGTTAAGGAGCTAGTGTGGAGAAGCTCTGGGATCGTAGTGGAAAATGGGATTGATGCTGCTCGAAGCATGCTACTTGAAGAAGGCAGGCCTTTGGCTAGAAAGCAGATGGTCGTATTCACCGATGGGAACATACAATCAAATTCCTCTGACTTACAAGACAGTGTGGATGATGTGTCTGGGAATAATATAAGAATTTCTACAGTATTCTTCGGAAAACCAACGGATCAAACAAAAGTCTCTATACTTACTCCTAACGACAAAGATCCATCTGTTATCTTACCGAATGATGATGGTGAAAAGGTTGGACCTGAAGTCACTACAAAAGTCTTCAAAGGTGTGTACGTGTTTCCATGAGAAGAATGATAGCGGGGCCCTTATCATCTTTAGTGAAATGAATGACAGACTATTATAACAGTGTTTTTCATCCTTGTTTCTCTTTAGATCCATGTATGTCTAAAGAATGTGGCAGCGCAAGAAAATGTTTAGTGACTGGGAATAATGATGCTGTTTGTGGTATGATTCTTCATGCTTTCTTCCACCATTACCGCTTTTAGATAGTTTGAGTATATTTATTTAGGCACTCTTTTTGAAGGTGAAATATGAAATCATAAAAGCAGTAATTTTTGTTTTAGTTTCATCACACGTCCTGGATCTTGTCTTTGCTTTGGATGGTTCGGAGAGTTTAACAAAGGATGAATTCGAAAACTTGAAAGAGTTCGTCATCAAATCATTGCCTAGCTACAGCATTTCTCGGGAGAAGACTCGTGTTGGTGTTATTGAGTATAGCGATGAAGTTTCTATTAAGTTGCCATTACACCAGTATTTTACTGTCAAACAAATTACGGAAGCAATAAGAGCTATTGAGCCATCAAGGGGACAACAAGTTGTGACCGACAAAGCCCTAAAAACAGCTGCAGACGATGTGTTTAGTATAACCTCAGGAGGCCGACCAGGTGCTGCGAAAGTTCTTGTGGTGTTAACTGATGATGCATCCACTGGAAATCAAGCAATAAGCGAAGCTGTAGTACCTCTAAAGAAGGCAGGCATACAAATTCATATCGTAGCTATTGGTAACAGAGTCCCACGAAAGGAACAGGAGGACATAACCTCCGGAGATGAAAATATTCACGTTGTCCCGAGACCGGACGAAGTGCCGGGAAAAGCTGGTGATGTTGCGGATGTTGTTGATAAAGCTATCCAAAATCGTAAGTGAAGTTGATTCAGTTATCTACACTGCCGGTTAAGCCTTGATGGCTAGAAGAGAGAGATTTGGATAGTAAAAGATTAAGGAGATAAATATCCTTAATAAGTTAAACAACAATAGCATAACCCGCTCCTTCTATTTTGTAGGAAATGCTAAGAACCTAATCGATATCGTTTACATCCTTGGTTCTAATGGCAACAAAGCTCGAGAGATTTTCAATAAAGAGAAAGATATCATAAATGAAATGTTGGAAAAAGGATCAAATGCGAACATCAAATACAGTATCATTCAGTACGGTCAAGAGCCTGAAGTCAAGGCACGATTTTCGTATTTGTCTCGACCTGAGGACGTAAAGCGTCTTCTTGAGCAGTTAGAGTGGGAAAATGAGGGTGTAAATATCGATAAAAGTCTTAAGGTTGCCTCAGACCTAATCAAATCTGACTCGCGTCGTGATTCTAAGAAGGTGGTAGTGGTATTCACGGGAGAAGCAGTTCAACCTACAAGTGAAAATCTCAGTGACGCAATTGAAAGTCTTGCACGGGATGGAGTTAAGATTATTCCTGTCGTTGTTGGCAGTTCACCAGATCCAAGCACGTTTGACAGTTTGAAACCAAATATCCAACAACCAATCACGGGAGGACTTGATGAAAACCCTAGTAGACCTGCTGATAAGGTTGGAAAAGGTGTATTTACAGGTAAATTTTGGAGACATTAATTTTAGGTTGAAAATCTGATGCAAAATTTGAACCTGGAAGTAAAGTGTGTATTTTTGTGTTCTAGATCCATGCTTTGCGACTGAATGTGATGAAATTAGCGTATGCCGAAATGAAAAATGTGGTAAGCATGAATTTTTTTCTAATATATATCTAATTACCCAAACTTAATTTCTTTTATAACGAAAATGTATGATGAAAAATCTTTTGTAATGTTGAATTCTTTTCATAGAACCAGTTGAAGTTGTTGATGTCGTGATTGCTCTGGATGGTTCATCAGACCTGGATCCAAGTGATTTTAAAAAACTTAAACAGTTGGCTAAAAACATCATTGACAAATACACAATCTCTGAACGTGGTACTCATGTAGGAATCATTGAGTACAGCGATGGTATTCGTGTTAAAATACCTCTTGATGCCACTCACGATCCGACACAGCTGAAAAGACTTTTAGATCATATAACACCATCCCAGGGAATTCAACGATTCACAGCGAAAGCATTATCCAAGGCTGCCAAGCAAGTATTCCCTGCATCATTCGGTGGAAGGCCAGGAGCTCACCGTGTTCTTATTGTGGTAACCGCTGGACCAAGTTCAGACACTGAGGATATTGACAGTTCTATTGACGAGACGAAAAAATCTGGAGTTGATGTGTTTATCGTAACAGTCAGAGAAGGAGAAGAGGATGCTGGAAAGATTGTACCTGATAGTAATCTTGTGGTTGTCAAAACTATTCATGATCTACCATCCGCTGCTGATGAGCTGGACAAGGTTATTAAAGATTCTATAGACAAAAGTAAGTCCAAATTCGGATGTATTCGACCTTCTCTAATTTTTAGTACTAAGATTGGATACACCATCTTCCAAAATGTTTTACATCTTGCATTTATTTTAGGAGAAGAACAAGACCTTCTTGATGTCGTGTTTGTCGTGGGTTCCTCTAACCTTCTATCCTTCTTGGAGTACAGAGACCTCATAATAGCCACCTTGAAAACACCACAGACAAAAGACAATAGATACGGTGTCATAACATACAGTTCATCACCCACAGTTTTTCTCAGTTTAGACGACTTTGTCTCAAAACAAGACTTGATTGACCGCTTAAGAAATGTACCCTGGCTAGGAGCCGGTTCAGATCTTGACGGAGCCTTACGAAAAGCCGACGAGGTCTTTATGAACGAGGGAAGGATACGAGCTCGTAAAGTTCTAGTTGTTTACGGTGATGGTCCTTTCACTGATACTGTGGATGAATTAAGAAATCTAACGGAATCGCTACAAGAAAAAAATATTAAGATAATCACTGTGACGAATACGGATAACGATGACAGCAAAAAGAAACTGGATGAAGTGACGAGCTCTGATGAAGGGCCTGTTATAGTTAATCCTGGAAGACCAGAAGAATCAAAAGATACCGTAAATGAAAAAGTACTGAAAGGTACGCTAGATTCATGAATCTCTGTCTAAACAGTCTTAATTTTATTACAGATATAATAATATTCACTAATGTATTTGGGCATTCTGTTTTTTCCCTAACAGATCCTTGCTCTGCTGGAGTTTGTGGAAACAACATGCGATGTGTTGCAAGACCAAATGATCAAACTACTTGTGGTAAGTCGAAGTTTATCTTACCCGAAGATTTATTTGAAACAAGTTCATTAATATGCTTTTCAACTATGAAAAAAATTCATCTTGTTTAGCTCGGCAAGACGTTGTGGACATCGTGTTTGCATTGGATGGTTCTCGTCCTCTTACCAGTGAACAATTCTCGAAACTTAAAGAAGCCATATTGAACATGCTCAAGAGATACAAAGTTTCAGAGAAGGATACTCATGTGGGAATTATTGAATTTAGTTCCTCTGTGAAAATTGTATCACGTCTAAATAATGATAACACCATTGCAAGAATCAAAGATATTCTTTCGGCATTACAACCATCCAGAGGTTCTGCAAGAGTCACGGACGAGGCTCTTCAAGTTGCTTCCAAAAAGCTGTTTGATATTTCAGCTGGAGGTCGTTCAGGAGCGTCAAAAGTTTTAATTATCCTTACCCATGGTAAATCGACAGGAGATATACCACCAGCTGAAGCAGCCAAGCCCCTCAAGGAACGTGGTGTTAATGTTTTTGTGGTGAACATTGGTCCTAATTCAGATCCTAAGGAGGCTGGAGAGATAGCAACGTCTGGTGGACATGTTATACCTGTTGATAATCCGGACGAGACTCCTGAAGCTATGGGAAAAGTTGCAGATAAACTTCAAAAGGACTTAAGCAAAGGTAAAGTTATCATTCTTCTTTGTGTTTCCATTCAAGATGAACATTTACTGATAAGCTTTATAAGATAGGATAAGCTACGACGCTCACCTATGATCGAAGATTACTGACCTGTGCTAACTTGAAGCTTTCTTATTTGCATAGGAACTAATCTGGTGGATGTAGTCTTACTTCTGGGCACAAATGAAATGAATATACCTCAAGATGATGAAAAATTGAAACAACTTCTTCTATCTTCCATCGACCAACCCTCTAGTGCTAATGTCAGAGTTGCTATTATTCGCCCACGAAATGATAAAATGGCGTTCCGAGAATTCCAAGACTTTAAGGATACCATTGATCTTGTCACCTTCACCAAAACGTTGGATACAAAGAAACCAGACGAAGCCTCGGTTATTATATTCAAAGAAAATGGTCGGCCAACCGCCAGGAGACTCATAATTCTGTTTGTCAACGGTACATCGTTGCCCAGCGAGGAATTGATCACGCAGTGGAATAAAACATTCGTGGAAAATGATGTTGTTGTCATACCTGTTGTGTTTGGTAGTCCTGGTGATGGTGATAGACTTTTACCAATTGCACCTGATAGTGGTATCCATACCTTGGAGCCAGACGACGATCCAGTGAAGAAGGGAGAACAGATAGCACAAGATGTCGTTAAAGGTAAGTTTAGATATTCATTTACGGAACTGATTGATTCGACTTGATTGAAAGATATCAACTTTATTCTCAACCCTGTTTAATTTTAGATCCATGCTTCGCAGTAACGTGTGCTGATAGTCAACTCTGTAAACAAGGCGTGTGTGGTATGTATCATTTGAATAAACATTCTTATAACTCTCTCCCAATTTATGCTTATTCAATTACCGTCTATTTTACAGTTTCTGTTCCCATCGTGGATCTTGTATTTGCTTTGGATGGATCTGATACTCTCACTTCGCGACAGTTTAAAAATCTCAAAAATACAATAAAGAAAATCCTTGATTCTTACGTCATCTCGCGTTCAGCAACGCACGTTGGTGTGATTGAGTTTAGTGATAAGAGCAACGAGAAGATTCGACTGACAGACAGTTACGACAGGAATGTCATATACTCTAAGATCGATGAAATCGAGCAGTCAATGGGAAAGCTCAGAGTTACCGACGAAGCGCTCAAGATGGCCGCTAACAAAATGTTTAGTGTTGATTCTGGTGGTAGACCAGGGGCATCTCGAGCTCTGGTAGTACTTACTGCAGGGGAATCAACTGGTCAGCAGCCATTGCCAGATGCTATAAAACCGCTTGAAAACCAAGGTGTTCGTGTTTATGTTGTCAGTGTTGGGGACAAGGTCGATGAAAAAGAGATTGATTCAATCGTTCCCCCAAATCAAGTTTTCCCAACAACGCCTGATAATCCCCAAGATGTTGTGTTGAGGATCGTGAAGACAATCAACAAGGATGTAGATGATAGTAAGTAACTCTTGAAGTTAAGATTGTTGCTGCAAAATATCTTGTTTCGGCGTCGTAGTGGCAATTCTTTCTGGCGAACTTCATTGTCTCTCTCCCCTAAAGCATTCTTCATTTTTTGATAGAAATTAAAGAAAGCCTCGTCGATGTCATTGTGGTTATTGGAAGCAGTTCTAGCGAAAACTTTAACAAACAAACGGAAACCGTACACGAGGTTAGCAAACAAGAGACGAACTCTGATGTAATCTATGGAGTTATTCAATACGGGGAGAAAGCCGAAGTGAAGAAGAGCTTGCAAGAGAAAATGAATAAAGAAGCCCTACAACAATTCCTACCTTCTCTATCCTGGGAAGAAGCTGGCAAAGCTCTTCTCGAGGGTCTTCAACTGGCCAATGAAACATTCGTAAATTACGGTCGTCCTAATGCTAGAAGATTGCTTCTGGTATTTGCTGATCAACCTTGGAACGACTCTATGGCTGTTGATGATATTGGAGAGAAACTACGGAAGGCAGGTGTCAAGATAGTCCCAGTGTCAGTGGGAAATAGAAGCGATGATAAGATGTTGAGAGAACTGGCTGGAAAGAAACCTCTGAAGGTTAATGAAGACAATGAACCGCGCAGAACGGGAAAGAAAGTCTCCGAAGAAATAATGAAAGGTAATGAACTTAAACAGAACACTTCCTCCTATCTGAATCTTAGAAGAAAAGATCATTCTGGTGTTGTAGTAATCGGTTAGGAATACCTTGATGTACCTCCAATCTCTAAATAGTTAGATTCTCTAAATATCCAGTTAGCCTTACTCACATTTGCCAGGTCATGATCATAGTATATTTTATTTTCAGATCCATGCTTCTCGAAAGTTTGTGGATCAAATTCACAATGCAAACTCGAACCGGATGACTCTGCAATTTGTGGTAAGTCTTTTGAAGTTGTTTATGCTGTGATTTTCAGAGAAAGAGTTGTAAACTCGCGATTTTCGTTAAATATAGTTCCTGTGGATACAATTGATATTGGCTTCATTCTGGACGGTTCTGAATCGCTTGGAGAGGACGGTTTTGAGGAAGTCAAAAAGTTTGTAAGAGATATGATTGACTCATACGAGATTTCAAGCAAAGGAACTCATGTTGGTATTGTAGAGTTTAGCGAGAGAGCAAGAGTTGTAATTCCGTTTGATAAGACGTTTGACTCAGAAGAACTAAAACGTCTTGTAAATGAAACGAAACCCTCGAATGAGAAAGCGAGAAATGCCGACATTGCGTTTGAATTGGCAAAGAAGAAATTGTTCTCTGAGAAAAGCGGATCTCGTCCTAGCGTACCTCGTTTGGTGATCTTTGTAACCTCTGGCAAATCAACTGGTCGTACGCCAATGAGGGACGTCGTTGAGCCGTTCAGGAAAACTGGGATGAGGGTGTATGTTGTTACTGTTGGAAACCAGACTGATCCGGAAGAAGTTGCTGACACTGTGTCTGATGGGAACGGGATTATACCAACAGATGAACCGCAAGATTTACCTAGCATGACTTCTACTGTCGTGGACAAGATTGGCAGTGATATTAGGAGAAGTACGAATGGATATTTTACTTCATTTTTATTTCCTTCTAATTTACCAAAATGTCCATTAACACCATAAGAACTGGGAGAGTGTAAAAGATATGTTAAAACTTCTGTTTTTGTCTAACTTTTAGATAAGAAGAGAAAGGAAAAGATTGACATCATAATCGCATTTGGTTCACAAGGAAAGAATGCACTGCCTCTGATGGAAAAAGAAAAGTCCATTGCCACTGCTAAGATCGATTCTATTGAAGATTCAAGTGATATAAGATATGGTTTGATAAATTATGCTGACTTTGCAGGCATTTATTCAAAACTTGGAGAATTCAAAACGCCTGTTGAAACAAAAGATGCAATAAGGAACATGCCATGGGCGGGTGATGGAACTGCTCTTAATGACGCCATATCACGAGCTACCAACGAATTCCGGGAAAACGGAAGACCTGAGGCATACAAAATATTCATTGTTTTTGTTACTGGTCCAGCAGTTGCAAGTCCTGAAAAATTGAACATGTCTGCTCAAGAATTGTTCGATCTCAATGTTCGTGTAATACCAGTCTTGCTGGGCGATGATAGTGACGAGGAACAAGTCAAGAATATTGTATTAGATCCAAAAGATATTGTCACGTCTCCAGAAGAAGACGAGCCTACTTCTGTTGCAAAAGATATTGATGATATCATTGCACAAGGTACGTCCCTGTTTTGTGCCATTGATCTTATACGTGATTGTTTGGATTACAAACAGTGTTCACATGTTTATTTTCTAAAACGTGTTTCCTTTGCAGATCCATGTGACACTGTAAGCTGCAAGTATTACAGTACCTGTCGTCTCGGTCCAAATCATGCCGCGAACTGCGTTTGCCAGAAATCATGTTCCGAGAGCAAGGAACCTGTGTGCGGAAGTGACGGGAAAACTTACAACAATGATTGCCTCATGAAACAGAACTCGTGTAATAAACGTGTGGATATTCGTCTAACTGTTAGAGCTCCTTGTGGTAAGTCATAGTTTTTGTACTGTTTTGAATGACATCTTTTAAACGTTTCCAAACCTTTTGTTGTGATGCCATTTCGAGGGTGTCTTCACAAGAAGCCAAACGTCGTGAACGTTCTAATAATTTCTTTATTTTTTTTTCAGCATCAGTTCTTGACCTAGTCTTCGCCATCGACGGCTCGGACAGTCTCCTACCAGAACAGTTTAACCACTTAAAGCAAATGATCAAAGAAATGATTGACGAATATACTATTTCTTCAGATGCAACCCGAGTTGGTGTTTTAGAGTACAGTGATGAAGTTAGTGTTGAAATAAACCTGGGCGACTACAACAAAGCGTGGAAACTCAAAGATGCTGTGGATAAAATAGAGCCTTCTAATAACAAGGGTGCTGTGACAGATGAAGTACTACGAAAGGCGGCTGAGGAAGTCTTCAATCCAGAGAAAGGTTAGAATATATTCCAATTACCAGGGCTGGTTGTGTTAAAATGACCTACCCTATTCCATTCTACAAGTTCTTGAATTTTATAATTATCTTCTAGGGGGTAGGGCTGGTTCCTCAAAGGCCTTAATCATAGTCACGGATGATAAATCTAGTGGTAAAGTGCCTGTTAAAGAAGCGGCTAAGCCATTACATGATAAAGGAGTCAGAATTTATGTCATAAACATCCGACCAAAGCCAGATGAAGAAGAAACCAAAGACATAGTACCTGATGAAAACAACATCATGACACCAAAAACTACTGATGATGTTCCATCACTTGTACCTGGGTTAGTTAAAAAGATAACAGATGACGTGAATGACCGTAAGTTCTGGTTATATCTTTCTTCAAACAATATCGCACAAACAACTACTCTTTCTATCCTATTTGCCTCATCATGGTTGCCTCTTTTGCAGGGCTTGGGAAGAAATTGCTTGATGTGATATTTGTGCTTGGATCGAGCGGTCTACGTGGTAGTGATGACTTAGAAACGCAAAAGATGGCGGTAAAGAATTTCATAAATACCCAAAAGATTGCGGATGTAATTTATGGTATTATTTACTACGGTAAAACACCCGTGGTTCTTCTTCCACTAACGGGTAGATCCCGTGATCCCGAACTCAATGACATTCTAACGAGAATTACTTGGAAAGATGAAGGCGAGAGCTTGCCAGAAGCACTGGAAAAGGCCAATGATATGTTTAAGAAGGAAGGCCGACCTCTCTCAAGGAAGGTCTTGGTCTTCTTTACAAATGAAAATCCGCAGCGTCCTTTGCACAACTCCTCGATAGTTTTAAAAGACAACGATGTTAAAGTGATTCCTGTTGCCGTCGGTAATGCAGTTGATCCTGATAGTCTGAGGAAAGCCAGTCCAAAGGATGTGGTGGTTGTTGTAAATACAGGAGGAAAGCCCGAAGAAGGAAAACCAACTATCGAGGAAGAAGCTTTAAATGGTAATTTTAGAATTATAAATATCAAATTCAATGTATACTATGGTTTCATGATATACGTAAAAATATCTTTAAAATCTATTTGAGGTGCTTTGAGGATGACATATTGATTGTAGGAACTAATTCTTTTAGATCCATGCTTTAACAAGAATTGTGAGCTGTACGAAAGTTGTGTTGTTAAAGCTGACGATACGACAATATGTGGTAAGTGTGTAATCGTGAGATGGGATTAAAAGTTGCTGAAAGCAAGAGTTTCGTGTTTAGACTAAATTAAATGTTGTTCATTCTCCTGTAGATGCAATTCCAGTTCTCGACCTGGTCTTTGCTTTGGATGGATCTGATAGTTTAACGGAAGAACAATTTACCCAGATGAAAGAACTTGTGGAGAATATGATAAAGAAATATCCAGTATCGAAGCATGGCACACACCTAGCAATCTTAGAATACAGCACAGGTGTAACAGTGCACGTTCCCCTCGACTCCGGCTTTGAACAAAGTGAACTGTTAGATGCTTTACAAAACCTCCAGCCTTCGCGAGGATCCAGAGTCAACGTTGAAAAACTGCTGAAGGTTGTATCGACTGTATTCAGTTTCAAAAATGGTGGTAGACCTTCAGCTCTCAGGATGTTGGTTCTGTTAACCGATGAGAAACCAAATAAGGACTTAACCGAAGTGGCTAAACCGTTAAAGCAATCTGGAGTTAGAGTGTATGTCGTTACTGTGGGTGATAACGTTTCTCCCGATGATTACGTTGATGTTACACCAGGAGACTCCACAACGTATCCAGCAAACTCAACGGATGAAGTACCAAGCTTATCAGGAAGAATTGAGACTGACATTACTAAAGTTGCTAGAGAAGGTAAATGAAAAAATTATGGTGTCCGTTACACATGATGATGATCATTATCATAACTAATGATCACTTTAATTTATTGAAATTTAGTTCGTGACAGAAGTAAAATTGATGTGATTTTCGTGATGGGTAGCTCAGAACCGGATGCTCAGAATGCATTCAATGAACAAAAAGATATTGTCAATAAGATCATCAGAGATAATGAACCGAAGGACGTCAAGTATTCCCTTATTCAATACGAAAGCGAGGGAAGGAAACTTTCAGGATTTAACGATTTTACAGACGTCTCGAAATTCAAGAGGTTTGTTGAGATTTTGACTTGGAAAGGTGATGCTGTTGGTCTTGAAGATGCCCTAAAGAAAGCGAATAGTTTGTTTAAGAATGAAGGGCGACCATTCTCAAAACGAGTGTTGGTAGTGTTCACAGATGGTCGTGTTGATAGCTCGTCAGCTGCGCTTGAAAAAGTGGTGGAACCCCTGAAAGATAAGAATGTTAAGATTATCCCAGTTGTGTTGAAAGAACCTGTTGATGAATCAATTGTTAAAATTCTGCTTCCCAAAGGCAAGGAGCCTGTAAGCAAATCCAACGACACAGACGACAATGTAAAAGAGGAAATGTATAAAGGTAGAGTTCACTGCATCTTCACTGCATCTTCACTGCATCTTCTTTTTTTTCTAACACTTTCTCTTCGCTCATCTGTGGTTAGATTCTTCTTGTTAGATTTCCTTTTTGCTTTCTAGATCCATGTTTTACCAAATTATGTCAAAGCAATCAAAGATGTGTTGTTTTATCAACTGATGAGACACAATGTGGTAAGTGCTTTCCATTAATAACCGACTAATGACATTTCCATTTGTTATCGTTTCCTTAGAGAAAATAGAGAACATAAATTTCCACTCACTCGTTCATATTTTTAATTTTAGTTCCGGTTGAAGAGATTGACTTGGTTTTTGCTATACATGGTTCTTCTCCTCTAAAGCAAGATGGTTTTGAAGATGTGAAGATGTTGATTAAAAACATCATTGATTACTATGATATATCCGAACCTGGTACTCATGTCTCTATTCTTGAGTACAGCAAGAAACCTGTTGTCTTGTTTAAGTTTGACAAAACATATGAAGTGGAAGAATTGAAGAAGCTGGTGGACAAGATGAAACCTTCTGGTGCGGCTGAAACTGTTACAGGGGATGCAATTGAGAAAGCTGGAAAAGAACTTTTTGGTGTTAAGAATGGTGGTCGGCCGTCAGCCAGTAAAGTTTTGGTAATTATAACCGATAGTTCATCTACAAGTGGGACGCCACCAAGTGAAGCAATTAAACCATTGAAAGAAGCTGGTGTGATCACGTATGTTATCAATATTGGTGGTAAACCTAGTTCGAAAGAAGCTGAAGAAATAACTGAACCTGGTAATGTCATCACTCCAGAGGATAAAGAGAGCATTCCTGATGAGGCAACGAAGATTGTGAAGAAAATTAACAAGAAGATTGATGACAAACGTAAGTTTCTTTCGTGAATAGTAGATTGTTGGTGAGAATGATGTACATTTGTAATCAAACCGTTTATTCATCCAATTTTGTTTGTTTCATTGCTTGTTAAATTTATAATCATTGTCCTAAAATCTATCCTAGGGAAAGAGCCTAACGAGATTGATATTGTATTCCTAATTGGGGCAAGCAATCCTGGTGGAACGCGCCATATTGTGAACGAAAAGCGACTGATTGAGGAGATTGTCCAAAGAAACAGCACGCCAACAACAAGGTTTGCAATCGTCCAGTACGAAAACACCGCAACAATTCGACGGTCGCTGAATGATTACACCAACACTGAGACATTCATCCATATCCTGAACACGCTTGATTGGAGAGGAGACGCCACTAATCTGGAATCTGGGCTTGCAAAAGTGAAGATCCTGTTCGAGAAGGAAGGAAAACCAAACGCAAGAAAAATCTTAGTTGTTTTATCTGACGGAAAATTGCCAGTCGATGTCAAGGATATTGCAGGTTTAAAAAAGCCTTTAGAGGAACAAGATGTAAAGATAATATCAGTTACGGTTGGTGATAATGTTGATGAAGATAAGTTTAATGAACTTTCGAGTAAAAACAAAACGATCCAACACGATGATGAACGAAAATCCAAGGATACTGCTGATAGAATAGACGAGGAGATTTTGAAAGGTTTGTTTGTTTTGAAAACGCTTTGAAGATCCTTTTGCATGTGCTTAGATTTAGAAAGTCTTTTGTTCCGTTCGTCCAAGCTCAAACGTTCCTTCGATTTTCAGATCCATGCAATTCTAAACAATGTGACGAAAAAGAACGCTGCGAGGTGAAATTTGACGATACAACGTCTTGTGGTAAGATTGATTTAATGAATTTCTTCTACCTGGTTTCAATGCATGCCAATTGACCTAACTCTCGCTGTTTGCGTTTTAGCTCCTCGCGAATTCCTAGACATTGTGTTTGCCATGGACGGTTCCAACAGTTTGACCATTGAACAGTTTAACAATCTTAAAACTTACGTGAAAGAAACCATCAAGAAGTTTTCAGTATCAAAAGACGAAACTCATGTTGGATTGATAGAATACAGTGATACAGTCAAAGTTTTATTGAAACTAAATGAGATCTTTGATAAAGATTCGTTGAATGCCCTTGTTGACAGGATCACGCCATCCCGTGGGTCGAGAGCAGTCACTGATAAAGTTTTGGCGGATGCAGCAGATGTGATCTTTAGTGTAAACAAAGGTGGAAGACCTGGGGCTAGTAAAATCTTGATTATACTGACTGATGAGAGTGTACCAGGTAATTTTGTAATGATTTATAAAAATAGCAATATACAATGAATTCTTCTTCAATCCAGTTGTTTGCTGCCCATAATTGTGGTAGATACTTATTGTGGTGAAGTAATTGTTTTGTTTTGTTATTCCCAGGTAAAAAGCCTGCTAAAAAGCTGGTGGAACCACTGAAAAAATCTGGAGTTCGTGTCTACGTGGTTACAACTGGAGATAAAACAAGCAGTGATGAATATGAAGATGTCGTTCCGAATGAGGAGAACGCAAAGCATGTTCCAGATACAAACGATCTTCCCAATCTCGCACCGTCCATTGTAGAAAACATCAAGAAATATATCAAAAAACGTAAGTTTGATAACCGCGTAAATAGCTAAATTCATTAAACAGATTTTCGTGTAATTTTTTGCATAACTGAAAAAAGAATACTTCAATTTGTTTCGTAGGAAAACCTCACGACATGTTAGATATTGTGTTTGTACTTGGATCAAGACCACCAAATGCATCCGAGATATTTAAAGAACAACAGAACATTGCGGATGCGATGATAAATGAGCCAAAGACGGCTGATACATCATACTCTATAGTTCAATACGGTAAGACAGCTGTACTACGGGCTCGTTTTGACACATCGCGTTCAGATGAAGATACTGTAACACTCCTGAAATCGTTGCGCTGGTTTGAAGATGGAACTGCTCTTGAGGAAGGAATTAAAGCTGCGGGTGACGCTCACGATCAAGATGGACGTATTAATGCCAGGAAAGTTGTCGTGGTGTTTTCAAATGGCCCCGTTGCGCCATCAGAAATAAAACTAAAGGATGTGTTGGATCCTTTAGAAGAGAAGGGCATCAAAGTGATTTCTGTAGTACTAGGTGATATCGTGGATCCAAAACTGAACATAATTGAAAAGGTTATCAAACCTCAGGAAGACGAAGAGGATCCTAACGGACCTGTCAAAGAGCAAGCATTCAAAGGTAAGTGATGCTGGGCATATGCGACTTGTAAAGATTACCTGTTTCATAATAATTCCATTGTGTGAAAGAACCAGTGTTCAATTACTTGAATTAACTTCCTCTTCAGATCCATGCTCTGCTGAGGAATGTACACCGAGTGAAAGATGTCATGTGAATTATGGCGATAAAGCATTATGCGGTAAGTTGAGTAGAGAGTGTATGATTTTCTATCTTCACATAGATTTTCATGCATGATTTTCCGGTTATTTAGTTCCAGCCGAGGTTGTTGATCTGGTGATTGCATTGGATGGTTCGGAAACTTTAAAACAATATGGATTTGACAAGATAAAAGAGCTTGCGAAGAACGTCCTGAAACGATTTATGATCTCGAAGCGCGCAACACATGTTGGACTTCTAGAATTCAGCAATGAAGTCACTCGTGTGCTACGTCTGAATGAGCTTTATGATGTAAATGAAATTAAAGGTGTTATAGACCGCATTAGTCCTTCCGGTGGTGATGGAACAGCAACGGATGAACTGCTCAAAGAAGCAGCCAATGAAATGTTTGCAGTGCCTTCGGGTGGCCGAGCTGATGCAGAGAAGGTTTTGATATTGATCACAGACAGTAAGTCAACTGGAAAAGACTCACTCAAGGTTGCCGTGAAACCTGTTCACGAGAAAGGAGTTCTGGTGTATGTTGTGGATATAGGAGACAAAACAGATCCTAAAGAGCTTCGTGACCTCACACCCAGTGAGAGAGAGGTGAAGAAAGTGAAAAATCCGGATGATGCGCCTAAAATCTCAGATGATATTGTCGATGATATTCAAAGGGCTCTGAAAGAAAGTACGTATAATGATTCAAAGAAGTTTCTAAGATAAAATTTTTAGTAATATATGGTTATGATCTTGCTTGTTTAGGAGTTAATGAAAAAACGAAAGACGTTGTGTTCTTGGTTGGCGGCAGTTCAGTCTATCATTACAACACAGCAATGGAACTTCTACCGAAAATTGTTCAAGGACAACAATCTTCAGATACATTGTTTGCATTAATCAGATATGCCAGCGTAGCAAGTCTTGAAGTTCCTTTCCAAACGAAAGATAACTTTACAAGAAATATTGCTGATATTTACTGGACTGGAAAGGGAGAAACCTTGAAGGATGGCTTAGATTTAGTATCCACTGTCTTCGTTGAATATGGTCGTCTTGATTCAGAGAGGGTTCTTGTTGTATTTGCTAGTAATAATGATGAAACTCCATCTAGTGAACTTATCAAAAGCAATGTGAATTTAACGAAGAATGGGATCAAGGTTGTTCCAGTTGTGATTGGTGAACCAGGTAAAGACAATAAACTGACGGACATTCATCCGAAGAAAAAAATGCCGTTGGTTATTAAACCAGGAGATGATCCAAAAGACGGTTCAGATAAAATTAGTGAAGTTGTCTTTAAAGGTGTGTATAATCTTGTCCTGGTAGATGTTGTTTCCTATATTGATATTAGTAGCCGTAAGAGCGGGCTTGTCCATGATGCCTGTGTTCATAATTTCCTTCTCATAACTTTGCATAGATCCATGCTTTGCGAAGAAATGCGAAAACAATGCAAAATGTAAACCATTACCAGATGATCAAACTGTTTGCAGTAAGTACTGTAAAAAGACATGTTTCCGTCACTGTCAAAGTGTTCATAGAAACTCAATCTATGCTTATATTCGTTTTAGTTCCCCAAGAGGCTGTTGACGTGGTGTTTGCTATAGATGGCTCTGAATCTTTGAAGAACGATTTTGATTACATAAAAAAACTGGTGGTGAGAATGCTCGACCGTTACAAGATTTCACCAGATGACTCTCATGTTGGCGTTCTCGAGTTCAGCGATTCAACAACCACAGAAATACGTCTGGATGCGGCATATGATGTGGCAACCTTGAAGAAAATTGTCTCTGAAATTAGACCTTCAGAGGGTGAGAATGTTAATATCGACAAAGCTCTTCATGAGGCGAGGAGGATGTTTACAGTAAAATACGGTGGCAGAGCTGGTTATCCAAAAATATTACTTCTCATTACTGGATCTAAGTCAGATGGAACGGAGTCTTTGAAAGAAGCAGTTCAACTTTTGAAACAAGAAGGAATACAGTTGGTAGTTATTGCTGTGGGAAATAACACCGATCCCGAACTACCTGCAGTTACACCACATGTTGACAAGGTCGATGATCCGGAAGACTTACCAGAGAAGGCTGACGATCTAGTCGATAAGATCAATAATGAAGTGGAAGAAGGTTCGTTGATTGGATCATTTGAATAACTAGTGATCTTGTTTCCCACTCTGCCCCACATCTTTCTGACAGTTCTATACAGCCTTTCTATGAAAATTATCTTTTCGTTTTATTTCTTAGAACAAAAGAAAAAGAAGAATGTCTTGGTGGATGTCATCTTCGCTCTTGGCTCGATGGGCAAGGATGCCGAGTTACTCTTTGAACGTCAAAAAAAAATAACATCGAGTAAGATTGACAAACAAACGTTCCCTGATACCAAATATGGTCTTATTGTCTACGGTGATAGCGCGAAAACGCAGCTGACGATCAATAATGATCTGAGCAACAATGAAGTAAAGAATCAGGTGAAAGAACTCACTTGGACCTCAGCAGGAACTCGACTCAACCTCGCACTGACTAGAGCTTACGGTACGTTAACTTGGTATGACATTTCTATGTGATATTAAGAATTTTCCTTAAATGTTATCGTTGTTATTTAAACTACATTCTCTCTTAGCTATGTTTAAAAAGGACGGTCGCTCAGGCGCACGACGACAGTTAATCATATTCATCACTGGGAAGGACGATACCATAACAGACGAAGTGAGGAATGCCGCCGAGAAACTTGAAGAGTTGGACGTGAAAGTGATCTATATTAAAATGGGAGATGTGGATGACTTCAGTCATCCGCCTAGTAAGAATGTTATCACTGATCGTGGAACTGACGAACCCGATAAAGTGGCCGAATTTGTTTCCGAGAAGTCTGACAAAAGTAAGTGTTGATTGTAATATATAAAGGTACAATCAGTTTGGAAGCAGTATTGGAGTCATTCTCTGTCAGTAACTCAATGAACCGTGCACGATCAAACAATCTTTTATTCATAGATCCATGTGCAGCTGTAAACTGTAAAAATTACGCTGAATGTAAAGTTTCATCTGACGACCAAACAGGATGTTTATGCCGAAAGACTTGTGGCAATGAACCGTATCCTGTTTGTGGTAGCAATCGTGTGACATATCCAAACCTTTGCAGCCTGAAACGTGATTCTTGCGTCAAGCAAGAGCTTATCTCTGTTAAACATTCTGGTTCTTGCAGTAAGTTCATTTTCTGTTTGTTTATAATTACATAAAGTAAATGTGAATGCTAAAACTACTGCTCTTTTACTGCAGAACTTTTACTTGATCTCGTGTTCGCCTTGGACGGATCAGAGAGGTTGGCTAAGAAAGGTTTTGAAAGGATAAAAGATCTTGTTAAAGCAATGGTCGATAACTATACCATCTCCGAAACTGAAACTCATGTTGGTATAATAGAGTTCAGCGATAAAGCTAACGTAATTCTGCCACTTAATAAACTGTTTAAACCAACTTCAATCAAGGATCAAGTCCAACGTATCATTCCATCTGGTAGTAAAGACAGGGTCACTGACGAAGCCTTACGAAAGTCTGCTGATAATGTGTTTGACGCAAAGTCAGGAGGTAGACCTGGAGCTTCAAAAGTTCTAATAATAATTACAGATGGCAAATCAACAGGCAAAGAACCACCTAAACATGCTGTAAAACCTGTGAAAGAAAAGGGAGTTCGAGTTTATGTTGTAAATATTGGAGACGATACTGACAAGGACGAACTGAAGGATATCGTTCCAACAGATGAAAATATTTACCCTGTAAAGAATCCAGACCAAGCTCCGAGTGTCGCTCCTAAATTGGTAGAGGATATTAAGGAAGATCTCAAGAGAGGTAGGTTTTGCATTAATGTTTGCAAAACGATTTTTTTGTCTCACTATTTCAGTATTTTACAAAATAATTGCAATATTCTTTTATTTTACCATCCAGAAAAACGTCTGGATGTTATTTTCGTGATGGGATCTGCAAAGCCACAGGCTGGAGATAATTTTGATGAAGAGAAGGAGATTGTTATCAATCTAATTAAGACACCGAAAGACGCAAATGTTAAATATGGTATTGTCCAGTTTGGTAAAATGGCTGAGACGAAGATTCCGCTCGGCAGCGAAGATGACGAAAGAAAACTTGAGGAGTTTGTGCGAATATTGCACTGGCAGGAAGAAGGAAAATCGTTGGATGAAGGAATAAAAAAAGCTGCGGTGGAATTCAAAATAAACGGCCGCCCGAATGCTCGTAAAGTATTGGTTGTCTTCGTTGATGGAAAGGATGCCAGCAGTAAAGATGATTTAGCTCAAGTTACAAGACCTTTGAGAAATAAAGATGTTGAAATTATTCCAGTTCCCGTGGGAGACATAGATGAGGACAAGATAAAGGTTTTGGTCCCTAAGAACAAAAAACCTATAAAAGGAAAAAATCCAAAGGAACTAAGTGAACAAGTTGCGGAAGAAGCTTTCAATGGTAATTAAAAAGTTCATTTGAAATGATGTTTTTAAACTGTGTTCAGCAACAGAGTAAAGCCATCGATCACAACAGAGAGAATGGCTGCAAGACATAACTAAGAGAAATAATTTCTTTTTTTATTTTTAGACCGTTGTTTCGCTGAGGCGTGTAAATATTGTATCGCTAAGCCTGATGGTTCTACAACATGTGGTGAGTAATTAAGAAAGAGAAGAGTCAAACAAGCCTGTAATATAGCCGGGCAACTTTTAACGATATTTCATCATTATAATCTTTTTAGACCATACCGACATCATTGATCTTGTATTTGCCATCGAAGGAACAAGAAGAATGAGTGAAGATGGTTTTGATGAAGCAAAACTTTTCATTAAGAAGATGATAGATGAATACGCAATATCTGAACCTGGAGCACACGTTGGAATTGTTGAGTACAGTGACGAGCCTTCAATAAAACTTCGTCTGAACGAAATGTTTGATGAAAACTTGATAAACAACAAGATAGATGAAATGAGACCATCAGAGGGAGAGAGTGCCAATCTCGATAAAGCACTGGAAAAATCTGTCGATGAAATGTTTGGTGTTAAATTGGGAGGTCGTCCATCAGCTAAAAAGATTCTTGTTGTTATTGCTGCGAGTAATACGACTGCTAAAGAAGCGTTGAAGAAAGCTGCTAAACCATTGAAAGAACGAGGTGTTCGAGTTTATGTCGTACCTTTAGGGAAAGATTCAGATCCAAAAACTCTTGTTGTTCTTGTACCAGATGAAACAAAGCCTCCAAAGAAAGTGAAGACATCGTCGCTTCCGGATTATTCAAAGAAACTATCAACAGTTGTAGACGATGACGTCTCTAAAAGTAAGTTGAAATTTTTTATGAATTTATCACCATAGGATATTGCAGTTTCGTTTGGAGTTTTGCGGTTTTTCTACCAAATAAATTGTCTAAAATAATATTTACTATTTTACAGAGATAAAAGAAAAATCAGCTGTCGATCTGGTCTTCGTATTTGGATCCAATGGAAAACAGGCTGTGACTTTGTTTAACCAAGAAAAAGAAATCGCTAAGAAAATGGTCGACAACGAGAAACTGAAGGATATTCTTTATGGGACAATTGTTTATGGAAATGAGGCTTCTGTGAAATCGAAATTCAACGATTTCACGGACGAAACGGATGTGAAAAATTTTATTGATTCTCTTTCGTGGGAAGATGATGGGCAGAAGCTAGATCAAGCGCTTGTAGAAGCCAATGAACTTTTCAAAGATTATGGTCGACCTAAAGCTCGTAAAATAACAGTTGTCTTTGTTACTGGCGAGGCAGATGCTACAACAAGTGAACTGAAGAGAGCAGCCAAGAAATTAAATGATAATGAAGTGAAGATAGTCGTAGTGAAGCTAGGAACAGATCCTGATGATGAACAGTTGAAAGTAATAACACCAGAGAAAAATATCGTGAAAGTCAACGAAAGCGATGACCATGAAAAATCCGCTGAAATTGTGGATGAAAAGAAAATGCGAGGTAAAATACTCTAGAGTGTCAGTATATGTCACGGCTTATTTCATTTTTATGTATTACATTCTACTTCTCAACGAATGTTTAGATCCTTGCTTTGCTAAAGATTGTGTGCATGGTGCTCAGTGTGCCGTGAACGCTGACGATACTTCGATATGTGAATGTCTGAAAAATTGTGAAGAAGAAATAATAGCACCCGTTTGTGGATCAGATGGAAAAACCTACCAAAATGAATGCGAACTTAAACACAGATCTTGTTTAAAGAAGATGCCAATTCTAATGACGAAGAAGAACCACTGCAGTAAGCACTTTTGAGTTTTATCATCATCGTTGTATTTATTATTTTTCGGTTATCCTAGTCAATTTAATAGTCGGAGTCTGATTGTTCAAATGTTCACTACTCACACTTCTTCTGTTTTTAGAATTAGTACTGGACTTAGTGTTTGCCATGGATGGATCGCAAAGTATTAGTGAAAAAGAATTCGAAGTCATTAAAGATTTTGTTAAAGCCGTGGTTGCTAACTACAATATTTCCGAAAGTGAAACACATATTGGTCTCATTGAGTTCAGCGATGAAGCAAATGTTATTCTTCCACTTAATGAGCTGTTTGAACCAACTGCAATCAACGATAAAGTCCAACGTATCATTCCATCTGGTGGTAAAAATAGGGTCACTGACGAAGCCTTACGAAAGTCTGCTGATAATGTGTTTGACGCAAAGTCAGGAGGTAGACCTGGAGCTTCAAAAGTTCTAATAATAGTTACAGATGGCAAATCAACGGGCAAAGAACCACCTAAACGTGCTGTAAAACCTGTGAAAGAAAAGGGAGTTCGAGTTTACGTTGTAAATATTGGAGAAGATGCTGACAAGGACGAACTAAAGGATATCGTTCCTACTGAAAAGAATATTTATCCTGCAAAGAATCCCAACGAAATCCCAAGCATAGCCCCTAAGCTGGTTGAGGACATCGACAAAGATATTAAAAAACGTGAGTTATTCTTTATAAAGAATCTGTTTTGTTGAAGGACGGGGTGAAAATAGAGGTGGAGGCATATGTACATATTTAAATTGAATTCTATCGCACATTTAAGAACAATTTATCCTGTTGTTTACACTAAAGTTTACTTTCATTTCAGGACTTCCAAAGAAGCTGCTTGATGTTATATTTGTTATGGGTTCTGCCGAACCAAATAGTGAAGAAACATTGGGTAAGGAGAAGCTTATCGTTAACGATATAATTGGAAAACAGAAGGATGCCCTTGTCGAGTATGGTGTAGTACAATTTGAGAGGATCGGTTCAGTTGTAGTGCCTCTTGGAGTTTATAAAGATGAAAATGAACTCCAAGATCTAGTGAATAAACTACCGTCGAAAGAAGGCAAAGGTTTAGACAAAGGGATGAAGAAAGCCGGAGATGAATTTCAGAAAAACGGAAGATCAAAAGCTCGCAAGGTAATAGTTGTGTTTATCGATGGAAATGATGGCAGTACTAAAGAAGAATTAAAGAACATAACTGAACTATTGAAGAAGAAAAATATGAAGATTATTCCAGTTGTGTTGGGCGACGATGTGGACAAAGAAAAGCTGAAACCTTTGTTAACCGAGAAAACAAAACCAAAGAAAGGAAAAGATCATGAGAAACTGGGAGAAGATATCGCAGAGGAAATATTTGCAGGTAAGCGGTTGAAAACTTCAACTATTTACGATTTTTTTAGGGTGGAAAAAGATTTTAAAGGTAACCTATTCTTTATTAGATCAATGCTTTGCTGCAGAATGCAAAGACTGCACTGCTAATCCTGACGATTCCACGACTTGTGGTGAGTGATAAAATCATTGATTGGAAAGAGTGAGTCGGTACAATTTCTAGTGTTATAATATTTCTATAATACATTGCAAATTCATACCTTTTCAGATCTAGGTGAGATCATTGATCTGGTATTTGCAATCGAAGGAACAACGAGAATGAAGGAAGATGGTTTTAATGAAGCTAAAGACTTCGTGAAGAACATGGTGCGTGATAATTATATAATATCTGAGCCTGGAACACACGTTGGAATTGTCGAGTACAGTGACGAGCCTTCAATAAAACTTCGTCTGAACGAAATGTTTGATGAAAACTTGATAAACAACAAGATAGATGAAATGAGACCATCAGAGGGAGAGAGTGCCAATCTCGATAAAGCGCTAGAAAAATCTGTCAATGAAATGTTTAGTGTTGAATTGGGAGGTCGTCCATCAGCTAAAAAGATTCTTGTTGTTATTGCTGCGAGTAATACGACTGCTAAAGAAGCGTTGAAGAAAGCTGCTAAACCATTGAAGGAACGAGGTGTTCGAATTTACGTAATCGCTCTTGATGATGCAGACCCAGAAGTTCTGAGTGAACTGGTTCCTAACAAGAAAAAGATAAAGAAAGTGAAAGATAAAAAGAGTTTACCAAGTCTCAACGAAGATATTTCTACGCTCATCGAAGACGACCTCATCAAAAGTAATTAATCTGTTTTTTTCTTTTGCGTTCGTGAATAAGCAACATCTCATTTTTCAAACCCTTTAATTTTTATAGAGAGGAAAGAAAAGAGACTAGTTGACCTCGTTTTTGTATTTGGTTCAACGAAACCAACTGCGCTGATTCATTTCGAGAAAGAAAAGGAAATCGCGAAGGAAATGATTGACAATGAAAAAGAAAAAGACATTCTTTATGGTACAATTGTCTATGGAAAAGATGTTTCCGTCAAGTCGAAGTTTCAAGATATTACTGACAAGGCGAAAGTAAAGAAGTTCATTGATGCTTTATTATGGAAAGATGATGGGCAGAAGCTAGATCAAGCGCTTGTAGAAGCCAATGAACTTTTCAAAGATTATGGTCGACCTAAAGCTCGTAAAATAACAGTTGTCTTTGTTACTGGCGAGGCAGATGCTACAACAAATGAACTGAAGAGAGCAGCCAAGAAATTAAATGATAATGAAGTGAAGATAATCGTAGTGAAGCTAGGAACAGATCCTGATGATGAACAGTTGAGAGTGATAACACCAGAAGAAAACATCGTTAAAGTCAATAAGAGTCATAATGCAAAAAAATCTTCTCTTTTCGTAGATGATCAAAGGATAAAAGGTAAAATCTACATCCACATATCTTTAGCTTAAAAACTCATGATTAAAGAAGCCTTTCCTAGCTAGTCTTTGTTATGTCTTTTCTTCAGATCCTTGCTTTGCAAAAGATTGTATGTATGGAGCAGAATGTGTCGAGAAAGCTGATGATTCTACACTGTGTGAGTGCAATCAATTATGTTCCCAAGGCATACGTGATCCAGTATGTGCTTCAGATGGAAAAACGTACAACAACGAATGCGAAATAAACCGCCAGTCATGTTTACAAAGTGAAGCAATAGAAGTTCAAAGAAAAGGACCGTGTGGTAGGAAATGTTTTTCTTGTCTATTCAGTGAATAATATGATTATTTATTTGTTTTCAAATCAAGGATTTCAACCAGATTTATTTCGCTTGTAAGAAGTTGTTCCGTCACTTGTTAATTCTTTCGTTTTTGCACGTTACTTTAGAACTGGTTGTTGACCTTGTGATCGCATTAGATGGATCAGAGAATCTGGCTGAGAAAGGATTTGATAAAATAAAAGATCTCGTGAAAGCGATAATAGAAAATCAAACCATCTCGGAAACTGAAACCCATATTGGTGTTGTAGAGTTCAGCGATGAAGCCAATGTTATTCTTCCACTTAATGAGCTGTTTGAACCAATCTCAATCCAAGATAAAGTCCAACGTATCATTCCATCTGGTGGTAAAAACAGGGTCACTGACGAAGCCTTACGAAAATCTGCTGATAATGTGTTTGACGCAAAGTCAGGAGGTAGACCTGGAGCTTCAAAAGTTCTAATAATAGTTACAGATGGCAAATCAACAGGCAAAGAACCACCTAAACGTGCTGTAAAACCTGTGAAAGAAAAGGGAGTTCGAGTTTACGTTGTAAATATTGGAGAAGATGCTGACAAGGACGAACTGAAGGATATCGTTCCTACTGAAAAGAATATCTATCATGCAAAAGATTCTGATAAAGTTCCAGATATTGCTCCGAAACTGGTTGAGGATATTGACAAAGATATTAAGAAAAGTAAGTTAAGATTATTTCTGCTATTGTGATTTAATCTCCATATTAACAAGCCTTGAAATTGGCGTATTTTAGGACTTCCAAAGAAGTTGGTTGATGTTATCTTCGTCATGGGTTCTGCTGATCCAAATGGTAAAAATACTTTGACTAAAGAAAAGATTATCGTTAACGACATCATTGAAAAACCAAACGATCCATTTGTCACGTACGGCGTAGTTCAACTCAACGACACTGATCCAGTGAAAGTACCTCTTGGCGATTATGTCGACGAGAAAGAATTGAAAGAAAAGGTAAAGAAACTACCGTTTAAAGAAGGAAAGTCTCTGGATGAAGGAATAAAGAACGCGGGAAAAGAATTAGGAAAAAACGGGCGGCCAAAAGCACGAATGGTGATTGTTGTATTTGTCGATGGAAATGACGATGTTACTGAAGAACAATTAAAGAAGGTAGCTGAACCATTGAAGAAGAAGAAAGTCAAGATCATACCAGTCGTGTTGGGTGAAAATGTGGATGAAGAGAAACTGAAACCTTTGTTAGGGAAAAAGAAAAAACCAAAGAAGGAGAAAGATCTTAAGAAGCTGGCAGAGGAAGTCGCTGAAGAAGCATTCAATGGTAATATTTATAATTTGAGCATATTTGAAAGTCTTCGTCCATTATATTACAGCTATTACCGTTTGTTTTATTAGATCAATGCTTTGCTGCAGAATGTAAAGATTGTGCTGCCAATCCTGACGATTCCACGACTTGTGGTAAGTGTAAAGCACCAAGTGATACTTGATTGGATATTCAATATATGTAGTCTTACCCACATAGGACAATTGTGGAAAGTATATTTGTCTTGTTTAGATCTTGGTGAGATCATTGATCTGGTGTTTGCAATCGAGGGAACAACGAGAATGAAGGTAGATGGTTTTAATGAAGCTAAAGACTTCGTGAAGAACATGGTGCGTGATAATTATACAATATCTGAACCTGGAACACACGTTGGAATTGTTGAGTACAGCGACGAGCCTTCAATTAAACTTCGTCTGAACGAGACGTTTGATGAAAACTCGATAAACAACAGGATAGATGAAATGAGACCATCAGAGGGGGAGAGTGCCAATCTCGATAAAGCACTAGAAAAATCTGTCGATGAAATGTTTAGTGTTGAATTCGGAGGTCGTCCATCAGCTAAAAAGATTCTTGTTGTTATTGCTGCGAGTAATACGACTGCTAAAGAAGCGTTGAAGAAAGCTGCTAAACCATTGAAAGAACGAGGTGTTCGAATTTACGTAATCGCTCTTGATGATGCAGACCCAGAAGTTCTGACTGAACTGGTTCCTGACAAGAAAAAGATAAAGAAAGTAAAAGATAAAAAGAAACTACCAAAACTACATGAAGAAATTTCTAAGCTTATTGAAGAAGACTTGATCAAAAGTTAGCTATATTCATGTTTTTATTTTGTAGTCTTGTTTCTTTCCACTTGTCAAGTACTATACACTCTTGCACTTGTTTTAAATTTTCTTTTCTTCTGATAGAACGCAAAGAAAAGGAGATGGTTGATCTTGTGTTTGCGTTTGGTTCTACTGGTAGAGATGCGATACCATTATTCGAAAAAGAAAAAGACGCAGCAAAGGTTATGATCGATAATGAGAAAGAGAAAGATATCCTCTATAGTACGATTGTCTATGGGCAAGATGCTACGTTAAATTCGAAGTTCAATGATACAAGCGACAAGGCTAAAGTTAAGAAGTTTATTGATACACTGACATGGAAGGACGAGGGTCAGAAATTAGATCATGCACTTGTCGAAATAGACAATGTCTTCCAGAACTATGGTCGACCTAAAGCACGTAAAATAACGGTTGTCTTCGTTACTGGCGAGGCAGATGCTACAACAAGTGAACTGAAGAGAGCGGCAAAGAAATTAAATGATAATGAAGTGAAAATAATCGTAGTGAAGCTAGGAACAGATCCGGATGATGAACAGTTGAAAGTAATAACACCAGAGAAAAATATCGTGAAGAAGAAAAAGACAGTTAAACCGAAAGAGTTAGCCGGATTTATTGAAGAAGTTGTCAAAAAAGGTACCATATTTAATCAAAATTTTTCTACTTCTGCAATAAACGATAATTTCATTTTAATTTATTTTTCTATTAAAAGATCCTTGTGCTGCGGTTGACTGTGAACATGGCGCAAAATGTTCAGCTCAAGCTGATGATTCAACTCTTTGTCAATGCGATGAAAAATGTCCAACCACGAGTGATCCAGTATGCGGTTCAAATGAAGTGTCTTATGATAACGAATGTGAAATGAAACGTGATATGTGTTTGAAGCAAAAGCCAATTAGTGTAAAGAGGAAAGGATCTTGTAGTGAGTATTTTATAATTCAGTACAAGGAAGTATTGTATTGCATAGCCTAGAATATTTTTTCTGCTCAAAATCATATTTGTGAAAATGGTAGTCAGCAAGGATTAAATGTAAAATTTATTCTTAAACGTCGCGTTGGTTTCTTGATTAGGTTAGGTTGTTGTCCGTCTACGGTCTATTTGGTATATTCCTGCTTTGTATTTTAGAACTGGTTGTTGACCTTGTGATCGCATTGGATGGATCAGAGAATCTGGCTGAGAAAGGATTTGATAAAATAAAAGATCTCGTCAAAGCGATAATAGAAAATCAAACCATCTCGGAAACTGAAACCCATATTGGTGTTGTAGAGTTCAGCGATGAAGCCCATGTTATTCTTCCACTTAATGAGCTATTTGAACCAACTGCAATCCACGATAAAGTCCAACGTATCATTCCATCTGGTGGTAAAAACAGGGTCACTGACGAAGCCTTACGAAAGTCTGCTGATAATGTGTTTGACGCAAAGTCAGGAGGTAGACCTGGAGCTTCAAAAGTTCTAATAATAGTTACAGATGGCAAATCAACAGGCAAAGAACCACCTAAACGTGCTGTAAAACCTGTGAAAGAAAAGGGAGTTCGAGTTTACGTTGTAAATATTGGAGAAGATGCTGACAAGGACGAACTGAAGGATATCGTTCCTCTGAAAAGAATATCTATCATGTAAAAGATTTCTGATAAAGTTCCAGATATTGCTCCGAAACTGGTTGAGGATATTGAGAAAGATATTAAGAAAAGTAAGTTAAGATTTTTCTGCTATCGTGATTTAATCTCCATATTACAAGCGTTGAAATTGGCGTATTTTAGGACTTCCAAAGAAGTTGGTTGATGTAATCTTCGTCATGGGTTCTGCTGATCCAAATGGTCGAAATACTTTGACTAAAAGAAAAGATTATCGTTAATGACATCATTGAAAAACCAAACGATGCATTTGTCACGTACGGCGTGTTTCAACTCAACGAACTGATCCAGTGAAAGTACCTCTTGGCGATTATAACGACGAGAAAGAATTGAAAGAAAAGGTAAAGAAACTACCGTTTAAAGAAGGAAAGTCTCTGGATGAAGGAATAAAGAAAGCGGGAAAAGAATTAGGGAAACGGGCGGCCAAAAGCACGAAAGGTGATTGTTGTATTTGTCGATGGAAATGACGATGTTACTGAAGAACAATTAAAGAAGGTAGCTGAGCCATTGAAGAAGAAGAAAGTCAAGATCATACTCGTGTTGGGTGAAAATGTGGATGAAGAGAAACTGAAACCTTTGTTAGGGAAAAAGAAGAAACCAAAGAAGGAGAAAGATCTTAAGAAGCTGGCAGAGGAAGTCGCTGAAGAAGCATTCAATGGTAATATTTATAATTTGAGCATATTTGAAAGTCTTCGTCCATTATATTACAGCTATTACCGTTTGTTTTATTAGATCAATGCTTTGCTGCAGAATGTAAAGATTGTGCTGCCAATCCTGACGATTCCACGACTTGTGGTAAGTGTAAAGCACCAAGTGATACGTGATTGGATATTCAATATATGTAGTCTTACCCACATAGGACAATTGTGGAAAGTATGTTTGTCTTGTTTAGATCTTGGTGAGATCATTGATCTGGTGTTTGCAATCGAGGAACAACGAAATGAAGGTAGATGGTTTTAATGAAGCTAAAGACTTCGTGAAGAACATGGTGCGTGATAATTATACAATATCTGAACCTGGAACACACGTTGGAATTGTTGAGTACAGCGACGAGCCTTCAATTAAACTTCGTCTGAACGAAACGTTTGATGAAAACTCGATAAACAACAGGATAGATGAAATGAGACCATCAGAGGGAGAGAGTGCCAATCTCGATAAAGCACTAGAAAAATCTGTCGATGAAATGTTTAGTGTTGAATTGGGAGGTCGTCCATCAGCTAAAAAGATTCTTGTTGTTATTGCTGCGAGTAATACGACTGCTAAAGAAGCGTTGAAGAAAGCTGCTAAACCATTGAAAGAACGAGGTGTTCGAATTTACGTAATCGCTCTTGATGATGCAGACCCAGAAGTTCTGAGTGAACTGGTTCCTGACAAGAAAAAGATAAAGAAAGTAAAAGATAAAAAGAAACTACCAAAACTACATGAAGAAATTTCTAAGCTTATTGAAGAAGACTTGATCAAAAGTTAGCTATATTTATGTTTTTATTTTGTAGTCTTGTTTCTTTCCACTTGTCAAGTACTATACACTCTTGCACTTGTTTTAAATTTTCTTTTCTTCTGATAGAACGCAAAGAAAAGGAGATGGTTGATTTTGTGTTTGCGTTTGGTTCTACTGGTAGAGATGCGATAATATTATTCGAAAAAGAAAAAGATGCAGCAAAGGTTATGATCGATAATGAGAAAGAGAAAGATATCCTCTATAGTACGATTGTCTATGGGCAAGATGCTACGTTAAATTCGAAGTTCAATGATACAAGCGACAAGGCTAAAGTTAAGAAGTTTATTGATACACTGACATGGAAGGACGAGGGTCAGAAATTAGATCATGCACTGGTCGAAATAGACAATGTCTTCCAGAACTATGGTCGACCTAAAGCTCGTAAAATAACGGTTGTCTTCGTTACTGGCGAGGCAGATGCTACAACAAGTGAACTGAAGAGAGCGGCAAAGAAATTAAATGATAATGAAGTGAAAATAATCGTAGTGAAGCTAGGAACAGATCCGGATGATGAACAGTTGAAAGTAATAACACCAGAGAAAAATATCGTGAAGAAGAAAAAGACAGTTAAACCGAAAGAGTTAGCCGGATTTATTGAAGAAGTTGTCAAAAAAGGTACCATATTTAATCAAAATTTTTCTACTTCTGCAATAAACGATAATTTCATTTTGATTTATTTTTTCTATTAAAAGATCCTTGTGCTGCAGTTGACTGTGAACATGGCGCAAAATGTTCAGCTCAAGCTGATGATTCAACTCTTTGTCAATGCAATGAAAAATGTCCAACTACGAGTGATCCAGTATGCGGTTCAAATGAAGTGTCTTATGATAACGAATGTGAAATGAAACGTGATATGTGTTTGAAGCAAAAGCCAATTAGTGTAAAGAGGAAAGGATCTTGTAGTGAGTATTTTATAATTCAGTACAAGGAAGTATTGTATTGCATAGCCTAGAATATTTTTTCTGCTCAAAATCATATTTGTGAAAATGGTAGTCAGCAAGGATTAAATGTAATGTTTGTTCTTAAACGTCGCGTTGGTTTCTTGATTAGGTTAGGTTGTTGTCCGTCTACGGTCTATTTGGTATATTCCTGCTTTGTATTTTAGAACTGGTTGTTGACCTTGTGATCGCATTGGATGGATCAGAGAATCTGGCTGAGAAAGGATTTGATAAAATAAAAGATCTCGTCAAAGCGATAATAGAAAATCAAACCATCTCGGAAACTGAAACCCATATTGGTGTTGTAGAGTTCAGCGATGAAGCCCATGTTATTCTTCCACTTAATGAGCTATTTGAACCAACTGCAATCCACGATAAAGTCCAACGTATCATTCCATCTGGTGGTAAAAACAGGGTCACTGACGAAGCCTTACGAAAGTCTGCTGATAATGTGTTTGACGCAAAGTCAGGAGGTAGACCTGGAGCTTCAAAAGTTCTAATAATAGTTACAGATGGCAAATCAACAGGCAAAGAACCACCTAAACGTGCTGTAAAACCTGTGAAAGAAAAGGGAGTTCGAGTTTACGTTGTAAATATTGGAGAAGATGCTGACAAGGACGAACTGAAGGATATCGTTCCTACTGAAAAGAATATCTATCATGTAAAAGATTCTGATAAAGTTCCAGATATTGCTCCGAAACTGGTTGAGGATATTGAGAAAGATATTAAGAAAAGTAAGTTAAGATTATTTCTGCTATCGTGATTTAATCTCCATATTAACAAGCGTTGAAATTGGCGTATTTTAGGACTTCCAAAGAAGTTGGTTGATGTAATCTTCGTCATGGGTTCTGCTGATCCAAATGGTCGAAATACTTTGACTAAAGAAAAGATTATCGTTAATGACATCATTGAAAAACCAAACGATGCATTTGTCACGTACGGCGTTGTTCAACTCAACGAAACTGATCCAGTGAAAGTACCTCTTGGCGATTATAACGATGAGAAAGAATTGAAAGAAAAGGTAAAGAAACTACCGTTTAAAGAAGGAAAGTCTCTGGATGAAGGAATAAAGAAAGCGGGAAAAGAATTAGGGAAGAACGGGCGGCCAAAAGCACGAAAGGTGATTGTTGTATTTGTCGATGGAAATGACGATGTTACTGAAGAACAATTAAAGAAGGTAGCTGAGCCATTGAAGAAGAAGAAAGTCAAGATCATACCGGTCGTGTTGGGTGAAAATGTGGATGAAGAGAAACTGAAACCTTTGTTAGGGAAAAAGAAGAAACCAAAGAAGGAGAAAGATCTTAAGAAGCTGGCAGAGGAAGTCGCTGAAGAAGCATTCAATGGTAATATTTATAATTTGAGCATATTTGAAAGTCTTCGTCCATTATATTACAGCTATTACCGTTTGTTTTATTAGATCAATGCTTTGCTGCAGAATGTAAAGATTGTGCTGCCAATCCTGACGATTCCACGACTTGTGGTAAGTGTAAAGCACCAAGTGATACGTGATTGGATATTCAATATATGTAGTCTTACCCACATAGGACAATTGTGGAAAGTATGTTTGTCTTGTTTAGATCTTGGTGAGATCATTGATCTGGTGTTTGCAATCGAGGGAACAACGAAAATGAAGGTAGATGGTTTTAATGAAGCTAAAGACTTCGTGAAGAACATGGTGCGTGATAATTATACAATATCTGAACCTGGAACACACGTTGGAATTGTTGAGTACAGCGACGAGCCTTCAATTAAACTTCGTCTGAACGAAACGTTTGATGAAATCTCGATAAACAACAAGATAGATGAAATGAGACCATCAGAGGGAGAGAGTGCCAATCTCGATAAAGCACTAGAAAAATCTGTCGATGAAATGTTTAGTGTTGAATTGGGAGGTCGTCCATCAGCTAAAAAGATTCTTGTTGTTATTGCTGCGAGTAATACGACTGCTAAAGAAGCGTTGAAGAAAGCTGCTAAACCATTGAAGGAACGAGGTGTTCGAATTTACGTAATCGCTCTTGATAATGCAGACCAGAAGTTCTGAGTGAACTTGTTCCTGACAAGAAAAAGATAAAGAAAGTAAAAGATAAAAAGAAACTACCAAAACTACATGAAGAAATTTCTAAGCTTATTGAAGAAGACTTGATCAAAAGTTAGCTATATTTATGTTTTTATTTTGTAGTCTTGTTTCTTTCCACTTGTCAAGTACTATACACTCTTGCACTTGTTTTAAATTTTCTTTTCTTCTGATAGAACGCAAAGAAAAGGAGATGGTTGATCTTGTGTTTGCGTTTGGTTCTACTGGTAGAGATGCGATAATATTATTCGAAAAAGAAAAAGACGCAGCAAAGGTTATGATCGATAATGAGAAAGAGAAAGATATCCTCTATAGTACGATTGTCTATGGGCAAGATGCTACGTTAAATTCGAAGTTCAATGATACAAGCGACAAGGCTAAAGTTAAGAAGTTTATTGATACACTGACATGGAAGGACGAGGGTCAGAAATTAGATCATGCACTTGTCGAAATAGACAAAGTTTTCAAGAACTATGGTCGACCTAAAGCACGTAAAATAACGGTTGTCTTCGTTACTGGCGAGGCAGATGCTACAACTAGTGAACTGAAGAGAGCGGCAAAGAAATTAAATGATAATGAAGTGAAAATAATCGTAGTGAAGCTAGGAACAGATCCTGATGATGAACAGTTGAAAGTAATAACACCAGAGAAAAATATCGTGAAGAAGAAAAAGACAGTTAAACCGAAAGAGTTAGCCGGATTTATTGAAGAAGTTGTCAAAAAAGGTACCATATTTAATCAAAATTTTTCTAGTTCTGCAATAAATGATAATTTCATTTTAATTTATTTTTTCTATTAAAAGATCCTTGTGCTGCGGTTGACTGTGAACATGGCGCAAAATGTTCAGCTCAAGCTGATGATTCAACTCTTTGTCAATGCGATGAAAAATGTCCAACCACGAGTGATCCAGTATGCGGTTCAAATGAAGTGTCTTATAATAACGAATGTGAAATGAAACGTGATATGTGTTTGAAGCAAAAGCCAATTAGTGTAAAGAGGAAAGGATCTTGTAGTAAGTATTTTATAATTCAGTACAAGGAAGTATTCTATTGCATAGCCTAGAATATTTTTTCTGCTCAAAATCATATTTGTGATAATCGTAGTCATCCAGGATTAAATGTAAAATTTATTCTTAAACGTCGCGTTTGTGTCTTGACTAGGTTAGGTTGTTGTCCGTCCTCAGTCTGTTTGGTATATTCCTGCTTTGTATTTTAGAACTGGTTGTTGACCTTGTGATCGCATTGGATGGATCAAAGAATCTGGCTGAGAAAGGATTTGATAAAATAAAAGATCTCGTGAAAGCGATAATAGAAAATCAAACCATCTCGGAAACCGAAACCCATATTGGTGTTGTAGAGTTCAGCGATGAAGCCAATGTTATTCTTCCACTTAATGAGCTATTTGAACCAACTGCAATCAAGGATAAAGTCCAACGTATCATTCCATCTGGTGGTAAAAATAGGGTCACTGACGAATCCTTACGAAAGTCTGCTGATAATGTGTTTGACGCAAAGTCAGGAGGTAGACCTGGAGCTTCAAAAGTTCTAATAATAGTCACAGATGGCAAATCAACAGGCAAAGAACCACCTAAACGTGCTGTAAAACCTGTGAAAGAAAAGGGAGTTCGAGTTTACGTTGTAAATATTGGAGAAGATGCTGACAAGGACGAACTGAAAGATATCGTTCCTACTGAAAAGAATATCTATCATGTAAAAGATTCTGATAAAGTTCCAGATATTGCTCCGAAACTGGTTGAGGATATTGAGAAAGATATTAAGAAAAGTAAGTTAAGATTATTTCTGCTATCGTGATTTAATCTGCATATTAACAAGCGTTGAAATTGGCGTATTTTAGGACTTCCAAAGAAGTTGGTTGATGTAATCTTCGTCATGGGTTCTGCTGATCCAAATGGTAAAAATACTTTGACTAAAGAAAAGATTATCGTTAACGACATCATTGAAAAACCAAACGATGCATTTGTCACGTACGGCGTAGTTCAACTCAACGAGACTGATCCAGTGAAAGTACCTCTTGGCGATTATGTTGACGAGAAAGAATTTAAAGGAAAGGTAAAGAAACTACCGTTTAAAGAAGGAAAGTCTCTGGATGAAGGAATAAAGAACGCGGGAAAAGAATTAGGGAAGAACGGGCGGCCAAAAGCACGAAAGGTGATTGTTGTATTTGTCGATGGAAATGACGATGTTACTGAAGAACAATTAAAGAAGGTAGCTGAGCCATTGAAGAAGAAGAAAGTCAAGATCATACCGGTCGTGTTGGGTGAAAATGTGGATGAAGAGAAACTGAAACCTTTGTTAGGGAAAAAGAAGAAACCAAAGAAGGAGAAAGATCTTAAGAAGCTGGCAGAGGAAGTCGCTGAAGAAGCATTCAATGGTAATATTTATAATTTGAGCATATTTGAAAGTCTTCGTCCATTATATTACAGCTATTACCGTTTGTTTTATTAGATCAATGCTTTGCTGCAGAATGTAAAGATTGTGCTGCCAATCCTGACGATTCCACGACTTGTGGTAAGTGTAAAGCACCAAGTGATACGTGATTGGATATTCAATATATGTAGTCTTACCCACATAGGACAATTGTGGAAAGTATGTTTGTCTTGTTTAGATCTTGGTGAGATCATTGATCTGGTGTTTGCAATCGAGGGAACAACGAAAATGAAGGTAGATGGTTTTAATGAAGCTAAAGACTTCGTGAAGAACATGGTGCGTGATAATTATACAATATCTGAACCTGGAACACACGTTGGAATTGTTGAGTACAGCGACGAGCCTTCAATTAAACTTCGTCTGAACGAAACGTTTGATGAAAACGCGATCAACAACAAGATAGATGAAATGAGACCATCAGAGGGAGAGAGTGCCAATCTCGATAAAGCACTAGAAAAATCTGTCGATGAAATGTTTAGTGTTGAATTGGGAGGTCGTCCATCAGCTAAAAAGATTCTTGTTGTTATTGCTGCGAGTAATACGACTGCTAAAGAAGCGTTGAAGAAAGCTGCTAAACCATTGAAAGAACGAGGTGTTCGAATTTACGTAATCGCTCTTGATGATGCAGATCCAGAAGTTCTGAGTGAACTGGTTCCTGACAAGAAAAAGATAAAGAAAGTAAAAGATAAAAAGAAACTACCAAAACTACATGAAGAAATTTCTAAGCTTATTGAAGAAGACTTGATCAAAAGTTAGCTATATTTATGTTTTTATTTTGTAGTCTTGTTTCTTTCCACTTGTCAAGTACTATACACTCTTGCACTTGTTTTAAATTTTCTTTTCTTCTGATAGAACGCAAAGAAAAGGAGATGGTTGATCTTGTGTTTGCGTTTGGTTCTACTGGTAGAGATGCGATAATATTATTCGAAAAAGAAAAAGATGCAGCAAAGGTTATGATCGATAATGAGAAAGAGAAAGATATCCTCTATAGTACGATTGTCTATGGGCAAGATGCTACGTTAAATTCGAAGTTCAATGATACAAGCGACAAGGCTAAAGTTAAGAAGTTTATTGATACACTGACATGGAAGGACGAGGGTCAGAAATTAGATCATGCACTGGTCGAAATAGACAAAGTTTTCAAGAACTATGGTCGACCTAAATCTCGTAAAATAACGGTTGTCTTCGTTACTGGCGAGGCAGATGCTACAACAAGTGAACTGAAGAGAGCGGCAAAGAAACTAAATGATAATGAAGTGAAAATAATCGTAGTGAAGCTAGGAACAGATCCTGATGATGAACAGTTGAAAGTAATAACACCAGAGAAAAATATCGTGAAGAAGAAGAAGACAGTTAAACCGAAAGAGTTAGCCGGATTTATTGAAGAAGTTGTCAAGAAAGGTAACTTTTGATACATCGGATATCCTGGCCATTTAGGGTGTAAAACTTAGATTTTTATGTAAACTTGATTCTCCCCTTTTTTATGGTAATAGATCCTTGTGCGGCTCGTGATTGCGAACATGGTGCCAAATGTGTCGCAAACGCGGATGATTCTACAATTTGTACTTGTCCTGAAACTTGCCCAACGACTAGAAAATCTGTGTGTGGTTCCGATGATGTCACATACAAGAATGAATGTGAAATGCTTCGTAAAATGTGTAAAGAAGGAAAATCTGGAAAAGTGAAGAAGATTGGCGCTTGTGGTAATTAAATTGCGTTTATTTAACGTTTATTTAACGTTGAATTTAGTGGTTGTATATTTGAACTTGTGTTCAGATACGCGCCATTCAAATTCTTAACTTTCAGACTAGCATATTTTCACCTTTTTTAGTTTTCAAAAAACCGCTTGACTTGGCCTTCCTGATTGGTTCCGCTGGAAAGGACGCCGAGAAATCTTTCAACGATAGTAAGAAAATACTCAAGAAAAGTTTGGAGTCATTCGAAGTTTCAAAACTAAAAACACATGTGGCTGTTGTCGACTACAGTGGTAAACCCGCTGTGAAGATTCCGTTTAAATCTGGAGATGATCTTGTTGCTGTGAAAGAAAGTGTTACAAATCTTCCTCTTGGGAAAGGTGGAAATCTTGAAGATGGTATAAAACTAGTGGCAAGCCAACTCTTTACTGCAAAATATGGTTCGCGACCAACAGCGAGGAAGAGTCTGGTAATAATCACCAACCAAGATGATATTCCTGCAGTTGAGAAAGAGAAGAAAAAACTTAAAGACAAAGGTGTTAAGGTGGTTGTTTTGGGGCTTGGCGACAAGATTAAACCTGAAAAGGCCAAAAAGCTACCGTCCACTCCTCATTTGTTAGAAGTGGCTAAGTCGATGAAAGAGAAACCAGAAGTTGTTGATGAGTTAGTTGAGAAAGTAACGCAAGGTATTGTATTAAAACGGCCTTTTTGTTCTTTGTTTGCAGAGATTGTTCAGGTCAACTAAACATAACTAAAACTTTTTAGAGTTCAAGAGTTGCAAGGACGTCAAATCTAGTGGTGCAACTGAAGATGGCGTATATTTACTTCACATCAGCAAAAAATGCAAGGACCCTATTAAAGTTTATTGTCATGGTTTATCCGGGAATGAACCTAAGGAGTACCTGGATCTTCCTGCCGGTGAGAGCAGAAACTATGCGATCGTGTACGATCGACAATTACCGACATCTCCTGTTACAGCCCGATTCCAGTGCGATGGAGAAGACAGCAGCAACGTTTACCGTAACCACGGCAAGACATATTTTTCAAAGATAAGATTAAACGTTGAAGATCTTACGGTTATTCAAGACGATTATGAATTTGCGAACAGTTCTGTTAGCGGTAGATCTGTACGCTATGGTACGGCTGGTGATTGTTTCTCAATGAATCCTGGGAACTGTCGTAAAGGTAGTTTCTTGATTGACCTGTCGGGTACTGGTTTAAAGGTTAATGACATGGTAAGATGGGATAACCAAGGGTATCCTTCAGACATCAAGATACAGGAATTCACGAAGGAAAAACATGGAATGATTATCTCAGCAAAATGTGGTGGATGGTGCGGTAGATGTACCCCGGTTGGTTCATTGGTTTTACAACAAGTCTGTAGCATTCCTGAAGGTAAGTATTAGATCTACACTCACTTATCACCTCGAATAAATCATTGAAAATAAATAATATTTTTTATTTCTTTTCCTTACTAGCTTGCCAGGATCCTGTTGACCTTGGTTTCGCCCTGGACGGCTCAAGTAGTGTTTCAAGCTCCGAATTTAATTCCATGTCGCAACTTGTGTCCACCACAGTTGGATTCTTTGAAATATCCGATCTTTCAACACGCGTTGGCGTTATGGAGTACAGTGAAACTGCGAAAGTCTGGATCAGGTTAGAGATGCTGTTATCATCATCATCTCCGCTTACTCCTCCTGCTCCTCTTCTCACCTGCTGCTCCTTTTTTCTTCCCCCCGGTCCTTCTACTGCTGCTCCACCTCACTCTCTCCCGCCTCCCCCCTCTCCTGCTGCTCTTCCTGCCTCTCCTCCGCCTCCCCCCTCTCCTGATTTTCCGCCTCTCTCCTGTTTCTTCAGCTGCTGCTCCTGCCTCTCCTCCTCCACCTTCCTCTCCTGTTCCTCCTTCTGTCCCTCCTCCCTCTCGTGTTATACTCCTGCTGCCCCTCCTCCCTCCTCTCCCCTCTCCTGTTCCTCCTGCTGCTGTACTTCCCTCTTTTGCTCCTCCTGCTGCTCTCCTCCTGCTTCTCCTGCAGGATATTGAGTAATTAACATTTAACAGGCTATTTTATTGTGCTGTGGATCAAGTCTATTGACTTAACTTTTAACCGCATTATTTTTATAGATTGAATGACCTTTATAATAGAACTGAGTTTAAGGCTGCTTTATCAGAAATCGTGACCACCAATGGAGCAACGCACTTCGAAAAACCTTTGAAGGAAGCCATTTCAATGTTCAGGCCGCGCAATGGTGGAAGGGATCATCTTCCAAATGTGTTCACACTCTTTACAGATGGAAACTCAAACGTTGAATTCCAGGAGGCAGCAAATGAATTGAAAAGAACTGGTACAACAGTAATTGTGGTTGGAATCGGCAAGTATGTAAGAGAAGATCAGTTGAAAATTATCGCTAGCCCTGGATATGTCTTGAGAACTTCGTCGTTCAAGGAACTGGCAGATATTGCTGGTCAATTGTCATCGCTGGCGTGTAAAGGTGGGTTAAGAGTCAAGCTCTTGTTTGTATATTGCTTTCTAAATTTGCTCCACATGAGAGCTACAAGCCAAATTATAGTGAAACAAAACAATTGTTCTCAGAAGCAAATCGGGAAATACTATAAACAACCGAACTACTTGATATAGATCCATGCTCCACTGTCCATTGTGACTTCTACGGCGAATGTTCGGTGAATAATGATGGAACGACTGCCTGCAAGTGCCCTGTTAAATGTCCAAAGAAAGTTGATTACGTATGTGGCAGTGATGGTCGAAATTATGAAAACGATTGCTTATTACGTCTTGAAGCTTGTACGAGAAAGAAAAGATTATCCGTTACCAATCTAGGCAAATGTGGTAAGTAATTCAAAATATTACTGCTATATGTGAAAGAGCTTCCATAGATTTTCCTACTCGATCATCTAATTGATCGTGAATTAAAACAACAAATTTGAAGATTACACAGTACGTCTATTGACGTTATATTCTCCTTACTTTAGGATTGTGTTCAAACACATCTTGTCCAGTTTATTCTAAATGCGCATTGAAGGATGACGGAACAACGGAATGTATCTGCCCAACATTAAGCAATTGTCCAAAAGAAATGAAAGCAGTCTGTGGGAAAGACGGAGTAACCTACATAAACGACTGTTTCCGGAAAGTTCGAAGTTGTAAACGAAAGAAAGATATTCGAATGGCACATCCTGGAGCATGTGGTATGTACAATGAATTAATCAACTGGAATTACTTCGGGAAGATGGTGTATGTTCCCAATTTCCATTTCATCTTTTCTTATAACTCCCTATCATCACTCATTCTGTGTAATAACTTGTATCTCTAGATATATGCAAGGCTAAGAAATGTTCGCTGTACAGTAAGTGTTTCGTTGACAATCAAGGAAAACCAAGATGCAAATGTCCGGATGAACGCGCTTGTCCACAATTCGCTGATGCAGTTTGTGGTACGGATGGTGAGACATATCTCAACGACTGTGTGATGAAAGCAAGATCTTGCAAGAAAGGTGTTTTAGTGGAGAAGACTAAAGATGAAGCATGTGGTAAGAGTTAAGCAGACTAAGCTCACCAACATCAATATCAAATAGGGTTAGGTCTTGCATTTTTCCTCACAATCCTTCAGAATCCTCGTACTCCTTATCCTTAACGATCCTCATCTTAACATTCTGACAACGTTTAATGCTGAGTGTTGTGCTTTTAGATGTATGTACGTTTGTAAAGAGCTGTAAAAACTACGCTAAATGCGTGGCGAATGTTGACAAGACTGTGAAATGCGTTTGTCCTGTGAAGGAAGAATGTCCGCCCTCTGTGAGGAAGATTTGTGCCTCTAATGATAGAACGTACGAGAGTGAGTGTGCAATGAAAGTTGAGGCATGTAAGAAGAAAATACCATTGACGAAGAAGCATGATGGACCGTGTGGTAAGTTGGCTAGTTTCTCAGTCGAGTCCAGTCCTATCTATAGCATGACTCGACATTCCAGGTTCAAAAAACTTTTTTCTTTCGTCAGGCGAATGTCAGTCAACAGATTGTCACAGATATGCCACATGTGAGACGAATGACGATGGTAGCGCCGTATGTAAATGTCCAGAGAAATCATCCTGTCCACTGGAATCCGATCCAGTGTGTGGTACTGACGGTCAGACTTACCCCAACGAATGTGAGCTGAAGGCAGCAGTTTGTAAGAGTGGAAAACCAACTTTACCTCGTCATAAAGGGAAATGCGGTAAGTTCAGTTAAAAGAGTTCTTGCAAGTCCCAGAATTGTACCTAACATCGTGGAGTGATGCACATTTTCCTATTTGTAGGTTTGTGTTCAACGATGAACTGTGAAGATTATGAAAGTTGTAAAGAGGTGAACGGCAACGCTGTGTGTGGATGTGCTTCAGTTCAGTCTTGTCCTCGAGATGTGAAAATCGTTTGTGGCAGCGATGGGAAATCGTATTTGAATAAATGCAGAATGAAACTCGAAGCTTGTAAGAAGAATATTCCAATTGTAAAACGCCATGACGGGGTTTGCGGTAAGTCTAGCTCCTGTATAAAGTCGTAGGATCAAGACAAGGATATCATCCTAAAATTGTGTATCTTTACTAGATCCATGCGCAGTATCCAGCTGCAGAAACAATGGAACTTGCAGCCTTAAAGAAGACGGTTCAACGACCTGCGCATGTCCACTTGCTGAAGATTGCCCTGAAACTACGAGACAAGTGTGTGGAAGTAACAGACAGACATTCAAGAATGAATGCCATCTTCGAGTGACTGCTTGTAAATTAGGAACACCGATCTATGTGAAGAAACCTGGAGTGTGCTGTATGTAGATAATAATAATTCAATCTCGAGTTGATTCATTTTAGTATACACCCATTCATGACAATGCTTAATATCTGGGTTCTTCTTTTTTCTCATTAACAGCGCCATGCGCATTTGCAAGCTGTAAGAACAAAAGGACATGTTCTGTAAAATCTGACAGAACCGTAGAGTGCAGTTGCCCCACTAGCTGTCCAACAACAAGAAACCCAGTATGTGGAACTGATGGCAATACATATCCAACTCAATGTCATCTCGAGAAGAAATCCTGTGAGAAGAAAGAATTTTTGGAAGTGGAAAAACAAGGAGAATGCGGTATAGTTTCAGTATATTTCACCTTTAGAAAGCTATAGTGAATGCAGTCTGATCCGATTATTAATACAGCCAGTCTCACTGAAACGATTCTAGGTATCTATTAGAAGCTCTCATGCGCACAGGTCTGATCAAACTCTCTCACGAAATTCATTCGTAAATACCCGACAATCATAATGTTTTATCAAGATCAGTTTTTTGATGCGAATATATTTTATTTAGATGCTTGTTCTAAAGTGAAATGTCACAGTGATTCGGAATGCGTCGTTGAGAACAATGGTAAGACCTCATGCAAGTGTAAAGAACCAAGCAGATGTCCAGCGACCGTCAAGGAAGTTTGTGGTACGGACGGCAAAACCTACAAAAACAAATGTTTGGTCAAAGCTGCCTCGTGCAAAGGACCAAAACGAATCAAAGTGGCTAGAGATGGACCTTGTGGTACGTATAGGGTTATCCTAATACTCAGTCTTTGATCCCCAAGTGTGCCGGGAAATCTATCAAGTGAATAAGTGTTGCGCAAAGTATGCAAAATATTTTTGTTTTTTAGGGTTTATCGAAGGCTTCTGTTCTCTTAAGAACTGCAAACATGGCGCTCATTGTAATCCCAAAGGGAAGTGTGCGTGTCCTAAGATGGACGACTGTCCTCCTGACCCACGAAGCGTTTGCGGAACTGATGGAAATACTTATAAGAACCAATGTCATCTTGAGGTCTCAGCCTGCAAGAAACAAATCCTTATTGAAGCTATCAAAGTTGGAGTCTGTGGTAAGATATTATTACATTTATGTGAAGACAACGACGAGGTTTCGTCTTGGTGTCTTCTGCTGCTTCAACTGCTTCAATTACACCTTGGTACCACTTGTTGTTATTTTCTATTTTAGATGCGTGTTCCGATAAGAATTGTTCAAACAACGGTAAATGTGTGGCAATGCAAGGAAGTGAATCAAAATGTAAATGTCCAAAACTGAGTGACTGTTCTCGTAAGATTGAGCTCCTGTGTGGCAAAGCAGACGAAGAAACGTATATTAATCATTGTGCGCAGAAAGTACATGCCTGTCGAAAGCAGAAACCATCTGGTGTCCTGGTAGAAGACTATTGTTGTACGTTGTCTCTTGCACTAAATACTAAGAAATTATCTCTTTGATCCAACAAATGCCATTAGATACAAACAAAAGCCTTCAGGATTTGTTTGTCGTCAGTTTCTTACCGGAGAGTGTAGAATGATGATATTATATCTCACTATTTCTTTAAATTTGCTATTTCATTAGCTGTCTGTTCTTTGGTGAAATGTCCTTTCAACGGCGTGTGTACTCCGATGGAAAATGGTGGAGTGAAATGTTCCTGTATAACGGGATGTCCCCGAATAAAGGATGTGGTCTGCGCTAATGATGGAAAGCAATACTACAGTGAATGTGCTATGAAGAAGTGGAGTTGTGAAAACAAGAAGCCGCTTAAGATTGTGCATAAAGGATTTTGTGGTAAGAAATATTAAAATTACACCAAGTCAAGACAGCATATTTGAATACAATTGCGACGTTTTCATTTCGTTTTGTTTGCCGTAACTATCGTTATTTCTTCCAGGAACGAAAGCCAACTACGATCTGAAATTCACAGGCAGGAAAAAAGATTTCGTGGAATTCAAGGACTTGCCGAAATTGAAAGAAGTTACTGTTGCATTCTGGGTGAAGACAAATGATCAAACGAAGAAAGGGACGATATTCTCGTACTCAGTTTCTGGAAAACGTAATGCTCTGAGCTTGGCCGATTCAAATGCTTTGCGACTCTATATAAATGGTGATGACAAAGATGGAGTACACAAGTAAGTGGTGCCAAAAATTAGTCATTTAAAGATCTCTCAAATGATGATTCTGTTCCAATATCTGATGCCTATTTTCTATAGAAAAACCGGCGTGATGGTCAATGATGATATATGGCATCAAATAACAATGACCTGGCGAAACAGTGACGGTTCATGGAGATTATTCAAGAACAGCAAACTTACTGCAAGCGGGCGTGACTTCCAAAAAGGCGTGGTCATCCCAGCTGGTGGTATATTAACACTCGGTCATCAGCAGGAGGAACCTGGGTACCGCTATGATCTAAATTGGGCCTATATTGGAGATATAAGTCATTTCAATGTTTGGTCAAAGGAACTACCGCTGAGAGAGATTACTGCTTTGGCGGAGTCCTGCGGAGCAGTGAGACGTGGTGATGTAGTCACGTGGTGTGATGCAAAGAAGATGGTGTTTGGTGACGTTAAGTTGGTTGCACCATCAGTTTGTCCGAATAATACAGATGGTAAGCTGAGTGATATACCATTTCCAGTGCATTTATCATTAGTGATATCAAACACGACTCTTCATATTCTTAAGGAATGTGTAACTATTTCATTTTTTCCCGATAGACCCTTGCTGTGGTGGAACTTGTTCTCAATTCATGAAGTGTGCTGTAAGAAACGACAGTAGCCCCGTTTGTGTTTGTCAAGATATGGATGACTGTCCTGAAGATCAAGACTTGGTTTGTGGAAGTGATGGAAAGACTTATGGTAACAAATGTCTTATGAAAACTGCGGCTTGCAAAGAAATGAAAGCGATTGAAGTCGTCGCTAACAGAGAATGCGGTAAGTAGCAAACGTTCTGTTGGTAATATATAAAAAAATGTTTGTGCTAGGACAGGTATTATCTCTCAACATTATTACGATTCTCATCACGTTATTTGTCACCATTAACACCTTCCTTCAGCATTACCATTGTAATTTACCATCACATAGATGCATGCACTGAGACCAATTGTGAATTTTACGCGTCGTGTGAACTTGGGGTGGATGGAAAACCTAAATGCGTTTGCCCGAAAATAGAAGACTGTCCAGCAGTAATCAAACCAGTTTGTGGTAGTAATGGCAAGTCTTATATCAATGAATGTCGTCTGAAAGTTGATTCCTGCAAAAAGAAAAGGAACATACGTTTGGTGAAGGAAGGAATTTGTGGTAAGTTAAATAAATGATTTTATACATCTCAGATATTTGTTCTATATATTATTTTATCACAATGGAAGGTACAGTCGAAGTATATATGACATTTGAGCAATTGTTCTATAGATCATTGTATGCTTAGCAATTGCCCATTCTACGGCGCGTGCACAGTTGATCAGCAAGGCTCGACCCAGTGTAGCTGCCCAGAGTCATTTTCCTGTCCTGGAGGAACAATCTGTGCCTCGAATGGTCTGACTTATTCCGATGAATGCAAAATGAAGGAATATTCCTGCGCAAATGAGCAAGACTTGGTGGTTGTTCATAAGGGAGCTTGTGGTAAGTGACGTGTGGTTAAAGCGAGTGTCATACACAAATGATTGTACAATTGAGTTGATAATAGCTTTGATTCCTTCGTTGTGGGAAGATTTATGATGATTTTTTCAATGTCTTTATTTAGATGCTTGTTCAGAGCATAAATGTGAGGCGCTTAGCAAGTGTAAAGCTGTGGACGGTCAACCCAAGTGTGTCTGTCCTGAAATCAAAGACTGTCCAACATCAGGACCAAGTGTTTGTGGGAGTAATGACAAACCATATCCAAGCGAATGCCACCTTCTAGTTGATGCTTGCGTCAGAAGACGAGCCTTGTATGTTGTTGGCAATGGAACTTGTGGTGAGTATGCTTCATGTGAATGCTTTGATTTACTAATCGTCATAAGTCACCAAAGCACTGATTGAGTCATCAATTTCTAACTTTTCAATTTCTTATCTTTAAAGATCTTTGTTCTAAGAAAATGTGCAAGTTCTACTCTAAGTGTGAAGTGGATTCTAGCAACCAAGCTCACTGTGTTTGCTCGAAAGCAAAATGCCCCAAAACCCGAGAACCAGTCTGTGGAGACGATGGCAAGACCTACGACAGTCTTTGTGCTATGAAGGGTGAATCGTGTTCAAAACAGAAGCCTATTAAAATGAAGAATCAAGGAGTTTGCGGTAAGCAGTTGTTCAACAAAATTTCTAAAAGGCCTCCTAGTTGTATGGTTTTATTGTACCTTGAGGGGCTTGAGCCTTTGCTAGCGAAACTTTGTTAATATTTTTTCAGGAATCATTGAAAACTCGTGCACGTTGAAAACTTGCAAACATTACGCTGTCTGCAAGAAAGGTAAATGTGAATGCCCGAAAACTGAAGAATGTCCGCAGTACTTAGAACGCATTTGTGCTAGCGATGGACAAATTTACAAAAATGAATGTCATATGAAGACTGAATCATGTAAACTGGGCAAGACCTTGATTGATGTGGGCATGGAGAAATGCTGTAAGTACATTAGCATTGTTTTGTGTGGTTTTTTTACCTGATATTGTTTTAGCTACATAACGTTAAATCCTTTTGTTAAATATTTTTCATTGTGTTTTTTTCCAGCGCTGTGTCTCTTCGCCAGATGCGCCCTTAATGGTTTATGTGTGTCGAAAGACGATGGAACAACAATCTGCCAATGTCCTGATCCGAAGTCATGTCCTGCAGAGTTCAGTCGAGTTTGCGGGACAAATGACAAGACTTACAACAACACATGTCATATGAAAGTTGACGAGTGTCGAAAAAACCAAGTTATTGGTATTGCCAAACGGGGCCCTTGTGGTACGTACCTTGTGCATGGCTTGTGGTAGATCTTGTTACTTTTAGAAGAATTCTCTCTTCTTCTGCATTTAAAATTCAGATATTCTCGCCAACTACATTTCCACATTGCTTATTTTTAACGTTCTCTTATTTCTCTTTTATTTTCTTCACTTCTCGATCGACAAATTTGAATCTCACAGAAAAAGGTACGTATGCTTATATTTTTAAGGTAATCCACATATAAGATCTTTTATGCTTTTCATGAACCCGTCAGTCGATTTATCAGTTGACGGCAAAACTACATTTATCTCCTGGAGTCATTTATTAATTAATAAAATATTTGTAAATAAAGTCTAGCTAACTACGATCAATTCATCTTTTATCTTTGCAGTTGTCAAGTACTTCAAAGGAACGTCATACATGCAATTTGCTACACCACTACGAATGATTGGAACCTTAACCAATGTCGAATTTAGCATCAGACCTCTGCAGGAAAACGGCATTTTGTTTTTCGCCGACGATAAGAGAGTCGATGATTTCATTGCCCTGGTCTTAAATAACGGATATCTCGAGTTTAGGTAAATAATATATAGGGTTGTAATTTATAGCGTACCATATAATTTATGGTGCATATGGTATGGTACCTACTGCAACATATTGTTTTTTAAATATCAAAACAGAATGAATCTTGGTGATGGACTGGCGAGTAGGAAGAGTAAGAATCAGTTGGAAATGAACAAATGGTACCACATTAAAGTAACAAGAAAGGACAAAATCGCAGAAATTTTGATCAACGAGAAAGATAAAACAACGATCATTGCTCCAAAGAATTACACAATCCTAAACATTGGCGATAAATTGTATTTTGGTGGAAAAGACAAAATATCAACTCGGTAAGCAACAGATATATCTTGTGTTTTGAAGAAAACCACTGTCGGTACAATCGGCCTCGACAATTCTTGATATTTAACGGGATATTTATAAAACAACAGAGGGTATATTCTTTTCAATATTTTTCAGCGCAAAACGCAAACTCGGCATCACAGATGGTTATGTTGGTTGTCTTAAAGACCTAAAGATAAGTTTTGTTGAGTATGATCTTCTGTATCCCGGAGCACACATTATAAAAGAAAGAAACATCGAAAAATGTCCTGGAGATCCATGCAACACTCGACCATGTGAAAGCTCAGCACAATGCAAATATGATCCAAATATGGGAGACACTTACATTTGTTTGTGTCCAGAGGGCTTTGTTGGTAAAAGATGTCAAGCGGAAGGTGAGTTTATTATCTTAGCATCGTCATTATGTAATTACCAATGCCATCAATGAATACCATCACCGCCGTTTTATTAAATTACAAGACTTATATTTAGCGAGCATCTGATGATTTACGTCTTCTCTTTCATTCAGACAAACCTGTGCACTTAAATGGAGCAGATTCGTTTGCTGAGTTAGACGTATTCCGAGATAAATCGAAGTTTGCAGTCTCGATGAATATCAGGCCCGACACGAAAGACGGAATGATACTTTATGGTCAGGACGTAAAGTCGTCAGACTTTGTCAGTATCGGCCTCAAAAATGGTTTTGTTGAAGTGAGGTATGGGTTATCAAAACATTTTATTTTATGAAAGAGTTAGCTTAAACATTTTTTTAACATTTTTCTTTTTTTGTTTAGTCTCGATGCGGGACAGGGAAAACTGACAGTGAAAAGTAAACAGGTCGTCTCTTTATTGGACTGGCATACCATTAAAGTAACTCGTAACAAGAAGTTAGTGAGGTTGATTGTTGATAAACAGGATGTTGTCGAGGGCACGTTACCAAAGACGTTCTCCCAGATATATCTGGGAACTGCGATGACTATTGGCGAACCGAAACAGCCCGTAATACGGTATGATTTTTGGCTGAGGTTTTGGAGGCAGCAGAAATAAATAGAAGGAAATAGGAATGAGTGAGCTTTTTTTCATACTGAAATAACATTTGTTTCATTTACAGAATCTCTGCTCGAGAACGCAGTGGTTTGAAATATGCATTCTTTACTGGTTGTATAAAAAATTTGGTGATTGACGATCATTCCATTAACTTTAACGCAACCAATGGAGATACACTGGATCAGAAAAATCTTCTCCCATGCTCCCCCTGTATTGGCAATCCTTGTGGTGACCATGGGACATGTATACCACGGGCTGATCATACATTCACCTGCAGATGCGATGGTAGATACTCTGGGAAATTCTGTGATAATACAGGTATACTTCTAGTTATATGCATTATAAATTAGTAAAAGACCTATCATTATAAGAAAGGTCTATCAATCTATAAATTGAAAGAGAAAACACGAACATATATCATTTTTTTTCTATTCTAGAACGAGTTGCATACTTTACAGAAGAAGGTTCAATGTTAGTGCTTGGAATAAAGAAGGGATATGTTGATTTTGATATGTCCTTTAAAATCAGACCTCAAGTTAAAACAGCTCCGCTTGCAATTGCCTTCGGGAAGACTGATTATATTTCCATTGCAATAAGAGAAGGCGTCGTCGAGGCGAGGTAAAATTAGAATAATAATTAGAATAATTAGCGTGAAGGAAAAGAGGTTGTGAGTAGAATGGCAATTAGAACAGTCTGAGAATTACTGTATTAGGGTAAAAAATATATATTATTCAAAGGTTCTCTATCATTCTGTAAAGTAGACTCATACTGAAAGTGCTATATATTTATCTTTTTAAGAATTAACGCGGGAAGTGGTGAAAGTCTTGCTACCAGTTCTAACTCAATTGATTTGCATAAATGGCATAAAATCCGATTGGCGCGGGACTCGAAACAAATGCAACTTTATGTCGACGATCAAGAGGTTGTTACTCAGCCAAACGCGGGCAAATTCACGAACATTAATCTCAAGGAAATAATGTATATTGGAACTGTTTATACTGATGACGAAACCCTGCCTGACAGGTGAGTTGTGAGAACATTCAAGAAGTACATCATAACAAATATTAATGAAATGATTTTGTTTCGCGTTCAGAGTCAATGGCCGTGATCATTCAGAGTTGAAAGAAGACTTCCAATTCATCGGCTGTATGGCAAATGTAACGCTGAATGGAAAACGTCTGGACTTAAGTTACCCTGGTGATGACGTAAAGAAAGAAAGATTAGTAACTGAGTGTACCTCGTGTTCACCATCACCGTGTAAGCACAATGGAACGTGCGTCCCCCAACCTGGTTTAACCTACTCATGTCGCTGTACATCAAGCTTCACTGGCTCAGTTTGTGACGTTCCTGGTATAAAGATTTGTATACTATACTTTCAAGTTCCAGAACAAATCAATTGATAACTGAAAATGCACTGCTTTAAGAATACTTCCTAGTTAATTTTTACACCAGTTAGACCGAAATTCTCTCTCTTGTAATAAAGGAAATTTCTTTCGTGCGTTTAGGTTGCGCTGTTGGGGCTCTGGATCTAGCCTTTGTACTGGACGATTCAGGAAGTGTTGACGATAATGAATTTAGTGACGTCATCCAATTTGTTACATACATGATCGATGCCTTCCCTGGGATCTCCGCGACTGGTACACGTGTAGGCGTGGTGATGTTTAGCACCGACGCGGAAATTGCAATTTCTTTTGATCGCTACTATGAACGCAGACAACTTATTGATGCTGTGGAAAGCCTCGCAAGAATACGTGGAAAGACGTTCATCAACGAGGGACTTGATAAGGCTGATGAGTTATTCACTTCGGCACGAGGTAGTCGAACGGATGCCTCAAAGGTTTTAGTGCTTATGACAGATGGTAAAAGCAAAGGAAATGTCGTTCCACCTGCACAGCGGTTAAGAAATAAGGGTGTTCGTATCATCGTGGTTGGTGTCGGTAATGTTGATCCAGCGCAGCTACAACAGATCGCTGGAGTAGAAGAAAACGTGTTTATTGTACCAACTTTCAAGGGTTTGGAGCCAGTGATAGCGAAACTTATTCCTGCGTCATGTCCTCGACCTAATAGGTGAGTACTTTCCAGCCTCGTTTCCAGGCAGTTTATAGTTACTCAAAGCCCCCTGGTACGAGGCTGGTACTTTGCTAGAACATGAAGTGACTTTCGCTCCATTAAACATTCGTCCTTCATTTTTAGCCAAATTTTAACTGCATCTCACTAATTCACTGAATATATTGTTTATTTGTAGGCCTTGAATGAGCCAAGCAAATCAAATATGAAATTTAGTATAGTTAAGTTAGAATAGACGTGTTTTGCATTACGTTTCCTTTGACCATTGCTATTTAAGTATTATTAAGGAATAACACTAAAACATACAAATACACTTAATTTTCACAGTTGTTAGAATCGTGTTGTATTTTATAAAAGATCATTTTACCAAAATATAATGTGTGTACAGTCAAACCATAGTCAAACACTATATACTCGCTAGTTTATACTACTATATCAAGGCCACCCTCTTACAAAATATACCTTCATTTTCAAATGATGAATGTCGGCAAATCGATATGAAGTTTGTTTCTTAACTTTTTATTCTCATCCTCTTGGAATAACGCACGAAACATAACAATAAACAAAACATGTATAAAAATATTTATACTCTAGTCTACAACGGTCTAAATACACTTAATTACATACAGTCTAAGTGCAACGTATTTTAAGTTAAATTTCTTTCAAAAACGAAGGGCCTGTACACAGTCTTTTCCTAGGAAAACATGTATGAAATCACAACATGTACCACTACTACAATACTTTTACATGAAGAAACTAATTTACACTTTAGTAATTTGTTGTATTTACATGCTGTTCATAAACAATCCCAAAGCTGGGCTGGATGAAAATGAATAGTTTTTTGAGAGGAAATGTGCATAGGTCATTTTGAAGCAAAGCGATTTACGAAGATATCCTCTCTCAAGCTTTACTCCACGTACAACACATGCAACTCAATAATGCCCAGAATTTGAGATAGCAATGTTTCCAAACCAAAACGTAATAAAAAAATTATACTACCCTATACACTACCTTGTAGATGTGTGAAACTCGTACAGGAAAATACCTAGCATGCATACACCACACTACATGTATTGAGTGTACATAATAGCGGTCTGTAAGACCTACAAACTAATTACACATTGCATAAACAGTGTAGAATGGACGGTTACATAAAAATAGTCAAAAACATCCGTTTTGAATAACGAATATCTCTACAATCCTTCAATTTAAAGGGTATAACTTATAGAAAACCTACAAAGTTTAATAAGTCCGTTCCTAAAGCGAAACAAAAAATCTCAAAAACAAAACAATCATCCAACTATCTTTGCAATGCATTTTGAAACAAATGTTTTGATATCCTTGCTCTAGTGAAAGACACTTGACACAATTTGGGGATATTTGCTTAGTAAAACGTACTAACAATAGTAGAACTTTGTTACACTTGGGTTGCTCAGTTATTTCAACTGGTAACATCAGCCCACCACAATTTTTCACTCCCTTGCACATCGCACCATGATTTCTAAATATTTTTCGCCATCGTCTCTTGTAGCAAGACAGATTTCGGAACAGGGGAAGTCTTTAACGAGATTGTTCGCTTCATTGTTATCATCTTTGCGCTGTACTCCGGAAAGGCTTGTGTTGCGGAAGACTGGGACGAGGCGTTTGATGATGAACGACTTAATTGTGAAAGTTCCTGAGAAGACTGGGGGCTAACATCACACTAAAAAACAATCAATAACATGCGAGTTTTGATATATATCAGAGCACTCTTTTCAATACTAGTGTGCAAAACACGCGATCATTACTGAGAGCGATCGGAAGTTTATCCTGTAAAATATCCGGATGTCTTGCTTGTCAGCCTTTCCCAATTTGTTGTTGTTCTTTCTGATTTGCGTAAAAAAATTGTTACCTGTGAAGGGTCGGCCTTTTCCTTTTTGATGTCAATTGAATGTACTTTTGGTTGAATTCTTGTGAATTCTTGAGAAGATTCAATGTCACTGTTAGCATACCTAAGAAAAAGTACAAATCTTTAGAATGTGATACCTCTACATTATTTTCCATTCTTTTAAGTAATATTGTCGATCATTTGAAGTGTCCTGAGGGAAAATATTTTCGTGAATGCCTGTGTATCTTATTGGCCAACCTAGCAGCATGATTTACTATAGACGCTACAGGTTAGCTGTTTTTAAAAATAAATACTGACCTGTTAGAATTTAAAGCTGGCACTTTGACGTCATCCATCATATGTAATCCCTCATTGATTCTCTGCATTATTTCATAACGCTCTCGTCCACGGATCTATAAATCATAACGGCCTATTACTACATTTCCTTGCTACAAAACTGTGTTTCATCCTCGCATTACTGAAGATTTTTACTGAAGATTGAACGCCTTCACTCGTTGCCGAAAACGACTCACCGCAATGGTAAACACTTGGTCGTCATCTGTTGGGTCAGTTGCATTTCCGTAAGATTTCTTCACCTTCTTGAAAACAAAGCCTTCCGTACCTACTGGATATTCTACAAAGAAAACATATTATACTTGCTTAGCATTACTTGTGGCGCACTTTTTTTACTTTTCAAAAATGTTAAGACTTAGAGCGGCTGTAGAACCATTAAAATTTCTCACAATTCTACTTCACTCATTAAGGCAAAAGCCTTTGAATACAGGAGTATAGAAGTCATATACTACATTGAAAAAATATCGTACTTTAAAAGCTTCAGGTTGACCACAATATGCTGCATGTTAAAATGCTCAGCGAAACCATTTTATAGACACAACAAGGTGGAGCAACTTACGACGTTTCGTCGCCTGGTTTTCACTGACAGCAGGAAACTGAAAAGGCTCTGGGGCACTCGTGGGATCTTTCCTTGTTGACATTAATACACTTGCTCGGGGAGGATATGCGGTAGTAGGGGATGATCCGGGTGATTGTGCGCTAGAGAGAGGCATTGGAGTGATGATGTCTGAGGTAGAAGTAGGTTCGTTACGTTTATCGGTATTTTTCGTGTTCTTTACATTCGTGCTTGGCTCTTTTTCTGTACTATCTCTGCCTGGCGAGGCGCATATTCGTACTTCCCTCACAGCACGCCCATAAATGGTTCCTCTGTCATGAAATTGATAAGAAAATTTCAAGAAACTGTTCCAAAGCAATTCATACGTAATTTTTTACTGCTTTAGATTACATACCCGCATTCAAGCCTAAACAACAAGTACGTTGGGCGTCTGTTCATTCCACCGACACAGGAGTTGAAACAGGTGAACTTGAATAGTTCTTTAAAATAACCGCCCCCTTCTGTGGAATAGAAACAGAGAATATGCAATGATTTTCTTTTCATGCAGTGGGAAAGATAGCGATTAAAACCTCTGTAAGACTAAGAGTTTGGCATACCAACAGTGTTGACAGCACTGAGCGGTAGGAACAAAGAGAAACGCTCTGTCTTCGGGCATGTCTGGTAAATTGTACTCGGATTTTCACATCTCATTACGTGGTCTTGATATGACATGTCTAAGAGAAAACACAACACTAGTCAGTAGAGTTCACTGAATCTAGTCTGCAGATATCAGAGGATATGGTCGGTTAAGATTGCTGCCCTCTATAAATGTGGAGACAGGAGTTCAAACAAGAGCTGCACTATTGGATGAATGCTTTGTTATACAGAAAGAACAACGACAACAAAAGCATGGAAAACAAGTTGCTTATCATTCTCTAGGACTAGGTACAATATTATCGTCTGTGCTCCGATACAATTACGAACCTTCTTTACACATATTCTTGTGATTTGGACAGCGTGTAACGATATCCTTGTAGTGTTCAGGCCGTTTGTACATCAATATTCCACGAACACCAGTGCCAGGGGGAGGGTTACCTAAAATCATTTCAAAACTTCGTTTTCAATATGAACTATAAGATAAGTTCAACTAGTAAGCGTCCGAGAAAGTTTTTTGATAACATATCTTTTTGAAATGAAAATCGAGTCTTCAATATTCATTTATCCCGTATATCTTTTAAAATATATCGAAGTAAAGTGGATACAAGTATGCTTTTTTCAACCATACTCTTTCGGAGCAAGGAAATTTCATCAATGGCCTCGTACCGTACCTCGAATATAAAAGAGTATTGGACAAACGCATTGCATTTTTACAAATAACTTTTGGCGTTCGGTAACGTAAACCCAGGGCGTGGCTTTCGTGATGGGTTCGTTATTTGTTTCGAAGCCAATCTCAAAATTATATTCTCCAGGATGGCCCTTGTTGGGAAGGATTGGTGGTAATTCAACCGGCTCGCATATTCTGTTGTTGTTTGACAATGTACCCTAATTGGAAAGACAAGACTTGGTTAGCATTTTGTGTGGCATATTTTCACACGTTGAACATAAACTAATGGTTTATTCATTATTGAAATATTGAATTTCAGGAGAGGGGGATTGGTGGAGACTGAAGAGAGATTTTACTTGCTGTTTTTACAAGTTAATGGTGGATCAATGCCTTGTGTTTACTGTAGTTTTTGGTTAACATGTTTATGCAACTGTTAAATATAGATGTTCTTCTCCAGAGTATGCTTATAAAGATTGTAGTGGGGAAGCTAAAAAGTGTTTAGAAAAGGATTTATAAATAAAATAGTCCAAGATCTGTAAGACTTACATTAACTGATACTGCAGCATGACCATTGCTGGTATTTGAAGTATCGAGTGGAGCTGGTGATTGTAGCAAGTCACAGAACTGCTGTGAAAAGGTTGGTGAATTTGGCTAAAAAAATAATATTTTTACAGTTTAAATAAAAAAGCTAAATTATATTTAAATTCTAAACTACCCTGCATTCTCATAATATTCTATGGATGGTTTAATCATTGCTAACCTGACCATATCTTTTGAATGTCCTTTCTTTACAAACTAGTTCAATATTGTCTAAAAATTCACATATTAGCATTTAAACAAAAGTAATATTTATTGGATCATAGTCACCATACTGTTCAAAGACATATTATACATTCTAGCTATGAAATAGCTAACAAGTCAATAATTCTGTATAAGGATATAGATCTATGTTGATCAACTGTGAAATCTCAAGTGCTACTTGAGAGAAAGAATAAATTATGATCAATCTTCCTGATATTATGTGATTGGGGCATGAAATTGCCAAATACAAACACGAAACACGTGTAAGACAGAAACAAAATATAATATTTGTCATGTTACACATAACATACAAAAGATGAATGAATAAAGCAAACATTATATTTCTTTTTTTTAAAAAGTCAAAAATTTCTTCTTTTTTATGCTGTATGATATGAATAACTGAAGTTCAAATAACAGTAATAACATAGGATATGTCAACAATTGTGTGGAAATAGGTAAGGCACTGAATCTGACATGCTGGCCAAAAGACGCAACATAATGTGAGGCCCAATTAGACTAGACCTAACTAATCAGACTGAATAATATTGTTGCCATGTTCTATTTATTGACCACCTGCCAGCATTATTGTGAATAAGAACATAATAGCCCAGCATGGCATCTGAATGGAATGACGAGCGAACAATATATCTAAACCGTATAAAAATTATCGTGAATACGACAGATCACAAGAAGAAACTCTGACAACCTCATGTTTTCGTTACATTAGACATAAATACAACTAGGATTATAAGAAAGGAGCCCAATCAAGCAATGGATGTTAAGACAGAGCTCTTAAACCACAGGAACTTCTTTATTTACCAAACTCCTTTATTTCGCAAACAATTTTATATACTTATGTGCATTTAAATAGAAAAGAAACTTATATACTCACAATAAGGAAATATAGATTCATACATAGTATTTAGATATAAATACAATGCAACCAAATGTAAAATATGACTGCAAACATGACTACTGGTGATTGTTGAAGCAATATATATGTAATTATAATATATACATCAAGCTACGTCAGTCTATAAGGGTGACGTGCCACATGGATAGTGGACGTTTGTTGCATTGCTTATGATTTTCGATATATGGTTTTGTAAAAGAACGATATAACCTTGTATATGTGTATACTCAACTGCTCTATGTAATATGAAAATTCTTAAATAATGAAGTAAATACATATTGATAAACTAATAAAATTATAGGCAAATCAACCTGAGTACACAAGAGTTAAAAATATTCAACCCACAAAGAGGAGTTTACATGGTTGAAGAGAATCGACACAATTAAGGTATAATAAGTTTTGTCCTCAAGTTATAGCCTTTGTATCAGTGTTCTAAGAACATAGTAACATTAAATTAGGCATTGCAGGAGTCTTATAAAACACACAATGCTTTAGAATGTCGATGAAGTCAATTGGAATTGTGATGACGTGTCCCTCGGCAACAATATGGCCGTAAAGAATGTGTGGGCTGTTTGTATTTGCAGTCTTTCTTCAACAAGATCTTTTGAAAAATTACCCCTCATGCTGGTTTTATGGATGTGTGATCAACAGAGAGCATCAATTTTAACAATTTAAACTGTGACATGCGTAATTTGTATTGTAAATTGCACTGAAAGGATCGACACACACTGTGAATTTTACGTCTTACGGAATGTCAACATTAAACTGAAAGCGCTTAAACCTACCATATGGCAATGATGTACTATCTTCCCATGGCCATGATTTGGGCCACATCCTTACAAGAAGCAAGTCAAGAACCAAAAGGCCACTCAAATGGAAGCAAGAAACTATATACTAAGGGTGTTACCAAGAAGGCAACGTCACCACGTCAATCACTTCAGGATCACGCCATGTCACGTGGTTATCAGACAAAGAAATTGTGACGTAAATGAAAAAAGACAACAGAACGGAAATACGAACGCAGACCTAAACAGCAAGACTTAATATGTCTCAACATATGTTTGCATATACCTCAACATATGTTTTATTGAGTGTCCCTACACCTAGTAGAATAGGTGAAGACCTCGATTAGTACATTATACAAAACATATAATTTGCTTCTCACCTTGTATCTGAGAATCTTTGAATTGAACTTCAAAAGGAATCTCATCAGTCACAATACTACAACAACAAAAGCAAAGAACATATGAGATGTGAAAATTCATATGGTTATACTATTGTGGTCAAATGAGGTGAGAAAATGTAATGATTTATTAAGTTTTATTTTTACCCTTGAATAACTTTATCTGGATTGGAGAATGTTCGTCCTAATGATTCCCATATTTCCTCGAAGGAACCTTGAGAATAAATCTCTTGGGTATCAGTTGAAGATTGTGATGACGGTTCTGGTTGAGACATTCTAAAGCAGGTAAAAAAGCCATATTGAATTGATAATCTTTTTCTATATTTTTAGTACTGTAAAAAGCTAAAGACTATGGCATGTGTTACCAATATAGGTACCTTCAAAACCAATAGATTTTAGTTTTTTTAGGAAATTAAAGTGGAATAATCTGAATAGGCCTTGCCATTCTGAAAGACATGACAGGGCAAGGCCTTACCGAAGTCTGTTTACACTACAAAAATAAAGCTCACTGCTAGGTCTAGGTCCATAGTCTAAACACAGTTTAATAGTAAATATGCACCATTGTAAAAGCTTGCAAAAATTGCATTTGGGGTAAGTATATAAGCATGCTTAACTGCCTAATGATTGAAACATGGGAGTTTTAAATGGTAATAATTCTATAGAACCTTATTACCATTTTTTAATTAATATTGATGTCTCTGAAACAAGTTGCAAATGTGATTGGATTCATTGAAAACTGTTATGAATATATTATAACCTAATCATGCGTAAGAACCATATAGACTAGGCAACAGCGATATTTTAAAAATAATTATGCATAAATTATCTGACCTCTTGATAAAGGAATAAATTATCACAGTATGCCATTAGAGACTATCGATATTAATAAAGGACTCTTGTTTTTGTAAATTCCGACAACGTAGAGTGAGCAATATAACTTCACCTATACCCATATATTAAACATAGTTAAAAAATAGGCCTCATCTTTGTTAGATTTCTAGAGTACATGTGTTAAATCAAAGTATGCATTGCCTTTTAGGTGTTAAGCCTAAGACAAACTTTATGTGAAAAACAATGTCCTAATAGTCTGAAATTAATCATAGGGATAACCATGATATGCTTCACTGAGAAGTATTCTTAGGGTTTGACACCTGATCTATATACCATATGTTCATTGTCAATCATCAATGCAATTAATATTCCCCCATGTTATCCTCATAATGAAATTCCATGTGTTTGCTTTAAGTTCCTTTTTACAACCAACCCATGTGTATACATACAACTGTATTTAGTGTGCTACTCTCAAAAAACACTGTCTAAATACCAATAACAAAGCCAACTAGTTGGTAGTATAATGAGCAGTCAAGTGGACCACACTTAAAATGCTAACTGTCCTAGACAAGTCTGATTTACAAAGGCATGCAGCAACATGTCCGCTATTTAGAACCACGGCTCGAATTTCGGGCAAGATTGAACAAGCCATACGGTCGATAGTAGACGACCAACTAAGCGTAGTAATTTCATGGACCCACGTGTCGTGTTAATTCCATACCGTTAGACAGGATTTGATTGCATACACTGTATATAAACAATATTTTTTTATAAAATTTTAAGCTATACGTTAATAACCGCACAGACATCCCGTTTCCCTGTAGAAATCGAAAGCTACATACTTCGATTTCAATATGCACAAGGTCAACAAGCGCGCAGTCGTCGTTCTTTTCGCTTTTGCCAAAACACAGGAAAGCAATCACCTTTACGAGTTTCCTTTGGGGAACGCGCAAGCATGCCGTAATAAGGCAATGTAAATAGGGCATCTCATATACAGGGATTACCTACATTATAAACCATCATACTTTTAAGTTCACACCACGAATTGACCTAGAGGTAATCTGTATAAAAATCCGAGCCTTTTATGTTACTTTAGTCTACACAATCTAAAATTAAGTTCAATATGTTTCCATACTGTGTCGTCCGGTAATCATCTCTGCAACTTTGCCATTGATCACCAAGTATAGTGATCAGGACAGAGAGATAAGACCATAATACTGCATACATATAGCTATACATCACATAAATCTACTGCACAATGTATGCGTAATTGGAATAACCATGAAAAAAATTCTCTTTACTTACTATGGCACATGAAGAACCCTCAGGAAGCGTATTTTTGATGGAGTGTAGTTAGTTTATCATGGACACCAAATTTAGTGGCTAGACCGAGCAAAACATACGTATACTTATCATATACAACCCTCTAAATATGTATTATATGTACCGTGCTTCGGAACTTGGCCAATAACTGCTGAAATAGTAGCGTTCGGTTGTCAAGATAGACCAATCAACGGCCGCAAAAGTTCGCTGAGATTATGTTACATACACACGTGGATGCTGTTAACTTCTTTGCTTTGGCTATTCCCGCTTTCGACGAACGTTAATGCCCATTTTACTTCCTGTCATAATTATACACTAACCCTCAAGCAACTTTGTTGTTTTGTAAGAATCAGAATTGACGATCACTTTTGCTTTGTTTTTCCTTTTAGTTTTTTCCTCTTTACATAGTCGTGACAACTCACAATAGACGAGTGTTTAAAATGGTGCTTATGTCTAATCATAAATTCAAACAACTGATCGAAGATGAACCGAGCGTTAAGGCACGGAAAATGCCCTACAATACCCACCTTTCGTCACAAAAGTCCTTTGACTAAAAATTTATAGTCACTAAATGGTAGATCTAAAATGCTTTTACCAACGTTTATATCCTCTCACAATAGTATTCTACATTCAAACATTCTGGGCAAGTTTAGGCAAGTATATAGCTACCCAGAGTTCTTTGCGGCTAATACGGCGGTAAACATGCCCAAGCACGTCCAGACATGCGACAAAATATATTAACCTAATATGGCAGTTATCAATCAAGCTTTAATATTCAACATATTTGGCCAATGGGTTTAGGTGGGAACTCCCCCACTTATGTAAAAGTATGGGTACCATCGTATTCAGTCTTCCCACTACTCTCCACTTCAAACACAAATGAATAAAAAAATTCTTCAAAATTCAATGATTAATTATTCAGTTTGTCAAGAGCTAAGATATTGTATATTGATTATCCACTTTTATGCATTATTCTACTTTTATTTGCTTATTTATTTGAATTTAGCCATTTAAATTTTTGTAAGACTATAGCGTTTGATTAGCTATAGGGCGATAATCCTCAGTTTGTTTATTGGAACGACCACAATAACATAGAACTTGTGTTTGGTTTATCGATGCCAAATAACCCGAATATGATTATCATCGTGGTCCGGCGTTAATGAATGCTGCGGTTGCCACAGGCGAAACGAAAACGCGTTTGTATATAATTCACTTTCTGACGCAAAGTAAATAGAAGCGAAAACACTTGTTTTGAAGAAGATAAAGACGTGGAGTAGTTTTTCCTCCCTGTACAAAAATGAGTTCAAAAAATTTGAGTGCGACAGAACTTGCTGGTTGCCAACGTGGAGAAACACAGTGTTTGCTTCAAACATGTACTGAAGACACGGAGGAATTTGTTTCTCAGGGAAAAATGAAGAATTTTCATAAAGGCAAAGAAATGGTAGTTGTGATTGGCGAACAATTGTCAATACTCTTTCATTTCCACAAATCTTGCATGCATACACTTTCATCAATCATCAGTACAACTCCTAAATTAAAATGTTGTATTCATTCATTTACAGCTTGAGCAGGAACCTACGGGATGCACAGAGGATATCGTCATATTTGTAAAAGAAACAGTTGAGTCTGAGAGGAATGAACATCCAGAACAGGGAGATGAAAAACTCAAACCCATGGAAACCAAAGAAGTCGCAAAAGGTCAGGAGGAAATGGCAGACTGCAGATCTAGATTAGAGGACGAAGTGACATTTGCAGAAAGATACCCTAGTTTGGCTGAAGCAGAAGAGAGCGAAAGTGATGATTGTCTCTCAGAACCCATCAAACAAGAACAAGAACGACTTGTCCTTCACGAGAACCACGGGAACGTTGTGGACGAATCGTGCGATATATGCTTTAAGATTCTCGAAGATAACAAAGATCAATTGGCAAAAATATGCTGCTCGGGGGAAACATGCTGTTTGAATAAGCTGTCTTTGCAAAAAATGGATACGTTCGATGATGAAATAGCAACGCTGAAAGAGAGCGACAGAACACCGGGTAATATAAATCTAATCGCAGGCGGCGGTTCAGCCCATGCAAGTATCCTCAGTCTATCAACCTGCCACGACTCATTACCATCGTCTAGACGAAGTCCAAGCAAGAAAGATCTTTATTTGGATCTGGAGTGTCGTATCTGCCACGATGTTGAAGGGCATGATCTTATAAGCCCTTGTCACTGCGCAGGAACATCCAAATGGGTGCACGAGTCATGCATTATCAGATGGATACGCCATACAAAGACAAAGCAATGTGAGATATGTACGTGCCCCATCACCGTGAAACGGAAGAAAAAACCCATAGATCAGGTAGGGAAAATTTAGTTCACATTTTCAAATATAATGGTCCAGTATATATCCTATCAAAATTCCCAGTCAACATTTATGTTTGAAAGAACGAAACAAAGCGTTTAATTTGACTCATCTTTTGGAGATTGTTAAAGTCAGAAGCAGAGAATAACCAACAGAAGACTACGCACTATTTGCCTTTAACTAAAACCGATAGTACTCTCATATTGACAAAATCTGGACTCTCTGATGCACATATTTTTCTATCAGCCAAGAAATGAATGAAAAAACTTTCAACCACATCTGATAATGTGCGTGTTTTCGGTAAATCGCCTCCATGTTTTTAATGAATGTAATTTATGGGGAGTGAGAATTTTGTTTGCGTGGCTACTGGTACCTGCTCAAAATTAATCATCTCCAAACGTTGGAACCTCTTTGACTGAAAAAAAGGCGGACGCGGACTGACAGACACGGACTTGCGGACACCAGATGTGAACTAGATAATCGACTTACAAAGTTGCTACCATGTTTATTATAACATTTACCTAGCCTTTTGGTATTTAGATTTACAAATACACCGCCATTTCGTGTCCATCATCTTAACTTGTCTTATATCTAGTAAAATGCGTTGCCGCTAGTTTAACGTTAATTGGTGATCGTCATCGATATAATTAGAAACTACAACGTATACGTGGTCAAGGGAACCGACTGTCATGTTTAATTTTAGCTTATAACGATAGTTAGATCATCCCTATTAATAGCACAATTCGATGGATCGAAGACTTTTAAGCATTGTTTATATAAACGACCTACGAGGTGATTGCTTTAAGGTTATTAACCTCGTCCAGGACCGCATCTGTAAAACAGTCGTTTTTATACGCATAAATAGGGAGCAGAGAGTAAGAGTCTAAGTAGTAAGTAGTCCAAGCATAGACTGCTGTATGGCATAACACTATCATGAGATATGTAATTAAGGCAAAGATTCCCATGCAATGGTTAACACATCATCCGATATCATTTGGTAAAACGTTTCCCTTGATCCCTTCATTCATTCATTCACCATTTCAAATATACCCAACAGATTTTAGTTTTAGCGTCCGTCTTCAGTTGTGAATGTGATATTTTTCTGTAATTTTGCAGTGGACCCGTCCATCAGCGTCTTGTGGTCCTTGTAACAAGCTTGACATATGGTATTGTTTCGTCCTTGCTTTGTGCATCCTCATCATCATAGGTTTCGTTGTTCTACAAAGTCATTATGATGTGACGGATCAGGTTGAGACCACAGTGATTTTTGCGTCAATTTACGTTCTCTGTGGCATGATTATTATGATGAAAGCGAGGTATTTCTGGACGTGGTTCGTGCAGAGAAGTTCCTTCTGGGGAAATTGGAAAAATTTGAATGAAGAATGGAAAATTGTTGAGGCGAACGACGCTAATGTCCAATCACCTGTTTCGCCTGTCTGACTTAACTGACCTTGATAGGAACTTCGACTTCGGAGGAGAGGAAATTGATGAAGATATTTAAACCTTCTTTATTACTGTAGTTGGTTGAATCTATACTTCCATCGCTTTCGCGATGCCAACCATTTTATATGGTATTAAAGCTATTAGGTTTTCCTACTGGATGCAAACTGTACAATCTCATGAAGGAAAAATACACACAAATTAACGTTTCCTTATGAGATGGAGCTCAAGAAGAAATTTTAACTGACAATAGTCAATTTCATGAAATGCTCAATTATCCATTCTACAATCCATGTGCTTTATATTAGTGCCAACTAAATTACCAAATGTTGTTTTAAATTGTAATTTTTTCAGTAAGAACAATTATAATTTTTTTGCCCCAAACTTGGCTCGTTGTGAGGGTTTTCACCCGATGACCGATAGGATATAAAATCGTAGTGAGACTAAACTCCGGTATATAGAAATCTACAACAAAATGGCGGACGACATCAGAGCAGGTAAAGTACTCCTTATTCCTATTTTGTTGCAAGGAAATTATTTTTTAAAGGCTTTAAAAACAAACTACTTATGCCATTTATCTTAAAGGCGGTGATGAAGAGAAAGGTATTCCTGTACTGGCTAAGGATACGTTGGTAAGGTTCATATTCCAAGTTCAAGGAGTGACAGTTTGTATTTTATAAATAATTTTACTCTGATTTTATAACAGAAATTCACGAGTTGTTTATATTTTACGCCAGGATGTCGACCTTACACACAGGCAAATTGAAAAGATTGAAAACATAGGACACTTGGAGAATATAGAGGTATGTTTTAAGAGGAGATAGAGTAAAAGTTTTAATACTTTTTATTTGTAGCATGATCAAAATAATTATCTGTTCATGTTTGCCATAGACATTATGTTTTCGACGGAACAAGATAAGCAAGATTGAGGGCTTAGAAAATTTGATTACTTTACAAGAGCTGGACTTTTATGATAATGAAATTCAGAAGATTGAAAACTTGGAGTTACTTGTTAATCTGAAGTACGAATCATATATTATTTTATGAATACATTTAATCCAACATTTTATACTTGAATTCCTTTTAAATTCAACTATTTTTCTTGTAGGATTTTAGATCTTTCATTCAACGCAATAAAGGTGGTGGAGAATCTTTCAGCTTTAGTTCAATTGCAGAAACTATTTTTGATTGAAAATAGTTTTACTAAAATTGAAAACTTGACTACATTGTCATCCCTAACTATGCTTGAGCTTGGAGCAAATAGGATTAGGGTAAGTCAGGTCCCTGGCAAGTCAGGGAAATCCCAAGGCCTTGTAGTGCTTGTCGGCCTTGTCTTGTTCACCAATTTTTGCTGAATTTGCTACAAATAGAGCAATTGATTTTACCAGGTCATCGAGGGCTTAGATTGCTTGGTAAATTTGGAAAGCTTATTTCTTGGTAAAAACAAGATCAGTAAACTAGAGGTTTGTATGTTTCTGACGTAACAAAAGCTCTCATTTTTCCTGCAGAGTTTATATTGAGGACATAAAATCAATCTTTTTTAGAATCTTGATAGTCTGAAAAACCTGAGACTCCTCAGCATTCAAAGTAATCGTATCACGAAGCTTGAAGGTCTTGATAATCTGGAATGTTTAGAGGAATTATATATTAGCCATAATGGGATTACTGCCATTGAGGGACTTGAAAAATTGGTAAGAATTGTCCTGTGTCTCTTCTTTTCCCTACTTTCCTTCATTCGAAACCAGTGTGAGTTTGAAATATTTACTTGCATCCAAGGTCAATCTCACAACTCTGGACTTGGCTTCAAACAAAATCACAAGGATTCAGAATGTTAGTCATTTGACTAAACTAGAAGATTTTTGGGTAAGTTGAATGTGTCTTGCAATTTTTCATCCTTATCAGTGAAGTTAGTTATTCCCTTTCATATTTTAATTATAGTTTAACAACAATCTTTTGGAGTCATGGAAGGATCTTGATCAATTAAAGGAAATAGAAACTCTAAACACTGTTTATTTCGAAGGCAACCCCATTGGTAAGGATGTCAATTACAGAAGAAAAGTAAAACTAACTTTACCATCTGTTAAGCAGATCGATGCAACTTTAACAGGATAATAGAGCTGTACTGTATAACTTTGTAAATTATGTATTAATAGTTTAATTGAAAATATAGAAAGCACAACTACGATCAGGCTTCCATGTGCCAAGAAAAACAACAATTGGTAGATATAGGAGTTATATATTTCTGTTATATATATATATTTTTGGCAATATATATTTATGTTATTTAGAAATAAGATTTAGTGGCTGGTAAAAAACACCAATTATACTGATAATTCAGGATCACAGATCCCAGGAGACTAATTTTTAGATAAATTATTTTTTGTCATTTATCATATAAATATTTATTTACTATCCTAATATCAATGTCTCCAAGAGGTGGAACACCTCCACAAGTTCTGCCATTAGCTTGTAATTCTTCAGGTGCTTTTCGAGAAAATTTGTCTAGTATAAGAACCAAAAGATTAAGATATGAAATTTTACTTAACATAAAGTTTGCAGCAATTTGGACTTACCAGTCAAGGTGGAAATTGAGTCCAATGGAGGTGTTTTAAGAAAATTCCAAAAGACATAACAGAAAAGGATGAATAGCAATGTTACACAGCAATACAGTGGACCAGCAAACACCCAAAAACTAGGATATAGATCAAAGGTCTTTGGCATAAGACTTCCATGGGTCAGGGGCAAGTGTTAGTAAAAGTACTAAAGGTGTCCACAAACCGTTGAGGGAGATATGTAATACCCAGCATAGTCAACCAGGACTCTGGCAAGTATGCCCATGAAATGTACAAACCTAAAAATGCATAATTATTAATAGATATGTCAACCAATCAATTCAATGTAGCAATTTGTAATGTTTGTATTAATAAATATTTTTACCAAATAACATGTAAGTTGCAACGTAAAGAACAAATCCATAGATCGCCCTTTCAGGAGTCGGTGAAGGGGAATGTTCGGCCATTTCTCCAAAAAGCTTACAAGTTACAACTTGTACTGCCTGGAATAAGGGAATTTAATTTTTTGGTAGCGCTATTATAAAAGGGTAAAGTTTTATGTTCAACAGGTTATCTGCGCCCCATTCGATTGCAGGCTATAACTCGATCATCTGTCACTATAACCGAAGATTGAGAGTTTCACAGATGAATTGATAGAATTGACTGAATTATGATCACTAATATCTGTGATCATGCTTTGCGAGAATAATCAATACAAATTTTCTTCTGCCGACAAAATTGGCGGAGAATATTCGCCCATATGTTTGAAATCTTTTTTCGGGATTATTTTGTCGTCCGTGGTGAAGTTTTTGGCAGGCGGAAGGGAGTTGACTTGTTGTCGTTTTGTATTTTGCGAAAACTTACCCAGAAAAAGAGAAAAGAAAATGGTAAGGTGTTAATATACAAAGCACTAATTCACTTAGAAACTGAGTGTAGCTTGCAGGTGTATAACCTCCATGTACTTTGAAGATTTTTTAATTTCTATACCGGCAATTCCTAGTTGTATTTTAATAAATTATTGTTTATTTTATAATGTAATCCTTCGGGTAATAATCGCCGATACATGCATTCATTGTCAATATAATAATTTTCCTGTGTCCTTTCAAGTTCTGGTGCTTAGTTTAAAATAATCAGATAAGTCTACGCGTTAAACCAACTTGAAATTGAAATATAAAGTTTGTGAAAGATTGATATCCCTGGAGTAAATATTTTGGTACAAAAGTTTTACCGTCTTGAAACAAGTGTGGTGTCAAATTACTGATCTGACAGGCAGAGAAAGATACGGAAATACAAGTTGGTAGTCAGTACAGAATTATACCTGTTTTGTTTAATTGATTATGGTAAACTAAATCAATTCATTCTTCAAAGGAACTTGCTGTCCTTCCCTGATGTAGTTCCAACTTTGTTAAGGATATAGGTTCATATAATCTTACAATGTTGTGCCATACCGATTTAGTAATTGGTCACTCTTGGTTGTACTTTTAGACGGAACGACAACTGGACTATGCATTGGATTTAATGCGAAGACTTCCTCCTCAACAGATTGAAAAGAATCTTAGTGATTTAATTGATTTGGTAATGAATTGATGGAATTGTATTTTTCATTTACTTAAAGATACAGAGAGATATAATTTCATTTTTAGGTCCCGGATTTATGTGAAGACCTATTATCATCTGTTGATCAGCCTTTAAAAGTTGCTCGAGATAAGACAACTGGAAAAGACTACCTGTTATGTGATTACAACAGAGATGGTGATTCTTACAGGTGCACTATATATAGAAAGTTAGATTTAGCTTTAAATGACATCCAATTGATGAGCAGTTTATATGCTAATTCCAATTGCAGATCACCTTGGAGCAATTCATATGACCCACCATTAGAAGACGGTGCTGTACCATCGGAAAAACTCCGGAAACTTGAGCAAGAGGCTAATGTAGCGTTTGATCAATATAGAGAAATGTATGCATGGTTAAATTGTAAATTTGAAGTTTCTCTCTTCACCTCATGTGGCAATGCCTAGTGTAAAAAATATCTATCTCTCTAATCATAACTACCAAACACAGTTCATTTACTATTACTTCACTTGATATAATCCCAGGTATTTTGAAGGAGGTGTTTCGTCAGTATATCTTTGGGACTTGGATCATGGCTTTGCAGGTGTAATTTTGATCAAAAAAGGTACATAATATGTCATACAGATTCTCCTGTTTTTAAAATAGAAATGTTTAAATTTTATCAATTCTTTATAGCTGGGGATGGATCAAAGAAAATAAAAGGTTGTTGGGATTCAATTCATGTTATTGAAGTCCAGGTAGATTCATAAAAGATTTTCAAATTCTTCGTTATTTCTTGTGGTACTCTTGAGGTAATGAAGGTAAAATACTAATTCTTACATATAGGAAAAATCAGGTGGACGTAATGCTCATTACAAACTCACATCAACTGTTATGCTGTGGCTACAGGTTAGTTTTAAGGTGCTTTTCTTTCAAATAACATATAATACTATAATTACATATTCTTAAACTATTATTTTTTATTTCCATGTATATGTTATGATGCTGATAATATAAGTACATTTTTTTTCCAAATAGACAAACAAACAAGGTTCTGGAATTATGAATCTTGGCGGAAGTTTAACACGTCAGGTATGAATGAATGCTCAGCCTCAAGTTAAAAGTTTCATTTATAAACTCTCATCAAATAACCAAGCTTCGTTATTAACTCAAATCCCAAATTTATAGGTGGAGACAGATTCCCCTATCTCTGAAGCTGGCTCGCATATTGTGAACATGGGAAAGTTGATAGAGGTAGGATTGATTTGATTAAATTTTGGTTAAAGTAAATTAAGTTTACATATGGATTAGGATACAATAGCATACCAATAGATGGGTTTTGATTTCTACTTTTCTAATGTAGGATATGGAAAATAAAATGCGTAATACACTCAATGAAATTTACTTCGGTAAAACAAGAGACATAGTCAATGCTCTCAGGTACAGTAATGCAATGTTTCATCCATCTCAATAATGAAATATCTAACTTGAAGACAAGTTATTACAGTATCCCAGTAAAATCATTGACAAGTTATTCTCTTTCATATAAAGGAGTATTCAGAGTTTGGAAGATGCTGGAAAAATGAAGAATGTCCAAGCGGAATTATTCCAACGTCTGCAGAACAGAGGGAAATAGTTTTCTACTTTATTTTGATGCATTGACATAACCAATATAAACTATTTGTATATGATTATACTTGGAAAATCTACCCAATATTTTAAGTGCAGTTGGTCAATTTTATTTTGCAAATGAAGTGCAAATAGTCTCTCATCATCATATTCATTAGATCAGAGTCAAATGTACTGTAATAAGTTTGAATTTTTTGTGTTTTCCTAATGATGATTGAGATTTTTTTGTTTTGAATGAACTAATGTACTGTGTCACATAAAGTATGAGATAAATGGAACCCCTGTAACCATTTTTTGTTATACAGTAACTTCTAAGAAATTTTATATTTTGAAGTCTTGGTATTGCCTAGTCAATGGTAGAAAAAGGTTTGAGTGACGTCAATAGACCTTTCTTATAATGACGTCAAACACGGGAAGTTTGATGTTACACGATATTTAATTGGCTCCACAAAACTGTTGAGCCAATCAAACTTCGTGTAACATCAGACTTTCCGCGTTTGACGTCATTATGAAAAAGGTCTATTGATTTAGGTTTACAATGGTTTACCAAACCCACCCCTCTCCTAGGCGGGGTCAAGCCGACTTCCGGTTTTTGCCGAAGTTCAAACATTTCCGACAGATTCCGATTGTCCCAAGATTAGAAAAGCTTAAAAATTTTTTAAGAAACCAAAATAAATAGTTTTATTATAAAGAGATTTACAGTCATTAATTGTTTCAATGGTTCTCGCTACCCCAATGGATGATCTGAATACGATACCAGTCAAAGCATTTTATGATCGGTAGGTTTTTCTGTGTTTATAATGGCAAAGATTTGCGCTTGAATTTTTAAAGTTTGGGTTGGGTAGGTGACCACAAAATATGTAATCATCGTTGACTGTATCCATTGCCTCTTTCAATGTATCTCTGTTGGTATTTAATTTTCCAGATCTAATTATCAAGGTTTTAAACTCATGTAATGTCATTGTAAACATATGTATTCCAAAATATTCACCGTGTTTTCCTAAATATTCAAATTATAGACCAACGTACACTTATCATTATACAGCAATATTCTATAAACAGAGACTAATCACTGGCTCATACAAGGTGTTTAGTCTGTGATATCCGTATTTAAACATGTAAACCAGTGTTAAAACCCCACTGGTATTGTTTCATGATGCTGCAGTGATATAAGTATGGCCATAGTACATGTAAAATAAAAGAGTCACCAATTTCATCCATGCATGCCAAACCAAAAATTGAGCATACCAGGTTCAAGTGGACCAGCCATACTGATATTGAAAATGCATTTTATAACTACCATAAAAGAGGCCTGTCCTAAACCTGACCTAGGTAGCTTTTAATGTGAAAAAAGCCCAAGTTTTGTTTCAAGTTTCAAAGTACAGCAAATCAGAAGATTCGTAAACTGATTTTTGGGTTCTTATTTTGATTTAGTGATATGATATGTGCGAACATGGATCGTGGGATGAGTGCAGATGAATTACCAAAGTATGTGAAAGAGTTATTCAAGTTTAAACCAACAGATGAGCTAACTTTGAAATGGCTGGATGATGAGGGTAAGATATATATGACAGGAAAAATAGACATCTCAACCTAAGGGTCAACTTTGTCAGGAGATCCACAAAATGGTAGACATCTTCAGTAAAAACATTGAGAAGTTTTGTCTGTTTGAGGCAGTTGTCACACAAAACTTGTTGAGAAGTTATTTGGAGACAATGCTTTACAGTTCCTGGTTATAATGACAGGAAAGAATTATGAGGACAAAAAAAATTTGATAATTTTACCATTTTTATAAATTTTGATATGCACAATTTTAGGAGATCCTTGCAGCATCTCATCTCAAGATGAGTTAAATGAAGCAATAAGGTTATTTGATGTGAACAAAGAAGCACAGTTAATACTTCATGGTAAGTAATTACAACATGCTTCTAAACACAGAATTATGAGTGTTTGTAAGCTAAATGATTTCAATTAAATGACTACTTTTTGTTGCCTTAGTTTTTAAGGGAACACCAGAAGAGCCAGGCAAACTATGTGAAGGAGAAACAAGTAAGTCCTCTTTAAGTTATTTCTCAATATTTCTCAAGTCAGTATACATCACCATCTTTAAGTTAGATCATAAACTTGTCCAGTTCAAAGGTTTAAAGCTACCCTAAAGTTTGCTCATTATGACTATAAGCTCATAGCCAGCTGCCTTTAGTTACATTGTTAGCTTTCAGTTCAAAGGTTCAAAGCTACCTTAAGTTCTCATATGACTTGACTTATAGTTAGCCACCTTAAGTTAGATCATCAACTATTCAGTTCAAAGGTTCAAAGCTACCTTAAGTTTTCTTATCACTTGATGTATAGCCAGCCACCTTAAGTTAGATCATCAACTATTCAGTTCAAAGGTTCAATGCCACTCTAAGTTTGTTTAGGATTTTCAGCCAATAGATAGCTAGCCAGCTTGTCACTAAAATAGGCTTATTAAAATCATAGGATTATTTCCTGTATTGTAAAGGAAAATTTTTTTAAACACCTGCGATTGCTATTCTGACCCAGTGAATTTATTATCCAAAGTGATCATAAAGTCTATCTTGAAGTTCCAGAACATTTTTTAGCTAATATAGAACACAAATACGTTGCATTATTCATAATATTCATCACCTGTTCAAAAAGCAATATTTCTAACCATACATAATTAATATATGTTATTATTTTCTCTTATTCTGTGGTTGAAACTTATCCATTGCTATGTGGGCAGTGCTGTATGTGTTTGCAATAATATTGTGTCAAGAAATAGTATTTTTGAGATTACTTTTGAAAACAAAGTGTTATGTCATTAGATACGCTTCGTTAGGCGCTCTTCAATTGCAAGAACTCGCTAGACCTAGTTAGCTATCGCTGGATGATCGCCGTAATTTTATTTTTCCGATCGTGAAATTGAAAATACGACTTTGACAGCTGGTTTGAATTAAAATAGAATGGATTAGAGAAAAAGTGAAAATTGATAGACCCTATGCCATGCCAAAGTTGTTATTGTGGTTATTGCTGTTTCCAGCAACGCCAGCTATTGTCGTAAATAAAGTATAAAGATTGATCATCCGTGATGTACTCTCTCGTGTATTTGGACCTCCAAACTTCAGGAAACACTTTGTAAACTGCCATCTGCATATCCGATTTTTGTTTAATATTTGAACTGTGTGAGATCGATTAGTTTACCTAAGTTCTTAGCTAGAAAAAGCAGTGTTTTGGAGTGAAATCGCTATGGGTTTCATGCTTTTGGAATGATCGTCTGGAGGTTTTTAAACGCACTATGGTTCACGTGAAAATTTGATTAAAAGATCTAGGAAAGGGAATCGCAAGGCTGTGGCACTGGATCTGCTTTGCTATACGAAGCAATCTTTGGTATATCATTGTGCAAGGCTTCATGTTTGCATGCAGACGATAATATATAATATTCTGAAGGAACGTAATGGTAGGAAAGAATAAATTGATGTTTAATGAAAGCAACGAAAGCATCAGGAGTGAATTCACCGTTAATCTGAGAAGATATTCAACTGGGTTGACTGACGTTGAATATTCACCGACATTTCCTAACACGTGGAAAAGTTTTCAACAGTTGACGAGATTTGATTCGAGTCGACAAAAGCGATACACGGTTGCCGTTGGTTCTTTTCCAACACCGAGTTTTGAACAAGGATTATCCTCGTCCAGTGAAAGCGACGAAGCTGTCTTTAATGATGAACCAGCTCCGCCTTTGGCGAAAGACGGAAGCAACAGCACATCAAAAAGAAATCGTTTTTCTTCGGGTTATATCTTAGGATTCTTTCTGAGGAAGCAAAACTTAGCAGAGTGTCGGCAAGAGAACGTGTCCAGGAAATATTCTCAACAAAATGCCAAGCAATATAACGAAACAGCGAAACGAACTCCAGTAGTAAACACCTGTGAGAGAAAGAAACAGCAGCGCTTGCATAAAATACATTCTGTTCCCAATATACGAGCAAAACCTAGTCCACAAACCAAGGGTAGTGCGTTCTCGTCTTTAAGCAATAAATATAATATTTGATGTATAATTTTTTTATTTTGCTGCGCAGTGGGAGATCGACGACCCTTTAGAAGCACTTAGCATAAGGATATAGAGTGCATTAGGCCATGAAATTTGCATCATGAAATCTTGATGAGGTGATATTTATTCATCAAGGTGTCAGCTGTGTGTAGATATGGCCAGGGTCCCCTTTAGGCATGTGCAATTGAGGCTTTCTTTTGGCTAATTAATTTACATTAAGTATGAACGGTTATCGTAGTATGCGCATCATATTATCAAGAGAGAAATACCCAAATACGCAGCTCTAGACTAATTAGCCCTATTAGCGTAACGGTCGGCGATTTGACCAGAGAGTCAGTGAGTTACCTGTGTTTACACAGAAGAGTCTGGGACTTGCTATCAGCGTATCTAAAACCTTTGTTTAATTAAGATCTTAATATTTTAAGGAAATATTTATCGTCGAGGGGCAAGAAGATGGAGAAAAATTTACAAAACTAACGGACATTCATTCGTCGCCAGACGATTTAGTCGGGTAAGTATTTGATATTCTAGAGCGCTAGTTCAATCTAGTGCACATATGAAGATCAGTGGCTAATCCTCACCTTTTTCCATTAGCTTGCACAGTGCGAATGCTGTACTGATATCATCTGGGGTCTTGGTCGACAGGTATGCACTATTACTAAATCTATCAACCATTGACCAGTTATGTTGAATATTGCGTTGGGCATGGAACGAAGATGAGAGATTCATCAGAGTTTGATCGTCGTACTGCTCTCCTTTTCAGGGTTACAAATGTTTAGACTGTCGTGTTATAGTTCATAAGAAATGTCATCGACTTTTGCGCAACAATTGTGAACAAATCCGGGTGAGTGCGTCGTCTTCACAGTCGTCCAGTGTATCCAGGACTCATCTACGTCATCGTGATGTCTCATCCTGTCTTGAATCTTTATTAGAGCCAGAATGCTGCGTACTCATCGTTGCCTTCAAACTCTGCGGTCGGGAAGACAGGAAAGGACAGCGACCCTGGTGTTAAGAGAAGTCAGTTGAACGTCATTTTACTCATAAAGAAGTTTTTCTTCATTGTAGGAAGTTTCTTAATTATCTGTTTATTTTCTTCAGCTAAAAGTGACAGCCCACAACGACATCGCAAAGCTCTCCTGCAAAACGCGTACAATAATTCCTTTGCCTCATCACAAAGTGTAAGTAACAGCAGCAAGTCTCGTTAACGACACAAGCTTCAAGCAAAACTCTGCTAAGATTCAACTTGTATTTTTTTCAGGCCTTGGAAACGAGTAAATCCCATGTAAATGTGAACGATTTTGATTTTCTTCGTGTCATTGGAAGGGGAAGCTATGCTAAAGTCATATATGTGAGTATAATAACAGATATTAGTCTTCTTTTCATACCGATATGTTGAAAGTTAATCGTATCAAAATTGTGTCCATTTTTCAGGTTAGTCACAAGAAAACTGGCAGAAAGTACGCGATGAAGATTGTGAAAAAAGAACTTGTTAATGACGATGAGGTTAGCATTTCATATTTTTAAAAAGAAAGCCATCCAGATTGCGGAAGCTGGCGGTCAGAAAAAAGACTTGCTTGTGAAGGTGTTCTGATCTTGCAATTATCACTGGAACGAGGTTTCTGCCAATGTTTCTTACATACCGTTGTATTTCACAGGATATCGACTGGGTTCAAACAGAGAAACATGTATTTGAACAAGCCTCAAATCATCCGTTTTTGGTCGGTCTGCATTCGTGTTTTCAGACGGCCAGCAGGTTGTTCTTTGTGATCGAGTTCGTGGCTGGAGGAGATCTTATGTTTCATATGCAGAACCAGAGAAGACTGCCCGAGGATCACGCAAGGTGCGGCAAAACAAAGTTCTGGTTTGAGGGTCTACGAGCCTGTACGCAGACTGTAGGGTGTACACTACGAGACTGTTTCTATGCCTTCCTATTTCTTGTTAAAACATGTCAGGTTTTTGAAAGTTGAAATATTTTATAATAGGTTTTACTCGGCGGAGATTGCGTGTGCTTTGAATTATCTTCACGAGAATGGTGAGTTTTGCATTTGTTTGCAGAGAAGGATATGAAATGTTATTAGATAAACCAACTTCTTTGTTTAGGAATTATTTATCGAGACTTGAAATTGGACAACGTTTTGCTGGACAAAGATGGTCACGTTAAGCTAACAGATTATGGCATGTGCAAGGTATGACGTTATGGCGGTATCAGTTTATGTTATGACAGCCACGAATAATTATGATTCTGACTTCTGTGTTTATTTGATAACAGGAAGGCTTAAGGCCTGGGGATACAACAAGCACATTCTGTGGAACACCAAACTACATAGCACCAGAAGTCCTCAGGGGAGAGGATTATGGTATGATATCTCTGTATCATTGTTGTTCTCTTTTTCAACGCTGTTCATCGTTTTAATTTGAACAATTTTGAACAGGTCTGAGCGTAGATTGGTGGGCGACTGGTGTACTTTTGTTTGAAATGCTGGCTGGTCGATCACCGTTTGATATCGTTGGCCATGCGGATAATCCAGATCAAAACACAGAAGATTATCTCTTCCAGGGTAAGTTTCTCCAGAACACATTATTGTTCAGGACATTAGAAACGCCCATCGGCCACACCGTACCTTAACTCTCTAACTCCCTACTCTTACATACTAGCCTTACACCCAAACTTTACTCACTAACCAAGTTTGCATCTGCTTAATACAGTTCTTGACACGTCTTCCTTCTAATATTTTTCAGTGATTCTTGAAAAGTCCATCCGAATTCCAAGATCGCTTTCCGTGAAAGCTGCATCGATCCTTAAAGGATTTTTAAACAAGGTTTTGCTCTTTCCATTACATTGTTTCATAAAAGAAAAACTGAATAAACACAGAACTTTTTGAACCCTGTCTTTTTTCGTATTCAGAATCCAGAAGATAGACTTGGTTGTCATCCACAAACAGGATTTGCAGATATTCAGTCGCATTTATTTTTCCGGGCTATAAACTGGAAACAGGTACGTTGTGTGCTGTGTCCCCCCCCCCCCTCTCTCTCTCCCCGTGCACGCGTAGCTTGAAGTGAATATAGAAACAGAATTGACAGAGATTTGTATGCTATATTTTCGTGTAGCTGGAGGCTCGTCAGGTAACGCCTCCGTTCAAACCAAGGGTAGAAGAGGGACAAGAGGTTGACAATTTCGATCCACAATTCACGGCTGAACCAGTCATACTTACACCCGATGATCCGTAAGTATAGAAATACAACCTCGATAATATTATGATTTTATTTGTGATTCCTAACTGAGGCGATAAGTTTTAGACTTCTCGTTGTTTCTAACAGTTTTCTCAACTCTTTCAACTGTGAGTTAATTGTACCGTCATTTATTAACTTCTAGGAAATTATTAGAAACAATCGACCAATCAGAATTTGAAGGATTTGAATACGTAAATCCACTTTTAACATCGGCCGAAGAAGTTGTTTAAATATGCAATGAATGGAAAGACAAGTAATCGCAAACAAATAATTTACATTCATATTACTATAAATATCACAAGTTGTGAATGTTCAGTATATTCTGACGTGCTGCTGTTCACTGCAAATTATTTATCTACGCGCATGCTCGGTTGTGATTCCTGCCATTTCCAAGATGGCTTTGTCAGGATTCTCATCCCAGGCCCCGGGAAGTTTCACCTGGAAAAATGTGAGAAGCGTTATGTATCAAAGTTCTTAGACGGAAACTGATAAATGACACAAACTTCGAGAAAGCAAATATTAAATCATAGCGAATCAGTTTACCTTTTGTAATTGTTCAGCCTGTCGTTTCTCCCAATTTTGTTGTTGTTTTTGATCAGTTTCTGCCCGTAGACCAGCGCAGCCAAAAACCTAAATAAATACGCGTAGGATTTGATTCAAAGAGCGGATATTTTAAATCTCTTTGCATTTCAAAATCACCTGTATTCTTTGTACAGAGCTTTCCTGTCCGCCCAGATAACCAAGTGATACAGTTGTTAAGCCATCAAGTAGCGATACTTGCGGCTTACTTGGGTTATTTCCTAAGATAAGACCAACAGGAAGACCTCGGTTTTTTTCGTTAAATAATACGATATTCTTATCTGCAATGAAAAGCATAGCAGTTGTAGTGTGTTTGGGAGAAACCTACTAAGGAAATGCTGATCTTACCAGCAAGAATTTTAAACTCTGGATTAACTTGATATAGACGGGTATCACTGCTCCCAAAGCATCGTGAGGATTCTCTCCATTCTGTATCCATTGCTAGCACAAGTTTTACGTTGTTTTCCAAGAAAATTGCCATCACAGTTGGTTCGCGGTATGAAAAACAATGATGTTTAAACCTTGAAAAATTATCAAAATGCAATTGCAAAAGACAGCATTCAGTCTCAGAAGCAAAAAATTTGGATTTCAATTACCTGTTATGACTAAGTCCATGCTCATTGCTATCGTAAAGTCTTCGCCATTCACTCGAAAAACTTTCCTCCTTAAAAACAAAAATTACGCAATTTGCCTTGGGTCAACACTGTACTCACAAAAGGCATAAAAACAATGGATAATCAGTTGAACTACTACATTATTCATTGTTTTTAATGCACTCTGGAGAAGCAGCCTTAGCTTGAAGGTCCACCGGTGCAAATGGAAATCAGTCTTGTAATAAGCTGTACTTACGTGCTTATCCGTCTTTTGGTTGATCTTTAAAAAAAGTGATGGAATTGAAATGGAAAGAAGCCATAGTTCAAGTGAATCCAGTATTTCATTAGAATCTGAGGAACTTGGGCTCAGCAGTTGTATTCTTGTACACCTCTGGAAATTTTTAAGAAATGGAAGTGGAGAACCCTTTAGACTTTGGTGGGTGAGTTTTGACCATAGAAAACAACTAAACCTTACTTGTTTAGGGAGAGCTATTTCACTTGAACTTTGTTTGGATAATGAACTCAAAATCCAGCAATGAATGGGAATAAATATTCTTGGCCATAACTGAAATACTCCATTTACAAATTTGTCTGTGTTCACGTTGTTCTTTCCTTGGTTTAACTAATATGTGATGATACAGTATTTAAACTCTATATATTATGCTCATAATTGCTTCAGTATTTGACCATTGAAAATAGACTATTGATGTGATGCATCATATTTACCAAATGTTTTGCAAATGCCTGAAAATGTGGAGCATGAAGAACTTTATCTTTGTGTTGAAGTGAATAAGTAGTTGACAGAATGGTTGCTATATCTAGTGAAGAAATTATGGATGATAGGGGTGTGGAATGCTCTCAATGCTTGTTCTGGTAGATCATTGTTTTCAACTGCATATTATACCTTGACAGTCTAATTTTTCTTTTCCATCACTAAGCATCTCAACATAAAATGTCACCATATCTTGAGAACCATATTCTGAATTTGATAGGGATAATCAGGCAGGTTACAACTGTTGAGATTATCTGAGTTCTTAGTGCAGAGCAATGCATGTAGCCTCTAGCCCTCTACTCAATGCATTATGCCAAGCATTCCTATGGACATTATCACCTACTTGTTTTCCTAATTATAGTGCTGCTACAGGCTGCAAAAGTTTACCTAATTTTAGCAGTTTGTCAAATCCTATGATAAAGGATGGTTTATCCAACTCCTGGCAAGGAACATTCCCTGCTATGGCATTAAAATATTTGAAAAGAAGTTCAATGATGGTCACATTTTCATCAGGTTGAAATATCTCCTATATTTTTACAGAAATGGTAATCTTGTTAATGATTAACTTAGAAATTATCAAGTTGTCAATCAAACACACCAACAATTGATCACCTTAAACCCAGAGATTGTACCAATTTGTGAACCATCTTTCACTGTTGAAATATCCTAATAAAACTCAAAAATTAAATTGAAGGCTGCAATTGTGGACGGATCGCAAAAACAGTATAAGTCAGATTAACTTACCTGAAAAAGCTTGGCAAGAAATGTGAAATATGGAGAACTTTTTAAACTATCTGGTATATTCGACTGACTATAACTATTGCCCATTAAAATATTAGACAGATTTGGAAGTCTTAGTGCAAACCATCAGCACAGTATAAAAATAGTTGGTACAAACAAAGAGTATTATATACTGTATAGAAAAGTATTTGTTACATATTGTCTTGCGTGACGCCCCCGCGTGGGTACACGAATAACAGTGACACGAATTGTTTCAACAATACAGCTGCAGTTTTATCATTGCAGAGATGCTTTTTTCGTCGATTTTTTTGCGCTTTTCGTAGACGTTTAGAGAAAATGAGCACTGCTAACACTAGCACGGATAATAAACTCAACAAGGAAGCGAAGTAAGTACAATAAATAGTCATTTTTGTATGTTGAGTCACCGCTTCCATTTTCATTTTGTTGCTATGGTGCGTTTCAACGATAAAATAAAATTCATTTTATATTTTTGTATTAAATAGATACCCTATAATTTCTTGCAAGATCAGCCCTTGCTAAGCTAATATGTGCAACGGCCTCAATTATCTCCAATAGAGTAATGAAAATCCAAACTAATCTTTATATTAATTTTCAGCCACTATTAATTTTCAACCAAATCCTTGCATTGATATAGCATATGGCTTGATGCCCACCATGATCCGGTGTCATCCCTGCATACATTCACATCTTGCTTATCTCTCGCCGATCTTCATGCAGATGGCGACCACAAACTTTTGGTTGCAGACCTGGGTAACAAAACGCATGAAATGAAACTGAAAGTTTTCAAAGGTACCAATCTTATGGTGGAAAGTTCCATCATTGATCTTCCTACTGGTCTTGCCACATTTTACATGGACACAAATGAACCACGGACACCAGCAGTCGCTGTTGCTTCAGGGCCCTACATTTATGTCTACAAGAACCTTCGTCCATATTTCAAGTTCACTCTTCCTCCATTAGAAGTGAATTCTGTTGAGCAAGACCTTTGGAATCAAGTAAATGATGAAAAAATTGATGTTAAAGTATTGAGAGAAATGTTAGAGAGTTTGCAGAATGAAGGCAGCGAAGGACTTCTCACTGTCCGCTCACTTCGTTTTCTCCAACTAGAAGAAGATGAGCTTGAATCATTTGCAGCCCTCTACAAAAATGCCCCATTAAAACGGCAGACAGTGATCACATGCATGACTACGATGAAGAAAACGATGCCAGACAACGATGCTATAAGCTGTCTTGTTGTTGGAACTGAAAGCCATGATATATACATCCTTGATCCTGAAGCCTTCACCGTTCTTGCAAAGATGAGTCTACCTAGTGTTCCTGTGTTTGTATCTGTTTCAGGATTGTATGATGTGGAGTTCCGTATTGCAATTGCGTGTCGCGATGGTAATATCTATACAATAAAGAAAGGTGGGAAAGCCATACGCACCTGTGTCGAAGTTGGCTCGCAGATTGTTGGTCTTGAAAGAATTGGAAAAACCCTCGTTGTTGGTTGCATGAATAACAGCCTTGTTTGTTACTCTTCAAAGGGACGTAAACTTTGGTCTGTGTATTTACCAGAAAGCATCACCACCATGACCAATCTCAACCACAAAGCAAAAGGCTTCAAAGCTGTTCTAGTCGCCCTAAAGAATGGTGAAGTGCGTTTGTACAAAGAGAAGTTTTTGTTGAGCATATTGCAAGTTGATGGTCCTGTCACTGCAATGCAGTTTGGAAGATTTGGTCGAGAAGAGAGTTCCTTGATCCTGGTGACGCAACCTGGTGGAATGTATGTAAAAATACTAAAGCGTACAGCCTCATTTGAAGAGAAAGATACAGCATCAGGTCCACCTCCAGCACAATCAATCAAGTTAAACATCCCAAAGAAAACCAAATTGTTTGTAGATCAATCTTTACGAGAGCGAGAGAATGGCACAAGTATGCATAGAACATTTCAACGAGATCTGTGTCTGCTTCGTCTCTCAGCTGCACGGTCTTATGTTAGCGCACTGGAGAAGAGTCTCAACCCTGTGTCTACATCAGGTGAACCAATCAAAGTCTCTGCCCATATTCAAGGATTTGGTCCAGCATTTAAACTGACCATCAAGCTCCAGAACACGTCATCAAACACGCCATCCACCAACCTTCTCATTGCCTTCCAATTCCTAGAAAGTCTGTACAATCTCAGCCGGCCTTGCATTCCAGTTCCATTGCTTATTCCAGGAATTGAGTATGTGTTTGAAACGTTGGTAGAGTGCATTAGTGATAAAGGAATTGCAGATTCAATCAAAGTATTTGTGGTTCACAAAGGGAAGAGTGTTCCAATAATCACAGCTGTTATTAATATGCCTGTCAGTGAAGCTGTGGTTGCTGTATAGTAGTTGTACAAGTTGGTTGATTTTACTTTGCAAAGATAATACATTGATAATACATGATTTCACCTAATTCAAAGATGAATCTGCCCTAAAACATTATCTTTGTCCTTCACCGTTTGTATTGTTAATAATTTAGAAGATTTATCATTATCTTTATTAAACGTCGTTGTAATTCTTCATATGTACTGATAATAAAATGTTTATTAATAACAAGTTGTAGACATCTCGCAGGCTAATATAGCCACACTATTGACACAAAATTTTACATACAATTCACTTTCCTTTCATCCCAGCAGTTCCATGCTTTCTACATAGTTTATTTGAAAAATTTAGTATTTATTCATTTCCTGAACTTAAGTTTATAGGTTATAATTATTAACGTCGTAATGAATGTAGTACATGGGGCCTATTGATGAGAAAACGTGTATGTTCCAGATGAAAAATGTTAATACAATGCCACGTCTCGTGATAATGTGATTGTTTGACTGGAGTCATTCTCATTAGTTTCACTTGATCTTATTCTAAATCCGCGCTTCAAGACTTCCTCCATGAGAGCGCCTTTAAGAAATGTCATGCTGTTATAGCTGCTCGTTAACTTTATCTCCATACTACCTCCGAGTGAAGTAATCGTGCGATGCACATTGCGTGGGGATTCTGCTTGAACAACGTCTCTAATAGGTCGAAGGATTTCACTTGGGCCACACAATGAAACGCATTTTGAAGATTTATTCACTTCTAGATACACTAACTGTTCTCTTTTATTTTGTACTTGAGCCATAATCACACAGGGACAGTTTAAATTAAGTCACCAAAATTACCAACAAACTCGATTTGAAAGAGAAAAGCAAGCGTTTCAGAAATTCCTACAACATGATACCAGTGGCTGTCATTTACATAACTTCCTGGAATCTTGCCAGGGTTTCTTGTGCAAGGTAACCCTGCTGTGCTCTCAGCATAAATCCGAATCAATGATTTACAAAGGGGTTTTAGCGGTTTACAGAGGGGTCCTAAAAACGTTGACTCGATCCGTAAAAATCTCCACTTTTTGTCACTCATTTCTCAAGATTGACTGATGAAGATGATTATTCAAATCATGGCAAAATTGTGCAAAGAATTACTAGTTCGCCTAAACCTTTCACCAAATTTTGATAGCCCTTTGGTTTTTTCTACAAGCTCTCTAAATTTTCCTTCCTGGAGTATCACAACGCTGTTGGAGGGCTCAGGGCCGACCGGCAAACGCGTGACGTACCAACGTACGTACCACGTACCAATAAAATATGTGCATGTCTTATTAAATTCAATGGCGACTGATATCCCTAACTCATTGTAATATGACACTTGATTATAAAAACTACAATAGTATCACTCGTGGTATCCTTGAATAAAAGACTTTTTAATTAAATTAAAGTATATTTCTATTCACTGTTCAAAAATATTAATAATGAAGTGCTCGGTCCACTCAGGGTGCTCTTTATTAATAGTGTTATAACACAGAAACGTCTATACGTTTTATAGCTTGAATAATTTGAAAGTCTGTGTCAATGTCTCGTGCGATGTCTCTTTAAAAATCTTTTCAATCTTCGTGAATCAAAATGATAGAATCGTCTTTTGCAGTTTGCATCGCCTTTGGCGCATATCTGAGTTGTAAAGCTTCGTTTAGAAGAGCCATTTTCAGAAATGTCGGGCTGTGCATTCGTTCATCGCCAGTCAGTCTTATCTCTGTAACACCTCCGAGGCTACAAACCTTGCACATCACACCAATCTTGTTATGGAAGGCGCTCCCGATGTCACGCAGGACTTCATCTGGTCCACAAAGCGAAGCACACGGCGGTGATTTTGACACTTCTATGAACAAATACTTATTCTTCAATTGAGACATTTTAGTTGATCATGCATAGACATGCAAATGGTATGGACTATTGCATGCCTGTGTTGAGTCTGTTGATTGGTCACATCAACCAACCTTTGATCTAATACCTAATGTGTGTGGGGAGTTTCACTTGTTTCCATCTTTCAAAATGATTTAATGTCTTTTCGTTTAAATTAAAACTCTTTAATTTCGTTCTTGAATTTTCTCAATGAATTAAGTCGCGCTATAATTTGGTTAGGGTCAGTTACACCCCGTGGTTGCACCGCCATTCAATCTTGAAATCATGACATGGTTTTAATCTTGAAATCATGACGTCACAGATTACTACGTATGACGACATTGGGACAGTCAAGAGCGATTTCTTTAGTCAGGATTGATGCACCCAAAAATGCATCCAGAAATGGTAGGAATGGTTCCACTCGCTAGCCTAATATTTGCATAATTTCTTTTGAATTTTAACTGCATAAATAAATTAGTTCAACTTGATTGTATTCAATTCAAAAGTGAATATGGAAATATTTCGATAGCAAACAATTTATCTGCAAGTGGAAAACGAGGCTTAGTGCCTTAGTCCGGTGATTGACCGCTCCATGTGAGAAACAGACACTGAGCTTGTTGAATACGTGAATTCGAGAAATACGAGCATTAAAAGAAGTCAACAATTTCCAGAAGAAGAAGATAACATATGTTGATAAACTGGGTTAACTGGCCGCCAGCAGAAGCACAGGATCATGTGAGGTAAACACTTTCTCGCTTCATTTACTTCACTAAAATTAGCCAAACCTACAATCCGGACGTCTCGTGTCTCTCTTCAATTTATGTTTGACTACAGACACGATAAAGAAAACCAATGATTCCACTACTGCATCGTTTGAACTACAGTGGCGGGGGGTTTTTTGACACTGTAAATTATACCACTGACTGTGCAGAGGATTAACCACTCACAATCTCACCTTTGCCGAGTTCTCCACAATTCAACTACGCAATGGGCCGGTCTCTGTCAAGTAATAGTCAACCTGGAGGAACCAGGTTAAGTCTCTATGCTATATTTTTTAAAGCAGATTCGTGCGATACGGAGGGTATCATTATTTCTCCCCTCAGTTGGAAAATCAAATGAAAGCGATGTTCAGTTTAGCAGTTTAGCCTGCTTCGATTGAAAGCAAAGCTAAACGATGCAAAGCCGGACCGAAAATCAAGCATAATTATTCATGCAAGGTGTGTGAATAATTAAGGTTGTGTGTTGACCTTGACAGGGTGTGGCCTGGGTGTTAGTGGAAATTGGTAAGCCTGTGAAGTTTAAAATGCGTGCTGTTGAAACACGTTAGGTTCATTGACCTACGGTTTATACAGTTATAGGTCAATGGCTAGGTTACATTGGAAGTGAAAAACCGAGTAAACCAATCTAGCCTTGTATTGCATAGAAATCAATTTATTAATATGACAGATCCGTCTAAAATTATTTCCTTATAATAACCCATGTCTCTGCTACTCAGTGCTGATTTCGTATTTTGGTGACACGACTCACCACATCTCCGCTGTTTCTCTTGAAATTGATCCTGTGTTTATATATAAGAAAACAATATTTGACATTCTTTTTCGAGATGACCATATTTAGTCATGGGTGAAATACATCTGCGCTGCGCCTCGCGACCCGCATTTCCAAAATTAAATTCCAAAAGTACTTGATGAAAGATTGATCCCAGAGCTTGTTAAGAACGCAAACCCTCACGTAAGCCTGAAGATAAAAACGCAAGATTCTCAGCTATATCATTCTTTACTGGAAAGCCTTCTGTTCAACGGTTCAGCGTATCAAACTGCAAAGAAAATAAGTTCTGGAGCACAATCATCATCATGCCAAAAACGATTAATGTCGTCGTGGAGATGGCGTAAGTATCTTGTTTTTGATTTGTGTTCGTTATTCACTGCATGATTAAATGCACCATCCACCAGGTATCGTTTTATCTGTCAAAAAAACAGTAAATTTTCTTGTTTGCTTTATTATTAAGTATATTAGTAGCGTATTGTAGCTATAAAATATACTGATCTTTATAAATGTAGGAATAGAGTAAAGAGATATAATACCTAAAACTCAGTTAATTCAATCGAAATGTCAAATTAACGAAATTATAACATTAGATTCAGTTTGCTTTTCACATGGTAACGCACAATTGTACTATTTTGCCTGATGGCTCCTGTGTAACAAAACCAGGATGTAAGATACGCTATTCTTTCGCTTCAACTTGAAAAGTGCATAATCAAGATCAGTATATGCGATGCAAATAATTGTCGAATATTAACATACAACAGATTAATTCGGACTGCTTGGATTGAAACTGATAAAGACCGTTAGAAAATGGACAGGATATCCTTTAATAGATATATGAGGTGGGGTTACTGGTGTTAAATTTTTTTTGGAAGCACGCAATTTATACATTTCCCGGCAATATTTGTTGGATCAAAATAAGCACTTGAAGTGGTTGTTGAAGGATATCCCTCGTAGGAATATTTTGACGGCCCCATTTGTTTGTCCGAATACAGTCACGTTAGTTGTTGATCGTTGTTGTGGGAAGGGTTGCTTATCCTTGAGATTTAGAAGACATGCCGAAAACCGTGAATGTTATCGTTGAGATGAGGTAGGAATGAACGTTGTTAAGATTGAGGATTAAACTGACTTTTTACTGATATTTTATTCTATATTGAGCAAATGTTTTACCAGGGAAGGCGTAAAGAATGTGATACGTGCATGAAATTGATAATTTTGCACTTCTCAATCTCAGACTCATTCAGTGATGGGTGTTGTAATTGGGATTGTTATTTCCTAACCTAAACTAGCGTGTTTTGCGTTGAAATCTTTCGCTGATTACCCAGAAACTAACGTTGGGATTCTCTGAGGGAATACGCTCAACATTTTTGCTGTGTATCTGAGCTACGCATAAAACACAGTAGGAATGACAATCAAAGATGACTGAGAAACTAATTTCAAGTCAAAGTCAGACACAACTATAACTGTTTGCAATGGTTTTATTTTACAATGTCTTGACCTTGTTGTTTCCTGCTGTGACGTTCAGACGCTAGACCACTTTTCTGTAGATAAATAATATTGATAGCACGGTATATCTGTTCTAATTTCAAAGAATCGTGCGTATAGTGATCATATCTTGTACGAGGATTCATAATTGTCTGAGCAAAAGCTCCAAGCTAAACAGATTTATCCCAAACAAATAAATTTGCCAAGCATCACAAGTTTGCTCTTCCTCTGCTCTTGGGTATTGTTATTATACTTATACTCACAATCTTTAATTAAATCTTCAAATTTATATTTATCCTTTGTCAACAACTACTGTCATGTGCAGTGAATAGCCGAAAAACATCACATTAAAGTCATACCGAGATCCGAACTCATAAGGCTCATTTGCATAAATTCCGTGCAGTATTATCACGAAACTAAAGCTAGTGATCGCTGTCGTGCTACAGATGATCGTTTCAAAGCCAAATAAGGAAAGATTGCATCCGCTTGTTTGGGCACAGAGAAAACAAAAATATCATTCATGACGTTTGTTTATGATGTTGGAGTTGTTGGAATACTTGTTATCTGATGGAAATAATTATGAATTATCATGAAATTGAATAACCTTCAACACTAAATTGTTCGTGCATGGCACCACAACGGTACAGCCATAAGTGCTGTGATGAAAACAAAGAGATACGGAAGAATAGTATTCCTAAAAATAGCGTGTCGATCAGATATCATGTCGTGATAATGAAGTACCGCTGTATACCGTGGCTGTGATTGTTGAAAACTGTTGCGTGCTAAAATTGTACATAATCGTTGCGTGATGTCGTGTGTCGCATGTTTTTGGCAAAGTTAGATAAATAAATAAATAGCATAAGAAAACAATTAGCGAATAGAGAGTGTCGAAAAATATATATCACTGTAATCACACTGATTAAATAAACCTTTATTGCTGTTCTATAGCGGCGAGAAAGCGTACCAGCTTCTCTTCGGAGAGATGTCCAGCTGGGTTCGACGTAAAACGCCTCAGGCTGAGTGTACCGGAAAGACTGGACCTTCAGGTAGATGCCAAGTGCAGGCATTTTTGTAATTCTAATCCTCTTGTTACCCAAGTTTCATATTTAAACCATCAGCGTTGAACGTGTTTTTTATTCTTTCAATTCAGGTGCATTTGAGATTTTTGTGGATGGTCACAAAGTTTTTTCCAAGTTGGAGAGAAATGGCTATCCAGTGTTGAGCGAAGTGAGGAACTTTATATATAGATCGTATGATATAGATTAACAAAGACAAGGTCTCGGGTGGTGAGTGAAGTTAGAGTTTTTTATTCTAAGGTTGCAACTGCAATTGAAAATTACTCCAAGGGCAAACCTGTGGTGGAAGTGACGAAAATCGCTCGCAAAAGATGCAAATGCCCTCACAACGATTGCGCATGTGGAGTAAGTACTACGGTACAGAAGGCAGATTGTCCGTGTGAGTGCGCTGGACAGTGTCACTGAATAACACATGAAAGTATTCTGGACAGTGTCACTGAATAACACACCAAAGTCAAGAAATAATAGTTTGTTTGGTTGTACAATGATGAATATTATCTAGTTATAAGTTGTTTGTAAAGTGAATATTAATAAATACACTGTTGAGATTTATATTTTGAATGTTTACTGGAAAGTTACATGCAATACACTGACATGGTAACAGAAAATTGCATGATAACAGCAAGTATCGTATATTAAGAACACGTTCAAATAGCAGGTCTGCATTTATAGTCATGAACCAACCTTCTGACCGATGTAAAATAGTGTTGATATTAATATGAGATCAGGTTTTGCTTACATGCTCAAACGCCCAAGGACGAAACACCCATATTTCATATTGTCATATAATATTTCATGACATATGAAATACTTAATTGCTTTAAAGCTTTATCACAAATTAAATTAGTATTTATATCATTATATGATTGGCTTGTGTGTATTGCAATTATTATTCTTTTTCAAATAAATAAGTTTTGTCTAAAATTAGTCCATTTCATGGTTTGAATTCATCCTCAGACAACATTTTAGCTGCTTTTATTGATTCCCATATCCAAGATGGTTTCACCCAAAACTGAGCTGGAGTCTCTTGGCCAGTCTGAAACAGATGAAGGAACTGAGTTAAATATCTGACCCTCATCAGAATAACACATAACCAGCATAACATATGACCAGCATCATTGTATCAGAAGAGGAATCACGTCAGAAGGTCTGTTAAAACAAATACCTTTTCAGATACAATATGAGTAGCCTGGCTTCTCTCGTATTCACACATCATCAGACCGTCATAACTGAGGAAGTTTAGTCAAGAAAAATAGAACGGTTGACCTGCTTTTATTCTAAGATATCTAAATAGCTAAGTGAGATAACTGACTTTGTATAACTGACTCAAAAGTATGTTTAAATATCCTAACATCAAGGAACTTAGGATACGCCACAATGTATCTCTTCAATTTTCTCGTATCTTTAACATCATCTTCGATGAATATTTTTGTTCCATGAAATATGGATGGCAGAGTCTAAACAAGAAAGTTTCAACATTTCGTCATGTGATATTTATCTAGCTGTCAATCAGAAATGTCACGTGTACTTCTCGTGACTAACCACGTCATCTTTTCTTTCCTCGTCTTCGCTGGCTTCATCGTGGATATAAGTTTCTCTGTGTTTGCGACTTTTCTGATAGCATTTTGAGCCGTACATACACATTGGTTTTGCCTTAGAAAATAATAATCCAGTTTCATTTATAGTAGGAAATAAAACAATAAAAACTCCTTACCTTCTTGCTTGACGTTGCCCCATCATCAGTGCCTTCACTTTTTCTCTTCTGTCCTCGACATCTCTCATCATCCCCAAACTCTCCACTTGTCTCAGGTTCTTCCGTTGTCTCCATTACGTCATCATCCTTTACTGTACTTGTCGAAGATACTGTTTTCATTTCTAAGTCAAATTTCGTCACATCAAAAATAGTTATAGAAATTCATCTTACGTTTATTCTCCAACACACCAACCCGAAGTCTCTTTTGATGCAGCGACAAGTTTCTATAAAAATAAATTCATTGGGGATTATAAAAATCTGGTGGATTTGGGCGACATGTAAGTCGAATCTAAGCGACAGCGTCGGACACAAGTTAACACCTTCAACTCTTGAAGATTAGTTGCAGTTGCCCAGTCTTTATCTTCTCTGACTTTTGTCACTCTTGGAAAACGAATTGAAATACCATCAGCAGTATGGGTTGTTGATTTACTAAACTCCGCTCCAGTGATTTCCCATACAGGCGCGGCCTTAAATAACGGAGGGTATCTCATGAATGAAACATTGAGTACCGGGTAATATTCAGAAAGATAATACAAACACAATAACTTATATTCAGTTATAAAATAACCTTTGGGTCTTCAACCACAAAATCAGGAAGAAGAGTCTTGTGAACATTCAGCCATAACGGAACTTTAGAACTCTCCTGTTGTGACAAATGAATTCTGTTATCTGCCTGTCCATTATTACAATAACACTAATTACAATAACAACATAGCTTTATCCACACACTGACCTTACTAATTTTAACCACTTGTAATTCTTTATTAATTTTCTCCAAGGTTTTATCATCGTGACCGTTACCACACTTGGCAACTGTACACCATTTTTTGGTAAACTTGTTGTAGGTTCCCATCAGGAAGACAGACATCATTCCACCTGCAAAAAATAGATTTATAATTTACAATTGATATACTAAAAAGTTCTTGTTCTATCCAAAAGGATTACCTTTAGATCCTGTGCCATAATATGCACCTAAAACAACCAGGTCAGCAGTGTCTGCCATGGAACCTTCCTCCAAGTAATCCTTCTTCATCTTAACAAAAATTGTTACATCGATATTTCACGTGAGTGCGGTTAAACAAAAATAATGAAAATCGTGCATACCTTCAACCAATGTCGTTTTCCAGGCTCGTAAATACTCTGTGAAATACAAAGAAAAGATCTGAAAGAGTCTAAAATAAGGTTATATTGATTCTTAAATTCTTGATCTACCTTGAGGTCTTTCATAACCAGTCCTTCCAACCCTTCGTCAATAGCTTTCATCATCAGATCGGACAAAGCAGCTTTATTCTGCGTGTGAAAAATCAGAATATATTTTATCATGCTTTATATGATGGTTGAATGCAACGAAATCTCGGGTAGTACCTGAATAAGTTTCGTTTCTGACAACATGATGTGGTTTTTAATCTCTTTTACATTTCGCTCAAGAAGTTTCCTGCGTTCTTCCATGGGTCTGAAAATTATTGTGAAAATACGTCATTTTCTAGATACAATTTGCAGCGATATTTGATGTAAAGGAGAGACACTTTTCAAACGTACTTTTGCATCAAGTTTTTATCATTGAATTGAAGACAGTCAAAAATAAACAGACAAACACTCGCGTCTTTGAACGATGATTTCTTTAAATGAAAACAAAAGTAAACCTAACATTAGAACCTTGTTCCAAATCGTACTAGGCAAATTATTCTTCAAACCAACCTTGTGGATACCAAGTGTACCAAAAGGCAATGGTTTGCCAGTTTTATGATCGACAAGAAGCACCTTAATGAAATTTGTATCTGGTAAATTAAAATAAAGACAAGTAAAAACTGTGGTGTGCAGAATTAAACACTCACCTCACTATCAAGTATGAGGTCGTTTCCATGTGGACATGCTTTAGGTAAATATTCCTTGATTTCAGCAACCTAAAAGGTGTAGAATATTTAAAGAAACATAATTCGAAATGGTCTCAGCCTAAATCATTCAGCTATACCTTGTGTGGAATGACGGGTTTTAAACTTCTACTGAAAAACTGAAAATCGTTTCCGCTTTTGTGGACCTACGAAACACATCAATTCATTTGAAGCTCTACATCTTTCGCACTTTATCATTCAGCAGTTTGATTAATTAAACTACAGTGATGAAATTAACAAACCTGCACTCGTTCACCGTCATATTTGATCTCAGCAAACATCCCTTTTGGACATTTTTTCATGGCAGAAGCAAAGGATTTACACGCTTCGGCCTACAAATGATGCCACACAGATACTTTACTTTACAAGTTTCGCTTGAACGTGACGTGAGTGAAACGTACGTTTACTAGGGTTCCGCCAGGCACTTCCTAAAAGCCTTAAACTCACCAACATTGGTTTAACTGGTGTCATTACTCTTGTTTTGATGCTTAAGTTTCTTGTCAATCCTGGGCCATCTTTCCTCTTTAAGCAACGTTCAACCACATCTTGAAGATTGTGAGAGGCGTGGAAGGCTGCATATGCATTTGGATCTAATGCTTCGAGTCTGAAATGTGTCGGTGAGAAAGAATACGTTAATGTCTTGGTGCATATGTTAATGTCAAGTAGTTTCCAAAATAATAATAACCTAACTGACTTACACGTGCTTGGCTCCAGCATTGATTTTCAAATCATGTTTGATCAAACGAATAACGTATTTCAGGTCGTTGGAAGTGCACCTTAAAACGCGAAACCCATTCTTAAACCATTTTGTATACTTCATGTATATACGAGTGTCGTTTCAAATCCTCCATTTTGTTACCTCTTTGTTATTTTGGTTAACTCGTTTTGTTGTTCGTCTTCTCTCGTTAAAGTTGACATTTTGTCAAGAAAATTATCCACCTTTTTAAAGAAAAGAATCGTGTTGCTACGTGTTTAAAGAATGAACTACAGAAATAAAGTAACAGGAAGGAAATGGCTGAACCTCTTGTAGTGTTAAAGTACTCTTCTTTGATGGTGTTTTGTCGTGACTCTCCTCAAAAAACTTTTTCACTGTTTCAGAAACATCACCCTTAATTCACAAAATATTTGCTGAATAAATATTACAAAAGAGACTGAGTTGTACCACGTACTAACCTGGTTCAAGTCCGCAATCATTTCCTCCAAACTGCAATCAAATATCTGAAAGATTGAATTCATTTTTAAATGAGAATGAACGAGCATATAAAATCATACAATTGTTAATGGTTTACCTGGCTGAATAACTTCACAAGTTGTTTGTTCTGCAAGTTGTAAATTCTTTTCACAGCTCCCGGGAGTAACAATTTGACGACCAGATAAACGTCTTGATCGTCATCCCGAACTAAAATAACAGTGTACAGTGAGGATTTTAAAACACTTTAGTAAGTAATCATGGAAGATGTAGAGTTTTTTTTTAACAGATATTGAGAGCTTGAGCACGCCTGCTCATTCGTCAAAGTACTGCGCTTGAATCACAGACAAGGAGGTTCGGGTCCCATGAATTCACACTTTTATTCACCTCTTTTTTAACCATCCATGAAGAACTCTCTAAATATTTATTACTCGGCATTTGTGGTATAATCAAAGTCAGAAAAGATTGTGTGAAATTTTGCGTGTACTTTTGGATTTTTGTTCATATGTAAACAGCAGTAATTCCAAGGCGGAAGATAAATCTTAGTAGCAAAGCGGATGAACAAAACGGTGTAGCATGCACAAAACTGCGCTGAACGACTAAACAATGGTTAAAGAAGCATCTCGATATCGATTTTTTATTTTTGCTGCGTTGACCGCATGAGGACGGTGTTTGAGGGGACTTCGTGCGACTACGCTTTAACTAGACTTAGTAGAAATAGAAAACGATCTCTGTCATACACGAATACAAACATAATATGAACCTTTATTTAGAAACATTTTCACAATGGAAGTTTTTGCATTATAACTCGGTTCGTCAAACAACTTGGAACACAGTTGGCAAAAATTGTAAAACGATGTTGACTTGATTGGTTTCTCAGGGGATTCTATCTCTTTGCTCGACCCCTCGGATTGTTTCTTGACATCTTCTAAACAAATAGAAATATTCACTTTTAAAGTCTATACATTAACTTGCTTACACAAATCCTCGTACCCAGGTAAGGCCTAGTGATAATTGATAAAGCATAACGCTTTCTAAATAAAGGAGTATATTTCTGATTTTCAACATTACTTTGGCTTGAAGTCCCAGGTTTTGATGCAAAAGGTAGTTGCGTTTGTTTCTTTTTCTTAGATTGAGGACTTTGCTTTCTCAGTTCATCCAAGTCTATAATGTACGTATGGGAGCATAGATTGCCATATGAGTACATTGACCGTGCGTACGTCATTGTTCAGCCATGCAATAGAAGACATAGACAAAGTTAACTAAGGGACTAGAATACTACATTGAATGGAAAAGCAGAACACAGCATACCAGCAATGTATTGTCGAATTGATTTTTTGTCATCGTCAACTAAATCCGTAAATCCATCCAGTTCGTCTGTGGAGTCTATTCGTTTCGTTGTACTTCTTGCTCTGCTGAACTTATCAAAAATACATTTCGTATGATACCATTCCTTCATCATGCCTCCATCGTCACTGAAATGGTTTGGTACGAGCTTACCAATTCTTAAACAACTTTTATCTATTTTCTCCTTACAATTCTTACATTTCGCACGACCTTGTTTGGCGTATTCGGCAAAGAATTGGGGCTCTCCCATCGTGAAAATTTGACAAGAGTATTTTAGAAAGAGTTTAGTTTTGAAATAATAACGAAAACGGGAGATCGAAACAATGCGAAGCATAGAAATGCCAGAAGTAAAACAAATTTGTTTGCATTTTGCTTATTTATATGCCGCCATATTGAACAATGACGTCATGGGCTTGCCCAATCAAGGCCTAATCTAGTCAGTCATTACACGAAGATCCTGACAGCCAAGTCAACTGTTTTCCCCATGAAATATTTATCATTGAGCATTAAAATTGCTGCGAACGTTGTCTTAAATAAACTGCTCTTGCTTTTCCAAAGCAACAAAATGAGAAATCAAGTTCAAAAAAAGGCCCCGGCAGATGAGCTTCAGGCAAGTTTAGATGATGTCATTCCATAGGCTACACTATTTTATCAGTGTATTATTACTATATTAATAAATTATATTTATAACTTATATTTTCCTTCATATTTTATATCTTGCTTACGTATTCTGGTACGTACGGAACTTCTTGATGGGGTACAAAGTTCCGTGCACACAAGAATGAAATAGAATAGAGAGTGAAACTTCTGGTATAATATATACTCTGTGTGATTGCAAAACTTCATTTAAATACACTGATCTCAGTGTTTCAGTGTTTGATCTTTTTGTTTGAATGGCAAAGTTTACGAATATAGTCCATATAATTACCTTGTTTCCACGTCACAGAAAATAGCATTTTCTGTTGAGAATATTTCCTCGTTTGCTAACCAAGCTGTGCAGTATATTTTTTGGAAATCATGCACTTCAAGATCAGTACAGTCAACTAGATATTAACCATGGTTCTGCGTCGACATAAAGCTCTCTGGCAAGCTTTGCTTTTGCTCGTAATTGTTGGGGCAATTTTGAGGTTTTCATACAACTACTACAAGGAAACTGAACTCAAACTGAAAGCTGCAAATATAAGACATCATGAGTTGATGGAGGATAGAAATCGAATGAGTCGAGATCTTGACGGTAACTTTATAGGCGTTCAAGAGAAACTGATAAACAAATTATATTTTCACTTATAAATAATTAAAATAAGGATAAATTATATATGAAGTATTGTGTAAACTACATCTACACGCTCAGCTAATATTTTACCCTTTAATAGGCGTGATGGAAAGCAAAAACAATTTGGAATTTTCTCTTAGAACCAAAGTGCAAAGTTTTGCAAAAATCAAAGAAGGTAAAAATGACATCTTTATTATATCATCATTCAGAATCCACCGGAGTGTTCTTATGCATTCTCATTCAAGATATCATTGTTCTAATTCACCATGATTATGTTAATTGACTAATTGTAATTGAATACATTTCTTCATCATATTAACAACTTATTAGAATGGGATAATGAGAGAGATAAGTTACAGAATCGAGTGAATAAGGATAAGGTAAATATGATGCTATAATAATTTAAGAATTTTCTGAGTTGAGATGTGTTGAATGTCCCAATTTAGACTAGTTTTGAGAGGTAAAGCGTTGAATGTTCCATTTTAGACTAGTTTTGATGCATTGGACACAGAGTATCGGACACTCAAGGTAAGAAAAATTTCTCAAATCTCTATTGGATGTAAATTATGTTACAAGCTGTTTCCAAAGATAGAGAAAATAGGTTATAATCATTTCATATCATTCCACTTGGATTAGGCAAAGAATGAAGATCTTCAAACTGAATATGATCATATGAAGAAAGGCTTTGATCGTCTCACAAATGATCACAAAAAGTTAAATGCTGAACATCAGAATAATTTTAATGAACTTAAACGGAAAGATGAGAAAATCATTGCTGCTTTGCAAAGTAAGTATATATATAACTGCATGTAGATAGTATTTGGCAATGAGCTCTTTTCATTTTGCTATCAAAGTTTGGGACTAAAAAAGAATATCACTGAGTATTTTTCCTTTAATTTAAAGACCAAGTTGAACATTATCAACAGCAAACAAATAAACTAGAAACCAAAGTTGAAGATTTGAAGGGAAACTTAGCAAAATATCAGGTTCTATACTCTTTCATTTTTGAGTGCAATGTCATCATTAGTGAAGTTTAAGTATGCCAATTCTTCTTCTTTAAATCATTTATTAGACTGCCATAGCAAAGTTACAGCAAAAATTAAGTCAGACTGAAAAAGGCAAACAAGAACAAGTTCCAGGTATATACAGACTACAGTTGTAGTAAATTTCTATAGTCGGACTTAATTTATGTCATATTTTCTCTTTTTACATTGCAGAGGTGAAAAATGATCATAGAGTATCAAATGAACCTGCAGCCGCTAAACAAAAATCCCATACAAGAACAAAAAGACGGTACCAGTATTTCATTAAAGTATTTTTGGATAAGTCAGTGAAAGTGTTGAAATCATTTTTAAAAAAGATGGTATTTCATTAAATGTTTTTGGATAAGAGTATAAAAGATGTTGACAGCAAGTTATGTTTTATCACTCTTCAGGAGAATACAACATTCCAACCCAACAATTGCTGTGATGAACAAGGTTGATAGGGATGTTACCATTCCTGTTAGTGATAACAACAAAGCTCTAAAACACAAACAATTTCTGCAGGTTTGTTTTATTTCTATGTAATGATTGGCTATCTTGATTTAATATCATTGAAGTTTGATTACTTTTGATAAAGAATTTAGAAAAGCTGGCAGAGGCAAGTCCAATGAAACAGGGAAGAAACAGCAAGGTTAGAATTGTGAAAGAAAATCATGAAGTTCCAAAAGTTGGTGGCTATGAAGTTAATGTTGTTCAGAGAAATCTAAGGAAAGATATTGATGACAGCAGAAGGAAAAATAATGGTAATGAAGGACAAAAAGAGGATCAAAAGAAAAATCTTGATGATGATGAAAAGAAAGATGAAAGTCATGATAATATTGAAGTTATAAGCAAGAATGGCAAAGGTTATTAAAATAGCAAACTATAAATGTTTTAGGGAGATAGAAAAATAATATAATCTTCCTAATTAAGTCACTCATTTATGTGGCCAATATTTATTCTTCCTGTTATTTTAATCAATGTAAACACAGAGGAGGGTAACTTCAATCTTGATGAGCAATCAGAGACTAAAGAAAATAAGGAGGGACAAGTCAGTCTTAGTAAAGATGAGAATGGAGAAATTCAACTGAAACAAGACAAAAGTAATGCAAATGAACAAATGAATGATGATCAGAAATCTGATGATGAAGAGATTGCTTTACAAGAAGGTAACTAGATAATATACTAGATAATATTGTAATTAAATTTTACCTACACTGGGTGATTACTAGATAAAGTATTCTGGTAAAACACAAATAGAAATAATATGAATGTTTTAGGGGATAGTGAAGATGAAAATGAGGAACATGAGGTATTAGATCAACCAGAGAACCTCTTGAAGAGAGAAGAAGAAGGTAGACAAACATAAACAAAATGCTTTTACTGTGATGGTGCTACTCTAAGTTACCAACTTAGCGTGACTTGACGAGGGGTGCCGGAACCACGGGGGCAGCTGCCCCCCCCCTGCCCTTTGCTTACGGGGGCAGCCCTGTGGCCTTTGCTACCATATAAAAGTATCATAAATTCAACATTTAATGATGATGCCCACTTTTCGCATAAAAACTAACCGGTAATATTATTTAAAATGCGTTCTCCCGTGGATTTGCAAGTTCACATGTACTTGTAAATTCGAGTTTCCTCTTCGTGTGGTTGCTAAGGTAGAATGAATATGCTCTTTTGTAAAACTCAGCCCCCCCCCCACCCTAAACTGCTTCCGGCGCCCCTGGACTTGACCATGGTGAGATTAGTTCATTTCTCACCTTGTAATGTTGGTAACTCAGCGACAGCGTAGCACCATCACGATGCTCATTTACCTGAGTCAAATACGCAAACATACTTGTCAACATCCTTAGTAATTTAATTATCTAATGTATATAAATATATATCTCTTGTTTTAATAGCACAAGAAAGAGAGGAGGTTGTAAAGTGATGAAAATCTTCAGTTATTGGATATACATTTTGATGCAATATTTTCAAATCTGCTGAAAGAGTGTTTATAAAGCCTTTCAATAATTATACGTCACTTGCTTTGTGAGCATTGCTTCCTTGAAAGTTAGCCAATGTTCAGTTCTTGTGTACACCTTGAAAGCTACGCTTTTCTACTGAGCTATTGAAACTTGAAAGTGAGGTTCCTTAATTGCCAACACATAAGTGTGACGTCATTATTGACTATTACGGTATTAAAAATGTATGTATATGTAAACATACGTTTCTACATTGTAGATAATACCATTATAGTTCAGTATAAACTGTAATTCACATACACTTTTTGTAGCATATCCTCAGGCTCACACCTGTTATTTCTTTCTAATCATGAAGTATCACGTTGTAAGCATTACATCGGCAACAATAATCTAGCAGCGTGATTTTGAATTTACCTTGTACATTATTAATTAAGAAAGCACACAAATGAAGTTTTATTATTTGCCTTTATTTAAAACCTTTCACAAGGCTCGTGCGAAGAATGCCGAACCAGTTGCGATATACATAGATTACAAGCTAACCCAGCACTTGACGAAAGGACAGTTGCTATAAGAAGAACTCCCTCCCCCATTACTCACATCTTAACGGCCGTCTAAGGGGGAGATGCACTACGGCCCCCAGACCATGATGTACGTGCACCTAACCGTTACGTCTCAGTGAGAAACAGAGTTTGCTTTGTAACCCGGGTCAAATTTTTTTTTCTGGGGCCCTATGACGTCATGGTTTTAAATTTCTGCCAACCATAAAGTACTTTAAAGCGTTGTGCAAAAGTTTTCCAAACAAATTTTTTTACAAACATTATCAACCAATTAAAATAACAATCACTGTCACTCGTACTCTCGACTAGTGTGCAAATAATACACCGAGCCCAACATTTTCAGTCTGCCGGAAAACGGCGTATTCGACAATGGTCAAGTCTACCCGAAAATGGCAAATACGACCATGGTCATATTCGCCGGAAAATGGCAAATACGACCATGGTCATATTCGCCGGAAAATGGCAAATACGACCATGGTCGAATTCGCCGGAAAATGGCAAATACGACCATGGTCGAATTCGCCGGAAAATGGCAAATACGACCATGGTCGAATTCGCCGGAAAATGGCAAATACGCCCATGGTCGAATTTGCCGAAAAACGACTAATTCGACCATGGTCGAATTCGCCGGAAAACGACTAATTCGACCATGGTCGAGTTCGCCGGAAAATGGCAAATACGACCATGGTCATATTCGCCGGAAAATGGCAAATACGACCATGGTCATATTCGCCGGAAAATGGCAAATACGACCATGGTCATATTCGCCGGAAAATGGCAAATACGACCATGGTCGAATTCGCCGGAAAATGGCAAATACGATCATGGTCGAATTCGCCGGAAAATGGCAAATACGACCATGGTCGAATTCGCCGGAAAATGGCAAATACGACCATGGTCGAATTCGCCGGAAAATGGCAAATACGCCCATGGTCGAATTTGCCGAAAAACGACTAATTCGACCATGGTCGAATTCGCCGGAAAACGACTAATTCGACCATGGTCGAGTTCGCCGGAAAACGACTAATTCGACCATGGTCGAGTTCGCCGGAAAACGACTAACTCGACCATGGTCGAGTTTGCCGGAAAACGACTAACTCGACCATGGTCGAGTTCGCCGGAAAACGACTAACTCGACCATGGTCGAGTTTGCCGGAAAACGACTAACTCGACCATGGTCGAGTTTGCCGGAAAACGACTAACTCGACCATGGTCGAGTTCGCCGGAAAACGACTAACTCGACCATGGTCGAGTTCGCCGGAAAACGACTAATTCGACCATGGTCGAGTTCGCCGGAAAACGACTAACTCGACCATGGTCTAGTTTGCCGGAAAACGACTAATTCGACCATGGTCGTTTTCGCCGGAAAACGACTAATTCGACCATGGTCGAATTAGCCGAGAAACGGCAAATACGACCATAGTCATATTCACCGGAAAATGGCAAATACGACCATGGTTATATACGACCATGGTCATATTTGCCGGAAAATGGCAAATACGACCATGCATGGTCATATTCGCCGGAAAATGGCAAATACGACCATGGTCATATTCGCCGGAAAATGGCAAATACGACCATTGTAATATTCGCTGGAAAATGGCAAATACAATAAATTTTTTAGGTGCTTTAATTTTAGGTTCTTTTTTAAGTCGGGGGCGCTCTCAGGTTTGGGGCCCGGGGCAAAATGCCCCCCCCTGCCTCCCCCCTCTCGGCGGCCCTGTTTATGCCAGAAGCCTAGCGCGTCATAGACGAATCAGCTGCAGTGGCGAGCCTTGAGAGCGAAGATAAATTCGGTCTCTCTTAACTAGTGAATGCATAGAAAATTAAGAATAAGACACATGCTTGGAAATTACAAGATCGAGACATTTTTATAGTGTTTTGATATTCTTTTGGTTTAACGTCAAAATAGTCATTATTCTCGAAAGGAAACTGGATATAAATGACAGAACGGCTTAGTTTGCTGAAAAAAATTGTTAAAAAAAGTAAGAAAGTGAAAAAGTAATCGCTTGTTAATCGTCAATAATCGATATTTCGATATTTTTTTCAAAAAGCAATCGTCCACCGTTACAGAGAAATCCGTCAGGGAAGTACGAGTCGGGGGTAATGGCGGGCTATGCGATAACAAATTAAAGTAAATTGAAAATTTTCAATTTTGTGAGGGTTGTTGAACGGAGAAAGAACTATTCTTCGCGCAAATGGCCAGTACTTCACGTGATAGTCCCAGTAAAAGAGCTTTGGAAGCCCCTGAAGAAGAAAGGCAACAAAAGAGGCCAAGATTTGTATCCGATATTTCAGAAAACTCCGAACAAGAAGATATAGAAAGTGGCAATGTTGGTCAGTCAGAGGGTAATTCACCGGAAGTTATTTACCAACTGAGTTCTGATAATGATGAGTCATTGTGTGAGTATACATCATTGTATGAATAGTTTTTAGTTAGGTGCAAAATCGGATGAAAAAATAATCAAATTCCCAAGATGTATATTATAAAACGTCAACATGACGTCGGCAGAGTGCAAATGTCTTGTGTGAAAAAGGAAGGCTTCAAAGCTCTGTTGAAAATCTTTTGCTTTTTATTTGTAGTGAATGCACTAGAGGAACAGAGTTCAAATGATGAAAAATCAGAAGTAAATGTTGGGTCTAAACAAGATGATAGCAGTGAAGAAGAAAGTGACGATGGAATGAAATCAGAAAGCAATGATGATAGGAAGGAAGGTTGGAATGCCTCGATAGATTTTAGTGGTGCACTAAATTGGTTTTTTTACCTGGTCAGGTATCAGACTGCCTGAAGAATATCAGGCAGTACACAATCTATATTATCTGGTGATAATATATTTCCTTGTACTTGAATTATTTGGTTTCAAGGAAGGATGAGAAATCATAAATTTTGTTGCTATCATTAGTTAGTAGTTTGATGACATCTATTTAACAACAGGTACAACTCAGAGAGGATTTAAAGAAACCAAGGGAAGAAAGTTATCGCCTATTAGCATGGACGAACCAGATGTTGGTACCTCCAAGGACACAGAAAAACGAAAACGGCTTGAATCAAGTGACTACACTGCAAAAACGATGGAAGATCTTGAAGATCTGCAAGAGGACCTTCACAAAGAACTTGCAGAAATTACAGGACTTCACAAGCGTAAACACAAGAAAGCAGGTTCGTCGAGCCATCGAGAGAAACGACACAAGGAGAAGACAGCATCAAGGCATAAAGAAAGAGAGAAAGGAAAAGATGCAAGGAATAGTGACCAAAGGGATAGGCAAAAGGAGCGAGGAAAAGAAAGAGAACGAGAAAAGGATATAAAACAGAGAAGTGGTGAAAATCATGGTGACTTCAAAAGAGAGGTACACTGTTTTGTATGGTTCTACCTGAGATAGAATGTTTTTCCTTACATCTATGTATTTTGCCAGGTATCACTGAGTGGTCGTAATGATCATGATAAGGGAAGAAAATATCATGAAACAGATGACAAGCCATGGTCGTACGACTCCAGAAAAGCGAGATCTCAAAAGGAGGAGAGAAAGGAGCACCAGGAGCGACATTGGATGGAAACCCGCCTTGAGAGAACATCAAGTAGATCAGAAATGAAAAGTGTTGTGGAAAGGAAAGTACGAAAAGAGTCAAAGGCTCCAAAAGAGGTTGAATCCAAAGCGAAGGAGACAAAAACAGTACAAACGTCGAAGGAAACAAAAACAGGACAGAAAGAAACAAAACAAGGACAGTCTTCAAAGGACCTAAAAACAGGGCAAACATCATCAAAGGAAACAAGCAAAGAGCCTATAAAGAAAGGAATAATGAGTGAATCATTGAGAGAACTTGTGAGACAAAGTATTAAAGATAACAAAGATCTTGCTCAAGAGGTTGTCGAAGAGGAAGAAAGTGACGCGGATAGCCCTGGACCGTTTTTTCCGGTATTTGCCATAAATGTTACATTGGGTTTGTTATTAATTGTTTAGAATTGTTAATATGATGGAATGGGTGTTATTTTTTTAGGGTGAGACTTCTGATGTCAGCTCAATCTCAGCCACTGAAGGAGGTGACATTGATGATGATGATAGTGATGATTTAGATGATTTGGATGATTTGGATGATGATGATGATGATGATAAGCCCGTCAAGAAGGAAAAGTCACCTGAACTTCCTAAATTACCACCATATCTTCCTGCAATTCGCGGCTGTAGGAGTGTTGAAGAATTTCAATGGCTCAATAGGATTGAAGAGGGTACTTATGGGGTTGTGTATCGTGCAAAAGATAAACGAACAGGTGAGATTTTTTTCTTAATTATGTTGTGTTAGTAGCTTAATTTTTTGACATATAATTTTTGGCCACACTGGCTAATTGATAAATACTTCATAAATTGAGTAAAATATGGGTAATGTATTTGCAAAGGAATTCTGTTGCAAGTCAGCATGAAAACTCAAAAGAGACACTTTTTGATTGAATATTTTGTTCCTGCAGGAGAGGTTGTAGCATTAAAGAAATTAAAGATGGAAAAAGAAAAGGAAGGTTTTCCTATAACATCATTACGGGAGATCAACACTCTGTTAAAATCACAGCATCCAAACATTGTTACAGTACAGGTTTGATCAACTATTTTGTCTTTAAAACCTTTGCTTCGACAAGACTTTTCAAAAAGCTTCATGTTTTGTGTGATAATCTTTAAGTGATAATCCTAGAAAATTGAGGTCAAATAGCAATTAATCTCAAACTTATTCTTCACTTATATTTCTACCCACTAGGAGATTGTTGTTGGAAGTAATATGGATAAGATTTACATTGTGATGGATTTTGTTGAGCATGATTTGAAAGCATTAATGGAAACCATGACCCAGTCATTTCTTGCAGGTATGGTACTCTTGGTAGATATCCAGGACAATTCCCTTTAGCCAGGGCTTATACAGTTTTTATTTTAAAGGTGAAATTAAAACAATAATGATTCAGTTATTACGAGCTGTTAACCACCTTCATGACAATTGGATCCTTCATCGGGACATAAAGACATCAAACTTATTGCTGAGTAATAAAGGTATTCTCAAGGTAATTTAGGTCTCTATCTATATTTTACTTACTTAATCCTTGTGACAAAGTTAACTGTATCATGTAATACACCCTTCAGGTGGGTGATTTTGGTCTAGCACGTGAATATGGCTCACCATTGAAACCTTATACCCCTGTTGTGGTTACCCTGTGGTACAGAGCACCAGAATTACTGTTAGGAGCAAAGGTAATGTGTCTGTTTTTGTATTGTTTTCAGAATCTTTTCAACATTACATTGTGACAAAATAAAGTAAAATTGATAAATTGAAAAGGCTACCTCACCTAATACAATAATTATATATTTATAAATTAATTACAACAAATCACCCGCATCAAACCTTGAGAAAAGACTATCATTTGAAATACCATTTCTCCTTAAATTTTAGGAATATTCAACACCTATTGATATCTGGTCAGTTGGTTGCGTTTTTGCAGAACTTCTGACAATGAAGCCTTTGTTTAATGGTCAATCAGAGATTGGCCAAATCAATAAAATTTTCAAAGAATTGGGAACACCAAGTGATAAGATCTGGCCGGGTCCACCAGCCTATTCTGAACATCCAGCAACAAAGAAAATGAATTTTGCTGAATATCCTTACAACAGTCTGCGTAATAAATTTGGTGCAACTCTTACGGATAATGGTTTTGAACTGCTGAACAGGTAGGCAGTAGCTTTCTTTGTATCGCACAATACCGCAATTGTTCTACTGCAAAACAGTGGTTTCTCTACTCTATGATTTCCTGTGGGTAAAAATATAGAACTATGTAGCCTTATTTGAAATGTAGAGTTAAGCATCTACTTTTCTAATTAGTTTTTTGACGTATGATCCAAGTCGGAGAATATCAGCTGAAGATGCACTAAAACATGAGTACTTCAAGGTAGTTTTGTTTTTAAATTTTAATATTATTATATCAAGGTTGATATTTTGTTTTGACAAACAACCTGATATACCTATACATCCCTTAGGAGTCACCAAGTCCTGTGGATCCATCATTGTTCCCTTCTTGGCCTGCTAGAAGTGAAGGTGCTAAAAGAGCGAAAAAATCCAGTCCCAAAGCACCTGAAGGGGGAAACTTCTATAAATCATTGGTGAGTGTTATTTTATTTTCAATGCTGGAAATTTGATTGTTTTTGTTTGACTTCATATACATATAGATTGAGTTTATCAATGTAGGTTGACACTTGCTTATCTGAATTCCCACATCCTCATATATGTTTTTATTTATTTAAAGTCAGAGGATGGTGATGGTGCATTTTACATGCCAGCTGATAAATCCCAGGGTGCTGCTGTACCTGGATTTACACTCAAGTTTTGATGAAGCTCCAGCTTTTCTAAGGTGAAGTTTATATCTATTAGATACGACCAAGAGTCTTGACTTGTGACACAACCTCATATGGAATCCATGTTGTGTTTCAATTACATCTATATCTGGCAATAATTAAGTTTAATTCACTGAACCTTGTGGAAGAAAGGTGTGAATATCCCTAGCTGTATATAAGTTATGTACGATTAACATGTTGTATCAGATTAATAGCACTGATTTTTGTCAAAACATGTTAGCATCTTTTGTTTATGTAAATTAATATTTGTATATTGTTGCACATCTATATGCAGAATAATCTAAGTGTGCACCATGTCCCAAATTTTATCAAATGTGTGAATGTACTGTTCACAATGTATGCCAATTATACAGGAAGTGTTTTTGAGACTGTTTTCATCGCTGCTGATGAAACAAATCTTGACATCATTTTCATTCCAGATGTTCCACCAGGGATATAGCTTGCAATGTACCTTAAAGTATGAACAAATGTTTTTAGTTCTGATACTCATTCAAACACTTTGGAGCTGTAGCACAATTAATATACATACCAGATTAAAGTTATAACTTGTATGACTGCACAGAACAATGTAAGTAATGTACTTTTCATCTATAAAAGAAAAAAATACAAATATTTAACTTGTACTGATGGACTTGAAAAATTAGAAAATGCCCCTGTAGAAAATATACTCACAAAAATAGCTACATATAATGTTGCTGACATTGAACCAAAATATGTCACAGTGAATGGTAGTCTTTCAACACTTAGTAGATGCTTCAAATGATGATATGGCCCCCATAACAGTGAAAAACTAAATTAAGCATATAAAGATTGAGTTATGTAAGATGTTCCATTTGTCAGGTGAGGTTTTAGCAAGCATATTGTGAAAGAAGCTTATTCTGTACCAACCTTCCTAAAGTGAATACACTTCCCATGGTATAAAGAGCTACAAATTTTCTTGACTTAAGGATTATGAAAGGTATTAACATTGCTGCCTAAAAAAATCATGTTAAAGGTATATATAAATCCCACTGCGTATCAGGGATAATTTTCATGTCTACAAATCATGAAAGTTGTTACCCCCTTACCATTCCAAAACAGAACATTCCTAAGAATAAAAATAGAAAGAAGCCAAGAATTCTTTGTGTTTTAGTCTGAAAAAAACAATTTTGATCATATTTAATACATGTACTTTGAATACATTGCAGCTTAATTAAAGTTTATAACCGAAGAATCCTAGAATAGGCAAGTTCTCAAGAATGCTTGCCAAGGTCTTGTTTAGATAGGATTTTTCTATATAAACACTTCATCCTGGCTAGCTGAGATAAGAATGCCTTCTATGTATGGCTAAGATCTTATCCAGCTTAGGAATGAGGTTTGACAGTGCCATTCTCGCTTGGTTAACAGGTATAGAGTAATATATAATGTATGATATGACCTCCTCCCTCCCCCACAGGCTCTGTTGGGTGGGCAGGGTCACACTAACAGGCTCTTATTGGAATATACACTATAAAGTTTAACCAACATATTATATTTATGTAAAATGAAGTACCAATCCAGGTAACCAAGGGTCTGGTTCTTGTGCTTTACTGGAAAAAGATCCCCACCAACTATTAGCCTCGGAATTGTTGGCAGATGTTTCCTGATAATCATTATTATGAGAACTTTCCCTGTCGTCTTGCGTGCTCAACTTTACATAATTTTTTAAAGACGAAATTTTCGTTTCAAGATCCATTTCAAAACTGGCGAGGAAACATTCATACAAGAAAGCCTGGGGAGAGAGAGAGTAAATAGTCCACAGAAAACTTAGTTGCCGGAGTTTTCACGAAAAGTTTCACAAAGTAAGTGTCTTTGTATTTCAAAATTAGTTCGTCGTCTTATAAGTTATAACCAAACGCTGGCAAAAATACAGAAATTAGCCCATTTTACTGAGAAGAATAAAATGTTTTAAGGGGTTACATGACGTTTTTCCGCAATTGTATTTTATGTACCACGGGCTCAAAATTGTGGTGACCAGCTGAGCTCTATGAAATACCTGGAGTACTTGCCTCTAGTTTACTGAGGAGATGACTGCAAAGGATACGTCTCAGAATTCAGAATTAAGCAAGTCATCAAATGTTACTTACATGAACTCAAACACATGTTTTTTACAGCATATATTTACACACTTTTACAAGTAAATCCAAAATATTTTGATACAATCAAATAGTTAGTTCCCTCTTTCCCTTTTTTGTCGTCAACAAGATAAAGTCCACAAAAGCCGTAACTAATGAAATGAAAAACACGAAGAGGTCTAGGGAGCTAAATCTTGGTGCCGAGACAAGTGTTAGAAACGGCAAATATGAATCTATCCATTATCAACCATTCTTGAAAAACTGGATGGTGATGAGAAAAGTTTTTCATTTCTTCTTGCGTTTACTGGCCGCCTTGTCATCTGAGCGGGCTGATAGAGGCGGACTTGTCTTTTTCGGCTGAGCTTCTCTACGATTAATCTATTAGGATATATTAAAAAGTAGATCAATTCCAGAATAAAGGGAAGATATAAGTTTTCCAAACGTTTCCTATGTTATCAAATAGTTACTTACACTTTTCATGATCTTATTCTTCAATTCTTGCGCCGTCATTGGTCGACATTCATCGTCGCTTTCCTCCGAACTTTCTTCGGTTTCATAGTCGTCGCCGGTCGTCGGAGGTACGATAGCTACCGAGCCTGCAGCAATCTGCGGACCACCGCCTAAAAGTCCTACCGGTCCGAGTTCAGCACGTTCTGTTTCCTATTCAAATACACAAATTTCGTTTTTAAATGAGTGACATAAAGGCCAGTTCACATTGGCAATTTCCTGTTGCGATTTTCTTCACTTACTTTGGCATTCTTGTAGGCGTACGTTTGAAGTAGTTCATTTGTCCTTTGTTCGATAATGCCCAAATACTAGAAGAGAAAAAAATCGTTACCATTTCTTTTCAGTAATAATAATTAGCTTACAATTACATCATCATATGATCTTGGTTTTAGACTGAAAATATTTACATACCTGCATCATATTTCCTTCAGTTACCCCAGCCACTCCTCCCAACATATCACTGATTGCGGATTTATCACAATTAATCTTCTTAAACAGCGAGTCCACACCTGGTTACAAAATACTCTTGTTACAAATTTCTCTACGATGGTATGGGAACTTATAATGCTGAGTTAATGGGAATCACAATATCTGTACTGTTTGGGTCAAAACTTTCAATCTGTTAGAATACAGTTTTATAGTTAAATATGAGTCTAAAGTACCATCTTTGAGTTGCTCAATAATTTTATGTGTTCCCTTGTAAGCATCGTCGTACTCCTCGCCAGTCTTAGATGCTTTGTTCAGATCATCTTCCAACTTCCGTAAAATTGCCTTTCTTTCTTCTTCAACGTCTACTCCTTCACTTTTAAACTGGTCAATATCCCCTTGAACCTGGAAAAGATGGCAAAGAATACAGCAACAAAGCAGCTAGCTGGTGATGATATTGACATACACACTTGTGTTAGAGAGCATACCCACCAGGTTTATCTGTTCCTGCAATATCTCAATATCGTTGTTCAACTCGTTCACGTAATTAAATAACGCGAAATTCTTGTCTTCGACTTCAATGAATTTGCTGACTAACAGGTCAATATCTTCAATCTCCGTCGCCTCCTTCAGCTTCTCAAATGCCTCTTCGTAGGACTGAGTAGAGTTGGAAAAATTAAAATAGAATTTCAAATATATATTCTTGAATTAAATAACAATCTAAGTAAAATACTCTTTTAATTTTTAGTGATGGTAGTAACAGCCCGTGGAGTTGAGTACGTATCGGTGTTCGTTGCTTCTCAAGTCCTTCCCTAATACTAAACTGTAAGTATCTATATTCTATGTCTTGTGGTAGTCAAATCAATGGGTAGTAATTTAGTTTCCAGGTGAAAAATTATCCCGCACTACCTCGACAGTCTCCTCACGATCCCCTTTATCTCTTTCGGACTCTCTTTTGCGCTGTTTCATTCCCAATTCCCTATCAGCCAAATCAGCGCGCTCCTCTCCCTTCACTCGCATGAATTCCTTGAGTTTGCGATCATGATCAATAATTCTTATCAACTCCTTGAGCTCCATATTGTACTGAAGCAGATCTTTGTCCGCTTTCTCTTTCAAAGCAATCATCTTTGACTGGGCCTCGTCCCTACGAATTGTAGAGCAAAAACGCCAATATGTCATAAATGCTCGGAAAGTCCGTAGACTACGATTCTAGGAACTTTGTTTCTCACCTTGCGTCGTAAGCTGCTGAAGACGTTTCAATAACTTCACCCATCTCTTTCTTCAACTCTGCTAGGTTTCCTTCTAGCTTTCTGTATTCCCCTTCAAAGATGGTACGCACCTTTCTTGCATGGTCAATTTCATCTCTCAGTTTCGCGTTCTTCGCAAGAAAGTTATTAAACTGCGTCGTTTTCTAGGCAGACAAATAACACTTCATCATTACTTGGTCAATATGATATCCTTTCTTAGGCCAAACTACAATTCAGTGACAATGTTCATCATTATTCTGCCCTACCTTCCTTTCACAAACATTCCCTCATTTTTAAGACATAATTACCTTGTCAAGACGATTTTCCATCACTCTGGTTTGCTTTCCCAATTGTACTTGGACATGATGTTGCATATTTGTCCTAGTAATTCAGTTTGGAGAACAATTCTTAAACCACAAACCTCTCAGCGAGCAATATGGTGCATATATAATAATTTATATCAAATATCCTACCCTCCCATGCTTTGCCTTTCTCTGCTTTTAGTTTGCTCCATTTGCTTTATCTGGAAAAAAAATAGTTTTCTGGGATTGAGTTGGCTGCAGATTTTATCATGCCTGGATTTTAAGGAGAGGTGTACCTCCAACCATTGTACTACCTCCTTAATTACTTTCTCCGTTTTTTTCAATTACCTCTCTGTTAAGATCTTGTATCAGTTTCTTCTCCTCTTCATATTGTGTTTTAAGAGTGTCTGAAAGTTTAAAAAAACAAGTCATGATAGAATTGAAGAATTGACGATTCTATGCAAACTTCACTATAAACGTACATACAGCACTGCATTTATATTATTGATTAACCTACTTTGTTTTTCAAGCAATTTTATAAGACTGTCCGTGTTCTTGTTATCCTAAAAAAAGCATGTTCATAGTTAGATCTTTCATGAACAAAATCTTAAATCTATGACATTTAATAAAACTAATATAATTTGAGAAAAATTCTTCCAACCTTTTGATAATTCTGTTTACTTCCTGCCAGGTCTAGTTCTTTCTGTAACTCACGCATTTCTTGATCCAACTGAGCAATTTGATCTCTAACAGATTAATGTTAGGTAAAAGCAGCTGTAGATGTTATATTTTAAACTTACTTTGGCAGTGCCTTACATCAACTAAAGATACCGTGTAAATTAGCCTGGTTTACATCGTATGACAGCAGTGAGCTGCTAACCTGTTGTCACTAGCAGACAAACCATACTTTTGAAAAGAATTTATGCGTCAACCAATATGAACAATATAAATGCAGACATAATCGACTCAGTCATATTTGAACTAGGCTTAATCCAAAGACCAAAGTAATTTAAATTGTATTTTGATGTTAGCACATACTGCTGCTTTCTGATGATATTTTGTGATTCTTCACAATATGATCTCCGTTCCCCATCCATAACACGATACTGTCTTTGGAGTTTCTCCAATTCCTGTTCAGCTAAATCATTCATATTGCATATCAGACTAATACATCTATAAAGCTTGCAGGTAAAATATGAAATTTGTACAAGTGAAATATTTTGTACCTAAACCATCCATTTCCATGTCACTCACAACAGAATGTCTACTTTGATTTCGATGCATTTTGATCAAATACTATTGCTAAAGTAACGATAGATCCTGGATATTAAATTTTAGTTGAAGGTACGAGATATCTGTATAATATATTATATATATATAACTTCATAAAAAATATCACGGCAAATATAAAACTATATAACATTGATATTCATGATTCGAAGAAGCAAATAAGAGTATTGTATGTGATAACTCTTTACCTCGTTATATATAACACACGATTCTTGCAGGATAAAACAGTTTCTCCAGTATTTGATCACAAAATAAAAATACAAAATATAGTTACCTCCGTAACCATAGCGACGGGTATTATTTGTGGGTATTATTTGTATCGATTCCTTCGATTCATATGCCTGAAATTTCAGGCAATAACACCCTGACATTGCCAGGCGGGCAATAACTATCATAACTATCAACGACAATCAAGGACTATCCACGATAATCCCAATAAGTCCGTCTGAATCACTGGTCTGAAAATTCGAAAATTATATTCCATTGAAATTGGAAATAAAGTACTTCCTGTCTTCGAAAATTACTGGAAACTGTTATTTCACGGTGTAAAAAAAGTCGCAGTTTTAATTATGCCTGGTCCAGTTACAATACCACTCAAGGTTGGATATTTTCACTACAGAGATTATACTAATTTTTATGAGAATTTTCCAATGTTGAAATGTCAGTCTGCCGTTGTTCATGTCTCGTGACCCTGATCGATCATCAAATTCACGTATACCATACTTTATTTCGTAGATCTTTATTTTACTGCATTTTATGTTTACCTCATGGTAAGTGCATAACAAATATATTACATCCGTGTTAAGATAATAATTTGTTTTTTCTTACTTATTCTTCTAACTTTATGTGTTCTGCAGGGCACTTGCTGTTGATTGGTTACCATTAGGGTACTTGTTTTGTCATTTGATGATGTTAATATTTGGTATTTGGGTTGTCATCCAACCATCTAGTCATGATGCTAACCAAGTGGTAATACATTGTATTAATTCAGTATAAATATAACTTATATAACCATTATTAAACATTGCAAATAGGGACCTAGGAATTGGAGAGGGGAGGACATATGACCTCCCTAAAATTCTAAAAGCAACTGAAAGTGTCCTTTTGTCGGATTAAAACTGCTCTTTTTGTCGAAACTTATTTTGCTGTAAATTATCATCCAGGAACTTGAAACCGTGCAAGTGTCTTAAATTGGCAGAATACTCAATTCTCCAACCCTTCCTATACCCCAGTGTCATGAACAACACCACAACATTAGGCATTATTTTCTTCATTGTCACTCTAATTATTGCTACATTTACAATGTGAAGTTTTATTGAATGTATATAGTTCCTTATATCAGTCCTGTTTGCTCTGTTGAATGATTGTGTTTTGATTGGAATCTATTATCCAGCATGTATGTAATTAACATTGTTATTTTACTTCCAATTCTTGTTACATATGGCATTTGATTTTCCTGTTATGGGTTTAATTCAACTGTAACATAATTTTTTTTAATTATTTCAAATTGTAGCATGGACTTCAGAGAGACGATTTGCTGTAACGTATCCATTCAGTCTGTAATATTAATATCAAAGTTGATCAAGTCATGTTATACATATACTGTAAAGAAATCTAGTTTTATCCTTAATTCATACAAAATTCAGGTTTGCTTTTTTCAACCTATTTTTGAAGGTAATTGAGTTGTCTTTGATACTCTGAACTTGAAATATATAATATTCCATTCAACCAAAACATGTTCAATTGAATATTGTGTATTGTTTAGCCTATTACGATGATTTTTATTACACTCGGATATCAAGAACATGGAGGTTCATTTGATTATAGCAGAGTTTCAGGGGCATTTAGCTCGCCGCAAGGTAAATTGTGATGCTGTAATCTTACAGATAGAGATGAATGTTCCCTAAATATATATTTCCTCCTCTTAACAGGTGAACAGGAATATCAAGGCATACCAGAACCTAAGCCTAGTCAAACAGAGCCATCTTATTAAATGCCAAAATAAACTATTCTTGGAAATTTGTGCCACCAAGGTGTGAAATCCATTCATTTTTTTCTCATTGTCTTTTCTCTTTGCTATTCTATAACCTGATTTTTTTTCCTTTAATTTTTTTAGAATTTGAAATGTGAAGAAGAGTAATTAAGATGAATGAATAACATCCACAATAGAATGTTTTTGGAAAGATTTAAACACAAATAAACAACTGAAATCAACGAGATTAATTGACTGCATGAAATATAAAAGAGAGCTTAAGATGAGATGTATTTAAGTCCATTATTGACACAGATTTCGAACATTTATAACTTTAGAGTTTTATAGACTGAAATAAAATGATTAATTTCATATGCACTTATGGTTATCCAAGGCCTTGACCTTTGATAACACCAGGAAGCAGTTTATGTGAGAGATATCTGGCACGTCTCTTGGAAATAGATTTATTTACAACCATATTTGAAAGGATTGTTTGTTTCCGCTCTGCTGCTCTTTCCTTTCGTTGTCGTTTTCTCTCCCGAAGATATTTCAAGGCTTCCCTCTTAAATCTGTCTCTCTTCCTTCTCTTCTTGTACTTTTGACAGTTCATTTTCCTGCGACGCTTTTTCAAGAGGCTTCCCATCCAGTAGGTATTTTCTGCAATGCCTGGTACTTCCTTTTGTAAGCAGTCAATCTTGAAACCTTTGTCATTAGTTTTTCGCAGGAATTTCATATTGTTTGTGGTAATGTTCTCCAGGTTCAGTAGAGAAAGATTCAATCTAGTGTACTCGTTTAAATATTTAGGGAATTGTATTTCTTTGATGTTTTCATAGTTCAACACAAGATTGGATAGGCATGGAAATATATATGGCTTGGTGGATGGACTGGATGCTGTAATTGTTTTGTTACCTATAATAGAGCAAGAAATGATAAATGTTGCTGTATTCGGTAGAACCGGCCTGAACCAGGCTAACAAATAATCTGTATAATAAAATGAAGACAGAACATATGCCACATACCTCGTACAAATTTTGGCAGAATATTACATTTCTTTGAAACAATATTAAAGGTGCAGCCTGCTCTACACAATACCTTAATTGGGCTAAAACCGCACATAAACATGTCTAATTTCTACAAATTTACCAGATCGTTTCACCGTAAATAAAAAGGTAAAAAAAATAAAGAAAATGGCCACCTTTTAAGGGGAGAATCCGCTGATAACATTCCTAAAAGGCTGCTGGCACAATTCCATCAACTTGTCCCGTGATTGGTTACTTGATACGCCCTGTGATTGGTTGATACCAAAGAGCGGGGAAATATACTTTCAAAATACTGTGAGTGAAGTTTTGTTTATTAAAAAATGTTATGAAATAATCTTAAATAAACAAGTTAATTCATTGTGGCATCATAAAAATGAAGTAGCTTATATCTTTCATCTTAAAATTACCTTATATTTGTCGGTTACGGGTATAGTCTCAATGGTCCCACTAAGGTCTTGACTATTTATCTCGTAAAGGCTAGGTTATAACATCATCAGTATACAGGTCTTTGTGACTAATGTAAAACGGCAACCACTTGAGACAAAGCTTTGCCAACCTTTGCAGACAGACCTTTCCTCGATATACAATCGGAAAAGCTCTAGATTGCTTTTAAAATAGACGAAATAATTTGTGCCGGCATTTCAGCTTAGCAATCTCAGACTCAGTTGATCGCAAATCAAAACAATCCAGGTTACCATGCAATGACTGAGTGTCATTGTCCTCATTATTGTACATCACTAATGATCAGGCTGGATGTATAATCTACAAAAACTCGACCCTGACTAATGACATTGCTAATCCTTTGTGTATTTTAAACCCCGATGGCATCTAAAACTGTTCAGCTCAGCCAATATCGCGATGGCAAGAACCATGCTAAGTACACAATAAGATAATTAACTGTCGCTCAGTGCCAGAATTTTTGAATGAAGAGAGAATAATTAATGTATTTGAAACGAATTAAAAGTTCAAAATTTTTGTACTCTGATTGCATATTCAAGAAGGCGATAATGGTTTGAACGAATGGACTGTGGTTTAAACGGTTCTAGATGATTTGTTGGTTTATGTCGCTCTGAGAGTTTTCGACTGGCATACTTTGGTTACCATGCATTGCTGATTATCCTGGTAAACCATGATGACCTGTTCTGGTTATTTTCAAGTTGTTTTGACAACGAATATTTCCATTTTAAAGATGTATTCGCAGGTAAATATACGCGAGGGTGTGAAATCTGTAATCTGCGATAATGGGATGTGTGTTTGTACTTGAAAAACTTCGCAGTTCAACCGAATATCGTTCACGCTTAAAATAATGCACGCTTAATGCACTATGAGAACGCCTTTGGTTGCAAAATTGATATTACCCTAGTTAACTGAATATTCTCAATGAAACTGTCAAGACACACTGTTAGTAAAGGTTATCTAGATCAATAGTTTTTCTCCCACGGCTGGCCGTCAAAATGAAGGACGTTTACAAGTACAAAATGTCTGGCTCGCATAATGTACAAGCAATACGAACAATCCTCACATAATATGAAATTGAGATGTTTTAAGAAAGATTTACCCACAGCCATTTACTGTTCAGTTGTTTGAGATCAACCAGGCCTAATAGTTCGCCTATAATGATAGTCATTTTATTGTTTTAGTGATTGATCTTTCTACCTATATAGTGGTATAATCTATAGCGTGCAAACCAGAGCCGGTAACATGTTTGGAAATAGCGAGAAAGACGACAAACTTCTTAATGAAAATTACAATGAAATCATTGAGTTTCTTGATGAATATTACGGGAAGCCACAATCTACACCAAAGCCAGTTTCCCGTTACAGAGTAAGTTGGACTGATTAATTTAGTTCAATATAACGTCATATCCTTATAGTTCCTCATAACACCCGTTCACACGATCAACTTTGTCGGATCCAATTCACTTCTGACATATGGAATGTAATTTGTTACTGATAAAGCAGTACTGCATTGGTTTTACTTGATTTGCTGCCCGTATACATTACAAGACAACGGACTATAAAACATCCATCAGAAGTGAATTGGATCAAACAAAATTGGATCGTGTGAACAGACCTTTAGAATTAGGTTGAGTAGAAAGATTGGATGGTTAGTCACAGCACAGGTGTTGGCCTAGAAACTTCGAGATTATGAGAACAGTCAGAGTCGAACCCAGGGAACTGAGATTCCGGCGCAGCATTCTAATAACGTGCAGAGAGCCGTGTCAGAATCCAGTGGTAAACTGGTTGCTAAACTTACCATTTAATCCATGCAGATGTACGGGTTATATTAGGGCTAACTCTGATTAGGGCAAACTATGTATAGAAACGAAAGGTGTTGCGAATTTTAGTCGGAGAGATAAGGAATATTAGGACTGCACCCAAACAGCACGGAGCGTTCTCGTAACTCGTCGTCATGACTCACCAAAGGCTGGTTTCCACCGAGGAAAATTTTCCCTTCACCTATTCGAACAGTATGGTTCCCTTTGTGCTTAAGACAATTCAGTTTTGGTTGAGAACACTTGAATAAAATAAACTTTTCTGCTCGATACGATTCGGAGGGAATCAGGGAAATTATCCTGACCTTCCGGGAAACCAGGCTTTGCATAGAATTTCATTTCGAGTCGTTTTACCAGCAACCTTTAGTTTGCCAGTTTGGTCGAATCTTCCATTTTACGTTTCTATTCTGTTTACCACCCATAGTTTTTCCCTGAATTTTTTATTAAAATTCGGTGATATTGCACATTATCATTACAAAAAGAAAAAGTGTATAAACACTATTTACGGATGCCTAGTACTACATTTTACTTAAAAAGTTAGGAATAGCTTCGGGTTGATCAAGTCATGACTGTCGTTATAAGTCGTCTTCTAGTTGTAATACTGGTTATATACCTAAGCTAGTCATACTGTGTTTGCTAACATCTCAAATGAAATCCGCAAATCGTTATGGAAATTGAAACATAACACCAAGAGTCTTTTCATTGTCAAGTTTCAATCCGTTCAAAATTTGCATTCAACACAAAAGGCGCGATCATGCCTGACCACTGAAGCGCTTTTGTAGACAAGGTTGTCTAATGTTGCATGAACGAATGTTTCGGAAGACATAAGCGACAGTATTCGTTTAAAATGGTCCTTTCATCCTGGTAGTAGAGGCTGTTAACCTGATAATAAACTCGTGCTGATGTCACCTTTGTATGGGGAAGCAAATTAACTAGGAAGGTCTGTTACAGGATCTAATTGTGTCAAAAGACCAGACTACTCCCTCGATTAGGAATGTCGGTAGGTTGTATTTATCATGTCTATAAGCATGTATGTCTTCAATGAAATATACGTAATGTTCACGTCGATTTCATTATCATGCAGTATTGCGAATGATTACTAACTCAACGTCAGTGTATGTTTGATGTTTGAAATGCAACATTGGCAGAGTCATGCATGGTGTCAATATGGTTGTTGCGATACATGAAAATATATTTATGCAAATTCATATTCGTATATCTTTCATTATGTAATTGCTTTGACAGTTTGACTTAACGGTACACTCCTCGCGTTAGTTTTGCTGGATTGTTGGTAGGGATTATTTTAGAAGTGCTGTCATTATTTAATATCAAGCGATAAGTCAAATACTCTTGTTGTAGTCGTGGGTATATTATAATGAAGTTCATAGTTCATAGCACTGATATATGAGATATGAGAATAATGTTTCAGTGTATCGTAACCAAAGCCTGCTTATAATGTAATAGTATAGCGACTGTGCGTTAGGTACATTCAAGTAAAGTTATGTATCTTGACATTTTGTCCTGGGTTTACTTCTTCTGTAACAAAATACTCATGAACCGGTTGCGTTAAGATTTGTAATATGCAGGATTTCTGATATGAGCTTCACTTCACTTCGATATAGTCTAACTGAAATGTAGGGCATTTCAGCCACTGGCAGAGTGTTCTTGATTCACTAACCTCAAGGTTTCTGTTTCAATGTGCAAAGGAATTTTACTTCGATTGTTATTTTAATGTTTTAATCTGATCAGTTTTGTCAGGAATTTTGCTCTTAATAATCTCGGTTATTCATACTGCAGTTGCAGGGTGTAAAGGTGTATAGCTACTTATAGTCTTACAATAAATAGTTTTTTAAAAGTTATACAATGTGTCGAGATAAGTAAGAAATTTCCGTTGGTAAGATCTTCTGGATTTCTCTAAGATTCATGATCCGTGACACACTCTGCGTGTTACGCCCTCTTACGAGTATAGAGCAGAGTTCTATTTTTTCGTAAGATTTCAATACATCCACGACCCAATTTCAAAATTTGTTATTGGTAATTCATTCTGAAAACGCTGGTTCGTCATATGACCATCTTACGGTTATGATACAGTGAGCAAAAGGCTCACTTACGCGAAAAAGAATATGATGAGATAATGAACCACTTAAAAATTTCTGGCATGCTTATTCAAATGATGATAATAGTTGTGTCATTAATATGTGATCAGAGTACCTTTCGATCCTTCTAGCCTGCATGCAAGTGTATGTTTCTGCTTATTTGTTTTTTTCTCTCGTGAATCACAGTCCTTCAGTTATATTAAAGTAATCTTTTTCGATCCAGATTAGTGATGGTTCTTGCTACACAGTGCAGTGTTTTCACAAAGATGCTTCGCCATTTAAACGATTTCTTTAGTCTTTACATACTCGGTTTCATAACGGTCTGTTTTAAATTATTCTATTTGGGTTTGTTACTAAAATAATACACCCAACAGGTTTTGACGTATTAAGAAAATGAATTTGGCTATATAAGATTTAAACACACCAAAAATATATATTATAAACAATGCAAAGTATATTTGGCCAAGTTCTATAGCTTACTCGATACATCAGTCTTCACAAATGACTACTTTGTGGGAAAGCGTGTTTTTTCAGTGTTAACTAAAAGACCTTTTGTGTATCTGATATCTCTGTGTATCATGCATTTGAATAGCCTCGAATTCCGATTTTCGTTTTGATGTAAATTGTAATCGATGAAGGATGTAAAAGATGCATGCTTTCTATAGAATTATCAAGCTGATGCATAGAAAATGAAATTATAAATAGATACTTGATGAGATTGATGCAAATACGCATTATTCTATAGAATTCGTGATAATTATTTTTCAATGGCTGGTTTAGTTTTTATTGCTTGACTCTGAGCCTGCATGCAAGGGGTCAGTTTCAACAATTATAAGTGAGCGATGTGTCACATTGATGACGAACGACCAGGTATTATCAATACTTCATCTGGATTAATTAGCCACGAACGTATTTACTGCTAAACCTGGTTGCATTGCTGCTTCAAACGATACCAGTATAAATTCATCTCAAATTTATTGGTCTATCTACGCCTTGTAAGCCAATAGGAAGCGGTTACAATACCTGGTACTGGTTTAAAACAAACTGCGATAACAAAAAAAGTTGCTTGTTGCTAAACTCTACCTCTAGATGTTCTTAAACACCGTGTCCAGGTTTCATTGTGAAACGTTGTTGAGTAGCAGGCGTGATAATAGACCAAGGTGCAAATGAGACCAAAATCCTCGACTGATTGCTGAGCAACATTGGCATAGCGTTCATGTTTAACACTTTGATGACACTGAGTGTCAGAGTTTCATTTTCACCGTCATGCCAAATTAGACGGAACATTTTATTGAGGCGTAGTTAGGTCATTGACAATGAATTCTACAATTGAAAGGGAGCTTTGAATGCTGTGACAATATCTTCCCTCTCTCATTCAATGCACGCGTGTGCATCGTTTTAAAGCCGATTCGTGGATCAATTTGAGCCAGATTGCATGCACAAACTGACTATAGAATATATAAAAAGATTTAATATTCGGATAGGATTTATTCTCAAGTATCATTGAATAAAATATCGTACATAACCTCGTAGGAGGATGTTGTGATCATTTGTTTATAAGAAATGCAGGGTTATTATAGTTTTAATTAAACCTGCAGACATTATCTCCATGTTAATCTCACAATAATGACTCACAATTTTATAGCCAGCTATTCAATTAATTTTTACTGTGTATAGAATAAATTACATCCCCGCTGTCCTTTTAGAAAGCATCAAGTTTTCAATCATCATCATATATCGTAAATATTACGTGCAGCATTTTCTTAAATTGTGGGAATTGCACTGTTCTGTTACTTAAAGTTTTACTGGATTTTAAAAGGAACATTCTGTTACATGAATACAACTGGCGTAAAGATTTTACAGTTTATTTAAATATGAAGAGGTCACAATGGGAGAGTGAATACTTTGTCATTTTATTTGACGGTTGAAGAAGCTCGCATGGGAACCGCAAAATAAAGATTTGTAACTTATGAAACGTACAAGTGGTAGAGATGATTCTCAGACTGACTATCTGTTTAGCCTTTATAAACAAATTCAGGTTAGAGATTTAAGGTTTAGCTGAAAATGTCAATGTTACCGAGTGATTGTGATATACTAGCTTTATTTACTCTTGTTTAATGATGAGAAATTCAGTAACGACAGTAACGAATGCCGTGGAACGTTCTGTCATGAAGACATATTTAACCATTAAAACCAAATACATGACTTTTCAGTGCTCTGATATTTCAACTCGATGATATTAGTGATAAATTAACTTTTAATCTAAAAATACACCGAGTAACTCGGTAACGAAATCGTTGGAAAATATTATTTTCTGCGTCCATATCCATCGACACAGATTTTGTCAAAACTCTGGCTAGTCTTCATCGTAAAAACTTAAACTAATTTTAACTGACGTTGCATGTTTGAGCATATCTTAGCTTTGATTGATATTTTATCACAGTTTGACATAGACTATTTTTTCTTCGTGATTAAGTTAGCGACGTCAGGGGCACTCGAAGAAAGCTCTGATTTGCAGTTGAAGAGGGAGTCTAAAAAATGCTGGCCTAACAATAATGTTCTTCATCCTGTTATTTGGATTTCGTTTTTTAGAGCCATGGACCTTCAAATTTATTGTCATAAAAAAGTGATGACTCTCCGGGGGTCCTGCACCATTAGAGTAGTTTTTGTCCATTTAATACGCTTGGCTGACTTGAACTAATATATACAGACTATCGTAGCGACAGCTGCGTATTTTTGTCAGTCGTGTATAAAAATGTATTCCTCAGAAGTCATATGTATTTAGTCATAATATCCATCGTTATAAACAGATAAACTGCGTCTTTGTTGCCAAATAATATCCTTATTATTTCTTTAGCATTATCGTAGTATGCAGAGCAGTATTATGTCAGTACTATACCATAAGTTAACCTTAGGCTGGAAAACCATGCATTGTCTAAGCAGTATCGTAGTAATATGTAGCTTCATGTCTTACCCTCTTATATGTTTCCTTTAGGCTGGGGAACTGTCAGATGATTCCCAAATCTACGTCAAGGCAAACAAAGCACAGCCTGTGGGAACTGGGCACAAGAAGCTTATCGAACTTGTAAAGTCGGTACCTGAAGGTTGGTTCGAGAAGCTCTGAGAGTAAATTAACTTTGAAGTTTCAAAGGCTTTGCTAACTTCCAATTTACTTTTACTAACTTTTCTAATTAAAATTTTGTAGCAAATTATGGCTTCAATCTCAAGGGTGGGTTGGATCGACCTGTCATCAGAGAGGATACTGGGATATTCGTCACAAAGATTCGTCCAAAAGGAGTGGCTGCAAAGCATGGTGGACTAGCCCCTGGAGACAGAATCCTTGAGGTTTGATACCCACAGCGTCTTCTTATCATCTTAGCAGACATTATACATTAATGTACAGCATCATACAGTACTTAGCAGTACATTACATTACAGAACAACAGTATATTGTCACCATGCAGTACTATACGGTACTCTATGGCCAGTATTTTCCTTTCCAATTACTTCAGATAAATGACAGAGATTGTAGATTTGTAAAACGTCAGGCGGCTTTGGATCTGATACAAAACTCAAATGAAAAACTAAAATTACTGGTAGAGAAGAATGCAATCCAGGTGTGTTCATAATTTGTTTTACTTCTGTGTATCGGATGTACTTTGCTAAAAGATTACATACAATTAAAATTCAACAGATTCGTATGAGGCCCAAGGACCTAAGTGGTAATATTATCGAAGTCTCGTTGTCCAAGAGTTCTTCAGGTATTTTCTATGATACACAAGAGTGCGAATTTAGGCGTAATTTTGACTTAAAATGTTCTCCGTAATCGTTGTAGATTCTGGTCTTGGTTTCAACGTCCGCGGTGGTGTGGATCACCCTCATCTTAGTTACGATCCTGGGATATTTATAACGACAGTAAAAGAAAATAGCATCGCTTCAAAAGATGGTCGACTTCAGCCTGGCGATAAAATACTTGAAGTAAGTTAACTATAGTGAGCATTTCTTTGCTGGTTTATACTTCGCATCATGAATCTCCTCGGTATATTTCACTTTTTTTTCCCTTTCAGATAAACGGAATTGATGTGAGAAGAGTTCCTCGTGAATCTGTCATTGATTTAATAAATGATTCGAAAAAGATTGTTCATCTAAAATTACTGAAAGATGCCCTAAAGAATCTTATCGTAAGTCTCTTGAGTTTGGTTTGCTGTAGATTTGAGTGTCCATCAACACATGCAGCAGCGCTAGGGTGCACTAGGTTTTTAAAAAACGAATTGCAGCGCTAAGAGACGTTTTTACTGACGAATATCAAATATTTTTCACAGAAAGAGAACGAGGAGGGGAGTGTTGATGTCCGACGTGGTCCTGTTGTTGTCATTGAGTTGAATAAAGGAACTGAAGGTAGAGGATGAGTTTTCGTAACATCCGAAAACGCGATTGTCTTGGATGAAACTAAATTAGTATTTTCATCTTTTAAGGTCTTGGTTTTAACATCCGTGGCGGCTCTGACGCACCATTTCTTCCTGGTAATCCTGGTATCTTTGTTACCAATATTCGTCCAGGAGGGGTTGCTGACCGTGATAGAAGGTTGAAAAGAGGGGACAGGATCTTAGAGGTATAGTAACGTCTCAAACTAGCTCACATAGGAATCCAGAGGTGTAATCTTATATCTCTCTTGTTAAATCTAAACTTCAAACCCAGTTAATTATTTACTGTGAGTTCGACTGTCGTGATGATTTCCAAACATTTCTGTGTTTTATTCAACTATAACACCACTCGCAACTTTACCTTATATTTGTCCAAGCTATTGTATACATCAATGCAGATTTATTGCTGGAGTTTGGATCACGGACTCGGGGAATTCTAAACACGCACGTATTGAAAATAGCTATGATCAACGTTTATCGATGTGAAAACACATTTTGGTGCTCACTTTAGCCCACTTGAAATTTAAACATGTCAAACTTCAAGTTCGCCTTTGGTTTTTGCTGTTAACCGCGGCTGGAATCAAACTAATTGACACTGAAATGAACAAACAAATAACTAACTTAAGTAAAAGCACATAAAAGTTGAACATGCAGGGAAAATTAAAAAGTTTATCTTCTAGATCAACGGGGTTGATGTGAGGGATGTTTCCCAGGAAACAGCTGGTCTGTTAGTCCAAAGAAATTCAGGAAAAATCTCGTTACTCGTTGAAAAAGAAGCGGAAAAATACTACAAGTTATCAAACCAATTCAAAAACGTAAGTCAATATCATTAAAAATAACATCCCTTCATTCCACACTCCCCCGCACATTTCATGTGGATCTCGTCGATATATCATTATTTTGTTTTAAATCCATTTTTGGTCATTTATTCCGTTTTCGGTTCCATCCTTACACCGTCTGTGATAGCCGTGCTTGCGTTGTTTCAATATCCCTGCGTTCAATGTAACTGCGATTACAGTCTCAGTTCAACGTTATAAAATGAACCATTGCATCAAATGTAAAAATGCAATTTCCAATCAACACATGCATCCACGCAATGAGTGGGATTTAAAACATCATTAATATTGCAAAAGTTTGATGCCGCTATATTTTATATTTTACTAAAACACGTTTGGGAGCATACAGTATTTTGCATAATTTTTTTTCCTGATCTTTAGCTCATGAAGCGATATACGCAAAAAAAGTTTTCTCAAATATATTTGTCAACTATCTTGTGTAAAACTTAAGCGATCTCAATTTGATCTTATGTGAACACCTGCCTTCGACAAATCTTCTCTGTGATTGGATGATTTAAACAATTACTGCCCAAACCTTAATTTATACATACTATGTATTGGCGACTGAATATTTATCAAGTTCAAAATAAAATCTGTCTGAAATACGCTCATTTTGCTCCGGATTTTGTGTCGGTTTGGGGTTATTCTCGTTTCTCTATACTGGAAAACATGGCGCCCAGCTCTTGCGGGCGATTTTTAAACTATCAAGAAGGTTAACTAGGGGTTTTTGGGATCTGATTATAATCTGTGATCGTCTGGGTTCAGAGGATGGAACGTGTGTCAAAAGCGCCTTTAAGAAGAAGAAATAGCGATAGTTTGGTATTGTACTGGCTGTGTGTTGTGTACTGTGTTGTTGTGTTTCTTCTATGTCCGTGTGTTTATCGTCTGGCTTTGTGTTGCTGTGTTACGTCCTGTTGTATAATCCGCGAACTCATACTTGCATCTCATATTTAATATTTAGGATTGTTTTGGTAGTTGCTTTTCACCGTTACTGATGCTGTATTTTCAAATATTATGAATTATTTTCATTTATTATTTCACTTGTTTAACATGAACCTTTAAAGACGAGCTAAAAGCACAGTCAAAATTTAGCTATAACTTTACGTACACTCAGGTGTGATTAGGAGGTTTTTCGCTAAGAACGCATCGTGGATTCTATATAGTAGATTATGGATCATTTATTCATACGGGGTAGATTTGATTTGAATATGTCAAATACTGGATCGCCCTCCAATGTGACTTACATGAAGACTCACAATGGATACACAGACTATATACATTTTTAACAATTTCATACAAAATTATGAAACACTTCAATTCTCAGAGTCTGTGAAACGGTTAAAAAAAAGAATGATTTCCTGTTTTTACTTGTTGAGAGCGATGCATTAATTTAATCAACGGTTGAGAGGCAGGGAGAATTGAATATTTTTTAAGTTGATATAAAACCGTTTGTCTTAAAGCAAACTTGCTATAGTGTTAGTAGCAATGTTGGTGCATAAATAGGTGCACAATGTTCATAACTTGTACTACGAATGTAAATTTTCTGACCCTCAATACAAGAATAACTCCGCCAGTTGCATGCAAAAACAGTAAGATATCAGCATAAATCACGCTAAGAATTCTTGAAGTACTCATGATTTGTGCAACTAATATTAACCAGGCATACACTGTGTTCAGGCCTAAAAGAGAAAATCCAACACATTTTCATCTGTTAAGACCTCTTTAGTTTGTTAATGACAATTTAAAATGTGTCGATATTTTCAAAACCAACCATTTCATATCAACCGCCAAGCTGTATATTTTCAAGATGGCCAAACTCGTTGTCAACAACACATAAGCATAATAGGAATTTGTTTTGTAATTCGCAGTGCGCGAATTAAAAATAGGATTTTTTGTCCTGAGATAACCAAGATCGTTTTTGGTGATATCGTTATAAAAATATACTTGATATTCCAGTTTTAACTTCTAGAAATTGTTATCTGCGATTACGAACGATTAATATGTGGATTAAACAAAATTAGGAAGAGTTAAAAATGACATAAAATAGCAATGAGACGAACACCAGAGAATATTGAATTAAACAAGGACAATTATAGAAAGGTATCTGAAAAGTGGATTAAAAGGAATTATATATTGGGCTGGTCAAGATATTGAATATATATATATATATATATATATATATGTATATATAGGATACGGTAATTATGTTTTCTTCTTGAAACGTAAAATGATAGTCTATTCTTTAATGAATGATGAAACTATTTGAAGTGAATATATTTGTACAATACACGTATAAACGTCTTGTTCTAACCAACAGTATGGCGCTGTCCTACCTGAATGACTGAATCATAGATCATAGGGTGCAATATTTTCCGTGTAGCTAAATGGAAAAAGTGCAGTATTTTCTGTGATAAATGATGCTACAGATAAAAGCCAAATACTGAAAAAATAAACAAGTCCATCTTAAATCATTTGAAAGTTCATTGCTGTTGACGTTTTAAGTATTTGGTCAAAAAATTTCTTGTAGTTTATGTTATAAGAATCGTTTTATTTCAGTCGAATATCCTAGTTTATTCATCGACCTTTTGTCCTTTTCGGATTACAATTTCATTGATCCTGCCACTTATAAAGTGAAATATACCCTTGGTTTGGTTTTCATGTTGCAAAGATAAAATTATCATCCAGTATACGGTGTGGACTCCGTTGTAAGGATAATTAGATATACTAATGTTTGGCAAACATATTTCAGTGGCAACATTCAAAGCAACAAGACATTAAGATTTGATGCTTGACTGCACTGTAAAATTAACGTTTGAAATATGCGCATATGTCTTTGTCTTGAAGCTAACTTGACAATCCAAGCATAAATCACTGTCTATAAAATGGTAGTTCTATAATCATGACTTCTCGCTCTCGTCTGAAACATCGAGAAAGAAAGAGTCCGTCTAGTAGTAGCTACACTAGCGAGTACGAGGATTCTACTGGTAGCTCAAAGGTAAAATATAAACAAATAAATATTAAATGAAGCGGCCGAAGTGTGAACTTATAATGCCTTTTCACTGAACTTTATAACACAGTTAAGAAAACGCTATATTTACGTTTGTTGGCTGTTGTTTGTTCTTGTTTGTGACTATGAAACAATTTTACAATGTTATTGTTGTGTAAAATGGTGTAAAAAGACTGGATTAGCTCTCGTGGGATACTATATTTGATGATGTCTGATGAATATAGCGAGGAGGAAGATAGTGGTTCTGAGTACGATTCTGATGAGGTATAATTGTTACATTTACATGCATTGCTACACTAGAGTATGTAGTGTATCTTATATTACAGAGATAAGAGAGAGATACAGCGTCGTACTATGGGTTGTTTAAATGAAAAATTTGGTCGGTTTTCACAACCTGTTGATTTTTATCGTGATTACTATATATTCATATGAATTGCTTGATAACTCACACATGACTGCATGTTGTTACTGCTTGACTGGTCATGCATTTATGATGGAATGATCCACGGTTTCCGTAGAATTGTTACATTCTCTTGCTACGTTCTACCATAATTTATTCCAGTTGAAGTTCCATTCATCATGTCCGTGCATAGTGCCATAGTTACCTCAGAACCAAATTTGACGCAACGTAATACTCGAGGTGAATATTTATAAAAATGAAAGATTTTTAAAGAATGTTTGCTTCCAAACAGCAGGGTTCCAAAAAAAACCAGCCGTTTAGGATACACGTCTTAAAATATTTTGTATTTTGCTTTCTCGATCGATCATCAGTTCCATATGGATTAGTTTAAATTTGCAATTTAGTCGGTACTAGTCTTCCGATATACCAGCGATTCATCCTCAGGCTCAGTTGAAAAATATTTGTGCCACTGGGTCGAATTTTGATGCCTCAGCGTAACAATTACTTTGCAATTAGTTTTCCTCTGACAAGAATGTCGCATATTAGCGAAAGAAAATTCAAACAAAACTGAATGATTAAAAATTCATAAAACATTATAAATTGGTTTAGAGTCAACAATTTAGACAGAGAAAATTTGCAAATGTTATTAAATGTGTCTTAGGAACGTTTTAATTGCTTTTGAAGATGTGATCTTGCTCTCCTAAGCTGTATCGTTTAATCCTTTTCAGAACTATAGCCTGTGCACAGAAATATACTAGTTCATAGTTTTAATCACACTTTAGCTTCTTCTATCTTCAAAAATATCCATTTTCACCAAATAATTATTCAAGGTCTGTTCAGTGTCATTTATGAAAATGCCTGTAGACAATTTTCGTTGCTATGATTTTAAATGTTAATCAGTAAAACATGCTTAAAGTTGGTCGTATCCAAAGCAATATGTCTCGCAGTTCAGTGAAGATCTTCCAGTACTACTTCAGATAGAAATGAAGTTTTTCTTCAAATCCAAACCGCCAAAGGTAAAATCGGTATTAGCTGCAAGCTTTATTTAAAGCATTTTAAGATAGCATTTAAAGAAAGTTGGGTAGTATTTTAAAGCATTTTAAGATAGCATTTAAAGAAAGTTGGGTAGAATAAGTGTTTTGAGTAATAACAGGGTCCTTGGGTATTTAGGTATAGCGGCAGTTGTTTTTTACCAATCCGATCTATCAAAGCCTCGGTGGTCATTTTTCTATACTTTGTAGTTGTTAATGTATTTTTCTGGTGTATAACAGTTTTATTCTTGAAATATACCAAGCGCATTCACTAAAGTTTCATCATGACGACACGGATCTGATATTAAGTGTGAAGCATTGATATATCAACAGAGCAAAGTTTTTTACCTATTACCGGATGCTTAAATGTTGCTTTGTTTTAAAGTCGTCCTGTTTTATTTGTATGTGTTTTGTTTTGTTATTCATGTATGTGTATTGCATGTATTCGTGTTGTTGTGTGGTTCATCGTCAGCCATATTGCTCTCGGTTAATCGTCGGCTTTTGCATCGTCGTTGTCCGTCGCAATTGGTCTTCAGTGTTAATTCCTATAACTTGACGGATGTGCGTATTCATTCCAGGAACTGATACCTAAATACAACACATTTGACGTTCATAACAATAGTTTTTACAAGGTTCTTAACAATTTTCCATATTTCCCTTTTTTTTTCTCCTGCTTCAGATTATTATAACTCGGGCTATTTATTCATGACCAAAGTTTTTTCTCAGATATCTACATTGGTTTAATTTAAACATAGACAGAGATAAAACTTGAATAAAAAAAGGAAATTGTTCAACACTTGGGCTTGAACTTTTCATGTGACGAATCGAATGCAAATAAAATTAAACAAAGATTTTAGCTCATTAACATTTACATCAGTAGAATCACTTCATGAAAAGTTCGACGTCTGAAACGGGTCTTAGAAAAGCGAAGGCCATTTTTAGTAACATATTTATTCACATATATATTTCATCTTTTTCAAATTTGTAGAATGTTGACGAAGATGATCTTAGTGGTGAAAGAGGTTGCTTTTTCAAAGATGGCAAAAGAAGAACAGGTTTAAAAAATATTTCTTTGTTTATATCAGTGCTTGATGGAAAACCTGACAATAATAATGCTCTAAAGTGTTTGAACGGAAGGATTTGTTTTCTAAATCATTGTATTCCGTTAAATTGTATACCGTTAAATTGTATAATTGTATAATTGAATAAAGTTGGCGGGGTTTTTTTTCATTTCAGACTTCGTGTTGGTCTACCTCGAAGGTGATAAACCTCCACCGCCAAGACATGCTGAGTTCAGACAAACGTTCTTAGAAAATCTCGCGAAATCTCAAATAGAATTTGAAGAGGTTAGTGGGAACATTAAGATCGCTTTTTTACCAAAAAAATGTGTTATTATAACCGTGGATGTGGTGCGTTGATCAGCAGACCCCCCTCCCTCCCCCCCCCCCTCCCCTCTCCTCTCCTCTCCTTTCCTCCCCTTACGACTTCAAGCAGGTCTTCTATTTTCCTCAAGATAATTGAACCCAGACTCTGATAACTGTTTTCATTTTCAAGGATGTCACCCAAGACAGAAAAACGAAAGTTCATTTCATCAAACTTCACGTACCATGGGAAGTCTTGCTGTTTTACGCCGAAGAATTGAGTTTTCGTGCTCCTCTAGAGGTGAATATAATATCAACTTAGTTTCCTCCTCACATCAAGTGTAGTCTGGGGCTCTCGATAGAAGATCTCACGCAATAAATCTTTACAAGGACGGGTACACTCCTAGGATTGTATACTCTTGTAGTATTAGATATTTATCAAAACATTGAGCAAGAGGTGCCTGAGATACCAGCAGGTCTATCCCTCAATCAAGAGTGGTTATGAGTGGCTAACATGTCATACATGAAGTCATAAACTAACCTCTTTTCCATCGCCTAGGTGCGAGATTCGAAGAAGATTAACTGGAGTGACAGAATGATGCAAAAATTTCACCTTCCAAACATATTTAAAGATGAAGTACCCAATCAACCTGATGATTATTTCACATGTGAATTTCAAGCAGCTAAACTGGACAAGTAAGACGTTCTAAGTTGATAATGATCAATCTATACTCTGGTTATGTATTGTATGTGATGGTAACGGTATGTGATGGTAACGGTATGGCTTTTTTCTAGATTTATTGGTAGTGAAAATCCTGATACGTACTTCAAGGATACAGAACGCAGTCGTATTGTAAGTTTTTTTTGGGTATTCAAGCAGACAACTCGATGAAAATATCATAGAAGAAATGCTGAGTTTTGATTTATTTAACAGGTGTATGAGATTCTGGAAACTGCTCCTTATGGAAAGAAACAGAGGGGTGAAATAGGTGAGATATTTTAAGTGGACTCGATCAGATCAGCATTATCATCATGACCATCATAATTAACGTTATTACTCCACTTACCTGATCATTATCACCATTAAAATTACAATGTTTCTTCCATTATCTTCATCATCAATTTTATTCTCTCAGGCGTTGAAAGATTGGTCGAGGAAGAAGTGTTTGTTGCGGCGTATCCTCTTCATGTGGTAGGTGAATCATCTGGAAAAAAACAAACGAACTTTATCACTACAACAGTATGACAAATATGTAATGCAGAATATAAAAGAAATCGTTTGCTTTGATTCATTTTAGGGACCTTATGAGCTACCACGAGAATTTAAAGATGGACCAGATAGCCCCGAGGAGATTAAACTCAACCAAAGACAGGTACGACACTGAACAAAGCATCTTATTTCAAATCTGAGTGAAACCTGATAAAAAGTATTTGTTGCAGTACTGCTACGATGCAGGCTATTTCAATATATAATTATTTCTTAGAAAATAATATGAAGGGAAACTTTGTTTAGGTTTTGAAAGAATACTGGGCGAGATGGGGAAAATGGCTGAAATATCAACCATTGGATCACATAAGGTAACTTGGAAGATGTGACACAATTATAGCGATAAATAATGAATCTCACAAGTGAATGAAAAATTACTTGTTTTAGAGAATATTTTGGTGAAAAGATAGGAATATATTTTGCCTGGCTTGGTAAGAACCGTTAAAAGAAATGCTAGTTCCTAGTTGTATATCAGCAATGATCATTCAGTTCATTACATAAAATATATTTCTTCAACAGGCCAATACACGGCTTGGTTGCTTGCTCCATCATTTCTTGGAATGCTTGTGTTTCTCTATGGTGTTGTTACAATGCATGGTCCCGACAACAGACCAGCGTAAGTAACAAATGGTTCAGAGGTTATATTCAATGAACATAAACTTCATAATTGCATTTAAAACGTATCTTTCAGTTTGGAAGTATGTGAATACCCCGAGTGGACGTTCAAAATGTGTCCGTTGTGTGATGAGGATTTGGGATGTAAATATTGGGATTTGAAGATGAGTTGTGGCACTGGAAGGGTAAGATGACCGGCTCATGGTCCACTTCATCAAAAGCTGTTTTATACTTTCTTAACTTATTTATTTCATTCACTTTTCTTTGATTTTAGATTGCTTATCTTTTTGATAATGCATCTACGGTTTTTTATGCAGTATTTGTGTCATTTTGGGGTAAGTAGTGCCGGTGTCTCCTGATCAGGTACAACGGTGACGAAAGACAATATCTTTACGGGGAGAAATTTGGTTTGGTCAAGACTGTAGGCTGCTCGTTGCATGCTATTTCGCTGTCGTTATTCAGGATTTTTCATGATTTTTTTAGCTGTTTTTTTCCTTGAATTCTGGAAGAGGAAGGAAATCACACTGGCCTATCATTGGGACGTACTGGAATATGAAGAAGCTGCGGTGAGTTTGATCATTTCTGGTTTAAATTTAGATCAACCTCAGCCAGTTCATTTGTCCTGCGTGTCGAGTCTAGAGAGTGAACGAACGTTGTTTTCTCTTTCTTGTTCTGCTGTAGGAGAGACCTCGACCAACTTTCGCTGCTTTAGCCCCAACTGTTGCTCGGAATCCTGTGACTGGAATCATGGAACCTCATTTCCCAGAGGAAAGACGAACACATCGCGTATTTTCAGGAATCGCTGTTGTGCTTACAATGGTAAGTTTCACAAAGAAATACCTTGTTTCTTTTCATGTAACAATCGTTAGTCATCGCCAGGTAGAAAGGTTTCGTATATAACGACAGATATATTCAGTCTGAAACGTTTGTATCAACGAGTAAACAAGAAAAGAATGAACAAAATGAAATATTACAAACTTCTTTTTTCTTCAAGGTATCGCTTGTATTGGTCTTCATGCTGGGGGTGATTGTGTATAAATTATTAGTGTACAGACCGCTTGCAAAGAATCCCTCAACGAAAGCCAAGGCTCAGCAGATAGCAAATATGACTGGAGCGATGGTTAATTTAATGACAATTATGATTCTGAGCAGGGTATGTAGATCACGCCGGTGTTTCCTGATCAAATCTTCTCGCGTTCACAAAATATTTAGAATAGATCAACTAATATTTTTTTTCCCTTCAGGTGTACGAAAAGGTTGCGCTTGCTCTCAACCACTGGGGTATGTCTTAGTTCGAAGAAACGTTCTTTCTTTTGTAATCCTTCGTTGCAAAAAGATGTTAAAAATATCTTTATCTGTCCTTCTTAGAAATGCATCGAACGCAAACAGAATATGAGGACAGTTTGACGTTCAAAGTTTTCTGTTTCCAATTTGTGAATTTCTATTCCTCCATCTTTTATATCGCCTTCTTCAAAGGAAAGTAAGTAAACCATTGATACTCTAAACATCGCATGAGAAATATCCTACAAGTATTATTAATACACATTCGGATGGGATTTTATAAACGGGATCTCTCGTCCAATAGTACATCACATTAAGTATAACATTGTGCACAGAATTCTAGTTCATTAAAATGACTAATGCCGTAATTCTGTTTAGAATGATCGGATACCCAGGAAACTACAACAGACTAATGGGTTTGAGACAGGAAGAGGTAATATACAACTATATTATTGAATAATTGCCAATGACCCAAAGAATAATAACGGCTCAATGTATATCGGGTATATTCCTGCTGTAGTGCGCCCCAGGAGGATGTCTTATGGAACTTGCTCAACAGTTGGTGATCATTATGATTGGTAAACAGTTGATTAACAACGTTCAAGAAGTCATGATTCCGTGAGTTGATTTGACATTTGACATAGATTTTGTGCACACGTCAATTTCCTTTTGTGCTCAATGTTTTCCATTGAAATTGACTCTTCAATGAATATACCTTAGTGTGGTGAAACAGTGGATTGCAAGGAAGAAACGAGGTAAAAGTGGGGATGAGATCAAGCCACGTTGGGAACAAGATTATGAACTCATACCAAATGAAGGACTCTTTGGCGAATATCTCGAAATGGGTAAAACTCGTGTTGTTGTTTTCAAAGAATAGCTTGCTCGTAAAGCTCTTATGAGAACAGTCTAATCAACTCGTGTGTTTTTCTTTTAGTTCTTCAGTTTGGATTCATCACCATTTTTGTCGCCGCCTTTCCGTTAGCGCCGTTTTTCGCTCTCGCAAATAACGTTTTTGAAATCAGGATCGACTCTGATAAATTTGTATGCGAAGTTCGTCGGCCAATTGCCGACCGTGCTCAAGACATTGGAATTTGGTTCAATATTCTTGATACGGTCGCTAAGATAGCGGTCATAAGCAATGTAAGTAGTTATAACTAACACTATATCTTAACTGTCCTGGAGTTATCTTTACTGATCCATTCAATTCTCCCCAGGCTTTTCTCATCGCTTTTACGTCATCATTCCTGCCCAAGCTTCTGTACAGATACTCGGTTTCACCGACTGGTTCTCTTGATGGTTATACAAATTATTCACTAGCTTGGGCGCCTGCCAATACTACTAAGGAACCTTGTAGGTAAGTATAAGCAACCATTGTTCCTCATTGTACCTCTATGCATGAACTCAGTCATACTATCCAATGATATCATTGCTTGTACTATAGATAAGTTTTATGTTATATTCAGGTATTTGCAATTCAGAGACAATAGAGGTTCGCACACAGCATTTTATTGGCACTTACTGGCATTAAAATTAGGATTCGTCATTATGTTTGAGGTGGGTTTTAATGATCTAAAGTTGACAGATTTTTTAGAAATTCGATGCAAATTTCTGTCTTCGTTATTACTCTGTAATTTTGTACAATTCTGAATGAACAACCGTTAGTTATATCCTTCAAAACATACCAAATGTTCTTCTCATTCCCAGCATTTCGTTTTCTTTGTGTCCGCAATGATCGATCTAATGGTTCCTGACATTCCAAAGGATCTCGACATCGTGATAAAACGTGAGGCATACCTTGCCAAGCAAGCTTTGGCTGAACATCAAGGAGGAGGTATCACAAAGAGTGATGAGAGCCCGGATGAACTTGATGACGATGGTGTCTAAAAAACCATCGACATTTCTAAGTAATGAAAGGAACTCTCACCGCCCAACGAAATTTTCAAATTTGGAATTCTGTGTCGAGCAGGCACTTAAAATAACTACGCGCTGAATGAATTGAAGCTCTAGAGCTTTCTACGTAAATATGAAATTATTTAAACCAAAACTTTTTAGGTGTTTAAATTCTATATATAGCAACAAGCTGTTCATATATTTAGCTATAAATGTGCCGTATTTTACCAGCTCGTATGCGGTATAGTTGTGCTTGAGATGCAAGGATTTCGACATTCAGTAAGTATATCCATATTCCACGATGGCAAGATATTTACAAAAAATATATATTTATGACTTCGCTGATTTATTTTGCTAAAAATAATAGTAATATTGTGCTACAAATACAACAGAGCTTGCATGCTTTGAAATATATTACAATATCAATAAAATTTACATTTAGATGTCATAACGTCTAAGGTAATGTAGTTTGATATAGAATATGTTTCATCGAATCAGAAAAGGAAATAAAGTAGTATAATCTCAGATTCCTGTTTACAAATAGTACGAATTAAATGTATTTAATATAGATGCATGTATAAAGCCCGGCGATAGTTGTTTCTTTGTTCAAAAAATTTGAGCAGAATTTCAGCTTGTCATATGCAGGAAGCAATTTACTTTTAAAGCTTGCCGCCCTTTATCGAATATCGGCCAATTTTAGGGAAGTTTATCTGATATTTGATCAAAGTCGTGCACATATATTCTACAAATGTAGATAAAAAACGAAAATTAATTGAGCCTTTCGGAAAATGGCGCCCTTGCTTATTAACAGTCTGAAGAAACACTAGACTCCTTTCCGACAGCAATTACGAAAATACAAATATTGATGATCGATAAGCATGAATAATTCCAAAGGCAGGAAATTGTCAGTGACTATACTAAGACTAATTCATGTACTGTGAATTCTCATCTAACAAAAGCGAACACAATGATAGAATTGACATTTTGACGTTCAATCATAAAATCATTTTACCATGTGTAAATACATTTATCCACAAGCAATAGAGTTATGCATTTTATAGGCACAGATTAATCCATCTTCCTCAGTCAAATCCGAATTATACGCATGGAATATACAAGGTTTTGTCTCAAGGTTTCAGTACGCCGTGTTGACTGGATGTCTGTATCTTAAGCAAGATTATTGGCGATATATATATTTAGGGCGTTTTTCAATCCCATTAATCCGTCATTATATCAAGGTACATGCATTGAAAAGCTTTTGTCGTCTTTGTTTAGAGAACGGGTTAAAATTGCACGCGCGCACCGCTGGAATTCAGGCAATATCCGTAGAGGAGTTTGTGTTTGTTTGCAGTGCTTAATTAAGCTTTGTATACCAAAGCAGCATGAACTGAGGAGTCGGTGCTGTCTTCTTGTACAAATTTGGAAATTTCATGTAATAAATGCTAGATATTGCTCTCTGGGGTGATTCAACCTGGGGCACTTAAAACTTCCTGTGAAAAAAAAACTCCACTTCTATAAGAAAAGTGAATAGCACGCACGCGAGGCCGAAGAAAATCTTCAAGAATCTCCTTCTAAACGAGCAAAAAACCCAGGTTTCCACAAGAGTTTGAATAATAATCATCTCCCGTTTTTTTAGCATTTCCTGTTTGCATTTGCGTATTGTGACAAAAATAGCCCTAGAAACTTTAGCAAAAAACTTTACTGGGAGTATTTGGTGTTCCAACACGAGAAACGAAGGAACTGTGGATTCCCTGCGGACATATTATAACTAACAAGCACCCTACTGTCACTTTTGTTCAAAAGTTACACTCCCTGCAGTTTCCCGCATAAAGAAGAAGATTTGAACGCTCGATAGTGCAGCTTAAAAATATATCTTTTGAAAGCACGCTTGGCAATAGATACGTTTTAAGGGTTATTATACCTTAATAAATATATGCAAAGCCTTAAGTACCATTGACTAACACTCTTTATTATGATTTAGACATGCTTCGTAGCTCTTGCCACGGGGTGAAGTTAATTTAGAACTGGCGTGGCATGTTCACCATAATTTTCTGTGGATGATTCGTGTTTTGACCATGTGGAAACTTGCGAAAGTACTTTGCGTTCTAAGTATATTGCTGTGTTCTACTGAAGGAAACGTCGTTGGCAAAGATGTTTCAAACTCCAAAGGTCAGTCTTATACCTAGAGTAAATTTACATTAAACTTGATTATGTTAAGGTCAAATCATGGCAGTAAATATGTCTTTCAAGATAGTTTCAAATTGGATCATAGAAAGTAATTAGAAGTTACGAAATGCCGCAGTGATATGCAGATTCTGCAGTCTTCTGAAAGTCAAGCCATGTAGACAATTTGAACACGTTAACTTGATCATGTTTCATAATATTTGGATATGTTTCGTTCACACGCGTGTTCCACAATAGATGATGAAAAATTCATAGCAAGGACTTCAAACCACACATGTCGTTATATATATATTATAACGCGTTCGTGTGCTTGATATAGCATAAGGTGCTGTTAAATGAAGCTTGTATGTTCACCAGTATCTGTCGTTTTTAAGTATGCAATGTCAGAGTTTATTTACAGAAGTTATCGTTTCCATAAGATTCATGAGTTCTCTAGAGTATAATGCTGGTTAGAATTCTATATATTTAAAGGAACTTCGTTATGACATATTATATATTCGAATTGATAGTCTATATAAGGAAGGATTGGTGCATGGTTTAAGGCCTAGGTTGAAATGTTGTTCACGTAGCTCGTGACATATGTCTAAGTGTAAATAATGCTATAACCTGACCACAGATTCGATATGAAGAATTCATGATTAATAATTACGGCGTTAGTCGTATCAAGATACCAAGGCAAGTTCAACCGGCAAGACTACTCTCTTCACGACCCATCAATTTAAAGTAGGATTATTTCTCTATGGGTTTTTTTTCGCACTTACGTTGTGCGATGAAAATTGGTAAAATCAATGAAGCAATTTAGCAATCTTTTGCATGAAGGAAAAATCCTGGCATAATTAATGGAGCATCAGTATATCTCAGCGTGAATCCGTCAGAAATGTTTTGGATCGGAAATCTAAACTGTTTTTCTTCCTGTAAACTAAACTATTTGAACAACCCTTTAAGATGCTTCGCAAAACTTTACATCATTTTCAACATTGCAGATTAAAACTAACACGATTTTCTTCCTTGGTTCTAAAAAGAAATATTCAGTTGACATCTGCGATGGAGGGGAAAGAAAAATATGTTTAAGACTTGTTAAAAATATAAATAGCTATTATTTAGAATAGTCTGTTCTTATTTGCTATATAATCATTCATTCATTCTCCTTGTTAAGAATTAGCAATCTCATGCCGTATAGACTAATAAGTATTGTTAATTGAAGTATATATGGTTTCCAGAGAGTACTTAATTATAAACCTTATGCATCAAGATATGATTTCACTGATGTACACTAGACTAAGAATAGAGCACATACGTTTGTCGAGTGATTTCTTTTTCATCCCGAATCTGGAATATACTTAGAAACATATTTGGTAATCAAAAATGTTTCCGTCACATATATTGGACTACACTGACCTGCATGCTTGGCTCTGATAATATTAAATCATTCGTTAAGGATGTCTTCCGGAAGTGATAAGAAAAAATACCAGAAATTTTTGCATAAATCGTACACGTTGGGTCCAAAATTTACTATTTAGTAATGATAGAAATGATGCTACATGGGCAAGAAATCAGTTATACACTAATTGTATGAATATCTTGCGAAATACACTAACGAAATTGTAGAACCTCTTAAAAGGATACATGAGTCATTTTTAAAAATAACCTGGGATGATGTAAAGAGCATAATTGTAGCTCATTTGCATCTTGGCTGAACCTGGTGGAAAACTTTATACTCATTAAGCTTCTTGAATACGTTATGACGTATCTTGTTGCAAGTCAAAGTTGTTGGAAACGATGATATGACCTAAAATTTATACATCCTCACAGAAATAAGGAGAATATTCGATAATTCTTTTTTCTTCTTCTAGACATTTCAACCAAATGCTATTTCTGCATTGGGGAAAAAAAGGATGGCAACAACATTGAACTTTGTTCCACTGATAACGATCTTGAAATTGAAGAATGTGAATTAGAAGATCATTTTGATAAGTGCATTGTCATCCAGGCCTTCTCTCTCAGCAAGAACACAACAATCTTCAAGAGAGAATGTTCATCTCGAAGGTTCTGCGAGGAGAGAAAAATTTGCGCGGATCCTGACTACTCTGATTGTCGCTACGAGTGTTGTACGGGTGATCTCTGCAATGATTTTGACTTTGCCGCTGATGTTAGTCCAACTGTATCGCAACCAACAGTTGGTTTGACGAGGGAAACTTTCCAAGATCAAGATGTGCAGAGCAGGGATTCTGTGCGCAGTACAGTTGCAGCAGTGCTCACAGCACAAGCCAGGGAATCTAACCAAGGTTTGACCTCAACTTGTGTTAAAGATCTTTGTAGATTAAACAACTGTGTCAAAGACTGCGATTCAAGTCTTAAGCCAGAGACGTATGTAGTGACGTATTACTAAACCCCAGACATACAGAACTAAGTGTTATAATTTTGCCTTTGCCTTTGTGTAGAAAAAGCCCAAGAAATCGAACCAGTCGTTGAAGAAGGTAACTTTTCAGATGCAATGAATTCATGCATGTATCCAATAAGTTTATCAAGAAACTAAAGGTTTTCGACAATTCCACACGAAAGTTACATGCAAAGAATTGATCACTTTTTATTTCAGCTTGTGAGGATTTGGACACATTCTGCCCTACATATGTGGATGATCCATCTCACTGGCCTATGTTCTGTAAAGATAATGATAGATATACGTCAATTGCTTGCAGAAAAACATGCAAGTTTTGTGTTTCAAGCCATGAAGGTATATACCTTGTTAAAAGCACTTCATCTGTGCTATCATAAAAGTCATGCAGCTTTGATAACTTTCCTGCATGTATTAACATTTAGTTACAACTATACCGACGCAACAAACCACTGAAATTACGACAACAAGTTCGGCTGGGCTAAATTCAAAAGGTATGAAATCATTTTACGGTTTAGTCTTTTGACTTTTTTGTTGGAAAATCTTTCAAGCTCTCTCTCTCAATGAAATTCTGAAATGAAATCTCTTTATATTTTGAAAGATTGCAAAAATCACAGATCAGACTGTAAAGAGCTCGGAATTCTGGAATACTGTCGTAAAATGCCTATCTTTATGAAAGAAAATTGCCCAGAAACTTGTGGATTATGTTCAAAGGGTGAGAAGTAATATCACCACTTTAGAGTAATAGTCTAATGTTGCCAAGCCAGCTTTCGTTTGCAAGGGCCAGCCTATATTATGATATTTTAGGCACGATCATTTCTCCAATAGTATGACAGACACAGTTATTTTATTTTATGTAGGGTAGTATACAATACACTTACGGCCAGTTTTTACGTTTTAGAAACTACTACGACTAAAGTGGTCAAACCGTTAGAATCAGGGACAGAAGAGGTCATAACGTCAGAGCCAGTTGCCACTAAACCAGCTAGAGTCATCACGACAGCGTCAGAAAATACAGAAAGGATCACCACACCTAGGCCTTCACCCATATCCTCAGATAGAGTACAATCTGGCATCTCCGTCGAATCAACAGTAGAAAATGAAGGTAAACAGCCTTTAATATATTTTGTCAAGACGTCCACAGTTGTTTCCTGAAAGGCGTTTCTTACATTGAATTTTTTAGAATGTCAAGACAAGAGAGACAATTGTCAGGAGTTGAAAGAAATTAATTACTGCAGACTTATGCGTTTGTTTATGAGTGAAAGTTGTCGCAAAACTTGTGGATTTTGTTACAACGGTAAGTTGTTTATTTGCTATTTTAGTATGTGTCCAATTTATAACCATACACATTGCATTCATGGTGAAAAGCTGATGGTAGATAAATCAGCAATTAATCCGAATAATTATGTGAATGCCTCAACCACATTCAATATATGATTAAAATATATCATTACGTTTGATATTTTATGGAACCTTACTAGAAACTGTTGCAACAGGAAACGTGGTAGACAATATCACCACCTCACAACCAGTGACAGAAAAAATCACCACCTCAGAACCAGTAACAGAAAAAATGACCACTTTAGTAGAACCAGTGTCCGAAAACATTACCGCTACAGAACTAGTGACAGAAAAGATCACTACCTCAGAACCAGTGACAGAAAAGATGACCACGTTAGAACCATTGGCCGAAAATCTCACCACTACAGAAGTAGTATCAGAAAAGATCAACACCCCAGAACCAGTGACAGAAAGGATTACCACCTCAGAACCAGTGACAGAAAGGATTACCACCCCAGGACCAGCGACTGAAAATATTACCACCTCAGAACTAGTGACAGAAAGGATTACCACCCCAGGACCAACGACAGAAAATATTACCACCTCAGAACTAGTGACAGAAAGGATTACCACCTCAGGACCAGCGACAGTAAAGACCACCACCTCAGAACTAGTGACAGAAAGGATTACCACCCCAGGACCAGCGACTGAAAAAGTCACCACTTCAGAATCAGCGACAGAAAATGTCACCAGTACACAACCAGAGACAGAAAAGATCGCCACTACGAAAGCAATGACTGAAAAGATCAACACCTCAGAACCAGTGACCGAAAAAGTCACGACTCTGCAACCATTGACAGAAAGGATCACCACTTCAGAACCAGTGACAGACAATACCACTACATCAGAACCATTGCCAGAAAAGGTTACCACGTTAAAACAAATTACCAGTGAAAAGAAAAAGAACTTATCTACAACAGTTCCTGTGATCACTTTAACTCCAACGACCTTCGAGAGAGATCAGAAAACATCAGAAGTTGTCATCAAAACTTCAAATACATCTTCAGATACGAAAAAACCGACGGTTACAGTTAAGCCAACCTTAGAGAATGAAGGTAAATTTGTTCACTTTTAAGGAAAAAGCTGGTGTGTTCTGAAGAAATACTGTTTTGTCTCGATTTTTTCAGCTGAAGATGTATATTTTCATTTATTCACACTTTCTAGAATGTCAAGACAAGAGAGATAACTGTGAAAATCTCAAATCTATGGATTATTGCAGACTAATGCGATTTTTTATGAAAGAAAATTGTCGTAAAACCTGTCAATTTTGCTCGAATGGTAAGTTAATTCAATACAATGTATGCAGCTTGATTGACACGATTGAAAACAACCACATACTGACTTAGTTTTTACATCTTCTAACAAACGAAACAGACAAAATCAATTTAACATTTGAATTCAGGTCAACCAAGTACACTAAAGTCAAAAACAACAGAAAAATCAACATCATCACAAGTGATTTCAGAGAAATTGACGGAGCCCTCGCCTGAACCGACCTCAGTGTTGACATCATCGGACACGTCATCAGTGACGTCATCAGATACGGCAGTGACGTCTTCCCAACCTCGAACAACCGAAGCAATAACGAAGTCTAAAACTTCAACAACAACAGCATCAACAACAACGGCAAAAGTTTCTTCTGAATCAAATGTTTTACCAACATTTAAACAAACCACACCGGATGTAAATCCAACGTCTGATAGAAGTAAGACAATCATTTTGAAAATGTAGCTGTTATATCGCGCGCTTTGGCACATAAAGCATTATCTAAGCGGAATGTAACGTGCAATACTGTAGTTCTCATCAACAAAAAAATCCATCATTTCTAGATTGTTTTGACAAGAGAAAAAGATGTCGGTTATTTGCCAAGCTAGATGACTACTGTAATTACCATCGTGATTTTATGGAGAAAAACTGTCCAAAATCATGTGGCTTCTGTTCCCAAGGTAATGAAATATGCACGCTTTGGATGTAATATTCCGCGATGGCACCATCTAGGAATCCTAATCAGTTTAACCAGAACGTTTTCTCCAAATGGATAGATTTCGTGTTTTTAAAAGGACTAAAATATTCCACTATTCCGATGGTAGATGTTGCAGGTGGTCCAACTTCAAGAAATGTGATACCTTCACCCGTCACTACGGCAGAAACAACACAAGAAAATACAGAAAATATAACACCAAGTACCATACAAACCCCTCCTGATGGAACGTCCACTCCAGAAGAAGAGATCACAAAAACAACACCAAGTACCATCATAACCCCTCCTGATGGAACCTCCACTCCAAAAGAAGAGATAACAAAAACAACACCAAGTATCATCATAACCCCCTCTGATGGGACCTCCACTCCAGAAAAAGAGATCAAATCCACACTTCAAACCACTGAGGCTCCATCAACCCCGACAGAACCCACAGAAACCACAGCTAAGACCACAACCCAACTCCGAGCAACTTCAAAGTCGAGCATAATTGTTGTTAAAGGTGGGTGGGCAATAACCACGGTGATAAATACGACACAGATCCTGTTTGGTTTCACAGAAACGTAATGCAGTTTATGCAGTTTTCTTCCAATCTTTTAGACTGTGTCGACAAACGAAAAGAATGTGCCAAGTTTGCAGCGTATCCTGGATATTGTGATTATAGCAGAGAGTTTATGTTAGAACACTGCGCTAAATCATGCGGATTTTGTACCGAAGGTAAGTTTTTAGTTGGTCTGTGGAAAGACTATGACCAGGTAAACGAGAAGAAGTGTAATTGTTTGGAATAACTGTCAAAGAAGATCGATCTTTCACAAAAACTATCCGAACAGACCAACTAAAGAAACTCTGTAGTGAAAAGAGTTAACTGAATATGTTGCTTTTACAGTGGATTCCATACGGCGAAGGTTCTCAGCATCTTTTGTGTTTATAAAGGTGGCGATAGTGGTCGCGTTTCAAGTACTCAGAAACCAATGGAAACATCAACTCTTATGAGAAGTACTTTGGAAACAACATCCTCCATAGTTACAGAAGAACCAACGGCAGAACCATCGGCAAAACAAACCTCAACAATAAAACCATCTGCCGAGCCAACCTCAGCATTAACACCCTCATCCTCAAGCCAAGGTAAACAAGATATCTTATGCAACTACTATTTTTTTATCAACTTGATGGATCATGAAAGTAATCCATTTTTTCTTCCAATAGAACATGAAAAATACGACGTTGTTTTGGTCGTTGGTGCAAGAACTCCAAACGCTTCAGATTCGTTTGTCCAACAAAAAAAAATCATTCAAAATATTTTGGAAAATCCAAAACTAAATAACGTTAGTTCTCCTATTATAAACTACGGTCTTGTCGCATACACTAAGGAAGCTCAAGTGAAATTCCGAATCAACAGCGATGTACCCATGACTATCTTACAATCATCATTAAGCCTGCTCACCTGGCAAAAAGATGGTTCGCGTGTTGACAAAGGAATAGAAAAAGCCATGGAACTGTTTGAAAGTCGGCCTGAGAGAAAGAAACGAATTGTTGTGTTCATAGACAGTCCCTCAGATGCGTCATATAGTGAGTTGAATGAAGCCGCGCAAGAGGCCGAGAAAAGAGGCATTAAACTAGTCGTTGTTGCCATGGGTCAAAAATATGATGCAGGAGAATTTTTGATAATGGCTCCGAGATATCAAGATCGTGTCTTGTTTGATGGAACTCCACCGAGTAACGTCACAAGTAGAATTAAAAAGGCTGCCGATGAGACAATAGCTGCAATTATGCAAGGTAATGAATTAATTATACGTGCATGATAATATCAATTATTTATAGAATAATTATTATAGAAACGATTGATTTTACCAGTTTCTTGATTAATTGTGTCATTATATGCAAAGAAATTACAAATTTCGCTGTGTAACACAAGCAACTTTGTAAACTAAATATCCTTCATTTTATTAATATGTAGAATATGAAGAAACGAAGAATCAAGGCGAAGGACAAGCAGGTTACTAACAGAAATATCTTCATCAGTAATCAATAAATGTTTATGATATCCATTATAATACATCTATAATGTTTCAGGCGTCCCTGTGGTGGAAGATCTTGGACCTTTCAACCCTGAGTCTGCCGAGTTCGGTAAAAATATTTTATTTTTTCTCTGCATTTTTGTCCGTGACGTTACGTTACATGCATCTAATGACTGTCTAATTATGCTCTATTTTTCGTAGGAGATAAATTAAGATGGAAGATATGGCCATGGAGCGAGGTTATATGACTACTAAAAATACATTCATGCAGATTTCCATTGCCTTTATAAACCAAGCAAATAATTCCCAGACCCAAGTTTATATTATGAAATGACTTCGCTATATAAAGGTAATTTTCGTTTACAATAACTTTTTTTCCTTGATAGTGCGTCAATGGCAAACAAAGCAGAGTGGTTCGATGTTATCATTTCCATGAAGAGAAAGACTACCATGTCACAATTAAAGCTTGTATCAAATATGTCGCCCCAATGCCCGAGAAAAAACGAAATTGTTAACAGCATGCTATGCAAAAAACGTTCAGTTTTACCACAGGACGGATTGTAACTTTTTTCGATATATATATAGAATTGAAATTCACAGAAGTTTAAGACGAAGCCTTTCTTAATCGCAAAGAGTTTTAAAGAGAGGAAAACTGATACAGTCTGTATGGAATGATTTGTTTTTCATTATTGTCTATATCTTATATGTACGAAATTTGACAACAATCAAGGCAAAAACGTATTGTCTGACACATTAGTTGTCTATAATAGCTAGTCAGTCGTAATTTTGTATTCTTTTTGCATCTCACTTCGTATAACAAATATCACTGCATAACTGATTAGTCATGCAGTAAGGAAAGTGTACGCTGTTGATGAAATATTTTATATTTTGTATTTTAATTAAAAAGGTAGCCTATCAGTGTAATTAAACTACATCACTCAGCTCCTACTGTAGTTCGCAGCTCAGTACTCGCAAAAACGAGCCATGAAAACAAGCCAGGTTCTTCGTATTAGGAGCGGCAAATCTAGCTAGTGTTTAATGGATGTTCATTGATAAAAACTGCCTTTATTCATATGCCAATATATGTATATGTTTCCTTTGGCAATTTAGTTATTATAGTCAAAACGTGCCAGTTTACTTTTATCATTTCGAAAAGTCAATAGTTGTTTCATATATTTACCAATTAATAGTGGGTGACTGGGTTGGTTTCACATCCGCCTACGCGAAAGTTATGATTGTCGCTGAAGTTGTGTATCCTGAGGTGCTTTATGCATGGAGCTTTCCATCCATGAAAAAATTTAAAAAACAAATACATATATTAGATAATTCATCTTTCTAATTTCATTAACCACGGAATAAAAAAGTTTGAGCTTTTTTTTCTTAAAATTTCCTCCATGAATGCTGCATGTTTCAGCTTGCAGTTAATCATTTGAAAAGCCTCGTAACTATTGTTTTTATTGTTCTGACAGATACGAATCATGCTTGACGTTTGAAACAAGACATAAGCAACTATGCTTCAGGTATCAAATATGACAGGTGTACAAGTAAAATAGCAATTATTCAATATAGAAACTGTTTTGGAAGACAATTATGTAACTAATTGAACAAATTAGAACTGTATGATCATGATATTTTAAGAGAGAAATTAAGACTGAAATCTTCAGAACATCCTCGTTGATGTTCTGACGATGGTAAAGGTAGAATTCAACAAGATCTACAAACTTTAGTTCTTCATACTTGGCGATGTCCAGTAATTTTTTACCTTTTTAAATAATGCATGACCTACGATAATTCATATTCCAAATATAATTATATTAACAATGAAAATGATCAATGAAACGATTTATCACTTGTATGAATATGGTACCGGCAAAGACACCGGCAATGCCAATGGCGATAGATTTTTCATAACAAATTATACTCGGTCACGTCTGAAACGCGCGCTTTTGTTATTATTTTCTTCTCGAAAACGTTTTGTGGGTTTTTGTGGAGGAGGTGTCTTTGCATAGAGTATAGTCCTATAGTATTTCGTGCGTAGGGTCATTAAAGGTGCTTCGCCAGCGGAAGTTTGTGTTTAATATATTCAAAGGTTTCATTTCAACTTAGCGCTTCAGTTGATTCAAGCATCGTAATATTTCGTGATTGATCGTCGACGTTTTGGCTTCTTTACATCGTGTAAAACTCTGTGTTTAAGGTTACCTTAAAGTTTTAAAGTGTACTTGAAAAGGGATCTTGTGGTTTGGCTGTTTGGTTCCCTCACTTGCCTGGAGTTTATCTGTTGCGTATAGCCTATAGGTAAGCCGTATAGATTATGGTTGCAAGTACAAATCGTATTCCATGTGTTTGTTTTTAAACTGCTGAAAATCCTTTAACTGAATAACTCTAAAGCCTGACATGCAAACAAAATCCTCAATCAAGAACGAAACTTCATAGTGACAAAACAACGAACCGTCAACATGTTCTTAAATATCATATTTGTGCAGGTAAAGTTAGGACACAATATACGTTGATGTCGTAAGACGGCTCATTGTATGCAAAATATTGGAAATCTTTATTACTTGGGGCTCCACCTGGGTGAGAAATAAAATATTGTATAAAAGACATAGTGTAACGTAGTCTGGTAGTTATCAGACCATCCTCGTAGGGAAAAAAAAGCTTTGGCCTTTTTAGGCGAGGATCTTCGTCTGAAGTTCTTGACCACCCGCTAAGAGACATTGAAGCATTTGAGGTTTAGTCGTAGACAAGGGCAACCATCTACTGTCGTGAAGAATCTCATTAATTAAACTAAACAAGCAGTAAGGCACCTAAGGAGTACAGCTCAACCATTTGACATTTTTTCGTTATTTCACAAAAATTCAAATGCAATCATTAAGATAACAAATGACCATTGCATGTGAACGTAATACCTTTATACAACAGATGTTAAATATAATCCTCGTCTGCTGAAAGAGTATACCAGATAGCTATGAATCTTTGCTAATTTTTATCACGTCAATATTTCAAGAAGTTATATTGTTTTTATAAATATACATTGCATATACTCATATACCGCGATATTACACGCGTCTAGTCAGCAGTAGAAGCAACAGATGGAAACGTATTGTGGTTATAGCTGTATTTAGTTAGATAATTCGCTTGTTATGTGACAAGACATTACTCAATAATGGTTTAAAATGCCTTTTTTGCGCACATTTTGCCGGACATTAATATTTTTAACTAGTACATAAGTGACATCTTTTAAAGTGGCAGGTTAAGAGCTATATAGTGGCATACCGTTCTGGAAGAATTGTGAAATTGGCCAGCGCAAGAATCAAATAAGTTGATCTCGCGGTTGATGGTATAAACTGTACAAGTTGTACAGTACGGATATAAAATAAGTCGTTTTAAAATCATTATTATCAAACAAACAATAGATGGCAAAACAATTGCTATAATTTCGGAAGTATCTGTAAAATATTGAGTCGTCAAATTTATGAAATTTAGAAAGTCAAGTGCCGAAGTGGATCGCTGTCATAATACAGTCATGCTTATCAAATCTTTTCAGATATATACTGACGTATCTATAGACTAATTGGAAAAGAAGGAAGACCCTACTATAATTAAACTTCCCTTTTGAGGGTTTTTTTTTAGTTATTTGGCCTAAGATATTTAACTTAGCTGAGATATTTTACAGTATTCTCCCCACGCGCAATGCAATATATGCATGTAAAGACAGTTTAAATTTGCAGATGATCGTACTGATATGTCTTATATGATGCTCTATCATTACCATAATAAGTATGCTTTATTCAATTGAACCTATTTTTAAACATATACCGGATTCTCTTGTCACGACATTTTGTGGTTATATAACTATCGACCAATACTCCCAGAGTCCCAGTGATAATCTGACGGATCTGTACTCTGTAGTCACACTGTCGAGCAGTGAAACTTGATTCCAATTTTCGCTTCTAAACTCTGAAGACAAACAAAGATCTTGTGACAAGTGAGTTTAGATAGTAGAATATACACAAGCAATCTTCTGCCAGAGATTAGACTGTCTGTAAAATCAATAAATTTTTGACAAAGAAGTGTTCATTATGCAAAATGTTTTTCGAATAATTCCACGCCATGCATCCCTCATCGACGAACGTGACTTAAGAACGTGTTACAGACACACGAAATCTCAATGCATATTTCTGTCTATTGAGTGGGTGTTAAGATGGAAATGATCAATACATTTTAATTGTTCTCCCCCAACGGTTTTTGAGGTATATACCTGAATGTATAGATCACTAGACAACGATAAAACGTCAAGCTATATATATTAATATAATCCTTTATGTTTCAAAAATTTCGTAAGGAATTTCTTGAAATTTTTATCGCTGATGAACATTGTTACTATTCATAGAATTCAAATGAGGACAGACAATTCCAAAAGTGACCTAATCTTGTATTGACTTTAGTCTTTACCAGGCCGATTATTTTTACCCCGCGCACGTGCGGTGCACCTACTATATCACCGTTAATTCTGAGTCAACGAATGACTTATTCATAGATAACAACATTTCATCTATTTTCTTTTATAGATAAACTGTGTTAGGCTCAGGTGGCTGGACCTCCAAGGGCGGGGTAATTTACTTTGGCCAGTATATATTGACGACTCTCATCGAAACGGCCGCCGTCAGTAAATATTGCTTCTGACATTTCATATTTTGCGACATAGATAGCAGTGCACGCCCACGAACGCGAAACATCGTGCCCACGAAAGCCACGAACAAAAGGAGGATTCAGGTTTATTTCAGATTAGAAAGGATTTACTTGTTTAGCCGGAGAGCAGCAACGTAAACGTGTTCTCGATCATTGGAGGCAAAATTTCAAAACACTGAGCTTTCATTTACCGTTGGCTATTACCCGAGGTTCCTCTGGTGAAGAAAAACGGAATCTTGTTAAAAAGGAAACTCGTTCTTTGTGTTGAATAATTCTTAGTTCTTGCCCAATATTACCTGTTGAAATACGATTGTTATCAACTGGCTTATTGTATTTCAGAAGTAAGTAAAATATAGTGTATATATTTGTGTTAAAAACTGAATACAATCAAGGTAAATTGACACAGTGATTTGAACACCCTTTCCCAGCAGTTAATACTTAATCGGTTCGTTTGTGTCACAAATTGTGCAGTTTTGTTTGTCCTGGTCCAACCTCACAAGTTAGTGTTGTGCAAAGTAATAAAAAAGTCGTTAAAGGACAGTACCTCCGGTACAAGTTAACCATTCACAATCGTGGAAATGTGGGTTACCTAAAATGTATTGTTGAGTGGTATTTGAAATGCAGCATTAAAGTTTTATATCAAATGCCTCAAACCCCAGAAATTCTCACGGATCAACGCAGTCTCACTTGAACGTCAATATCCTCCTTCACCACCAATTAACATGTTTTTGTTCGACGATTATATTTCATAACAACAACAGAGCGAATTGTGAATACTCAAGAGTTTAATTTCCTTCAACTGTGTTTCCCCCCTGGGTAAATTGTCTCTTCTTTTCTTATGCCGTTTGTTTTGTGACAATTTTTCTGAACATTGGCGCGATCCTAACCGAGTTATTTTCACGAAACGTTTAAATTGTGGAATATGTTATTCTCCAGATATTTTTTGGCATTTCCTGTGTCGTAACTAATAGGGACTATTAAGACAATATATAGCATTGCAGCTAAACTGGCCGTGAAATATCTGTCGACAACATCCTCCCATAATGACGCAAACGAACAGTGATATTCGATTAAGTTGGCAATCCTTCCAGCATATAAGGAAAACAAAGTTGACAAGAATTTGGCTAGTAGCTCCAACAATTAAAACAACACTTATATATTGTTACCGAATGTTAAGTTATTCAGCCAGTTAATCAAAACATATGTGGAGTTAAAATGACAGATAGGGAAATAATAAAAGATTAGTTTTCATCACAATAATTACTTTTTCTTATCTAGTGATGATCGTATAACTTGAAATCGCCGCCTGAAGGAGTCAAAGTTGAGATAATATCAACGTCATAAGGTTTTGAAGAAGACAACGAGCAAAAACATTTTTTTAAATTCCCGTACGAGTGACAACGATTAAACTGGTCTTCGTGCATTTTTCTGGATTAAAAGCAACTTTTCATCCGTTGCCGTTGGCTCTGATTCTTCTTTGATGGTGGAAAAATTGGGAAGAGGATTCTTTAAACTGTCGTGTTTATTTGCTTGGAAAGTACGCACAAGGTAAACAAGCCAATGGACATACTGAACTTCGTTTTTATAATAAAAACAAATTGAAAAATATCTTGAAGAAGGAACAATGAGATTTCCAAGAGCAGAAGGCGAGCCAGAGAGCAACGTCATGTATCATAACAAATCAGGAGGCAATAATAATGATTCAAACGGCGTCCCTGAACCGGAATACAAACCAGCTCCAAATGCTGAACCTGTTCCTGAATGGCCTGCGGCGAAAGAGGAATGGAACGGAGCATGGGAGGCGCATTACATAGGATTTGGTGTCCTGTTTTTACTACTAGCGGCTTGGTCAATCATGGCCTTAATTCGAGCCCGCAATACACCATTACTTGTGACACGTCGTTTTTGCTACGCTATCAACTGTTTGCTTATTTCATTTGGTATAACACGAGCATTAGCTTTATTTCTCTATCCATACGAAATGGTTGACAATGCTAATGGTACCCCTGTTGTCCTGCAACGATTGCTGTTTGGCATAGGATACCCATGTCTTATCGCGGGCTTTACGTTAATTCACTATGCTTTTCTCGAGGCTGCAAAAGTAAGCTTCTCAAAGAAAAGAATCCAAAGCTTACGGTTTATTATTGGAGTAATAGCCGTCCACGTGACGTTAGTTTTGGTTGCCGAGATCGTAACAAGTTACGTGAACAATACAAGTATTCTGGTGATAATATGCATGCTATATTTCATAGTCTGCTCGTTAGCTGTGTCTGCAAGCGTATTTTACAGTGGATTTCACGTGATAAAAGAATCAAAGACACACAGGCGTACGTTGAAACGCATCAGTGTTCGCTCAAACGGCATCGATAAAAAGGCGTCGACGAAAGTCTCTAATAAAGAAAGCAATACAAATAAAGTTGCTCGTGTTACTATGGTAACAGCATGTCTCGGAGTGGCGTGTGCAGCCTTACAGATCTATGCAATGGCGGGGGTATTTGAAATTCGTTCCAAGGGAGCTGGGGACCCCCCAAAGCCCTGGCCGTGGTGGGTCTACGTCACTCTATTTCGTTTAGTTGAACTGGGACTAGCTTCTACAATGGCTTACACAGTGTCGCAGCCAAAGAAAAATGGCAGTAGCAATATACAAAGCATAATGCGATGCTGCGCAGCACAGCACCAAAGAAGAGAAACATTTACAGACAGCGGAATGACTTTGTCCGAAACTGCCGTAAGATTCCCGAAAGATTCGTGCGAAGAGCGAAACCCATCCTTGGCATAAATAAAACTGATATGACTAAAGCTATTCCTATTGTAACTGAACTATTTCAAAGGGGCTACTTACAAGACGTAGTTAAATGACTTGGCGTATGGTGATTTTCAGTAAGCGGTTATAGAATATATTTCTTGGGTAAAACTTTAAAAACAAAGTGGGGATGAAAACTATCAGGACGATACATTTCAATATAATAGCAATATAATATTAACTTTTATATCAGTAACTATCAGTCGTAACTATAAGAAAGTATACTTCAATCTACTCACTAATTCAGTCATTAATTAAAACAGAATGTATACTGAAAAAACAATGAAAGAAAAAAATAAAAGAAAGTTACATCGTTTAGAGTAAAAACGACGACAATTGTTAATACAATGTTTACTGACGAGATTCGTATATTAGCAAAGAAAAGATATGAATAATTACAATTCAGGCAAAATCAAAAATTGCAGAATCCAAAATATCAATCTTAGAATCAAAAGCCGGAATAACAACAACTTAATTGGATCGTTCTCCCGAACTTTTCCTAACTTTTTGCCAATTTTCACCATGAACTGTATTAAATTAATAAGACAAAGGGTAGTAGACACCATGCTTGTTTTCAGTCTTTCATATTTCTGTGTTCTCGCCGTCGATAATGTCCGTTGCCGTCCTCAATCTTATGCTTGTTGATAAAACCTTCATTAAAATAACACTAAACTGCTGTTGTTTTACACGTCGCTAACAACGTCGCTAACAACCATATTTGTGGAATGCGGCAAAGCACAGTTTACTTCTGTTTTTATCAACCCGGAACCACTTCATGTTTTTTGCTCGCGTAGCGGGGAATTAAGGAAACCACTCCTAATCTATATTGCGGCTTTAAGATCTTTGATATCTTATAGGCTGCATGCATGGTGCCAACAAACGTAGTCAGTAATTTGGGAACGCATTTGTAAATCAATTTACCCGCGGTCAACTATAATAAGATGACGTATGTATATCGATCTTAAGATCTTTCTAACTGGCTTGATATAGCCTAAGCAACTTTATATGTTCTTAAAGTTTGTGCAATGTTCAATGATTTGGTTAGTAAAAGAACCGTAATACTGAAATAAAGTAGAAATAAAGTTGTATTGTTATTAACCTGCATGAAAGAAGAGTTGTTTTATCACCACCATGATCAAATTCATTGTCAGACTATATTCATAATCGAACTCAGATCATATTATGCAGGACATCACAAATAACATATCTAATTGTCCACTTAAAAAACGGAAAAACAAAAAAGGAAAATCGTCAGCGGGCCACACTCGTTTAATCGCTCTGAAATGTCGTTAATCAATAAGGAATCGGAAGAGCGTACGTATGAAATGACAGAGAGGCAACACAGATATTGGACAAAATAATTTGCGCCTTCGAAAGTCCCATGACATGTTTTTGCTATGACAATTGCCTGAAATGGGCAAAAGATATTTGACTTATACCTTCGTTGTGAAAGTTAGTACTTTTCTGACGACGACGACCCTCAGGTCGAAACTTCGAGACATTGGTTGTCTTTTTAGGCTGTTTTTATCCCACGTTTGAGAGATATTGTTCAAAGTCAATATTCTACATGACACACCTTGATACTTGAAACTAGTGGGCAACACTACCTCACACAGTTTCATTGAAATATTGTAACTCCAGGCAATCATGATTCATGAGATAATGAGAATTATATCCGTTTTAGTAATCACTAAATTTTCACCACCTTGATAAAAATTCTCCTGTCATGCATCATAGAATCACAGATAACAAACCGGAATCATTCAATTAATTAGGACCTGAACTTTTAAAATATAAAAGCGAAAGGCTAATCAGCTCAACGAAATTCTAATCGTGTTAGTTTTTGGGACGCTTTGGGTATTCTTAATTCCAATCATGACTAAGAAAATAACTGGCTTCCGTGGGATTTCCGGCCATAAAGTGCCACCCTAATAAATGACAAAAAGGTCAAGAATATAAACTTGCACCACAAGAACCGGTTGTATCAAGCCTTTTTATAACCTAAACAACGGTAAATCCGAACGCAAAAAAGCTCTTTTGTCCTTCATGAACTCTGGCTTGTATAATTACTGTCGCTGATACGATAATTTTTTTCAAAGGTAACAGGTATAAGGATTTAGACTTTTACGTGCGTGTACGTGCGTATGAAAAACGCGTAAGTGGAAAACAGCCTCCAGTCAATTATTGTGTAATTTGATACAATTGTTTGTAGCAACGCTCAGTAAATCTTGGGATGAAACGAAAGTACGAAATTTGTTAATGTTTCTTTGGGTTATTTTAGAGTATCAAATGGCGATAGATAGCGACAACAGGTCAACAGAACATAAATCCAAACCACCATGATTGTACATTGGGGTTCAGATAAGATTTTATTCAGAAACACTTGAGAAAGATACTTGCTTTAATTTTCATCAATGCTATAATACCAAAGGCTCGCTAATTTGCGCTGTATAACTAAGCATATATTTCCGTTTCCTTGTCTGCTGTATGTCTGCTGTCATACGTGACGAACGAGAGGCCTTACGAACCAAGCGATAACTTTCAGCGATAGGATACTTCTGTTGAAAAAATTGTCAAGTATGATTTATGCTTTTCTATTTATCAATCTTGATCTCGCTGAAGACAGCAGTTGGCAAGAGGCACTTTGATGCAAATGGGAAGAAATCTATCCACCTGGCTAAGGATATAACGTCACTATTCTAGTTTCATCGAACTATGCACAGGATGTGACGTCATTTCCCCCTCCTCCCAAAGAGGGCGTTGTTACAAAGACTATTACTTTATGAGGAAGGAATGCTAGCACCGTGCAAAGAGTGCCAAAGAGACTGATAGCTTACACACTATAAACACACATCTCTTGTTGTTATTACAAGACTCGGTTGATGACTGTGATACAACGATTCGTTCATGTTATCGCAGCCATAGCAACAACAAGCATAACTTTACAAAGGAGTGCCAAATTTTAAACTATCGACGGTGTTAAATCGTTATTGCTTCGTGGTGAATTTACGAGAGCATTTCAAACATTCAGTGACGGCGAAAATTAATATCCTGTGGTCGCCGAGGTCTTCCGAATGACACAAGAAGGAAAGAAGGCAAACTCCGAACAGTCTACGGAAAGTCACGAAGATTCTTTCAGTATGGTAAATAGTAACGAAGTTAACAATAAATCAGCTAGAACCATAACGAAAGAAATTAATTTCAAAGTGAGAGCTACTGTAACAAGAAACCATCCTAGTGGTCTTAGCAACGTTAAAAATTCAGCATTTCAACCGTGTGGTACAAACACAGTAAATACTTCAGAATTACTCGATTTTAATCGAGTTAAAGTTGGTGAAAAGCGTCATCTTCGATTTTTGGCGCCTGAAAGTCGGTCTGAAAACTCTCGTCCCCGTTTAGCGCTTAGCTGTCATAATGAAAAGCGATTTAAATCAGATGAAACGAAAGAGTCTTACGAACATAAACATTTGCTTAACGAATCAAACCATGAGCCATCTCATGTAAGAGAAAATTTTGTGAATTATAATCCATCCTTCAAGAGAAATGCGTCGCACGTTCCAGTGAATTCAAATCTTAATGGGCTTTCCAATAATATGACGCCAAAACATCTACTTGGCTTTGGTGATCAGAAGGCGAGAGTCAGTGTCCAACGGGAAACTTTATCACAACCGCAAACATTTGTGGATTTAAGAGATATTTTTAGGACATCTGTGGCCGAAACAAAACGCAATATCACTGAGCAAGAGGGTAAGTCAGAGGTTAAAAATACCTACGAGAAGGCGGACCGAAAAAAGGAAGAGAATTTTCCCAGTGATTCTGAAAAATTTATATCATTAGATTCAACGAAATCATCTTTTTTAACAATGATTAAGAAGATGCGGCAGACTACGGAATGTAGTGAACTACCTTGTCCCTTTTGTATCAAAACATTCTCGAAATATGCAGATTTAAGATTTCACGTACAAACTCAAAAGTGTGGTGCTAATGTTTCAAGGGAAAAGACAAAGGAAGACGAACAAATTTCGCAGAAAAATCAGAACATTCAGGTGACACCCATAACATCGCATGCTGCGCACGGCATTTATCAACCCAGTCGCAAGTTTAGCATTGAAGACGGTACGAAAAACGGGCATCTAGTGTCATCCAGTTTGCTGAAAGAAAAATGACGAAAGAAATCACGAAAGCAACGCTTTAATTTAAGATGACATTGAAATAATATAATAATTATATTCGCGTCGGCGGATGTACTGTACATATGTTAAAAATGTCTAAGCATAGTTTATATAATCATATAATATATTATATATTCATTATAATATATCTTAATATAAATTTCTTGGTAGCAGTAATTTAAAAAAATACAATTCACATTCCGGACATGCGTAATTTGCAACTAGCGCGACCGGCAATCAGTGCGACCGGCAATGACCGTTCAGTCCCAGTCTTTAATTAATCTTGCGGAAGTATTTAAAGGTGAAACCGGAAATTAGTATTGCCTTCGAATTCAATTCCTTCCAGAGGTAGCATTGATCGACTGATCGTCTCTTTTCAATCTTTCTATTCTTATTTACTGCTCAAGTTAAACTTTTTATTGGACAAACAATGGCTGAAGAAGGAAAGTAAGTAGGATAGGATATATTGTCTCACCCTGTATTGGAATAATTTTCGAGGAATATCTGAGCATGATGAACTCAACAACATGGTTCAAATTTATATCACTTTCCTCTTCGCAATCCAACGATTCCACTGCATCTTATCCCGAAAATTTATATGTTATACCTTGAATTATTACTTTTTCCTCCTTAATAGAGCTGATATTGCACTTATTGGCCTTGCTGTTATGGTAAGTATTTCAATGATATGATCTTTGCATAATTTTCAAACATTATATTTAGTCTACACTATGGTTCTTACAAGTGCTCTGATTTCGTTTAAATATTTATTGCAACCTTTTCGTGCTTTTATAGGGGCAGAATCTCATTCTGAATATGAACGACCATGGATTTGTTGTAAGATTTTGCTTTAAATCATAATTTTAAAAACAGCTGCAACTTTATATATTCAGTTACATAACTTGTGAGAGCACTCGTGCATGACCGGATGTGATAACTATTTTGTATTTTATAATATTCATGCAAAACAAGTTGATAGCTATTAATTATTACTTATGAGATTGAATATGGGTGGTACAATATATAAACTATATATTACAGGATGTTCAGGCCAGCTCTATTTACACTTCCACTATCATTTGTTAGTATATTGTTCTTTCACAAACTGTTGTGACTGTGTAGCAATTTAATTTAATGCAATTATCTCCATCCAAGAGGTCACATCACAGCAACAAACCTGATGGAAGAGTTAAATGCATACCTTCACATGTTCAACTAACTAACTAACATTGTGCAAAATTTGCCACTACTGTTATCATAAATGTTAGACATTAATATTGACATTTCACTATAGGTCTGTGCTTACAACAGAACAGTAGAGAAGGTGGATAGATTCTTAGCAAATGAAGCTAAAGGTTGGTTAATCAACCAATTCATCATTGGAAAAATAAAGTCACTTGATCATGATATAAAAACACTTATAAATAAGTTGTATATATACATTTTCAGGAACTAAGATAATTGGTGCACATTCAATGAAAGAAATGGTTTCAAAATTGAAGAAACCAAGGCGTGTTATGATGCTTGTGAAAGCTGGAAGTGCCGTTGACTCATTCATTGATCAACTGGTATTTAAATATATATTTTTGTGTTATACACATATGTGTATTGTTTCTTGAGAAGACCAAAGACATTATTTTGTGTCATGAATTTGATAGGTGCCATTATTAGAGAAAGGTGACATAATTATTGATGGAGGAAATTCTGAATATACAGATTCACAAGTAAGTCCATACAACGATCGAAGCAAATATTGTGTAAACATAGACTATGGATTTATCATGAGACCTGTGTGTTAGCGTCGCTGCAAAAGCTTGAAGGAAAAAGGAATTCTGTTCGTTGGTAGTGGTGTGAGTGGTGGTGAAGATGGTGCTCGATATGGTCCATCATTGATGCCTGGTGGCTCCCCAGAAGCATGGTGGGTAGTGTGTACAAGCAAACATATACTTCATTTAGTATATAGGTCATTTTCTAACCATGGTGTTCCCTGAACTGAATACATTTCTTCGACTCCTTGCAGGCCTCATATAAAGACAATTTTCCAGTCAATTGCAGCTCATGTTGGGGAAGAACCCTGTTGTGACTGGGTAGGTCAACAAATCATGTATTAAGCTATTAATTTTAGCAACACCTAAAGTCTGCATTTTTCAAAGGTGGGGGAAGATGGTGCTGGTCACTATGTCAAGATGGTTCACAATGGCATTGAATATGGTGATATGCAAGTATGTCATTATGTAATTATGTTACATACTCGTAAATAGTAGAGTAGTAAGTAAATATGATAATAAATTTTTTACTAGGTTATTTGTGAAGCATATCACTTAATGAAGGATGCTTTGGGTATGAGTGAAGATGAAATTAGCAAGGTTTGAATTATATACTGTACTTCATTATAAACAAACATGAATAACTTTTCAAGCTGAGATATGAGTTTAAACTTTTCGGGTAGATTTTGGAAGACTGGAACAAAGGAGAACTGGATTCTTTCCTTGTTGAAATAACGCGAGATATTTTGGCGTTCAAAGATACTGATGGAAAAGCCTTGGTCACGAAAATCCGTGATTCTGCTGGTCAGGTACAAGGAATTACTTTTTAAGAGAATACAGATGGTTTTTTTACTTTTATACTCAGGATGATCCTAACCTGCGATCAGGCTTCTCGTCCTTACTCTCGAGTTTATTTTGTTAGAAAGGAACTGGTAAATGGACGGCGATCTCAGCCTTGGACAAAGGAATTCCCGTGACGCTGATAGGTAAGAATATTAGAATGATATTTAGTGCATTCCTCCAAGATAAAGCACAGTGAAATAACATCTCATCTTCTGTATTCATTCCTAGGCGAAGCTGTGTTTGCCAGATGTTTGTCTTCGCTCAAAGACGAAAGGGTTGAAGCCAGCAAACAGCTGAAAGGACCATCTGTAACAAAATATTCTGGGGATAAAAAGGAATTTGTTGAACACATCAGAAAGGTGCGCTTCCTTTAAATTTTGGGTCCATAAATCTTACCACAATTTCACTCCATCTCAGTGCAGTTGAACCATAGTATCACAATTCTTTGCATGATTAGGCTCTATACGCTTCCAAGATCGTGTCTTACGCTCAAGGCTTCATGTTGCTGAGAGAAGCTGCTAAGCAATACAACTGGAATTTGAATTATGGTGGAATTGCGTTAATGTGGAGAGGAGGCTGCATTATTCGCAGGTGAGACCGTGAGAGTGATGTTTTAAAATATGAACTTTAATCATATGATGGTTACAAACGAGCTAGATGAGCCTAGGTTCACTTTGTAGACTCATTTGTTGTTAGTCATATTTGCTTTTGTCTTTCAGTGTGTTCTTGGGAAACATTAAGGAAGCTTTCGACAAGGACTCACATCTTAAGAACCTGCTTTTAGATGATTTCTTCAAAAAGGCCATTGAAAAATGTCAGGTATAACTCGATCTCTGCCCAAATCTGTAAGATGTTCAGTGTTGAAATTCTACAAGTCACAAGGCTTGCGTGCACTAGATTTTATGAAATTTATATGTTTTATTGTGTAGGATTCGTGGAGAAAGGTTGTAGCCACCGCGGTGACCTTGGGTATTCCTACTCCGACATTCAGTTCAGCCTTGGCTTTCTACGACGGCTACAGGTGAGGTTAATTGGAAGATCTCAGATTTAGTGTTTAATTGCTTATCAAAAAAATCCTCCATGATTTGTGCTTGTCTGTTGACAACTTTATGTGTGTTTTAGGTCTGAAACACTCCCAGCGAATCTGATTCAGGTTAGTTTATTCTCAGTTTTGTTTTACAAAAACACCCAACAAATGACAAATAATACGCAAATCGTTTGACCAGTTGATTAATATATATTATAAGTTGATTCGTTTCTCATATCATATGTCTCTTTCAACTTTTTCATCTCAGGCACAAAGGGATTACTTCGGAGCTCATACATATGAACTGTTATCGGATCCTGGGAAATTTGTTCATACAAATTGGACAGGCCATGGCGGAAACGTTTCCTCGAGCACTTACAACGCATAGATCATTTTGTGGACCTCGCTTAATAAACCGACTTTCAATTTATAAAATTATTTACTGAAAAGTAACCAGGTGTATGTAATCAGTCTTCATTGCCATAGGTATCACGTAAGCTAGTCAACTTTGATTAAAACTAATCAATAAAATCTTATATTTCGTTTTGTTGTTGAATCAATTTTGTTGCATCTGCATGTGTGGGAACTGGGAAGTTCTCAAAGACAAAGGAAATTCCCATGCCGATGGGTAGACAAGATTAAAATATTTTAAGCAATCGTTGAAATAAGGTGTCTCACCATAGGGAGGAAACTGGAAAGGGAATGATTAGTTGGTCATGACAACTTGCACTAGTTTTTAAAATTTAAACACTAGATGTTTTATAAATGACGAAGTGGATCAGGATGAATCTATGATGTCATCTTCCTAAAATATCACTACTTCACTCCTTCCACTTCCCACTGAGCCTTCCGGGTTAGCCCAATATCTCTATTACCACCCTTGTATACCACCTACGATCCTGTGTAATCCTCCAAACACCCTCGGCTTCGATCGCCATTTTATTGTATAAACAACGGCTGAGTGGGCCTGATTTTTTTGCAAAGAAATTTGTTTTCGCCCGTTTCATGGAACAAAATTAGCTCTTCTAGCCATGGAACGAGCACAGAAGATCATGGATGGCTTTAAATTGTATCCTTTTTGTCCAATATTACGCATTTTACGATTGAAAATGTAATCCACCTTCGACGCCTTCAGACGCATTTTTGTTACCAAGGAAAGTGAGGCATGCTTTTGTCTAGATTTCGTTTATACACAGATCGCTGTTTAGATTGCTTTGAAGCTGTTTAGGAATTGAATCTAATGTGATTTGTATCTTATATTAGGGACACTTTCTTGTGGACAGATAAACCGCTTATTAAATGCAGTATTTATTGAAGCAGTAAAATCTTTTGTATAACGGTGTGTGATTTAGAAAGTAAAAAGGCTAGCAAGATTTTAAAATTCATGCCAGAAACAGTAGGAACTGTTAATTGAACCTAGTTTGGAGAAATATTGTTAAAAAATTGATACATTAGACAAAAGGATAGAATGTTCATTTAGGGTGGATTGTTAAGACCTTGAGGCTTCACTTCAACAATGCCCACACAATAAGATTCTTGATTTTTCAGACAATCCCAGCCATCAACTAAACAGTAGACCTCAAATAGTCTTTGTGCTTAGTGGACATTGTCAGAAACCTAGGTTTTAAGTATAAATAAATTTTATTGCTGTGTTGATATTTGCCTTAATTCAGTACAGAAATTGGATTAACTTCAGAGATGCTGAAAATGGGAAAATAATATGGCAAGGAAGTGAAGATTTGTAAGTTCAAAACAGACTGCTATGATTTGATTTCATTGATAGAGTTGCACAAACATATGGATTCAGTAAAGTTTTTAAATCAGATGAATATAAGTCTAACGATTCTTCACCTTTAGGTCATCACCAGAAACAGAACATGAAGGTAATCATTTATTTTTCCTTTGTGGTACTGAAGGAACGAACTCCACTTAGGTTTGACTATGTTTTGTATTTTCTTAATAGCAAGAGTACCAAAGAAAATTCTAAAATGTAGAGCTGTATCAAGAGAAATTAACTTCTCATCAAATGAAGAGATGAAGCAATTCCGACTTGAACAAAAAGTGCTGTTCAAGGGAAAATGCTTAGAAGGTAAAAAAGGTTGCCTTAATGCTGGCAAAATTCTGCAATGAACCTGTGAATGTCTGTGATATTTTCTTGGTATTTATTGAAATACTTGAACTTTTATTCCAGAGTGGTTTTTTGATTTTGGATTTGTGATTCCTTCATCCACAAACACATGGCAATCTTTAATTGAAGCTGCGCCAGAAGACCAAATGATGCCATCTTCAGTGTTAAAGTTAGTACCTTTCTTGTGTTTAGGACTATTTCACATTTCCCACATTGCAATGTTTTTTTTATTTTTGAATTAAAACAATAAAAAGTCTTTCTGGACTTATGTGCTGATATAATTGAGCACAGTATGATAAACTATAAATGCCCTCTGATAGTTTTATTGGTATTGAAGTACGTAACTTGCTAAATAATTTTTTTCAGTGGAAATGTGGTTATCGAGACAAAATTCTATGATGGCAACCTTCTTGTCAGTACCTCAAAAGTAAGAATATTTTACATCTGATTGACAAAAGCAATGAAGTAATGATCAGAGTACACTTGTTTGGTATGCTTTGGGGGAATTATTATCCATAGTTTGTAGTAATCAATTTAGGATAAACTTTGTTTCATCAGCTATTATTTTGCGCTCCTCTAAAGTCCTACCATAATGTACATAAATACTTTTATTAAACCATCTGAGTCACAGTTAGGTGCTTAACTTACTGTGTGTAAAAAAAAAGAACATGATTGATTGTAAAGTAACAGTGCCTTCACTGAGGATAAGAATTCATTTAGAAACTTGCAGAATCATATTTATAAAAGGACAATATCATGTGACAGATAATTGTTACTTTACATTCTGTTCGAGTTTGTTTATATCTGTGTAAATTTGATTTGAAGAGTAATATATATAAATAGAAAGAGCTCGGAAATTATTATTAGGATAGAAATGCAAGCTAAACTGCTTCTAGGCTGTGATTCAACAATGTATTTACAATGTATTTGTAAAATTTAATAAAGGGGCTGTAGATTTATTTGTTGTCTAGTATACAGTTTTCCATGGTACTGGGGTTTTTTTCTGGGAGCATTGGGAGTTTCAGTTGTACATTGGGAGCATTTAGCTAAATCTTTTTGTACTTGCACACTCTGATTAATCTCTCAACACCTCTACTTTTATCTAACCTTGCATACCTCCAACTATTCAAACATAAGAAATAAATACTATGCCCTAAATATGTATGGTAGTAGTAGTTGTGGAATGAAATGTAATCAGTCAGAGACTCAGCCATGCAGAGACTGGGGAGAGTATTCAGAGGTTAATTATAGTGGTTTTTAGTCGATATAAATTTTTTTTCGAACCATATCCGTTCCATATATTGTTTAATACCAGTATTTTTTTGTATGTAAAAGAAAAATTTGGAAAGTATGCGAAAAAAAAAAATTGGTAAAAACACTTAAAAGAGATCATCCAGCCTATGCCACAATCTAACCTGGTTATACAACCGGCTGCAATATTCAACATAGTTACAACTACGAAAGGTGCAAGGCGGTTGCTATAGGAAGAACTCCCCCCCATAACTCACATCTTAACGGCCGTCAAAGGGGGAGATGCACTACGGCCCCCAGACCATGATGTATGTGCACCTAACCGTTACGTCTCAGTGAGAAACAGAGTATGCATCGCCACAAGCCTAGCGTCATAGACGAATCAGCTACAGTGGCTAGCCCTGAGAGCGAAGATAAATTTAACGTATTTAAGCTTTTCCTGGTCTCGGGAGGCGGTCCCTAACAAGTATATGCATAGAAAACGACTAATAAGGCACACACTTGGAAATTTCAAGATTTAAACGCCTAAACGTTTTTTAAGTGTTTTTAGCAAGAAAATAGTAATTTATACTAGCATACTCATTGTATGGATACTTGGTATGGTTGAATATACTGGAATATGGTAATTTCGACCATGGTACGGTCGAATATAGTGAGATTAGGGTATATTCGAATAGTAGTTTTATAACCAGTTTTAAGCTCTAATCTTTGTTTAATGGTACCTGGCAACGGCAAGGTTCTCATCCTTATTATTCCAGTTAATTCCGCGGTCAAACGCAAAATGGCGGCGGTGAAATCCAGGATTTAGCCACTGGTTTGTTTTCATTTAACTACAATTTCTAAGCATTCAATAGAAATAACCTATACTTTATATATGCTGGAATGCACGAAAAGATGTCTTGATATCGGGGAGAAACGTCAGAATGTTTCAAAGCAGGAAAAAAACTGGTAAGTTTGAAATCAATTTTCAGTCTTTCACTCAGACAAATATACGTAAAGTCGAAGTGAATTATTTTTTTGTGTCATATGATGCCGGTACTCAGTCGTCTGTTCTTATTTATATTATAATAGGCAATGTCAATATAAAATTTCAACAGAATAAAGAGAAACTGTTGCAAGAACTATCTAAAAGAGTAAAAGAGGTGATTCATTTTATATTCTCATTTCTGAAAAGGCAAAGTGAGAGCTATACTGCATATTCCAGTATTGTTGCACCCAACTTGAAATCAGTTACAAAGTCTTTCCTGCCAAAATTTTGTGCATATGCAATAGTAATTGAATACAATATGCATCAGTCAGCATTACCATGCATGGAAGTGGAACAGTAAACTATTGCAAGTGGAATATAGTATTGAAAATAATGAAATTGTTTTATTTCATATTTAGCTACAAAAGCATGCTTTGAATTCAGGGAACTTTGACATATCAAGGTAGCTAGTTATATCTGTATTAAATTATGGATTATGATGACCAATCGCAAATTGCTATATATATATATATATATATATATATATATATATATATATATATATATATATTAATATATATAGAATCTGTGAATGTTCCACTAAAATTAATTTTTGTAGGAATGATGATTGTGCCTTGAATTTGACATTTATACTGGAAGGAATATTCTTACATGGCTACCATCTGTCTTCGGTATTAATTAATTGTTTTAATCATTGCTATGGCTACAGTATGTGCTAGTATATGAGTGTCGTTGTCCAGCACCAGACATGTTGAGAACCAAGAGCAGAAAAATTCAAGCCAACATAAATTAACCCTTAGTACATCAGATGATTGATCACATTGTTCTTTCACTTCTTAGGGACCTAGTTTCTTCAGCAAGTCTTCATCTGGTGCCTTGCCTTCTCCTGTGAGTATCCAAACTAATTAATATGTAGAATGTGAGGGATTTGTTCAACTAACAACATCCTCAGAATCTCTTTATAGATCCTAAAGTAATGGTTCTGTGTATATTTTAAGGATTTCTGGGATCTTCTTCACCCATTTACTCATAATGATGTTCTTCATCAATTGACTCATTTGTCTCATATTACTTCAAATGTTGGAAGATGCAGAGTAAGAAATTGTTGCTTGACAAATTAAGAGTGCTAATGCAATTTACCATTAAATTAAATTAATTAATTCAACAAGAAATATACACAATACTTATAAATCATTATTATTTGGACTTCACGCTTTAGCCATTAATAAATCCCGAAACAGAAGTTTAGGTGAATTGTCTTTGTACTTAAGACCTTCATGTTTGTTTTAAGGCTTGGTTGAGATTAGCTTTAAATGATGGTTTGTTGGAGAGTTATTTTCACGCCATTCTCTCTGATAAGAAGAAGATAAGGTAATTATTCACACACAACAGTTAGTTCAACTTAATTTTATACATGTATACCACTTGCATATGCTCATGTTTATACAGTATATATCTTTCTATTTACATTTGATTCTAGGAATCATTATGTTCCTAAAGCTTTTCTGAGAGACGAAGAGGCAGTAACAATAATGATGAATCACTTCTTAGGTAATTTTGACAGCTAGATACTGTAATGTTCCTTTTCTCATACGCACATTTTATTTTCCCAAATTAAATGTAAATTTTTCAATGAAGGTTTGCTTGAGTTGAATTTTGATCTTAACTACAACACACCAAGTCTAAACACGTGGACTGTACAATCTCTTCAGCTGGCTGGAATATGGGAATCACCTTCATCCACATCTGGAATAACAGGTTAGTTTTTTGTAGTTACTCAAGTATATGTCCAATTGATGCACAACATATTAGCCTCAATTCTTCAATTTCCGCAACATTGACAGTATTATATCTGGTTTTATATATCCTAAAGGGATCCTTTTTGTTCATCTTAATCATTACAACTCCCCTTTCTGGTATAGTAGATACAATTTTACAATTGCTAAATTTTTCAATTCAACAATTTTTAGATCAAAGTCCTCAACCTCTTTTTTTTCCAAATCCCACCACGCCTACTGATGTGTTAAAACAAGAGGTTTCGTCCCCATCAAAGGAAACTCCAAAGAAGGATAAATCAACAGTCAAAAAGATTACAAAATTACCAGCTGATATTACTGATGTACCTTCAAGTCCTACAACAAGTCCTACTATTGAGCAGGTATAGAGCTTCCTTCACTGTATACCCAAGATTATCATCACCATTATTATCAGTTTAAACCTTATATCATCATCATTGTTGGCTGATCGATTAAAATCATTACTATTAACTGCAAGTGTGGGTTGCTCCTTGATTATAGGGCACATCAGTCAACAAGATAGATGATATGTCGGTTGTTATAGTTGAGAAAAATTTAGGTAATTATGTCTTCCTTATCATGCTGCTTTGGATAGATCTTGAGTGTCATGCTCTGGGTTCATGGTATATCTTTATTGTTGCAAGTGAGATATTAATTCATACTCATAACAACCTTGATGTCTGTCTTAAGATGACTCTACTCCAGCTGAGGTTCATGACCTGGCAACACCAAGCAAACAGCCAGGCAGTAACATGTTGGGGATGGCCAGTGGCTGGTCTTCAACATTTGAAGCAGAGCCTGCGTCAAGCCATTCTCCAACAGACAATTCTGAGCAAGAACCTGCACAATCTGAGACAAAAGTAATAAAACATGTGACAAGTTTTCATGGCATCTTGACTGACTATGCCATTGTTGGTGGCAAGAAATATGTCTCAGATGAGATTGATGGATCACCAACTGATAAGGTAATTATTATTGATAAACTCTTAATTTACAACCAGAGCCATAGCAAGACTGCTTAATTTGGGTGGTATATATTCATATATTCTTGTTCATATATACTGTCGGAACAATAGCATACAAACGAAATCAGTTGGGTATATAAGACAACAGTATGAATATGTACCCCCCCCCCCTCTTTATCACGCCTCTAGCTATGGCCCTGCTTACAACAACGACCCTCACAAGACGGACAACAGCTCCAACAGCAATTGCATCAACACTGAAACTCTCATCTTATTAACCAAGTGAAATATTTTACTGAATTTCAGGATGACTTTGAGGAAATTGAAAAATTAGGTGAGCAATTGATTTTTCCTTAACTTTTAAATTTCCTTAAACTTATTTATATAAATTATTTATATAAAAATACTCTTTTCTTTTAGATTTTCTCCAGGAAAAATCATCAGGATTTGAGGTAGTGATTCTTAAGTAAACTCCAAAATTCATGTAATTATTTTGTTTAATATTTTTATCTTCAAAAATTTCAGGTGATTGCCGACCCTTCTACACCCAATGAGGACTTCTTGCAGGAATATACTACTGGTTTATTGTCCTTAGTCAACAATATTGCGCGTGAAAAAGGACTGGACAGACAAAATTATAAATGTCAAGGATGTTCTAGACCAATTGGCATGAGTATGTTGTTATAACATCTAAATTTCATGAATCAGTTAAATTTGCATTGTCAGTTTAGTTTTCATTGCTTTAATGTTGATATACTTTTGTTTTAGTTTATGGTCACTATAAAGTGTGTTCTTTTGATGGAAGGTAATTTGATTCAAAGTATGAATAACTGCAGGGGATTCACTGGAGATAGGAGGGGGGCAGGGGGCATACTGGGGGCAGGGGGCATACTGGGGGCAGGGGGGCATACTGGGGGCAGGGGAGGCATACTGGGGGCAGGGGGGCATACTAGGGGCAGGGGGGCATACTAGGGGCAGGGGGGCATATTGGGGGCAGGGGGCATACTGGGGGCAGGGGGGCATACTGGGGCAGGGGGGCATACTGGGGGCAGGGGGGCATACTGGGAAGATGTAGAGGAAAGGCATGCAAACTAGTCCAATGAACAGACATGACAATGACAGAACAGCAGATAGAAAAACTGTATTTTTTATATCTTCTCTAGTTATTATTGTTTTGAATGTCATCTTGATGAAGAACATGTAATTCCTTCGAAGGTCGTTCACAACTGGGATCTCTCAAAGTACAGAGGTACTGTAAATTAAGTAAACTACGCTGTAGTATTAAATGTTAACACAAGCTTGCTCGTTGCCAACACCTGAAAGTGAATTCTTCTATTTAATAGTGGCACAACATGTGAAGCTGTTCTTGATGCAAATTGAGGAAGATCCGCTTTTTCATATTGACGAAGTTAATCCAACGTTGTATAATGTTGTCCCAAAACTAACCAAAGCTAAGGTTAGTCGGGAATGTCGACTGCATTGTGATATGTATAAAACAAAAAATCTTCTCTAGTCGTGCATGAAATTAAAAGAAAGGCCGATTCATTCTGTGAGATGCATGTGTTGCAGAATTCAGGTTATCTGTTTTCAACTCCAAGAATGCAATATTTATGACACGTCGTGTTTATTTTCAGCAATTACGTGGACAGCTGCAGCATATGAAAGGTTATATTACGACATGTCGAACCAGCATGGTTGCTGAAGATGTTAAACGAAGGTACTGCATGTACTTGTAGTTTTCTTCCTTATTTATGATGTACGTGCGCTGTTCATCTTGACATTGATTCTAAATTATTGTAGAATGTGGCCACGAGAATATCTCTGGGATGATATACATCAATATTCTCTATTGGTAAGACAATCAGAATTTATATAGCGAACGATTAACGCTATCCATCGGAAATTGGTTTTTCATGTTTGCCACAGCTTGGATTAAATCTTAGTATTCCTAAATCGAGGATCCTCTTTAATAATTGTTGGTCCCAAAGATCAAAGTTTATCGCTTTTCGAGCATTTTTAAAACGGTTGAAAAAATCACTATCCGGTGGATAGCGCTATCCAGCCTTCATACAACCCCAGAACTGGGTTCAAAATCACTCCAGGTTTTCGCCTAAAATAATGATTGTGAGTCAGATATATGCAATATTATAAAGATATGGGTCCACGAGAGATACACGACACATTGAAAGAAGATTAACAATATTTTAATCTTCCTTCCAATATCTGACTGCTGGACAAATATTTAACTGTGATATTTCGAATTAACAATTACAATTTGAAGATATATTTTTATTGAAATTTTGTACTCTTTTAAAGGACTTAATTCAAGTGGACTCTGGTCAATTACAACATCATTTGAAGAAAATCATCTCATTTTGCAAGAAACATGTTTACGGCTGTGAGGTAGAGTAGGCCAGCAGATCGTTACGCAGTTTTTAAACCACGCTAATTCTCTTGACTTCGTTTTCATCTGATATAAACTTGATCAATCATATTTTTGTCTAGGCGTGTAGTCAAAAAGGGTTTATCTGTGAAATTTGCAAAGACTCGAAAATAGTTTATGCGTTTGAAGTGAATGACACAGCTCAGGTACCTAAATATTCGTTTGTTTTCTCTATAAAAAATTTACCACCCTTTCATTCTTACATCATTCATCCCATTTCAAAAGTTTCACGTCTGACAAAACGAACAATATAGCCACATGTATCATATCTCAGTGAAATTTTGTATCTTCATTCATCTCGGAGTGTTATGTTTAGTTTTCTCTTCAGTCCTCACATTACGACTTCTCGTGACATCATTGCAATTTCAAGTATTTATGTTTTTTTTGCATGCAGTGTCCCAGATGTAAAGCTGTTTTTCACAAGCAATGTAAAACTGAACGTCAATGTCCAAGATGTTTGAGACGACGCTCACGGCGACAAATACCCGACGACGCAATTAGTGGACATGAACAGACAAATACTGATCTCAATTCTCCATTTTGATAAGGTTAGTACCGGACTAAATGTCTTATTTTGCGCGGCTGATTTTCTGTCCGCGTTTAAGACCCCGTTTACACTATACCTCACATGGTCACGACATCAATTTAAGTTGTTTTACGGTATCTCTGTCTCCTTCATTTGGCAGATCATGTTAAAGCAATCATGTTATCATAATTTTGGGGGTAAAACTCGCTTCGGCATGGCTAATTTTGATGTCGTGACCATGTTAATTTGGTATCGGGTAAACAGGGCTTAAACTTGCCTCACTTCAGTTACCCTAGTTGGCAGTCGCAATATAATACAGCTAGCTTGCAATGAAATATGAAATGGCTTTGAATGTGTATAACAATGAACAATAGACAATATTTCTGTCTCGATACCGGCTATTTGGACTATCTTTGTCGAAATATACTTCGAGAATTGTTTTCGGATCGTTGTATGCAAAGACAACGTGACACAGAGATTAACTGGCGAAATTCCGCCATTTTTTCCGCCGTGTTCCGTCGTTTCGTCACAGTTTAATGATATACAGTTATGGAACTCGCGGCGGAACCCTTTGATGTTGCTGTCCCCCTGCCTACGCCATTCCACGCGCCACGCAAATTGCTCTGGCAAGTGTATTTTGACTCTAAAGTAAGGGAAAAAGGTGTTCGAAAGACGAAAAATGTTAATATTTTAAAGCTGGCTCAATCGACCTCCATTTTTGCGCCTAAATTTTAAAAACAAACGGTAAATGGTTGTGTTTTTGTAAAAAATATATGCGTTAGGTTAAAGAGGTAAGAAATACAAGCACGAATGATTTTCTTTATAAATATCAAGTTGATTGCCAACATCATCGCCGATTATAAATTAGGCAGTTATTTTTCCATCCAGAAAACATCTGAGCTGATCTTAAAACAAGCATGATTGATGTGTTATTTCTAAAATTCAAACACACGAAAAAATTTCTTTGAAAATAATTTATTTTGCCATAAAACTAGCAAAAACTACATGTTTTTTATTCGAATCTTGAACTTGAATTCAAAGGATTTACAATAAACAAATGCAAATTTTACCATATTATATATATATACAATACTTTTTACATGAGTATAAATCCAACTTCACACACAAATGGTAAATGTGCTAACAGATATTAATTTCAGTTCATACATGATTGTAATATTCATGAAGGACATGCAAATCAATTTCCAATCTAATCTATGCAATGCTGTGTGGCTTCTATGAGAAGATTGAAAGCTATTTTCCAAATTTTGGATGTGAATATAATACACATAGGAGACATAATAGGGTTCACAAATATCAGTAAACTACGTATGCGTTGTAAAACTTTTTTTAATAATAGCCATGTAACTTGCTATCTTGTTGAACAGTAGATATATCGTCCGCTCAAAAGTTAACTGACTTTGAGAAGATTGTTTCGCCATCTAGAAAAAAATACGACTGCATGTTGGCGAAATATAGTCAGATAGACCTACATTTATTAGATGAAATACCAAACTTTGAATATTTACCTGGCAGTTCTAGAAGCTTCGTGTGAAAATCGCACTCCTCGTAGTTGTATTTCCCGTTTTTTCCCGTTTGAATTCGTATTATTGCAGTCATTTTTAATCCAAAAGGAGCAATGTCGGATGGATAAACAAAATTTGTCAAAAAAACGAAGAGGAAAAGACCCTTCGCTTTAAAATTGCATTTTTTCTGCTAAAAAATCGAATTTTCCTTATTAAAAAGTGCAAAAACACTTGCCAGAGCCTAGCGCATGCGCATTAAAAACAGGGGGACAAGATTTGTCGCGAGTTCCACCTCTGTGTAGTACTCTGTGGTTTCGTCGTCGTCGTCCGTCGGATGAAAACACGCGACGTTGTCATGAAAATCCTTCAGCTGACCTGTGCTTGCGTGTGATTGCGTGTGCTTGCGTGTGCGTGCGTGTGCTTGCGTGTGCGGCAAGCAACAATATTTGCAGAATCATTTATCGTGTCTACGGCAATTCTAAGAGTTGGATTATGAATTAATAATTCATTATAACCCACGGGTAAAAAATACTGTAATTATTAACATAATGCAGGAAGCTCTTGCTTAAAATATAGGATATAGTTAGAACACCTCAATCTTCTAGTAACCACTCAATAGACAATAGTAACACGTTTAAACCGGGGGGGAGACGTTTGATAAAGTAACCTGTGATATGATATGACGTGACACTGATCTATGCACTCATTTTAATGTATGTGTGTTTTGTCCTGTGACCTCTCTCGCTGTCCATGTCTTCTTCTATCTTCATACTATTTGGAAGGTATGTCTTTGTGTATACCTTAAAATTAAGACCATTAGCTTCGATATAGACCAGCGTTTAACAGTAGCTATAGTCCAGTTAGAATTCAAGAATTTTATCATATAGAATAGCGCTGTACGTGCGTAATAACTTTAGCATCAAAATATTATCGAAGGGAGACATTTTAACTTTCTCTTTGTTCATTGTGCGTCGGAAGCTCTTTTCTCGCTGAATAGAAAATATTTGTGTAAATATAAAAACAAAGCGATTGTCGTGCATGATCTCTGGCTGTGAGGACTCTCGCTTCCTTCGTGTATCTGCGGTAGACATCCGTAGTTTTATTTCTTCATATTGAGCATTATAGTTGCAGCATTTCGCTTTGTCAATATTGTTACATGATATGCTCAAGAATAGCAACAAAATTGTAACAAATATTCCATTCTAATCACTTCCTAATGTATATTAAGGAATGTTTAACGCGGTTAGCGCTGAGCGAAAGTGTTTATAACTTGAGTAATTTGTTCAATTTATGATTAATGATATTACTATCAGTTTGATTGCATTATATTAAAACAAAGAACGCACGTCTTTGAAGTCGAAGTTTAGCTACCGACGAAATGCATATTAATTTATGATCTGTTCTGGAGTAATTAAAACATCCCTTTGCTTTTTAATTGATAATCTTTTACTACTTTGTGAGAAGAATACAGCGATTCCTAACGTATTGTAAATGTAATTGTACAATATGCTTCGCCCAATTCTTTTGAGCTGTTAAATTTCTTTATAAGGAAATGCAAAATATCCGCTTCAATTGTGGAATATCGCTATCGCCCCCAATGGCGATTTTCGTCCTACTCCTTCCAGAGCATGATTTTCAACGTCGCACCTCCTAAGTTACATGTTATCGTAATGGACCCCTACAGTCTTTGTTACAGACCTCATGGAGTTTAATTTGAACTTTACTTTTTCAGCAAGTAAAGATGGTGGCTAGAGTTGGCTAAGTGTATTAGTTTCGTGTGTCCTCAAAGATCATGAAACGATGTCAGTGTATTTTCAAAACAAAGACAACTTTAACTGTCTTTACGTTTCTTTTGATTGCGCTCGCCTTCGCTAACTTTTTCATCCTTTTCTCCTTGAGGACAAGTGTTCACAATAACGTGGACTCTCTGTTTCTTATTCACATCCAAAGTCAAAGAAATGTGTCTGTGTTTAAAAAATACGAACATGATTTGCATGAGACAAAAACAGACATCGAAAGGGCTGAAACTCCAACAGAAATAACGGATATAACGGAGATCCCAACAGATGTAAAAATGGAGAAAAAAACAATCGTTCAACTTTCCGAAAGAAAGCCCGACACGGAAAATTACGCAAGGTTTTCTACACGTTTAAAGACACAATATACACAATCCCCTAGTGGAAGTTGTACACCTTGGTGTCACCGTGGTAACGGATTGAAGCCACCATACTTGCTGACAGCGGTCTTACTCGTACGTATATATACCAAAGACTTAGCTAAGCTCTCGAGTCGTGAAATGATCCAGTGGTTTCAATATCTGCGTTACGCTGGTTTCCAACATGTCTACGTCTATGACGCGTTTGTGAAACCAGCAGAATCACAACGTGACGTCGTCCAACCGTTTGTCCAATCAGGTTTCGCCACGTATATCGATTGGAGTATTCATAACCCATACACCATCCAAGGGACCCAGGTCGCAGCGTATCAAGATTGTATTGATAAGTTCGGTAAAGATTCCCAATGGCAGGCCTGCATTGACATTGATGAGTACCCTTTTAGTCCTCGAGACACGAACGAAAATTTTATGGAGAGATTCTTAAATGAATTTTCAAAAAATAATCCTGATGTTTCCGAGATTACAATGAAAAATTATCTGTTTCTTGGAAAACCTATTGACGACCCCAAGGAACCATTATTGATGGCCCGCATTAGGCGAAGAACACACAGACCCGCAAACCCGCTTGTAAAACCTATTTACAAACCAAAAGATATCTCCTGGGCACAGGTACACCATAACGGAGTGAAAACTGGGTCTAGTATGGACAGCCCAGAAGATTTGTTACGTATGAATCATTACTGGGGAGCTAGACTACAAAACTGGGGTGATGACACACCTAAAGTCCTTGAAATGACCGAAGCTGATTATTCAATTGAGCCAATAGTGAAGAGAATAAAACAATGTGCGTCTTGTCTTGGGCGTGATGGTTTATATCGTAAAAGATGGGCTTAGATTTTTCAAGACAGTGATTCTGCATTCTATATTTTATGATTCCAGCATGTGTTTGAAAAATTCAGTGTCACAATTTGTCACAATAATATTAATATAACAATCTCTATTAAAATTAATACAGAGCTATTCTATAACTAAATGAACTTTGGCTGAAAGTTTGAATCTACTTGGTCATATCATGAAGATTTTGTCGAGTTGTTGAGTTCAACCGGTTCGACAAATCTTCCTTTTCCCTTTCATGTTTTAGACAAAATATGCTAATCGAGGATTAGGTATGCATCGAGGAAAAATAAATGCTGCATTATGTTCTTTTATACACGGATGTAACCTACATGCAGTTGCTTTTGTTATCATTTTTTTTAGTTATATTGACCTTCAGCTCCTAAATGTTTGTTGCTAAGAAGGCTTAGGAATATAGGAATATCTAAAGAGCAAAGGGTTATATCAGTGCATTAGATCTATATAATAATATAGTGATTCAGTGAATTCGATCTATGGAATAACATAGTGATTAACATATTCAGCACAGTATGTGTGTGTTTAGTATTGTCTTATATGCACTTGTTCCACTTGTGGCATTTGCGGGAGACAGCTATATTCATACATGCATTCACTCTACATTCATATGCATGGTAGATTTGCTATAATCCTGTATAATCTTGTCTACAAATAAGGAAGTATAACAAGCATCATTTTCTGACGAGCTTGAGAGAAGAGAATTAGGTTGTGGAATTAAGAAGTTCATTCTTTTCTTACCAATAATTTCAATGCAACTGTGACCCAGTTTAGACTGTTTCGTTATTCCACAGTTTTTCGTTTCACTGGTTATAAATATGAAGATTTTTTTGGCTTAAAAGCAGTTGGAAAGTTTCAGATTCAACAGTAAGTAAATCGCGACACATTATAGTATTTCGCGTTCACCACTATGGTATTTTAAAGGGTGTTAAACTGATCGAGTGGAATTATACACAGACTATTAGGTTCATTATTATGGTTTCACTTTATCACTCCACGCCTCTTATACTTTGTGTTTGTCTTAACCTTTGTCATTTTGTCGCTGTAGAGGTGTGTGTACAAAGCTATGATTTTTGCATGGTTGTTTAGCACTAACAATCTTAATCCTCCCGATCGTATAATTGTAGTATAGTCTCCTGCTTGACATGAAACCTTCTTGCGGTTAATTGCCTGCAGTCAGATGTAGCTTAATTTACCAGCGTTAATTTTACATGCATGCACGCGTAATTTCCCAAACAAGTTTTCCTTTCCATGCATGTACAGCTTGCAAATATTCAATATAACATATTGAGTTCATATACTGGGCTTATGACATATTATGATACATGGATTGATATATTTGTTTTAAGATTACGGTTCTTGCACGTCCCTGAACAATCTAATCGTCCCTGAGCAATTTGTTCGTCTGAAATTTTGTCCGATCGTTTTCAAATGATTTGTCCAACTGAGATGACTTGTTCAACCAGTCTTTTAGTGTGAAAACGGTTATAGTGTAAATCGTGATTAATAAAATACAGTAGTCATGAATAGCACATACGACGTATATATGTGTATATATTTTACGTTTCGTTGATTTAATTTATTCAAAACATTTCTTCAGCAGAATAGATCTTGTGTTTTGTAACTTGTGTTTCTATTCATCATAACTGTATTTCATTTGCATGCAACTCCATGATCCGTTGCTCATAGTATTTCAGTGTCTTGTTATGTCGCACATGTGTATAAGATCAATTTTTAAGATAAAGAGAGACTATTATAATCAGAGTTTAACTTCGTTCGTTTAACCAATGACAATCCGCCCTATCGCATTGATGAGTGAAAATGAGCCTCATTTTGTGATAGATATTATCATCTTATATCAGTCATATATGTCCAAATTGTGGCGCGCTTTGGAAATGACGATGTGAATTATTTATAGCGCAATTGCTTTCGCATTATTGTTGCTCTGGAATTATAGAAAGACTAAAGCGATTCAAGATCCCTTCGAAAGGAAAACGTAAAAAGGTTCTTTGTGCATTTTAATAATGTTAGGATAAAATTGTTCAGGTATATGTAATTTCTTTGCATTACGGCCAGTCATGTATATCATTGTTAATCGCAGCTGAATATTATTTATTTGTTTGTGTTTTCTTCAAGTCTGGTTGTGAAATTTGAAGAAATCATGACATAGTTACATTTTTGTTATTCGTTATTTATGTACGTATTCCTTGTTCGCTTGTAAGACATTTCTTCATATTGTATATATTCTCTGAATGCATCCAGAGCCGAAACAATACGTCCCGACAAAGAATAAAAAATCCGTCGAACAAAATATAATTTATGAGTAAACATCGTTCTAGTTTCAGCCCTATCAAAATGGGTTTTTTTTATTTCATCAACTACTCATTTGGTTTGCAAATCTATCTCGTGGCTTGTATTTGTGTATGTAAATAATTGAGGAAATACCTTGTACATGCAAGTATTGATAGACGAAAACGAAAGAAAGAAAGGATAACAGGTGGTCAATTTTTTTCGTTTATCACTCGTCAGAACCGCAGTGACTATGTCATTGTAAAACTCTCAGCATATGAGAAGGAGGTTCTTAGTTTATGATGTATAGCAAATTCATTTTATTTTGCCCTGACGTTTTGTCAACACAGACAGTAAACAGGTGTAGAGGTAGATTTTTTATTAGAATTCTGGTTCCTGCAAATAGTTTTCCTTTATCGTAAAGATCGTTATTGTTTGTTTAGTTCGCAGCGATGGTTATTGAAAAACCCTTTAGTCGAGTTGTCAGTTTCAAAAGACTACGTTGCTTTGTGTTGATCTTAATAACAGTGGCTTTATTCATCAACGTATTTCTCCTTTCATCGAACAAGATTTTCATGAATGATGAGGGTGGAAGTTTATTCGTGGACCCACGCAAGATTGCGAGGAATTCACGCAGAATCTTACCCCAACAACGCAGACCTTCGCATGGTCCATCTTCATCAACTGATGGTAGAACTATCCATTCATATCCTTCGACGTCCTACGATTGCCAAGCTTGGTGTTGCCATCGTGTGAGCCCACCGTATCAGTTGTCAGCAGTACTCTTGGTTCGTGTGTACCGTAACGACCTTGCAGGACTCTCGAGTCGCGAGATGTTGCAGTGGCTTTTCTATCTTCGCTTTGCTGGATTTGATCACGTGTTTGTCTACGATGCTTACGTCAGTAGAAATGAATCACAGTATCACGTGCTCTTACCGTTCGTTCGTTCAGGTTACGTCACTTACACAGACTGGAGTGCACATAACCCTTATACGATCGATGGCACTCAGATCTCTGCTTATCAAGATTGTGTAGACAAACACGGGAAGAATCTCACCTGGCACATGGCGATAGATATTGATGAGTATCCCTTTAGCCCTATCGACGTTAAACCTGGTTTCATGAAACGATTCATACGTAATTTTAGCGCTGAAAACCCGCATGTTTCACAAATGACGTTGCAAAACTTCCTGTTTTTAGGGAAGCCACTTAGCGCGAAAACCAACCCGCTCTTAATAGCGCGCCTGAGACGTAGAACCCACGAAAAGGCAAACGACTTGGGAAAGTCGGTGTTTCAAGTTGCGCGCATTCTAACCGCCGCAGTTCATCATAATGATATGCGCACGGGCAGCACAATTGATAGCGATCCAAAAATAATACGTCTTAACCATTACTGGGGTGCGCGGCTGCAGGACTGGGGTGAAGATACTCCAAGAATTTTTAATTTGACAGAACCTGATTATTCAATGAAATCGATCGTTGATCAGTTAAAAAATTGCTTAATATATTTTGAGGCAGGTAGCAGCTTGTATATAAAAAGATGGCACTGATTTTTAGAAAATGAATAGAGTACAAAATAATTATGTTGTTTTTTTGTGCACAAGATTTTGATCATTGGAACCAAATTTTGTTTTTTTGGTTTTATTTGTCGTCATTATTTCACCCGTATTGTGTATCATTATTATAATAATTTATCACCTAAAAATCATTTGTAAATCAATCTTGCAAAGAATCATTACAACAATCAATAAATTCAGAGTGTTGTGTTTCTTAGTTTTCCGTGGTTGGAGGTATTTCGGATTATTTAGCAGAAACGATCTTCTAAATAGTTACAACAGGATTTCTGGTTCCTGTCATAAACTTGAGTGCCACAACATCTGCTATCATCTCCATAAATCTTGCTCTGAATTGTGCCTTTATAACAACACATTTCTTTGGCAATAGTATACAACTTAACTCCACAACAACTGTAAACCCAAGGATTTTTATCGTGTGCTTTTCCACCACAACAGACCTTACTGGAAAGACCGTTTGGATAGACTTTTGGCCAGCAACACAGATCTTTCGACTTGTCAAAAACCTTACCACCACAACAGCTCTGCCCAAGACTAAGAGGAAGATCTTTAGGTTTCTTCTGGTAGATTTTGTCAGAACAACAAAACTGTTGGTCAAAATCGTAAGCAGTTCCATTGCAACATTCGATGTAACGCGTTGCGGGGTATTTAGGTCTGGGAGTGATGTTGGGCCAACAGCAATAATGAGTTTCAGCGTTGTACGCTTTCTCTGAGCAACATTTTGTCTTAAGTCCGACTCTTGCTTGCAGTTTGTTGTTGTAACAACACACAAATTTTTCTGTATCGTACGGCTGTCCTCCGCAGCATTGCATCTTTTTGCCATTCGTTGGTGACACCTAGCGAATCAAATAATTACATTGTTAACCTTGTTCTTTAGAAATAAGTATTTGAATGTAATCTTTAGAATTTAAAATCTACCACCTTCTGATTACAACATATTTCATTTTTTCTATCATACATAGACTTTCCACAACACCCGAGGGTCTTACTGCCGTCTGTTAGGTAAACTTTTCCGTAGCAGCACAAACCCCGGTCTTTAGAGATAATGTTACCACTGCAACATCTTTGACTAGAATAATTCATCGGTTTATCATGACAACATTGCAAGGTGGATGATTTCCCCCTCGGGTAAAGTTTTCCGTGACAACAAATCTGGGTTCGCATATCGTATGTAGTCTTCGCACAACAATCCAAGTTTTTATTGCCATTGTAGTCGACGATTTTATCATCGCAGCAAAAGCTCTTTCTGTAATCCTGGATGACACCTGAACGGGTACATTACGAGTAAAATATTTTCAAAGATTGTCTAGATCAGAGCCTTGCAAAGAAATTTGGGGACTTCAGGAAAATTAGGAGACCCATTTCCCAAGGCTATAATCATTTTGATCACTAGTGACCAAAGCATAAATTGATAACCTCAATAAATTGCAAAAGAAGAGGACAGAAGTTTGCTGTAAAAAAGTTACTGCAGCAATCAATAGTTGCCGCTGTTTACCTGCAGGACAGCATCTGGCTTTGTCTGGATCATTAACATCTGTAACACCAAGCTTGCGACAACATATCTGCTTACTATAATCAATTGGTTTGTCGTAACAACAACCCAGCTTATCTCCGTTGGTGGGATAAGCTTTGTCATTACAACATACATATTCGTTTTTGGAATAGACCTTACCACCACAACAAAGTTGTTTTGAATAATGGAAAGATTTCTCTCGACAACAAGCGAGATCAATGGAGCCATTACGAGAATATACAAAAGTTTCTTTATCGTTGCCACAACAGAGTTGTGTTTTGTAGTCGTGAACTTTGCTACCACAGCATATCTGAGAGGGTCCTGTCTTTTTCATGATCTGATCTTTGCAACATAACGAATTATCACGAGAAATCACTTGGTCTGAACAACAAATCTAGAGAAGAATATGTACATACGTAACCTTAATTATCCTTGATATACTCGAAGCAACGCAAATCTTTTTACTGTATAGGATAATCACCTGTTTATTGTGTTCATACGTTTTGTCACGACAACATGATAATTGTTGTGGATCTCCCTGATGTAAGGTGTCCTCACAACAAATTCCTTTGGTTCTATTATAAACTTTTCTACCACAACAATCCATGTTTCTGTCGCCCATTCGTGCAATAGCTCGTCCACCACAGCACAGATACTCCTTTGGATCAATGACTTTTGAATCACAGCATCGTTCATTGTAGTAGTTATAGGGCGTGTCACCACAGCAGCTGGTAAAGCGAGGCTTTGCGACTGAAGTAATTTTGCCACTGCAACAAACCTGGGTGTTCTTGTCAAACACTTTGTCATCGCAGCATTCCAACTTAGAGCCATCTTTGCGACGATAAAGCTTGTTGTTGCAACACGCGTACTCGGATGACGAATGGATTGTACCGTTGCAACAAACCTGAAAAACGAATGAAGTTAATTATTTTAAAACCGCAGAATTTTTCCAATTTATCAGAGAAATGTCACAGTCAACGCACGCTTCTGCTGAATATTGCTGCATGGAGGCCCAGATGATATATCGACCACACCTGATTCGCATAATCATATCCCAGTGTGCCACAGCAGCTTGGGTACTTTATTTGTTTGCCGCCGGCATTGTCACCACTTTGTTATTACAACACAACTGTCCAGAGTCACGACGGATCAGTACACCATTACAGCAAAGTTCTGCGCTATAGTTGTATGGTTTAGACCAACAGCATCCAAATTCACCTGGGTTCAGCTCATGTATCTAAAATGCAACACGAACATGGAGTGATTGCAGTTTCAGTGGATGGTGTAAGTTATGAATAAAGAAACCTTCTGCAAAGTCTACCTTATCTCCACAACACAATTTCTTGCTATCATAGACTTTATTATCACAGCAGGTCATAATTCGTCTGTCGTAACTTTTCTTTCCACAACAGCTAATGGTGTATTGTGAGTTTTGATATGCAACCTCTTTGTCATCGCAACAAATTTGTTTCGACCAATCATACAGCCTTCCTGCACAGCATCCTGAGTTCTGGTCCTTTTTCTCAAGCAGATTTGGCCTAGAAAGTGTTCGAGATTTAGGAGTCGTGCTGTGAAGTTTTACATCAACCTAAACCATTTGGATTTCGTTGGAATCGTGTAACTCATTACCTTCTCCAATCGTTTGTACGACAACAAATCGATTTTGTCGTATCATAGACTTGTTCTCCGCAACAATCTTTTCCGTCTTTTTTATTAATAACAATATTATTACAACACGTCTGATATTTGTAGTTAAAGACGATGTGATTATTTTGCCCATCACCGCAGCAGCCATAGTTGTAGTTTTCGTTGTTCCACAGCTTGTCTCCGCAACATAACGTGGTACGATAGTTATACGGCTTGTCTGCACAACAACCATAATTTACTGTCTTGTTGCTTCGGTAGATCTGAAAAAGGATGAAAGATGGATATCGGCCATACTTTTACATGTGAACTAACTTTTCAATTTAACAACCTAGCATTACATCTATTGCAAAATCAGTGTCGCCATACCTTCCCTGCGCAACATACTTCTCTGATGCGATCATAAACCTTATCGTTACAGCATTCAGGTGCAACACCATCCTTTATCTCTGCCAGTTTCCCCCCACAACATATATATTTATTTCTGTCATAATACTGATCACCACAACAAGTCATGTTCTCTCCGCGTTTATACAAACTTCCGTCTTTACAGCATTTGTATGCGTCTCCATTGAAAACAAATTTATTCATACAGCAACCTAGCCGTTGACTCATCGCAGCATTCTTTGTGAACAACTAAATGAGTTTCAAAATTGTGTGAAGTTTGAAGGCGTAATTGTATCTAGACAGTCCCCCTCTACTGTGGCCACCTCTCTAGTATGGTTACCTGTCTATTAGGGTCACCTCTCTAATACGCTCACTTTTCTAAAATGAACACGTCTCTCTAATGTAATCACCTCTCTAATGTGGTCACCTCTCTAGTATGGTTACTTCTCTAAATTGGCATCTCCCTAAAATGGTCAACTCTCTAATATGGTTACTTCTCTAAATTCGCATCTCTTTAAAATGGTCAACTCTCTAATATGGTTACTTCTCTAATGTGAGCATATCGACACTTCTGTAATATATTTTTCCTCACCTGTTTTGCGCAACATCCATAGCCTTCGCGGAAAAAAGGAATAGGAGACGTCTTACAACTCTTCACAAGAACAGCGTTCAACCCTGGACAACCTTGAGGTGTTCTTGTTTCAATCTCACCTGCACAGCACATTTGCGTGTTCGCGTCGTAAGCACGCGTGCCACAACACGATGCGTTTCCCTTTCGTGCGTGCACCGTGCCAAAACAACAGATTTGTTCGTGATATTTGTACGGCGCGACATTTTGACAGCACTCGTGATCCTTTGCAATACTAACGGGGTATAAGACACCACCACAACAGGCCTGGGTTTTAGTTACAAACCGCATCGGAGACTGTCGACAAACATTCGGAATATCACATCCTGCCGTAGTCTTGGGCACGATGACGTCATTACAACACACTTGTCTGTCGGTAGAATACCTGTTTCTATGGCAACACGCGTCATTCTTCCCTTCTCTCGGCAAAATGTCACCACTACAGCATATTTCATTGTGAGGATCGTATGGAACGTCTGCACAAGTTAGCGTCGATCTTTTCACAACTTTATTCTCTATAAATAAAGACAATATTTAGGGGATGGGATCACCGCAGAGGGCATCCGTTTTACCCCCTCCCCCACGCCACTTGCAAGTATAAAAAAATGAAGATTAAAATATTTTTGATCGCTTGTTTGATTAAACATTTCCACCCAAAACAATATTGATGCTGCAAATTGTTGACTCAGCGGTAACTGCAAGCCAACTGGGTTTACTGACAGTCAACACAATTAGCCGATTGTCAACATTAAATACAAACAAAGAAAATTGAATGCTCTTGGATGTGTACTTTATTTAGTTTAATTGAAAAAAAACAAAAGCCCTGTTAAATTGGGATTTACAAGCGTGTACTTTTGAGTTTTCCTCTGTGATTCCTAATTGACCAAGTTTAACTTGTCCATAATTAATATCATAGATACCGAAGCATTTGTGCTGGGATGAACAAAATCAATAGGTTGAATCTCCTAGCCTTGGATATAAGTTGGAAAGATTGCATTATGATACTGCTACCTCTGACCTCTTGAAAAGAAGAAAGTTTTGTAGAATCTTAAGGACCAGTTTTGACTGATTAATCGTGCTTATATATACTAACCGAACAACGCATGAGAATCCTAATTAATATTTCTAATTCGTAAAGTTTAAATCTTCTGACTAAGCGATAGATTGGAGATTTATAGATTTATAAAGTTCACATTTTGCAGCCTCTTACAGAATAGCTGGTCTATCAAGTCAGTAAAAAGCTTCCCCGAAAGCCTTGGGCGTTGCTTCCACTGACGCCGTACTGATATGCATTTTTTGCAACTTCCCGTTGTTCTGCCTTCGTTCCGCCATGAATACATCATGAACATTCTAGGCGTCGTTTATAAGCGTCGTTTGGAAAGAGTGCTAGAGATTTCGTAATTTTTTAAAATAAAAAGTGGATAATGATATAAGATTATCGAAGTACTCAGGGAGAGATATCTCTTTTTACCACACCCAAATTCTTTACGTAAAAAAGTTAAAACAAATTTTAGAACTATACCTCCATAAGTGAACTGTAATAATCCTGCAACCAGTCCGATAACGAAAATATTGCCTGTTTTCAGTCCCATGACAGCTAAGCTAGATTACTTCGATAGTCACCACTGCAGATGAAACTTGCAAACTCTATCAAGTGTGGCAAATTCAATTAGACAGTCTCCCTATATATATGTACTGTACTTTTTAATATATTATTCAAATACGGTCTGGATAATCTCGATTGTTTTTTGACGTTAACTAATTCTGCAAACATGCTATGTCTTTTTTATTAATATAATTGAAACACATATAATTAGTTTTGGCGGATTTGAATTCTTGCGCAATTTTTTATTAACAGTCAACTGTTATATCAACAACAAAAGTTCACTAATCTTGAGCAACATCAATTGAAATTATTCAAAATTGCGAAAGACAAATCATATTGAAAAAACAAGCAAAGCAAGCGATTTTATTTGGTGTAATAAAACTGTTACCCAAAAGATCACCACTTCAGTCTATAAATTATTCCCTGAATTTTTATGATAATCTTTGATGTAACTTGATAAATTACAAATTTGAAATAACGTTATAATTATTACATATTAAAACATGACAGTGCGTTACTCTTATACTGCCAGTACTTTTAACTGTTTTTAAAATCTTAAAGTTTTTTATTTGTAATGTCTGCGTCTATAGCCAATAGCCATTTATGATCTTCATAACTGAAAGGAACCACCCTTCAACAAATCTGCCCATTAACAATTACTTTCAATCTTTTTCAACACGCTGTGTTTTTTCTCGTGCAAGTCAGGAATTTCATCGTTGTGCTCATTGCTGTTCAGTATACTTTCTTTGGCGTAGGCTGTGTTGTGACCCGCATCACAGGCTGAGCGAAATCCTGCATCAAAGGCTGAGAAGTAATCTTCCCTCAATTTTCCCACCGCATCCGTGGAACATCTCTTTGGCATCTGCGGTGTATCCTGGGTAGTCGACTCGGTCTTTCCGCGGCCTTGGATTTCAGTATTACTGAATTTGTTGAACTGCCATTTGAATATGGGCAAGCTTTTCCAAGAATCGCGCAGCTCTTGCTTACCAATTCCGTGAAATATGAATATAAACAGGCCTTGGAATGACGATAGGATGACAAACGCGTACGTCACGAGGGGGTTTGTGGTAAACGTGGAAATTCCCGCAAGAAGCCAACAAAACCCGAATACGACCGAAAGAGAGACTGCCGCGCGTAGACTTGATCTGATGTTGTTCGCGTCACGTTGAGATATTTGAATAATTTCGCGCATGATCAGACCGAAGAAGACAATGTTTACGAAGACCGTGAGAAGCACTGGAGTGAGGAAGCTGACGAAGAATGCTGACGACGTCATCCAACATCTAAAACGGAATTGGGAGTGATATTCATGGGATGTGAATGACTGTGATATTATGACACAGCAAAGAGAAAGGATGGAACACGAGATGACAAGACAATTTTGAAGATGCAGTTGAACTGAGTACGTTTGATGTGTGTTGCCAAGCGAAAACTGCAACGTATCAATGAATAGGATAGGCGGGGATCATTATGTTATATGAGGATAGACATTTAAAAAGCAAAAAACGTCGATTAAGGCCCAGTTAGCGAGGAGAAAAAACAGTCTTAGTACTCACGCGTCATTTCTCCGACCATAAAACCTGATATCCACAGCGGAGGTCACGCCCACAATCACTGCTGGAAGACCTGGAAGTAGACGAGACACATCAAAGAAAGCTTTCTTCAGGATGCACCTTTATACAAACAGGTCCTATATTGATAGTTTGGAGCAAAAACAATTTAACTTTCGTTCAAGAACATCTTACCGTAACCGCATATACAAGCTCTTAATGTGAAGCCCCTGCCTGACAATGTGGTTGTATTAAACACTTTAACAAGATCTCTGTATAGATTGTACGCCTCAACACACATCCAAGATACTGCAGCTAAGATGAAGTAGTGTAGTAACTGCGCTAACGCTGTACAATAGCTCTTATTTCCTTCGTATGTGAAAGATAATATTGATAGCAACATCCCTGCCATTATTGTGACGCAAATATGAACCAGAATTTGATTTCGTCGAAATTTTCGTAACCTTCTAAATAATGAGAAAAAATTGGTTGAATTCTTTAGTTTAACGACGGGATTTTCTCCAGCAACACGATTTTGGGAAGTTTTGAATAGAGACAAAATTCTAACGGTATTAAAGATTACCCAAATAAATTGGTCATATAACCGTAATGTTATAATTTATCCTAATTTATAATTATCTGCTTTGCATGGTAATGTATGATTACCTGAAGAAACATATTGATGTCATTGTGATGAGCAAGCCAATCATAGATAATGTAATACCAATATACGCTATGTAAGATATTTCACGCGGCTCTTTGGGTTCACTCGGGGACACCGAGGTATTAAATGAACCTTCTACTGAGGAATTCCCTGATGGTGATCTAGTTGGTGTTTCATCGCCTTCACCATTGCTGTTTGCATTTCTTAATTTCGTGATAAATGCCATGTAGTTTAGGGTGACATTTTCTACTATGGGTTCAGGAAGTAGCTAAAAAAATTGGAAAATTTTTAAAGTCTGTGGACGATTAATTCTTGTCAAATTGCGATGCAAGAGATTGAATACATTTCACACTAGAATTGCAAGGTAGTTTCAACTTTGAATGACATATATAAACGTTAATTTGTCATAATCCCTTAAAGGAGCATTGGGGTTATGAATCACGCATTATTTTCTTACATCTATATCTTTATATTTAACTTTCAGCCCCTCTAATGTGACAAACCCTTCGCTATCTTTATCGGTGTGTATGTGGTGCCAATTGTACCAAAACAAACTATTAGGTAACTCGAATTCGGCCTCAGCCTTCCTTTCAAAAGACGTTGTTTTATACTTGTTTCGTGCAATGATCACAAATGACAAGCTAAAAGTAAATAATATAATTTTGTCATCTTCTATACTTTCCTTTCTTCTCTTCACTGTCTTTTCTTCTACCTATTTTATTCTTCTTTGATCATTTTATTGTTTTTCATACAAACATTTTAAACTTTCTAACATGACCACTATGATCCTAGGAATCTTTCTTCCAAAATATTACGTTATTCTCATCTCTCTATACTTCTATTTCTTATGGTTTCTTATATTTACGCTTAAAATTATCTCACTTTTTTGCATCTTTCTTCTCTGGAAATGTCGGCCTATTAAATAAATGAATATCTGCTAGTTCAATTGAGTTTGCATGGTACCTATCCTTGAAACAAATTACAAAACTGTTTAAGGTATGCCAAGCACACCAAACCATGCTTACCAAATAAAGAGTTCTTCCACTGTTACATTAAGATGCACCCAACGGAAGTAATTTGGGAAAAAATTGACAAACTATAGATGGGGAGAAAGCAGTAGCTATTTATGTGTTATTTATGTGGACAACTGGAAATATCTATATTTTGCATGAAATATTACAAATCTATACTTATTCACCCCTCGAGTGAGGTTTTTAGCGATGTCTTTGTACACGTCAGATTCACGATCAAGAACGTCCCACGCATTCCTCTCACGTATACGAATACATCCTGTCACATTAACATGTGATGTGCCATTAGCTACGAACTCTTGAGAAAATACATGGCCTATATATTGATATAATAAACAGCATTAAACATTAACGTATTTTATTTTAGAAATATGTGATATTACATGGCGTAAAATATGTGATATAGACTTACCTTGGTACAGGAACAGTGACAAATAGACAATAATCATTTTATTCATTTTTACTTCTGACCCTTCAGTTTGTTACTTCGCTATTTAAAAGAAAGGCAAAATATTGATAGACCTTACTCGTTTTTTGGTCGGGCAGGCAGAGCTGTGTTTGAATGCCATTATAAGAGTCTTTCTTTTATAATTTACCTCAGGGTGTTAGCAGTGTTATTTTGTTCTAACTTTTTTGCTTGAAACTTCTTTAACATTGATTGTACGGCTGGGGCTATTTTATTGAGACAGATGTTGCATTTACCTTATATGCATATAGCGGAATCTGAGATCAGCAATATTTTTGACAGTTGTAAGTGCACTTGAGAATATTTTAAATGAGAAATTGAGAATATATTAAGTTTTCATGTACATACCATAGTTCTGATTTTGTTATTCTCTTCCGTAGTTTGATAGTTTTCTATATTCCATATCACATCAATCGTGAATCTCTTCTTTCCAATATTTTTTAACTTCTTTTGGTTCAATCGTTTGAACTCTAGCTTAAGGACTTTTCAATTTGTCAAATGCCTGTTACAAAAAACTATAATTGAAGTCCTTTCTGCAAACACGAGGAACGATGAACGAATCAATATGCTTCAGATGAAAAATTATTTTGATTATTGCGTGCATGTAATTGTAAAGCTTTTTTAGTGTAAATTGAATCTGCATGCCTATCAAATCATGAAACCAGAAATGAGAAAGTCAGTATTGCTGATGACAATATACATGCACATAGGAAATGGGAATTAAGGTCTGCTGCCTTGTCATGCAAAACTAGACTCTTTTTCATTCCCAGTCTGAAGCCTGACTATATATATATATACGCATGCATTTATTAGAGTAATATTGCTCTATCGAGATACGAAAAAAAGTAGACACGCGAAGGATTTTATTATATTTCACTTACTTTGATCCACGTTAGAAATAAGTCAGTGGGAAAGTTAACCTCTTCATTCGGACCTATACCCTGGCAATCGGCTATACTATATAGCTATAATAATATCTGCAATTTCTGTATTAAGACAGTTAAATTAAGTCTAAGTATTTTCGATCAGTGAGTTTATCAGTCTTTATCTATACTGTCAATCAGACACACACATGGCCCAATAATCGCAGCGGATCAAACAAAATACTGATAAATGGTGTTTAATACATTGGCTATAGATGAAGTTCTTTTATTAATTTTGTAAAAAACATCGCGTCATGGCGAGCATCAATTTCCTGTATTTGTGAAAAACATTTCCATTAAAATATGATTAATTTGATCTGGTTATCGTAGTGTGCGGAAGTCAATTTTAGATATGTATACCTCCCATGCACGTTTTCCTTACAATAATACTTGCATGGAATGCATGCATGCATGTTCAGAATCAAGCATTAAGAAATTCAAACTTGCTTCGATGTAACCAAAACAGCATTAAATATGAAAAGTGCATAGCGTGCCAATCTGACATATCAAGAAATATCATTAATTATAACAACTTTGCATGTAACAACAATATGCTTCTTCCTTTGCTTCTGTTTGCACCTGTTCAAACAAACAGGATGCATCAGTTTTTTATCATGATATATGCGCGATTTCGCAAAGAGAAAATCGTTGTGAACTTTTTTAGACGTAGTTATACTATAGACTATAATTGTAGATTTTCGGTTTTATAAGATAGTTAGGGCCTTTACCTCACTATTTTGGAAATATGTAAAGACTATAGTTGCGTTAAACGCGTTGAAAATGACAATATATTTAATTTACATTTTATAGATAATAAATTCGTAGTCGGATTAGGCTGTGAGATTTTCATGCATATATTGTAGGACCTTTAAGAGCCACTTAAGCAAAATCGTTTCATTTCGTAATCACATGCATGCGCGCTCTCCTCATTTAGTTGCCAGATACATCATTCATTTCTTGTTAGGTCTACACGAATCATATTTTAAAATATAACGTTTGTTATTTTAAGAAAATTACGGTGTATAAATGTTATTACGGAGCTTTAGCAGTGACTACGAGTACGACTACGAGATTCGTCATTCTCGCGCGTTGTTTGCTTACGCCATCAGTCAAAACTCGTAGTCGCCGGGCTTTTGAGTACGAGTTTTTTGATAAACTTCGAGTTTTTTGATAAACTTCGTACTCGAAAGCCCAACGACTACGAGTTTTTTGATAAACTTCGTACTCGAAAGCCCAACGACTACGAGTTTTGGCTGATGGCGTAAGCAAACAACGCGCGAGAATGACGAATCTCGTACTCGTAGTCGTACTCGTAGTCACTGCTAAAGCTTGCTATTATTATAATGTTAACGGGTATTTTCTTACATTAACTAAGTCTAAGATTTTTTATGTTGAAACATTACAAGATTAGAGCTTGCTTTATGCATGAATTAATGATTATTGATAGTGAATATTTTCATTGTATTTGGAATTTTGAACTTTCCCTTTGAACTTGTACAACCACAGGCAATGAATCGCTATGTTATTATCCAAGCATGCACGATATTCATGGTTCAAGCCTGTATGTCTATTAGTAAGCTACGAATTAATGCTGGCCAAAATTTCCTTTAATTGTATAAATAAAACTATCGAATAATTAAATAAATTCTGTATATAGTAAGTTAGATCGTGAGATAAGCAGATTTTTAGTGTATTGCTTTAGGTTTCCGGATACTTTATGTGAGATAACGTGAATAAGAAAATCAAATAAAAGATGAAGTTTTGGGGTTTTGACGGTCTTAGAGGAGACTTCGTTATTGCAAAGTGAACATTTTCGTAAATCTCGAAATTACGTTATTATAAATTTGAGCATCTTTAAGGTTTGTTAAGAATATGTCATATTAGTTACCTTTTCTTTTTCACTACAGCTTTTCTATGGTTCTTCGCTCGTTTGCCTTCCTCATCACACATAGAATTAATTAGTGTTTCTTTTGTCTTTTTTAAACCTATTTTGAACTACGCAATTATATTCCGATCTAAACTGTAACCTGTGTAAATATTAACCTGCTCCAACGCAAATACAGCTGGGACAAGTGAGTAATTAAAGATATTTCCCGATCATATCAAACAACCTATAGTATGTTTGATAGATTCGTACCACAAATGCTAAAAACAAGATTGCAACTTACCATGCGAAAAATGATGGTTTTTTCAACGTTCCAAAAACAAACCAAATATGCTAAAAAACCAAAGAAATTAGTCTTAGTAAATACTTGAAGCCATTTTCACAACGTTAACACATTTTTGGAAAATTTTAAAAATTCGTCAATTTTGGCTAATGGTAAGTGTGCCCTTACCATGCGAAAAATGATGGTTTTTTCAACGTTCCAAAAACAAACAAATATGCTCAAAAACCAAAGAGATAAGTCTTAGTGAATATTTGAAGCCATTTTCACAACGTTAACACATTTTTAGGGAAATTTTTAAAATTCGTCAATTTTGGCTAAAATGGTAAGTAACCCCTTACCATTTTGGTCAATTTTGATGACTTTTTGAACTGTTCAAAAACTGTCTTATTAAAATGCTAAAAATGGCTTCCTAAGACTAATATCTTTCATTTTAGAGCACATTTGGTTGGTTTTTGGAACAATGAAAAAGTGGTCAAAATTGGCCAAAATGGTAAGGCTTACCCCTTACCATTTTGGTCAATTTTGACGACTTTTCAAACTGTTCAAAAACTGTCTTAAAATGCTAAAAATGGCTTCCTAAGACTAATACCTTTCATTTTAGAGCACATTTGGTTAGTTTTTAGAACAATGAAAAAGTGGTCAAAATTGGCCAAAATGTAAGGCTTACCCCTTACCATTTTGGTCAATTTTGACGACTTTTTGAACTTTTCAAAAACTGTCTTAAAATGCTAAAAATGGCTTCCTAAGACTAATATCTTTCATTTTAGAGCATATTTGGTTGGTTTTTGGAACATTGAAAAAGTCGTCAAAAATGGTAAGGCTTGCCCCTTAATATTTTGGTCAATTTTGGCGAATTTTTGAACTGTTCAAAAACTGTCTTAAAATGCTAAAAATTTCTTCCTAAGGCTAATATATTTCGTTTTAGAGCATATTTGGTTGCTTTTTGGAACATTGAAAAAGTCGTCAAAATTGACCAAAATGGTAAGGCTTACCCCTTACCATTTTCGTCAATTTTGACCACTTTTTGAACTGTTCAAAAACTGTCTTAAAATGCTAAAAATTGCTTCCTAAGACTTGTATCTTTTATTTTAGATCATATTTAGTTGGTTTTTGGAACATTGAAAAAGTTGTCAAAATTGACCAAAATGGTAAGGATTACCCCTCACCATTTTGGTCAATTTTGACCACTTTTTAAACTGTTCAAAAACTGTCTTAAAATGCTAAAAATTGCTTCCTAAGACTTATATCTTTCATTTTAGATCATATTTGGTTGGTTTTTGGAACATTGAAAAAGTCGTCAAAATTTACCAAAATGGTAAGGCTTACCCCTTACCATTTTGGTCAAATTTGACCACTTTTTCAACTGTTCAAAAACTGTCTTAAAATGCTAAAAACTGCTTCCTAAGACTTATATCCTTCAATTTAGATCATATTTGGTTTGTTTTTGGAACATTGAAAAAGTCGTCAAAAATGGTAAGGCTTACCGCTTACAATTTTGGTCAATTTTGACCACTTTTTGAACTGTTCAAAAACTGTCTTAAAATGCTAAAAATGGCTTCCTAAGACTAATAACTTTTATTTTTAGAGCATATTTGGTTGGTTTTTAGAAGAATCAAAAAGTGGTCAAAATTGGCCAAAATGGTAAGGCTTACCCCTTTGGTCAATTTTGACCACTTTTTGAACTGTTCAAAAACTATCTCAAAATGCTAAAAATGGCTTCTTAAGACTAATATCTTTCATTTTAGATCATATTTGGTTGGTTTTTTGAACATTGAAAAAGTCGTCAAAATGGTAAGGCTTACCCCTTAATATTTTGGTCAATTTTGACGACTTTTTGAACTGTTCAAAAACTGTCTTAAAATGCTAAAAATGGCTTCCTGAGGCTAATATCTTTTATTTTAGATCATATTTGGTTGGTTTTTGGAACGTTGAAAAAGTCGTCAATTTTGCCTTCAAGTCTTAAAGTGTATTATTTTATTGTCAGTATCAGCACAAGATGCGGTGGCCAAGTGGTTAAGGCTACCGCCCTACTAGGTTGTGAGCGTAGGTTCGAATCCTCGAAGGGAGAAGTGCAATTTTTCTCGCCTAAAGTGTCACTTAATTTTAAATTCTGCGAATAGGATTAAGTCAAATAAAGAACTGATGCTGTGGCGCAGTGGTTAAGGCTTCGGCCTTCGAGGTTGTAAGCTTAGGTTCGAATCCTGCATGGGAAAGGTTCGATTTTCTTCCCGAAGTTATTCTTTAATTTATACTTCATCGAAAAGGATTAGGTCAAATAAAGAACAATAGATTTCGACATATGATGCGGTGGTCTAGTGGTTAAGACGGTCGTTTCTCAATCCGAGGACAAAGGTATCAACTCCGGGCAATGCACAAAAATTAGCGTGAAAAATTTCGGTTTGATTTGGAAGCTATAAAAGCATTTAAAGACTCCTTGGCCTTCAAGAAAAAGACCGTAAATTGAAAAAAAATTGAAATAAAAAAACTAAAACAAATTTCTCGCGTTCAAAAGTACCTGAAAATTGAAAAAAAGCACAAGTAAAAAAAGTTTAAAAATCATGTGTCTCCTAAAAAGGCTTCAAGATTTAAAAATTTCCCGCTTTTAAAAAACTCATGTTTACTTACCTTACCAATTTTTTTTTCACGAAAATTTGACAGGGTGATTTTCACGAGACTGAAAAAATTTACATTTTTTCACTTTTTTGAAATTCTCTTAGATATTTTTTTTATCAAGAAGTATTATGTCTTGGGCTACCTGTGTCAAGCCAGACACAGGTAGCCCAAGACAGACACAGGTAGCCCAAGACATAATACTTTGTCTAAAAAAATTTTCGGCTTGACTTTTTTCTT